GGGGGGGGAGGGAAACACCATATCAAACGCTTAATATATAATCATGAACAACATCCTTAGCAAAGAACAATCGACAAACGAATTCGAGCAAGGGAAAATACGAGCAAGCACCAACAAATGAACCCCCCGTACCATCCATACTATGCTCCTACTCCTACTCCATCCAGTGCGAATGCGGTGAGTTCATCACATATTATTTTGTCTCCTTCAGCAGAGACAGAGGTATCCAAAACATGGCTCATCAATAGAAAACGGTGGAGTCAGGATGAAATAGATAAGAAAAAAAAGGTAAATCAATGCTCAGAGATTATCGTAACCGGACGAATGGGGGATATTGGTTCGCTTTAGTTCAAACACAGAAGACAGAAATGAAAATAGGAAAAATGCGAAAAGAAAATCACTCGGAAATCAGATCGGGGTAGACCACCCATCAGGTCCTATTCTGGGTTTCATCTCATAATTCTCCGGCTCAGTGCTGCCAGGTCGTCGAATGGTCGAGTTTGGAAAATACATATGTGGAGGCATAGCACTGGCATATGCGGCAGCGTTTGGCTCCGGGTAGCCATAGTCGTGAGCAGAACCAGGTGACGGTATGCTGCCATGAGACGGCGATGCCCAGCCCATGCTCGTCATATGTGGACTACCTGTGACACTGCCAGGCCGATGATCATTATTTGCCGGTGGTTCGAGTGGTTGAGGTGGGCCATATCCGGTCGGATGTGAGGTCATTGAAGGGCGTGGGTGACTGCTATAGTTCGACAAGGAAGGCGATGTGACCGTGGGAGAAGCACGAGGGCTTCCTTGCTGGAAATCGCCGCGGACGTGCGGCGGGATTGACCCATTGGGGACGTAATATTCCCCTGTAGAACGTATAATATTCAATGGTGGAAGTTCGCTTCCTAGGCCCATTGAAACTTGCTGTCCTGGAGAAGGGGTGGAATGGCCAGACCCAGTCTCTGAATAGACGCTTTCTGAAGGGCGTGCTGATCTTTCTTTGTTTTGTCGCAAACTAGCTTCGGTTTGGGCCGCTGCTTCCTCAATGGTTCCTGTGTGGTGATTCTGGTGCCGAGTGAGTGTGGTCCGACGAGTGAAGGTTTTCTGGCAATTCGCATAGGGGCACTTGTAGGGCCGTTTGCCAGAATGGATCCTACGATGCCGCGCGAGGGATGAGGAATCGCTGAATGGCTACGTCAATGTTAGCATAGAACCTCTTACACCTCATTTCACCAAGGAAAAAATAAACATACCTTTCCACATCGCTCGCACATGTGGGGTTTCTCTCCCGTATGGACACGCGCATGAACAGTCAATGCCGAGCGTTGAATGAATTGTTTTCCACAGCCAGGCCAGTCACATGCGTGGGGACGAATTCCGCTGTGAATGCGTTCTGAATAAAGTGAGTAGTCTGGACAACACCAATGCGTTCATAAAGTGATCATCTTACCATGACGAGCTAGATCGCTGCGACGAGCAAATCCTTTCTGACAAGTAGAGCAATGGAAGACCCGTGGTGCTGGCTCGGGGCGAGTTTGCTGTACAGGTGGAGTAGGGGGCAATTGCTGGGGAGGGTTTGGAGGAAAGCCTGCATGGACGTAGGCATTCGGCATTAATTGCACACCATTGGCTGGGTGAGGATGCATTCCTTGCGGGGGCACATGGGGCATCTGATGAAGATGCTGGGCATTGGGAGGGTAGCCCAGCACGGCATGTTCGCCGGGTTGAGATGTTGCTTGCTCGCTCATCTCTTGTGTATGTAAGTGAACCGCCTGTGCGAGTTGTGCCTGGAAGCGAGGGTCTGCGGCAACTGCTGCGGACGCCTTCCTATTCAGTATAGTCGGGATCTCCATGACCTGCCTCTACGGGCAGGCTGTTCAATCGATTTCAAGTTGGATTGCAGGGTCCGCGGGAGGCACGATCGAGACCACGGTATTTGTACAATGTAGAATGAAAGTGATGATGTATGCGCAACACTGGACGTCGAGCTTCGTAGACAATGCGAACAATCACAAACGTAGCGTAATCCTGATGGAAACATGACCGTTAGTATTATTTGAAATAGGAAAAAAAAAGGTTCACATGAAAACAGCGCAGGGAGATGACTGCTTTGGAGAGGCAAACGAACCAACACTTATGTAGCCGTTGTGTAGGTCTTGATAAGAATGTCGCGTTGTTAGGATTCAAAGCACGAGCGCGAAGCCGTCTAATTATTGCAGATCAAGGAATCGAAATCTCCGAAGAAATCATAAAACTTTACGGTTGCTCTTTCTGCGTCTCGAGTTGGGTCCCTATTGCCTTTGAAATCTTCGGGTAGTGGCGCTGGCAAATTACGCTGCGTACAGTTGTAGGCAAGCTCCTATAAATGCAGAATATCAGCTCAGCTCTCGTAGTATATTACGTGCTTGAACTGAAAGAAGGAGAAAAGAAAAGAAGATGAGGAATGGTGACAGCAGGCCGGTCAGGGAGAGCGAGGCATGGACTGGTCTCGATCTGCTTTCTCGACCTGTTGCCTTCTGCCCGGCAACCCTGCCACTGCCCCATCACTTTCAACCCGAAAGTGGGAATAAAACAGCAAGAAAGTGAGACACAGGGGATATGGCCAAACTGCAACCGATCCGTTGTTACGTGTTGATGTTGTTGCCCAAAGGGTCTGTGGCAGAGAGAAAGGCAGGAAAGCATGGCTTTGTGTGCTTGCTTGGGTCAGTCGAGATGCTTGCTTACGTACCACAACGGATGTCAGAACAAAACTAGAGCCGATACTCAAAAACACGACGACAGAGCTGATGCAGGAGGGATGAGCTCGGAATTATAAGCCAAGGTGCTGTTAGGTACGAGGTTGTTGTGCGGCTATGGCGCGCGCGGTACGCAGTGCGAGGGCAACCCAATGAGGAAGATTGGCGCGGTGAAAGAAAAATACCAGTGGATCCGAGCGATGAAAGAAAAAGCACGTTGAGTCAGTCAGTTACGTACGGCGTGAGACAACGACACAGACAGGGGGGAGGGGTGGGAGGGGAAAAACGTCGAGAAGAAGAGAGAGGACGAGGAGGAAGAAGAATCACATCCCAGAAAATAAATAGTGCCATGCTTGGTATACTATACAGGGATAATTGGGGGGGGACGAGGTTAATTACGGTAATACGGGTACGGAGGCTGCTTAGCGCCGATAGGATTATTTAATAAGCGTAAGGTTGTTGTTGGGGCCGCCGGGAAGGAGCTTCTTTCCTCTTGACTCTGTCTACTCTGACTCTTCCAGTGCACACACACACACACACACTCTCTCTCTCTCTCTCTCTCTTTCTCTCTACTAGGCTCTCTTCAACAAAACAACAACTACTACTACTACTACTACTACTACTACTACAACAACAGCTACAGAAGCAGCAACAACGCCATGTGGCATGCGCTGACATCTCTTGAATCAGAACGTCCAGCTTGCCGCCTGCCTGCTGCGACAGGATGAGTCGGCGGTGGACCCAACTAAACAAGGATAGGGCCAGAGCTGCAGCACAGACAAGATGGAGCAGGCGGCAACAAACGGCCAGAGGTCGCGCTGGCTAAATGCACGCTAACTTTCTCTACCATCTTACCCCGTCCCGACGGTAAGGGAGGCTTGCGAGTGCGCGGTGGAGACCTGGATACAGTGGAACTGGGCATTGATACGGTGCGCAGATCGAAAGCAAACTTTGAACTGTGGACTCGAAACAGACGGACATAAAGACGGGATTTCATCAACTACAGGAATAAATTTGCAGCGGCAGATTTTCGCTCGCGAGTCAGGCATGTCATGATGCCCGTACTTGTGGTTGACTCGACTCTCCTCAAGACGCCAAGGGGGCGCACGCTAACGTCTAAACCTAGGATGTAGCCGCCCGGACTGCATCATCAACTCGGAACGGAGCATCTCATTGGGGCTCGTGTGCGGGCCAGAGTTGGCGCCTGTTCGAACACCATGTCCGTGTACGGAGTAAGAAAGACTGCTTTTGTTCCGAGGGTATTCCACGCTTATCCTTGTCAAGTGATTTTTGTTCCATCCAGAGTCCTCAGCATGCGGTAATTAAGGAGTAAACGAGCGTAGCACGGCATGCTTTTGTGAGCTGTTTGTTCATTCTAATTTAACTTCGGATGCTCGTACCAAGTTTCTAACACGTATCTGCAGTTCTAGCCAGCACCGTATTAGTCCGTAACGAGGCCAATTTCCAATAATAGCAATGTTCTTTCCAGAACGCCGCTAGAAGGATCCATGTCAGCGCGAAGCCCGATGAGGAAGGACGCCAAGGCCGGCGTCGTTTCGTTCTTTGCTTTTCGTGCATTTTCCTGGCGCAGCGCGCAAGCCACGTAGGGTTGTTCAATTTCCACACTGGGATCTATAGGAGACAGCTGCATAGCAACTGCTGGCCGGTGGCAAAAGGGGGTCGACGACGTGGTGAAAGAACCTGAAACCGGGTGGCACGGCAGCGGGTCTCTCTGATTGGCTGGATGGCGGGTTTCAGGGTGAAACGGGGTGGCATTACTAATTACACGGATTAGGCATGTTTCTAGAACTTCTAGAAAAGAAGAAAAAGGGGGCATCGACTAATCTGGTCCATACTCAGGGGCGGCTATCTCAGCCACCGACGCCATCGACACCCACGTAGTAAGGGGCGTGGCACAACTTGCTATTCCGATCTGCTAGCTAGCCTAGTAAGATTCTTGATTCACTAAGTCACTTTGAGTCTGTAGCGTGTCTAACCTCCTCGGGCCATAGCTCGAATCTATTTCTGCATGTCTCGTGACGCAAGTTGGTCAAGAGAGCTGCATAGAAATCTAAATCCAGGTCCTCAGTAATAAATATATACATATGCATATAAACTATACTTGAATACTTTATCTATCTATTCTATTCTATCTTCGTTCAAATAACATCACAATCTTGTCGTAGGTAGACAAGACACATCATAGTGCATCAACATGTCTTGCCAGGAAATAAGCTGGGTCAATAGATCCACAAGCCATGGGCACAGATTACTGAATCTCGCTGTTTGTCCATGGCTCCATACGGAGTACAGCCACATATGGCCCTCAATCCAATCGGAGAGTGCCATCTCGATTCTCCACCTTGTCAAGAGTATCCGTAACGCGAGACCCTTCGCCTTCGTAGAGGAACGAGTCATAGGTTATAGCTCCCACGAGACAGCCAACAATTGGAGCGAACAGAGGGACGACGAAGTAGTAGCCGTCAGCGCTAAAAACCTCGCTCCCGTAGACGATTGCGGAGAACAGCCTTGGACCAAAGTCACGCGCCGGGTTAATAGCCTTTGAATGTGATTAGTAAGGGGGGTTTCAAATAGCAAGGCGAGCTACATACGTATCCTGTCTGCCAACCAAGAGCAGCACCAATAGCAAGAAGTAGCAGGAACATCGAGAGCTGCGGAGACTGGAATCGAAGTGCGTTGCCAGCATCCGAGATGCTGAGAGCCCCAAACATGAGAACGGCGGCACCAAGACCTTCCGAGAAAGCAGCCTCCCAGTTTGAAACTAGCAAGTCGGAGGGATAGGTCGAGAAAATGCCGGCCGAATGGTGGCCTCGGGGACTTAGAATTGATCCTCCGGGGATGGTATACTCGGGATCCCATGCCCGAATGGCCGAGCGATAGTTGATATATACGAGTGCGGCACCGACAAATCCGCCCAGAAACTGGGCGAATAGCTTACCGGGCAGCTTTTTCCACTGGCCTTCAGCAGGGCGAACTAGGGCCATACAGATGGTGACAGCCGGGTTGATAGAAGGACTGGGGTTGTCGAGATAGCTAGATATGCAGACGGCAGCTGCCCAGGCAATGTTGATGGACAACCAGGTGCCGTATCGATAGTCGGATAGAAGACATTGTGCGACCACTCCGTCTCCGATGACAATAAGGAGGGCCGTTCCGAGGAACTCGGCGATGTATGGCTTCAAGGTCCTCCGAGAAAGAGTGAGGTGCATATTCTACGACCAAGTGACGATAGTTGTATGAGGTGGTGGTGGTGGGTTGGTTTGGCAACTTGGAAGTTGGAAACTGGGAACTGTTTACAGTACAGTAGATAAAGCGTGCTGCTTGTGCGTATCTGATTGGATGCAGCTGCAGGTGGAGACAAAATAAACAACAGATAAGGGAATGGCCTGGTGCCTAAGGTGTCTAGCTCCACTCGTCACAATCCTCTGTCAACATCCACAAAAGAGTGACAATCAGCCGTATCTCGTAACTAACTATTCTACACATTGCTTTGTCAATAAAGCTCAACTACACTCCAACTAACTACGCAGCGACGAAGGGTTACTTACTGTCAAACTGTCGCATATATGTACAAAACCGCAATGTTCGTCATTCATCCCGTCACCAGCACCCTTACGCCTTTGCTTGAAAGCTTCGGGAACGGTAGGAAAAGCTCGTGGGCCAGGGTGACATCCTCTCGGTTTGTCTCGTACAGCTCGAAGCTCAGTTCACGGAATACCTTCGATATGGCCAACAGCATTTCTGACCGGGCAAGGCTACAGATTATAGATCAGCTCTACTCAAACCCGAGAGAGATCCAAAAGAGACAACATACTTCATTCCAATACACTGCCGTGATCCTTTGGTGAAGGCGACCATGTATTTTTCAAGCTGCTTGCGTTGTTCCACGTCCATCCATCGCTCTGGAACGAAGTTATACGAGTCTGGAAAGATGGTTCCATTGTGATGCATAAAGACGCTGGTCATACTAATAGGGGTCTTAGAGGGGTAAGGAGGTTAGCCCTGGCTTGGTTGGCTACGAGTGTTTAGCTTACTCCTGCGGGAATAGTCCAGTCGTTAAACTGCAGAGCTCGGTCTGGAGAGATTCGGGCCAGTCGGGTGCTGACCCCGTATGAAAGCCTGGATAGAAGCGAATGATGAGCAATACACATATGTGAATGCTATTATACGTACCTGAGCCCCTCTAGTATTACCGAAGTCTTGGGAATAATCAGTTGAAAATAAAAAGAAAGAAAGAAAAAGAGAAAAAAACTAGGTAATGTAAAGAAAAAACCTACCAAATAAGGCATATTCTCCAACTCTGTCAACGACGCTTGCTGATCTGGATCCTTTTCATTGAGCTCCTTCTTTAATTTCTCTAGAGTCTGTGGGTTTTCTAAAAGATAATAAGTAATCCAGCTCAAAGCTTTGGCGACGGTTTCGCCTCCAGCACCAATCACCACCTGGATCTCCTGCGCCAATCGCTCAGCATTCTTCTCTTCAGACGGCAAGTTGCTCCTCAATACATCATGAAAAGATGTCGGATGAGAGAACTTAACTTTCTCCTCAGTTCCGTTTTTCTGGCTTTCGATAATAGAAGTTATACGCTCCCGGCAGCGATGTTGAAATTTGAACATCAGCCCCATTCCGGGATTAAGCCAGCCCACAAGCCCTTCCGGCAATGCTTTCATTATTGCGAGCAGCCAGGGAAAGGGCTTGAAAAAGACACTGCTCTTTGCTATCCCGCTTAATGTTTCACTCCACTGTGGGGAAAAATCCGAGGTGTCCAAGAAGTGAAACCAAATACCTATGGTATAATCGGATATGATGTCGGTTGCGAAACAGCTGTATGCATGGTGCATGTTGATGGGGACGCTTGTTCCTTGAAAGGACTTGAGACGATGACACAGCTTGTTAGCTAGCGTCCGTATTTCTGGCTCGAGCTGTCGGACACGCGCCGTGGAGAAGTAGGGGTTCATATTCGATCTAAGCAGGCGGTGGTGTGCATGGTCCAGCACGGCAATGGTTGCCCTCTCGTTGCCAAATATGTTTGCATAAAACTTGTACTTATGACGAGGACTGTTGCGCGAATAAAGCACTTCGTAGAAGCTCGGATCGTCGACATGGAGCTCCCACGGACTGATACGAACGATTGGCCCTGCACATAAGTCAGCAGTGATGCGCGGTATGAAAGCTTCTGCAAAATAGGACTGTGATCGTCAACCATATTCTTTGTGCATTCGGGCAATTTCGAATGTATATTTGCCGTGGCAGAGCGCATCAAAGTAGAACTCGTACCATGCAGTAGCCGCCGCAAGCCTAGGCCCTGGGAATCCGGCCAGTGGCGACAGCCAGAGCCGATAAACCGCCAATCCAACGACATACAGAGCATAGGCACAGACTGCGCCGCAGAGATAATGCGAGTTCTCCGTATTATGCGGCACAGAGGTGATGCATCGAGCAATGGGCAGGAAACAGCATTTCACCCGGCAATCATGCCATGTGTCACTATCTAAATTTACTACGGAGTACTACTCGCTACAGGATTTGGGGGATACTCGCTGATATTGAATTAGTTCGTTTCATTTCACTAGAACGCGCGCGGCAAGATGGACACCTTATTGCCTAGGCTGTCTAGGTGCATGTGTAGTGTATGCCCGGCGTCTACCGGAGTATTATTTGCCGGCCGGCCTCGTACAGCTAGCTCCGCTTCATATTTTAGACTACACTCCGTGAATGAAAAGTAACCCTTTACCTACGTGGTAAGCTTGTAACCTGAATTTGTGCCACCAAGTCGTCGGGGCCCGCTATCACGCCTGAGGTGCGTACATTCCAGAGGGTCTGCTAGGCTCACTAACATCATATAGGATGGCTCTGTATACAATGACGCCGATGAGTTGCAATCGTGCGTCGAAAACATTCATGCATCATCGAGTGCGTGGCTAATCGGTCTTTGAGTACAGAGACGCAGCGAGCTCGAAGGCCTCGCTGGCGTCAAGTGTGTTCAACTACCGGTAAGTAAGGAGATCATCAAAAACACAGGTTGACAGCTCTCTAGATATGAAGTATGAAGATTCGTTCAAAAGTTGTGACAAGGACATGAAGGACAGTCTTTGATAAAAGTTTCAATTTGCCAGAATGGGCGTCGATATCACGCATACAGGGAGGGCGAATATGTCATTGTATGTACCTTTTCTCGGCTGTTATAGCTTTACTGTTCTGGTCTGATACCCAATTTTCACAGCCCAATGATGAAAGAGAGCAAGACCGTCTCGATCTAGTGAGTATCGCTGCGACATAGGTGTATCCTAAAACGACGCTGCTGAAACTTCAGCAAGCTCCATCATATCTTTCTCATGGTCTTAAACGGAGAATTATACCGTGCCCCAATACCTAGGGACATATCAAGAGTCTTGGACCTTGGCACCGGGACAGGTGCTTGGGCGATAGATATGGCAGAGTATGCTCTGTTCACTCAACGTGAAGAAATTATGATAGTACGTATTAACACGGAGGGATAGCCGAAATCCACAAGCCAATTGTCACCGGCAAGTAAGATCGCTCATCTATCAGACATGATTTCTCACATCTAACTAGGGACGGATCTAAGTCCTATTCAATCAACTTGGTAGGAAACGAGTTTCAATACCTAGGTAGCCTCATCGAAAGTCCTACGGCTGATGCAAGCAGGGTTTCGCCAAACTGTCACTTTGAGATAGATGACTTTTAGTTGGATTGGAACTTCTCACATTCCTTCGACTTTATCCACGCGCGCAATATTGAAGGTTCGGTTAGGGACTACCAGAGACTATTTGGTCAAGCTTTGACGAAACTCAACGACGGCGGATGGCTTGAACTCGCCGAACCTACTGTCGGGGTTTTCTGTGACGATGATACTATTGAACGAGCTCCAATTTTGCTTGAGTGGCGCGACAGGCTCATCGAAGCGAGCCTTATATTCAAAAAAAAAAAAAAACCAATGGGCGTCGCAGGGAATTATAAGGACTGGCTAATAGATATTGGATTTGTGAATGTCAGGGAAGAAATTTACAAGGTATGATTGCTTCTTCTTCTTCGGGTAGACATGGTCTGAATGATGACAGGTTCCTTACTCGACTTGGGCCAAAGATCCAAAGATGAAATCACTAGGTATGTATCAGCAAGCGATGATGCTGGAGGCTCTAGATGCATATTCGTATGCATTATTCACCAGGGTTCTGGGATGGAGCACAGTCCAAATCCAAGTCTTGCTCGCCGGAGTAAGGAAAGAACTTCGTGACCTAAAATTCCATGGCTACTCGCGGTATTATTTTGTATATGGGCAAAAACCACCGCCGTCGGTTTCGTAACTGGGAGAGATTTAGGCTCTGTGATATGGTGTCTATGGATGATGCTGCATGGCCGGTATGATATCATGTATATCCTAGTTAACAAGAAGCTCAATTCGGAACCAGATCTTTATTATTCTTTTCCCTGATACGGATAGGCCGCATATAAACATGGTGCGAAAGATTGTCTCGACATCATGATTCTGAAATTTATTAGAAGAATTCGGTTCAAGATACGCCAGTCTATTAGACAATTACAATACCCCGTACAGTCATACTATAATACAGTACACAATCAACTACTATACACCCTTTTGCACAGCCCAGAAGTAATTCCCCCAGTCTTCTCCACCATCAACCATCTTCCATCCCCATCCCGGCACGTAAACCACACCGGCAACTTTCCACTTCATACCGCGCAGTGCTTCGCTGCCAGCTCGTTGAGCCGGCCCGTCTGCAGCTCTCATAAGACCCTCTTCCACCCATCCCTGAAGCTCGTCTGCATTGACGAATTTGCTCCACTCGTGCGTACCCCAGGGAACAACGCCGATCGGCCATGGTGCTTCGGCGACCATTTTGTTGACTATGAATGACGGTACTGTGCGCGCGATGGTCGAGCCAATTAACCACCCGCCGGGATTGAGTAATTTGAGACAGTGTGTAAGGAATGCCATAGGCGAGGAGGTCTGAGGATCAACGTGCTCAATGACTTCAAAGAGTGTAACGACGTCAAATTTGTTGTCTGGATTAGTAGTGGCTGACGACAACGACTCGACAGTAGTATTCTCATATCTGAATGCACCATTCTGTAGGTGCTCAAACACTGTTGGATCCATGCGTGCATGATCTCGAGCAATCTTGATCAAACTCGTTGACGGATCAATAGCAACGATAGATGCTGCTTTTGTGCGCGGATGTAGCCCTGCAGTGGGCGACTTCCCTGACTGAAGAGTTCGAGCAAGTGATTCTGCAAATATGCCGCCTCCGCAGCCTATGTCGAGGTAACGCAGACCATGCTGGGTAGATGACCTTGATTCCGCAAGGCATGAGGCGATGAAATCATGCCGCGTGGGATTCATCAAATGAAGTACCCGCGACGGGCCCATGGGATCCCACCAGCTGCTAGCCAGTCCTGAAAAATGCGACAGCTCGTCTGCAGACACAGATGATGAGGAATGATGGCGCAATGCTTGTTTACGGGGGTAGCCATGACCACGTCTTATTGAGCAGTCGACCAACTTGCGTGTCGTTGCCACTGCAGCAGGCCGGAGAAAAGAGGGATTTGCCATTTCCGCTTCTATTCAAGTAGAAGACCGGTTTTTGCCAGGGATATCTTGCCCCCGAAGCTTGAGGCTTGAAGTGCGCAAGGATCAGGCGTTAGAATGGGTCTAACTCTCGTAGCGCATAGACAAAAAAAAAGTTGCAACTTCTGTTTAATTCATGCCTGGTAGCTCTTTCCTTAGGTCTTTGTTTCTTTCTGGAGGCAGTTGATCTGAGTCCAAAAATGCCGTCTGATATCGATGCTGATACAAACACAACACCGATCAACGACCCACAGGAAAACCCGCGCTCAATTGTTTTTCCGTTCCGACGTTTAAACTTCAAGTCAACTGCTTATTTTGGATTCAACCCTGGACTAACTATTGGCAATTACTACAAGCCATGGATGTTTCGAAATCATAAAACTCAAGGGAATAGAGCCGAGCTCTGATAGTTCAGTCTCTCAATTAGGAAGAAGCCGAAGAGTCTCTTCAAGAGACTCCAAGTCAATAAATACACTCTACATCTCTCAGAGCCAACTACTGATGCGTTTCAAATTGGATGGATCTGATATCTGATCGCATGAAATTATGTCTTTCATTCTATTCAAAGGAACTACCCTTTAAAAGATGCCGAGGTATGTGCAAAGCTATACAACTTCCATCTCCCCGGTCGGCTCGCTCTTCCTCATGCTGGTTCTTCGACTGTCTGTCCAGAAGCTTCCATGGCTGCCCTTGGTCAAAGACCTCTTAGGGCTGGAAAGGCCATGTTTCAGCCCAATGTCCGATTCAGAGGCGGAGGTATAGCCTCCGCTTTCATGCTCACCGAACCAACCTGTGCAACGTTTCAATCCTTTCCATGCCTCTGCGCATAGGACAAAAATGATTACCGCGCCAAAGGATAGCCCCCATTCCCAGGAGATTCCCTGGTGTTTGAAGACATCTGTGTTTAAGCCCGGTATATAGACTGCCGGAAACACAGATATTGCCCCGATCACCACGGCCCAGAAGAGGAAATGGTTCTCCCAAATATCTCTAAAAAACGGGAAACGAGTATCTTTCTGTGCAGCACGTAGCGGATCAAGATTGAACAAGCTGTTCCGGATGTTTTTAAATTCCCATGCTGAGATCAGTATGAGCCAAGTGAGTTCTGCAAAGACTGCAGCTCGCGCGCGGAAAACAACATGACAGGCGTCGGACTCTTTCCTGTTACAGTCAATTCCTAGGTCGGAGGTGCCGCTGCCCACACCATAAACGATGATCACGAATGTGAGTAGAGTGAGCGTTCCCATGATCATCCCGTATACAATCATGTCTACGACGACCTGCCAAGTGAAAACCCCTTTCTTCATGTTGTGAGGGGGACGCTGCATCACCGAAGCCGACGCTTTCTCGCGACCTAGTCCGAATGCAGGGAAGGACGAAGTCAACATATTGATCCAAAGAATTTGCAGCGGAGAGAGTGGGAAGACGGATACGCCGTCGCTATCTTGAAAGGCCAGGCCAACAATTAACAGCACGACTTCGGCCACATTCGACGCAAGCAAATGCAGCACGAACTTTTGAATATTGTCAAACATCCGTCGCCCTTCCTCAATCGCATTGACAATGCTGGCAAAATTGTCGTCTGTGAGGACTATGTCAGACGCCGATTTAGCCACATCCGAACCGCCCATGCCCATCGCAATGCCTACATCGGCAGCCTGCAGTGATGGCGCGTCGTTGACACCATCACCTGTCATGGCGCAAAAGCCTCGGCGGCGATGTAGTGCCGCGATCATCCTTGTCTTTGTGTCGGGGGCACATCGAGCGATGACTAGCGGCAAGGTTGGCATTGCATCGATCTGATCATCGGTCATGCCGTCGAATTCGGCGGCAGTTTTGACTAAAGAAGCTTCTTCTTCGGCCGAGAGGGACCCTGGAAACCTCGGAATAATACCAACTTCCCTTGCAATTGCACTTGCTGTGGATGGATGGTCTCCCGTCAACATATGGACACGAATTCCTGCATTTGCACATTCTACCGTCATCGAGTTAGCAAATGTTATCAACCAGGGAAGAGCGCAAGGAGAAGAGAAAAAACATACCTTTGATAGCACCCTTGGTCTCCACTCTTGGTGGATCGTACAGTCCAGCTAGACCGAGCAGATTTAATTCTTCTTCAACAGCCTCACGATGCAGCTCGTCGCCCTTCTGGTATCCGGTAGGTACTGGCCTCCTGGCGATGGCAAGAACCCGTAAGCCCTGATCTGCAAGAGTCCTCATCTGTTGAAGAATCTCGTCCTTCATATCAGATGTCATCTCCTCTTGATGGTTCTCGATTCCAACAGACGTGCATAGATCGATAATGCGTTCCACGGCACCTTTGACAAATATCACCGGTTCGTCGGATCCCTTGCTGTAGATGACAGACATCCGTTTGATTGCGCTATCGAAGGGATACTCGGCAATTTCCTTCCAGCCATGCTCCGTTTCAAGGACTTTCTTCCCGTATCCGAAGCGGTGGGCAAAGACCTGTAATGCGATTTCAGTCGGGTCGCCCATGGTCTGCCATTTTGCTGCAGCGTCGTCGTACCGCACTGTTGCAAGATTACACAGAGAAGATGCGAGCAGGAACTTTTCCAGTTCCGATGTTACTTCGGAAACTGGCTGTTCTTTAGCCTGCGTGTCTGTATTATCTTGTTTCTCGTCAAAGGATAGCGCTGCCGGCCTCGTAGAACTGGCATTGTTGATATCCCGACTCTCCTCATCTGAGACAGGGCTCAGAGAGACAAATCCCCGGGAAGGATCGCTAGCATCATCAGACTGATTAACACTGTATGTGCCAATGCCTGGAATCCACGCCTTTCTCGTCACCATCTGACCCTGTGTGAGGGTGCCAGTTTTATCGCTACAAATATTCGTAACCCCTCCTAGCGCCTCGAGGGCTGAAAGCTGGCGGATAACGACACGGCGTTTGTGCATCTGGGTCATGCCAACGACCATGGTAATTGTCAAGACTGCAATGAGAGACTCGGGTATGATAGCAATACCTGCAGATACTAATTAGTTCCATCTTTTCGACGAGAGGCTCGGATTAAACATACCAGTAGATATAGCATAGATAGCAACTTCATTCGTGACGTGAAATTTGTTTACGCCAAACACAATAATGGCGAAAATAATTGCAAGGCCAAACAAGCAATATGCCAACTTGCTCAGTTTGATCTGCAAAGGAGTGCCAGTAGTAAGACCGAGGAATTTGCCTAGCGCATCCCAAACCCTCAAGCCACCGCCTCTGACAGCCTGCACAGGACCGTATTTCTTGACGGACATGGATCTGTTTCTGCGGCCAGCAACATTCCTACCGTTCTTTTGCATGGACGATGCAATCTTGCCAATCTCAGTAAACATGCCCGTATACACAACGATGGCCTTGCCTCGTCCCTTGGTGACCGTTGACGAAGAATAGACCATATTCAATCTGTCGCCAACGCCTGTTTCGAATTCGGCTCTTTTCGTATCTCTTTTTTTCTCCTGAATCTCAAACTCAGCATCCTTGGCGACTGGGATGGCTTCACCGGTGAGAATCTTCTCGTCACATTCTAGATTCATGCCATCTATCAACCTCAAATCGGCAGGCACCGTATCGCCGGTTTTGACAAGCACAATGTCTCCAGGAACTACCTCCGTAGAAGGGATGGTGTTCGTCTGGCCGTCCCGGATTACGGTGGCAGATGGCGAGGAGAGGCTGCGGAGTGCATCCATCTTTTGTTCGGCGCGATATTCTTGGTAGAATCCGATAAGGATGTTGGCTACGATTACGGCGGTTATGACGCCACCTTCCACGTAGTCCGACACGCCGTAGGCGAGTGCCATGGCGAGGACGAGGACCTTCATTATACATACTATCAGTTGGCTTTTGAACACATAGATGGTTTGGGTAGGGTAGAGTAGGGTAGGTAGGTATATGTACAAGTATCATTGCATTTGAAACCTGCTTCGCCAGGACGGAGTACCAGGTTACTCCTCCTTCGCCGGATAACTTGTTGGGTCCATAGCTGGCTTGGAGGGAGGATACTTTGTGGTTTGAGAGACCCGTTTCAATGTTTGTCTGTAGTTGAGAGATAATCTCGTCGGTGGAGAGGAGAAATGGATGTGATGGGTATGTTTGTTCGGAGTAGGAGGAGGACGAGGAGGCGAAGAATCGCATTTTGAGCCACTCTCTTGTCTTCCTTTTCTCTCGGATGGTCTTGAGTCTATACTTATGTATGATGGTTGTTTGTAAGCATAGATAGATGCACAAAATCTCTATGAATCTATTCCAGAATAGGTAGTAGTCGAATCTCACATTTAGATTTGCAAGAGAAAAATAATAAAAAAGATTAGGGCACATGACGAAGTTTATATTCACCGTTCATAGGCACGTCTAAGTGAGAAAACAATTCTCCCATGGGCTCAAGCAGCCAATCATCAATCCTAGAAGGTCGTGATGTATACAATACCCACAGCTACCGTATCTGGCTAGAGTATGTTCCCCCGGACAAGAAATGCACTTTCCCTTTTGGGGGTTTCCGGATTCGTTGTCTACCATGCGAAACTCGTGTTGATTATCTTTCCACCTTAAAATGCATACGTATGGCAGCCATGCTCGGACTACCAAGAGTTATCAGATTGATTGATTGGCATTATACATCCTCTTGGCATCAGCGGAAGATGGGAACCCTCCGCTGCCAAGATCTTTGCCAAGATTTCCACCGTCCGGGGGCATTAGCGGCGGTGGCGAATTGTGACGGCTTTAGCCTCGGTTGGAAGATGATTGGATGACATTGAACCATTTAGGTTGGTATTCGGGGTTAATTCGTGGTAGAGTGAATGGAAATTCGTAAAATACGAGGGCTTAAGGACGTGCATACTAGAGTATCAGAAGGAGTATATGGTGTCCGAAAATCTTGTCGAAGTTGAACACTCAAATTTCAAGGTCAATATATGAGTATTCAACGAGGATACGCAAGACCGGGGAACGCTCGAAGAAAACGTTGCCGCATGCCTAGGTTTACAACCTACCTGAAGGGTGTTGAAATTATCCGCTGAATAATGTAGGGAGAAAAAGGCATATTTCACGCCATACATACCGATCAGTCAATACCAGTCATTGTGTCTGATCCAGACAGTGAGTCACATCCTGGGTTTTGTCCTAAACAAGACGTCATTCGACATCTTTGAGGTCCTTCCTACTTCCTTGAAGCACTCTTTTTGAGATGCTCCTCCATATGGTTGAGGGAGTTGCTTCAATATCGGCGCATTTATGATCATATGATTTGATTTTGGAAATGGCTAGGAACTGTCAGAAAGGGTTCGAGGAATTATCCGGCATTCAATCCGCTCGGGCTGGTAATGCACTGTTGATCGTACTGGGAGAAACTTTCTAATCCTTGTCTAATACCAGCTGTAAGCCACAAGGTTGGAATACAGGATGCTTACCCTGCAACAGTTCTTTGAAGTCATGACACTCACCGAGTTCCCCAACTTCCAGCCTCGAAAGTATCTTTCACGCTTATTCGGGTCAATTGTTCCCCGTCTCCAGCTTAAGGTCTTGAATGACGCATTCGAATATATTATTCGACATAAAGCGTCCGCACCCCCCTCCATTCCATTGGCTAGAGGGTAAGCAATAGCCCAAGGCACAATCGAATTTGAGCTGAGCTGTTGTATCCAAGTGAATCTTTGAAATCAGCGGAATGTTTGATGTGCTCCGTAGAGTTAGATTCGAAGGGTCTGGCGTCTGGGAAGATATGATACCGCCATTACTTGTATATATTGGGAAATCAGGCAGTTGGAAGAAGGATAATCTTGGAGGAATCCTAAGTTGATAGTTGTCTAATCCCTGCTGTAATGACGCGTACTGCATATTCGAGAAGGTCCGAGATCTGATAGCCACGTCAGAGCAGACCTTTACCTCTAGATACCAACCTTGCAACCACAAGAGTTGCCGTATGGGATGGACCCCTCACGCTTAAACAGAGCTCCGTGCATTTCCAATACGAAGTTAGTGAACCCGGCGCAGTGTTGATTTTCAACTCGGTTAGGGGTATGATGATATCATCCAACTCGGTTTCGGGCGCCGCTTAGACCCTTTTGATTAATCCTTTTTTGGTAAGCGGTAAATAACGTGGTCTGGAATTATCCCTTTATGGTTAGATGATTTCGGCGAAAGTTGGGGAAGTTTGGAGGTAACGACTTAGTGTTGCTAAGATAGGTTAGATCGGTAAATTATAATAGTTTCAATACCTAGGGGTTCTAATTAATACTGTGCTAGGTTTCAAGGCTCCCAAAAATCAAGGCTCTATTATATAACTCATGAGTCATGCTTCATAAACTGGTTTTGATATGGAAAATTAGGCCGTCAGGAGCTATTCGAATTGATTGCTCTTTGAAAAGAGTAACGTCTTTTGCCAGAGGCTGCATAAAAAGAGGCTTATGAAACATGGACAACGCTGAACATGATATAGGAGTAAACAGGAGCAGCTCCATGCTGCTGGCATGAGCGAATCTGTAACGAAGTCGCTCAGCTCCGTTGAATCCAACATTGAAATTTCAAAATTTCCTTTTCAAGTCCCGGAAAACCCTGTAAATCGGCATGGAACGTTCCTCCAAACCGACAATCCGAGTCTACCGGGTAGTGAATTTTTCCATCAATCTGAACTTGACCTGATTGATAATGTCCTTTCAACCTGATCAGTCTCCGCTACTTTCGGATTTTGCTATTGTCAAAAAAAAAAGAAGAAAAAGAAAAGAAAAACCAGGCTCTTGCCGTTTGTGGCATGAAGACTTACCAAATACCCCGTCTAAAAGCTTCTGTTGCCATCTGCGAACTCGGTGCATTTCGTCCAAAGTCCGAATCGTTCAGGTGGGCATGACTGATGAATAACCTCCTGGTGGGCCTCTCTATGTTTCGCTAGAGATGTGGTGATATTCCCCTATACCAGCCTTGGGAAGATGAGACCCAGAGAGAATCACCTCCGTCTCCCTTTTCCCTTATTTTTCTTCGAAGAACTCTGCTCCGGAACACTAATCGTGCCCTCAACAACATCCTCGCCCTGATCCTTCAATCTCTCAGATCCACTGATGAAAAAGGTCAGGTCACGATTCTGTTCACTCAAATCTGCATTCTCTGCTTTCAGTTTTGCAACTTCCTCGCTTAAGAGTTCAACCCGTTTGACTAGGTTTTCGTTCATAGCCTTTTCTTCGCGCCATTCCTTTTCCAATTTGCGAGCCATAGTTTCGAATTTCTCCGCTCGACGCTCGGCACGATCCTTGTCCTTTTCAAGACCCGGCACGTTATCTTTAGATAAGGTATCGTAACGTTGTTGCAATTCCTTCAGTTGCTGGGTAGCCTTTTCGGCTGCTTCTAAGGCTGCTGATGCGCCCGCGCTGGCCTTGGAGGCCTTGTCTGCTGCTCGTTCGACAATTTCCTCGAAATAGGAACGCTGGCTCTCCAGCTGGCTAGTGAGGAGATGCGTATATTCCACGCTAATGTTTTCGAGTTTCTCGCGAGGAACGGCGTCTGTCCAGTCTGGTGGATCTAGTGCAGAGTTGTCCGCTGCAGGGAGTTCGACTAATTTGCCGTCCGTCTTGCTTTGGATGATACGATGGACATATGCATCGCTCACATAGTCCCAAACCCGCTGAGTTGATAGATCTAGAGCGAAGGCATGTGATGTTTCCTTGAAATGTGCAAAGGCGTGTGCCTCGTCGTATCTTCCGCAACCAATACTACCGCAGATAAGACATATCCAGAGATTGAGCTCAGAATGGCACACGCTACATTCAGCTGGCCCTTCGCCCATTATTCCTGTCTGACTGCGACGAGCAAAGTCGTCTAGTGTATATCTGCAAACGGGACATCCGCTTCCTTTCCATTTCTGGAGACAAGTGCAGTGAAAAACATGTTGGCAGATGATGGTTAGTAGGCCGGTTGTTTCGTCCATGCGCTCCAGACAAACTGGGCAGGTAGGAAGTTCAACGAGAGACGGAGTAGGGGGAGCCAATGGTCTTAACGACAGCGATGCTGATGAGAGACCAGAAGACGTGTTATTGGCAGCCCCCAGAGATCTCGTAGGATTCAGTGATAATGCAGAAGAATGATCAGAAGTATCAGACATCTCACGTGGCCGCGCAGCTTCAATCTCAACTGATTTGACAAAAACGACATGGCAAGTCTCGGGCTATGAAAGTTAGCGCTAGGAAATTTCACAGATGTTATTATATAGAAATTTGTGGGAGAGAGACATACCTCCATGCTATTAAAAACTTTTCCATTCCACTCTCTCTGCCACTCGCGGGCTTTCTTTCCATTTCTGAACTTCATCAAAACCATATAGCGGTTCGCCCTCGCAGTCTTTATCATGCGGAAATGACTGACTTGATCCCTCGTGGCTTCGCCAACAAAGCCGAGAAAATCTGCTGGTGAGAGATAGGACGGTACAGCCAGTACGCATAATGTCGAGCACTCCTCATTATCAAGTGAATCCACATGAGACGGCGAGAAGAAGTCAGTGTCATTGCGGCTGCGGCTGCGACTGCTGCTATTTCCCAACTGTACCCTACTATCTGCACTGCCAATGGATTGATCATTCGGTGGTCGTCGAGCAGCGGCAGAAGAGCCTTTCAAATATAGCGGAGAATCATCAACAGTAAGAGAAGGCGTTTCCTTGGCGTCCCTGTACAAATGCACAATGCCAAATACACTCTCGGTCAATGTCTGATCGAGCGGAATATATTTGCCTCGCGTATGAAGCCCGCCCAATATATCAGTACCTATCCCAGTTGTAATAACGTCCATGTCATCCCGAACAGCTGTGGCATTGTCGTATCCGGATCGTTTCGACTGAACGGTGTTGTTGCTGCTTCTGCTATTGCTGTCTTGCGCGAGAGCAATCATATCGACGCCCTGGATAGAAATTCGACCAAATCTCAAATCCGACTCAATGTCTACATGGGAGACTTTTGAACTGCTCGAATTTGTAGCAGAGCGGGGCTCCTCCTGCTGCTGGCCGCCGGTAATACCATTCAATGACGAAGTACTACCACCACCGACCGTGGTATAATTATTATCCCAAAGCGCATCTATCGAATCAGGATGACGGCGGCGACAATCATGAGAGGGTGGTTTCAGTTTGGAAAGATGGCGTTGGAAGGGTAGGAAAGCTTCGCGCACAGCGTCGTTTGCGAGAGTTTGGTCCGACCGCAATCGTGCGGAATCGTAGTCGTTTGTGATACCAGAGGATGAGGTCAATAGCTCAAGCGTTATATGGTAAAAGTATGAGGGCATCCCGACGCATGGTTTACGGAGATATGTCCTAGACACTGCAATTGTTATTATTATCAGCTGGTTCTGTAGATTGTTGCCAGACTTTGGCGATATTGCGTGGAGGTAGTTGCAGTCATGTGAGTGGCAAGTGGAGTGGCGTCCAGCACTCTTCGTCGCAAAACGTGCCTTGAAGATCAGAATTTATAGAGTATCTAGCTGGAGTAACGAATTATTGCGTGGTCTCGACAAGATTAGTTTCTTGCGTCGTCGCTTGTTAGTGAGGAAAATTCAAAGCTAGCAGTGCCAGTCATAAAATAATGATGAATCGACTATTGAAGACCCACCTCCGCAAAGTACACCTCGGAATGTGGAAGCTACGACAACAGAAGAACCTTACGATGATAGATTATACAAGAAAGAGCAGTTAGAAAAAGCCCACAGGGCGATCAGTTGAATTGTGTCATAAAGTAGGGGTGAACTACTAATAAGCTAAATGAACATATTGTGAATCATAGAATCATAGAACCTTGAAGACCTCCCAACGCCAAAGAAGACCGAATGCATTAAGGATAAAAGAGATCTAGTTGCCACCCCGAAGTCGGAGCACCAAGTGAAGAGTGGACTCCTTCTGGATGTTGTAATCAGACAGAGTGCGGCCATCTTCTAACTGCTTACCAGCAAAGATCAGTCGCTGCTGGTCTGGAGGAATGCCTTCTTTATCCTGAATCTTGGACTTGACGTTATCGATGGTGTCTGAAGATTCGACCTCCAATGTGATCGTCTTGCCAGTAAGAGTCTTAACGAAGATCTGCATACCACCACGGAGACGGAGGACAAGGTGAAGCGTGGATTCTTTCTGAATGTTGTAGTCGGATAAAGTGCGGCCATCTTCAAGCTGCTTACCAGCGAAGATCAAACGCTGCTGGTCGGGGGGAATGCCCTCCTTATCTTGAATCTTTGACTTCACGTTGTCGATGGTATCTGATGATTCGACCTCCAATGTGATGGTCTTTCCAGTAAGAGTCTTAACGAAGATCTGCATACCACCACGGAGACGAAGGACGAGATGAAGAGTGGATTCTTTCTGAATGTTGTAGTCGGATAAAGTGCGGCCATCTTCAAGCTGCTTTCCAGCGAAGATCAAACGCTGCTGGTCAGGTGGAATGCCCTCTTTGTCTTGAATCTTTGACTTCACGTTGTCGATGGTGTCTGAAGACTCCACCTCGAGGGTGATAGTCTTGCCAGTGAGGGTCTTGACGAAAATCTGCATACCACCACGGAGACGGAGGACGAGGTGGAGAGTAGATTCTTTCTGCAAAGGGAGTTAGTTGCGCGTAAGGAAACGAGAAGCGAGCACGGGATGTTGCATACCTGAATGTTGTAGTCAGAGAGGGTGCGGCCATCCTCGAGTTGCTTTCCAGCGAAGATCAAACGCTGCTGGTCAGGTGGAATGCCCTCTTTGTCCTGGATCTTGGACTTGACGTTGTCGATGGTGTCAGAAGACTCCACCTCGAGGGTGATAGTCTTGCCTGTGAGGGTCTTGACGAAGATCTGCATGATGGATGGCGAGGAGAAGTGATGAGCTCCTTGCGTAGAAAGAGGTTGCCACGTAGGATGGGAGGAGTGAAGAAAGTGGATGTGATGTGGAAGAGAGAAAGAGGAGCAGGACGGGCGGGGGAGTACTTATAGGGAAGGCAGGTCACGGGTGGCGGCGATAAGGCAGCACTGGCACTGCCGCAAATAGAAGGCACGACCCGGTAATCGGCAACTTCCCCCTCGCCGCCCAGAGTCCAGCAGCTTCTGGATCTGTCGCCACTAAATTTTTTCATCCTATGTTTTAATCCAATAAACCCCAAATGAGCAATACAAAAAGCCCTCCTTCCCACTGACTGGCTGGCGCTGCGAAGATGCTAGAAGCATGGATGACAAAGAGCACGCTAGTCCCCTTGGGGAAAGTCAGGTGAGTCACTAGCGCGGAGAGTGACGCCATACTCGTCGCATCTGTTGCTGCCTCTATTTACTCTTCGCTCTTTGTTTCCTGCCCCTGTTGATCCAGCAGCTTTACCCAGCTATTCTTCAGTGTTACTACTAACTACGAACCTCTGATGCCGTGATATCGCAGTGAGCAAGCAGCACGCCGATGACGCCATCATAGCTTGTCTATCTTTATCTGTTATCTGCTAGTTCGCCCGGACTACGCAGGTCCCCATCGCAGAATTCAGGTCATGGCTGCAATCTATTTGATTTGATTTCACTTTCCTGTTGTGGACTATTGCATTAGCTCATATTTGCCTATTAGTGCTATATTATAAGACGCAAAACAAACCTAAAATCACTCAGGGAGGCTACTTACTCCGTGTCGTTTTCGTTATCGGCTGGACCGGCTTTGCGCTTTGATGCCTTGCGACTCAGGCATCATTTTACCAGCCTCAACTCCCAACACCCGATGTGGTGAATGATAACCCGCAGAAGGACATCTGGTCTCTTGGCTTACACTGTACATCACAATTTTTGGAACTCCGATTAGAAGACAGATAAAGAAGAACCCGTGTTACCATGGTGGGTTGGATCCCTTCAGAAGGTGGACGGCTAAAACATGTCGTGAGATATAACAATGCCGGCTTCAAGTCAAATATAGAGATACTTGAGTAGCGGGCTGCCTTAATCATGGCTCTCTGGCTCGTACTTCGAGTGTAATGAAAACTTCTTTGTTCAAGGTATCATTAAATTTATGTACCTAGCATTGCTGCTGTGCAGTCATTCATCTAGAACTTACCGCATAGGAAACGGTGCTCGAGTCGCTGAAATGCGAGACAAATAACAAAGGAAAAGATAAACAACAAGAATGAAAATCCCAATCCAAAAAAACAATACAATCAAAGAAACAGACATGCATCGGATCAAGTGAAATCATGTAAATGAACACACTTGACTTCAAAACATTCGTTGGTCTTGTCATCATCAACAATAATAACAATAAACAGTACTGAATCGCATCATACAGGCGCATCAAAGAAAATGTCTCGTTGTGTAATAGACGGTATGAACAGAACCCTTCCTGAGGGACTCTCCGTAAGGTGAGGGAAGTCCAAAAGAAGTAAAAGATTCGTCAAATATCAAAGAGGCGGGATAGCCATATGGTTTTGTGTGTTTGCATAAATCGTCACTCCATGGCTTCTCATTTATTCTTTCTGTGCATGCATCAACTCCGTATCTCGTGAGGACCGTAACATCAAAATCAAGGAACAGAGACATAAAAAACATTCAGTAACATAAAACAAATAGTCGCTTGCTTTTTATTTTGATCGTTGGTCATTAAGTCGTTTCAATTGGCGCGGATAACTAGACGTGACAGGAATTTATTCGACAAGCAGTCGAAGTCGTTACGGTTAAAGGACGTGTTTGAGCGGTTGCGTAGGTAGGATTCTAGCTTTAATGTTAGCCATTTGTAACAACGTAAAAAAAGAGGGGAAGAATGCATACCATGCTGTGTAACATGGTGTCGGACCTCTGTCATCGTTTGGCAGACATCAGGATTGGAGGCAAGGAGGTGATGGTGCTTGCTCGTATCCCAATCAGCAAAGGCAGGCAGCTTCTGCGAGATAGCCTGGAAGAGACCAACAATGACACCAACGGGGGTAGACTCCATGTCGTTGCAAAATTTATCAACAGCAGCGGCATCCTATAACAAAATCGCAATCAGTAAGTCAAGAACAAGCGCAGTTTCATATCGACACGAGAACTCACAGGAACACGATAGTGGCAATCAAATTGCATTTCCTCCCAAACAGCAAGCAAAATGGAGGCCAGAATGAAAATAGTAGGCCAGTTCTTGAGCCTATCACCACTGTACACACTCGAGTAGAGGGCTGAAAGTTCCTCAAGGACGTCCTTTTGCAGTTCACGCCACATGTTGGCCATGGCACACTTAATCTGGAAGTTGATCATAACCGGCGCCATTATCTTTCCTCGGAAACGGGAACCCTCGCCCTCGATCTTACCCAAGAAATCTTCTTCCTCACCAATGCCCTCGACCATCGTGACGTGCAATGTGAGGTTGTAGGCTAAGATCAGTTTCAATGCCTTTCGGATGACTGGTAGCTTGGTTCTGAAATAGTACCGGAATGCCGTCTTCAACATCTGGGTGAGGAAAGGCGTGCCATCGAAGTAGTCGTCTACGAACTTTTCGAAGCTCCCGTTGCCGTCAATGTGACGGTCAAGGTATTCAGAGAGCTTGGCGTGGGAAATACCATCTATACCAGCCGATAACTTCATAGTTGACACCTGATATTGACCCAATTCCCGCTCAACGGTCTCAACCCAGTCCATATTGAAGCATTCTTCATCCCGAACAAAAACTTCGCGGGCGTTGATGGGCATGATCTCACCATAGCCATGAGTGACAAAGAGCGTTCTCTCATCCTCAGAGAATCCTTTGATATTCCCAACCGAGAATCCCACGGTGACATGACGCTCGTAGTCCGCTTTCCAGTCCTTCATAAAATAACCAATCTCCTTAATATCAATTCGAGTACAAGGGACCTGCCACAAACGAGCATGTGAGGGCTGGCAACCAGCACACGGTTCCCCTTTATCACACTGTTCCAATGCATTAGAGATTTACTTCCACTCGCAAGAATAAAATATCTAAAGAACTTACAGTCTTCTTGAGAAACTTGCACCGCAAACATGCTCGCAATTTTCGAATCTCGCTGGCTTGCTTTCGCTGGTCGGGCTTGAGAGGTCCTTTACGCTTTCCAATTCGTTTCTCGCTGTCGGGTTTCCCCGCCTGTGATTGCTTGCGAACCTTTGTCTCGGCTGTCTTAGCCGCAATCGGGCTCTTACGAGCATTCTTTCTCACTGGCGGGGAGGAGGAAGACGGAGAGGACGAAGATGATGACGATGACGAGGATGAGCTGGGGGAATGAGACGGAGATGGTGCTTTCTTGGAGGGTACTGGAATTGGCCGTACAATGGCGACGGGGCTAACAGCAGTTGGCGAAACAGATCCGTGGGAAGCGTGATCTAGGGAGATGCGTCGGTCCATGGAAGGATGGTAGAGCGGCTCAAGGTTGGAATCAGATCCTGGCGAGCTAATTGGATGTTGGACATCAACCCAACTGCTGCCCCACGAGGCACGATTCGGTTCATAATCAGAATATGAAGACTGAGACAAGCTTCTATCGTGTAATGTCTGGGTAGGATTGATGAACATTCCATGGTCGGTGAAAGGGTCCATCGTGCGGTGGTCGACAGTCGCCCAGCCATTGTCGCTACTCGAACTAGTCAAGGAACGGACCTCGAGATAGGTGTCTGTCGGGGAGCTGCTCTCGGGTATGTTGTGGGTGACGCCTCCGTACGAAGCCAAATCCAATGGCGCATTGGGGTATGCCATGACCTCCTGAAACTCGGGATAGGTGAACGGCATGATTTCGACTGGAGCCGACAGCGAAAGATACGAGCCATCGAGAAGACCGCTGGCACCCAAGGAAGCTGCTGCTTGCGACGCGGGCAGAAATTCGACGGGCGACGCTTGCAAGGGGACGGCAAAACTCGAGGCGAATTGAGGAGCAGTGGTCTCAACTTGCGAATATGGATACTGACCCTGAAGCGATTGCTGAAACTGCCACTCGGACATCAAATTAGGATCTGCTGGCATTGGCTGGTCAAAGGCATGACCGCTGGTCTGCAAAGGAGCGATATCTCGAGCGTGGTCATGTCGCTGAACATTTTGGTCGATCGCAACTGGCCAACTCTGGGCCTGGAGATAGTTTCTCGAGTCATAGTCGAGATCTACCAGGCCATCGCTCGCAGTGAGATTGGGTTGGGACATAATATACTAGTGCACAGGCGACAAGGGCATGGAGGATGAGGAGGAGAAGCAATGGTGGTGGTGGTGGTGGTGGTGTCGTCGTTACCGCTACAAATCAGGAAGAGAGAGAAACACAGAGTGCAGGCTCTGGAGGCATGAAGCCATCAATCGCCTTATGGGAAGGACAGCTTTTGCACAGCAAGAGGCGAGGGAAGCGGTGGGGGAATATCAAAGAGGCGGTGAGAGAGTCGAGCCGGTTGGCCAACGCTAGGAGGGATCCACGGCGGGGAGGCCTGATTGACACCTGAATCTGATTTGCTTGCGTGTTATCGATAGCGCGGCTTCGTGCGCGGGCTAGCCCGCATGGGGGAAGGCGCCAAATGATCCGTCAGTTCCCACTCGGGTTAAGCGTCAGTGTCTCCGTATGGTAACAGGCTGCCCAAATGCGTGCTTCCAGTGGCTGGCGCGGTGCAAACTGGCGTTTTGATACGCCGTCATTACCGCGCTCTTTTGCTGTCGTGGCACGCCGATTGTATTGACCTGTGGAGCAGCTGCCGTATGCGGCTAGCATGTTCCGATAGCAGCGACTGATAAAGTGATAAGCGAACGGCCAGTCCCGTCGCATTCGGACCAATCGCGGCCTTGCCCAGCCTCATTATTGAGTCTTTCGTGTGATGCCATCGTGATCGCCTGGACACTAGCTATGCATCTTGACACAACGCACAACATATTCTCTTGCGTCCTGCTCTTTCAACGTGCTAAGCGAGGCGTGTGTGGACGCACAAACGGCTCAGAGGACGGGTGAGCGGTCCATCTCGAGACCAAAGAAAGAAATACGCCGGTAAGCTTACACTACACGTATTCGCAGCATAGTATGATGGTGGCTGGTGTCATTTGGCCCTTGGACAAGCTCCTAGACTGGGAGCCTTTCCAGGCCCACCGAGTTGCTGACGGACTGTCCAGGACAGTACGGGCTCTGTTGCAGTGCATGATTCACTGCACATTGGAAAGGCCCAAGCCAATACGAGCCCGCCCTGCAGGCTTTATTCCTCAACCGATTCCTTCGCGGCCAATCCCTCCGAGGTGATTACGGCGTTTCCGTCTGATCCCAGCGAGCACGGAAGCCGGATGCCTCAGGATGGGTCTTTGTGGGCCGTGGCTAAAGGCTAAAAGCGCAAGTGTCACGGGAACACAACGCACGACTTTTTCTCCTCTGACCATGCATATTATTGCATCCGATCCGCACCAATCATGCCCCTGCGTTTGTTGCACAATGGCCCGACAAGGAAATGGAATGAGGGAAAAGCCATGACTGGATAGCGCCATTTCCAACATTGCAATGGTGCATGCTTTGTAGATGCTCACTGCTCAGGATGGCGCTTACTCGTCGCTGCGCTAATGCCTACACTACTTCATACGGAGTAATGCCTATTCGAAACTTCAAAGTTGAAACTGCCTACAACCGTTTTGCCTGCTTTCCTTGCCAATAGTTCCTCCTCTTCTGCGTGGCATTGCATGCATCATGTTGCTGCATAGCATTGCGTGTGCTGCTGCCTTCAAAGCATATCTCCTCTCGTCTCTCTTCCCCTCTTATGTACCGATAGCAACGCCGGAAAGCGCTGCAAATCAAAATCTCCCTCTGTCGGCACGGTGAGAAGATCTTTCACTCGACTACAATGGTGGCGGGACTCGGCTGATCGATAACCGGGGATTATCCTTGATATAATGAATGATACGCGCACTGTCATGATATGACTACCTACCTTGGACACAAAGTAACGGAGTCTTTTCATTCATGAGTATCCCGCACGGAGTTTTTAAATGATAGGTTGGTTTGCAAAATCTCTGTAAAACGTGCGGCTCTGACAATTTTGATAAACAAATAGAAATGCAGGGGATTGATTTATCGATCGCCAAGTTTTTTTTCTTCCCTAGGAGTGCGTGACTGCAATGACAAATTATTTATGTCGTTTTAAAGCGACGAATTTACAATTATCACAAAGAAGCAGAGCCCTTCATGTGCGATGCCGCGGAAGGTCCTGCATCATAGTCTCCCTTTTTGGCTTGAAGGATTCTGAAAATACCTCATGTGCAAAGACCAATGCAGGTGACAGCTGTCCAACGCCCACCAGAGGCCAAGGCACGCAGACGGGTCAATAGTCCAAGTCATGTCAAGCATACAACTTGATTAGACTTTGTCTCCAGGTAGGTCAATGATAAGATATGAATATTAACCCGCGTTGCCATGTTTAATTTCGGCATCTGGTTGTGGGTATCATTGTGACCAGTATGAACTTTGTGGCATCGCTTTGACATCGCCATGAGCTCGGTTACGACTTACTGCAGTGACAACCAAGCCAAGCTAATCGTCTGATGTCGAGTATCATTTGAATCTGCTTCCTGCTTGCAAGTCCGAACGAGCTAGTGATTTTTTCTACTTCGGACTGTCACAGGATCTACAATGACCTACATAAAAAGTTAGGAGCAGAAAGGTGCAGTATACTCTTATCCTTTAGACGAAAGATAATCCCTGGACTATGAAGAGCATAAAGTGCAACGAACTGTTTAGTCTTTGATTGCGATTACAAAACTGTAAACATATATAGAAACCACGTGATCCTATATGCATTGTACAGCTCGAATATCGATCTGAATGACAATTGCCACTCCAAATATTCAGCTGACTGTATATGTTCCTACCACATTTCTAGTTATGAGCCCCGTTGATGGTATTCTCCATTTGATTCACACAGTATAAATATGTAAGCGGAAAGAAGCGCGGCCTTAGGCAACGCTCCATACCCATCCCAACCGCCCAATCAAAAAGTTCTCCGCGCAACAACACTACAGATTACGCATCCCAGCATAAGAGAGACACCACAGAAAAAAGATATACTCTTACTCATAACATCTATGCCGATCGTGGCAGCATCTGGGAAATCACGCCGGAAAATTCGATTTCCACAGAATAAGCGACCGCCAGCAGCAACGTCATCCTATCACCGGGAAGCTCCAGACGTTGGCGTCAGAACACCCGCAGACTCAAGTCTGGGACTTGATGACAAAGACAGAAAGATGTCCAGTAAAATGAATCCAGAGAGTATACAAGACAAAATCCCGGCAATATTCACAGGACTACCCGCCCTTCGCGACTCATTAACTACGAAAACTAGTCAGGACCAAGATGGGACAGTGGAAAGCTGCCTTCCGTTTCTCAGGGGCAGCGATGGGACGCTGAGAGGGAACCTGAATGAATTCGGACTGTCACATCTATTGAGGGACCGACACATTGAGTATCTCTATGATTCCCTTGAGATTTACCCCGAGGGGTTTGTCGCTATGGACTCCAGCCGGCCGTGGATGTCATATTGGGCACTCGCTGGATTAACTTTACTTGGGGAGGACGTTAGCAAATATCGAGAGCGGTAAGATCATTTTCCAATGATCCCAGTTAGTACTTTTTTCTTGTCTCGTGTTATTAAACTAGGACTTTCGTCTTGTCTGGAGATATATTGTGATTTTTTTTGACTTTCAATTTTTCCTCTGAAAAAGGGTTGAACTAACAACTATATCAGAGTTGTATGTACTTTCAAAGCAGTACAGAACCGTACTGGTGGATTTGGAGGGGGCCATGGTCAAACATCTCACCTAGCATCTACGTTTCCGGCGATTCTAAGCCTGGCATTGGTAGGTGGTAATGATGCATACCAGCTGGTTGACCGCAAAGCAATGTAAGATGATCCTGCAGAGTGTCGTTTTCTCTTGTACTCGTAACTCATTGTATAAATTTCCCAGGTGGTTGTGGCTCGGGAAATTAAAGCAGCCTGATGGAGGGTTTCGCTTGGTTGCAGATGGCGAAGAAGATGTCCGGTAAGTGAATATAATACTTGTGGATCTCTTTACAGATTAATTAATTACTAACATTCATACTACCTGTTGAAAAGCGGCGCCTATTGCGCTATAGTGACAATATCTCTTCTGAATCTCCCGTTGGAATTACCGCAGGAAGCCGAAGCGCGCAAATATGGACTCCGAACGTTTTTGGATGGCCTCCCAGAATACTTGTCGCGATGTGAGTTGCTACTGGAGAATTTTCTAGTAGGTGTACTAACGACAATGGCTTCTCAGGTCAAACCTATGAAGGTGGATTGTCTGGAAAACCAGCGGCGGCGGAGGCCCATGGTGCATATGCGTTCTGCGTCTTAGCTTGTCTGTGTATCATGGGTCAACCAAAAGACATGATTATGAAGTCAGTATAATCCTGGTATCTTTTATATTGATTTTTTGACTAAATCTCAATACCTAATACTAGGTACATGGACGTCCCACTTCTACTGTCTTGGCTTTCTGCTCGCCAGTATGCCCCCGAAGGCGGGTTTTCGGGCCGCACCAACAAACTTGTCGACGGCTGCTATAGTCATTGGGTAGGCGATTGCTGGCCATTGGTACAGTCGGCCTTGAGGGGACCACATCAGGAAGGAGACGTGGCTCCAGAAGTAGCCCAGAACTTGTATAGTCGCGAGGGTCTCGCTCGATATATACTAAACTGTTGCCAAAATAAGAAAGGCGGTCTTCGTGATAAGCCGGGAAAGTGAGTACACAACCCTTTATTTTCCTGGCCCTTCCCATACTACTGAGTAGTACGGACGGAGGAGATAGTGTACTAACGATGAGATATACTAGGTTTCCTGACTCGTACCATTCATGCTACACATTAAGTGGACTAAGCACTATCCAGTACTATCACTACCACACCGAGCAAGAGCCGATTTCATCCAGGATCGGTGGGATATTTGCTTCTTCATTCTCATGGAAATTTGTGCCTGTGAAAGTTGGTACAGATGATCATAATGATGACAAAGAGAGCAAGGATATCATCGATCGGTCCGATCGTCTTGTGGCATTTCATCCGCTGTATACTATTCCGCATAGGAATGCGGAAGCGTTGCGGAGATGGTGCGAGGAACGGCCAATCTGAGTGGAGTTGAGGGCTCGGACTACGTAAGTGATGAAAAAGAAATAAAAGAAATACAAACTTGAATTAAGTCCAGCTGTTGTGCATATACAAACTATGCCTCCAAAGTTGTATAGAGATAGCACGTAGTATTTAGATATCTCGCCAAGGAGTATTGGAAGGCCGCACGGAATATAGACACGACTGACCACGTCGAGGAGCCTTGCCTAGTGCATTGCATGTAAGAAAGGCTTTTAAAGTACATACTGACCGGTCTAGCTTAGCCGTCTAGTCCTCTCGCCAGCCTAAAGAGTCGTTAAATTCAAAACCGACCAGAGAAAGGACGCATAATTCCGCTGAGCGGCCTACAGCCTACTGCTTTAGCTACATGTATTCTCCGGGTACCTAGTACTTAGGCTAGGTACGTGGTGAATTTGCCAGGGTTTGTTCCTTTTCACCGTTGGCTAGAGCGTTAGTTGGTTACATACATGGAGTCATAGGCATGGATTGTGGTCTACGCCTAGGTAGGGCGCTAATGCATTGGCTCATCGTGTTATGCGCTTAACAGCATGGAAATTGGAACTGAAGCATTGAGAGTTTGCTAGCAAGTCCCCCCTTGCAAAGTTGAAGATTCCTACTGGCTGTCTAGTCTCAACAGACTGACTTGCTGGACAACGAATCAAGCAGAAACGAGGGAAGCCAGGAAAGTCAAAAAAAAACCCAAGCGAGAATCTGGAACGTGCGAAAATAAGGATTGACATGTGTTCAAAATCGCCCCCGCCACAGAATGTACCTAGGTGGTAATGGGTAGGATGTTAATGATAATCAGACAGCAAACCATCGCATTGCCAACTCATCATTGCATTTGAGGATGGGACTAGCTCCGAATGATAGTTACTGCTCTAATGTATGTATGACATGCAGATAAACAGTGTTTTTGTGCGCGCGTGTTTTTTCCCCCTCTCCTTCGTTTTTCACTTTTTCCTTTACTGTTTATGAAGTCATCAAACTTCCTAGGCCATATCGAGTTCTTTTATCTCCATTCACTCTCTCAGATGGGAGGATACCGTAATTTAAGGGTGTATGCAATTTACTACGACGTATTTGCGTAATTTACCGCCCCGGAAAGGCTAAATTGGGACCAATCAGGTTGAAAATATTTCCGAAGGAGCCTCCGATCTAGAGGCGGAGAGCCAATCATCACACTCAATTGTCGGTGCATGTAATTGTCCGTGAGACAATACAGCGTACACCAGTCGTATTACCCACAGTGCTACAACTTGGTACATGCTACGCAGGTAGTTCTTAGTTCTAAGGAGCAAATCGACACAATATCTACTTACCATCAGAGCTGCTAGTTGATGTAGCCCCATGCAAAAGAATACCAATGCGGTAGCTGTGGCAGTAGCTTCCAGTGCGAACGTTATGTACCTCGGAGCGCGCTGCGGGGATAGTAGCACCGGCGTGGTTTCGTATGTACGCACTTGGCAATAAATAGCACGTTGACTCTGTAGCTACTAGGTACAGCTACGCATGTATGCAAAGATATCCTAGATGCTAGACGGTGGGGTGGCCAATTGTTAATGCTAGAAGCAAGTTGTAAAAACGGTCAAACTCCCGAGGCTAGCCCTAGACTTTTGTAACGAAAAAGTCAGCCCGGTCGAGGGAAAGGATCTCGGTGTGTTTCGTCTTGCTTTTTTGCTTTTGATGGCCAGCATAAATCGTCTGGGTAGAGGTCTCTTTGACGCCTGGATCGGCAGCCAGCCTCTCTCGTCATAGGTTCATGCGAAATAACGACTGGACCCTAGGGTTTCATCAACTGGCAAAGAGCCATGCCAGCACATCAACCCGTAAGATACAGACAGAGGACAGACAGTAAACACGCACGCAAACCTGTACGACTAACTTCCACATTTACATACATACATACATTGAAACGGAGCGCGCTTGTACGCGACCTACTCTCTGTGCTTTTCTTTTGCCCTCGCACTCTCATTGGAATGTGCTAGTTAAAGCATGTACTGTACAGTTTAGTTCGATGGATAACCACTAGATAATAGAGGTGAGGTAATATAGAGTGGACTCACGTCGACTTGTCTATATTTTGTAATCTTTCTCTCTCCTGGTTTGATCATATTGTTTTCCTTCTCTGGTGTTCGAGGGTCCCATAAGCCTTCAACAGTTTGTCTGCTGCTTCCACGGAAAAGAAATACGTGCTTGGCCTTGTCTTCGGGGTATCTTCTGTGTTATTTTCTGCAAGCTATTTTGCTTTTCTCAGTTTCATCCCCCGAGAAAAATTGGAATTTTCAAACGTGGAGATAACAAAAGAAAGATAATTATCGCCGGGCTTTGCTCTCTACTTATACTCCTCAATTTGAATATCCCGAAGTCAGAGCCATCCCGCACTAAGAAGACAACAACACACTGCACGACCACCTATCTGGACCTGTTCACAACGCCTCACGACAACAATTGCATTGGGCATCAACTGAGACTTTCACCAACGTATGCCTCACTTATTCGATTTGTGAACAAGCCTTGTCCTTTTTTTTTTTTTTTTTCCGCGCCTTACCTACCTTCGCCTCGCCGATCTGGGGATTAACCCTATTGGATAAAGTCCAAAATATCATTCATTATGTATTACATTCTCTACCTTGCAAGTATGTCATCATCTTTCCTTCTTTTCCAATGACTCTGTTTCGTTGCAAGGATTAACCCTCCCTCATGCTGCTTACTTGCGTTGCATATGAACAAATCATCCGAAGCATTAGACTACAACAATCAAAAGTACTAATAAGGGGCCACTTCTAAACTTATAGGTCTCTGCAAGCGCAGGCACTGGTCAGAACCAAACTATGACGCCTTCCGCAGCTCCACAGGGTACACTTGTGTGGTCCGCGTGAACAATCGCGAATACAAGGCAGATTCAATCTGCGAATCCGAGATCATGGCGCGCGAGAACGCCGCAATGCGAGCGTATCTAATTTGCCGGAATTTCTCCGTCAATGATGGCATGTATCCGGCCGGCCATGATCACGGTGGAGTTCTGCAGGGGATCCCCGTTGCCATTGGCACTGGGCGTGGTGATAGGACATCTCGTTACAGTATCAATAACGCTAGTTCGACGGACGAGAGTGATTCAACGTCGATTAGTGGTGACAGTCGCAGTGGTGGAAGCAGCCCTGAGAGCCATGATGGTGCGAGGTTGATGAGTCATGATCATGATCGTCGCCAGGGTGTTCCTGCGCGAGCTTTGATTTATCGTTACTGATCTCTCTCTTGCTCCCTGACCTCCTCATTCCTCTAAAATCCGAAGACATCTGCTCAACTACAGAATGATATATGACTGTGATACTTGAAGATCATCTACTTGCTGGACTGGGGAAAACACGGAAAGTTGAAAAAAGAAAGCATATGACAAGGAATACACGCTGAAGCCTCACTGGCATGACATAATGATATAATGACTTGATGATTTTTGATGATATTAGCCGTCTTGTTTTTCTTTTTCCATTTACTGTTATGTGCTAGACTTTATATTTCACGATATGGTGTGATGATTACGAGAACCATGATGATTTGGCTGAAACGAAAGACTGATAGCGTTTGATTTTGCTTTGACTCCTTTTTTTTTCCATATTATATTCTGACTTACCTTGTGACCATGCGTGACATGGCAGCGACGACGACGATGATGATGCAGATAATGACTTGATGACACACTTGACAGCAAAAATTCTTCATAGAATACCTACCTATGCTCGGGATCTATTATATTACTATTGACAAACATGACTTACAATACGAGTAGGTACTCGCTAAGCTAAGAACAACAACTATTAATCGAAGTTGCAGCTATATTTCACTATTGTTCTCTTGCCCAGGACCAATCATATCGCTCCAACTATATAACGCGCTTGTTTGCATTGTTTGTCTAGACCCTTCGATTCCACGATGCGACGATGACGTAGTGGCACGTGCTGCGCTGAGCTCATTGTCGATTTTCATGGACCATCTTTCTTTTCTTGTTTTGTTTAGCAAATTTTGCTATGTTAGCATGGGGCTGGTAGCTTTGCTCGAACTTGGTTGCTATGTTCTGACCATTGCACTCGTCTCGCCGTCAATCTCTTTACTTCCAAGCTCGCAATGGGGTCTTTCGGGGTTTGTGCATCGACGGCTTGCAACTTGCAGACTCGACAATTGTGCTTGAACAATAGTTCTGGGAGGTATGGAGCTCTTGGAAAAGTCATGATGAATAGGAGAACCTGCACTCGAAACAACCTCTCTTTACTCAAAGAACATGTTTATACTCAACGCCGCTGTCTCTCAACGACCCTATCAAGTCCTACGAACGACATTCGGTATTCTAGGTTAGGAAAACAAGGCAGTTTCTTCGATAAGGCATATATTGGTTCCCGCCAACATGCAGCGACAATCACCACGACATCGTCGTTGCATCTGGGCTCTCATAAGAAGCCCGATGATAGGCCCGAGCTCGATGCCGCTGTATCGCAGGTCAAGGAGAAGCAGGTGAAGACTCCATGGGAAAGAGAAGGTGCTCAGACACCACCCGTAAAGCGTGAGCGGTCTGCGTCGGCAATGACCAAGGGTATGTCGCATTTCCCATGAGAGCTTTCCGAAAGGTTTGGCAGTGATCTGACATGAGGGTTGTAAATGCAGGAAAGTTGCTGACTACGCCGTCACGACTTTTAAAACTGGTTATACCAGTGACTACGGATGATTATAATGGCGATAGAAAAGGTAAATTTCCTCTTCCCATCCCGTTGTTGCCTCGGCACTCGCTGTAAACGCTTAGATTAATTCTGTCCCTACCTAGATGTTGAACCTTTGGCACTTCTCTTGCATCCCCAGCAACCATTATCGTATCTAGAACGCTTAATACAAGCAGAAGTACCGTCTATCCAAGACGAGAATGGCAGAATGCACCCACCGCAAGTTTCTTTTCTGGCCGTAGAGGCCGAAGACGAGATGATCCAGCCGAAAAAGCTCAAGATCAGGAATTGGGAGGACGACAAATCAAAGGGTGAACAAAACGCACAAAGAGAAGAAGAAGGCGAACCACGGCCGATGGTTGTGACTAAGGACTCTCAAGCTCCGCGACTAAGAAACTTTCCTGAAGAGGATGATATTCGGAAATATAACAACAAAGCTTCGAAAAATGAGCCTGTGGATGAAACGGAACCAGAACCAAAATGTACAGGATCATTTGTTAGATGGTCATCATCTACAGAAATCGGTGACTTCATTCGAGACGCATCGCGCGTAAAAGAGTTCCTCGTCGACATCGAAGGCTCACCACTAGGGAAAATCCCCGTGGCGGTTCCCTCATTCAACGACCGCACCTATTACCTCCGAATGCGACTACGCAAGCTCTCAAAGAACCTTAAACACCTAGCAATTGTCAAACAGGAATGTGACAATCTGGCACATCGCGGAGCCCAACGTGTGGCCCTTGGCGGACTTGGCGTGATGGTGACATGGTGGTATATCGTGTACAAACTAACATTCGAAACTGACTACGGCTGGGACACCATGGAACCCATCACATATCTAGTCAGTTTATCCACGCTTATGGGTGGTTACACATGGTTTTTGTACCATAATCGCGAAATATCGTATCGGTCCGCGCTCGACTTCACAGTCAGTCGCCGCCAGCAGAAACTGTATCAGACACGAGGGATCGATTTGCATATATGGGAATCACTCGTTGAAGAAGCAAATGCGCTACGTAAGGAGATCAAGACTGTGGCGGAGGAGTATGATGTGGATTGGGATGAGAGGGCGGATGAGGAGGATGAGAGTGTCACGGAGGCTTTGAAGCATGAGCGGAGGCAGAAGGAGCGAAAGGAGAAAAAGGAGAGAGAGAAGGAGGAAGAGAAAGATGAGCGTACTGAGACTACCGATTGAGCATGGATATCCTGCTTTTTCAGTTGAAACTCTTTGTATATTTTGGTTTGAGTATATAGGCATTATAAATGCATTGCATACATAGATAGATTGACGCCGTATTTATCCGCCGTTTTATGCATGTATTCTTGAAATTTGTGTATAGGCAGTTGAAGTTACGCAGCACATATGCATCCCAGGACACTCAAGTCCGCGACTGATTCTGAGGCTATCAAGCTCCTAGATAAGCAATAAGCCTCAATCCTCTGAAAGAGTAGATTTCCTGGCTGGAAGACTCCTTTACGTTTTTCATGTCTGTTTAATGCTTAGAATTTTACAGTTTCTATGAGATCAAGGAGTCATCATAGGTGTATTCCTTTCTCAAATTGAAATGGTCAAGGACGCAATGCAGATAGCTCTAGTCATAGCTGGAGATAGTTTCATCCCTGTATTTCTCTTGCCACCTTGACAACCTTTCCGAGTCCTGGAAAATTTACGTATCTTTCCAAAGAGTGATCTTGCTTGGAATTGGTTGAAACATGGATTCTTAATATATTAGATCGCTTGCATCATCGTCTTCTTCACCAATGGAGGTACCAAAAAAGGACAATAAACCCAAGGCGACGCTGGACACAGTATGTCCTACCGTGCCAAAAACAGTTTGTGCTGGTAGAAAGGTACCGTCCCTTTCCTTGTAGGAATTTTCCTGGCCATCGATACCACTAATAGCACCCTCAGATAGAAGGTCTTCAAGAATGGCAAGCCTTGCCCTCGTTACTTCGTTGTCATTCTGGGCCTGTAGCTCTATCTTATGAAGGTCTAACTGGCCCTGGTAAATGTCACCGATTTCCTTGCGGAAGTGCCGAAACTCTGCAAATTCTGCTTCATAGCGTGGATGATGATGCTCAAGTTGCAGAAGCATGTTTTGTAGATGATCGATTGAATTCTGGTAGTTTACTTCACCCTCACACAATTTCTGAAGTTTGGATTCGGCCTCATTTTTATATTGGTGTAAAGTCTCAGCTTCTCTGAAAATTTCAGAAAGAAAATCGAGCTTGGACTCATATTCTGTGTTGTCAGAGTGTAAATCTTCGGCATAAAGGCGTTGCAGTTCCTTTCCGCGGTTGATTTGAAACCCAGCATCATCTGTTGCTAATGGGATGATGTCTGCTTGGATATTCGATTGAGCTCCCTTTTGACTTGGAGATCCAGTTTCCGGTCCGGCTGCGAGTTGTTGCAGTACCTCCTGAGGTAAACCGGAATCCATCTGAAGCAATAAAGTAGGCGAACCCTCATATAGCTTGACTCGTTGGCTTGTCTCTATAATCTGTTGTTGCACCTGTGCAAGCAAGTCTTGTAATTCGGTTTTCAGACTCTGCATTCCTGCCTTCTTTGCCTGGAGCTTAGACATCATGATTCGAATATCATCGACAACTCGCTGTAGCTGGGTCATTTTGTCATGACGTTCCTTTATGTATCCATCGATCTTTTTCAGTTCCCCCGGAACAAGATGTGCTTTCTTCATTGATTCCTCGTAAGTGCTGATAGATTGGTTATAACTGCGGTAATTTATGAGGAGAAAAGCAATTACAGTCATAGCTGTGTGCTTGAGTCGGGATAAACTGAACCACCATGGAAATGGGTTGAGTGTGAAGAACGCTTGCAGTTCGGCATAGACATAATCAATATCAACAGTCAGGAGTGTTGAAAGAATTTTTTCTTCCTCAGGCAGGACTGTTTCGCGAGTATTCGCAATGATCACATGTGTAAAGTGCGGTTGCTTGAAATATCTGTTCATAATATGGCCAGCACCTTTCTCAGGAGGACACTTAACATGACCAATGCGAACTAGAATTATTCTAGCATCACTCGGCTTGAGTTCTACATTCACAGTGCCAACGTAGTGACAATCGATTAGTTGGAGGCCGAAACGCGGTAGTTCGAAAGTCCCGACGTCCACAGCTTGAACCAAGAGAGCGCGTGAGAAATCGGATGATCTTTGCCAGAGTAAGAGGCAAGTTTCTGGACTTTCCAGAGCCGTTGAAATCTTATTCTCCACGGACTTATGAGAACTGTATGCTGTTATCTTTCTTACATCATCTCGTTGAAATACCCTATATAGGAACGCTGCACTAATGGCACCGTTCGCATCGACAACCGCGGAAGCATCGCGGTTATAAAGCGTTGATGGATCAGGCCCCTGGAGCAAGTTGAACGGGCACCATGAGAACCCGCCCACATCGGTTATGGTTGCATGACTGTGGAACAAAAAGGAGCTTTCTATCGTCTGGAGGGCCCGTAAGATGTTTCGTGAAAGTTCTGCGGTCATGTCGACTCGGCTAGTGTCGGGCTTTTGGCCGACTAGAAGACCCGCGATGATTATCATGTCGTGCGGCTTCGAAGTACATCTCGTTTTCAGAACCTCGAGTATGCTTGAAACGGTATTCAGTTTCTGATGACGGAGATCGTCAATCAATCGAGATGCAAGGAAATGCCCACGGGAGCAGAGACTGCCGTCCAAGATGACCTCCGTGTCCAGCTTTTTGATAACCTTCTTGTCTGGGTCACTTGGATGGCGAAAAATGACTCGCACGTCAGTTGAATAAAGTAGCTCCAACGCTGTCCAAGCTCGAGTGAACCATGAAGAGAGTGCCAGGGCCAAGCAAGGAGTCCCATCCTCCGCCCAAGGAAAATTCACGAGGTATTGATCGTGAATTACCGTGCACTTCGCCGAAAGGAAGTCTTGATTGATCCTCCCAATTGCTCTTTTTCGGGACTCTCCTTTCCTGGGAAGAGAGATTGTATCCCACCAAATGGCTTTACATCCAAGTTCTGTGGCTACTTCTTTGAAGTAGTTGAACAGACACGAATTGACATATCCGTCCTTCTGTATTCCAGCACCAGTACCGTCTGACCAGACGTGAGATACTGCCACGTAATCCGCCTCCTGGGTAAGGTACGGCCGATTACTATGATCTATCCACCACGTGTAGGGTTCCCTGCTTGTTTCCAGTAACATATTATCCAAAGGGAATTCCAGCAGTCCACAGTCTTTCGTCGGGCACTTATGCAACTGTCTAACGTTTGTACTATCAACGTTATTGAATACACATGACTCGGCGGAACAACTTTCGTGCTTGGGCTGCTGCCTGAACCTCTTGTCATCAGAGACCTTAGCTTTTGTGTCTCCGTTATTATTATTGGTGAGTTGCATCAAGATTGCAAGATGCTTCTCGTCACCGCTGGCTATAGCTAGATTCCACAGACGATTGCGGCATATTCCGAGACCGCCAGCCCTTTCGATTGCTTTAGAAACCACACCAGTCGATATATGGCGAGTTAGGATGGGATCTGCATTTGTAGCCTGCCACATGAAATTGAGGAGCTCGCAGACCTCAAACTCCACTTGACTGACCGGCCTTCTTTCGTTGTCGTGATTTTCTTGTAGTTTGATGAAGTTGAATAGCATGTCTCTTATTGACCCTAGGCTTCCCCCATCCACTCGATGTAGGCTACTAGAGTTCAGGTAGCAGGACGTAAATCGAATCGCCCATTCTCGGAACGGTTGCCATTGACAGAGGGTAAATGGAACGGAGTATATTTTTTGACTTAGTAGTTCACAGTCTTTGCTGGAACATACCTTGACGCCAGACTCGAGACAAAATCGCTGGAGCCACTCCAACAAAGGGCCCTTGTAGGCCCATGTATCTCTAAGCCAGAAGTGTTTCCATTCGACAAGCGACGTGTCAACTCTGTCGCTGTCATGTTGGGTTGACTGACGTGTAAAATAGCTGTAGAAGGAACGTTGTCGAGGTATGGCTTGCCTGAAGTGAGTACGTCTCTTATTGAAGAGTACGGCATTGCTTACACCATTTTATAACCAAGTTTTGGCACTGGCCGATATCTTGGTCTTCTTCTTCTCTCAGGAGCGGGACTTTGAAAAAATCAAGATGAGTGGAGGACAGCATTGCTCTATTCGCATAGATTGCTGGCTTCTTAATTGTTTAACTCCAGTTCTCTTTATAAGGGCCGAAATCCCCCGCTTCTGAGACTTTTTTTTTTTATCTGAGGGAGCCAATCAGAGACCCTTGTATGCCATACTCCAATGAGGAAAATGCTGCATGTATAGGACATATCACCTCAGTATGAAAATTGGCGTTTAATTTTCGTTTCAATCTAGATTACGCTATGATTCAATGTTTAAATAGTTTTTGCAATACAGATTTCTCTTCATTGTTCAATGGATGTAAACTTACTGTGCTTATGAAGTATTCGATCATGGAAATAAAAGTAAATGTATTTTCATTCCTCTCTCTTTGCATCTGTACAGCCTCATCTGATATCATAGGCGGCAGGGTTCGAAATCAAAACACCATGGTAGATAAAGAAAAGGAGGGTGGGGGAAAGGGAAGGGAAGAAACGAGATATTATTCGGGGAAAGATGCATGCAAGTCTATTTAAAATATGATTTTGAAGTCAAGAGGAGAAGACAGGAAATTAATCCACTAAGCCCTGGCGCCCATCTGTGATTTGGCTTTGTTTTGTTTTTGTTTTTCTTCACTTCTTCTCCGCTTTGGGGCTTTCAGGTTTCTTAGTCTCTGTTGTGGTCGTTTCAGTCGTCTTGGTTGTAGTAGGATCTGGAAGTTCCTCGCCAAAGAATCGTCGCAGTACATTAGCAACCTCCTTGTAATCAACTTGAACCTCCTTCAGGGTTTTCTTGATTCCCTCAATGGCCTTTTCTCTTTCGGCTTCATTGTCCTTGGGCAATTCCTCTTTGCAGTGTTGAATCTTTTCGCATGCGTCTTTCACTTTTGTCAGACCCAGAGTTGCGGATGAGCCTTTCAGGAAATGACCGAGCTGAGAAAGATCATCAAAGTCTCCCTTGGACCTAGATTGATTAAAATATGTTAATAGATTGTTCAAACCAGTCTTATTGTAGGAAAAAACAAGCGACTTTATATAGGCACGTGTCATCTGCCCATGTGACCTTGCTCACGTGTTCAATATAGCCCTTATCTGTGAAGTCTACTTATGTAGGACAGAAAGACGAAGTCAAAGAAGAAAAATGAAGGTTCGCTGGCCACTTACAATGCATTTTCCATCTTTTCAAATGTTGCCTCTGCCTGCTCAAAGAAACCATAGACAATCCCCTGACTGAAGTCTCGTTCGTCTTCGTCGTCATCCATCTCCAGGATCTGCTCGAACGTCGCCGGGTCAATGATGTCTTGATAGTTGCTGAGGTCTGGAGGACCCTCCTCCTGATTTTTCTGTGTTGCACGTCAGTATGCGATTTCAAAAAACAAAAAAAAATAGTGTCGACATCACACGTACTGGATCCTCCTTCCTTGTGGTTTGACTGGGCGCCATTCTGGGGCTATGCAACAGACACCGTCCCTCTGTAGATAATAGAAATTGCTTCTGTAGGAAGTCTCAAGCAAAAAAAAAAAAAGTACCGTTATTAGAAGTGGATTGGACTGGAAATCGAGATCGCTGGGCAGGGAAATCCTGTGCTGTATATCGAAGCTCGGACACGCGCAACCAATAACCAATTGGATATCTGGCTTGTGATGTAGTGATGATCGATTATAGATGCAAGGGTGTAATAGTATGCGGGAAATGAACTTTTATGGACGCTGTCCTATTAGATTCGCGAGGCTCATTAGTATCTTTTCATGACCTAGACCAAGAAAATCGTAGACAGCACATATTGAACCAGAATTGTAAGAAACATAAATACATATTAGTATAAATTCACAGTTCATCAAAATGCACCTGCTCTAGTAGTGCGGTGAATGTATTGTGCAGTGATAGGAAATGGGCCCTCGAGGGTAACTTGTCATTTAGGGGTCTTCAATGTATATGATCTCCAGGAGATCTGTATCCATTTTCCAAGGATGAGAAAAACAGCAATATAGAGTCAAGGGCTAATAAAGAAGCTCCTGTACAGAGACACACACGAACCAACCCTTTTATAAGATGTAGGGGAAGAGCAGAAAACCGCTTAACACTCACCTCCGAGTAGATGCTGTGTGGTCTTGTTGGCAGGGCTATGCCCGTGAAAACAAAAAGACAACCACTTATTTGCAGAAAGCTTTGTGCAATGTAAGAATGTCGAAGGCAGGTGATGCGGGCTTTGTCTGACAGCGGGAGGGGTACTCTGGTGAGCTGTTGAACACCTCTGTAAGCATAAGAACATGATTTATGACCAGGGAGGAGGGTTGGCTACCTTGCAAAGAAACACCTTCAAAAAAAGACGTTCAGCCAGTTTGCACACAGTAATAGATAGATGAGCACTGCAAGATATCACCCCTATCTGTGCTCTTGGACAACAGCCTCAAAGAAAAAAAGGCAGAATGCAAAGTGGGAGCACCGAGGTGTGATGGGGAGGGGCACGCTGGGCCGAGAAGAGGGGCGCAGTGGGTTTGGCGCTTTTGGGGGGGGAAATAAGACGAGTTAAAACGCTCGAGGGAGGATTTCGGTGGAAGTGACCGAGTTGACAAGGAGAAGAGCGACTCTGGACGGTAGCGGCGGGATGAGGGGCTGGTTGAGACTCGATCACGCTTTCCCAAAGCAAAGGGCGGCTACGGTGGGACGCACACAGGAACACATCCACTCCTCTTCCCAAACCTCACATGCGCCCACCCGGTGTTTTTTCGTTCTTTTGCTTTTTGGTCTGTGGTCGCGATGACAGACAGACAGACAGACTACGTGCTCGCTGCCAGCCGCCCTCGAAGAATCTCCGTCTACGCCTCTTCTACTCCCCTGAGATGACCTCTGCCTCTTCGCCCCACGCCCGAAAAATGTGTTCAACTGTGCACTGAACTTCACCGCGTATTGTCTATCTACCCAGGGTAGTATTGTCCGTATACGCACCAATAACCGCGCAGCAAGAGAGAAACAGTCGCTCGCGACGCCGCCGGCTAGTGCGATCTTTTTGGGTCTTTTCCAGTTTCGAGTATGGGTTACTACTAATTACTAGTTAGTGCTAATGTATGTAAGTGATATTTGCAGATCTCTATCCTGTGGACCGGCCATCAAAGCTACCTTGCATGCTTCGCCTATCGCCCGTTGAGTGCGTGATATCGGTGGGCTCTTTCGCGTGTGGAGGCGCGGGACAATGGAATTGTCTCCTGAAAGCGAATAACTATGGCTTCCCAGCTGAAGAACTCATGTCTAAGTGATAGGTAGCGGACGGATTCGCAATGCATACAAAGGGTCGGAGTTGACTTCATGTCAGATATATGATATGATATGATATGATGTGATGTGAGATTCCACCGCGCCAATGCACGATGATATCGTGGCATGATGCGAGTTCCGAGAAAACTCCACCTGGCCCGTTGGGCCAAAGAAGTACACACTATGATTCGTATTCAGTCACTCTCTGCGATGAAGCTTTTACAATACGTAGCTTAACAAAACTCTCGAGCACGGATGCCTGCGAAAGAACCTGTGCGACCTAGATTTATTCATACGGTGGAGTCGGCTGCATGTCATTAAGGCCAGAGGCCGGCGTCAAATTCAACTCTAGCTTAGTTACGTATAAAATAGTATCACTGCCTCAGGCATCACACAATTCCAAGGGGAGCGCAGGCGTGACTCGATTGGCTGAAAATAAAGAACCGGTTGTGGGTAACCCCGGCAGCCCCACAGCAAGAGTAGCTCCAGCCAATGGCTGACAAGCAGAACAGCCACCATGACGTCGCCGGCTGCTGCCGTGTCGCGGCGAATGCCAAGCCCGTGCACCGCCAATGACGTCGTTCCTTCCGACGTCCCTTCCTTGGCTGGCTTCGCAGAGGGAAAGAGCAAGCCACACAGATGGAAAGGGCGCGCCTGCCATATATAACAAGCCGCGGGCTTCCTGAAACCGTAGACTTTGTAGGATTTCGCTCTGGCTCTGGCTTCTTCCTCCCGGAGCGCATGGAGCAACGAGAAAAAGGAGCGCCAGTGAAGGGGAAAAGAAAAATACACAGAGCGTGCGACAAGGAACCGAGCGAAACGAGTAGAAGCGCCGAATAAACACGACCCTCTCATTCGTCACATTCCGCCAGTGCGAGACTCGCTTTACTATCAAGTCAGCCCTGGGATACATATCAACAGCTCAGCGATTGACCATGTCGCATTGTGCTGGAAAAAGAAACCATAATCCCGGTTCGCGCGCACTTCCTCTGGCACGCTGCTGTTCGTGAAGCATCCTGATTCTCGTAGGGCCATGCACGTTATCGTCTCCGACTGTCAATACTAGGCAGTCTCGGGGAAGCGCATGCTGCAGAGAAAGCGAGCAATTGAACTTGGATCCGGCAAATGAAAAGCGGGCTGAAAGACCAACCCCCCCCCCAGCAGCTATATTAACGTTCAGAGCCTAACCGTCATCTCCCGCGCAGAGACACAACCAAGTGACATCAGCCTGCATTGGCCAGACCGTACGGTTTCTCATTCATATCTGCAACGGCCCACTCCTACGCTCGTAAACGTCCAAACTAGCGCTCTCTGTCTGGGACAATCCTTCCAAGTCTGCACTGAAATTTTCGACCCGTGTGCCGTGGGTATTGAGAGGCTCAGAGCCATTTATCCGAGTATAGCGAGGCATTTCAGACACGATTATATGTTTGTTTGTTCTTCCAGCAGCCTAGACGCCGCAAGACACCGCTGTATGCCCCCACGAGTCATGCGGTGACGCTTTCCTGCCCCTCTCATGTATGGAGTACATGGATACTAGTTAACTAACTATACAGCTAAAATTTATTTCGACATGGCCAGATGTGGGTATATGTGTGCTGCCAAGAAAGACTTACGGTTAATAAGGGAGCACAATAATGTCCAAATGACTTCCCCATATCCTGTCCCAGTGTGACTTTATCTCGTGTCATGCCTGCAGGACCTTTCCTATTGGCAGGATACATGCATACGCAGCCATATGTTGTTTCTCCTAGGCAAAACTACTAAGCCATCGGCGTGGCATTGGAAGCCCGGAAATGAACCGACGTAAACAACGCGACGAGAGATGCCAGAAGGCAGAAGCTGGGTGGATCCACCTCCCTTGCCAGGCTCAGACTGGGCGTTACAGAAAGGAACTCGCCCAGCTGTAATTTTGCCCGACTGTTAAGTTTGAACCCGCCGCTGCTGCAGGGAGGGGTCATTGAAGGCATTTGGATTTGGGGGGACCGATACCACCTCACTAGCTGCCCGATTAATCAGTTCAGATGACTAGCTATTGCTAGTTAACTTAACTACTTTCCTCCGTCTGCATGGTGGTGTCATCACTGTCATGCAGTGGAATGTCATGGTGATTTTACGAGACGCTTATCTCTCTCTGGCAACCTCATAATGGACCAGCCTGCAGCCTGAAGACTTCTGGATGCCAGGGAGGGTCACCAGTCGACAATACGACACTTACCTGAACATAAAGGAATTGGATATCCATAACCGGTCCCTCGCATCACTAGTGCGTACACGGAGAGATAGCTGTTCAAAAAAAAAAAAAAAAAAAAAAACGGCAAAACCTAGGTATATGCCTTTGTTTGCCCTGGTTTCCTAGAGCGAGGAGGGAATTGGTCTTAGAAAACCATATTTGTCACCGCTCACTTTTCAGTTTCGTCCCACTGAAGACTAAGAAACTTGAAAAACCTCGATTATGGGGTTTTTTTCCTTGCTTGAAAAGGTCAAAGCAAAAGACTTGCAAACCCGATGTCAAACGAATGCTCATGTGACATGATATGCAACATGGATTACCAGTAATCCAGATACCAAGATCGGACAAGTTGTGGGTCTGAAAGCTGTATGATTGAATGAGAATGGGAATTGTTTCATCATTTTCTGCTAGCAGATATCGGTCATGGATGTGTGGATGCACAAATTGATTGGCTGACAGTTTGAATTTCTCTGGATTAGTCTTGACCTTATGGTCTTCCTTCTGCCAGAGCAATATGAACAACTCGTTAATTTTGCCAAGCTGTACCTAGGATTTTGATTCTCTTTCTCTCTAGAGAAATGTCTTTTACTTTGCCCAAGGTATGCCCTGAATGCTGATTATGCCTTAGTATCAATGTACTTGCTGGTTTTTCCAACCATGATCCGTTGCTGAATGCTGCCAAACACGACTACCCCCGGCTATCAATTCAGTTCATTACACTCTCGACATAGTCAAGACGGTTTCTCAGAGCCTCCACGATAGTACCCAGAACATTCACAACAGTTCTCAGGACTTCTGTAGATGTCCCTCGATCTGAACTCAGTATTATTGCTTGCATAGGATGCCTCTAACCCTGCAAGGAAAATACGTGAAGAATCTCGAACATTACTTATCGAGCTTGAAGTACGCCACACATATTTATTTGGATCATATACAAACGGAACTCAGAATGGACAAAGCGATCTCAATATTCTCACAAGAGAGTCAACGCACTCGGGAAAGCTGACTTTTCTGCTGTGCTTCTCATCAGAGAGGTATACGAGCGATTAACGGCTAAATTTAGGAGAGGTTGATGTAATAATCTTCCCAACAGACGACGACATCTATGAAAATTTTAAGATTATATGATGCAGGTTATCTTAATCATGGTTGCGAAAAAAAAAGGGCTAACATGGCTTTGATATTTTAAGACATCTCACAGGATAACTCATCTTTTCTCCAATCAGCTTTCACTGCCGTAAGAATCTACTCATTCACCAACTTTCTGGCCATCTTGGAATATTCCTCGAAGGACAGACAGACCATCATTCAGTCTTTTGCGAGAAGTTCCTTCTTACGGAGTTTGTCTCTTCTTCGGAATCACTTTCAAACCCATTAGTTTCCTAGATAGACAATGGGCACGAAGAACAATTAAACAAATGAAATGAATATTGAGCTAAATAACTATCTCATCATCTTACACACATTCGTTGTATCTATGCCTCTTCTTCTATTGACAACCATCTCTAATCAAGGTGCAAAATGACAAGATAAGTAGCATTCTCATTCAAAATGACCCAATTTAAACCCCCTATTTTTTTCCACCTCCCCCTTTTTTTCCAACATTCAAATTTGAAAAGGAAAAAGAAAGTGGCCTGTTTATTTGAATGGTTTAGCCAGTGACCTTGTAGATGGACTCGGCAAGTCTCTTGACATTTCCAGAAGTGATGCCGGCAACAGAGATACGGCCATCCTTGGTTGCATAGACGGAATGCTCCTTGGCTAGAACATCCATTTGCTCGGGGCTAAGGCCTGTGTATGCAAACATACCGATCTGTAAGAGTCATTGAGTAATTAGCTTTCTGTTTACGGCCATGTATTGCCTTCTTTGCTTTGACAGGACGAGGATATACCTGGTTGGTAATGTGAGACCAGTCATGTTTGCTGCCCAAGGCCTCAAGGTTCTGCTTAAGAAGACTGCGCATCTCGATGATGCGGTCAGCCATGCCCTTGACTTCTCCGAGCCATTGCTTCTTAAGCTCAGGGTCGTTCAGAATGGTCGACGCGATACGTGCACCGTGAACAGGTGGGTTGGAGTATAGTGGGCGAATGAGAATCTTAATCTGAGAGTCGACGCGCTTCTTCTCCTCAGCAGAGGCGCAGACGAGAGAGAATGCACCAGCACGCTCACCATAGAGACCCTATTTCAAGCATGATTAGCCCCGAGTAGTCACAGAATTGCGTCAGTGAGGAGAAAACAAACCATGTTCTTAGCAAAGCTTTGGCACAGAGCAATGTTGTGGCCCTGCTCAACAAAGTATCTAGGCGCAAAGGCATCCTTGTCAGCATCACCAGAAGCAAATCCCTGGTAAGCCATGTCAAAGAAGGCGAAGTGGCCCTTCTCCTTAACAACATCACTGATCTGGCGCCATTGCTCAGCAGTTGGGTCAACACCAGTGGGGTTGTGAGCACAAGCATGCAACAAAATGATGCTGTTACTGGGGGCAGCCTTCAAATCCTCAACAAGACCCTCAAAGTCCAATCCAATGGTGTCCTTGTTATAGTAACGGTATTTGGCGACCTCGAGACCAGAGTCGCTGAAGACGGCATTATGGTTGGCCCAGGTAGGTGTTGGCAAGTAAATCTTCTTGGCGTGAGGGTAAAATCGCTCGAGGAAAGCACCGCCGATTCTCAGTGCGCCGGTACCGGAAACGGATTGCGTAATGGCGACACGGCCGTCCTTGAGGGCAGCAGAGTCAGCTCCGTATGCTAATTCAGCAGCCTTGCTGGTAAAGTTGGCGACACCGGTGATAGCTGCGTACTCCTTGTCGAGACGAGAGGCGACGATCTTGTCTTCGGCGGAGCGAACGGAGGGGAGAACGTAGGGCTTGCCCTTGTCATCACCTGCAAGTCAAGAAAGAAACGGAGACGGTGAGAAACAATAGACTTTTTTTTCTGCAAGGTCGCAATGGGATTCAAAGCATACGGTAAGCTCCAACACCCAAGTTGATCTTCTCCGCGAAAGAATCCGCCTTGAAAGCCTCGGTGATACCCAAGATAGCATCCTGTTGTGATATGGCACATAATTAGTCTTTGCTAAAGCTTGATATCTAACAATGAGGTGTTTTCCCTCTCGTTCTGATTTTTCGACAGACTTACAGGAGGTCCCTGAGGAACATTGGCCCAGGTTGAGCCAGCACGCACTCCAGTCGTCAACACCCGCATGCCTGACTCACGCGAAACAGCCTGGCGGCTGGCGACTCTCAGAGTGGACAACATGGTCGCGAATCAATTCGGTCGAAACAAAACACAGGAGTACCTATTCGAAAAGAAGAGGACATGCACATGAGATGGAAACAGATGGCAAAAGGGCCGGCGAGGTAAGATCTTAGTGAGTGCACTGGGTTGCTGGAGCGGAAATTCAATTGGATCGGCGCTTCTCCGCCTCCTCTCGGCCAAAGTCGGCAGCGCGACTGCCGCATCACGAGACTTACAAATTTAGTGCATGACTCAGGCTAAACGGTTAAATGGTCATGATTCATCAAATTCGCCTTGTGCTTGCAGTGCAGTGAACCGAGTGACTCACGCTAAGTGATTTCTCTCTGTCGGCACAATATTATCAAGTAACTACCACCGCATGTCCAAGATATTGTCATTATCCATTAAGTAGGAGAACTCTATATACTCAAAATCTACTCCCAAGCTTGCCAGCACTAGACAGATGTATACCTAAGCAAGCCGTACTCCTGCCTGACGATTCTTCTTAGCTGTAGCACCCATCGCGCTGTTCATTCCCGTATGCTGACTGCTTTCGAGAGCGCTCATTGCTTCTCGCTTCTTTTCCTCTTCAATCTTCTTCAGGTGCTTCTCTGTCTTCATCTTGCCGCTTCCCTTGCCGTGAAACTGGTGGCTAAGATGCTTGAAGGCTTCTTTTTGGTTCATCAGACGCCCATGTTCGTCCACATACTTGAGTTGTACATCAGGCTTGTATTCTCGATTGAAGATATCGGCCATTTGTCGAGACTCCTGTTGGTCTCTTTGTTTGTTTTCCCAGCGTGCATATTCCTCACGTTCCCGAGCTGACATTCGATCAAATTTGCCTGTGGTACGGTCACGTTCACGCTGAGATCGCGCATGCTTCTCAGCATCAGCCTCTCGGCGATACTTCTCTTGGAGAAACCTTTGACGGTCACGATGCAAGGAGTTCATATCCGCAGCCTCTGACTGTTGAACGAGACCACGCTGGCGTAGCATGGCAAGAGTATTTCCCAAACCCTCATCCAAGGTCGACTCTTCATCCAGACCTGTACCGCTGATTTTGAGACCTCCACCCTCGGCTGTTTCCTTGTCGGTCCCTTCTTCTTTTTTAACGTCGCCATCGACCTCCCCGTCCATATCCACATCTCTTAAGTTGTCCTCCGGCGATCCCTCTTTGATATCATCGTTTTCTTCATTAATAGTCATAGTTCGCTTTTCAGGGCGTTCGGAAATGACTGGTCTCTGTAGATTCGACACGAACTCGGAGGTCTCATCGATGATCAGACCGGGCTCGTCTTCTGCCCCGTCACCATTGTCAACCTCCATCGGCGTCTGGGAACTTTCTTCTCGTAGCTGTCGTGCAATGTCTTCCGGGCGAAGGTTCTTGCGCTTCTTGAATGCAGCCCGTCTCTGCATGGCAAGAGAGGCCTGCAAGTCTTCATCATCAACAAACGAGGTGTCGTACGACTTCTTTTTGGGAACGGCATTCGCATTGCTGACTCGCGTCTGTCCGGAATCCAGCTCCATTGTATCGCCGTTTGATGCCCCGGCAGCGTCTGGCAAAGGAAAAATATCGTCCTCGTCGACCGCTTTCTGTCTCGTTGATTTGGCTTTCTTTTTCTTTGGTTTCTTTATCTTGATCTCACTAATATCCATATAATCAGACACGGGAGCATCTGGTATGATATCGAGGTTGACGACCTCTTTTTTCAACATATCAGAGACATGTTGCCGTTTGGCCTCGCGTTCTTCGTTTGTCGAGCCTTTCGCATCTAACGTGAAGTGCTTTCGTTTTTTACCATCGATCTCCTCGTCATACTGTGCTAGTATCGAGCCGGTCCCATCTGCTTCCATAGGGTTGTAGGCAGTACGTTTCTTTTTGAGTTCAAGCCTTTCTTTCAGCTTATCCTGATCAACCAAGTCCAAATTCTCCAACTCGTCTCCTTCTTCTTCATTCTCGTCGATTGTGGCATCTTTGAGTGTCAAGATCTGTCCATCGGTTCCCTCGTCAAAATCACCCATTTCATGAGCAACCCGTACGCCTGCGAGGTCTGCCGCGGTATATTCAGCGGCTCGATCTCGTTCGGCAAGCTCCTCAGCAAGTTTGCGGGCTCTTTCCTTTTCGATTTTCTTGGACAATTTTTTATGCTGCGATAGCCAAGCCTTTGTATCAAGCTCTCCTATTCCAACCTCCCCGAGACCCTTGCCTTCCAGCTTAGCATCGCGCTGTGCAAGATCGCGTGCTCTTTTAATGGCGGCATTCTTCTCCTGTCTTTTGCGCTTCGCCTCAGCCTCGTCTTGTAACTTTTGCCAGTTCTGAAATCCCTGAGCCTCACGGGACTCTAATGTACTTCCAGGCTCATCCTCATCAGGCGTGTCCTTTGTCTCTTTGAAAACCGGCCCCGAAGGCGCTTCTGCTCCAGGAACGGGGAGCGGTTTGAGGCCGAGGGCCACTCGAATTTTGTTGTTCTGCTCGATAGACAGCGCGTCCGCCATTTTTTCGAGTAAGCCCACTACTTGGCACAGTAAAGCGACAAACAGGGAAGGACGAACGTGCGTGGATGATGGATGGAGAGTCTGGCGACGCTGGCCCAACATCAAAAAGGCAAGCACGCCCGGCGGCGAACAAGGATTAAAAAGGTTTGTCCGTTCCGAGCCGAAGCAGGACTAGTGCCATTCTCGGGGGGGTCCACTATCCAAGCTAGCGTAGGAGTATTTATGCCGCTCAGAAATTTCTTTAACCTTCTCTTTTCCTTTTCTTCACCAAAACAAAGATCTGTGTTCGGCGATCCTGGCCAGTTTCCCTCTGCTCTGCAGGGGTGCAATTGTGTCCGGTTGATTACTGAGCAGCTCGACGACAAAGGAGCCATCCTCTTAGCCATGGTGTCAATTTCCTGTCGACAGATCTGAGATCGATGAACAGCTCTCAGTCCCCTCTTTCCTTGAGTTTCCAATCTCACGATTGGTGAGCTCGGTTGGAGATCTGAGTTGCTGTCGGCGTCATATTCCCACTCCCTTTACCGATTTGGCCGTCGGCTGCTGAGGTTAGGGAAAAACCATGACCAGCCAACATTCCCATCACTATCTAAGTGCCCTTGCACTGTGCTCTACGAAAGTCCTATCCTGGGAGGAAATAGTTGTACCAACCGAGATATGTGGTTGATCGTAAGACATCTATCGTACAAGTGGAGGGATTTTTGGGGGCAGATTGGAAAATCCCCCGTAGACGATGCTCTTCAATGCTTCGCGGTCTATCACGTCCTTCGTACCATCATAAGTCCATCCGTCCATTATCATAAAAGTTTGAGGTGACCGGTCACTTGATCAACCACTGTCTTGGGCCCTAAAATGCCCAGCACTGTTCTGCTTCCACTAGCTATTTGCGTTCGTCCAGCATCTTGGATCACGCGTGCGCAGAGACCTAGACTCATAGCTTGTGCTTGTAGCAAGAGCATATCCTCCTCTGTTTTGACCTGCAGTGCCACTTTTGCCTGACCTTGACGCTCCCACCGTCTGAGTATGGGTGAATTGGGAGACTTGGCGACGAAATATTTGTAACACGCGAGCGTGGCATGCGAACACTGAGCGGCGATTTTACCTGTCGACCACAAGATATGAACTCAACACGTTAGCGAAGTAGAGAGACGAAAAAAGAATGCAATATCAAATTCATGGAATTTTCTTTTCGGAAAGAGATGCTCTTTTCTATTACCCTTGCCCATGCCCAAGTCCGTCCGCACAACAAGCACGAGTTTCACTTCGTCATGATTCCCATCGAATGTTGCTAACTCGCCTACATCTTCAGCCTCCTCGTCCTCGGAGTCCTCGGAGTCCGACTCTTCATCTTGTGCTTTTCGAGTCGATTGTTTTGATCTGGCTGAAGAGGATGAGAATAGGCCGAGCGACGCACCTTGGCCTGCAAAGTAACCAATGACGCCGGCAATGACAGCGGTCGCAAAGACATAAGAAGCGGTGCTTGGGGGTATATGATCGGACGTGACTGGTGCGGCCATGGTGGATTTCTGGTGTATGTGATAATATTTATAGAGAGGAAATGTTGTCGGTCGGCTTGATCATTGGCAATGTTCAGATAAATTTGGAAGCTCCGCAACGGCGCTGGCCTGCTTGGTAACGCGTCTTGAAACCACAAGGCATGATTTTTACTCCACACCGCGTACGGAGTACTTAGCCCAAAAATCAAAGACTATATATACGTAACTATATATACATGAATATTATAGGTATAAATATACAATTTCTTTTTTAGATCCTACCATATTCAGATGCTAAAGCCGCCGAAACACAAGCAACATCAATTCTCAACTTCATGCCGAGCGGCAAAAGTGCCCCCCTATGAACCATTATTCCTATACATATATAATTTGTGAAAACAAGGGTTATTAATATTGCTTAAGGTTAATAAATTTGTGAATGAAATGCCACACGGGAGTTTTTTCTACCCACGACCGGCTATCTGGCCCGGGTTTGCCGCTCGACGGCCCCTGGATGCATCAAAGTCAGGATGGCACAATGACTCAAGACATAGTAAGAATAATGGCAACTCACATAATATTCCTGCTGAGAAAGCTCATACCAATCATCATCGCCCAGCTTGGAACCACACCGAAGCCGTAGATAACATAGCCAAGGGGTACGTTCAAGCCGTATTGGGCGAGGGCTCCATCCCAAGGATGAAGCCAGCCCTCATAACGCGGCTCGTTCTCGTACGTCTTCTCTGCATGGATGTTGTAGATAGTCTCCGGGGTGACGGTGGTGTGGTTTACGTTCACAACATGCAGAGGAATTTCAGGACGTGGCTCACCAGGGAGTGCCTGGGGAAGGTCGAGATGCCAAACAGTGGGGGCTGCAGCGGCCCATACGGAACAGAGAATCGGCTCCTGTTCGCAGTTTAGGTAGCCGAGGTTTGGTGATGTTGGGTCCGCTGCAAAGAGTGCAAGAGAGTCCTATACGAGGTTTCCAAAGAGTGGTTAGCTTTCCACGCGCGATCAAATAAATCATAGCTATAGATGGGTAATCACATTGTATGCATGCTCAGCCCTTAGGCATCGACCAAAGCATGTTTTGTTTCCACCAGTAAGGAAAATAAGCCATTCTTGTGGCTCGGTCGATGGCTCCAAGACATCCTTCCAGTTGTTGAAGGTGATCTGAGTAGTGGTCTTCTCCGCGATCTTGGCTGTGGACTTTTGGGCGGTTTGCTGGACGGACTCCGGAGCAACAGGAGCCTGTGGGATGAAAGACTTGACTTGATCGAACCATCCCTTAACCTGATCGTTAAAAGCATACTGTTGGTCCTGGGCAGCAACCAGGACTGGAAGCAGCGCGATTAACGAGGAGAAACGCATTCTGACGAGGACGGAAACCAAAGGGGTTCAGATATCAAGCAATCAAACAAACAATGAGCAAATCATACAAGCATAGAAGGAATTTATGCGGAATAGTGAATCGGAAAAAAAAAGGACAAGACAACACAGAAAGCAGTGGGCTTGTAAATGAAGAAATGATGGCAAGCTTGAGACAGGGTCGCGGATGAGGCTAGCTGTCCGGAAGGCGAGCTATGCTGAAAGGGGGGCCCGCCAGCACGTGCTGATGTATCCTGTATGGTCAATACCGTAAATAATCAATACCTCACCTGCATCGAACCAATCAATCGAGGAAAATACATGCCGACGTATTGCATGCGTATTATTATTAGTATCCTAAAATTACCGTTATATGAAATTTAGTCACGTAGTTAATTAGCCAGGGATGTAAAATTTAGTATGTACACAATGTTACTAATTAACTGTCGCTCATTGCTGAATGCTTGCGAAGAAAACTGCCTCATTTAGCAGGAGCGACTTCGGCGGCTAAGAAATTTTTCCAGGTTCCCCGGTTTTTGCCTCAGGACTCCCGCCGGTTGAGTCATCGTACCGCTTCCAGCCCCGCCTGCTTATGTATGACTCTTTCTTTCCCTTTTTTTTATATATAATTTCTTCGTCGTCGTCCAATTCTTTCTTTCTTCGAAGTTATTCCTCCACCCACGACCTTCATATTTGCCTCCACACCGTCCCGCAGATTTCCTTTCCTGAATTGAAAAGTATCCTATCTAAAAAATGTGTCCCGGCGCAGACAACTCTGCCAATGGCGCTGCTAATGGCAATGGAAAGGGTAACAGACCAGAGCTCACGTTCAATTGTTGTTTTATTTGTTGTTTTCTCATTTGAACATTGACTGACACCTTCATTTCGCTCCCAGATTTCAATTCCCATGAAGGCTTCACCGCTATTCAGACTCGCCAAAACCCTCATCCGTCCAGGAATCCCTACGGCCATAACGTTGGAGTCACTGATTTCCTGAGTAACGTCTCGCGATTCAAGATTATTGAGAGTACTTTGCGAGAGGGTGAACAATTCGCCAACGCCTTCTTCGACACCGAAAAGAAAATTGAAATTGCCAAGGCTCTTGATGAGTTTGGCGTCGACTATGTAAGTCACTCCCGGCTAGCAATCCTTTCGCGGAGTACGCACATTCGTGTGGAATTATTTGATATTAATGGCATTGTCCTTAGATTGAGTTAACTAGCCCTTGTGCCTCGGAGCAGTCGAGGCTGGACTGCGAGGCTATTTGCAAATTAGGACTCAAGGCCAAGGTAGGAAAATTCGATACCTCAACAGTCTTTACTCCAGCCTCTGATACTTTCTCAACAGATTTTGACACACATTCGATGCCACATGGACGATGCTCGTGTAGCAGGTACGGTGCTATAGCCCTCTTGCCGCCATTCTTTCACGCCTTTTGTCATCCGTCGTTCGTGCTAAAGGTACTGACATATGAGTCTAGTCGAGACGGGTGTTGACGGTGTGGACGTCGTCATTGGCACGAGCTCTTAGTGAGTAGAGACATTTTCAAGATTTTTGATAATTATAGTTCTAATTATCCTTTTAAACAGTCTCCGCGAACACTCCCACGGCAAGGACATGACATACATTACCAACAGCGCCATTGAAGTCATCAACTTCGTTAAATCCAAGGGCATTGAGATTCGGTTCTCGAGCGAGGACTCTTTCCGTTCAGGTAAGACATTCACCACTCTTATCTCATGCCTTTATATCCAGTCTTTTTTTTTCTCCACCCAAATGACTGGCCGCGATGGCATTGTACACATATACGGGGACTACAGCTAATCAACACCCACAGATCTTGTTGACCTTCTGTCAATCTATTCTGCGGTAGACCAAGTTGGTGTTAACCGAGTTGGTATCGCCGATACCGTTGGTGTAAGTCTCATTCCTCTACCACTTAATCTTATGAGGGGAATCGATCTTGCTGATAAACGGTAACAGTGTGCTTCCCCACGTCAAGTATATGAGCTCATTCGTGTGCTCCGAGGTGTCGTCCATTGTGACATCGAAACCCATTTCCATAATGATACTGGCTGCGCTATTGCCAATGCTTTCTGCGCCTTGGAAGCCGGTGCCACTCATATTGATACTTCCGTTCTTGGTAGGTGCCTGTTGTCCAGTCTTCGTCAATACATCCACTAATTGCTTCCTAGGTATCGGTGAACGCAATGGTATTACCCCTCTTGGTGGCTTGATGGCCAGAATGATGGTCCAAGCCCCTGATTATGTCAAATCCAAATATCGCTTGGAGAAGTTGAAGGATATCGAGGACTTGGTAGCCGAAGCTGTCCAGGTTAACATTCCCTTCAACAACTATATCACTGGGTTCTGTGCATTCACACACAAGGCTGGTATCCATGCCAAGGCCATTCTCAACAACCCCAGCACCTACGAGATCATCAACCCAGCTGATTTCGGCATGACTCGTTACGTGCATTTCGCGTCTCGCTTGACCGGATGGAATGCCATTAAGTCTCGTGCTCAGCAACTCAACATCCAAATGACCGACGCCCAATACAAGGAATGTACTGCCAAGATCAAAGCCCTTGCCGACATTCGTCCTATTGCGGTTGATGATGCCGACAGCATTATTCGTGCTTTCCACCACAACATCAAACTCGGTACTGATAAGCCACTGCTCGACCTGAACGAAGAGGAGAAGGCTCAATTCGCACAGAAGGAAAAGGAACTCGCACAAGCTCAAGCTCAAGCCAATGGCGAGGCTGTTTCCGCTTGAAGAAACCTGTCGCGAGACGCAAAAGAAAGCAAGCATATACTATCCGGCTTTCCCTTTAAATGTCTCTATCAAAAATTATACGATTTGAATGGCTGTTTTTTTTTTCGCTCTGGCGTTCTTTGGGTCACAGTGCTCCTGTCTTTCATTTTCTTAAACTCTTCCACGGTGGATTAGAAAAGAGTTGAAAAGAAAATAAACTGGATTTTGGCGTTCAAAGGACATGGTCGGCCCCTGTATATAAAATCAGGATTTGCAAACGGTCCATCTCCGGTGATCTTGAAAACATCTGGTGTACCTCAAGGGGGAAAAGTTTTTGTCATTCCTGAGATGTATCTTATTTTTCTTTGGTTTTTGTCCCCAGTACAAAGCTGGTTTCAATGCAATACTAATGAAATAACCTTAGAACAATTCATGTAGCTCTTGCTGTACGAACCTTCTACGTAAGTGGCAGCTTCATAGAGTAAGCATCTCGACACTCCCTTTCAAAGATCTTAGTACCTACTAATCTGTGTGGGGGTATAAAATGCGAAATAATATATCCCATATCAACGTCAGGAGATATCACAAAGGTATTTCATTGGTGGTTAATTGCTACTTTGATGTTACATAAATGCATTAAGGCAAATTATGCTGCCTGAGGCCAAGACCCATAAATTGGCAGACGTCTTGAGCCGAGGCGCGCCTTCCTCGCACGAGCTTCAGATCGCAACGACTGCCGTTCGAATTGATTCACACAACGACCTCTTCGTATAACTACAGCATAGTCATAGCTCACTGCTCGCATCCATTTATATATCTTATGAATCCATCACCGGCACTCTCCTTGCACAGCCTTTTCTTATATCTGTAGCAAGCTTGCTTGCCATGGCGTCATCACTTATTCCTGCATCCATGCAGGCCAGAATCATGGCAGGTTCGCCCCGAAACCTGTCGGGCGCTGTTGCAATGCTGAATCTCGACCTGTAAGTTTGGAAGCTTTGCTTTATATTTTATTATTGCTTTGTTCATTTGCTTGATTGCCCGAAATCTGACTTGTGGTGAACAAACAGTCTTAAAAACGTGGTTTTCCTCTTCTTCGTTCTTCGATACACTCGCAAGACCTTCGACTCGCTTCGCGGCTATGGTATTATTGGAAGTATCAAAAGGGTCTATGCTGCTATCAAATTATGGGCCTTCTATCTCTTTTTGCGCGCTCCCGGCGTTCGCGGCCAGGTGGACAAACAGGTCACAACTGCCCTCACTAAGCTCGAGGAGAAAATGGTTCGAAAGGGTCCTGGAATTACAAGCTACCTCGCTCTGCCAAAAGAGGGTTGGACATCTGAGCAAATTCGTACTGAACTTGCGCAACTGGTCGGTATGGAGCATGCCAAATGGGAGGAAGGACGCGTTAGTGGTGCCGTTTACCACGGAGGTGAAGATCTTTCGAAGCTTCAAACTGAGGCTATCGGAACATTCAGTGTCTCTAATCCTCTTCATCCTGACGTCTTCCCTGGAGTTAGAAAAATGGAGGCCGAAGTTGTTGCCATGGTAGGTAACCCTACAGATCAAGTTCTTGTTCATCTGAGGTTGATGCTGATTCGATACTACATAGGTCCTCTCGCTATTTCATGGTCCATCAGATGGAGCTGGTGTCACAACTAGTGGCGGCACAGAATCCATTCTAATGGCTTGCTTGGCAGCCAGACAAAAAGCTTATGCTGAACGGGGCGTAACAGAGCCAGAAATGTAAGCTTTGTCAGCTATAATGCTAAGGAAGTATTACTGATAATTGCAGGGTTGTTCCCGAAACTGTGCATGCAGCTTTTTTCAAAGCTGGTAGCTACTTTGGCATCAAAGTCCATCGTGTGCCTTGCCCAGCCCCTGAATATAAAGTTCATATCCCCTCGGTTCGTCGATTGATCAATCGCAACACAGTGCTCATTGCCGGTTCGGCTCCCAATTTTCCACATGGCATTGTGGACAATATTCCAGCTCTTTCACGACTCGCTGTTTCATATAAGATACCTCTCCACGTTGACTGCTGTCTCGGTTCCTTCATCATTGCCTTCCTCAAAAAGGCGGGCTTCCCATCACCTTATGAAGAGGAGGGTGGATTTGATTTCCGTCAACCAGGTGTGACTAGTATCAGTGTTGACACCCACAAATATGGGTTCGCCCCCAAAGGAAATTCCGTTCTAATATATCGCAACCGGTCGTACCGGAATCATCAATATTTTATCTTCCCTGACTGGATAGGAGGAGTATATGCGTCTCCGTCAATCGCCGGGTCCCGTTCTGGTGCCTTGATTGCGGGCTGCTGGGTGAGCTTGATGACTATTGGAGAAGCAGGCTATATTGCCAGTTGCCATCAAATCATGGGTGCGGCCAAGCAATTCGAAACTGCAATTCGAGAAGACCCAATTTTGTCGGCCAACATCGAAGTCATAGGAAACCCTGAAGTCAGCGTGGTTGCGTTTGCAAGCAAGAACATTGGAATTGATACTTATGATATTGCCGACGCCATGTCAGAAAAGGGATGGCACCTTAACGCACTTCAAGATCCTCCCGCCATTCACGTGGCATTCACCAGACCGACAGCTCTGGCTGTGGAAAAGTTGCAACTCGAGTTGACTGAAGTGATAACTGCAGAGCTCGAGAAAGCTGAGGAAAGGAAAAGGCAAGGAAAATCATTCGCTAGGCAGCGAGGTAATACTTCGGCCTTGTATGGTGTGGCAGGTAGCCTTCCAGACAAGAGTATTGTAAACCGTTTGGCTGAGGGGTTTCTTGATGCACTGTACAAAGCATAAATCGTGTTGGTCAACTTGCGACAAGTTTCTGGCAGAATTTGTACACGTCGCGAGGGGATGTATGCGTTGTATCATTGGTTGGCGTACGGTTACGGTCTTGGGATTATTCTTGTTAATATTATTATGATTGATCAGTGAAGACTATAAATACATTCATGATTCATCCTTTGTCTTTAATATACAATAGTAGCGCCTTGATATCCGTGGACATGCAACTGAACCCCAGTAGACTCAAGAGGTGGATTTGAGAAATTCAGATGATCTTTTTAAAAGACGTCCTTTGGGATTTTCGATGCCCATATTCCATCCATCTACGCTGGCCAAGACTGGCGCATATAGCTTGCCACGTTTATCGAAAAGAAAAACCAATCACCATTCACCGACAAAATCATTTATAACGACCGCCTCGTCTCGCCTCAAACTCCTCGTCTGCTCGTTGCTCGACATAATATCCCGGATCCGGTTTCCGTTGCAGATGCACTTGCGCTTTTGTGAGCGGTTCGTCAACTTCCTGAACCGATACCAATTCTTTCACTTTCATGATTTGACCGGCCACGTCCTGTGACACAGGGTAGAAGACGGTTGCCATTCGCTTTTTCAGTCCGAGGGCGTGTAAGACCATGTTTTTGCGTTGCGGGAGACCAATGGCCGATCGCATGAGTGTGATTCTGAAGTAAGTCATTTTTTTTTTGGCTCGCCGGTCGGTATAGGTGGAGTTTGGCAGCGTAAGATAGGACTATAGGAATTGATTGCGTCTTTTGTTGAATAATTAGGTTATGAGCGTTGACGTTTGGCTGAGAGATCGATTAGGAGACTTTTCGAGGACGCTCTCTCTTGCTTTTTTTCGCTGAAAGCCAGAAACTCAGCGTGTATTTTAGATTGAAGGCAGATGGTTCAATCCACTCGTGCATAAAGTCAAGGATTTGTGTGAGTGGATTGAATTCTTCGTCTGGAGAAAGAAAATCCCTCTGGAAGTTTGCGCCGTCGTACACTCATCGTAGTTATTTGGTCGTCGCTTTAAACGGCCATGCTCATGTGACTTCTGCCAAGACTTTCTACTCTATTTCCCCTTTCTTCTCACATTTCGGACTTCACTTTTGCAAGAAAGCGAACAAGCTTACACACCTTCATTAAGCCTATAATTACTTCTTTTATTCGCGCTGAACTCTTGAAGATCTCCCCGTTATCCGATGCATAATGGATTGCCCTCAGACTCGATGCCGACATGTTTAAAAACAGATTTATAGTTCATACCTTGAAAGCTTCACGAACAGGACAAAATATTTGCAATAGGAATTTTCCATGACAGTCCATGCTCCCTGCTCGGAACTCGATGGCCCAGGTACATTTATGAGCAGTTCTGGACTCTCAAGGGAATACTAGGACGCTCAATCTACCTTGATTCAGATCATGCATCATATAGTGAGTAATTAAGAGTATACATCTAACATGGAAATATTAGCCGAATCTAATGGAGATTACTAGCCACCTATGTTGGATTTCGATACAACTCGAATAGCTTCACGAGTAGAACGTCGTCGCCAACAAAACAGATTGAACCAGCGTGCTCGTCGTAGGTCTTTCTTGCTCTTCTCATTATCAATATAGGTACATACTCAGACACCTTTGGCAGGTTTCAGGAAGAAAGTACAAAATGCAAAACCAGAAAGTGCAGAAGCCAGCAATGAGCTTAGGAGTAGTCCGTATGGGATTTTGGTCCCGTCATCATCCCGATGTACTACTATTCAAGTGACGACCAACTTCGATCAACCAGCAGCGGTACTACCCAATTTGCATATACCAAACTACATCGTCCTCACGCAGCTCAATGTGTGGCAAGCGACACTTATTAACAGTTTGATCTTGGGAATCTCGCATTTCTTCACTGACGAGGATGATGCCGATAATAACAATGACAGTCTAACTGAGATCGAGGACCTCTCATACCTTCCGCATTATCTCTCACCTCCATCTCCGAAGGACTCTTTATCGTCATCGTCATTACGATCTCCGACAAAGACGATTCCTCCGTCCCTTAGGCCCACAACACTTCAACAAACAATCCCCCATTACCCCTGGATTGATCTGATACCTTTGGCTGGCTTACGCGACAGCTTGATCCGCGCAGGCCCCAGGCTTGAGGTACATGATTTCTGCATGGATATTATGGGAGACATGTTCCATACACAGCCACTGGATCATAGCGGCAGTGCTGCATCTCAGGGCGGATTGCTTGTCTGGGGTGACTCGTGGTTGATCGAGTCATGGGAAATGACGGAGGTATTTGTGCAGAAATGGGGCTGGTTACTGGATGAGGGATGCGAGGAGATTGTGAAGGCAACAAATCGGTGGAGAGAAGGGAGGGGGGAGGACGAATTAGTTGTTAGATCGTGATCTGTCCGTATTGCAAATGGCGATACGTGGGATCCAGTGTATATATACATATAGATTATCTCTTTTTCTGCACCTCGCTACAGACATGAGGCTCTTCTAAAGTGATTCTTAGCATCGTTAAATCTTTTCTCCGTGATGTGATTATTTCGATTGGTGAGTTCGGGTACCCATTGATATGTGATATTAGGGTTTTGGTTCTTTGAAGGCAGCACTTACAACCATATCGATTGATCATAATGACATACGACACCTAACAAGCAATATATTTCACTTTGTGCTATCGATCGATAGAAGAGAATCGTGATCATAATTCAAAACGACATCCCCGAGATGTGTTGTATTATATGTGGTACTAAACTAGATGCTGCCCATTGCAGTATCTTTCAGCAGGATATACAATGGGAAAAGTATGAAGATCAAGGAGCAGTCTTCCTGGATTCAGAAGAGCTAGAGAACGTATCGACCAGCCATTGGCAGAGTTTATATCGCCTAAGTGACTTCATCCCTTGATACTAATCCTGAGGAGTTGGCTCATGGCCACAAGTTATATGATATAATATATAACTCATATCATTTGACTGCACAGCTCAGTATGGTTTGGACAAAGAGAATCTCTGGCTTTCCGGTATAGGGTATTTCACCTACGAATCATGGGGCCGGTCGTCAGTGCCGATAGAACTGCAATAAAGCCTTTATAGCAAAGCGGGCAGACAGGGCTATATCTCGGGACGATATACCTCTTACAAAATTCTGTTCTTCTGACGATATTTGCTGGCGGATGGGTACAGTCTCATGGAAGAGTGATCGTCGTGAACTACCGTTTGCAGTGCATATGAGTTGCTGGAAATTGGATCTATTAACATGGGTTCGACTATTGAGGACAATTTTAAGCTATTTACAGCAATATCATTGCGGAATGCCAGAGAGATTACCCGACAGGATGGCAGAACTATTAGACATCTTCCCATTCGCGTATCGAGTAAGGGCCCTGGAACATGAACCACGCATATTAATACCTAGGCATAATTGAAGCTAACAAGAAATACAGAAGCTAAGGCACTCTATAGATATATTGACTCTCGTGAAGAATTAAAAGATCCGTATAGGGTTCCGGTGGTGAAGAGGATCATCGCCCAAAGCAGGGAGATCAAGACGCATGATCTTGCGCAATCCAGGAAACCGAAAGAAACCAGAAATATATGACTTACCGCCTGAACTATTGTATTATCAGATGATGGATCGGCTTGAATGCAAAGAAATCTTAGACCTGGAAATCGCGTTCCAAACTGCCATTCCATATTCCTACTGGCGTCAGAGAGTCTCGTCCAACCTTGTTCCTGAATTTCATGAGATTTTAGAGGATAATATCAATTATGCACCAGACTGGAGGCAATCAGTAAGAGCAAGAGGTTCTCGTCACGACGTTATGTACTGGCGATTCTACAGAATGTGAAACGAAAATACCTACAAACCCTGAACACAAAAATCATGCCCTGTTTGAAGAAGGAGATGGCTCAAATTGAAGATGAAGTTCTTGAGCATAATGTCCGCTAGCATGGTTTTGACCATATGATGAAAGTAGAGTTGAGTTTGGCATGGTGGATTGCCTCGAGCTTGAAGATTTTGATCAGGGCCACTGCCTACGGAACATTCCATTGAAAAAGATATATTTGAGACGTCTACTGGTCTTGGAAACACCTTGTAAAGAGTCAGTTAAGTAGATCATCCGCATATAACCATGAATAGTGGTGTTAAAACAAGGACAATATTACTTCCAACTCAAGTCACCAATAAAACCCAATGAAATTCCCATATAGGATCATAAACGGGGGGAGTAAGAGTTTCCCAAGAGATCATCATAAGTCTCATAACTTGTTCCATGTAGGACTGCTGCAAGCCCCTTTCTTACAATAATGATCCGTGTCTCTGAGTCAATCCTTGACACCTATTCCATTAAAACGTCACACAATCGTACTAATAGCCCTACCAGCTTTGCGGTAGCACATGTTTAAGTATAAGCATATCCTAATCCTGATAGACAGAAATAGGTAGGCAGAGCTAGTTATAGTTTCCATTGCAATTCTGTGATAGTTAAGTAGTCCCTTTCTTTCCTTTCCATTCTACAGTATTCGACAATATTTCATATCAACGACATCATCAACATCGACTACGAGAACGTTGAATAGGGCCTTCCCAATTTGGTCTTAGGGTTATGCAAGGTGATGACGCGCTAGCCTGTAAATGGTCTAGCTCTATAATCATGTTTTCCGAGTTAGGCAATTATGGAAATGACAAAGAAGCACTTCGAGCACCTCGTCCACGACCTCATAAAGGGAGGGGGGGAAAGACCTTTACTTTCTTCTTCTTCTCAGAACTTCTTTTACGTCTTTGTTTTTTTATATCTTAACAATAGCATGTCATCAATGTCGTCACCAAAGTCTGTCTTAATCACCGGCTGCAGCACCGGCGGCATCGGTCATGGTTTAGCCCTAATCTTCCAGCGCAAAGGATTTATCGTCTTTGCGACAGCACGCGACATCTCAAAAATGAGCGACCTTGGTGCCTTACCAAACATTCATTTGTTGGCACTGGATGTTACGTCTAAGACTAGCATCCAGGAAGCAGTGAAAAGCGTAGCCGCTTTGACGGACGGACGAGGGTTGGACATCCTAGTTAACAACTCCGGTCAGCAATATACAATGCCCATGACGGATATTGTGGAAGAGGAAGCAAGACGGATGTTCGACGTTAATTTCTGGGGCGTGTTCGCGGTGACCCAGGCCTTTGTGGACATGGTGATTGCGGTAAAAGGAGTTATTGTAAATATGGCAAGTATCTCGGGTTATTGGTATACGCCATACATGAGTATGTTTCTTTTACGTCCTACACATCTATCTAACCTACCTACCTACCCACATTATGACATACGCTGATATACATGTCCCTAAAAGCTGTTTACAACGCATCCAAGGCTGCTCTGGTAATGTTTGGCGAAACCCTACGTCTCGAACTCAGTCCTTTCGGTGTTCGGGTCGTATCAGTCATCGCAGGCGCTGTCGATACAAATATTATGCGGAACTCTCCTGTCCCAGAGTTGCCAGAGTCATCGCGATATTTTGCTGCTCGAAAACAGATCATTGATCTAGCGGCTGGGGCTGATAATGATGGCTTAAAACGGATGTCTGTTAAGGCATTCGCTGAGAAAGTGGTGAACGATGTTCTTCAAGGTGCCAATGGCAGGATTTGGAGGGGAGAATATTCATCTATCGTACGATTGTCTAATGTTATGATGCCGACTGCGGTGTTGGTAAGATTGTTTTCTTCATTTCCTCATTCCAATTAGTTGGCTTGAATGCTCATTATGACTGTTGTTCTTATACGCAGGATAATCTATTGTCGAAGAGAAGGGATTAGATATTCTTTCCGGCTAGACGCTAGTTGATCTCGCTAGAGTGCTCAATACCTACATTTACCGCTCAATCTGGGGTCAATGTAGGGCGGTCAGACTCGCTCCTTTATGATGACGAAGGTCTAATTCTGTTCGTGACTTGGTATGGGGGAAATTCTTGATCGCGTCGGCTGTAGATATGTTGCTATATACCGATAAGCTGGCGTACTCGTAGACCGCTAGGCCTTTGGTATTTTTCACTACTTGAAGTTTGGCGTCCGTACTCTTGGAGAAATCGCCCATCGACAAGTTTTTGGGATCATATATATACTGTACGGTGCACCTGTGCGAATTTCAACTCAAAATGTCCACAATTCTACAGATCTTGCAGAGCAATTTCCAGCAGGTAACCTGCTTGATGTACAAAAACCCCATTAAAAAATCTTCTATTCGAGGACGTCTAGCAAGCAAGAAGCTAACAAACTCATTATCTAGCCAAGAGAGAACGAAATCCTCGTAGAAGCACCTGTCAATCTAGAAGCCCTCTCCTCTTTCAGACCTCTTCTCCGCCTGCTGATTCAAAACCATGTCATTCGGAGCTATTCATACGACGCTATTCGCGACGAAATCCATTTGGTCTGCGCCACTCAACGCGACTAGGAATAATACAGATGCTGCGGCAGTTGTGTGGGAAGTTTCATTCGACAGTGATCAGTTCTGTTCAAGTTACCTTGGTGGAGCAGGCTCTGGCGGAGCAACAGCTTGCACGTCAGTAGGTTCCGGCGGAGCTGAGGGCTTCGACTCTGACAACAGTGGAAATTTGGGGGTGAGAATCTGGTCGAACACCGGTTGTGCTGTTACTTTGGACCCTGTTACTAGGTCTGTAACCTACAGTTTGACTGGTTTCAAGATGCAGTCTTATCAGATAATTGGGGCCCGTAAAAACGTGTTATGTTAATATGTGAAGACATCTGTGAAGATATTCCCAACATGGACGTTTGGCTTTTCTTCGCTCTAGTTGGTTGGCTGGTTTGTTTGTACGTACCTGGGAGAGCACTTAAGATACTGTAATGAAAAATATACACCATTAGAAATCCATCTAATTTTCTGAGTACATATGGCGGAGAATGGCTCTCCGCTGCTGGTTAGCCAACAATCCTCTATCTTCTAGGCGCGATATATAAAACGACTACACTGGCATACTAACTATCCCCTAACCCCCTCTGGATCGCTAACATTTTTGCAGGCCAACGCAGGGCCATCCATTTGGCCCTATTGCTTGGATAGGTTTTCGCTTATGAAGGTAGTGTAGTGTAGTTGTAATCTGCATGAATATTAAAGACAGCGAGGAAGAGTGCTAAGGTGGTAGATTTGAAGGTAGGCTGTGCGACTAGTTGATAATAACCAGGGCGAAGTAGTGAGGTGGTAACAACCTACAGTGGAGAGAAAAATAGCATCACCACTGACCAAAAAAAAAAGGCTATCTACTCATAAACGTCAATCTAGTAACAGTGACCTTTGACATTTATAAGTAAACAGCTGCCCCTGTAATTGCCAGTAACGAGCTATATTCATCCCTTTACTTTCTTTTAGATAAAGAGAAAGGGGCTATCGGATTTGTTTCACTTATTTCAACTCCTTCATCCAATCCTCACCTAGCACGGGTTCCTTTGGACTTCTTCTGCGGTTAGTTTAAAGCAGTTGAGCCCAATTGGAAGTATGTGCCATCACGTATTAATATCTGGGCTTCTTGAATGTCTGCTCTCACCTTCAAAAGGTGGGCGTATTGATTGACTTATCCATATCAATTTCCCTGCTCTGCTCTATTGGTAGATTAGTTTCTATGAGCAAAATCCACAACTAGCCGAAGTGACCACGTAGTGACCAGTAGCAGGAGTCACAGTTGACTGAATGATCTTCTATATCAAACAAGAGAGCACGAAATAGTCGACAAAACTTGGGTAGTTGCTGATTACAACTAGGTATTTGACTTGGCTAACTAGCGGATACGTAGTAATTACAAGAGGAAGGCGGTGAGTCATGTGACTTCGAGTCAAGCTAGGCCACATGTTTGATTGGGCCTCACCTCTAGCTGCATCGCGAGACTAGAGAAGCAGAGAAAGATACAGAGTTCGGGTTCTTTGACTCGAATGTGTTCTTCCACAGCATTTGGTTCGATAACGGAGACCAGATGATGTTCCATTCCAAGCATTGAAAGTCCGGACAATTACCCAGTCGTCTACCAGTGCCTGGGATCTGTGAGATTAACCATAGGGACGTCCGGAAATACGGAAAACGACTGGCAGCCCTCAAGATTCACAATGGTAGGAACCGAGGCGCTTGAGAATGCAGTTGCCATTCCGCGGCTTGCGGAGCTATTACGACATCCGGAAGACTTGGATAAGATACCTTCATTGAAACTCGAATACCAGCGCAAGAAGGCGGCGGTAGACGCGCAGCTACGCGAAGGTCTGCGAGATCAACTCGAACATGTGCAGCAAAGCTTGGCTGTTCTGACTGAAGGCCAGCGTCAGGTCTCAAAAACGCGCGATGAGCTCCAAGGTATCGATAAATTATGTGCCGAGTCGCAGGCGACGGTGGAAGACTTCTCGCAAATCGACAAGCTCGCAAGGATACAACGGAATTTTGAAGCTGTGGTCATGATGAAAAAGGGACTGGAGAATTTTGGGTCAGATCTTGCAAGGGCAGAAGATTTGCTTCGTGATGATGATGATGATCTCGAGAACCAGCCCAATCTCCTCAAAGCGCATATGTTGATATCCCAGTTGCGGGATTTTCGTGATGAGGCTCTGGACCAAATCAGAAGAGCCAGGGATCAGAGTAGTGAGACCACGCTGCTTGATTACTTCCAGGGTCTCGACTCAGTTATCGATTGGTTTGATGACCACGTGGGAACCGCCTGTATGAATCTCATTCCACTTCTGCAGTCGGACAACAACGGCATGGTAGTGAGACTGGCTATTGTAATCGCGAAGGAGGAGAAAAATGATGCTCAGGTACGAGCTCTGCAGGAGGCTCAGAGAGATCATGAGGAACTTGCAAACAGATTCAACTCTATGAACATAGGACCAAAGACGGTTAGAGGCTACAAAGAAAAGTTTATCAAGGCTATTGAGTTTTACGCCCAAAGCCAGTTTGATGCAAGCAAAGAAGACTTCCTGGGAGATCCCGATAGTCTTGAGAAGAGCCTCAAGTGGTTCTTTAACGATTTGTTCACCGTCCAGCAAGGGATGCAACAGCTCATGCCGAAGAAGTGGAAGATATACAGTACATATAAAAATATATACCACCAGATGATGCATGATTTCTTTATTGGGCTTGTGGATGATCCCGAATTACCGCCAGACAACTTACTGGTCATTCTTCATTGGTTGCCGAAATATTACAAGAAAATGTCAAAGCTGGGCTGGAAACCAGCGGATTTGACGCCGAATATTCTGGATGACCGCGAGCCTGAGCTGATTCGCCAATGGCAGAGCGTCATCCTCAATGCTGTGGACGAATGGATGAATCGTATCTTCGCTACTGACAAGAAAGCACTTCTCGAGCGTTCCTCTGACGCCTTGGAGACGAATTCAGATGGCTACTTCCGCACCAAAACATTGGGAGATATGTGGCGAATGCTCAACGAACAAGTCGGCGCAGCATCGGCATCTGACCGCGCCGATGTCATAGAAGGCATCATGGACTCGATGTTCCGAGCTTTGAAATCTCGACAAACAGATTGGCAGATAGTTTTTGATGAAGAGTGTGCCAAATATAGCAACGCCAGCCCAGAGCATGTGGAAGGTTTGCAGCCTCTACAAGACTGGTTGGTTGCCGTGGCAAACGATCAGATTGCATGCATTGACGACAATGAAGAAACCGGGCAAGTCGGCTATCTCACTCGGTTCAAACGTGATATCGAGTCGCTTGTTACTCCAAACTACATGGATGAACGAGCTGCAGTTGAAATCGACGCTCTTCGAAACGGATATGTGGATCTAAGCACTCACTGCCTCAGTCAATTTGTCAATCTTATCTTCGAAGTCGATTTCCGCACCACACTTCCTGATTTCTTCACTGCCAAATGGTACGGAGAATTTGCAATCAAGCGAATGACCTCAACTTTTGAGGACTATATTTCAGACTATGGATCTATTTTACACCCTTCGCTCACGGAAATTTTAATTGAAGAGCTATCAGACGAGCTTCTCGTACGCTATTTATCTGCAATTCGCAACCGCGGGGTCAAATTCCGCCGCCAGGATCCTTTCACAGAGAAATTCAAAGACGACATCCTTACCGTCTTTGATTTCTTTCAGAAATTCCCCGACTCATTTCAAGCCACCATTAAAAATAAATGGCGGCTTGTCGACTGGCTTGTTCGGCTGCTAGAAGCCGAAAAGGGTGCTGGAGTGGTGAATGTGTACGAGGCATTGAAGTACGAGTATTGGGACTTACAGCTGTCCTGGGTAGAGGCTGTGCTTCGCACGCGTGACGATTTCGAGCGTTCAATGGTCAGTTCTATCAAAGCTAGGGCTGCAGAATTGAACGTTGAGAGGGGCCTAGAGACGATTATGAGTAAAGTGAGGTAGTTTTCATACTTTAAGCGGACAGCTGTTTCCCCTCCCTCACGAATTGATGAGCAAATGAGCGTGTTAGAAGAATAATGTATACCAAAGGCAGTTTCAGAAGCATTATCTATATAATAGGTTGTATATAAGCACGGGCTGGAGTACAAATTTGATTTATCCAAATATGAAAATCATTCAATACCCTCTCATCCTGTAACCATAATTCCCGATTATATAAAACAAACATTATTCCAACTCATTCGAACAGCTTCTTCTCTGCCACAACACGATATTCCTGGCCCAACCTTGCAGCCAAAGAACCGCTGTTTTCATTTGGTTTCTTAGCACCCATTTCACAGATACACAGCCTCTCAATTGGAACATTTCTTGCCCAGATGAAGGGGTGCTTTAAGGTTTGCGACTGCGGAATAGCATGATCACCCTTTCCATGCTCCGGTAGCTGCTGGATAATGGCTTTAGACGGATGAGCTTCCTCTTCTGACGATAATGACGCAGATTCATCGTCGTCGTCATCACTTTGCCCCGTTGTGCCATCGCGGGCAAGATCTAAAGGTGTTCCAGTTTCGAATATGTCATCGGTAGGAGGTTGTTTCTCTTGCATGCATGTACCGTCAGTATAAAAATCGCGATAATGTGCTAGGATGTCGCGAGCGTCGAATGTCAAAGGCCCATTAAACTTGCGGCGTTTCCTTGCTCCGCTGCTATGATGAGGATTTGGCCCGCGGCAGGCGTAGATCGTATTGACAAGAGTAGCATGTAGCAATAATGGTCTGAATTTGGGCTTTTGTTGTAGAAGGCACTCTTTTTCGGATTCTGCAGCCATGATATTTCCGTTTCCATTATCGTTGTCAACGCCATTGCCACTGTGTGCAGGAGGCTTTTTCGGAGCTCTACTTTTTTTGTCTTTACTTTTCTTGGGTCGTTGCTTGACAAAATCCTGTTCGATGAAGCCCGCATTCACAAATTCATTGCGAATCTTGACTGCAAATGGGTGTAATCGAGACGTTGGATCTATTGGATGAGCATACAGTACAGTTGCTGTTTTTGCTCTAGGCAGTGATTCCAAAGACTCTAGAGATACTGAAATTGGTAGACTATGACTCTGCGTAGTCTGAATATCCTCCTTTTCCCCGTGGTAATTTCTATTGTTGTTTTTGTTGGAGTCTGAGAGTTCTGACTCCACCTCTTGCAATAATCGACCCACGTCTAATGACCGTAGCAGTTCCGCAGCTTCTTCAACGCGTGCTGGCGTTGGCAGACTCATGACGCCCAAGGTCAAATGGAGAGTACCTAATGGTCGGACTGCAGAGTCTGGGAAAAGTTGCGGACGTGGTTTTGCCGGATGATCATCTAGAGTTTTGCGTCTGGGTGGAATGCTGCGCTTGAAGTTGATTAACGAGACCTCTAGTAGAGGTAAGGAGGTCTCTGAGACAAGTGGGAGACACAAAAAGTGCGTAAGAGCAGGTCTCTTCTGCTTCTTCGTCTGTATGGTATGTTCGTTCTGCTGCTGCTGCTGTTGATCGGGGGTGGAGCTTGCAGGCATGGTCGTGACCGAGGCCATCTTTCGTGTCGTTGAAACTAGGATTGGCGGGACAGAGGCAGTACTGACTTGGTTCGTGGCTGGATAAATGTTTCTGATATACTGTGAGCCTCGATGCCCAAGCAATATGCGCATTATCCGTTATGATTGATGTTGGCATACATGCGTACTGTGATGTCAGAATGCGGTTTCAGATGTGAATTCAGCCAAAAGTCGATACGAACATGGGTGTTACTAGTTCAATCGCAATACTTCCCTCTCGTAGACGAATTTGTCTTTATCGAGGACAGTTGCAAGAAAACATAAAATTGTTGAGGTGAGTCTTGACAGTCAGCTGTGGCTGTAAATAAATGACGAGTATCGATACATACTAATACAGCGTAATTTATTCGTCGGTAACGTTGCATATGACGATTATATCATCTTTCCCCTCAGAGTTAACTACCTTGGTAGTTAGCCACAACATCCGCATTGCGTGAGAGACTTATACCTTAAAGTCATAGCAATTCCTTCAGCATCTTCCAAAGCCAGCAGTCAGTTTTGCACAATGCTTTCCCGAACCACACGAGCTTCACTCTTCCGCCTGCAGCGCAGCGCAGCTCCTGCAGCCAACAACTCCTCATCAAGACCGCGTGTTGTTGCGCTTCAACAGCTTCAAACACCGAGCCATTTCATCCAGCAGAAGAACAAGGCTTCGAGTCCTTGCCGCAACTTCCATTCAACCCCGGCCGTCCACAAGGGGATTACGCCAGACTCGTCTGACCCGAAACCACCAAACCCACAGCCAACCAACGGCAATTATGTTGTTGAAGCAACCCCTTTGTCCGACAAGGATTACCATGAGGTCTCAGAACATTATCTAGAGGTGTTATTGGCCGAAGTAGAGCGAGTGCAGGAGGACGGTTCAGATGTGGAGGCCGAGTACAGTGTATGTTATCATTCTCTAGGGTCTCTGTTTTTCTTTCCGCGACGATGCGATTGCTGATTGCTAATCTTTCACCTAGGCCGGTGTCCTCAATATCATCGTCCCTGGAGTCGGCACATACGTCCTCAATAAGCAACCGCCAAACCATCAAATCTGGCTGAGCTCGCCAATTTCCGGTCCCAAACGCTACGACTGGGTTCTTCAAGGGGATAAGATGTATGAAAAACAGGATACTCGAGGCTTTATCAATGGGCAATGGATCTATTTGCGCGACGGATCCAATTTGACGGATTTATTGAATGATGAATTGACCTTGTCGTTGCCGGAGGACCTCTACTCGGTGCAGGAAGATTAATATTGATATCCGTGTTGTATACTATGACATAGCAGCTTGAATCGATTATCTTTAGGTGAAGCGAGAAAATGTTGATTATTTGATTTCATAGCCAATACCTCAACCCAACAATAACTCAACAGTCGCTCCGCTGACTCGTTCCTCGGAGCTAACACCTTGGTAGTTGCCAATCATCTTAGAAGGGGTATAGCCTTATGCTGCCTTCTTATTATGACACTTTCTAGACCTTCGCGTGGTGAATCGTGAGTGCGCCTGGAAATGGGCGCAGCATATCAAACCCCCCACAACAATCATAATCGGAACGGCCCATGACCAATTTTCAGATTGTAAACCTGCCTTGTCCAAATACAATCGGCGATTTGAGGGGAGTCGAAGACTCGAGGCATCGAGAACACCTTGTGAGTAAGTCTGTACGGCCTGTACGTATGGTCGGTTCGTACGGTCAGCCAGCCTTGACAAAAACAAACGACCTGCACCATATGTTTTGCTCATCCATGGTTTGTCTCGCATCGGAGGACATTTCTTTTACTCATGCCTGAACCTTGACCTCGGTAGAAACTTCTGGCTTTTCTTCCGTCACCAAATCATTCTATACAAAAAATCCCCCCCAAAAATCAGCATTATTCAGATAGAACTAGACAGCGCTCTGCACTCACAGCATCGAAAATAACCCGAATCATCAAACTACAACTCGGACAAACAGCAATCTCCTCTCCGTCGCGCAGCGAATCGATAGAAATTTCAAATCGGTCGCCGCAGGGACACGGGTAATGATAGATTTCGAGATTGGGATCATATGTCATGTCCTCGATTTCGATTTCGTCGTAGATGGAGATTTGGTCGTCATCCGCCATTTTCTTTTCCTCCTCGTTTCTTCGGGTAGTTGTAGATTGCGGGGTTGAGGTGGCGAGGACCTTTTTTGCATAAAAAGAGGATCGCGAAATGTATTTATCCTTGAATGAGTATAACCCACAGCTCGAAGATAACTCTGTCGTTCATCTAGTAGAGGGGGAAATTAGTCTGGTGCTGGTTGTCGCCACTCTGAATAAGTTTGTTGGTGAAGCCAAAAAATATCTTGCGGCGAACCGGCGGAGCGAAAAAAAGGTCCACGTGATCATTTCGCATGTATACGAAAGTGATTGAAATGAAACATTTCATTCAATTATATCTCAATTTCTTTATCTCCATCTGAATAACTTCCACTTCTCTTGCCAAATCTCCATATCGTCGTGCAATATGCGCCATTGGTCCTGGTGCAGCTTTGCTGTTATTGTTATTCCTGTTAATGCCAACTTGATCAAACTCTTCTAATGTTTGGGACGCTATGGTCTTCTTCTCCTCAAGACTCTTCTGGACCTCGTATAAATATGTGCGGTAGTTCTTGAGTGCCATTGTGCTTTCGGGGGTGTATATGGTGGATAAAGTCTCGAGCTTGGTTACCCTGTAAACAATAGTCTCAATAAGACCATCTTTTCTCCTTGATTTATGAAAATTCGATTGTGAAAATGATGCTTGTTACGTACTGTACTTTATTGTTCATGCACTCCGCTACCGTCGCTAGGTAATCTGCATGTGCTTTCGTCGCTCTAGACAGCGCGCCATGTTTTGCTCGTTCCAGAAGAACAATCATGCGCTCCATAGCCTCGCCGCGCGCTGCAAGAAGGCTCGCTGCAGTGACGGCCATGATTCGTCTAGAGGCTGGCAGTTCCGAGATTTGAAGTTCGCAGAGTCGACTTATCCTTTGCTCAAGTAGCGTGGAAAGTCGTGGTGGTTGGATTTTCCTAGCGTTGAGTGATAGTCTCGACCGAATGCGTGATCGAGACTGATTTGCTGCTGGAACATTTGATCTTATATTATTATTTGTGGTGGCGGTTGAGCTCCCTGCGGCGTCGGCAACTGAGCGCAGGCTGGTAAGCCATGACGAGATTGTGTCGGATAGCAGGGGTATGAAGACGTGGATATTTTCATGGAAATTCTGAATATCGCGGTTCAGGAGTGAGACCTGTCGCTCTTGTTCAGGTGCACCCTCGAATTCATTAAGTTTCGATGGCGCATCAAGGAACGTTGCTATAACTGCGCTGGTTTCGCGAAGCTATTTCTTAGTAGTCAGCAACAAATAGAAGCTCTTATCCCATAATCGGAAAAGATCACACATGCATTATAAGACAATCCACCATCACTGCGTGAGTCCAAAGATTTCGCCTCGAGGCATGCAATCTGGCGCACGGCTTGTCTGATGATCTTTCTTTTTGCATTCCTTATCTGCAGGCTCTTCAATTCCTAATTTTCTGTCAGCTCCAAAAAGTACTTTTACTTTCCTCCTGTTGTTGCGCAACTGACCTTGGCGAGTGAATTTCGCTCCGGGCTGTCTGCATCAGCTCGAGTAGTGCCATCTGCATTGAGAAGATTGCCTGTGAGATGTTGGTGCAGCTTCTTGAACTGGGGGTTCTTTTCGAGTATTGAGGGATCGCAAGGGGGTATCATCATGATTATATCATATTGTCTGACTGATTGCTTGCTTGGTTCTTATATGGTTGCGGACTGGAAGTTGGATTAGAGGTCGGAATAAACTTAAGCTTATGCGGGCTGCCACTGCCCAGAACGGACCAATCACGAACTTTGTAGTATCTACAGACAACATCTTGCTAGATCTAAGCAATTTTCAGGCATGCATCTTCTTAAAATTTATACTGTTTTGCTTGCAAATAATAGACACAACATATTTTTGTTGATTGAAATCATAGTAATACAAAGTGACAGCTTCATCAAGGGTATATCATCGGGAGAATCAAAGACAACATGGTTCTGCCCGCCATCCAAACACCCAAGCTTGCATATTCAAAGCTTCCCACCTTATCTGGAGAAAAGAAAGAAAACAAGGTGGAACTTTCGTTGAGCGGGCCACGAACATCGAAATGATAAAAAAAAAGAACGCTCGCAAAGACCCCGGTAACCCATTCAAAAAGCAACCATCCTCATCATTTCATCGCGTGGGCGAGCAAAAGCGGGTTTGAAAACGCCCGTACAAGCGAAAAAGTGAAAACAAATTAAAAGCCTAAACCCCCTTGCCAACCGAGTATGTACACGTACAAGATGGAACTCAGCCTTTGATGCGAATCAAGGCATCCCGTCCAATAAGAAAAAAAGAGGAAAAGAAAAAAAAAAATCCTTGAAATAGAGAAACGGAAAAGTCATACAAAACTTCTGGGACAGAGTCGAGGGTCAAAATTTTACTCCTCCTCACTCTCCTCAGAGTCATCGTCATCATCAGAACCGTCAGAGCTGTCAGCATCTTCAACCGAATGCACTGGCTCTGGTGAGCGTGTGCCACCATTACCACCACCCTGGAATCGGGAAAGACTGCCTTCAAGCATGTTGATCTGGGCTTCTTGTTCGAATTTGCTCATGGGCTTGTTTTTCTTCGGCTTGGACTGAACCGTTGCCGAGACTGGCGCAGAATGGTCCTCTTCCTCCATAACTTGCGGCGTATTCTTCTTCACAAACTTGAGCAACATCAATAATACCTCATTTGGCAGTTCGTCAATGTCAAGCTCAATCTCCGTCTCTTGAGTACCCTTGAGGGACGGGACATTGTTCTGGATAATTCTGAGGGCCTCCTGCATCTTTTTATCGGATAGAGTGCTAATCCCATTAGAAATAAGCTGCTTCTCTTGATACGTGATGTGACGCTTCTCAGACTTGCTGCTTTTCGACCTTTTGTCGCCTTTAGAACTCTTTTTGAATTCCTTTTTGCCAGACTTTGACTTTCCAGATTTTTTAGAAACAGGGGGGGTTTTCTTTTTCTTCTGGGTGATAGCTTCAACTTGCTTAGACATTTCAGCAATCTGCCTTTGAAGGGCTTGCAGTTTCTCTTGGTCCGCGTCATCCTCACTCTCTTCTTCATCGCTGTCTTCCTCTGAAGAACCACTCTGATTATGGGTGTCTGGATCGTGTTGTTCAAGCCATCGGGTCTTTGCGGCCCATTTGGCCTTGAAGATTTCTTCAAACTTTTGCCCTGCTTGATAAGTTGGATCTCCAGGGATGTTGAACTTGAAACAATTCTTGAACATTTGTAGTATATCCGACTCCATTTCCTTTGCATTTTCGTACTGGCCAGCCTTCAACTTAGTCTGAACGGTAGACAGGTCCATTGGTTTCTTGATAACGCTATGGTAAGTTGGGATGTTCAAAGCAACAGGATCGACAGGAAAGTAGAATGGGCTCGCTATAGCCCAGTATTTGGGCTTGTGCAGCTCATCCAAGATCTCCTGGCAGAACTTGAGCTCCCATTGAAACTTCTTCTTCTTCGGCTTCGCAGAATAGAGCAAGTCACGTTTTGGTGCATGAATAGCACGCTTTGGACGTCCGTCAGGATTCGTAGAATCACGGCGAATGGTTGGCAGGCCCTCGGGGTTCAATGCGAAAGTGGGGGAAGAGGCGTTGTTCTGTTGCTTGGGAGCAGGCTGAGCGTTAACCCTGGGTTCGCGACGCGGAGCGGGCTCTTTCGGTAGTGCAGCAGACTTTTTGGGCTTCTTTTCTTCCACTTCGTCGGGCTTCGGAAGCTTTTCCAACTGCTTATGAAACAAGCCTTTCAGTCTTTGACCTTCCTGGGAGACGATATGATCCGGACCGTTGAATCTGACGGCATTCGAAGTCATCAATTCGACATCAGAAACAATATCCGCAACTGCGGTATATTGACCCTTCTTTAACTTAGCCTCGATCGTCGACAGATCCATCGGTTCAGTTATAACAGTGAAGTAGCTTGGAATATTCAGCTTCAAGGGATCGACCGGTTCCCGATAAAATCGTGAATCGTTCGACCGCTTGAGGCTTGTCAGGGACTTAACTAGGAATTTGTGCTGCAGAGAGGTGATGCCAGTAGAGGTTTCAATGGATTTAGCAGGTGGCAAATTCTGCGTCGGCGCGGAAGTATTCAAACTTTCGGTCACATCGCCATCCACTTTCGCGCGCTTCGCAGCGGGCTCTTCTTCAAGATCTAACTCCCGCTCTCGCGAAACCTTCGTGGGAGACAGAGGAGCGTCTTCCATGTCTACATCGGCAGGAGGAAGTGCGGGCTTCGGCGACTCCTTGATAGGAGCCGAATCCTTCACTTGATCGGTGACGATGGTGGTCGCTCCGTCATTTTGTTGCAGTTCAGTCGCATCTCTCATTGGAATATCCTTGGATTCCTCCTTTGGCAAGGCCTCTTCGGGCTGCGATGGTTTCAAATCCTCTTCGCCTTTAAATGTAGGAAGTGGCGTGGTATCTGATTCCTTCTTCTCACTTGTGTCTTCCGGCTTCGGTAACTCGACGGACGGATTTATTGAATTAACGGGTGGCGTCGAAACCTTGGCTGCCGGACTACTCGCTCCGTTCGTGAGCGAAGGCTGATTAGTCGCATGTCCGTTTACAGCTGGGATCGATTCTCCCTTTCCCTCTGTAGCGGTTCCGTTGACAGTTGTAGTTGCAGCTGTATTCTCAGTATGCGATTCTCCATTGAAAAGAGAATCTGGAGATCTATGCGCATGGTTAGCGTAAGCCTGAACTAAACGACTAAAACAAGTTATGCGCCGGCAATCTTCGAAGATGGGAAACAATGGTAAAACAAGCATACCTATTAACAGTAGAATCTACTGCCAAATCTTTCACTGTCGGCGGCTGCTCTGGCTTGTCTGTTTTCAAGACAGTGGTGATACCTTCAGGTGGAGGAGTAGCCATGATGAATGTCGAGGAGCAGGTCCCCCAAGGACCAGAATACACAAAGGCGTAGTCAATCGGATTTTCGCGCTTGAGATATTTAGAAAAGGCGGGTGAAGAAGTGGCAATATACTGCACTACCACAGCCTAGACTCTTCTTTTTTGTTTTTTGGATAGGCGACGTTAGACCAGTAGAGCGCCGCGTAATTCGTTCACACGCGCACTCAAATACACGAATGGGGCGAGGTCAATGTGACTAGGCGCGAAGGCTGCGACGGATCAATTGCAGCACGAAGTCTAGGAAAGTGGAAGGAAAGCGACGAATGGACAGGAAGAAACAGCGGACAGCCAACGTCCTATTTATATTGCCAAGAAACCGGAGACGTCACGTGAGAGGCGAGACGAGGGATGACTAATGGGCGGGAGGCGACAAGGGCGGAAGGCACCAAGAGCCAAGCTGGGAAGCAGCGGCCAAGACCGGGCGAGGTCAGGTGACTTTGAGGTGGGAGTGATAGTACAAATGACACGTGCCTAGCGATGGTCGTCACTGGTCAGCAGGAGAGGCGACTTAAAATAATACATAAAAATAAAAAACGCGGTCTGAAACGGAGCGAACGGGCTGGGTGGAAACCAAGAGGCTAATAAGCTGTGGGAAGACGGGGCAGCAAGGGAGCCAGGCGCGTCTGGGTGTGACGCGTCTTGGGGTAATTTTAGGCCTGAAGGGATTATTTAGTTGGGGTGGTGGAAGGGGGGGGAGACAAACAATAACAAACACCGCAGGGCGTGTTAGGTTAGAGAGAGGCAGAAAGGGCACGCACGCACAATCAGCAGTTCCGAAGACAAAAAGACACTGGAAAAATCGGAGGGGGTGGCAGAATCCTTAAGTACGATGCGCTCGTCCGTGACCTGCCGCTAGCCCCGTTGCGACCACTAGCCTCGCCTATCCTGGCTTAGCCCGGTTGCCTGCCGCTGATTGGGCAGCGCCTGCATCAGTGCTTTGCGCCTTGGCTGTGATTGGCTCGCAGCCCCCGAAAGCGGATATCCGAAGGACCACGCCAAACCGTCCAAAATAAAAAAAAAAATTTCGTGTGTCGCCTACGGTGGGCCTCACCCAACAGGCTCCCCTTTTTCTTCTTCCCTGGCTCGCGCTCTTTGAGATCACGATAATGAACATCCAAGGAGGGGGGAAAAAATTCGTTTGACCATCACATGCGGAATGCTGCTCTCCATGCCGCTCCAATGGGGCATGGAATTTTGTTTACTTTGTTCTGGCGGGAAGCAGGAAAGGGTGCAAACTGCAAAGTTCAAAGTCCAAACCCTGAGCCTTCTCTCTCCTTACAGCTTACGGACTAGCCCGTCACACTGATGCAGTGCTTTTTAGCCGGTACGATACGGAAGTCATTCTTCATTCTTGGATCATATTATTAATTACGGGAAAGTTGTATCGTCCCATACACGATACGGAGGGCGATACGAAGTAAATTTAGTAATTTACTGTACCGCAGGTCCACTGGCTGCTCCACTAGCACGGCCAGCCAATGATAGCCCGTCTTTCCTCCGCTGATGAATCCGCCTCCGTCGGCAGCCACTCACCAAAGACGCGCTTTGGCTTAAATCACATGACTTGGTTGCTCAACGATCTCACGTGATCGCCTGGGAACTGCACGATCGATAAATGTCGATAAGTTGATAGCAGTGATCTTTTTAAGGATCCAAGACTCAAGCGTCTCTGGAGCAGTTGAAATCATCTTGTAGAGCCCTATTTCTAGTTGATGGCGTTTGCATCAACGCTTTAACACACTCGGACTGCCGTGCCTATAAATATGCTTCATCTTTCTCTCCTGAAAGTATGGATTGCTCCTTCTTCCTAAGGCAAAAGAAATACTGAGCACTTGAAATTTTAATTGTTATGGTTCTTGATAGGTTATCAGATTCAAGATTGTATATTTTAAGGTGCCTCAGGCGGCAATAGCAGTAGCCCGGCGGGAAGAAGCACTACTCCGTACTAGGTCTAGCGGCTGTCCAAACCTAGAAACTTTTTTTTCTTCTCTACTATCGCCGAATCAATTTGATATCGAAACAAATCGACACTTGTGTCGACGCATTTGGTTTTGGAGGATACCGCACAATTTGGCGATATCTTCTTAGAAGTCGGCACACATAGATTGCGCTTGTTTGTCTCCGCGTGTGACAATTCAGATAAAGACAGCAATCATGGGGAAGAAGTCGTCGCGCCCACCAGCTTCAAAGACTGCCTCCGCAGCACAGCCCGCTGCCTCCGCGGCGACTGCCACTGGCAAAAAATCGTCTATCCTGCGAGCTGCTTTCTCGCCTTCCGAGTACCAATTAGCGCTCTTTGCATCAGTCATTCAGGGTCTTGATTCGCAACACCTCCGCATCCATGATATCCACACCGGTGCTTTGCAGTGCGAACACTCTGTAACCCCCAAAGAGTCCATTACCTCCTTGGACTGGGGCTATCTTCATAGTCAGCGAGAACAGCAGTCCAATAAAAAGAGGAAGAGGAAGTCCGATGTCAATGGCTCGGCAGCAGCAGATAAAGCCGCCGTGGTTGCTTTTGGTACAAGCTCATCCGACGTTCGGATGTATTCTCCAGCTGAAGATAAAGTACTCTACACTCTGGCTGGTGTGCACGATGGAGGCATCAAAGACTTCAAGTTTACCGTCGGACAGTCTACAAGCCAGGGCTGGAGTATTGGCGGCGATAACAGGCTTGTTCAATGGGATCTTATTACTCAGCAAAGCATTCGGTAGGAAATCTTTGTACGGGCAGGGGTATTAGTTACAGAGTGACTGATTTGAAATTTTTTCTAGCATCATAAACATACCCACTACTTCAACTGTTTCAGCTCTCTCGCGACCTATTGTCTCGAATCCACCAGTGATATGTGCTACACAGACTCCGGTCATTCTCGATGTTGAAAGCTCCGACGCCCAGTCGATCACATTCCCTTCAATGACCAACCCTATTCATACACTTCTTCCATCGTCCGCCCTTTCAATTAAAGATACCAATTTCATCGCAGCTGATAACGCGCGCTATATCACTGTTTTTGACCCGAGAACAAAGGGCATAGCATACAACCTAGTCGCTGAGAAAGAGGTAGCATCACTGGCATTATCTGTCAAGGCTGAATTTTCGGGGGAAGAACAACAAGAAAGCAGTCCACTTGAGAGCCAAGTTCTCGCTGTTGTAGTTGAAGATGGCACAGTGGAGTTATTTAACAGGCCATTTTTACAGCCTGCTGGACAGAGCGGATCGAAAGCCTCTAGCAGCCTTAAAGCAAGGGCCAAACAGATGACCCGCAAAGCCGATGCCATACTGAAAATTGTTAGACCAGATACTGGAAAAGCGGTTTCTGCGGTTCAAGTGGGCTTTCAAGGGCCCGAATTATTCGTCGCGTGGGCTGAAGGTGGTGTGAACTTGATATTTGAACGTGTTAGATGGCAAGATCAGGACACTGGAAACCTCGTTTTCTCAGGCACTACCGAAATTACAGGTCGCAAATCCGCCTCGGTTCTTAGGTCTGCTGCCGTGATTGAAGAGCGACAGGCCAGCAAATCGCATGTGAATGAGGGCAAGGCTGCGGTTGAGTCCGGTCTTTACACTGAGGATGTGGAAATGAACGATGCACATATAGAAGATGACTCTGTGTCGATATCCGACGCTGAAGAAGATGTCTCTGATGTTGAGCGTGAGGGAAAGCAGAAGCGTCAGACGAAAACTGCGAACGGTATCAACGGCAACTCTACTAAGAATGCGGAAATCGAGGAAAACGACGAAGAGGAAGAAGAAGCGGGCGGAGAACCTACATTTGGTGAATTAGTGCAGAGAAACTCCGCAATTGACGTCGAGGCCGAGCTGGAATATGATGCTGGCACTGGACCCTTGGTACCTATCGCATCTAAGAACGGCAACAAGGCTGTCGCGCAAATCCCATCAGGCGTATCCTTGACAACCGTTCTCTCGCAGGCGCTCAAAACCAACGATGCCGCAATGCTAGAATCCTGCTTCCGTACCTCAGACACCAATATCGTTCGCGCAACCATTCAGCGACTAAACTCCACGCTGGCGGGTGCTCTCATCCAACGAATCGCAGAACGAATGGCATCTCGGCCCGGTCGATACGGACATCTACTTGCCTGGGTGCAATGGACCTGCATCGCACACGGAGGCGCAATTGCCGGCAACGCCGAGGTTCTCAAACGAATGACTTCATTGTACAAAGTCATGGACCAGCGTTCCCGCTGTCTCCCGTCTCTACTCCTACTCAAGGGCAAGCTCGACATGCTCGATGCCCAGATTAATTTGCGCCAGTCAATGGCTGACAGTAGGAAACATGGCATGGGCATGGATGATGAACTGTTGGAAAGCGTCACGCACTACGCCGGATTAGCCGGCGACAGCGGCAACGACGATAGCGAAGCGGAGCGTCATCGTAAGCGCAAGAAGATGTCGAAATCCAAGCGTGATGGTCTCGGTGAGGATGAAGATGCCGAGATGGATGATGAAATGGCCGCTGTTGAGCTTGGATTCGGATCTGAGGAAGAGGAAGAGGAAGGCAGTGAAGAAGATGCCGATGAGGATGGGGATATGATCGATATTGAAGCCGAAGAGTCTCTTGATGATGATGACGATGATGATGACGAGGAAGAAGAGGAAGACTCAGACGCAGATAGCGACATGGCTGATTTTATCGTCTCGGAAGATGAAGATGAAGAGATCTCCGACGATGATGATGAAGAACAGCAGAAAAAAGCACCCACACAACCTCAACGGTCTTCAAAGAAGGCAAAAGTAAATAAGTCGCGACGCTAAAGATGGAAGATAATTTACTTATACTTCTATGTCTTTATTTATCGTTGAATTTTGCAGATCGTGTATGCTTGTTCATTTCTTCCTTTCTTGATTAGTAACTTTATTGGGTTAAAAGTCTTTAGATTTCTATTACATTTCGATACACTGGTTAGCACTCTTACATACATACATACATAGGAGGTAGTTTCATGTTGGTTGAGTTGATACTTTAAGTCTCTGACATTGTCTTAGTCGACTAAAGTGGGGACAAGGCGCGTAAACATAGTCACGTATCGTGTTTATCCAAGTCAAAAAGATACATTGTTATAAGCATATTAAGAACCGCCAGAAAATAGCCATACAGAAAGGAGTGGCATGTCTCCAAAGACTACAGAGAAAACATGTAAGAATGAATATACCAATGCAAGTAATCATGTCCAGCATCATCGGATGACTTCATTTCCTGGATTCTCGATGCCGTCAATGGACTCCAGAATTGCACTCTTCATCACGCCAATCGAGCCCGTGAACTGTTTGTGCGGGTTGCCCCAGATGCGATAGAACCTAATAAAGTCGCTGGAAGCGATCGCGATGCACTCATCGTCAGGATTAAAATCACACTCCCCCTCGTCCTCAAAGAATGGATTTCTGAAGTTAGGAATGCTAATTGCCGATAGAGCTCTCCCTACCACATACACATCGGGGTACGTTTGTCCATCCAGGCCTACATTCCAAGGGATGGCTGTAACCTGCTCGCAGCTAGGCCAAGCAAACACCACAACACGAAAGGGATGCTGATACTCGAACTCCGGAAATCCTAGGACAACAGCAATTTCACGCCGAGTCCTACTCCATATAAGACCTGTGATCTGGGCCCACATATAAATCTTGGCCAAGCAGCTTCCAGACGGGGCATGGTAGAAATGAACGGTGCGATCCCCCAAACCACCTCCAGTGGCCAACAATGTTGGCTGCCAGGGTGCGAACGCGACTGCTTTGACTGCCGAGCCATGCTCGAACCGGTGTACGTGACTACCGCGGGGAAGGTATATGGCAGATTCAGGATATCCTAGACGTGGGGAGTAGTTGGCGGAGACAACACGTCGGAGAGGCCGAGACCCTGAAATGTTCGCGGGTCGAGAGCTGTTCGACAAGTCAAGTCCTCGATTACGAACACGCGGATATGTCCTAGGAGCTTGGTCATTCCCGCTTTCTCCCGACATTGACGAGGTATCAGATAGAGAATCGCTTGATAGCCGAGATATAGAAAGCGAATATGTCGAGTCAAAATGAGAGCGGCGTCTGAATAATTGAGCGAGCCATGACCCGAAAATTGAGCTTGAGCGAGCTCGAGGAATTGGATCTATTCGACTTGTCATAGATGGAGCTATTGCTGGGACTGAAATCTCCTTCTTATGCAACATATGAGTCAAGTCAAACAGCAGACATGCATTGTCATCACCACTCGTGGCGAGAAATCTGTAATCTGGCGACCAGGAAATAGAACATATACACCCATAGTGAGCGTCCACTTGCGCTAAAAGGGTCAACCTGGAAATGGATTCGAGATGAGATATTTCCAGAGAATAGTACCAGATCATACCCCTCGTGTCACCGACGGCCAAATGCTCTAGAGAAACATCGATGGTGGAGGATATCGTGGACTTTTGTCTGGTTGTTGTAGCTTTGAACGCAACACACGTTAGCGGATGACGACGCCGGGAGCTATGCAGTGGCCGGGACTTGAGAGTTTCCCATAGATGTAAGTACCCGTGAGAAGTTGCCACGGCTAAGATGCTATTTTTGCCATCTGCAGATGAGAAATCAAGCGCTGTGACTTGATCTCCGATGGGATGCCCTAGTGGGAATACCGCCACAGTCTTGCAGGTTATACTTGACCACAGACAAACAAAGTTCATCATGGCATATGCTAAAAGTCCAGACGTGCAACAGTAAGCAATTACAGAACTATAAAAGTCATCCTTTATATAAGGAGCATACACCGCGGAAAATGGAACGGCAGCAGCCTTTGTAGACTGTTTTCGTCTAGCACGAGTGTCTGAAAGGCAATTGTCAACACAAGCACATTCCGTTCTTGTTCTTCAAAAAGATCGCTTACCAGGTATAAATTCAGCCCTCTTCCACGCGCAATCCTTCCATCTCAGAGGACGAAATTTATCAAATTGTGGATCAGACTGGAAAAGGAGGGTTCCCGTCTGTGCGGCTGGCTTGCAAATAACGAGCTGTCGGTGGTTCAAGTCCATATCGAAAGCAGCTGCCAGCCTTGCCTGGTTCATCTCTAATTCCTCCGACTCGGATATGTCCTGGCTAAACTCATAACGTGCAAAGTACATTGGAGCTGTGGACTTGCTCCCTGAATATCCTTTCTGACCATCGGTTATGCCTAGCCATGGACCTCGTGTTGCCGTAGAAGCTCCTCCGACATTCCACACTGCTCCGACACTCACCTGTCGGGGAGTGATTCTTGGTCCGGAGAAAGGATAATGACTTAGAATCGCGTGGCTGTCCACAATATGTGGCGATATGTGTGGTGCCTGTATGGTGTCTTGTGTGATAGCAGGTATAGCCTTGCGATTACGCCGGCGGCCGAAAGGATCCTCATTTCTTTCCCGTTGACGGAGTAGCTTTTCGTCTGCAGTAAGCTCCATGGGCAGCTTTCGCATATGATACTTTGCAATAGTGCTACCAGAATATGACCGTGGTGGTATGAATCGGTCTCTCATTAAAGTTGGGTTTCTGCGAGAGCTGGGGAAGAGCCGTGGTGTTGCGATTGATCGATTCCGGCACTTGGGCGTGGCTGCTTGGTTAGGGCTTGAAAAGAATGGAAAAGGCACATGGCCTTGCTTTTTCTCTGATTTTTTGGCGACATGAGTCTTTGCTTGCTTTGTGTTCAAAGATTGGCTGTCCTCGGGGGAAGAAACAGACGGCTGATTCTCGCTGTTTCGGGAGTCGCAGAACGGATGGTCAATGATGGATATAGTATTACTGAGAAATGAAGGTTGTGAAAGGTCAATTTCCAATGAACGATAGACTTTATGCTGGGAGGCAGGGGAATTCTTCGATAGAGAGTAAGGAGTGGTTGCCATTGCTGTTTATGCAGCATATAGCGCAACTAGACATGCATGTGTGATAGACCTCTTTGAGAAAAGAACGATACACGCGAGGCTCCTGTATAACATGTGATGTGTGGTATAGTCCGTCAGCATTGGATTTATTCAGCTTGAAGGAAAAGCGAAAAAGTCAGGCGTGGGTGCACGTTTTGGCAGGTACGTATGGCATGCCGTTTTAGGAAGGAGACAGGCGCGCACGTGATGGTGCCTGAGGCATCAAGGCTGCTCCGTCGTTCCTGGCTCTTGCCGCAAGAAACACCAACAACTGCCACCACGACCAACAACCTTGAAGTTGCAACTTCTCTTTGAATTCTGCTAGACATAGGAATGCAAATCATAGGGACTCTTTACCTACCGCTAGGCTAGACCTTTACAGCATGGCCGCCAGCGTAACTATCTCCTTCGGTGATATTCCAGCGTCAAATATATATAAATAACTAATCCGCCTTGATAGCATGGCATCCCGCGCCAGAGTGTCCAGGCGATAGAAAACACCGAACAAGTCCAGAAAAACATCCAGATATACCGCGACCTAGAAACTGCTGTGCATGAAAAGGTTTTCACAGCCGACTTGAACAAATTTGGGCTAGGAACTAAATCTAACTAGAATTATAGATCGCTGAACGCAAATATACAAATGACACACTGGAGCAAGTATCCGAGCTTCTGAGAAAGAATCCCGAGTACTATACCATATGGAACTATCGGCGACTTATACGACAGCATGACTTTGTTGAAGCTGGGTCTGAGGCTGATCAAATTGTGCTTATAATCAAATTCGACTTGGATTTTCTCTTTCCACTGCTGCGCTCGTTTCCTAAATGCTATTGGATCTGGAACTACCGGCTCTGGATATTAAATGAAGCCAAGAGGCTGCTGCCTCAGCAGACAGCTCGCGAGTTCTGGCAGAGAGAGCTGGCGCTGGTGGGCAAGATGCTGCACGCGGACAGCCGCAACTTTCACGGCTGGGGCTATAGGGCTTTCGTGATAGAGGCGTTGGAGGACCTGGCTGATGGCGATGACAAGAAGAGCATGGCACAGGCAGAAATAGAATATACGACTAAGATGATTGGGGCAAACCTTTCAAATTTCTCTGCATGGCATTACCGAACCAAACTGATTCAAAAGCATCTTGACGAAAAGAAAGCAACTGATCAAGAGCGGAGACAGGTATTGGAACAAGGTAAAGATTCCCCGCCTAGATGGATGAGTAACATTGCGGTGGCTGACCTGCCCTTTGACTTTGCATGCAGAGTTAGAACTGGCTCACAAAGCTCTCATTGACCCGTACGACCAGTCGCTCTGGTTTTACCATCAGAATTTGATGTGTGTGTTCGATCCGTCGCTTGCAGCGCGTACTATGGCGCCCAACCTATCGAGTTCGGAGCGGTTGAAATATGTGCAGGAACAGAAGGAGTTAATCAGCGACATGCTCGAAGACTCCACGGACTGTAAATGGATCTATCAGGCCTTGGTGGACTGCAATCTACTGGTTGCGAAGATTGAAGGATCCATGTCTGCCCGGGAACGACTCGAGGTGCTGGACTGGCTGAAGTCCTTGGTCAAATTGGATCCTCTGAGAAAGGGGCACTGGGTGGACATCGAGAAGTCTGTAAATGGGTGATGCCGGATTGCTAGGAAAATAGTTATACGTACTGCACAGTGCATATTCAAAATTTTCCTGTGCCCGTTGTTCCTGTAACGATGCAATGCCGCAGGGATCCATCATCTCCGATCGATATCTGCAAAGTGAGTTGTCGCGGGTGGATCAGGTTACCCCTGGCTAGAGTACGTACTACGCAGGCTGTGCTGCTCTTCGTATGGCACACAGCTGGCTTCATTGGCCAGGCGTGACAATTCACCCAGATATATAATCGAAGCAATAATAATAGAGCACTAGGAGTAAGGCCAGATCGTTCTTGCGGGCGTGATCGGACTCCCGCCAATGACAGCCGGCGTCACTAGTTGATTAGTTAGTTAGACTGCATGCCTCAGGCCTGCACTCGTCAACAAATCTCACCTCGCTCCGTTGCCAACGCTCTTTCTTGCTGTGCTTGTTAGCTGTCCATTCATTCATTCTGACTCGCAACCTCGTCTGATAACTTGCAATCTCCCACCCGCCCTGCGTACTGCCTGCCTCCTATCCTCGCTCAGCTGATGGCCGTTCGTGACTGCTAACCAGTCACTCCTCTCTGCAGTCAAAAGCAAGGGGAGAGCCATCACGCGAACTGCACTCTGCCTAAAATGAGTTCAAGTCCGGAGCCCAACGATTATGGCGAGGTACGTCGGCCACAAATGATGCTATCTCTCTGCTACGCACTGGATATGTTTGCTTACGTTGTCGCTCCGATCCTCGCAGGACTCCTTCGAAGATGCCAACGAAGATACTACGCACACGGCTCCCTCAATGCCACCAAGCTCGTCCACGCGCTCTCTAACCGACCGACGGGTGTCGAATGGATCTGTCACCACCCCGCGTGCTGAGAGTTCGCCGTTGCCCTCTGATTTTCCCGATGTCAACTCCGAAGACGAAACGGGCGACGTCAGCCCTGCGCCTCATTCCGAGACCGAGGATACCCCAAAGAAGAAGAAATATCAAAAATCACCACTGTTAACTGCTCATCGCTTATCCACAACTTCGCTGGACGAAGTTAATTTGGCAGGCACCAAGGATGAGGACGAGTCTCCAGAGGCGACCAGTGCAGGAGCAGAAGCCCCTATCGACCCTCCCCGTGCAGTCTCCGTCGACTCGACAACCACAGTGCAAAGCATGTCATCGACATTGATGTCTAGTTTGCCGTCCGTGCCATGGTCAGCGGCTACAAAGCCTGCCCCCGCTGCAGCACCTGCTGCAGCACCTGCAGCACCTGCAGCTCCAGCTCCAGCTCCGGCTCCGGCTCCGGCTCCGGCTCCTCCGCCCCTACCATCTCGCAAGACAGGCCCCTTTGCATGGCTCTCCAGGGCAAGCACCTCCGGAAAGGATTCCAAGTCCCCCCCGGCTAAGTCGTCTGATAGTCGTCGGAACACCGCTGCATCGGTCTCAACACTCAACACTCTGGAAGAAGGAGACAGTATGAGCGTTGGTTCTAAGAGACCGACACGAAACAGTCTCAAGGACCAGTTTAAGCTCCTACGTATGCGAGAAGAGGGTCCCGAGGCCGATCAAGCAAGCATCGCCTCCGGAAATGCCTCCGTCAGTACAGGACTTGCTAGTCCCGAAGAAAAAGACATACTGCCAACATCTTCACCACTTAGTGCTGGGACTGGGGGATCCTTACCTACCGTGAATCCTAACCTTCCTCCCGGTACAGTGTCGGGAATTTCAACATCTGCTACCGATGCAGCGGCACCGGTCGACTGGGAACTGTGGGAGAAGATTGTCAATCATGGCCCTGAGGCGTTGTCAGGGGCCAATTCCGAGGAACTTAACGCCGCTATCAAGCGTGGAATCCCCCAAACTATCAGAGGCGTAATCTGGCAAGTATTAGCCGACAGTCGCAATCCAGAGCTTGAGGAAACATATAAAGAACTTGTGGCCCGAGGCACAGACAAAGAACGTCATTTAAGCCTCAGCGGCATCGCCTCGGAAAAGGAATCACTAGCTTCGTCGCGCTCATCTATACGCTCCGACCATTCAGGCTCTCCGTCGCCGTCAAGTCAAACAACAAATTCACCGGTTGTTCACGAAAAGGAGACGGACTCAATAGCCGCAGAGTCGGCCCGTAAGAAGAAGATAAAGGAAGATGCCGAAACAATTCGCAAATTGGAGAAGACAATACGAAGAGACTTGGGTTCTCGAACAAGTTACTCGAAATATTTTGTTTCACAGGGCAGCCAGGAGTCTCTTTTTGGATTATGCAAGGCTTATGCGTTATATGACGAGGCGGTAGGCTACGCTCAAGGGATCAATTTCATTGCAATGCCTCTACTATTCAACGTAAGTGTTTCATTTTCTCCGACGAAATTTCACCAATTCCTATCTAACTTGGCACAATAGATGGGTGAGGGAGAGGCATTCACGCTTCTCGTGAAGCTGATGAATAAATATGGTCTACGGGATATGTTTATCCAAGACATGCCCGGTCTACACCTTCATTTATTCCAGTTTGAGAGGCTTTTGGAAGATCTCGAGCCCGCGCTCTATTGCCACCTTCGCCGACGCGGAGTAAGCCCACAACTCTATGCCACACAATGGTTCTTAACATTATTTGCTTATCGATTCCCCCTTCAATTGGTTCTTCGTATCTACGATCTTATTTTTGAAGAAGGGTTAGAAAGTACCATTCTCCGTTTTGGCGTTGCTATAATGCGTCGCAACGCCGAGACTCTCCTTGGCATGAAAGACATGTCGGGCCTATCCCATTTCCTTAAAGAGAAGCTCTTTGATGTTTATATTGATCAACAACCGTCCGCAAGCTCAATCCTTGAGTCCGGGTTTTTCGGAAGCTCTGGTGGAAGCGACAAAGAGATCTACCGGGCTGACCTCATGGTGCAAGATGCTTGTGACATTCCGCTCACGGCCGAAACTATTCGTTCGTACACGACAGAGTGGGAGGAGAAGGTACGTACCGAAAGGGAAAGGGAGCAAGAACTCGAGGGGCTTAAATATACTGTGGCATCGCAAGCCGCTCAAATAAGGTCGTTGGAGGAGCGTGCTGAAAAATCGGATCAAGAACACGTTCAACTGGCATCAGAGCTGGTGCGAATGAAGGTAGAAAATGAAGAACTATCAGACGCCAATGAAGGCCTTCAAGTTCAAGTTCGCGAACTCAAGATCGTTGTCGACAAGCAGCCCGCCGAGGTTGAGGAGAAACTCCGAACTGAGATGGAACGTATCATGAAACGAAACATGGAAGTGCAGAATGAGAACCGGAACATGGAGGAGCAAATGGCGGAGATGGAGAAAGATCTTGTGGAGACCAAAATGAAATGGGCTGAGGTAAGACAGTATTGCTTCTTTTGTGCTCTCATCTTCACTCGCTAACTCCCCAAAACAGCTATCGGAAAACCACGAGGGCCTCCGACAAAAATGGGCAGATCTCCGCAGGGCTTTGGATGGTTAATCAATCAATCAGAACATCTCATGCTAGATGGTTTGTTGCTTCTTCTCTGTATATTTTAAACTTTGGTGGCCATCATACCTCCCCTTTTTTCTCTCCTCTCTGGAAGTGGACGACAGCCTTTGCATGTCTAACTATATGTACATTGACATGTAAGACGAAGATGTCTGCATCAAGCTTGTCCGGTGCAGGTTTCTTTCTACTTTTACATCTTGTCTTATACCATTTTGTATGATTACCTAGGACCATTGCTGTCTGGTAAATGTTTGTTTGGTTGTTTGGAGCGTTGGGGATGTATACATGTACATCGTCATGTATACCAAGTGTTGGTAAGAGTATCCTATAGAAGGTTGCCATATGACATATTAACATCGTGGAGATGAGTATCAAAATATCAAAATATCGAATTATAATTTACAAGGAGGCATAGTTATTTATACAAACTTATTATTTATTGATCAAACCTTTTTTCCGTATTGTATCTTGCCGTCCGTTACCGGCAACGCAGTCGACGCAATCGATGAGGGGTTATCCATTGACCCATGGATAATATGTTATGACAGCCAGGGATGAACCCTTGAGACTACATATATCTACCTATGTTTAGAATCCTGAAAAACAAGAAGCATTCACTATCGCTATCGTCAATTCTATCATCTCGTTCTGTTTTATTGTACTACCGCACTAAACAATGGCGCCTATCGAGCGTATAACGCTATTCAACATTCCTAAGGAAGAAGACCGTCTGCGTCTGGTTGAAGAGTACAAGCAACTCTCCAAAACGGCAGTCAAGGTATGATATGATTCCTTTTGTCCCTTTCAATGGAGACGGAGTAAAAGAGAGCCGAAACTGAGAGTAAACGGCATACAGGATGGCAAGCCTTATATTTCAAATGTCTCTTTTGGCCCTGGCTTTGAGGATCCCCGCAGTCAGGGATACAATTTCGGTGTCAAGACTACGTTTGCGACCATCGACGATATGAGGTATTATGATACCACGTGTGAGGCCCATAAGACTTTGAAGGCGTATGTTGGGGGAGTGAGGGCCGGTGATGTGTTGACGGTGTATTATGAGAATGCGGCGTAAGAATATGGAGTCTGCTCTCTTCTTTTTATGCCCTGTTCAGAGGTATATCGAATCTCAAGTCCCGTGAGTCTTGTCTCGTCAGACAGGGAGAAAAAGAAAGGCATGATCGAAAAAAGGACAATCGTGATTGTTCATTCAAATCCGACAGGTTCCGGCCTCGAGGCAAAAATTATCTTGTATTTAACAATTTCCACAATCTCAAGTTCGTCCTTTGTTGCATCGACTTGATCCATCTCGCTCGGCGCTAGTGCAGTCGTCGTTGACTTCCGTCGTCGCTGTATGATAGCAAGAGGTTTCGCCAGTTTCTTGACTTCGCCTGTCATACGTTGGTAGTGTCCCGCGTACAAGTAGACGCGTTTCATCCATTTTGTATTGTCTGGGTCTAGGTCAGAGTAGTCTGGGAACATGAGTTTGCCGAGTTCTGTCTCGATGGTTTTCCATTGTGAATGAGGACGAATTGTTGGCTCCTCCGGCGACTGTTCTGCATTGTCGCTTTCGGTTGCACTAGATGCAGCAGGTACGTTGATTGTGCCTTGGAGTTCGAGGATGGCGAGGCCGGAGGGCGTTTGGAGGAGCGGGGGGAGGGCGTTGTGGGCATTCGACGCCGACTCGGGGTCGAGCAGGGCGGATTGAGGGTAGAGAGGAACTGAAGGCATGATTGTCCGGCGCGTGGCGTTTCGTTTTGGTAGGATAGGTTCCAATTGATTGTAATTGCGGTGTTTTGCAGCTTGTTTTTTTGATGGAGGAAATCGCGACTTGTTTTGGCCAAGGCGGCTTATCTTATCGGCACTGGTCTTGATAAGATAACGGTTGCTGTTGAGTCGACTCTGCAGTATAACTTGCAAGTGTCAGTTAACTGTATGCCTTGCTGATTTTCTTGCATAACTATATGTGTTGGATAGTCGCCTGTCCTAGGGCTCTGATTTTGTATAGGGAACAAGCTTTGAGCCTGTCTAAACAGGACTAGGTCTTCACAGATTTGCTGGGCTAAATATCTCTGTCAGTCAGACCAAGATGGCCACGATCAGTGAGCAAAGTTACAAACACAAACCCCAGCCAGACACTTCTAGCAGTCACAAACAAAGAAAAGTTGCAGCTGTTCAATGGGTCAGGGGCACAAAAGCTTACCCCTGTCGGTACCTCTTCTGGGTAACATGGGATCCATCATGTCTTTAAGTATACACCGCTCATCAGGCACTACACGGTTTATCTGAAAACTTCCAGCAACAAAGACAATGAGATTGGAAACAATAAGCTAAGTTTGTGGGTAATACCAGGCAGCCTCATTACCACTTTGTGTGCCCTGGAACTAGCCAGTCTTTGCACGCAATGAGACACATCTGCACTGGATGCGCTGGAGATTGCCAGGAAAGAGAAGAAAAGAACAAGTCACCGTGCAGAAATGCATAGTAGAGGGGGATGTTCTCAGGAAGATTTCTGGTTTGTTGCATCTTGAGCTGCAATATTTGACTGTGTGACCTTTGATATATACCATTTTCCAAGTTTCTTTCATTTAGCTCCGTGACTATATGATTCTATCTAAAAGAGTCATACACCCCTTTGAACATCTAATATGTAAGTCCCCGCGCTGACTCCGTTTATAATGACTGGGACCTAACAATTTCAGTAGGTACATTGCTTGCCAAGTGGAATAATTGCACACAGATCAAAGAGCTCCACAGATACCTCTGGAGAGATAGCTCTGCATGAATCTACCAACCGAATCACCGCAGGCCCCTTCTCTTGAGCGCTCACAATACCCGGCGAATTCAAAGGGTACTTTGCATGACACAGAGGTTGACACCGGGGCCCGAGGTCATGATAAGGTGATGCCCGCTTGAATCGAGAGGAGGAACAAAAGCTAACATAGTTTTATTCTCTAAACAAGGAACAGAATGCTCTGTCCACACCAGACTCGAATCTCCTTACAAGTAGCGTCGGTGGTTCCTTAACCTGGGTTTCGAACGACACAAAAGAGCGAGACAATTTCCGGAAGATGCGTTCAAATATTGGGTTGGTTGCCCCAAATTCGCCGTTTATTCCTAGAAACATGAATGAATGGTTGGCACATCGTATGGAGGTACTCGCAGAGAATACTAAGAATCTTGATCTGTCGATAGCGAGGAGGGAAATACAACAAGCATCATCTTATACAGTGCAAACCCAACCAATACTAGCAGGAAGAAGGCTCGGGGATTTCCGATCGACAGTGCTAGCAAGAGAGACGATCTGGAGGCCCGATGGAATCAATAATCCTTCCAGGCCACAGGCTCCATGGCCCGATTTAAGCGAACGCAAGCACGAAGGTTACCAGCGAGTACGATCTGGCTATAGCCGATTCCCACCTCTTCCTAGAGTACCTGGAAACCCGACGGTCAATTGGAAACAACGTTCGCCGATAACTCCATACGAATTTGATCAGGTTGGCCGACCAGTCGCAATGCACGAAGTCATCACAGAAAATGATGCATCTATGGAGGCAGCTGTTGGAATGTCGCTTCTTCAGGAGTTGGACGCGTAAAAAAAATCAGGCGTTGGGCAAAATAATGTTTTTGGGGGGTCCATCTCCGATATTTGAATTTTGGATGCGTTGGGCCCGTAGACGTCCCCTCATCGTACAGAACAATAGTCTGCGTATTTCACTGTTCTTTACTACTTTTCGCATGTGTTGATTGCCAGCTGTCTTTGCGATGCGGGCCGTGTAATTAATAGCTTATACAGATATCGGGGAATCACGACTCCATGTCATAAGCATGATCGCAGGCATCTTGAAGACCTTGTAGACCTCGAATGATCTCGCCCGTAAATTCATCAGGGTTGACCCCGGGTTTGTTCAATTTGCCATAACGAAGATCACTCAGGTCACTGACAATTTGTTTTACTGCCGTCAGAGTGGTGCTCGCTTCTTCCTCTGCAGCTACAACCTCTCTCTCCAAAGCAGCGCAGGAACTCTCCATTTCTGAAAGAAGACTTGAGACGGAATGATATCCCACAGCTTGGGTGCTAGATGCTGGACCGAATAGCTCGACATCTAGGTTCATCTCGCGATGGTCAGCATCGCCAAAGCCAGCGACTCCCGTTTCCTTGGCAGCTTCGAGCAAGTCGGCTTTCTGCTGTTCACCGGCCTTGACTTCATCCAGGATATGTTCCGAGATGAGATCCATGTCCTGGGAGCGCAGTTCTTGCAATTCCCGGTACAGGACCTTGATTTGGGGATGAGACTGGAAGCGTTTTGGAAAGAGCTCAGTGAACTTCTGCAACGAGATGACGGTCGGTAGTGACGCGGGAGACAGTAGAAAACTACCCAGAATAGACTCCTCCGACGGTGCCATGGCGATAGTTTCTGACAATTTTTATTGTATTGAAACCTTAAATTGGCGCAGGATCATGAACATTAAAGCCGCAAGGATTGCCTGCTAGAAAAGCCCACAGTCCCGGCCTGAACAGAAGCCCTCGGAAGATACTGGGATGCTGAGGCCTTTTGCAGATGGCAATCTTTTGATACCAGACGCGTGGGGGACCCAGGAGAGACGCTGTGCCTATCTAGTACTGCGGAGAACACCGCGATTTCAGCTTGAACAAAGCATACCTCTGTCGAGTAGAAGCAGAAACTATTCCATCAAAGTATCGTGGGCGAAGCTGGGGCTGGGCGCGGAGGAAAGAGAGAGAGAGAGAGAGAGAAAGAGAAAGAGAGAGGTTAACGCGTTTTTGCCTCCTCCTTCCGCTCCCCGTTCGTTGCGCTTTACCCTTCCCCTTCCCCTTCCTCCCTGTCTCCCTCTTCGTGCTCGAGCCATTCTTCAAAGTATTGCCTCCAACCAAAAGTTGCTCGTAGTAGCTTGGATAAACTGTTCGGTCACATCAGGCCAATCGATTCTTCTGTCGACTCCTGCTTTCGGAGGCGCGCTTTACTCTCTGGCCTCTGCTCTGCTCTACCTCTACATGCATCTCCGGTCTGAGAGGCTGCGATTCATTCTTTTGAAACCTTCCTGCGTTTTAGGATCCTCTGCTGGAGAGTACTTTTAGGTAGCTAAACGCCTTTAAAGACTGGTCTCCAACTTTTTCGTGTCTGCCGTCAGTGGGCGTTGTTTTCTGAAACCGTGCCTAAGAATCCAGCATTCGCTTTCCAACACTTGGAGGGCCCCAAACCCGAGAAACTTACAGGATCTGTTTATTATTTTACCTGTCAGAGCTCTAGATTACTTTTCGAGAAGTTTCAGAGTTGAGATAGTGGACATCATGGCTCCGGCAGGTCCCAGTTATAACCGAGACGAAAAAGTCCTCTGTTTCCACCATGAAGTCCTTTACGAAGCCAAGATTATGGATTTGAGACATGTCGATCCAGATGACCGAAAGAGTCCTTATGAATATCTAGTTCATTACAAAGGCTGGAAAAACACGTAAGTTCTCCTGCAGACATGCCGACGTGTGCTTTTGAAAACCCCCACTAGCCATTTCATCCTGGCAGGCTGACATCAATTTGAATAAAAAAACCAGCTGGGATGATTGGGTTCCCTTAGAGCGCCTCCGTAAGTTCACAGAGGAAAACCGGGAACTGGCGTCTCAGATTCGGAGAGAAATGACTGCTCAGATGTGGGCAAAACCCAACCTCGCCAGCAAGACAGGCAAGAAGAGAGGTGGCTCAGACTCTGGACGGGGAAGCGAAGAAAGGCAATCATCTGTTCCTGCCAAGGGTACAAAGCGAGGTCGCGATAATGAAATTGAAAAGGTACGTATTAAGAGCTTCACAGAGTAGACACGTCGAATTTATGTACTAAATATCCTGCTAGGAGGATCAATTCCATTTGCGGCCATCGATCCGCATCATGCTTCCCGATAATCTGAAAGCATTGCTTGTCGATGATTGGGAAAATGTGACTAAAAACCAGCAAGTTGTTGCATTGCCAGCACCTCACTCTGTTAATGCGATTCTTCAGTCATACTCTGATGAGGAGACCCCAAAGCGCACAACGACAGCCGAGTTGGATGTTCTCGAGGAAGTTATCATGGGGATCAAAGAGTACTTTGACAAGTCATTGGACAAGATCCTGCTCTATAAGTTTGAAAGGGAGCAATACCGATTGCTGCGTCAGAAATGGGAAAGTGGTGCAGAAAATTATACCGACAAGGGTCCTCTTGATATCTATGGAGCTCACCATCTAGTTCGGTTATTTGGTAAGTGTACTTGACGTCTCATTCCTCACCCTACTATTACATCAATGACGAAACTGACATTTTGTTTGATAGCTGTTCTTCCTGAACTTATTGCGCAGACAAACATGGACCAACAATCTATCAGCCGTCTGCGCGAAGAATTAAGCAAGTTCACAATCTGGCTGAGCCGCAACTCTGAAAAATTCTTTGCAAACAAATATATCAGTGCTAGTACAGAATACTTGGAAAAGGCTACGGGCGTGCCTATTCCAAACCCAGGCACCGCAACATCACGACTTGTGTGAAAAGCAATCTAAATTACTCACGAGAGAAGAGGAGAGCTGTTGGCGTCTCCTGACGTCTACGTGGATTTCAGCAGAGAATTGTTTTATTACTACGGGTAGGCGGCTGTTTGGCCATGGATTAGGGATACGTAGTTAGATCTTGAGAGGTTTCAATTCACGATGATAGTCCCTCATAATTGATTCAACCATTCGATATAGACATAGAGTAAAAGGTCTTCTCATAGCTAGCGGATACCACAAAAGTTCTTTTTACCGGCGTCAAAAACACGATGACCAGAAAAGGAAGTCAAACCAGTTATCGAGCTATAGGAGTATCGATACCAAGATCAACATCAAAGAACAAGCTTCCTTGCATCCTCAACAGCATATCGCGCAGCACGCTTCAACTCCAGCTTCCTATCCGCCTCTCGCCATCTGTCCCATGTACTGAGGCCCTGCTGCGGTTGAATACTAAGCGTATCGTAGCCCTGCTTGATTATCTGGTGAACCTCGCGAGGGCCGAGATTCTTCTTTCGCGCGGCTGGTCTAGGAGTAGACGCGTCCGCGCTGCCGTCACCAGCGCTGGCTGTTGATGCTTCTCCGGGTTTGTTGGTGTCGGTTTGAAAAAGCAGGGATAGGAAGTGTGTGGATACGGTAATCAAAGTATCAATAGCCGCGACGCGGGCTTGTTCTGCCGTGTCTTTTCCTTGTATGTCTGCTGTAGGGGCGTTGAGAGATGATGTCAATTTGTATACGTCACGAAATCGTACGATAATAGGACCGGACTCTACAATCTTGTAGAAGAGATCGTCGTAAGACACTGGATCAGGCAGAAAGGTGTCTCCAGTAGATAGAGTGAATGCGAGAAGGTCCACAAGTGAGGTTGTTAGGGTATCAATGTGTGGTGCTGAGGTCAAGTCAGAGGCGTAGGTAGTGAGAAAGCGCATTAGAGAGAGCAGCGTGCGCCACATCTCAGCCCAATGGTATGCTAGTCGAGTTTTGTTGGACGATAGATAGGTAAAGAGTCGAACAAGGATTGCGATGGTATGACTGGATTGCATTAGTTTAACAGGGTTATACTACCTCCGAGAAAATGTAACGGCTTACCTATAGAGATTGGCATCCAAACGACGGCGTAGATTGTGAGTAATGGTGTCAATCATTATGTCAAAGATAACAGTCGCCAGCACTCGATCACCGCTGACTAGAGGAAGATGCGGTTGTCTCTGTCGACATAATCGTACAGTACGCTTATTTTCGTCACTGCATATTCGCTTACACAGCACTGGATCCTCAACGATAATGCGAAGAGCCAGAAGATTCAGCTCTGCGTACGTAGCGACTCTCTCAGACCGGTAAGCATGCTGAAGCAGATAGGATGTTAACGATAAGAAACTCGCAAAGGGGGATTCTTCATTCCGTTTTTCGGGTATCGAAGTCACTAGATTATATGCAAACAGTTTATTTGCGTTGACAAAGTCGTATGTAGCCAAGAGGACTGCGGCCTCGGATGCTGGTCTGTTAAAATGACAGTTAGCATTTTGCTATTCTCAGACATATTGACCAAGTATTTTACTCACTGTGCAGCAAAAGTCTCCTTGATTTCGTCTGCGGTTAATGTGGCAGATTTATCTTTGCTGCCAGGAGCCAGTATTCGCAGGCCGAAAAATATGAGCGTATTGCTCAATGTCCACCCTTCTGGGAGATCGTCTTGGATAGCAACATATGCATTTCTGAGTCCGGCACACGACAGTCCCGTGCCTCTGACAATCTTCTGAATCGTCGCCTCATTGACAAAATCATTGAGTCGTTGCTGATAAGGGTTCTGGAACTCGAACTTGTTGTAATTGGCTAATAAACCAAGAAGCAAGAACGGCTCTAATATCTGCAGGTGGCTTTCCGAATCATGTACAAACTGGAAGTCGTTAGGTCATATTGTCTTTATATACATGAAGCTGTTTAGCTGCCTTACCTTCATTATGGATGGAAAGAAATCTCGCTGCATGAAATATGCGATTAGGCTGGTTTTGTATGCACCACTGATCATTGCAACGGTCGTCCGAATAGCCTTGATGCGAAGATCCACTGTGAATTGTTAGCAGCCAAAAATTTTGAATCAAGAGCATGCATTCTTACAATGCTTGCCGCCTCGAATGGTTTTGTCGAGCATGACGACAAAGTCTGTGAATACCTGGTCCACTTCATCAAGCCCGGCAAGAGCCGTGATGATGTCGGAGCTAGGATTGGTGTACTTCTTGACCAGTATGCTTCCTAGGAATATGGTGAGAGTCTAAGACAGTGTCAGAAATAGGCCCTTTACAAACAAAAGCAAATGGATTAAAAGAGTTGGTCTTTCTAACCTCGAGCGCATGGGCATCATTTGGAGCCGTTCCGGCCGCGGCTTCGCGTATAGACCGAGCAAATAATCGTTGAGTGACTCCCTGTAAGTGAGGAGTATTAGACATGCTGTCAGACCGTTATCGCCAGAGTATGTTACCTGTAGTAATAGGGTATCGTCTGGCGAGATAGCATCTAAAATCCGACGCAAGTGTGCTCTATCAGGAGGGAGCAGATAGAATTCTCTCCAAAAGCCATCACTCGGCTCAAAGTTGTCTGTCACCTAAATTCTGCTTAGTGAAAACGGTCGAACCGAGCAGCTGGGACATGTCATTAACTTTTACTTACTTGAAAGAGAGCTTCATACAGCCCTACAATTTTGGGCTGGAATATCTCTGGTCTACTCTGCTGGGTTAACGGGGAGGCCTCCATGGTTAATAGGTCGAAGGACTGCGAATCATTGAGCCAAATTTACAACCAGGACATGATAAACACGAACGAAGAAGAGGAGAAGAAGAAGCGGTTATATAATGCCTGTTTGAATTATGCGCCAAAACACAAGCATCACAGTGACAGGCCAGATAACAAAAGGAGCAGTTGTTCCATGTTGTCTCCATGTGGGCAGTGGGCACTAGCCACCAGTTGGGTGCCGCATTTTCCAGGCACCACCGCTTACACCAAAACACACCCACTTAAGTTAACTAGCTGGTTACAACAGTTTCATATGACAAGGTATTACTACCAATGACACTCTCATTTCTATGATTGACCTTGAATTTCTGTATAGCTTCAATACTTGCAAGGGCTTCCATGCAGCCAAAAACAAACACAATCCCACTCCGCTACTGCGTCGCTTCATTGGCATTGGGTCAGTTCGATTACCGGCGTGTCCATTTTCTTTTCTTTTTTTTCCCCCTCCATAGTACCACCCAGCTCTTGTGACATAAAGCTTATAGAACAGAAGTAGCATGGGTGCTTCCTCAAACGAACTACAAATCTCCGCTGATTGTCCACATCTCAACTCTGCACCGCCAGAGCCATACAGCCGCAATGTGTAGAAACGCCTGAACGCTGATTGGCCGAGCTGCCAACCGCCTGACTTCGGCGAGCAACAGCCGAGTTGCCGCCGACAACTTCTCGTCCTCTTATTAATCCTCGCCCGTCACTGCTCGCCGCAATATTGCAACACACATACACCCAGACGTCTGTATAATTATTGATCGTTCAAGCCCAGCTCATTTAGATTATCAACACAATCTGCGACAGTTGCCCATGGTCGCAATCATGTCTTTACAGCAGGCTTTTCGTCCCTCAGTGACATCATCCGCAGCGGTGTTCAGATTTGTCGCCAGGCAAAGATGCATCTGCTCTTACCGGGCCTTCTCCTCGCACGCTGGAAATTACCATTCATTGAGACGTGACATGCAGACGGCGACTGCTTACCGGCCTCATTCCCTCCCAGAGAACCCACCTCCACCCCGTAACTCCGGGATCCCAGACACATCCATTACCACAGATGCTCCCTACAACTCCTCGAACGGCTTATACGGCGCCGTTCCACCTACGCCAAGACCATCCACTACTGTCAGTCTGCGGGAAGGCGAAGCCCAGAAGCCATCGCCCGTCAAGCAATCCGAAACGACGAAGCCGCGCCGCTCAAGACTCCGTCCCCGGAAGGCGGCAATGACCCTTACGCCGACTGCTGTATCCCAACTGCACTCCATGCTATCCCAGCCGGACCCCAAGATGATACGGGTTGGCGTGAAGAACCGTGGCTGTTCCGGGCTGGCTTACCATCTTGAATACGTCGAGAAGCCTGGGAAATTCGACGAAATCGTTGAACAGGACGGGGTCAAGGTGCTTATTGACAGCAAGGCCCTGTTCAGCATTATCGGAAGCGAGATGGATTGGCATGAAGACAAGCTCAGTCAGCGGTTTGTGTTCCGTAATCCCAATATAAGTAAGTGCTCTCTATCGTCTTGCGGAATACTGCATACATGAAACTAACATGATTTTTCAGAGGAACAATGCGGTTGTGGGGAGTCTTTCATGGTATAATCCATCTTTCTTCTGTACATTTGAACCATAACATTATGCAGTGCATTGGGCGGCGTTTCTATTCAAGTGTCGGCTTGCGGTGATTGGGATCTCTGTGCCGCTTAAAGACTTCTGGCTATGTTGTGGTACAGGCCTTGAAATTACAACATATATGCACATTTTTTGTTTTTTGGAGACACAATGGACGATACCTAGTTTATATAGATTGATTTACTTCCACTAGTGAAGTTGGCTGTATTTACAAATTAATGAATGATATACTCGTAGTCTCGGTGTCTCTTCAAGATCATAGTTTCTTGATAGCTTCAGTTCAGATCTGTCCAGGCACATTTATTTTAATAGCTATATTTTTTGTGGAGAATAAATCGCTCTCTGATGTCAAAATGCGCCACGCGGGCTGGATGATGTCGATAACCACCACGGCGGATAAGCAGCGGCAGATCATCTATGTATGGCATCTTGACAACCCAACCATCACTCGCGAAACACCCTTCACAGTCCAACCATGGACTATTCAGACAGCTCATTAACTCCTCAACCTTCACCATCTCCTGGAACAACACCACCACAAATATACGTAATCATCCGCTTCTCCGCCTCCATCCCCGACGTCCAATTGGGAATCACCTGCCCGTCAACGACGACAGCCGCCGGTCTCAAACAGCTAATCCGCGCGCACTTGCCATCAGACCTCTCGAATCGAAGGATTCGACTCATATACTCTGGCCGAGGTCTCGAAGATGCCGTCCCGTTAATAAAGTCATTGAAACTGCCGCCGTCGTCGCGGACAAGTACCCCGTTATCTACAAATGCCGAACTCCCAGCCGTCGGCAAGATCTCATCCAAAGAAAAAGGGAAAGCAGTGATGCGAGATGCAATCCTCAGTGATATACCTCGTGTCTACGTGCATTGTTCCATTGGCGATATTGTCCTATCTGCGTCAGACCTCAATGCAGAGGCGGGGATGGCATCCACCATTCTTCTTCTTCAACAACAGCAAGAAAAGCAGCAAGATCCTGCTTCTTCAATGAGGACAGCAGTAACAGTGGGAGAACAACGACGTCAAGAACAGGATGAAGAGTCGATAACAACACCTGCTCCAAGGGGGTTTGATCGCTTATTATCGGCAGGCTTTACACCGGGTGAAGTCTCCGCTCTAAGATCACAGTTTATGGCGCTCCAATCTGTATCGCATACACCTGATACAATGCCCTCTGGCGCAGAGCTGCGAGAATTGGAAGATCGATGGATGGATGAAGGCTCGGCCGCGGATGGAGCTGGTACGGGGTTGACGCTTGGTGGTAGTGGCGGCGGCGGCGGAGGTGATGATGGCGGTGGGTTTGGTTCTTCGTCGCACAGCGCGCTTGATGATATGCTCTGGGGAGCTGTCATGGGGTTCTTTTGGCCTTTAGGATGTGCAATGTGGCTGAGGCGCGAGGAAGGGGTATGGAGTTGGAGGAAGAGTTTAGCTGTGTTTGTAGGGGTGGTGGTCAATGTTGCTTTTGGAACTGTGAGAGTAATGAATTGACGAAATTATGGCAGTGACTGTTTAATGCTCCGCATCGAAAATTTGTACATATATGCATGTATATATAGATTGTGTTTTGTTTGTCAAGGTTTGCATAGTTAGCATGGTAGATACCCACAGTGTATGAAAAGCCACCATCGTTGGAAATGCGAGCTTGCTAGTACACACATTAAGCTATAATGAAATAGATACACTAAACGCCTGGATATAATCAAAAGCATTATATACATCTAACGGAAGCTGCTGAAAATAACAGCGAAGATCAACAGAATCAGAACGGTGATGATTGCGATAGTGATCACTCGATTTGTAGCCATCCTACAAGTACAAAAGTTAGATCAATATTGCACAACAGCAGATCAGGTTGAATACTATATTGTATGGGGGTGTAGTACCTACGAGCCATGCCCCGCAGCGTCTTGATACTCGTATCAACATAACCCTCACTTTGGTGCAGATTCTGTCGAGTATGCTCAATCGTCTCACGCTGTTGATGCAAATCTGCCAAAGTATTCCGGCCAATATCCTCCGTCTCTAGTGCAAGTCGTTGGCTATCTTGTAAACGAGCAGAACTGCGCTCTAGACGTTCTGTTCCCGACAGTAGTTGTTGCCTTTGTTCCATGTGAATGTCTCCAGCCTCGGGGTCATCGGTATACCGCGCCCCAAAGAGCGCCCTGCGGTCGTCAGATAGAGACTTGAGTTTCCTCTTCAGTTCGTCGATGTCGCTCGAATAGTTACGAAACCGGACATTAACCTTTGAGCGAGCAGCCGAAGGGATGTTTTGCTTCTCCATGCGCATTTGATCAAGCTAGAAAAATCATATGTTAGCCCATAGAACTAATATAGAGTTCCGATTCCAAAGAATAAGTAAGTACCAGCTCAGACGCTTCATCCAATGCTCGTTCCGCTTGGCTAATAGCCGACTTGCGTGGTTCGCCAGTGGCCTCTGCTATCTGATCGAGTTTCTGGTTCAGGTCGGCTTGAACGAGCTTCAGCTCTGCTTCATAGCTGCTAAATAGCTCCGAGCCAGCATCTGTATCAAGGGGATTGGCCATGGTGAGAGGATTCGTTGTTCACTGTTGGTGGCTCAATGCGGAAGCGGAATGACGGATGCCTTGAGTCTTGTGGCGTCTCGCGTTGAAGGTTGGGAGTAAGTCAAGTTTGATACAGGGCTGTAATCCGTGTTATATGAAGCTCGAATGCGATGAACGAATTATTCGTATAAAGGGCGTTCATGTATTGAAGGCAGTGGAGTTGGGAATCGAAGAATGGGGGTGGTTGGATGATCTTGGTTGGCCGTTCCAGCAGGCACATGCGCTCCACTGCTTATCAGTACGGAGAATCCACGTGACGCAACGCCTGCCTCCAATATACATCTGTAAAAAATCAAGCAACCATTCGAGGATTGCTGCGCATGTAACTAGTGGCTTATTCAATGCTTTCAGCAAGGCGCCATGAGGGTTTGAGAGCTTTACAGCGCTGCAAATGACACGGTGCAGATGTACAGGCAGCATAGGTGGATGATACTAGCCATAAGCTGATATTACAAAAGTAGCAGTTGAACTAAGTCACATATTCTACTTGAGATTAAAGATTGAAACACGCAATATACCAGGCCACCGTACACTCCTTTTTCCCATCGTAAACCCTCAATTTTGAAAAACATTGCCCATCACTCAAGACAGAAAGCTCCCATTATCTTGGTTGACAATAGTCGCGCTTCTCTTGGCGTCAATGAACAGGTCTTCGCACTCAGCAATATCTGCAACGTCAATGCCGCCTGGGCGTCCGTTGACGCGCGCAAGGATGCTAGCAGGGGTGAGGAGCTGCAAAGCATAGCGCAGGCTGATTTTGCTACCGTGCTCGGAAACTTTCTCCAAGGCAGGATCTGTGATGTTCAGACCCTCTGTCTTGGTGCGAAGTCGGATAATTGTCTTGATTTCGTCAGGTGTGTATGGGTGAGTTGGTATTATGAGAAGGCGGGCAAGAAGATCGGGGGGGATGCCATGCGCAGCTGTAATATCTCCTGTGCCTTTGATAACAGTATTGCCCCTGTTCGAAGCTAAAATAACGATGGGGGCTATCGGAGACTCAAGCGCGCGATTCAAGTAGGTAAAACATTCAATGTCGAGCATGTGCACTTCATCGATGAATAGTACACCAGGAATTAATTCAGCAACACCTTGGCTGTAATGCCGTTAGCATAAATTCACTAGCACTCAATACGAATGTACGAGACACTTACTCAATATATCTGCTCACGACTTTGTTAATTTCGGCTCTGAGTTTCTCAGTAACCTCGGTTTTCTTTGGTTTGGACAACTGCCCAAGCATAGACATAAGATCTTGTCCGCCCTGTGGCCGTGCATTGGCCATACTAGTTTGTATGGTTAGTCGATGTGATAACAACCCAAGTTTCAACAGGACAGCCACTTACTCTAAGTCGTTGAGTGTTACGTCCTGCACGATCTCCTTCTTCTTATGAACCTCTCCCTTGGGAACTGGAACGTATTCTTCTGCTTCGAGATCGAACTCTGTGGCATAAGCATCTGAACGTCCTACTCGTTTGCATGCACCGGTATTTGCTTCAATATAGATAACGTCGCCGACGGTCACGCGTTCTTTTTGGATAGCTTCGTAAATGCTGGGGTCCAGGCGGAGCTTTTTGGTGCCTTTGTACGACTTGAGACCAATAATGAGGTGGCTGATGGTCTTTCCATAACCACCCAAGGGATTCTCGGCTTCTTCTGGGGTAAGTTCCGTCACTTCACCCTCGTAGACTTCCTTGGTTTCCCGAACTCGCAGGCCTTTCAAAAGGTCAGATATGCAATAGATGATCAATCAGAGTTAAAGCATACCGATAGCCCTTCGGAAGTTCTCCATGAGCGCTTCTGTCTTTTTAACCTCTGCAGAGTACAATTCGCTTCCGACGATAGGACAGAAAGGCACTTTCGTGCCCAGCTCTTGCGAAACAGCCAAAGCTAGGGCAGTCTTTCCAGTACCTGGGCCACCAGCGAGGAGAACTGCTCGGCCAGCCATCTTTTTTGCTTTGATCAGGTCTACCACAACGCCGCATGCCTAGTGAAGAGATACGATATTAGCCTGCGCATCTTTGTAGGGTAATTTGGGGTTCATACCTCTCTGGCAGTTGTCTGGCCAACCCAACCATCTGCAGAGCTTTCAGCGGTACCATCAGGATGCAGACCTAGGCCTTTGATATGTGTATGCGCCATCGTTCTGTTCTCGCGCGAACCTCCCTTGACCTCGCTGATTTGCACCATCGTGACAGAAATCAAAGCTTCGATTGAAGCCGCGAACTTGATTGACGGAAACCTTCAAATGGTAAGTTCAAAGTAGGGAGGAATAGAAAAAAGAAATTCAAGATTGTTCAAAACCGAGACACGCAATTCTGTTGTTTCGCAGGGTCTGGTTAACAAGATGGATGGAGCTTGTTCCTCTAGGCTAATTTTCGCGCCGCAGATGGACTATGCGCCAATGGCTTTCTTAGTTGGCGAAGGCGGTCAAGCTTGCCCAGGCCAATTTCTTTTCCGAGAAATCAACCACCAGTTCCGATCTACTTTCACTGTTTCTTCCCCGAAGAGCCAGTCAACTTCTCTGCCAGCTTCGGATAGCAATTCTCTTTTCCTGATAATGCTCGCTTTCTGATACAATTGGGTGTCGTTATAGCTCACAATGGCGGGCTTATCAACCCGGTTGACATGCGCGTCAACCTCCCTCAATGCGAGCTTTCGGGCACTGTCCTTGAACATCACAAATCCTCTGATTAAACGCGGCTTCTCAACATCGTCGTGTCTCCAAAAACGCAAGACTCTACCTACAGCGATTCCACAATATCCATACAAGCCGAATTACCAGTACAAGCAAGCCGATAGCGGTCTATACGGTGGTGTGTCAATCAGTTTCGGCAACAAGATTTCCAAGGGCAGAAATAAGGGCAAAACAAGGCGCTCATGGAAGCCCAATGTGCGATGGAAGAAGATGCACAGCGATGCGCTGAACAAGGACATCATGATCAAGCTTACACGGAAGGCATTACGAACCATTGAAAAGTGTGGTGGACTCGATCGCTATCTATTATCGGACAAGCCGTCTAGAATAAAAGAGCTAGGATTAACCGGATGGCAGTTGAGATATCAGATTATGCAGACGCCTAAAATGCAGGAGAAGTTTGCGAGAACGAGGAAAGCATTGGGCTTGCAGCCACCCCCGGAGACATTCGAAGACTGGCTAAAGCTTAGGGAGTTAGAGGAGAAAGGACTTAAAAAGGCTGAAGCAATTTCCAATGAGGATTCATCGCCCCCAAACAAGAGCAAGAGCAAGGATGTGAACAAGGGGAATAAGAGAGAGAAGGGCACGGAAGAGGAGGTGCCGAAGTTCGCATAACAACGCTCAGCGGGCTTCACCTAGGGCATGGATAGCATATTTTTGACTGCCACATCTTAAATCATGTACAATAGTAGATATTTATTTAAAGATTGTTCGTTAGGGATTTTCATTATCAAATTGTTAAATGCAGGTTACTCCCTTCCTCTAAATTATGTTGTACATGCGGATTGCCAAATGATTTGATATTGATATAGCAGAAATTCATTAAAACAGAAAATTCCTCCCCAGGTAGAAACAAGGACTTAGATAGTGGGGCATGCATATTAATATTCAACGCCTCGTTAATTCTCTGAAGAATGACTCTTCGAAATAATGTAAAAACCAATATAAACCAGAGAAAGAAAGAAATAAAGGGGAAAATCGCTTTAAGATGACTTTAAATGCGACGTCTTCCTCTGCCACATTGAATGATATGGCTGCAACTCTTCTTCGCAGCTTCGGCTTGGAGCATCACATTCGTTTAAATGAATGACAAAGTCGCCGTCATGATACGTACCATCGGCACTGACATCTGGTGAATCTTTACTGTAGGAGTTGATACTCCGTTGAGGAATGAGCGCCAGTTTCGCTAATATTGTTGCATGCCATTGAACAATGTGATCCTATAGTAAAGATTAGCGAGGAGTTCGCACATCTTGCTGTGTTTGGTCTAGGAAGAGAAAAGCATACTAATGCGTGCTTCTCTGCTCTTGCAAAGTTGTATGACCGGTATAACGGATCATACCACACATCTAGGAAGAACCTGGCCCAATCGCCTTGTCTGATGATGAAGCTCCCAGGAACCAAGTCTTCACCATCCTGGGTGATGATAAGATCCACATCATTCGCTTTCAAATGTGAAAACGTTTTAATGATGCTATCTGGAGGCACGACAGGATGGTCCTTGATCATCAATGATTCAAGTTGCTTCGGATCCAGGACATGCGCCGTAAGGGAGAGACGGGGCTCCATGATAAAAGCATTCACGTCGAGAAAAAAGAAGTATGTTGAATGGGGGTTCTCGGCCATTGCATGTCGGACGGCAGGGACGGTCGCCCAACTTCGTGGTTGTTGGTCTTGCAGAGTATAAAGATAGTCGGACGTGTTTGCAAAAAACGTTTTGTATCCTGCCATGACATCTCAGCACTGACCGTAGCCTTCTTATATGATTGGGAGCTATTTACCATGGCGCGACGCATAGTCTTCGCGGTTACTTGTGATCCATTGTATATATCGCTCACTCAGAGTTTCTCTGTCGAACAAGGTGACTAAGACGATATTCGCAGTTCCGGAGGGGATCGCGGCCGCAATCGGTCTAGTGATTGAGAACGAGACAAATCGCGGGAGAATGAAGAACAGAAAAATCACCACCAGCGCAATGGTCCCGATAGTCTTCAGCTGCCGGCGACGTTGAAGGGACCAGACAGACGTGCGTGGAGCGAAAGGAGGAGCTATGGACGACTTCCGCGGTGGTAGAGCGTAATGCATGGTTACTTACAACGCAGTCGTTGCCAGCGCGCTTCAACGAGGGATTGGAAAGAACACGAAACAAACCCAATCCTAGGTCAAGATTTCCCAGAACATTGTATTCGACAACCTCCAAATCATTTGTGCATCTGGGAGTACCGACTGCTGGTTGAGAAGTGAAGTGATTGACTTTCGTGTCATCCACAATAAATAACCGCGATGATGGACTGCAAGGCGATGTACAATGCGGCCCGGATCATCGATAATCCCATTGGCCGCCATTGCCCCAAATAAAGTGATTAGATATTTGTAGCTAACCAAGTCAGTTGCACTTTATGTGAGGCGATAAAAATAAACATTAATTTCCTATGCTGCGGCGAAATCGCATGTGTCAAGACTATGAATACATTTATCTCGTTCTTTCATCTCTCTTTTCATCCTTCTTTCCGGCCTCAATGACATAGTTTTTCTGTACGACTTGTTGGAAACGAAATCGAGAGTTCAATTTCGGGGATTAGCTGTTCTCTCCGAGTTTACAGAAGAGGTGGCAGGACAGTGAAACGCTTGCGCTTGTACTTATCACCGAACTCCTGGCGGTAGCGACGCTCCTTCTTTTTGGCCCACTGATACATCTGCAGGGTGCCAACAACAATGAAGAGAAGGACACTCCAGCTGAGATTTGTCAGGAGATAGACACCAATCCAAGCGATGATTTCAAACATGTAGTTTGGACATGTTACCAAGCCGAATCCAAATCCCTTCGGGATTCCGCGCTCCGTTGTACCAGGTCGTCGAAGGCCCCGTAGGATCAAGTGGGCATTGAGGTTCGCTAATTCGCCCAATACAAAGAGTGCGAGTCCACCGTAGTAGAGAATTGGGTTCAGGTTATTAGTCGCGGCAGGAGAGTCTGGGCGGAAGACCCAGTACGCAATGTTGGCACCAGCCAGTGCCCAATAGTGACCGCAGTTTTTGAAGATGTTCCGAGCCGGCATAGTTGCAAGACTAAAGCGATGAATGAAAAGTGTCTCATATTCACGTTTCAAGAAGTGAACAACCAGCAATGCGCACACAAGCTGTTGAGGCCATGACGGTTCCGGGATTTGTTCGAAGTTGAAGTACAGATAGGGCCGTAACAAGTATAAGCTGGCGGGAATAATAAGAAGAGGGCCGAGGTATTCGATTACGTATACAAATCGCCAGCCGAGCTGAGGACCTGCAGACCAATGCCATGATAGTCAGAATCTGTAATGATATAGGGGCGGAGAAACAGACGGCATATACGTACCCAAGTCTTTGACATACACTACACTCTGCGCCTTAAGTCCGGTTTCCTGAATGGTCTGCGATCCATTGGGCAACGTGCTCCCATCTGAACCCTTTGTGACTCTGAGCCGATGCACCGAATAACCAGATTTCTGAGCTATGGTATTGTAAATATCGCTAGCCGGGGCAGCCGTGGATACAGTAACCTCCTTTGGGAGTTTTCGAATTGGTTTACCTAAAGGAAGTCAAGTCAATTTCCGCTGAAATATCCTCGAACAGACCGGATCAGAACGAAGAAATATACCCCGAGGGTTGACAACGATCTCAATCGTTGACATTTTGTGCTAGTATGCAGCGCAGAAAGTGAGTAACGAATGTCTCAGTAGCGGGATTGAGAGTAGTATCGGCAAGACAGGAAGGCGTAAGAGAGTGGAATGAGAAGATGTTGGGAAAGAAGCAAGCTTTAGCAGAAATCATGTCGAGCCTCTTGTATCACGTGTTTTCCCGGTGCGTCGATCGCCCACTGACGCCAAGCTCGTTAGTCCCAGGATCCCTTGCGGCAACAACGGAGACTTTTCTGACAGGTTCTACAAGCAGCTTCTTTGAGGTTCACGCGGTGCCTATTTGAGCGTAATAGAGACCGATTCCTAGTATTCTACGGAGTAGACACGCGCACATACATTACTATACGTCTATCTACGTATGACTGGTGAATATATATCTCTGCGCTCTTGTCGCACTGCCAAAGGAACCCCGTGTGGCTCCAAGCAATTCTTGATGGCTCCACGAATCGTTATTGGCCAAATAGGCAGCGGCCTTCTATAGAATGAACAAGCATGGCAAGCGTTGAATTGATGTAGACATTCTCGTTGGGCAGACAGAAACACGTTGCATTGCTTTTGGTAAGCCAAAGGACACATGGGAGGGCATTCATAAGAGAGGTCGGCGCGCGTAATCTGAAGCTCGAGTGGCGGCAGTCTGAGGAATGAGTCAGTTTAATGTTTAGTTGGCTTTATACCATGTATCAAATTACCAGCCATCCAGAGTCACAAGCGGTGGTGTTTCTCGTTATTAGTTATATCATGGCAGAGAGCAGTTGGTTAGTCAGTTAGGCTGGGTTACCAAGCCGGATGAACTCACCAGACGGAAAGTCCCCACCCTGCGCCAACATCGACCTTCATTCAAGAGCTTCAAACGTCTTTTTCTTCCTACTCCCCCATCAACCTTTCCTTTCTGTACGCTTCTTACACATCTGTTCCTTCTTTCTTATTCCATCCCTCTTGCATCCACTTTGACTCGAGATACACACCAGAGCTCCGACCTGCACCGTCAGCTCTGTGTTACTCCCGCAGTTTACTCAGTTCAGGCTTTTTTTCTCGAAGTGGGTTGCTTTACGAAACATCAACTTCCACTTCCTGGCTCTCTTTTCGATTTCACTATCCCATCGTCCAAGGCCTTGCCTTACGATACACACATCTCCTTTCTCTCTCGGCTGTATCCTTTGGGTCTTGCTAAAGCTATTTTCTCAAGACGTCATCCATCTGCGTCAGAACCCAACCGAGAACATAGCCTGTTTGATATTTACGACGCCAGCCCAATCTTTGGGGAGCTAACTTCTCTCCCATGGTGGCCATTTCTTTATTGATCCAACAAGATGGGGAGAATTAAGAAGGCAGCGGGCTCAAAGCATGAGGCTACAATCGTAAGCAAAGAGCTAATTTTTCATATATGACCTTCCAAGATTTCTCAACTGACGCACCATTCAACTCCAGTCACCATATTTGTCCGAGTTTATCAAGCTTGCGATTAATATACCCTTGGCCCAGCTTCCATCACACCTCAGAACTCTTCCACGAACATGGCCATTCCCACGAGGCGATCTTTACCATTGGATTCCCCTATTAGATCGGTTTGACGATATCCTGGCCTCCGTGATTGAGCGGTATGGCTTGAATACTGGGCCTCAGGTAACTCCGTTTGGGCGATATGTTTTGCTCGATGCACCAGGCGTGGAGAGTGGCAATGTTGATGAAGTGCTCGACTCTCTGGGCTATGGCCCCGAAGGTGATCGCGAACTTGTGGAAGCCATCCTCTATTTCTCGCAGCTTTTACAGGAGAAATGTGGAAATCGCAGTCTATATAGTAGTAGTGACCGTCTGAACGACCTGTTGAACACGACGTCAAATTCCTTGCTAATACTGACACTTCGACTTGCTCTTCTACTTGCTCAGCGATACCATGCTAGGCAACGAAATGCAAGCACCACCCATTTTCAACAGACCTTGCTTGCTGCACACTACAACATAGATCTTGATAAGGTGCAGAAACTTGCGTCACCTTTTCCCCGACCGACGGTATTCGGTAAGGCCCCAACTGCACCAAGTTCACCTGCCGTTGCTGCAAAAGGCACAGAGAAGGCTGTCCAGACAAGATATGACGCCAATGATGCCATGGTATTACTTCGTGAAACAGATGGATGGGAGGAATGGGGAAACATCCGAGCTGTATACTACCCTGGTGTTTCTGAACAGGACAAACCCTCTTCGGAAACGCAACCAAATGAACAGCCTCCTCAACTCCAGGCTCCTTCCACCCCTACACCGTTGCGGAGAAGTGCTACAATGCCGACTCCACGACTCAGCCGTATGTCCAGCAATGAGGAATCCCCTTCCGTGTACGGTGCATCGCCATCTGCGAGGATGGCAGAGTCTGCTCGAAATTCTAAGATTGTGGAAGTGTCAGCAATAAGGGTTGCATCCACTCCGCTGGAACCACTTCTCGAATCAAAATTGAACGAAGTACCAGCAGAATCAAAATACGACTTTCTGCATAGAGCTCGGGTTGCACAATCCTTGGTCAAGTCTCAAGTGGCCCGTGAACAAATACTATCCATTCGCATCCTTGCCCTTACGAACTTGGCATATGTTTATCCTGAAGCGATAATGCAACAGAAAATTCTGCAACAGGATTCAGATCAGCCTAAGCGTTTGCAGATTGCCTACCAACTTGCCGAATTAACCCATTTGGCCGCCAGTGGAGACCTTTCAGCTCTCCGAACGACACAGACTTCCGCTTTATATGCTTTGGACGCTCTTACAAAACATAAGTCAAGGTCGGCCGATGTTTGTGCGGCTTTGAATGTCAACGTCAACCATGGCATTCTCATGTTTTTGACGCGAAAGGCAATATCAGAGCTCTCAAGTGAGCAGGATGATGGAGATGAGTCTGACGAATGGCGAGACGCTTTACTCTTATTGCTCAGGACATTGCCCGGATCGAGCTCAAGAACTCCTGAGACTTTAATTGCGGCAGGGTTGATTCCTATGTTTGTGGATGTACTTAATCTGCGCACCGAGAAGGCACGACGTGTTTATCCACGTGTCTTGGAGTTTCTTGATACATTCGTGCATGCTGTTCGAGATGCCCTGGGAACATTGGCTAGTGCCAAGGGATTCGATGCTATCTCTGATTTAATAGGATTTGAAACGAAATCTGCGTTTGAAAATGTTAACCAGAATGTCGGCATCTCCGCCGAATATCGCACACCCTCGGTCGATTACGACATTCCATATTTTCAACAACAATCTTTGAGATGGCTTTTTAGATTCGTCAACCACATCATGCAACATACTGGTGGTGGTTTCGACCGACTGCTGCGCAATCTGGTCGATTCTCCCCCTTTACTGATGGCCCTTCGTCTCGTTTTTGAAAATGCCAAAATTTTCGGTTCCCATGTTTGGAGCGGGGCAGTGAATATTCTGAGTAGCTTCATACACAACGAACCCACCAGCTATGCTGTCATTGCTGAAGCCGGTCTTAGCAAAAGTTTGTTGGAAGCTATTACCTTGAAAGATTTGAAACTACCGGACATTGAATCTACTGCGATGATAGATGAAAACGAGTCTGTACCCCAACCAGATGTGCCACCTTCAATTTCCTTGGTAGCTCGGGACCAATCCTACACTCTCGCTAGATCCCAAGACCAGCAGCTTGCTCGTGGAATTATACCCGCCTCAGAAGCCATGTCCTGCATACCTCAAGCATTTGGTGCCATATGTCTCAATTCAGCTGGACTGGAGCTTTTTCAAGCTTCAGGCGCACTGGAAAGTTATTTTGAGATCTTCGAGAGCCCTGCGCATGTGAAATGTATGGATGCTAATCTAGTTCGCTCATTGGGAACGACTTTTGATGAGCTTGTCAGGCATCACCCGGCTTTAAAGAAATCTGTCATGTCAGCTGTGCTGGTGATGGTAGCCCGCGTTGGTTTGTTGTGTAAAAAAATGGCCTATGATGGTGCCGGTGCCAAGTTATGGACTTCAGATGCACAAGGAAACATGGTGGTAGCAGGAGGTGAATACGGTCTGTTTACTGAGATTGGTGAACCTTACGAGGAAACGATCAAGCGTGGAGGTCAATTTTTCTACCCGCCATTACAGGAAACAACTCTCCCGAACGGTGGTAGATTGAATGTTGGCCAAATAACCGATCTGACCCTTCAAAGTACTCCATCTGCCCCCTCAGATGCCGATGAATGGGGGCTTACAGCTGCCAATTACATATACCCAGTCATGCGTTTTCTCGGGGCATTCTTTGAGAACCAGGTCAATTGCACGCATTTTATTGAATCCGGAGGTGTCGAGTTCATTCTTGACTTTGCAACATTGCCTAGCCTGACCTATGACTTTCAGAGTCGTCAAGCAAACAACGAGCTTTCCCAATTGGTGCACATGATGGCAGAAACAAAACCCCACCTCGTCATCCCCTCTTTAGTCAAGCGAGCTCAAAATTCTGTGGATTGTCTTGGAGACTTCTCCAAAGAGCCTAGGCAAAATGGCTTTTTTACGTCATTAGCCAGACCCGAAGTCGGGGATGCTGTGGACCGCGAAAAAGCAACTGAAGATGAAGTGCTGATCAGAGAACGGGGGACATACTACGTAAAACATCTTGTTGCAACACATGTATTGACTGACATCCTCCGCGAGATATATACAACTCCAATGTACCAGACACGCCCTAGTCAACAAACATCGGCTTTCTCTCAGGTCAATTTAACCGAGCAGTATACGAACCTCGTCACTTCATTGGGGACACTTCATGCTGCATGTGTCTGGGATGAAATTATCTTACAAAAGAACTTGCCCAAACGCTGGATTGAAGCCACGAAAGTGCGAGGCTACGATCTTGGTAGCGAGGAAGCCAAGGATGCTGTCGGAATGTCCAGCAGTGATGATAGGCGCGGTTCACCATCCAATGTTGAGCCAGCTCGACCGTCATCGTCTGCGACAACAAGTGCTCCAGAGGACGGAACATTCAAGTCTGCACCAGCAACATCAACAGACGAAGGTACCCAGTTTGATGAAGACCACAAGCCTGCTTTTAGAAACACGCAAACCCTTCGCTATCTTCTCAGCTCTTTGCCAACGACAATTTCCGGATTCTTCCATCTACTTGGGCATGGCATCCTGGGGAAGCGTCGTCCTGATATTCTCGCTAGGCAAAATGCTACAATGGTGGCTGATGCCATAGCTCAAGTTGTCCTTCGTCAGCTACAATTAGATGCTCCTAATAAGTCCTCTGACCCTAAAGATCGCTTTTCCTATCTCATCGTGATCTTGTCTGCTTTTACTCAATTGCTTTTTGAAGCGCCCGTGGAGCGCTCTCATTCCCATTGCCTAACAGCAATTCTGTTTGCTTTCAAGAGGCAAAATGGCTTGAAAGCGTTGAAGAATTTATGTGGATTATTCTTGCAAGAGATCAACTCCTTGACACCACAAGTCGGGGGATTTGACGATTCTGATAAGTCGGCTCGCTTGGCTTCAGCTTATGGCGGGTTGAAAATTATTTTAACCTTTTTCTCTGAAGTTACATCAGCCAAAGAGTCGAGTCAGACACAAGCCCTTTTATCGCTGGAACGCGAAAGGGACCGTTCTGATTACTTCAACCCTGGACAGTTCTTGGTCGATTTAAGGATGGAAGTTTTGCCTATGGTGAGGGAATTATGGAGTTCCGACTTTGTTGACAAAGCCTCGAGCTCTATTGTGAAGTGTCTGGTTGACATACTACGCTCCATTCTCGACGGAGATCATGAGAATGGCGCTATCAACCAGAGGAGCAACAGTCACCAGTTTTATTCCGATGATCCTAAGAAGGAGTTTTTACTTAATCAGGAACGAGTGAATACGCTCGTCGATAGGGGATTCAGCTTAGACTTATCGCATGAGGCGCTCTACCGCTGCAACAATATTTTGCCCACCGCAGACGAGTATTGCCAAGCTCAGACTTGGTTGCGACCACCACCGAGACTGCGACCTGAGTTTGACCTCCAGTCGACGGGAAGAACGAACATGCCCGCGGAAGATACACCTGTAACAGATACTCCTTTCAACATGTCAGTGACGGATTCTAATTACGCCCTGGCGAGACTTTTCTCCGAAGGTTCGGCCCGCTTAGTACAAGGTGATAGAAATTTGAATAGCGATTTGGAACGTGAGGCTGGGAGCAACGAAATCCTTACGAGAGCCCTGCATCACATATTCAGCGATTCAGAACCTCTTTTGAACGAATCTTCGGATGAGACACCATCACGAACACATCGTCGCTCTCCAAACGAGCCGTCGGGCCAGTCAACAGAACTTCGCAGGCGTGAAATTGCTACAATTGAAGACCTTGACATTGAACGCGACAAAGTTCGAAAAAATATGATTGAGCGATGTCTCGATGTCCTCAATGTTCACCACGATGTCACTTTCGAATTGGCCGATCTCATTGCTGCGGCCACAAAGAAGCACCGAGATCCAGAGGGATTTAGAAAGGAAGTAGGGGAGACCTTGGTGCAATCACTGATCTCACTGCAGATAGAAGACGATGTCCAGCCTTCGGGTAAGAAGATTGCTGCTTACGCTAATTTGCTCGCGCTGGCCCTTCAAGATAGGCAAATATACACTGCAACTTTGGAAGAGTTGAAAGAGTGCTTCGTAACTCTACTTGGATTCATCAAAATTCCCATCTCCGACAAGGGAGCAGAAGAGTCTTCGCCATGGGTAGGGCAGGTCTTACTCGTTATCGAAAAACTGCTGTCGGATGATTCTCAGCCACCACAAATTGAATGGAATCTTCCGCAATCCTTCGACGACCCTATCGATCCCGAACCAGCCTATATTAAACCGACTCTGTTGTCTTCTGACGAGAAAAGTCAATTATTTGAAGCACTCCTTGAAATTCTACCGCGAATAGGGAAAGATGAGTCTCTCGCCTTATCAGTTTCTCGAATCCTTGTCATTCTCACTCGGGCCCGGAATATTGCAGTACGTATGGGCGAAAAGCGTAACCTTCAGCGTCTCTTTGTCATGTTGAAACAACTTTCGAGTTCTACGGGCGATAAGTTGCAAAGTGCTTTTATGTTGATTCTACGACATATTGTGGAAGATGAGGACACTGTCCGGCAAATCATGAGAAGCGAAATAACGGCTAGTTTTGAGTCTAGGTCTTCTAGACAGACAGACACGACCGCGTATGTACGACAGATGTATCACCTTGTGTTGAGATCTCCTGAGCTATTTGTTGAGGTGACAAACGAGAAACTCAAAATACAACGTTACGATCCACATCAGCGACCCCAGAATTTAGCATTGAAAGTCAGCAAGACTGAGATAGCTCCAGAAAAACAAGAGTCGACTGATAAAGCTGTGGATTCTGTTGAAAACAAAGAACCGACGGAGACGAAGGATAAAGGCAAAGCTGTCGAACTAAAGCCTCCAGTTGTCGGAAACCCTGACGGTGTTATCCATTACCTGTTGTCGGAGTTGCTGTCCTATCGTGATGTGGATGACAAAGATTCAACATCAGATAATGTTGAAGGAAGTGCTACAAACCCGTCGGAGACTCAAAATGATATCGACTTGTCTGTGAATGATAGTTCACCATCTTCTTCAACCACGGATCTCTCCACCGCGCGTGATTCCAAAAGCCAAGAAAAGCCTACTTTCAAGGCAGACGACCATCCAATTTATATATACCGATGCTTCCTTCTTCAATGTCTGACCGAGCTTCTTTCGTCCTACAATCGGACAAAGGTGGAATTTATTAATTATTCACGCAAAGCAGACCCGTTAGCCGCTACCCCGTCTAAACCTCGAGGAGGTGTGTTAAACTATCTACTTCACACGTTAGTTCCCACCGGGACATTGGAGCACGATGAATCAGTGGCCTTCAAGAAACGTAGCAACACGTCTGCTTGTGCCATGAGAGTTATAGTAGCTTTGTGTACGAGAACAGGTGAATTTGGAGGGAATAGCAGAAGGCGAAATGTTGAAGACGAAGAAGAGGAGCCTGAGTTGCTTTTCGTTCGACGCTTTGCTCTTGAACATGCTCTTAAGGCATATAAAGATGCTATGTCTTCCACCGAAGCACTCGATATGAAATATTCGCGTTTAATGTGCCTAGCGGACCTCTTTGATAAAATGCTCAGCGGTTACACTTTCGCTAGCGGCGACTCGACATTCCCTTCCTCTACTAGACAACTCGCTAAGACCATGTTTGAGAAGCATTTCATCTCTGCATTAACAGCCTCCATTGCCGATGTCGACCTTAATTTCCCCGCCTCGAAAAGGGTCATCAAGTACATACTTCGGCCTTTGAACAAATTGTCTCAGACGGCCGTCATCTTGAGTGAAACTTCAAGCATCTCCAACTTGGGTGAGACCGAAGAAGATGAAATCTCATCAGCGACATCCGTTTCCGATATGGATGATGATCGGGAAGAAACCCCAGATCTCTTCAGGCATTCCACTCTAGGCATGTTAGAGCCTAATCATGAAGAAGACACGAGTGAGGAGGAATCTGAAGAAGACGATGAGATGTATGATGATGAGTATGGTGATGAAATGGACTATGACGAGGACCTTCCTGAAGATGATGGCGAAGTTGTTAGCGATGAAGACGAGGAGCTTGATGGCCCAGGTCCTATTGAGGGCTTGCCGGGAGATACAGGCATGGACATTGAGGTCCTTCTGGATGAAGATGAAGGCGATGAGAGTGACGAAGACGACGAAGACGACGAAGATGACTCAGACATGGACGAAGACGATGATGATGATGAGATTATGGCGGGAGAAATAACCGGCGACCGAGATAACGACAGCTTGGCGGGCGACGAGGATGATGAGTGGGAAAGTGAAGACATGTCCGAGGACAATGAGGAGGCAGCGGAGATGCTGAACCAGTTGGAGAACGAATTTGCTGACATGAGACATGGCGATCAGCAAGGTGATGGGCAGCGGTTTGGAAATCTCTTCCGTGTTATTCATGAAGCCACTGGTGTCGATGATTTCCCAGCAAACAGCATAGGAGGTGATGCACAAGAAGAGCTTATGGTTGACGACATGAACGGAGATGAGGGTTGGTACCTACCATCAATTCTTGTGGCAATGCTAATCGTAAATCTAGATGAAGACGAAGATGAGATTGATGAACTGGAGGAAGAACTAGATGAAATGGACGATGATCAAATTTCTTATGATGAAGGAATTGATGGTAAAAGATATCTATTCCTTGTCTTTTGATCATAGCTGACTGCCAAACTAGATGAAGACATGGAGCCTTGGGGTTGGGATGGCGACGAGCCTCCAATTTCACGCCACCATCACCATCACCATCATCGCCATTTCCGTGGAATGCCCACAGCGTGGACGAGCTTTCCTAGCGGCATCAATCGTCATGGAATTATTCCTATACCGCCTTATCGCTCTCAGCGCTCTCAGATGGCTTCTAGAAATACCGATGATGGCACAAATCCGCTCCTCATTCGTAGCGATCGCGGTCCCGACGGGGCTGGGCCAAGTCGTGGCTCCGGCAACGAGCCCTTCGCGGACTGGGCTCAAGGGGCGGAATCGACAAATCGCTTATTATCCGTGGACAGCCCGGTCAGCTTCATGAATGCCATAATGCAAGCTATTGAAGGTCAAGGTGGACCTGGATTCGGCGTCATAACGCGACCAGACGGTATTCATGTCCACGTCGACCGACGGGCATTAATGCCTGGCAATAGGATTCAAGGAATCTTCGACATAGGTCGGCCGCAGAACCCCCCTAGTAGATCTCGAGACGACCCGTCACAGTCAATCAGCTTTGCCCTAGGAACAACTACCGCTCGATGGCAAGAAGAGGCACGTATTCTCTTCAGTAACAGCTATGTCGAGAAAACCCAGCGTGTCATCAATTCTCTTTTACGAGTTCTAGTACCTCCAGCAATCGAAGAGGAAAAGAAACGTCAGAAAGAAGAGGAAGAGGCTCGTAGACGGCGTGAAGAAGCACGAGCCGAAAAAGAAAGACTCGAACGTCTCGCTAGAGAAGAAGAAGAACGTGAACAGAGACGAAAAGAAGCCGAGGAGGCCGCTCGCCGCCAGGAAGAACTAGAACGGCAAGCACCAACTGTCGAAGCCGAGGAGATCGACGAACCAATGAACGATATTGAGAGCTCGGAGTCAATCGCTGAGGCAGCTGCCGAGACTCGAGAACCAGGGCCTTCCGAACCAGCACAACGCGTTTATACCACGATTCGAGGCCGTCAAGTAGAAATCACCGGCATGGAGATCGACCCGGAATATTTAGAGGCCTTGCCGGAAGATCTCAGAGAAGAAGTCATCATGCAGCAACTTGCTGAACAACGGTCCCAAGCAGTTGCATCTGGAGAGGAACCGACAGAAATCAGTCAAGAATTTCTCGAAGCATTACCCCCGGATATCAGAGATGAAATTCTTCAGGCAGAGGCTGCTGCCCGACGACGTCGTGAACGAGATAATGCTCGCCGGCAAGCTGCCACGACCGGTGGTCCAGCTCCTCACGCTGAAGAAATGGACCCAGCAAGCTTCATGGCTACTCTCGAGCCTTCCCTTCGGCAGTCTGTCCTTGCAGACCAGCCAGACGAGATCTTGGCTACTTTGGGTCCAGAATTCCTTTCGGAAGCTCGTGCGCTTCCTGGACGCAGACTAGCACAATTTGGAGACGTTGGCCGAGCTGAGCAACGGCATCGCGATGAGGTGGAGGGCCCAGATGCCAGAAAGCCCCAGCGTCGTCAAATCGTACAAATACTTGACAAGGCTGGAGTTGCTACACTGCTTCGTTTGATGTTTATGCCTCTTCAAGGAAATGCGCGTCATCAGCTACATGACATTCTTCACAATGCTTGCGAAAATCGCCAGAATCGAGTTGAGGCTATCAGCCTTATACTGTCCATTCTCCAGGATGGAAGCATGGATGCTGCAGCGATTGAACGCAGTTTTACGCATTTGTCACTACGGGCCAAAATGCCAGCCACACAGAAAACGCCTCAGTCATCCAAGCGCACGCAGCTTGCTCCAGCATCTAGTGCCAATAGCGAAGTGACCCCCATACTAGTTGTACAACAATGTCTTAGCACACTCTCTTTCTTGACTCAGTACAACCCTCATATATCCTGGTTCTTCCTTACGGAGCACGATTCGGCTTCTATGCTCAAACTCAGAGCTTTGCGCAAGAATAAGGGCAAAGAAATCAAGGCGAACAGGTTCCCCCTCAATTCGCTACTTTCCCTGTTGGATCGAGATATGATCATGGAAAGCCCTAACTGTATGGAACAATTGGCCAATCTCCTCAGCACCGTTACTCAGCCTCTCACTATCCTCCTCCGGCGCGAAAAGGAGAAACAAGAAGAAGCCGCCAAGGGTAAGGAAACGCAGCGTCCCAATGCGGTTTCTGATGAGGAACTTCCTGTCTCTGTCGAGGAACCCGACCCAGGGGGCGAAACCGATGCACAAGATAACGCCAAGCCGGAAGGAAGCGACGACAAGGCTAAAAAACGCATAATTGAACCTCCCGTAGTCCCAGAACACAATTTGCGGCTAGTTGTAGGTATTCTTGCAGCCCGAGAATGCAATGGCAAGACATTCAGAGATACGCTTTCAACAATCAACAATTTATCCGCCATACCGGGCGCAAAAGATACCATTGGCAAAGAGCTCATCTCGCAAGCACAAGCATTGAGTGAGGCCATTTTGGTTGCGCTGGATGGTTTGCTTCCCCACATCGAACAAGCAAGCTCTGGCACGGATTTGCAGGGGTTGGCTTTGTCAAAGTTTTCGCCTGCCAGCTCGGACCAAGCCAAGTTGCTCCGTATATTAACAGCACTTGATTACCTATTCGATCCAAATCGAATCGACAAGGTCAAGGGTGCCGAGCCGGAATCTGCACCCAAGGAGGATGTTCTTAGAACCCTTTACGAAAGTTCAACTTTCGGTCCTCTTTGGAGCAAGCTCAGTGTTTGCTTAACTATCGTCAGACAGAAGGAAAATATGTTGAATGTTGCTACAACCTTGCTTCCGCTGATCGAGGCTCTCATGGTTGTTTGCAAGAACACGAGCCTCAAAGATGCACCACTTTCGCGGCGCGGTAGGGAGTATTCTGCGACGAGCCCTCCCTCGGATGCTGGTTCAGGAATGGAAAACCTTTTCTTCAACTTTACCGAAGAACACCGTAAAATTCTCAACGAGCTCGTTCGTCAGAATCCACGACTCATGAGTGGAACATTTTCTCTGCTTGTCAAGAATCCCAAAGTCTTGGAGTTTGATAATAAGCGGAATTACTTTACTCGTCGAATCCACACACGTACTGAGACTCGCCAACCTCACGGTCCTCTGCAACTCTCTGTCCGAAGAGATCAGGTGTTCCTCGACTCTTTCAAGAGCCTGTATTTCAAGACCGCTGACGAAGTCAAATATGGAAAGCTCAACATTCGTTTTCATGGTGAGGAGGGTGTTGATGCTGGTGGTGTGACACGGGAATGGTTCCAAGTTCTCGCACGGGGCATGTTCAACCCTAACTACGCGCTTTTCATTCCAGTCGCATCTGACCGGACGACGTTCCATCCAAATCGGTTGAGTGGTGTTAATACTGAACACCTGATGTTTTTCAAGTTCATCGGCCGGATTATCGGCAAGGCCCTTTACGAAGGCCGAGTTCTTGACTGCCACTTCAGCCGAGCGGTGTATAAGAGTATTCTTGGAAAGTCAGTGTCGATAAAAGACATGGAGACACTCGACTTGGACTACTACAAATCCTTGCTGTGGATGCTGGAAAACGATATCACTGACATCATTACTGAGACATTTGCTATCGAGACCGACGACTTCGGAGAAACTCAGGTTATTGACCTCATTCCAAATGGTCGCAATATCCCCGTGACCCAGGAAAACAAGGAAGAGTACGTACAGCGGGTTGTCGAATACAAGCTAGCTGGCTCTGTCAAAGAACAACTGGAGAATTTCCTCAAAGGTGTGTTCCATTCATCTCACATATTGATAGTATGTAACGTGCTGACATCAGACAAAAGGTTTCCACGACATAATTCCGCCTGAACTGATTTCCATCTTCAACGAACAAGAACTTGAGCTACTCATTTCCGGGCTGCCAGAAATTGACGTGGACGACTGGAAAAACAACACCGAGTATCAAAACTACTCCGCGTCATCGCAACAGATTCAATGGTTCTGGAGAGCAGTTCGATCTTTCGACAAAGAAGAGCGTGCGAAATTACTTCAATTCGTGACAGGTACTAGTAAAGTGCCACTCAATGGTTTCAAGGAGCTGGAAGGTATGAATGGATTCAGCAGATTCAACATCCATCGAGACTATGGAAACAAGGAACGTCTCCCAAGTTCTCACACATGTTTCAACCGTAAGCTTCTATCTCCATATGTAACAATAGTGATGGCTACTAATGATAATGTTAGAACTTGACCTACCGGAGTACGAAAGTTACGAGGATCTCCGGCATAGACTTTACAAAGCCATGACTGCCGGTGGCGATTACTTTGGCTTTGCGTGAAAATGGCAATCAAAACCCTCCCATTTATCATATCTTAGCTGCTGCTCTACGCAATGATCTTGAGCGACATGCACGTTGTACTAGCATGTGACGAGGGCGCCGAATGATTTTACTTTTCCCTGCGTTGTTACCAAATTGATTTTCTTCCCTCGAGCATCAGAAGGATCAGAGACACGTTTTAACGGCCTTTGTGTATTTTAGATTTACTTGTTTGCTTCTTTGCTTCTTGTTTCTAGGCGATGATGTGATGCAAACATCAGCTTAGCCTAAAAGTCATTTGTATGGGGAGCTGATTCGAAGTGCAGGTCAGTCAGTTTCTCATCAATGCAATTAATCACTTCTTCAATTCATGAGCTGGTCTCGTAGCACTTGAAACAAGAATTTAAGGAGTTATGTATGCCCTACTATGTAGAGGAAGGCGGTGAAAAAAGTATTGCCAGGCACCCCACACGACGAAAACGGTTTCTACGGGGAAGGGAAACTTTTATCTTCTTCCGCGGGGTGGACGAGTATAACTGCTTTCTTCCTGCCGTGACAGACACTGGTTTGAAGATACCCGCGAGCATGGCGGCCAACAGTATCAAACTTTTGACTGGAAACAGTCATCCCGAGCTTGCAAAGCTCGTGGCAGATCGGTGCGAGACTTGCTCTTCTTATTTCATGGTCTATGATGCTGACGGGTCTTTTTACTTCTCTCTCTGTACACAGACTAGGAATTGAATTGACCAAGATTCTTGTTCTTCAATATTCGAATCAAGAGACGAGTGTGACAATAGGTGAAAGTGTTCGGGACGAAGATGGTACTTTGCCACTTTTTCCTTTTGACTATGATTCTCTCTACTAAGTTTTATTCCAGTGTTCATCCTGCAATCAACGAAACCAAATGATATAAATGACGGCCTAATGGAACTCCTGATCATGATCAATGCCTGCAAGACTGCATCGGCAAGACGAATCACCGCAGTTATTCCCAACTTTTTCTATGCGCGTCAGGACAAGAAAGACAAGAGTCGTGCACCCATCACTGCCCGGCTTATGGCAACTATGCTCCAAACAGCCGGCGCAAACCACATCATTACCATGGATCTCCACGCTAGCCAGATTCAAGGGTTTTTCACCGTCCCTGTCGACAACCTATATGCGGAACCGAGCATGTTGAAATGGATACGTGAGAATCTAGATGTGGAGAACTGCGTTATTGTCAGTCCCGATGCTGGTGGTGCTAAGAGGTTCGTATTGACCCTGTGTTTCTGTTTACTTGTGTATGTTTCCAGCATTGCTAACTTCCCTGTCTCCTCAAAGAGCTACTGCGATTGCCGATCGACTTGACCTTCAGTTCGCCCTCATTCACAAAGAGCGAGCTCGACCCAACGAAGTCTCGCGCATGGTCCTAGTCGGAAACGTCAAGGATAAGATAGCCATAATCGTGGACGACATGGCAGATACGTGCGGCACATTGGTTAAGGCGGCCGATACCATAATGGAGCATGGCGCCAAGGAAGTCAATGCTATTGTCACCCATGCTATTCTCTCGGGAAATGCTATTGGCAATCTAAATAGCAGCAGCTGTCTTCGCCGACTTGTTGTCACGAATACTGTTCCCCATGCCGAGAAGAAAGAATTATGCGATAAGATTGAGACGATAGACATTAGCCCGACATTGGCAGAGGCCTGCAGAAGGACGCACAATGGCGAGTCGGTTAGCTTTCTGTTCTCGCATGCCGTTGAGTAAAAAAAAAAAATTGATTGCCTTTTTACTCGTTACTACTGACACGATATATGATGAACCAAACCTTCTTATTCTCCATTTTCTAATGACCGGTGAATTGAGATACCTAAAAACATACACCAACCTAAGCGCGTTTTATCACTATTCATGCGTTCTCATTGCCTTACAAAGCAATGTTATATTCAACTTGGTTACAATGCTTCGTGGCAGACAGGTAGGCAGGCAGGCAGATTTCAAGATCGGCTATATGTGTATAATTAGAGATGTTATTGTATTTTCGGAAAAAATACGGAATATTTATGCAAGGAATGAATCGATGAAAGAACTCTCCTTAACAGATGTTCAAGGAGACTTAAGAGATATCTACGTTATTCTGTTTCCTTTTTATTGCGCCTTACTAGGAAATCCTCATAACATGAACATGCAATAACCATTTCGAATTGATAGCATTTCAAGACTTAGGAATTTCATAGATGGAAGATGGAAAAAGGGAAATAATAGCAGCTTAGAACAGGAACAAAAGTAAAAGAAGATAGAAAATTTCAATTTCTCACTAGAAATTTTCAGCAAGTGGCAGTAGTAAAAATAAACCTCCAAAGCGTGCGTGCCCTCTCCTGTTACAACAAACAAACAGGATTGAAAAATTCTAAAGAATAATGTTTGCATTGCGCCTCAAGGTTTCCTTTTCATCATTATGAGTTTTTTTAATTGTCTTGCCTTTCTGGTGTGCCTTTTTTGTTTTCGCCAGAGACATTAAAAAAATCGATTTTGAAGAGGGGGTTTTTTTTTCATTATTACACAAAAGAGAAAAAACCACACTCTAAAATCGTTTTTGTTCCCAACAACAACCCCCACAACATATCGTCATTCAACACCGAATTTACTTCCTCAATGAAGATGCACGGCGCTTGCGGAGTTCGCTTCGCTTGGCCTTCTCCTCGTGGACACGAGAAGCGAGGAGCTTGGCGTAGTCGTTACTATTGAAGACCACGTTAGTACATGATTGACTTCCTGTATGCAGGAGAGAAACTTACGCAGCCTCGCGGGCAGCCTCAGCACGGCGGCGCTTGATGGCAATGCGGTGGCGCTTGCGTTGAAGGCGCTGAGGAGTAACCAGACGTTGAATCTTAGGGGCCTTGGTGTAGTCCTTCTTGCCCTCCTTGGTGACAGTGCGGCGGATGACGAACTTGCGGACGTCGTCCTTCTTGTCGAGACCGAAGAATCGGCGGATCTTGGTGGCACGCTTGGGACCAAGTCGCTTGGGGTTGACAACGTCGGTCAAACCGGGGATGTCACCTTCACCCTGCTTGACAACGCTGAGGGCGAGGACGGCCAAATCCTGGCCAGTGATGGCACCACGAACACTCTTGCGCTTGCGCTCACCAGTGCGGCGGGGGCGGTAGCAGCTGTGGCCGTCGCTGAGGAGAAGCTTAACACGGTTGGGGAGGAGGACTATGGCGCGCGGTGAAATTAGTTTTCGTTTGTGCTGCAAGTCAAACGAAGAGTAAACGTACCACCCTGCTTCATGGGGAAACCTTGCTTGTCGTTTCCACCAGTGATCTTGAAGAGCTGTAGAGAGGAATGACGTTAGTCTGAGCACGACAAGTGATGGCAAAGATTTAATGGAGAAAAAGTGCATTCGCGTTTTTGCCCGTGGCGTTCTGTATGTTGTAAAGATAACAAAGGGTGTCTTCGGAGTTGGCCTGAGCAAATCGAGCATATCTGCACCACTCATAGGTGAGCACGGTTTCCCGGTGTCGTGAAATCGATGTTGTAGTTCGTCCGTTCCATTCTTATGCGAGAAAAAATTTGTGCTGATCATATCCGTCCCTCCCTAGCCATGTCCGCTATAACCTTCCTCCATGCGAATTTTATTGTCGGCGTAATTGCCAGAGACCCGAACCGACTGGTGCAGAGATGCTCGAAATGCTCGTAGCGTCGACCGATTTCCAAAGTGAATTGCAAAAAGAAACAGAAACAAGAAGGGGGAGACAAACATAGCCCTTGAACTCATCTCCGAGACTGTCTCCAGGGACCTCAGCGCCCATACGCTTCTCCATGAAAGCACGGAGCTTGCGCTCATCGTCGATCTCGATCAGCTTCTGCGACCCGTTGGCCGGGTAGGAAATGTTGAGCTTCATCTTGACGGGGGTTGCGCGGTCAAGACGGAGACGCGAGTTGAATGTTCGCTTGAACTTGAAGTCTCTCGATTGTGGGAAATTTCGCTTACCGACGCTAAGTTTGATTGTGGGCAGCGGGCTGACTAAGGCCGCGCTAGCCGTGTTGGTGGTGCTCGGCTTGGCGTAGGGCTCGCGGCGGCGTCATGTGACTGGCGAGTCACGGGACCTGGCGCCTCAGGCAGAAATCGAGGCAGACGCCCCGCAGTGAAACCACCTTTCCGTAAGGGGCCTAGCGCGCACGGAGACTCCAGTCTCCGGCAGTGGCATTCGTGGCCGAGAACGCTAGCCAGGCTGGCTGCACGACGATCTCTGACAAGTCCTGAGTCTGCTCGAGCGATTAATCAGTCATCATTGTCCTCCGAACCACATGTGCCGATCTGTACCGTTTACACTTTGCAGTGTGCCCCCGTACGCAGTTCCCGTGCAGTTTCCTACTCCGTACTGGAATTTAATTCCCGGCCGTTGGGATAGTTACGTTGCGTCGGCCAGCTTACGTATGCTCCAGCCCGTCCTCTGTTTAACTTTGTAGACGAGATAAGATGCATAACATACTGAAAAATGTAATCATACACTACGGAGTACTCCGTAGTCAATAGGTACTTCTGCATAATAACTATCTGATAGAATCAGTAATCAAAACGTCGAAACTCCTTCCACATCGAGTAATCGAGCATGTGCTGCCCGGGGGGTTTCCGCCACCACGTTACAGCGTGCGTTTCACGTATCTTATTCTCGCCGTGATTGGACGGCGGGTTTTCCAGGGTTTGTTTTAGATTCGACCCAGCGGTAATATTACTCCGTACCAAAATCTCAAGTCGTGTGCTCATTCGTGACCAGCCTGGGACGCCAGCGCCGCCTTCTCTTTCTCCTTCTCCTCCTGCTCTCGTTTCATTTTCGAACACGCCCTCGTCTGACTTTCGCTTTCGATTCCATGCCTGTTTTTCCATTGCAAACCCTGTACTCTACGTGAATGCATCTCTCCTTTTGACCCCCGGTCAGCCATCAAGCCGTCAGGGCGCATCCTTCCCCTGCGGATCCCCAGCCGCGTCTTGGCAGATTGGCCTAACATATAAGTTAGAGTCTACGAATACAGAATACAACAAGCATACGCAACCATTGCTCTAGCGAGATTCTAGCTGGACTCGCCGTGTTTAATCTCCTTTGTCTCCTTCCCCCTTCATCCTCCTCATCTTCCGCCTTCTCGTTCCCTTCTCCCAGACCGTCTGCAACCCGTTTCATTCGCATACAACAGAAAAGTGGTGGAAAATGCGTTATTTGACGAGGCTGAACGTGCTCGGCAGTTTCGCCTTCATAGGTGTTCTGATCGCCCTCTCCCTACTCTATGCATCGGGCAACTTCTATACCGTGGGCAGCCAATTGCATCTTCCCGAAACCCCGAGCAGCCCGGAAGCCATCCCAGAGCCCACTTTGAAGCCTCCTTCGAAGCCCGAGACGACCAAGGTACCTATCACTCCCGTGAAGAACTCAACAATATCGTCCAAAGCCGAGAATAGACTGGTTGTCTTTGGGGATGCCTGGAGCGACACCGGCTCGCGTCTTGCTGACCAGGGGCGAGCATGGCCGGAATGGTTTTGTATGATGGTAAGGAGATCATGTACTGGTGCTTGGTTGAAGTTAGCTTCTAACTGTAAATAGTGGCCGTGTCGCCTGGAAACTTACGCACAGAAGGAACATGTCTGCAAGAGTTCCTTCTGCGGGTCCGTCGTTGATGAAACCGAACTCCATACCGTTGAAACCGAGGTGTCCCGTGCCTTGGAGCCACTACCAGACCTTCGCAGTCAGGTTGACCAGTGGCTCGCCGCAGAGATCCGTGCAAGTGAGAACGAGCCTGCAGCCGGCGACATGCAAGCGCGTGCAGAAAATACCGTCTTTGCTTTGTCGTTCCTCATATGGGACATTTGGAAATTCAACGGAGCGCATCCTGGAGACGCGCAGAGCTCGATCAACCGGAGTCTCACTACCATGTTCCAGCAGTTGGATCGCCTGGCAGAGCACACCAAATCCGATGATCTCAAAATCCTCCTGATGATGTCCGTCGATCCCACGTTGCTTCCTGCGTTTGATCCATCGCAGGGCCAGAAAGACATGGTTTCTATAGTCGACCAATGGAATACGGAATTGAAAGAGCAGGCCGATGAGTGGAAAAATGGCTCAGTTTATGTATTCAACACCAACGAATTTCTCAGCAATCAAATCCGGTCCGGGCAGTTTTTCATGGCGGGAATGCTGGATGGGCAAGGACTAGGAAAGGAGAACCCCTGGGATGATGTCGAAAACCCATGCGTTCAGACTACAAGCCATTGGCTGCCTTTTCTGAATAACAAGGGCCAGCGGTGTGAGAGACCAGAAAAATTCCTATTCTGGTATGTTGTCCACAAAGTTACCGCAACGGGAAACAAAGAAAAAGCTAACAATGTAAACCACTAGGGATGGCTTGCATCTCGGGCCGGCCGCGAATCAAATAATGTCTCGGGAGATCTTTCACGATATTACCGGAGTTTGGCTCGAGAAAACAAATTCTACATAGAATAAAGAGCTGAAAGCCGGTGCCACCTCTGTATCACCAAGACTGCTGCTCGCTCACAAAGAACTTCCTCTCCAGGGACGGGAAGGGCTTTTTCTTGGTTCTTTCTTTCTGTCCTTCGATGCCTCTTCCGGCACTTCAGCTAATCAGTCGGAGAGACAAGTCACAATAAAACACAACCGTCGTGTCCATCCTGATCAGATGATCGCTCTGTGTCTGTGATGTTGACAGCAACAGTTCACCGCTCAACGCTCTTCTCTTGCGAGAACCTTGACTTTGAAACGTGCGTTGTACCCTCTAAACAATGCAAGGCCAACCAGTCGCGAGAACTAGCTTCTCGCCTGCAAGCGTCTTCACAGCTGCAGGACCGCCCAAGGGAAGCACTCTTGCCCACGATAGGGGAGCTACCAAGAGTGAGATCGATCGTCACTTTCGAGCCGCCGCCGTGAAGACACAGAAGGTAGCTATTTTGGCATTGACTTGTCTGCGGGGCTCCAAGGAGTTTCCTGGAATGGATTACGGGGGAGGGGGAGATTTTGTTGAGCTACCGATTTGGAATTGTACATGGTTACCCAGGAATCGTCAGCCCCAGAAATGAAGCGTGTAGATTAATCACTTTGTCTCGCCCTTTTCCCGTCTGTGACTGGCTGTAGCAGCGTAGTGGTCCCTCCAGCAGCAACCAAAGGCACGACTTGCTTGCAGTTGCCGGATCTGGAGGCGGGCGACTGGGCAACGCGATTTTCCCAGGCTTTGCTGCAGCCTGCCGTATTTGGGCGCTAGCGGGGGGGCTGTTTCTTTGTTCGCATCGATGACAATAGCGATTCTCTTTATTCGGTTTATTTCCCGCGCCTCACCGACTGTAGCCTGCGAGTGATTGTTTGCAGGCCGAAGAGGGGCCGCCAACGAGCAATAAAGAAAAGAAAAGAAACAGCAGAAGCAAAAGAAAAAGAAAAAGGGGAGCAAAGGGGAAAGAGGAAAGAGGAAAGAGGAAAGAGGAAAGAGGAAAGAGGAAGGAGGAAGGAGGAAAAACGGCGCGGAAGATCCTCGTCAAACCTGGCCGTCAGCAAAGAAAGCGCTATAAATGGATCACGGGACTGCCAGACGACGACATGCATTCGCCTTCATTCTTCCCCATCCATTATTCATAGCATTATACCTTCCGGGACAAAGCCCTGCACCAGGTTCCCCCCCCCCTCCGTTCGTCTCGTTCTGGCGGCGTTCTCGCGATTGCATCTGCTGTTGGTATCGGTATTATTCCATGTCTTATTATTAGGCATTTGTTCTATACTTACTGGCCGGGCCCCATAAAGTCCTTGTGGCGGCAGATCAAAGCGATTGATTTGGTGTGTCTATAGGATGACAAGCATTCATTCATGCTCCATCTTGGATACTTTTTTCTGCTGTTGGTTTTCTTTTTATACCATTTTCTTTTCTTTTTCCACGCTGCTCGCGACTGAGATATCTATCTATCTATATAAGTCCTTTCTCTGTTCGCTGCAACAAGCCAACAACGAGACTCGTCCGCCAGCCATACCATACAGTAATACAGACTTGGTGCACCTTGCTTGGTCCGGCTCGTTTGTTTGTTACCAAGCTATTGTCATGTCCTTTGACCGCGTTCTTCCTCGGCCAGTGGCCTTGTACGATGACCCGGCATCGCGACTACTACATAGACAGACCAGCAGTCTATTGGAGCACAAGATCATGACTGATCGCAATAGGGCCCTGCCTCTCCAGGACATGTCATTCGCATCCGGCGAAGCACAGCGATCCAAGGAGCCAGACAGCTGTTCAACAGCCTTGTCCCAGATGCAGCTCTCTGCCGTGAACAGAGAGCAAATGGGCCAGAATGGCCAGTTGTCGGCGAGCTTCACCGCGCTTTCGTCAAGGCAGAACACACCAACCCTGATAAGCGTGGAATCGGCCAACAGAGACCGCTCAGGGTCCGGCAGTCCATCAAGGCCCGAATCGGCTAGAGAGTCTGCGTCGCAGTTCTGTCTGTGTCAACCTGACCCCAAGATTCCAAGACCCAGGAATGGTATGTACTTGCATTCACCTGGGCTATTTGTACTGTGCTAATTGCGATGTTGATGACACAGCATTTATTTTGTACAGGCAGCATTATCAGGCAGCCGTGGTTGCGCAGAATCCTGGACTTGCAAACCCAGAGATCTCCAAGATCATTGGAGAGCAATGGAGAGCTCTGCCAGCGGAAACCAAGGAGGAATGGAAGGCTCTAGCGGCGGTTTGTTGAACCTGTCTGTATCCATACTGTTGCATCTCGGCTGACATTGAGTTGAAAACAGGCAGAGAAAGCCCGGCATCAGCAGCAGTACCCAGACTATCGATATCAACCAAGGAGATTCGGACGTGACGGCTATGCTCGTAATGGATCCATGTCTACTGGTAATCAAATAGCCTCGACGATATGCAATCGGTGTGGGGGGCGGCTGATGAATCCGCCTTCAACACCTCATACGCCTCTGACTGCTGCCGTGCCTCCCATGAGTAGTCGCTCCTTGGACTCGATGTCTCCCCATCCCAGCTCCTCCCGTGTCAATGGAAATGGAAGTACAAAGTCCGATCGCCGCCCAGCGGCATTGCACATATTAAATGACTCTGACCGACGCATGCTACACAACCAGTGGCGAGAGCCTGAAACTGCACCCTTGGACACAAAACGCCGTCGTTTAAACGGGAGCCCGTTTCAAAACATTGATGGTCCTGATACAGAGATTTATTCTCTCCCTTCTCAGCAGCAGACATGCGTCTCCCGTCCTGGTGTCGCCTATTTTCGAAGCCACGCTGACCCCTCATCTAACGGGCATGTCCACGCCGCCCAACAAAGGCAGGACAGTGAGAACTACTATGATCCAAGCCTCACACTCCCACCTTTGAAAGCAGATGGGACGCCTTCCACTCGCATTCAGGCTGACACCGTTATGACGATCCCAGTTTTGAATAAGATCAAGGTCCTTGCTAAGATATCTCCGCCGCTCTCTGAGCAAAACAGCCCCCAATCGAGAGGCATTGTTATCGCCGTCGACGGCCAGGACCTGACTCAAGTCAAAGTCATGTTGAAGTACCTGGGACAGCTTCTAATGGATGATGGAAAGTACATTGTCCGAGTCTTCGAAGGACCCGACATCGTGGCCCGCAAAGGCTCAACTTCAGGCGAAATGGGGGATGCGACAGTTGACTATCTGAACGTCATCTCCGCCTGGCATCGGATCTCAGACGAGATCATTCAATTTATCAGCAGCCCAAGGTCGTCGCCACAGACGGCAAATGGCTCTAAATCCTCTTCGAGAACTGGGTCGCCTCAGTCCGGCAGCACAGAAATGCTATCTACAGGCTCAAGCCCTTCTCCACCAACGACAGTGCCTAGTACTACTGCTACTAGCCCATCCCCAGTTCCTGTTGCCTTAGTTCCGCGATATCAGCTTACGACGGCAGACGCCTTTGCCTGCTCTATTCCTATAAACGACCGCTATGAATTTCTCGATCATTGGCAGTGGATGGCGTCGCTTTGGCGGGCATGTATTGGTCCTGATGTGACAGTACACATCCGGGAGTGTGACCGAGAAGAAATCGAGCGTCATGGTTCTGGAAACCCCGTCGAAGTACGTCTTAACGAAGCGCGAACTCTTATTGTTCGGCGATTGCCCGACCCGACGAAAGATATCGAGGAGAAAGCTCTAAAGCGCGTCGGCTTCGAGATTGAAGATTTTCTTACTCGGTGATAAATAATTATAGACACTTTTTCTTCTTTTCCCCTGTCTTCTCTTCATTTTCTTTTCCACTTTTCTCTCATGCATTTCATGGAAAGGGCATAGCCGGGTTTGTCACTGTAGAGGCTCGTCCATCATACAAGTATATACCTAGGTAACGATTTGAAAGGAAAGTTGTCCTGTTATGGCACTTAGTACTTGCTCTTCTAGTTTTGGCTCCGGGGCTATATCTCCCATTGAATGCCTGAGGCATGAATATTTATAGACTGGAAAGTGGAGCAATAACTTAGCTTAGTGAATCTGGAGGCGGTCAGAGTGGTGCCCAACCACAAGCCAGCCCACTTCTTTCTGCCACGATCGCTCCTTATCGGCGATCGCAGATCTCCAATCTCTTCCTTCACTTTTTGGCATCTGCAAAGGCGAAAGAAACAATTTGTGGGCTTTTAGCAATGATGTGAACTCGCGAAACGGAATGATGGAATGCGGTGCATCTATCAAGAAAGAACTTCTGCACCCAGGCACTAACAGACAGTGTGAGTTCGAAAAGAGGCTGAACTGAGACCAATTCGAGGCGGCTTGAATCTCTGAGGCCTCAGTTTTATCTCCTTAGATAGTCGCTCGTCTGTGCTTGGATACTTGGGTCTGTGAATATGTCACCCGCCGCTGTCGCCAATGCTGTTTCCCCTGTTCTCTCGGGAATTGAGGCGTATTCCAATGTGTGCCCCCTCCAATCTGTACTCATTTGGAAGGAACCAGATTAACTCTGACCTATTATTTTATGGTAGATCGAGTCTGACCTGTCTTTGACAAAGAAATTGGGTCGCCATGACATCGTCCCCTCATCGAGCGCCATTCGCCTTTCTGACTCGATTCTAAAGCCTCCCTCCTTTCACTCTCAATCCCCTAGTTCCTCCTCGGCGCCACGTGCTACTAGCCCATATCTTCCCATCGGCATCCTGCGACCGTATATCTCTTCACACCACTCGATCCCATTTCCAGAGACAGAGCTTGCCAATTTGGAAAAACATGGGTGGGTGCAGGTACGCTGGAATCATTGTGAATCCCACCCTGAACAGACCTTTGCGCAGGTCTATGTTCTACCAAATGATGTTGGGCAAAACTATATCCCGCGAACGAAAAACTTGTTGAGGAAAGCTTTAAAGGTTGTTATGGCCAGTCTTGACAGCTCTCCGGCAGCTTGGAACGGCATATTTGATACGACCTCCGCAGAACAGAGTCCTGACGCGGCCGAGGACGAATCATTGTGGTACATATTCAACACTCTGGACAACCCAATGCCCGTTATAGAGGATGTTAATGATGCATATGGACGATTGGCCATGCAAGAATTAATAGCGAGCTCGAGAGAGCTCGAAGCAGAAACCAGAGAGGAGTCTGGTGTAATCGGACTCAAAACGCCTCTACATCCTTACCAATGTCGCTCGGCAGCTACCATGATCCAGCGAGAAGTGCAGCCGAAACAAATGCTGGATTCGCGACTACAGATACACAAGACACCGTATGGTCAGGAATACTACTATGACAAAGAAGAGGGCATTTTGTTAAGTGAGAAACGCCTTTATGAGGAAGCTTGTGGTGGTAAGAGACTTGTATTCCCCATGGTGCTGTTGTTCAAATTTATTTACCTTTGAATCGTAGGCATTCTTGCGGAGACTATGGGTTGCGGGAAAACCCTGATTTGTCTCGCAGTCATTCTATCAACACGAGGCCATTTCCCTCGCATTCCGATGGAGTACCAGGAAACTAAGAATCCAGTTCGTTCATCGGTAGGCTCCCTAATGCAGATGGCAGCTGCTACAGCCGGTCGATTCTCGGTTCCTTGGCCTAGTCATTTTCGACGATTGCAGAATATCGGTATAAACCATGTTCGATGTGTAGAGGAATGTGAGCGCCAGAGGGGGTCCTATACTATACCTCCGCCGCCGTCTAGGTATATGAGTCGAGGGGGATGGTTATCACGCCCACCAGCAGTTCATATCCGGCTTGCTTCGGGCACACTTATTATTGTTCCTCCCAATCTCGTTGATCATTGGCAAAGTGAAATCGCTACCCACACGGAGGGACTAAACGTGCTCATTCTCCGAGAACGAAAAGACAAGACGCCTTCAGCAGATGAGCTGTTGCAATATGATATCATATTGTTTGCGCGTACTCGATTCGAAAAAGAAGCTGGAGAGCCCGAGACTAATCGACGTTATCCCGCGGCGCTTGCCTCAGAAGAATCTCCTCTGAAGAAATTCCACTGGCTTCGGATAATTGTAGACGAGGGGCATAATGTTGCTGGGCATGGGTACAAGACCAGCACCATGCACATGCTGGATCAACTTCACGTCGAACGAAGATGGGTAGTGTCTGGAACACCCTCAAATGGCCTTTACGGCGCTGAACTCAGCCTTGCCTCCCATCAGAGGCTAGCGAGTGATACTAGTTCTGGAGACGAGGTGACATCGTCGGTTCTGCATTCTCGCAAAAAGACAGGTACAGCTATTGATGAAGAATTGAAGGATGTGGACAACCTGCGGCTCATTGTTGTGGACTTTTTGAGACACAGGCCTTGGGCGAACTCTCGATTTGACGACCCGGCGAATTGGACGAAATATATCAAACCAGTCGGTGAAGATGGAAGACGAAGAAAAGCACCTTCGCTGCGTGCTGTGCTTCAAGGCCTGGTGGTGAGGCACCGTTTAGATGTTATCAACGAGGAGCTCCCACTTCCGCGGTTGCATAACAAGGTCGTTAGCCTTGAACCGACCTTCTACGACAAGATGGCAATTAACCTTTTCTTATTCAATCTTACTGTCAATGCAGTCACGTCGGAACGCAAGGACCAGGACTATATGTTTCAGAGTAGGAACAGAAAACATCTTAGTCTGCTCATCAATCATTTACGCCAGGCAGGATTCTGGTGGACCGGTCATAAGCCGAAGGATATTGAGTCTACGATCGACGTGGCTGTCAAATATGTGGAAAATAACAAGGAGAAGATGGCAGCAGAGGACATCCATCTATTGACAGAGGGCTTAAAAATTGCATATCGGGCACTTACGAGCCAGAGTTTCAGCGTGTTCAGCCAATCTGATGAACTGGGTGTCTATGTGCAAAACTTTCCAGAACATGCCAGCCAGCACTGGGCATTGACACCGGATCGTGACGAGTCAAAGCCGTTACTTCTGGGACTATCACAGGCACGACTTGCGCAGACGTTTGTAACTTCACACCTCCAGTATGAAGACCCTGCGGAAGGGCTCGCAGGAGCAGGGATCAGCGCCCGCCGTCAGCTTCTAGAGCGATCTGAAAAGAAACCTGCCAGAAATGAGTCAGGCGTGGCAGATAATCTAACCCACAAAAACAAGCCCTCTGAAAATCGGCCGCCAAAGAAAACGTTTCTTAAGGGCGTGAGCAAGCGCCTACAGCCTGAATCGCCACTGTCAAATACAAAGCTCGTCGCAACCACCTCTGCGAAGCTCACTTATCTGTTAGACCGAGTTCAGGAGCTGCATAAATCAGAGAAGATCATCATTTTTTACGAAAATAATAACACAGCGTTCTGGATTGCAGAAGGACTTGAATTGTTAGGCATAGACTTTCGAATTTATGCTAATACTCTTAAAACGAGTCAAAAGGCGGCATATTTATCGCTATTCGAGGAGTCATCTAGTGTGAGAGTCTTACTCATGGATTTGCGACAGGCATCTCACGGGCTACATATTGCTAGTGCATCTCGCGTGTTCATCGTAAACCCCATTTGGAGGCCTTATGTTGAGAGTCAAGCTATCAAACGCGCGCACCGTATCGGACAGACGAAGCCCGTCTTTGTGGAGACTTTGGTCCTGAAAGATACTCTAGAGGAGAAGATGCTGCGCCGGAGACAGGAAATGTCGAATTCAGAAATGCAGCATGCCGAAAGGGACATGCTGGACGACTCGACTATGAGTTCGATCATTCAACGCGAGCGGTTTTATCAATTGCCCGAAGATGACGCTTCCATCGAACCCGCATATCTGCAGCAGTTTTGTGGCTTCTTTGACCGTCACGAACTGCCGATTCCTGATGATCTGGTGGAATCCAATCCTTCTCCTAGCACGCCAGGAAGAAGAAACACAACTCCAGCAACCAAAAAGCGCAAAGTTGCTATTTCTTCTCCTTCGGCTCAGACATCATATGCAACGCCACGCCCTGAAATTGATCTTTCCCCGGACCTTCCCACTCCTCCTAAGAAGAGAAAGATGGTGCCCAAGTTCCAAATTGTGACTGACAATGGGATCATTATGACTCCTCCGAGAGGATCGGGATCGTCGCGGAATTCCGGGTCTCCTAGCTCTCCTCCATCAGCACCAGCCCAGCAAAGCCTTAATCGAAGTCCGGCGAAGGCTCGCGATGAGGATGTTGATGATAGAACGTCATTGATGAGTTTGTTCGGTGGATGAGTAGATTTACTTGTTATTGAGACGGATAGAAATATCTGTCTAATGTTTTCATAGTAGAAGTGGTGTATTTTTATTATTTCTATTTTTATTTCTGTCCTATCTATGTTTGCTAAGATCTTTTCGTTTTGAAAGTGAGGAGGCGAGCTTGGAGTTACGTTAGATATCCCATGATTTGTTGTTCCTATCTATGACAAAGTTTTCAATGAACAGTTACCCCTAGAGGGCATGGTTTGGTCAATTCACAATTCTAGAGTGAAGGCAGCCTTAGCGTGAGTTTTGAAGCAATCCATAAATTCTCTCCTTATCGGTCCTTATCGGTCCTTATCTGCCAGCCCCTCCATAGATCGATCGATCATACGTACCATCCTCTACGAGGATACTCACTTTCAGACTCAGCGAGAAAAAGTCGATACCCTGCGTGTCACTAAAAAAGCCAAGAGACCAAGAGATCAAGAGAAGAGCAAGAAACATTCTTTACGACGCTGGGCAAAAGAGAAGAAAGACAGGCATGGCAGACCGCACCACCCAGGCGGGGCAGGCCGAAAGCGCCAGCAGCAAAACAATCATAATAGGCCTCTCAGGTCCATCGTCGAGCGGGAAAACGACACTGGCACGGCTTCTGCGTACGATTTTCGCGATGGAGTATAAGGTCCGCACGTTTATTATACATGAAGATGACTTTTACTATCCCGATGACAAGTACGTACTACCTAGTACCTGCCATCTACCAATGTATAAATATATGCACGCATACAGCAAAACTGATACCAATAATAAACAGAATCCCAGTTGTCCGGACTGCAAAAGGCGAATTGGTTCAAGACTGGGATACCATCGGCGCAATCGATGTTGGGTTCATGTCTTCTGCGCTGGCCTATGTGAGAGAGCATGGCACACTGCCGCCTCGATTAAGGAGCAAAGAAGACCAGAACGAGGCGGCAGATCCGCGTGTTGAGAAGACTACCATAGAAGCTATGAGGGAAGAAGTAGGGAAGAAATTGGGTGGTTTCATTTCGTCTTCTCTTGGAGATGGAGCAGGAGAAGGAGAAATCACAATTGCGTTTCTGGAAGGTTTCTTGCTCTTTGCGCCTCCGGCAGCGGAGAACCCGTCTCATGTTTTACGCCATGTTCATGATAACATTCATTTGCACATCTTCCTACCGGCGCCATATGATGTTGTCAAGGCGCGGAGAGAGGCGCGGAGTGGCTATGTGACTATCGGGCCGGCTCCGACACCAGCGGCTACGCGGGAGAATGATGATAGCAATACGAATAAAGATTTGGAGTCGTCAAGCATCGATCTAGAGAAGGAAGAGGAGGGCGATAGCGCGCCCCAGAATTTCTGGACTGACCCTCCTGGCTACGTTGATGATATCGTCTGGCCGAGGTACGTCCAGGACCATGCGTGGTTGTTGGCGCCGGAGGATGATACTACGGCCCAGCAATCGCTCGCCGATAGACATGCTGTCGCTGCGTCTTCGGAATCGACACAGAAGGCAACTGAGGAGCTGTTGAGGCTGGCGGGTCAGGGTGTTAATGTGCGCGGTGACGCGGGTGTTGTGGTGGCGCCTGGTAAGGGAGAGAAGCCTATGAACGCGATTCTGCGATGGGCTGTGGATGAGATATTAAGTTATCTAAAAGTACAATTGTAAACATGCATGTTTGTTATAAAATTATTCGTTTCGTTATCATTCGAATCGCTATTAGATGGGGCACGGAGGTGTACCATGTAATATAGTTAGAAGGCTCAAAACAAACATGTTCATACTGAAGTATCCTGCACCCTGAAACTCAAAGATAGAGAGGCTTTTCAACCCTGAGAAAACACGGCTAGTATCTGTACCGGGTCGAGTAGTCCTTAGGACTGACGACTAAACCGCGGCCTTTCTTCGCACCGCGATAGATTGTTTCGATAATGTCAATCAATTCTTGCTTATCTTCGCTGTTTATTTATTAGCAACCGTATTGCTAAGGAGAGCTAGGCATACTTACAGAACCCAGTTGAGCTTGTTATTGTTACCAGTTCCAAAATCGCCTAGAAAGTCGTTAGTAGGAGATACGATTCAACGAGACATTAGATAATTGCTAACACATCATATGCTTGTTCCTGAAGAAGAACATTATCGTCATCGGGTCGTATAATTCATACCTAGGGATCTATTAGCTTCTACGGTGGCAAAACGCAGAAATTGAAAAAGAAAAAGATATACATACATGGCGTTAAAATCTGGCGTCTGTTCTATGTCGCACAGGTAAACGACAGCGAAGTTCTTGACGCGGTCTGCAATCTTGGACAGGACATCATCCTGTCGTAGGCTAGGAATCAAATGTCAGTTCTCTGACAAGCGGACAGAAAAGACAAGAACTTACCAGTCAGGATGGGAGTCTCTGCCGAACCTCACTACGACTAATCGCTCGTCTTCGGAGAGAATGGCCTGATCAACCTGCCAGGCATTCTGGAGATGCGGAAGGACCATGGAACCCATGTTGGATTGTTTTATTGCTTTGATTTAGGTAGAGCGAGTCTGTCTGTGTTGTCTTGATGCATCTAGAAAAGAGAAGCCCAAAGATGCCAAGGGAAGTCGATGCTGTGGATACCTGAGGCAGAAACCGTTCGGTCTTGGCGGGCGTCTTGATGCCTAAGGCTGCATACATCTATCGCTGCTTACCTAACCTTTATACCTAGGGGTTAACTAACTAGTTAGTTATATAGTTAGTTTATATGCGTATTACAGCATTTCAAACAGTCCGCTGCCTGGCCTTGACTTGCATCGTTTGCTCCTAATTAGCAAATTGAAAGCCCGGCCTCGACAAATGACTGCCCTTCATTCCTAGCTCAGCACTATGTTAGCCTGGCCAGTAGAATACAAGGCTAGGGATAGTTTCGATGAGTATACTGGTGCATTTCCATGAAGAGTATCCATTGTATTGCTTTAAATGGCTTGTCTTCACAGAGAATATGGATTTGATAGGGTTAGGGCTAAAACACATGGAGACTTTGATTTTGAGCCGCGCTAGCACATATTCGCCTTGCTTCCTCCGATCTCGAGTTGTGTAACTAGTAGCTGGTAGAGAATGAAAAATCAATTGTATTATTGTGATAAAAATAATTAACAAAGGTACTCTCCCGAGCTAAAGCAGCGCTTGCGAAGGCTATATTCTGCTTGTCAGATGTCTACTTAGAGATGGCGCCATCCCCCATACGGATAGCTCCGGCCGGAAGCAGTAAGGCCTCTCCCTGTTTAGTCTTACTAGTTAAGGATAAACTCGCTCAACTCCTCCTGTCCTTGCGACGTCGGGTTGCTGTGCTGAGGAACGCAATCCTTCTTGGCCCGTGGTCAGGACGATTATTCCGGTACTACTTTTACAAAGCTAAGCAGTCAAGTCTATCGTTAATCACCATGATTGTTCAACGGACAACGTCGCTGCTCGCCATCCTTGCCGTGGTCGCATGCGCTTTATTCATTCTTTCCAAGTCAACAAACACAACTTTCGAAACAGTTTCTCATGTCAAATTCGGCCCCTCGCGGTACATACCAACGAAATTCCCCTCATTTGAAGACATCCGCCATCCTTTCCGCCCGGCGGCTCACGAACCTCCCGAGCAAGCACATAGCACTAGCGGCGAGTCGAAATGGTTCAGCGATTGGAAATGGCTTCATCCTTTCTCGTCGTCCATTACGCTTGACGAGCATCGCACTGTGCTCCCTCCTTTACCCGAGCGTCCACCCGTGTATACCTTTTACGAGCCGAACAGCAAGTATGACGAAGCCCAAGAGAAGGCGGATGGCCAGCTTCTTTTGGCGTGGAGACGTGCATGGTATGCTAAGGGCTTCCGGCCTGTCGTGCTCAGCCGCGCCGAAGCGATGAAGAACCCTCTATACGAGGAAGTGCAACGCCGCGAATTGAAACCAGAATTGGAACAAGACTTCTTCAAATGGCTGGCCTGGGGTCATATGGGTAGTGGCTTATTCGCGGATTGGCTGTGTTTCCCAATGGCTCGTTATGATGATCCCATTTTCTTGTACCTCCGAGCCGGCGCTATACCTACTCATATTACCCGATTCGAGACGCTGGATCGAGCGCTCTTTGCCGGTGAGAAGACGCGCATTAACGATGCGATAAAGTTTGCTATTCAAGACCCCAGAGACGGTGCTTCGTCCATTCTGTCTGTTATCCCGCCAGAGTTCTTCGCGGTAGAGCAATCCAACGCCTTGGCCTACTATTCACAGAGCGTCGTAACAGCCAGTTACCCTCAACTCGCCGAGAAATACGCCTCGGACGCCGCAGCTGGCCGGCAGGCTCTAGCTGAGCTTATTGATGCCCATCTCCATACTACATTCCTCAATAGCTTCCCATCAGGATTTACAGTGCTGAAGCCCATCCCTGATCATACAACAGCATTGGTAGAGCCTGCCATGCATCTCGCACAAGCGCTTTCCAAGTGTCCTTCTTCCGAGTTGCCCGGGCCGTGTCCGCCTAATCGGCCTAATTGCCAGCCATGTAATTCGAAGTCGAGGTCGGTTTCTATCTCACAACCAAAGTCCTTCAACAATGCCAGCGATATCTATACAATTGGCGTCTTACCACATCCTCTCACTCTGATTACTCTTCAGCGTGGATCCGATGAGGTCGATACCGCTTATATTCGACGCGAGACAACCCGTGATCCGTGGCTGGCCGAAGTTACCACGGAACTAGTTGGTGCGAATCGTGCAGGCTCTACCCGAGTAGTCGCTTTTAAGGAGGTGGTTGCTGGCGAGGAATATGCGCACAGGACCTTCTGGATGACTGTTGAAACCCTCTTGGCTAAGGAAGGCGAGGATCTCCCCTCGACATTAGTCTCTGAATTGTCATGGAATTTTGGATTTAAAGTTGACACCGAGGACGCTGAAGACGACGCTAAGAAGTTTCAGGATGAAGCAAAAGAACAGCCATCCTTAGTCAAAGAGTATGAGTTGATTGCGAAAGCGCGTAATTGGCTTCACGACCAGCCGAACCGTGTCGGTCTGCGTAATATCGCAGAAGCTTGGAATCTGGCAGATATTGAGGTTTGGCGATTTGTCCAGGCTTACAGGTTTGTTCTCGCCTTGATATCTCCCCTTTACCAAAAAGCCTTGTCGAATTCTATCTAACAAATGTACGGTATACAGGGCACGCAGTGTCGTGGAACGACAACGATGGGAGAAAGAAGAGCAGAACTTCCTTGGTGCTCGAGTTGACTGAGCATATCCAACATCTAAAGACGTTTTTGCGTTGCGTTTTCCTTTGTTCTAATTTTCTTCGGCTACAAATTCTACGTATGTAAATATATTTCCCTTGGAGCATTTGGTGGCGTTTGTGTGACATTTTTCGTTGTCTGTGCTACGATAGAAGTGATTATTATATGAAGCCATACAAATTGATGCTTTTGTATGGCGCCGGACAGTGGCGATCGCCGGGCGGCTTGTGGAGACGAGATAACCTGGGAACCGATAAGCTCCCATACAATAAATACTCGACCACCCCCCCGCATCCTCTTGTCTCTTCCATTCCTTATGCATGTGAATATACACGTTTTCTTTCATTTATCTTCATTTGCATCGTGTACTCAATACACATAGGTCGTATAAATCCTTCTCTGAGACGTCCTAACACGCATCATGGCGCCGGGCCTCGTGGATTTATCTGCCCCAGCTGTCGGCGCAAAGAAAATCTCCAATTTGATCCAGCTAACGCAGGATTACCACGATACGATTCGCTTCTATCTGAATGGAACCAAGGTATTGCTCGACGACGTCGATCCGGAGCTGACTCTGCTGGAATACCTCCGTGGAATTGGCTTGACCGGCACAAAGTTGGGCTGTGCTGAGGGTGGTTGTGGTGCTTGCACCGTGGTAAGACAGTTTATTTTCACTCAAGCATTCGCAAATGGAGCGTGAATTTCTTTTTCTCTAACTTGCTCGTGTTGCCAAATCTTATCTAGGTGGTCTCACACATCAATCCAACCACAAAGAAGCTCTACCATGCTTCTGTTAATGCCTGCCTCGCGCCTGTTGTCAGTGTTGACGGGAAACATGTCATCACCGTTGAAGGGATTGGCGATGTGAAGAATCCGCATCCAGCTCAGCAAAGACTCGCTGTCGGGAATGGAAGCCAGTGCGGTTTCTGTACCCCGGGAATCGTGATGGTATGCTATCTGTCTTTCGTCTATAGAGTCCATCTGCTGACAAAAGGGTGAATCCGCGGTTTTAGAGTCTGTACGCTCTTCTACGCAATAATGACAGCGAGCCTTCTCCGCATGAAGTTGAGGAAGCATTCGATGGAAATCTCTGTCGTTGCACTGGCTACCGGCCCATTCTAGACGTTGCTCACAGCTTCTCGAGTTCGACTGGCTGCATGAATGCCAAGGCGAATGGGGGTACGGGATGTTGCATGGAGAAACAAGATGGAGCTGGTGGCTGCTGCAAATCGAATGAAGCTTCTCAGGAGGCCGATATTAAAGCGCCCATTTTCCCGCGACCAGACTTTATTCCTTACAACCGTGAGACTGAGTTGATTTTTCCACCAAGCCTCAGAAAACACGAATTCAAGGCGCTTGCGATAGGTAATAAGAAGAGATGGTATCGACCGGTGACAGTGCAGCAGCTTTTGGAAATCAAAGATGCCTACCCATCTGCGAAAATCATAGGTGGAAGCACAGAGACACAGATTGAAGTCAAGTTTAAAGGATTGTGTTACGACCCGTCTGTTTATGTAGGCGATATTACCGAACTCAAGCAATACTCTTTCAAGGATGACCACCTCGACTTGGGAGCAAACGTATCCTTGACAGACCTGGAACATATCTGCGACGAAGCTGTAGAGCGCTATGGACCAGTTCGCGGACAACCATTTACAATTATCAAAAAGCAGCTGCGCTACTTTGCTGGGAGACAGATTCGAAACGTCGCATCGCCTGCCGGTAATTTAGCTACAGCCTCTCCGATCTCAGATTTGAACCCTGTCTTTGTGGCATCCAACACAGTGTTGGTAGCTAAGTCATTAACAAAAGAAACCGAAATTCCGATGCTGGATTTCTTCAAGGGTTATCGCACAACTGCTCTCCCTGCAGACGCAATTATTGCTAGCTTGCGCATCCCAGTGGCCCAGGAGGGCGAGTTTTTCAGGGCATACAAGCAATCAAAGCGAAAGGATGATGATATCGCTATTGTCAATGCTGCTTTGAGGGTCTCATTGTCAGAAACAAATGATGTCCTTAGTGCCAGTTTCGTGTACGGCGGAATGGCCCCAATGACCGTGTCGGCGAAGAATGCTGAACTCTACATTATCGGCAAGAAATTTACAAACCCCGAGACATTGGAAGGTGTCATGAACGGCCTGGAAAAGGACTTCGATCTACGATTCGGTGTCCCCGGAGGTATGGCAACGTACAGGAAGACGCTAGCGTTGAGTTTCTTCTATCGATTCTATCACGACGTCTTGTCCAACCTTGAAGTTAAGGAAAGCGATATTGATCAAGATATAATTGACGAGATTGAAAGAAACATCTCTTCTGGACACAAGGACCATAGTGCTTCTGTTGCATATCAACAAGAAGTTGTTGGAAAATCCGGGAACCATCTCTCGGCTCTCAAGCAGTGTACCGGGGAGGCTCAATACACGGATGATATCCCTGTGCAAAAGAACGAACTCTATGGCTGCTTGGTTTTATCCACCAAAGCTAGGGCCAAGATTCTAAGCGTGGATGCTGAGGCCGCCCTTGATATACCCGGCGTTTATGATTACGTTGACCATCGCGACTTACCCTCCCCTGCCGCGAACTGGTGGGGTGCTCCTAAATCTGACGAACAGTTCTTTGCCGTTGATGAGGTCTTTACAGCCGGGCAGCCCATAGGAATGATCCTTGCCACTTCCGCCAAAATTGCAGAGGAAGCTTCAAGGGCCGTGAAGGTTGATTACGAGGAACTCCCGGCTATTCTTTCGATAGAAGAGGCGATCGAAGCAAAGTCATTTTTTGAACATTTCCGACATATCAAAAATGGGGACACTGAAGCAGCATTCAAAGACGCAGATCATGTTTTCACCGGCGTGTCAAGAATGGGTGGACAGGAGCATTTCTATTTGGAGACGCAGGCGTGCGTCGTTGTGCCGAAGCCAGAAGATGGTGAAATGGAGGTTTTCAGTTGCACACAAAATCCTACAGAGACGTAAGTTCCTCTCCTTTTCTCTGCTGCAATTCTAAGGAATCATTTTTGGGACTAATATCATTCAGGCAAACATATGTCGCGCAAGTGACTGGCGTCTCGGCAAACAAAATTGTCACACGGGTCAAAAGACTGGGAGGAGGTTTCGGTGGAAAGGAGACTCGCTCAATCCAATTAGCAGGAATATGCGCTGCTGCCGCTCACAAGACGAGGCGGCCGGTACGCTGCATGCTTAACCGTGATGAAGACATTGTTACCTCCGGCCAGCGGCATCCATTCCTCTGCCGATGGAAAGTCGGAGTTACAAAACAAGGCAAAATTGTTGCTTTTGATGCCGACGTGTTTGCCAACGCAGGACACACGCAAGATTTGTCGGGTGCTGTAGTGGAGAGATCTTTATCTCACATTGATGGTGTTTACAAGATCCCGAACATGCATGTGCGAGGATGGCTATGCAAGACCAACACGGTCTCAAATACTGCCTTCCGAGGCTTCGGTGGTCCCCAGGGAATGTTCATGTGCGAGTCAATGATAGAAGAGGTTGCTGATCACCTTGGCATGTCATCCGACGAACTACGCACTTTGAACATGTACAAGCCCGGAGATAAAACGCACTTCAATCAAGAACTCAAAGACTTTTTCGTACCACTCATGTACAAACAAGTCAAGGAAGAGAGCTCGTATATAGAGCGAAGGAAAGCCGTTAATGAATACAACAAGACACACAAGTGGTCGAAACGGGGGTTATCCATTATCCCAACCAAATTCGGTATCTCGTTTACTGCTTTGTTTTTGAACCAGGCCGGTGCTTTGGTACATATTTACCACGATGGCAGTGTCCTAGTTGCGCATGGAGGCACAGAGATGGGCCAAGGTCTACACACAAAAATGTGCATGATTGCAGCCCAGGCATTACAGGTGCCCCTGTCAGATGTGCATATTTCGGAAACTGGCACAAATACAGTGCCAAACACATCCTCAACGGCAGCTTCTGCAAGCTCCGATCTGAATGGCTATGCCATCTACAACGCGTGCGATCAAATTAATAAGCGCCTTCAACCATATCGCGAAAAGATGCCGAATGCAACAATGAAAGAGCTCGCTCACGCAGCATACTTTGATCGCGTTAATCTATCAGCAAACGGTTACTACCGTACACCTGATATTGGCTACGTCTGGGGCGAGAACAAGGGTCAGCTTTTCTACTACTTCACGCAAGGCGTGACCGCTGCCGAAGTCCAAATTGACACATTGACCGGCGATTGGACCCCTCTTCGGGCTGATATCAAGATGGACGTTGGCCGCAGTATCAACCCTGCCATAGACTATGGACAGATCGAAGGCGCATTCATTCAGGGTCAGGGTCTTTTCACCACCGAAGAAAGTCTCTGGCACCGCGGCTCCGGTCAGATCTTCACCAAGGGACCAGGTGCATATAAGATTCCGGGATTCAGGGATATCCCTCAGATATTGAACATCTCGTTGCTCAAGGATGTGCAATGGGAAAATCTACGGACTATTCAGCGATCGCGTGGTGTGGGTGAACCGCCATTGTTTATGGGCAGTGCAGTGTTTTTCGCTATTCGTGATGCACTCAAGGCTGCGAGGGCACAGTGGGGGGTTACTGAGGTTCTGCAACTGCAGAGTCCTGCGACTCCTGAGAGGATCAGGGTTAGTTGCGCGGATCCTATTGTTGAGAGAGCGAGGGTTGTGCCCAAGGAAGGGGAGAAGAGCTTTTTCGTTGCTATTTAGTTTGAGGACTAGTGCTGTATATACACTATAGTCTAGGTATATTCTCGGGCCGTTTATATATATCTGTTGGATTTTTGATTAAGTTATATTATGGCTTCTGTTAGGTAGGTTCTTTATTAGATCGATATCACAAAGTAATTCGAAAACGAAGTAGATCAAAGAGGGGGGGGGGCGCGGAATTCAAGAACAAAGTATCTATCAGTTTCATATTAGATGCAAGGAAATAAACACGTTCTCGTACAGCGGATCATATCCAATGAATGCTGCGTCGATGAGGGTATCATATCGCATGTGTATGATATATGGAAGCATAACGCCTAACTCTCCGAAGCGATGCAAAAGAAATGAAAAGAGGGTGGTGCTTTTATTTCGGAAATCACAACATATAAAAATGCGGTAGAGAGAGATGAGCAAAGACTGGAAGACTAGTGACGCTTCTCGTCACCGCCAAATTCAACGTAAGCGCTCTTATGAGATGGATCGTCCGCCTGTACAGCCGATGAGTAAGTCCGCTCCCCTGCGAAGCCGAGTTTCTGATCCTGGAATTCGTATGAGGGTTCTAGGAAAGGATCTTTGTGCATGTCCTCGCCTGGAATGTGTGCTGCGGCGACAGTAGCAGCAGCTCTCTCGTTGTCACCATGCTCATGTGTAGCGGTGCCTGGAGCGAAAAAAGAAGAGGTAGCAACGGGGGGAACAACTGCTCCAGCCATCATGCTGGGAGGGTCAATGTATTCAGTGGGACCTGCAACTACACCTGCTTGACCGCCACCATTACCTCGGGCACGTTGGCGTTTGCAGCAGAAAGTCAGCGCGCGAATAGAACCGAACAGCACGAGCAAAAGCCACAGGAGAACGAGGAGGCCAGATAGTTTGGCCTCCATCTCAATGGTGTCTTGGAGCTTGCTGGTCACTTCGTTCACCACTTCGGTGATCTGGTTTGATGTTGTCGAGCCAGGGTCAGACAAGAAGCTGTCGCCTGAGTTGACGCTAGCAGCAGCTCCGACTGAGAAGGTATTGTTTGGAAGTTGTGGAAGGCTTATATAGGCGTGGTCAGAAACCCAGGTTAGTCCCTTTTGGACACTCTCAACCTTCAGTTCGACGACGCAGTCGAAAATGCCGGACACTGCGCCATACAAGATCGTGCCGCCGAATGTTTCGTTAATAACTTCGTTGGACTTATCGATGAAAGTATTGAGAGTGTTATTCAATGCAGTCGTACTGATGTTCACCCACCCGAAGAGATCCTTGTTGAGCGCCGTATTAGTCGAATTGATGACACGGTTAGTGTCGAGGGCCCATTGCTCAGAAGCGTTGTTCAAAGAATCAATAACTAGATCAGCGAACTGAGTAACTTCAGCTGTAAGTTCCGGTACCTCTCTTTCAACCGCTTTGAGGATAAGGTACTGGCAGAGACAGGAGAAGAGACCGGCTAGACCCAAACTCAGTAGCACAAGGGCTGGGATTGAAGTTGCATAGGCAACGATCCACCGCACCAAGATCTGATGACGACTGTTGTTGAAGCGTGAAGCAATCTTCATGCCCAAAGACGACGTATGCGGACGAGAAACAAGGTAGACAACATCAAGAGAATCGTGAGTCGTACCAACTAACTTGGCACGTTCCTTCGCTGTATGCCAGCGGTGGATCTCCATGTAGGCCATCGGCAAGCAAGCAAGAACTGCAATGACGATGAGAACGGCTATAGCGACTTTTCGCGCCTCGACGATAACCTCAGCTGTCTTTTGAAAGAATTCATTGATTCCATCATTCTCGCCGCAGAACGAAAGGGACTTCTTGGCGGGAACCGGAAAGGCAGAACTGTCGAACGAGTAGTTGCCGAGGTTTTCCTTGATAAGCTTTTTGATCTCCTCAAAGGGATACTCGATAGCTGTGGTGGTAAGGTTCTTGACCTGGGTGAATGTTGGAATAGTCGAATTGACCTTGCTTATGCCGTCGTCAATGGAGGAAGGAAGTGTAAGGTTGTCTAATTCGTCGATTTCACTCGAAAAGTTGAGTGTGGGCACGTTGGGAAGGTCACTGCACAGGCTTTTCGTGAAAACGCTATTGCACTTGCTTTTGATGTTGTTGAGCGCACTGCTAAGGTCATTCAAGCCATCTTCAGCAGTCGATACGGCATCGGAAAGATCATGCCCGATGCTGGGTAGCTCTTTGCTAAGCCAATTGGTCACATCCTCAGCGACACTTAAGCCCGCCTCAGCGGCTCCTCTGGCTACCAGGGTAAACAGACACAAATAGACCTGTGTGAGGAAGTTAATGTAGAAGACAACGAGCCCTTCCACCCCGGTGACTATCAGATTCAGGATATCAACCAGGCCATTGACGGCACTTGTGACCCCATCTGCTGTGAGCTCATTGACTCCTTGCGCCATGTAGTGCGGCATGGAGGCCATTGCACTTCCCATAGACTGGACTGAGTTGCAAGCAGACAGAGCCTGGGTTTGCGCGCTGCTCATGTTTCCTTGGAGACTTGCCACAGCCAGCAGGACACGGATAAGAACGAGCAAAATCAGGATGGTCCATCGGTTGATCCAAACTTGCGATAGGCGTGCCTTGAGGCCCAAATATGGCGTTGGCTTGTCAGGGTCGGTGTACGGAGGAGGAGCATCGGCGCCATCGTGAGCGCCATATGGCGGGAGCATAGGAAATATCGTTCGACCAAAGAGCTTCATGATGTATGATGTCGAATGTAGTAAAGAAGCGACCAGCGCTTAGGAGAAAATACTCGGTAGGACGTGGTATCTGGCTGAGGACGACTCCAAACAACCAATATTGCTTACTTGCTTGGGTAGCAGACGGCAAAGAAAGACTGAAAAGTATAGATAGGGAGTATCGGTTTCAGGCTGAAGCAAGTATGCAATAAACAAAGCATGAAATCTAAAGGGGAAGAAAAATTTAATAATATAGAAGCGACAGCAATCATAAAAATTAAACCAAGAAATTGTGCTGTGAGTCAGTTCTATTGTAGTCTGCAGTGAGAGAAAAGAAAAGAGAGGCTCAATGGGGCTTGCATGACAAAGAGAAGGTGACAATTGAGTGACACAATAGAAAGAAAAGAGCAATTCAGATCCAGAGTTATTCTTCTTATTGTTCAGATTCATTGAGGGGATACTGCAGTGTTTTAAATCCCTCTTGAAAGCGACGCCCACTGCAGCTGAGCTGGCTTCATAATGGATGCAATACTGAAGATAACCAGTCGTCGTCGAAATTCTTTGTACTACAAAACAAGTCGTGCCATAAACTGTCAAAGGTCAAGGTATTTCATACTTAGCAGGCCAGCTTCTTGATTTCATTGGTCGTCCATTGTTCACGGTATGGAGCGAGGGGTGACTAGTAGTAGTAGCATGTTTGCAAACACGAGCTCTTACGCAGTAGCAGTCATAAACGTGTGAGTCTTAAAGCGCTAGGGATCTGAGACGTTGACATTCGGGGCTCCCTAGCCAATCGACAGTTCCCCGCACCATTGATCTGAGCTCGCATGTCGTAGTAGCTCTAAATAGTAACGGAGAGAGAAGCTAGTGGTAATGCTGATGTACGAATTCAGTATGAAGAAAGTACTCAACCCTTGGCCTGAGGCGGAATAAACCATCCTTCTAGTTTGAAGTGGCATCTCATCCCAATGTGTCTTGTATCTGAAGACTTCATTTTATGTTATGACTCAACCATGCTTCCCCAATTCTCTGGTGGAAGCTATGAAAGAGGCATGTGAGTCACCACACACCTGAAACTGTTTCGAGTTTCAGTCACACTATAAGAGCCAGAATCCTGTGTTTGACAAATGATCCTGGCTTGAGCACGTTCGACGTGGGTTGACCCGGTCAGGTCGAAGTTGGATTAAAGATGTGAATGTCAACACAACCAAACTAGATCGGGACTAGCACGGCTATTATTATCGTGAACGCGGCCAATCAACGGCAGAAGATGCGATGTGGGCCGTTTTAGCGCCAAAACCCGCGCGTAAATCGGAGCCAATAGCTTCGTGGTCATTCATCGACCCTGAAACTTTTCAGTTAGCAAGTTTTTGTCTGTGCTCAGAAGAGCAGGCCATGCCTGACGAGATGCATAATTGAAAAACGAGCTGGATATTTTTTTATTCACGCAGACTGCCGAGCAACTAACCAAGGCAGGAGGTTATAGTTTCAGAAATCTGTCAATTGAATAATTATGAGGAATATGACTTCCTATTACACAATATGTCACATAAAAATATCATAGACGCTAGTCAGGTACTCTATGGTACAAGGCATGCGCGGAGAAGGCAAAAAGAGGAATGTGGCTACCGCACACGTCGCATACCTGAGTGGAGAGGACCTCTTCTTCGTCACTTTCTTCCCACGTCGTTTCATCGACTCGGGCACCGGAGTGATTATTCAGAAAAGATTCATCTTGCGCTAAAAAGTCCTGATGAAAGTTTTCGGTGCCTTTCTCACTCTTGCTAGCAGCATCTGACCTCTGTTGCTTGAGCATTTTACCGATATCTCTACCACTGCTCTGTTTTTCCACACCGGCACTCTCCACCATATTGGTGACTGCGACATTTATCAAGCTCAGCTCCCCGAATGATTTATCCGGGTACAGCTTACGAAACATGGAGACAAGGCAATCATTTACCAATTTCTCCGCCACGACCTCGGCACTTTCAGCAAGGTTGAAAATAAAATTCGGTAGAGGGGCTGAACGTGACGTTCTCCCATTAGTGAAACAATAGTCTCGCGAGCCATCTGCATTCTTGGAAGATCTGCGTCGAGTGGATAGACGGAGAGTGCGAGGATGAGCCATCCAACGTAGATCTTCTCCGTCGGTGCCCTGATTTCCATCTATGAGATCCGTCCTCATCCTCTGGATTAAACTGGTGGAAAGAAGGTGAAGTTGTTTTTTGACATCCCAAAAATTCTCGACTCCCATATATGAATCTTCAATACTTATTTGCTTGGGGACAGCTCGTGCTTCCCGAACTTCGCTGTTATCCACGCCATTCAACAACTCCCATGTACGGAAGCCGATGTCTCTAGGAGTACCAGGACCTCCTAGTATATCGAGCAATTTAGAAGGTCCCATTGTTGAAGAAAGACGAACATTCCGCACTTTGACTTGATCTTTATCGTCCCGTTCCGTGTAGGGCTTGAATTTAGCCTCGCGATGTAATATGTACGTTCTAAGTTTGTGTGCAGACTTGAATCCGATGCCTGGAATCTTGCCAACTTCATGGTCATCGATAAATCGATGGATATTACCCTCCTCTCTGGAGATAGCACTGAGACCGTATGGTGGAATGAGGGCCGTCTGATTGTTGGGCTTATGTGTATTGCCAACAAGCTTGGCTAACAGCTTTGAAGTGGAAATGCCGACGGTTGCGGTGTATCCACACTCGTTATCGAGACGAGACCTGATATAATGTGCCAGATGAGACCCTAATATAAGGCGTAATGTCAAAGTGCGCTGAGATTCTTCAATCCTTGTATTGTCGGACAATGGAATTCCCGCTGATTCGGGATAGGTTGGTCCGCAAAATTTGGTGGCATCGAATTGGAAACCATTTGTTGGATCTTGCTTGTCCAAGAAAAAGAACGAATGGGCCAAATCATAGGGATTTAGAAGTGCCATGTTATAGTCGATCATGTCAGTAGCATCTAGGAATACCTTTTCGGTACAGTTAGGAATGTATTATACTCGTCCCCGGGGGCGGGGGCAGTAGAATGACCATACCTCATCAAAGCCCAGTCTCTCAGCCCTTTGCGTCCACAGAAAGCCTTTCAAGAAATCGTACAGGATTTTGGAGGCATTACGGAACTTGGTTAGATCCTCCCCAAGAACGATGACAACATCAGGGCATATCTGCCTGGCCTCCCTGATAAGTTGTAGCTTCCTCAGGCCCCTTCTTCGTGCCTCATAGTTGCAAGTAACCACGATCTGTTTCTGCTGTACAGCCAATGGCAGAGACTTCAAGGCAGGGTTTTCTGCTTCTAATACGCTTGCGTAGAAACAGTCATAATCCTGGAGAGTTGTTAGCAACTACTGTTTGCACAAAGTTGTGAGGTTCGCCACTGACGAAGTGGATAATGACGCGGCTGTCGTCGCGACGCAGCGCTGCCATTCCCGCGAGAGCAACTTCATTTGTCTATAGATACGGTGATTGACACTGCAATGATAAGCCCTGTTCCACCGCTGATCGAATCTCAACGCGAAGCAAGATCAGATTTGACCGCGCTGTCACGGTTTGCATGTTTTGCAGCCTCGGTCATGGAACTAAATGTGGGCCACGTCCAGCACTAGGCCCGTTGTGTTACGTAGCCACTTGTGCCTGGCGGCCTTAGGCATCGAGCGCAGAGCGGCAAATGCAATAGTTGAGTTTGAACATTCCAACTGACGTAGCTTTCAAAAATAGGTGCTGCCTGTTCTGAAGCTGAAGCAGGCTTACGCATGCTAGTTATGCGCATATCTGAATTTTTTGTCACCTGGTCCGTGGCATTACGGCGTGGTTCCACGTATCCATTGGACATGGTTGTTCTTGTATAGACGCTGAACGAGTAAACCCGGCTTTGTCCAGAGTACCGTGGCAAGGTGCAGCGCTGTAATGTGACCATGCTCCCTGATCACTTTGGCTAGCCCTTGTTGCAGCTCGCAACGCCGACTCTGATGCTGTTTGGATAGATCTACTGCCGGCGACAGGATAATCCGCGCTCCGATGAAGTTAGCAAGTTACTGTAATTAGCAGTTGCCATCAATCCTTGCCTGCCAATGAAAAGCCACGATGAGGCGTATAGTTTTAGTCTAGTCCTAACTTCGTTAACTCTGGGGCAGGTATATAATTAGTATGGCCTCTTCTGTCGATCATTGGACGAAGATAGCACTGGCCAGCGGCGAACGTTCTAAATCGGGAACCAACGTCCTCCTTTGACGGCCCACCCCACTTCCTTCCACCCCCGCCGCGTCAAACCAGCTAAGGTGCGTAGTACTATTAATATCATCCCCTTCTCAACCAACGATCATCGTCTCGCCTCTCCTCTAACCGCCATCTCTACCTCTGCCCATCTCGTCCCTACGGAGTAATTCCGTGCGCACAAAGCATATTTAGATATCGATTATCCACTATCAACTTTTGACTTTCACCATGGCCGATTCTGACTGATCAAGCATTGGCCCCAGTCCGCAATACACAGCCGATCGCTGCAATCTGTCCTATCGTGAAATGATATATACATACCGTGCTTCTCCATTATAACAATGGCCTTACATTTATCGCATCTCTCTTCTCTTCCTCGTGAACCGCCCTCTGTTGTTTCTCCTACCACCGCGCAAAAGATGATTGCCCTTACAACTACGGCAACACCGTCGGTGTTGCAGAACACCACTATTACCAAACGACCTAAACTGTCTTTGCAAACGGCCTCTCTCCCTGCAACGTTCGGAAATTCCAATACTGGGCTCGCTCGAACGTGTCTCACAGCCTCACCTACGGTTCGAAATACATTCAGCAATGCCTACGAGATTAAACAGGTCTTGTCTGCTATTGAGTCGCCCTCGCCTTGCAGATCTGCCGACAGGGGTGCTCGTTATGGATCCCCATTTCTATCCAACAATCATCGTTCGGATGCGATGCCCTATCAACTGCCGCTAGGAGTGCGCAGCATTCTTCGAAACTCTCCTTTGAAGAGATTGACTCTTAGGCGTCGCTCGGTTTCCATATCTGCCGGTCCCGTTTCAGAGAATCGCAGGGTATATTTTCCGGCTAGGAAACAAGTCAGCTTTCGGAATAATCTGGAGGAAGAAATCAAAACCGTCCTTTTTGTGGCCCGACACTCAGACATTGAATCAGAGAGTGAATTGGAGTCAGAGTTTGACGATGGAAGTGATAGCGGTTCCGACTCTGGCTCGCAGTCGGAAGGTCACAGCTCGTCAGGTGAGGACGAAGAAGCGCAAGACCAGCCTGTGTTGAAAAAGAAACGAAAATCCGTGTCAAGTGAGCGTCAAATCCGGGCTGCTGCACTCAGAGATGGCTTCGACGATGACCGAATAGCCGTAGCTCTTACAGCAGGGCCTTCTGGGAGCCGTCGGAAGCGTCGATGCAAATGGCGCTGGACTCTGGATAATCTAGCTCCAACTGAACTCGCATCCAAGTCCAGTACTACTCCACTTGCAGATCTGCCATCACCCGCGCACTTGATCCAAGGATCACCGCCGGCGCAAACACTATTGTCTAATGAACCACCCTCAAACAAAATCTACGACTTATCCTAGCTGTGTGGGACACATATTCTTCATTCGTTTTCAAAATCTTCAATTTTATCTAGCGTTGGCGTTGGGGATATCATTTTTCAGACGGATCTACAACATTGCATAGCCTGCATAACTTTGTGGTGTTCCTTTTACCTACGAGTTGATTTTCTTAGTTTTATATTACCACTTATCATCAGTATATACTTCCATATGGTGGTCTCATATAACCTTCCTTTTATTTTCTTTATCTACACAGTGATAATTCCCTGAGAGAAATCGACATAAGTTTATTCATCTGACCTTGAGCAAAAGAGACTTATTCTCACATTTGCAGATCACGTAGAACATATATCTTTGACTTGACCGGATATTCATGAATTGGTTCAGTAAATCTAAGAGGCATTGAATACCTATCGATCTGGCTTATTAAAATCCATGCCATGCCATGCCAAAAAAAAAAAGTAAAAAAAAAAAGGTATGCACAACTTCAAATTTGGTCTAAAATTGAAATGATGGCAAGGCTCAGATACATATAACGAACCTATATTCAATTACCTTCGGTTTCATCTGCTCTTGGTCTCTATCATAGCCGCAGGAGAAACCCATGGACTGCGGGAAATTAATAGGACCATGTTTCAACATTAATGATGCATAGCTGAGTATTCGCGTTATTACAGATGATTAGGGCTAACTATCGCCGAACCCTAAGCGGAGGGGTCCTTTGGATGTCGGACCGGCCAGCGCTACCAATAGACGTGGTCGTACACAGTCTTCTCCATGGCTGGTTCATAGATTTGTATGGATTCGAGTGGGAAAAGTAAAAGAAAATAAGAAATAAAATCAGAGATACGTATCCTTGAATGCACTTTTGAGACCTATAGGAGTAGTAGGGAATCCCTATGTGAAACACGGCTTAACTACATTCCCTGCGCATAATCCCCTCCGAGACTAATGCCTTCGGTTGTGGTTTTGTGTAGCCATGCATGATATGTGGCGCCCTGAATGGCTATATCTTTCTCTCAAGGGAGCAAGTTTTTCATGATCCGGGGAACGGCCCAATTTCGCCGTCAAGTACAGTTTCGCGTTCAGACCGATGGTACAAGACTGAGGCAGAGTTCGGTGTTGAAGTCAACGATACCACCGGAAATCGTGAGTCCCGGAGGATTTATGAAATAGAAACAGTATACATTCATGTCTTTATTCAAGTCTCAATTCATAATTTATAACACGTTACTACAGAAGTAGCCATCATTCTAGCCTATAATCCTCTCCGCGCCATCGAAAACGGGAGATTATATACTACAATATTAGCACCAATACTAGACAAGTCATACAGCAATCGCAGTGCAAATACCATAGAGCAACTCGGTGAATTTCTTCTGATATTCATCAGTTCAAAAGATTACAGTATTTCTCTTTTTACGTTCCCGAAGCATACGTAGATGTCTTAAAGCGAATAGCTATATATAATAAGGGGATTGTCATATAGTTCTATTTATCCAAAACATATCTGGCGCAGGGAAAGCGCCTGTACAATATATGACTTCAAAAAGAAGACACATGTTCCTTAAACAACGTCTTCCGGGTCGATGATTTACTGACTGAGACAGGAGTAAGTCAAGCATTTTCTACGCCCCCAGGGCATGGCACGTCTTATCCTGCTGACAATCAAAACACATATGTTACTCGCCATCTACACACCGAGCGGAGGCCAGCACATTTGCTGTGAGACAGGCTGGTTTCATAGTTCTCTGAGTCCAGGACTTCTAAGAGTATGCGTACGGAATGAAGACTACTTCCCCCGGTGAAGAGACTATCGCGAATATGTCGACAACAAATCAAGTGGAGATTCCACAAGCCTCTGGAACCAATTTGCAACGTAATTAGTAGCCCTGTGCTCTAATGTGAATTTGGCGCCTGAGGCTTCTGGTTCGACTCAATGCATATGGCTGCGGTCAGATCACATTAGTAATCTTCCCTACTTCTCCATGCCTGAGGCTGAGCTGCATAGCCGCACCCCACTTATTCCCGGATCTCCCGGATACACTTTTCTATTGGATAGCGCCGATCTGCATCCAGCGCTAGGCCGGGACTTGTCCCAATTAGGATAGACACGCCAAGAGGCTCTGCTGTCAGCGTGTTGCATCGCCAAGGGACCTCCTTCCAGGCGTCCAGAGTTAGCAGCGAGCGCTCGTCTCTTCTTCTTCTATCTTCTCTTTCGTTAGTGCGCTCCTATCTTAGTTTCATTGACTCTCCTTGTTGTCATCGAAATATCCTTAGGACGACCGCGCTTTATAATATATACTACCGCATGTAGTCAATGTTTTCTCGTTTTCGATCTGTCAGAACTTAAACGCTCTTTTCCTCCCTGTTAACTACGCCGCTTATCGTGTGGATCGCGATTCGATAGCGTCAGTTTTCGCGAAGAAGATGAGATTTGCTGTTGGCTGGATAGCTGCCGCCCTTGCTGCGACAGTTATCTTGTTGCGACGCGTTGACGGTAAAAACCACCAGGTTGCTCGCTGCTCAGCTTCTCTAGCAGGATTTGCTGATGTGTTCCCAGCTCGCTCACAGGCCCCGCCGCCGATTCGGTATCTCTCCGAACTCGACGATGTATTTATCCACACGCCTTCTCATCGAATACACTCTCACTCAAGATTTGATGTCACATTTACCCTACATAATAACGCGCAACACATCAAATTGAAACTTGAACCGAATTACGATGTCCTAGCAGAAGATGCTCAGATCCAGTATCTGAATGCCGATGGCAGTATAAGAAATACGGAACTTATTGACCGCAGAGATCACAGAATCTTCAAAGGTTCAGCTTGGACTGAAATTGAACCCGAACACTGGACATATGTCGGCTGGGCGCGATTGTATATAAAACGCGATGGACCAAACCCATTGTTTGAGGGCACTTTCAGCCTCATGCACGATTATCATAATATAAAATTGCGTTCTAGCTATATGCGCACACGCGCTGGCCTCGATATTGAACCCATCGAGAAAGATGAAGACTATATGGTAGTCTTCCGAAACACTGATATGGCTTGGGAGTCTCATACCGAGTTGAAACGATCCGACACTGGTCTCTCCTGCCAGGCAGACAAACTGGAATTCAACGCAGACCCGAACCATCCCGTTTTCAGACCTCCCCAGTCCACGAATTTCGCTGCCATGCCCTTGGATGAGCTCTTCGGCATGTCCAGAAGACAGTCCGATACAGGTGGTGTTAGTGGAAATACGGGTGGTATCAACTTAGCTTCGACGATCGGCAATAGCACAGGCTGCCCTAACACTAAGATGGTAGCACTAGTTGGCGTGGCCACAGATTGCGAATATACCTCGTCTTTCAACAACGAATCTGACGCCAGAGCAGACATCATTCAAATGTTCAATTCGGCATCATCTGTATACGAAGACACATTCAACATCTCCTTGGGATTGAAAAATCTGCTGATCAGTAATAGTAGCTGTCCCGATTCTGGAGCCACAACCACGCCTTGGAACATGCCATGTTCATCCGGGAATATCTCTTCGAGGCTAACTGATTTCACTGCCTGGCGCGGAGGACAAAATGATTCCAATGCTTACTGGACCCTGATGAGTAATTGTCCTACGGATTCTGAAGTGGGTGTCTCTTGGTTAGGGCAGCTGTGTGTTCACGGATCGGCCAATGCTTCCGTGGCAGGAGCCAATGTCGTGGTCAAAACGTCGACTGAGTGGCAGGTCTTTGCGTATGTTGATTCTTTCACAAATCTTTTCGGGTCTTCAATAATTGAGCAACAAATCTAATGCAATACCTTAAACAGACACGAATCGGGTCATACGTTTGGTGCAGTACATGACTGCGATACTCAAACATGCCAGCAAGGACTCGCGACAACGTCGCAATGTTGCCCGCTAACTTCAAGCACTTGTGATGCCGATGGAAGATACATAATGAACCCCTCGACATCTTCGAACCTCGAGCACTTTTCACAGTGCACGGTGGGTAATATCTGCTCAGCATTGGGCCGAAACAGTGTTCAATCCAACTGCCTAGTTGACAACAAAGGTGTTGTTACCATCACCGGTAGCCAGTGCGGCAATGGTATAGTCGAGAGTGGAGAAGAATGCGACTGTGGAGGGACCGCAGGCTGCGGAGACGATCCCTGCTGCGATCCTACCACGTGTAAATTCAGGGGCAATGCTGTCTGTGATGATTCCAACGAGGCGTGTTGTACAAATTGCCAATTCACCGCTGCCAACACGACATGCCGGGCTAGCACTGGTCCCTGTGATCTGGCCGAAGTCTGCTCGGGAACATCAGGAGACTGTCCTGCAGATCAGCATGTTGCTGATGGTCATAGCTGCACAAGTGGCAATGCAACCGGGCTCACATGTGCTAGCGGTCAATGTACAAGCCGCGACCTTCAATGTCGCACCATTCTAGGTGCCGTATTGGGGAGCAACGATACCTACGCCTGTGACGATTCATCTTGTACGCTCTGGTGCGCATCCTCTCAACTACCGTCAGACACATGCGGTAGCATGCAACAAAATTTCCTCGATGGTACTCCTTGCAATGGTGATGGTAGATGTAATAACGGGCAATGCGTCGGATCCTCAGTCGGCGGTGAAATCAGGTCCTGGATAGACCAACATAGGTCTCTCGTCATCGGACTCGCAGCTGGAATCGGCGGATTGGTGCTGCTAATTATATTAAGTTGCATAGTCTCGTGCTGCCGGCGACGCAGATTCAGAAACGCCCCTCTTCCCCCTGGCGCAAGACCATATGGGGGACCTCCGGGAGGCGTATGGTCAGGTCCTATGCCACCTGCTCCAGCGAGGGGTATGCAGCAGCAGGGAAATATTGGATATGGCGCGTTCCCCCCATATCCTCCACCTGCATATGACAATGGCGGGGCTACAGGCGTCCCTAGGACGCAGCCAAGATATGCATAATGGCGTTTTCTTTTAAACTTGATTGAATACATTACATATAATGGGATATCGTGATTTGTGAGATGTGACGGGATTCATTGTCCCCTGGAATATGAAATTCTACCTTTGTATAAGTTTAGGCCTTATTTATGATTACATCTACCTACCTGTTGATGAAATATACAAGAATTGCGCGACTATTTTTTTTTCTTTTAGAGAAATGTAAAAATTGAATACAATAGATAATGCTGTATTCATCAAATGTACTTTAAGAGCGCACCAAAACTAAATAGTAGGTTACTGTGTAAATGTTTCCCATCCCAAACCAGACGCCCTGGACGATACTTACATATGTAGGATACGAATTTACGCCGGTCAATACACTCCAGATCCATAGCCACAAAATCTCTCTTCAGGCCGGAGAAATAACACCAGAGCAAAAAAAAATAAAAAAAATAAAAATAAAAAAAATAAAAAAAATAAAAACAGAAAGAGAAGGGGGGGGAAAGCAGTGGCCATGGTAGGTGAGAATCTCAAGGTCATCGCGACAAAAAGGAGCCCAAGAAGGATACGAATATACCCAGAAAAGACGTAGCCCGGAGGACACAAGCATTAGATGAAAGATAGAAAGTGGGGAGAAAGAAAGAAGTCATGCAACATTCATTGCCAACAAATACTCAGAAATCCATCCCTGGTAACACCGCCAACTCCTTCAAGGTCGAATTCTTCAATCATAGCCCTTAATTCATCCTCTTCAAGCCCCGTCTCGCCCAATTCTCTTGCCACTCGACGGAGGTCTTCAAGGTCGATGTATCCCTTGCCACCTTCATCAAACAATTCGAAAGCTCGAAGGATTTCTTCTCGCGGATCTCGCTCGAGAATCTTGTGTGCGGTGACTGTTTGGAAGGCGGAGAGGGGCATCAAGAGAGACGAAGGGTGCGGGGGCGGATTGTTGTTTTTATTCAGGTGTTGTGATGATGGTTGTTGTCCTTGCCCGCCTTGTCCACCTTGTTGCTGCTGGACTTGCGGCCGTGGAACGCCATATGTTGTGAGGAGGGAGATGAGTTCTTGCTTCGGTAGAGTAAAGCCGAGAGCCCGGAGTGCTACTCGAAGTTCGTGGTAGTCAAGATGGCGGTCGCGGTCGAGGTCGAAGAGAGTAAACTAGAATAGATACGCCGGAAAGTTAGATATACTCCCTCTTTTCTCTTTTCTCTGATCTAATCTGTGATATAACATTCGCCTGTTTCCGAGACAGGGGAAGTAGGACTAGACTTACAGCTTCATTTATTTCCTCTCGCTGTTCCTCGGTCAACCGACTCAAGGAACTCGAAGCCCCGCTGACGTCTTGTCCTATCATTGTTCCTGCAGCATGACTCTGTGAATGCGTGGGAGGGACTGGCGGTGGTGGTTGCGCCGAGTCTGTATTCGCACCACCGAGGCCTCTGTTTCGTGAAAAAGCCGACGCGCTAAACGGCATAGGATTCGGACGCTCGGGGAGTTTCGTGCCTGCTCCTGCGTATGCTGAGCGCGAGCCGAAGGGTGGGTGAGACGCAGCCATTGAGGCTGTCAGGCCTGGTGAGACAGAGCGAGAGATAGAGAGATATAGGCAGGTGACGGTGGTAGATTTGAAAGAAAAGAATTTCTTTCTTGCGGCCGGTACGTGTGTCAGAGGTTGGACGGCAGAAGATGAACAATGCACGAGGGAGTATGTCCAAGGATTCGTTCGCGCACAAGCTATGCACAAGCCGGAGTTCAGATTCCAGTTCGCTTCGGTAGGTCTGTTCCTGATCGTGGCAGCAATCCGAGAAGGCTACGCGGAAGAGCGACGCGCCAAAATAGCTTACCGCTTCGGGCAGGAGGTACGTTCCACACCGCGAAGATTGGAGATTCGGGGCTCTTTGTGATGATTTATAAATAACGATAGCAGAAAGCAGCTAAGTAGATCGAATTATCTATGGATTGTCGGGGCTTTTTTTATGGGATGATGCGGCCGTATTCAGCATCTACTATTGGCCAGGTGGCCTAAGGAGCGAAAGCCGTAAGATAAGGCGCACGGGATATATAACTGTGCAACAAATAAACTACAACTATGTAGTTGACTGGGAACGGAATGAGAGGAATTGACAGTCAGCTCTTGGAGCGGTTCTCTGTGTATCCTGATTCCTGACCGTTCAGGCGTCAAATGCCGTGCGTGTGTGAGCAGCCAATGAGAGGCTCGCGTCGTCTCGCCCGTCCATGAACGCGCCTGCCGAGACCGACCTTTGGCCTTCATCCGAACAACCAAACGAGTCACTTTCCAGCATGCACCATGGTGTCATGTCCCATCTGCGCGAAAAACGTCAGAGAAGCCAACATCAATGCTCATATTGACTCCAACTGCGAGAGCTTTGTTGTGGATGAATCATCGTCGAGCCAGAGCGACTCCGCGTCCTCCTATAAAAACGGCAATGGCCCAGTGTCCAGTTTCTTCCAGCCGTCTTCTGTACGCAAGGCGAGCGCCACTACCACTCACTCTGTACCCCCCTCCACGCCCTATCGGCGCAATGGGTCGTTGAAGCAACAGCCGTCGACACCGGCACAGGACGATCTGAAGCGAAAACGAACGGAACCGTCGTCGACGACAGAAATGGAAACAGACACTGCTTCCAAACGATCCAAGCCAAATGCCTTTCAGCGAGCGGCCCCTTTGGCTGAGCGTATGCGGCCCAAGTCTCTCGATGAAGTTTGTGGGCAAGACCTCGTCGGACCCCACGGCATTCTACGATCATTGATAGAGCAGGATCGCGTGCCTAGCATGATTTTATGGGGCGGTGCAGGTACAGGGAAGACAACAATTGCGAGGGTGATTGCATCTATGGTCGGTAGTCGCTTCGTGGAAATCAACAGCACAACTAGCGGAATTGCCGAATGCAAGAAAATCTTCGCCGAAGCACGCAATGAGTTGGGCTTGACTGGGAGAAAGACGATCCTGTTCTGTGACGAGATCCATCGCTTTTCAAAGACTCAGCAGGACGTGCTTCTCGGTCCCGTAGAAAGCGGCGTTGTGACTCTGATTGCTGCAACAACAGAAAACCCGAGCTTCAAAGTACAGAACGCTTTGCTCTCACGATGCAGGACATTTACGCTCGAGAAGCTCACCAACGACGATATTGTCTCCATATTGACGCGCGCTTTGAACAATGAAGGCCCGAGCTATTCACCGTCCGAGCTTGTTGACAACGAACTTATCCACTATCTTGCAACTTTCTCCGATGGCGACGCTAGAACGGCATTGAATCTGCTTGAATTAGCTATGGGCTTATCCAACCGCTCTGGAATGACGAAAGACACCTTGAAGAAGTCATTGACAAAGACCTTAGTTTATGACCGAGCTGGCGATCAACACTATGATACCATCTCGGCTTTCCATAAATCCATTCGCGGAAGCGATCCCGATGCGGCTTTATATTATCTTGGGCGCATGATTCAGTCCGGAGAAGATCCGTTATATATCGCCCGTCGTTTGATTGTCGTCGCGTCCGAGGATATTGGGCTAGCCGACAACAGCATGCTAACTCTCGCCATTTCTACGCACAGCGCAGTGGAGAAAATCGGGTTACCTGAAGCTCGCATCAATTTAGCACATGCCACGGTTGCAATGGCTCTCTCAAAAAAGAGTACGAGGGCGTATAGAGGCCTAAACAATGCATTTGGAGCATTAGCAGAACCTGGCGTTGCGAGCTTACCGATTCCGTTGCATCTTCGCAACGCGCCGACAAGGCTGATGAAAGAGCTTGGGTATGGGAAAGAATACAAGTATAATCCCCATTATAAAGACGGCAAGGTGGCCCAAGAGTATCTTCCTGAAACTCTGCAAGGGAGGCGATTTCTCGAGGATAATGATCTAGGCCAGCTAGAGGACCCTGATCTGTTGGGAGAGAGTACATGAGCGCAATGCACTCCCAATCACCACGACCACTGCGGCTGAGGCGGTGACAGCCAAACACAGAATGACGCAGGTCCATGCTTGGTATATATATATATATATATGATATGTGGACATCAGTATATCATCTGATTAATGATACCATCTGGCTAAAGGTGCATTTATTTTTTCTTCACAACAACAGCATTGCTGTACTCTTTGAATCTGAGAGTACCTTTATAAACAATGAACAATGTTTCTGCCGGCAGATTCCCCAGACCGCTCCCAAGCTGTGAAATGTGAAGTGAACACACCAACCAGAGCCCTGCACGAGTCACTACTGACGCTAAACTCAATTGAGCGCCGAACAGGCACATGCCCTGGTCAACAATCACTATGCAAAAACATAAGAAGCTAGTTCAACACTTTTTCTTCTGACAGAATAGGGATTACAATGGCCAAGTCTCCTGCACTAGACTCCTTGTGAATGCCTCTTTGTTTGCTCTCTGGTCCTGTGATCTTTTGCTCTTACTACTGCTCAATATGCATCCTTGCCTTTTGTGCTAGCTTGGTGCTTTTGACTCTGCACATCTGCATGCTGTTTCTGCCATCCTTGTGCTGGCTTTCTGAAGTTTAGGTCTTCTCCTACCAATCAGTTTTCCCATCTCTGGGAATCAACATCATGGCAGAGCATGGGCCAAGATCTAAACGCCCTTGCCATTCTACATCACTGTACCATTTAACGACTCATTCGTCGACTGCTACCCCTCTGATGATGGGCTCTGTGCTGCATGACACATCGCAGTTGCTCAATGCACGATCTGCACCTGCACCTACATCCGCACTGAGACCACTCTACATGCCAGCTGAGCAGATGGCTCTTCTATATCCCCAAGGAGACCAAGCCAGTTTCTTTGGTGCCAATGCACATGCTGGCTTGACCACTGTACCAACTTCGCTTGCATTTGGACCAAATCACATCCAACAAGCCCACTCTCAAAATGTCTTGGAGCTCTCTGCTGCTGCTCCCATACCACCAAGTTGCCCTTCCATGAATAATGCACAACCTATGAATGGGAATGGTTAGTGTGGTATTCTGATACATATCAAGGAACATGGTGTTCTAACAAATAAAGCAGGTTATTTTCAGTCTCCTTTATCGCAGCCAACCTCGACTCCGTTGCAAATTACTGCGCCTCGTCAACCCGTGGGAATTTACGAATTCATTGGCGAGAATCCTGCGAATTTAGAGGCGAGGCACAAGAGACGTCCACGAACGGAGGCCCATGAACAGGCTGTGAAGTCTACAATAGGCGCGGGGGGCGCTTGCGTCTGGTGCCAAGCAAAAAAGAAAGGGTGCGGATCGGAAATTCCGTGCAAAGCCTGTACACAACAGAACAAAATCTGTATCCGGGGCTCTTCATCTATTTGCTTGACATCGACAACTAAAATCAATGCGGGTCGCCAACTAAACCCTGACAGCTTTCAAAAGGCTCGAGATATAATGACACAGCTGAAGAACAGTACGTTTCCTCCTGGCATGATTTCTTATACCACGGTATTTGTAGATTGGGCCTTGTATCCTCAACATTATCATAAAACTTGGAGTGCTGAGGCTGCTAAACTCGACCTTCATCGACTGGATGCAGCCGTCCAGACTTCGTTGGTCAGTTTAGCACTCAGCTTTGTTGCGGTTCCTGGAGTCGAGAGCTCGGAATTTTCAGATCCACTCAATAAGAATGCACTCAAAGTGGCCAAATTGTTCGCCGCTATCTATCAACTCTCCAAGTCCGATGTTTCAGTGCAGTCCATGGCTGTGGGAGTTGGAAGGATGACGGTGTTCTTTCTGATGACTATATATGCGATGGAAATGTGCAATGCATCAGTTCACTTTGCCGATGAACTCTATGCTGCCATTCGAAACAAAAAGTCGGAGGGACGTGTCGAACAGCATGCCATCAGGGTATACAGCCAAGTCATCAAAAAAATGATGACTTTACAGCACACCGAGTCCTTGATATCGGCCATATTTGAACCGATTCAACCTCGATTGGAAAACCTACGCGACACTGTTCAAAAACTTCTTTTGTCCCCGATGTCAAAGCGTGTGATGCCTGACTTTTCAGGTCTCAGACCATTTCATATCGCCATTGGACTCACACCTGCGGTGACAGGGACCACACCCACAGCAAGCTCCAGACAAGAGATGAGACATGAACAGCTGCGGTATAGCGTTGAAAATCTCCTCCGGGAGGATTTTGATTTGGGTATGAACAATGGATTTGGTATCCCTGAGACGATAGACCCACATTTGTTGTCGCCTGCGATGGCCACGCAAACCACGACGCCCAGCTACGAGACTTCGACCAACCTATACAGTGCTGGAAGCTTCACCGATATTTTTAGCAGCGCTGTTGGGGGCTTTCAGAGCACTGATATCACTTACCCTCATCGTGTTGGGACGGCCCTGTACCCATCTCAGTTCGATGGGTATGCTGCCAACAGCAGCTATCCTGGCGGGGCATTTGGGAGAGCAAACGATTTTGCGAATATTGGGACTCACTTTTCCCATTGAACATTTTGGTCTAACAACATAGAAAATCAATCGCGTTCACTGCGGGCAATCGGACACTTTTATGTTACTGTACATGGCTGTTCTATGCAGTATCAATGGAGAAGCGGAAATAGAGAGCGACATGCGTAACGATGATATGACAAGGATAATATTCACTTGAGCTACAGGATCATTCTTTAGACAATACCCTTTCTTTTGTGATATCCATTGAGTCCTTGTAGTTGGAAGATTTCCAGATTAAGCAAGCTATTTAATGTAATTGCAAGCTCGTTGAGGCTTTGTAACATACGCACACAACAATGCGACGTCGGAACCGTCCACCAATCCAAGAGCCCTTATGGCGCAGTGGTAACGCGTTTCACTTGTACTGCGAGATGAAAAGATCCTGAGTTCGACTCTCAGTGGGGGCAAATTTTTTTCTGGATTTTTTTGATCCGTCATCATTCTATTGAAGTCCGATAGGGAAAAGTCTCAACTCAGAATCTCATGCACTCCAACTCTCAATTGGCAGATTAATCAAGGAAGAGTGGAGTCAAGCACGCGATTGGGCCGATGAGTGACACCTTCTCCTTCCGATATGACGCCGAACCGCTGTATACCTTCAACGATTCCTCTTCCTCTTCTTCTTGCAGCAGATTGAAAGCATTCTTGCATTCGTGCTCATGCTTCCCTTGCGTCAACAGAGAATATTCTCATTGACTGCCAAGACTGTGTCTACATTTCATCCGCATCTCTCGGTGATCCATCCGACCCCATCCTCAACCACAACCTCAACCTTGCCCCGCCGTTGCGACACCCCGCGTACCCGTACAATGTCTACATCTGCACCGCGAGCAGACCCTTTTCGGCCCGCCGCCAGAGTTGCAGGACAGCGACAAGATGTTTGGTAAGCTTTGTGTTTTTTAGGATGAACCTTTGTTTGTGTGACTTTAAAAGGCTGATAAGCGTTCCGGGTCTTAGGTCTATCGTCAACGAGGCCGCTGCAGCTTCTCCGGTTCAGCCCATTGTGAATATGGGACAAGGATTTTTGTAAGCCGTCAGGCGAAAAGCTCCAGGCATAGTCCGATTACTGATGCGCGGGCTTCGTGTGTTTGTGTAGCGGCTACAATCCTCCCAAGTTTGCGCTCGATGCGGCCAAGGAGGCTCTCGACAAAGTGGATTGTAACCAATATTCCCCGACAAAGGTATCATCGCATTGCGCTTACATACAAGGTATTCTGGTTTTGATCTGACTATTTTCATTAGGGTCGACCACGTTTAAAGAAAGCCATAGCCACTGCCTACTCTAAATCTTTTGGTCGGGAGCTTGATCCAGAGACGGAGGTCACGATCACAACTGGTGCAAATGAAGGTCTGTTGAGTATATGAATTTGTGAGAAAAAAAAGAAATGGGCCTAGATGGCTAATTGATTGTGTAGGAATGCTGAGTGCTTTCATGGCCTTCATTGAGCAAGGCGATGAAGTTATTATCTTCGAGCCTTTCTTTGACCAGTGTGTATTGTGTGGTCTTAAGAACACTTAGAAATACAGTTGCTAATCTTACTTCAATCTAGGTACATAAGCAATATCGAGATGCCCGGCGGCATTATTCGATACGTTCCTTTACTTCCCCCCAAAGACGGCGCAATCAAAACCTCCTCCGCTTCTCAATGGACAATTGATTTTGAGCAATTGGAGAAAACAATAAATCCCAAAACGAAAATGATTGTAGGTTTCGATCTTATATCTCTATCATCATCATGATTCTTACGTCATCTGCTAATTCTCTGTTTTCTAAGGTTCTCAATTCACCGTAAGAAGAATACGAAACAAACTCACCGCAGACACAGAGACAGCGTCTAACTTTGCATACGCGTATAGACATAATCCGGTTGGAAAGGTGATGACACGCGAGGAGCTCGAAAAGATCGGCGCACTCGCAGTCAAACACAACATCATCATTCTCTCAGATGAAGTCTACGACAGACTTTACTACGTGCCCTTCACCCGCATTGCCACCTTATCCCCTGAGCTGTACGAGCGCACTCTCACTGTGGGCTCCGCAGGAAAGGCCTTTTATGCTACAGGCTGGCGCGTCGGCTACCTCATCGGACCACCCCATTTGATTAAATACGTCGCTGCCGCTCATACCAGAATATGCTACAGCAGCGTATCTCCGCTCCAAGAAGCCTCCGCTGTAGCCTTTGAGAAGGCCGACAGCGAAGGATTCTGGGAGAAATCGCGAGCTGAAATGCAGGGCAAGGTTAGACGATTCTGTGAAGTATTCGATGAGCTGCAAATTCCCGTAAGTTCCTTTCTCAACCCAAACACACGAGTGTCTGCCGAAGTGAGAGAGCTTTGCTGACAATTCCTTAATCTGCAGTACTCCGACCCAGAAGGCGGCTACTTCGTCCTAGCAAATATGGCCTCCGTCAAACTTCCCGAGAACTACCCTTTCCCTCCGCATGTAGCTAGTCGCCCACGCGATTTCAAGCTCTCATGGTTCCTGATCAAAGAAGTTGGCGTCGCAGCCATTCCGCCAACAGAGTTTTATACGGATGAAAACGCGCATATCGCCGAGGACTACCTACGTTTTGCAGTTTGCAAGAATGACGATGTTCTAGAGACTGCTAAAGAGCGGCTGAGGGGTTTGAAACAGTATATTGTGCGATGAGAAGCCCCTTTTTTTTGTTATGTGATTCTGTATCTTTTGGGGGTAATAGAAGAGATGGATATATATTCTTGGTGGGTCTAGTGTCTTGCGAGAGGCGAAGGGGCAAGAAAATATTGAGCGATTGGTGTAAGGAAATAGATCTATATATATAAAATAAAGTTTATTCAATTAATGAAAGAATCTATACTTTCCGTTCGTTTATTCCAAAGGACTGGGTTGAAACATTTGGTTACATTCATATATTGTATAGAGAATTATAGTCACAAGTTAAGTATAGTATTTCCATCAATCAAGAGCCCGCTTCAGTTTCTACATCAGGCTCACGACCCGTCAAATCACCCATGCCAAACTTCTTCTTCACTTTTCTCAAAGCAAACGTGGCCTCGTGCTTGGCGAATGCTGCATTGCGGGCAGGCTTCCATTGCATCACACCACGTTGCTGGCGACGTTCAGTTCGTTTGTTTGCCCTGTTCACGGAGGATTTCGTGGATTTGGATGATCTTGACGAGTTCGACGATAAGTTCTCTGTTACTCCTGAATATGCTGAATCCCTGCGATTCCTAGTGTGATTGTTCTCATCCTCATCCGAACTGCTGTCATCTTCGCTATCATCGTCGTCATCGCAGTCATTCATTGCACGGGGTTTCGTGCTGTTAGTGGTATGAAACTGGCTGGATCCTTGCTGATGTTCTTCGTTGACATAGTCCTTTGGATCCTTGCCGAATGTACCGCTCCAGTCAACACCGTCCTTGGCAATCCAGTGGTTTCGCTCCTTCGGATCAATGTCGCGGAGAACGTCCCTTCCTTGCACTAGGGACTTTTCATGGAGTTCCTGTATGTTGTCTGGAGTCACGACTTTGACTCGACGGCCGCGAATGCCCTCGGCTAGACAAGCCTCCCATGTTTCAAATGTCTCGCGGCTATCATTATCGGCGACAAACCTCTCATGAGACTCGTCCATTCCAGGCGAAAATTTGCATGAGAACTGAAGTCGTCCAACCTCAGTCAGATCCTCTATGGCTTCCAAATTGAGCGATTTCCAGTTTTCTTCAGTGACATAGTTTTGGATCAACCGACTCGCGCGCTTTGTAGTCCAGATTGGAATGTCGATCTCGGTTTGCTCATTATCGACGAGATGCTGAAGCCACAGAACGGCGTATGCTGAAGGGCCGCGCTTAGACGCAGCATGGAACTCAAACACAACCGGAGAGCGGTAACGCCATTTGACTGGTAGTAATGGTGCTCGTGTTGATTGATCAGACAAATCGAAATAGTGGCCATTTTCGTCACTCCTGCAATGCGATCTTGATAGCTTTCCAGTGCTACCGCCAGTACGGAGCCGAATCTTAGCAGAGTGGGCATAATTCTTTAATGTAATGCGATCTGACGTGAACTGGAAAGTGCCAACATCCCATCCAAGCATTCTTGGAGGAAGCTTCGTTTCAACGCTTCGGAACAAAAGGGAAATTCGCACGCGTCCAAACCCAATTCCTCCACCGAGCGGGTACCAGCGGGTAACCTGAGATGAGGTTTTCATCAAATCAGAGAGCCTGAGCGTAACAACACCAAGGATCGGATCATGCTCGCGGTACCGATGATCACGAACAGTCACGGTGACGAGTGCAGAGCGCCAGTCGCGTACAAAACGTTCGGTCCCTGCATTGAAGATAGGCTTGCTGCTGACTGCTTTAGCACGGGTTCGATAAACCTGGATTCATTCGTTAGTTTCAGACCATGTCTCCATTTAAAACGGCATATTTGTCCCATCTTACCAGCTGATCATTAAGCAGTATTGTGCAATAGCTTGTTGGAAGATTTTTTCCTTCTTCGTCCGTGTTTTCTCCATATGACCTCGCAGGTTCGAATTCTCTGCCCTTGCGATTTCCTTCACTTCCGTAGATATTTTCTAACTGAAGATTGACAATCTGGTGTACGACAATACTACAAATGCCGCTGGGCCAGAGAGGGTCGGGCGGAGTGTGTACGATTGCATCTTCTTCCTCCGTATTAACAATCCCCTTGTCATCTTGAAGCGTAGGCTCACCCCGGAGCGTATCTGGAAGTTCTTGATTCTTTCCATCAGTCCGAAGTTCGGGTCGAACTCTAGGCTTTCCAAAGTAGCCTACTTCCCAATGCAATTTCCCGGGCATACTGCTCCCTTCATCCAAGCCTTGCAGGTGGGAAACTTGTGGATACATCTTGCCGGGATGTTGTATTAATTTCCGGATGGAGAGCTCTACCTTGCCCACAATGTCATCAGCCGAGTTACGATCCGAGTCCCACAGTTCAATACTGAGTTGTTCGTCAGCTTTAATCAGTTCCGGGGTGACCAGCAATGCGGCGGTCTCCTCCCAGATCGGATTCAGGTCGTCCGTGATCACACGAGTGCAGTACATCGGTTTGCCATATTTGGAAAATGACAGGTTGATGTAAGGGTCACTACCACCGCCTTCGGAGCCTCGGCGGTCCTGCTTGCTAAGCCCAATGGCTCTGTGAATTCGAATCCAGAAGATGCCCAGGGCTTCGGTGTCTTTCTGAATGTCATCGCCCTTGAGAATCATACCCAAATCCAACGACATAGACTTGGGAGCTACATAGAGACTTGCTGCAGCCCCAATGGAGTAGTTGACGAAATTTGATATTAGTGGCAGGTTCAATATGTTCACGCCTTTTTTCACAAGAGGAACACAGCCGGCACGGACATGTGGAAGGCCCATCAAGCTGAATGTGAGTGACTTGGCGAAAGGAGGTTGTGGAGTCATCTGAAGCCGAAGCCGAACAGTTCCAATGAGCTCGATCAATTCCGCAAAGATAGGAAAAGGTACGCCAAAGAGGCCCCTGATGCCTAGATAGAACACAATCTGCATGTGCATATTACGTGCTTTCGCAGAGGTGCTCCCTTCGGTGGGTTTTGCGTGGTATGCAAAAGACACCTCGAAATTATAGTAGTCACCACCCTCCTCATCAGCGGCCGCTTCCTGTGGATCCTTACTTTTCTTGTTTTCTTCTCGGATGTTATGCTTCAAGTCTTCAACGTGACCATCTGGCAAAGCTCGAATACTAAGAATCCTGAGCGGGTTGTTTCCCTGATCAATCTCAGCGACGCGTACATTCTCAATGATGCTGGGCACTGAGGCTTGCATTATGTCCTCGATAGTATCCGCGACACTAGTGAACATTTCTGGGTTCAACAAGCCCCATGTAATGCCTAAAAAGGCGTTCATCCACTCCACTGACTCGGGAAGAAGGTTTACAGTTGCCTTGTGAGTGCGTCAATACTTGCCAACTTTTTCCTTGGAAGAGAGGGAAGAGAGGAAGAAGGAGGAATTGGTGGCATACCGTCTCACCTCGCAGTTGCTCGCTGCGCCATTCACGATCCCTACCACTGCGTATCACTTCTTTAACCCAGAGGTACACCCCTGATGCAACGCTGAAGGCGAGAAGGAAAAGCCCCCAAAGAGAGCCCCCGAAAATCCTTCCAAAAAGGATGATCGCGAGAGCTACCGCAGCTACAAGACCGTTCGCACGCTTCTCAAGTTGGTGGAACATAGGCTGGAAGGTGATTGAGGGCGTAGGATGAAAAAGAATATTCGTTTTTTCACCGTGGATGGGCACATCGGAGGTAGTGCCCTCAGCAACGGGATCTGGCGGAGCAGTGACATCCTGGCTCTCTTTATACTCTGCAAAGTCTTGCGTCGGATCCGTTTTTATGTGCTAGCTCACGTACGTCAGGAGTCTGATCTGTCGACTTTGGAAGTAATATATCATGCTTACCGTTGGTTTATCGAGATTGGCGTTTGGAACGGTAAGCTATTATGTTCGCATAAGTGAGTTTAGTCTTGCAAGGAGTGGGCGATGATGGCTCACCATTGGATTCTTCGACTCCTCCAGGTACCTCTTTTGAACGTCTTCGATCTCGATGTCCCTGCCTGTTACCGGATCTGTGACCTTGCGGGTGCTCTTCGTAGGCACGTCGACAGCGGTGTGATCAACAGGCTTGCCCTCCTTCCGCGCATCCTCCTCTTTATGCTTGAGTTCCTCGTCGATGCGTTTATCGCGCTCTTTCTTCTCCTTGTCAAGGTTCTCGACAAACTTGTTGATGGTGGGAATGGGGTTGGCAGCGCTCCAGTGGCCGGCTGGGGCATGCTGCGTAGTATCTCCTTGGGACACCATTGTCGATGCGTAGCCAACAGCAGTCACGAGGCTCCAGCATGAAGATGAAACTTATCAGGGCACGATGGCAATAGCGATAGTGATGGCGGTATTATAAGGCCATGATTGCTTGATGGCAGAATAAATAAGCCAAGCCAAGAGCTGATATCATCGACTGCTCCTTCCTGCTGCCACGGCTACGTCATCGGCTTTCCCCACCGGCAGCTTCTTGATCCTAATACCTTCAAAGGTAGGCAGTATATGAATGGCCAGACTCCCTGTGTATGGGACTCCATACTCGATCAACAGCGCCTTTTCCTCGGCTGTGACGTGGCCCAGCCTGGTCTGTAGACGTGCTATGCGAGTCGGCGTCAATCAAAGCATTGTTTTATGTATTTGTCTCTTTTTTTGTTTCTGGGAAATAGATGCATCCTTACCGGATCAATTCTTCATCTGCATCTTGATCTACTTGATCGTACATGTATGTATGTATCTATGGTGCAACTAGTTAGCAGCCTCAAAAGTAAGGTGTTGATGCCAAAGACATGCCGAGCTGTGATTGGTCGGTGAGAACGTCTCTCTGTACATAGTCTGTACGGGACAAACCTCTGATTCCGGCCTAAACAACAGATCACTTAACTTACTCCCATAGCCAACACACGACTTATTCCTGCACTCCTTGTTATAACCCATTTCGCCCAAGGAGAGGATTTTTTTTTTCGATTAAATGTCTTCGGCCGAGGAATCGCCTGCCCAACAGGCCGCGCGCCTACGCCGCGAACGCCGCGAGGCCAAGATCAAAGCTGGAGGAAGTGCCCGACTGGATAAAATTACGAGTCTGAGCGGACGAACGCCAGCCAGTGGTACGAGACTCACTGATCATCTGTTCTAATGATGCATCGCTAGAGATGCGTATGACTAACACGTTCGGTCTCGTTGACAGCGCACCAAGATGCTTCTCCTTCTCCCTCCCCTCAACCACGACTTCAGAACGAGCCCGCTCCAAATCTTCCTGGACAACAACCACAAGCTACGCCCCGACCTACTCCCCCGGCATCCGACAACCCTGAATCGATCCGTGCACAGCAAGAATACTTGAGAGCCCTACTACGAGCCAACCCGCCCGAGCAGCAATCGCAGCAGGAGATCGATCAAGACCCGGTGATGAAAATGTTAAGCTCTATGCTAGGCGGCATCCCCGGTGCAGAAAATACGGCCCCTGGCGCGGGGATGGCACCTCCAGCTCAGGGTGACTTGGGGGCTAATGATTTGATGTCCGCCCTCGGACTTCCGCCATTACTTTCTAAGATGATCTTCGGAGGAGGGTCTTCGCCACAGACGCCCGCAGAGAGAAACCGCGAATGGGTATTGAAATTACTGCACTCGGTCTTTGCCTTACTCTTAGGAGCCTACCTGGTCATTCTGGTGAACTCGGCTGTTGCGACTTATGGGCACAATCCGCCACCGCCTGCAACAGCACAGAGTCCTTTTGTGATTTTCGTGACAGTGGAGCTGTTGTTAAGCGCAGCCAGGATGTTTTGGGGACAGGCTCAACAGGGAACTCTGGCAGTTGGACTGCAGTTTTTTAAGAGTGTCATGAGGGATGGCAGTATCGCTGTTTTTGCCCTCGGGGTTGGATCATGGTGGAACGGTGGTTGGCAGGTATCGGCGAGTCAGTAGGAGAGTTACGATCTATGAGAGACGATCAGTCCGAGTAATGACGCAAACACAAAATCCATGCTGTCTAATTGTGCAGTATCGCCTCACGCAGCACAGAGGTTCTAGAAGCAATATAGGAATAGCACTAAGGGTCTACTAGCTAGGATGCTAGCTGCCTCGTGGTCTCGCTGCATGCAGCCGGCGGCTGGGACCCTTGCCAGAACTACTCCAGGGCAAACAGAGACAGCACTTTGACTTAGTAATTCTCGTTCGTAAGTATAGACCGTGACCTGCCAGAACCGCGATCCATAAGGATAACATAAGATTTGTAAATATTAGCCAAGACCCCTTTTTCCGTGACGATTGACGGACTCCCTTCTGAGGCTCTTCGGACCAGCGGATGTTTTTTTACCAAGGTAAATCGTGCCGGGGGGGCTAGGCCGGATCGGGACAGGGCCATCGACGGCCTATCTGATTCCGCTTATCCAGAAGATATCTGTATTGTTTTTTTTTTTTTTTTTTTTTTTTTTTTTCTTTTCCCAATCTTTCGCAGCTTGCAATACAGCTAGTTTCTTGTCAATTGCACTGAACTCTCAATGAACCCCGATATCTTGCAGTTCCGTCAATGCCATTGAAGTAACTATTCACTAGAAAACAAGCCTGCAATACAATACAATAGTGTTCGTAATCGTCTGAGACTAAGGCTTACCCCGCAAACATCACGTGTGTATTGGCCGAAAACGGCGAAGAAACAGGTAATGGCTGATACGGTAATTCTACCACCATCAGAATTGCAAATTGTCCGAGTTGTCTCCAACGGCATCTTTTCTTTCCTTTTCCCTCGGGCTGAAAGCGGCATATCCTCTGTTCTTCGGACGCACGGGAGCTGCAAGTTGCATCACCTTCGTATCTCTCGACAAAACTCCGTTGTATTACCACTCCCGGATTGATACGCTGATTACCCCACGCGATCCAACTGATAATACGTCAACTTCGGAATTGCGTATGGACGGTACGGCTAATGGCTATACAAATAGTACCCCGCGACCGCCCTTTTCGCACGCTGATCCGTGGTAATTGTGTGCTGGGGAACTAATAGGATGATCCAAATATGACCTCAAAAGTTTCCAGCCTGGAGACTGGGGCCAATCAGCAACGGCCCGAGTTATTGGAGTAAAGGTATTTGAAAATAACGGTTCTGTAATTACTTCCATCTGGTAAATACCAGCACCCCGAACCAATTGCGAGCTCTCTCTCTGCACGGCCGGCGTAACGGAAGCAGAAGTTGAACAAGGGCACGACCAGTTCCCCCGCATTTATATACTACCGTGCTATTCAGCATCAAGACCTAAGAGGGCCAAGGCGCAGGCTTGCATCGAGTCCCAAGCCTACCAACTACCACGAGTAGTCAATGCGAAAAAATACCAAGACTGGACTGCGGGAAGTGACGAGCCCCAGTCATTTCCGCTGATGAACCTCACCGGGACTCCCGTACCACCTGGAATGCCAAAAGTCAAGACTTCGCTTGTATATAAGAGGCAGCTGCTCCCTCGCGCACGATAACTCCTTTCGGTCTCTTCTCTTCTCTTTTCCTCTCCTCTCCTCTCCTCCATCCCTCGCTTACGCCGACGACAAGGCACTGCCCCAACGTATTTTAATCTCTTGCTGTCAACGGCCCGCCCTTGCACCGGAGTTTCTCGCCCGAACTCGCAGGCACTATTAGTATTATTAGTATTTACTATCCACCGAGGTCGGTTTGCTCTCTCTGATTGCCCTATATGTCGTCGTGGATAATGCTACTTCCGGCAGAACGCATACGCATATAATCACTCTCGCTTCTATATTTTTTTTTCCTTCTTCCCTGGACTTGCGCTGACTCCTGGGAGTGACATATCTCTAGCTTGACGGACACAATTGCTCCTCATCATGTCGGACGGAGCTGTTCTGCCTCCAACCGCACCAGTGGTAAGCTCGTGGTTTCTCATCCGGTCCCATTCCACGGCCGCTGACGAGACAAAACAGGTCGCCGAGGCTCACCAAGTAGACACTTTCCATGTGCCCGAGGCCTTCTTCGCCAAGCACCCTACTAGACCACATCTCAATGGGTTGGAAGAATACAAGCAGCTCTACGAAGAATCGATCCGACAGCCCGACATTTTCTGGGCTCGCATGGCACGTGAATTGCTTACCTTCGACCACGACTTCCACACTACACTCACCGGCTCGCTCGAGAATGGAGATAATGCCTGGTTTTTGGGCGGCAAATTGAACGCATCTTTCAACTGCGTCGATCGCCATGCCATCAAAAACCCCAACAAGGTGGCCATCATCTACGAAGCCGATGAGCCTCGCGAGGGCCGCACCATCACATACGGCGAATTGCTCCGCGAGGTATCTAGAGTTGCATGGGTCCTCCAGTCGCAAGGAGTGCGCAAGGGCGATACTGTCGCTATCTATCTTCCCATGATTCCTGAGGCTCTCGTTGCCTTCCTGGCTTGTTCGCGTATCGGTGCCGTGCACTCGGTCGTCTTCGCCGGGTTTTCTTCCGATTCGTTGCGCGATCGTGTGTTGGACGCCAAGTCCAAGTTTGTCATTACGGCTGACGAGGGAAAACGGGGTGGGAAGATTATCGGCACCAAGAAGATTGTGGACGAGGCTCTGAAACAGTGTCCAGAAGTCTCAAACGTTCTCGTTTTCAAACGCACTGGTGCTGATGTTCCATGGACAAAGGGCCGTGATTTGTGGTGGCACGAGGAAGTTGAGAAATATCCAAACTACCTCCCCCCGGTCTCTGTGGATTCCGAAGATCCTCTTTTCCTCCTATACACATCTGGTTCTACCGGAAAACCAAAAGGCGTCATGCATACAACTGCTGGCTACTTGCTCGGAGCTGCAGCTACCGGTAAATATGTCTTTGATATCCATGACGATGATCGCTACTTCTGCGGTGGTGATGTGGGCTGGATTACAGGCCACACTTATGTCGTCTATGCGCCTTTGCTTCTCGGTGTGGCAACTGTTGTGTTTGAAAGTACCCCCGCGTATCCCAACTTCTCTCGCTATTGGGATGTAATTGAGAAGCACAAGGTCACTCAGTTTTATGTTGCTCCTACTGCACTTCGTTTGCTCAAGCGCGCTGGCGACGAGCATATTCATCACAAAATGGAGCACCTTCGAGTTCTTGGATCAGTCGGCGAGCCCATTGCTGCGGAAGTTTGGAAGTGGTACTTTGAAAGTGTTGGTAAGGAAGAGGCTCACATTGTCGACGTAAGTATAATCTCCATTATAGGTATTGTGCGTGGTAGCTTGCTCACATAAAAAAAAAAGACTTACTGGCAAACCGAAACTGGATCAAATATAATCACCCCCTTAGGTGGTGTGACACCGACGAAGCCCGGCAGTGCATCTCTTCCGTTTTTTGGCATCGAGCCCACGATCATTGATCCCGTGTCGGGAGAAGAGATCAGCGGCAATGATGTTGAGGGTGTTTTGGCCATCAAGCAGCCATGGCCCAGTATGGCACGCACTGTCTGGGGCGCTCACAAACGGTATATGGATACATATCTCAATGTTTATAAAGGTTACTATGTAAGCTTCTCTTCGGCATTCAAAGAATTCTTTTCTTGGTGTGCTAATGCGGTGAACATAGTTCACTGGCGATGGAGCTGGTCGTGACCATGAAGGATACTATTGGATTCGTGGACGTGTTGATGACGTTGTTAATGTTTCTGGCCACCGACTTTCTACGGCTGAGATTGAAGCTGCCCTGCTTGAGCATCGTATGTTTCACTAGTATCGTCGTTTCCGCAATGCAGAATACTAACTTCTTGCTACCTTATAGCCATGGTTGCCGAAGCTGCCGTTGTTGGTATTGCAGATGAACTCACTGGACAAGCTGTGAATGCTTTTGTCTCATTGAAGAGTGGCAATGAATCTACAGACCAAGTTCGCAAAGATCTCATTATGCAGGTGCGAAAGTCGATCGGACCTTTCGCTGCTCCCAAAGCAATCATTCCCGTCGAAGATCTCCCTAAAACTCGCAGTGGCAAAATCATGCGCCGAATCCTGCGCAAGATTCTCAGTGGCGAGGAGGACAGCTTGGGCGATACATCTACGGTATGACTATCAAAACTCATCCTTGAGAGAGGGAAATTAGTGCTGACAATTATACTTTTCTTCGTTTCAACGATAGCTCTCGGATCCTGGTGTCGTTGGAAAAATCACAGATGCGGTCCATGCCTTGCGTAAGTAGTAATAACGGTCTACTCACCTAGCGTTGAAAATAAGACGAGCGGTGAAACTTCAACAATCACCTCGGAGAGATTTTGTGTTAGGACTTGGAGGTCTTTTAAGACCAAAGTATATACATATATTGTCTTGTTCTCGGCCACGGATCAACATTCATGGTCAGGAGCGAAAAGGAAACGCAAAACCCCCCCCTTCCTTTGTATCAGCTACCTAGGTACTTTTGGATACACGCTTTACGCTTTATGTTTATTATATATTCTTCGGAATGAGAAGCGTTTTCTCACCAGTTTCTCCTTACTTTACAATCTCAAATTGAAATTTTAAATAACGACATGTGATTACAGCTTGCAAGTTATTGAAGGCTTTGACATTTCTGGTCAACACAAGTAGGAAAATGCTCGAATAAAAGGGCTGGGAACAATAGGAGGTGGTACAGTGTGAGACAATGGTCAAGGACGCAGTACTAGAAAGTTTCAAAACATATTGAACACTTGCAATAGACGACTGCCTAATATGTGACTCAGTCATAGACCACTCTTTACTCACAATAACAGCCACTGCATGCAGCTGAGGGATTGTCTGGCTTCTGATTGGTGAACAGGAAGAGAAAACAGATGAGTCAGCCTGTCACATGATCTAGAACATTGAGCTGCCATTGGCTGGTCGGAGCAGGCTTTACCGTTTTTTGCTTGGGCTGCCCAAGCCTAACAGCTAAGGAGACTGCCGCCAACCTTCTTTAAACGACCACCTACCTCGCTTGCGTTCCTTCTCTTCCTCTTTCTTTCGCGTCTCGTCCCTTCTTCTCCCTCTCCTCCACCCTTACTCCTTTCCTTGATTACGGCCTAACAGCTTGTGATTGATCCTTCAACTCTCGAGGAATCGCATTTATTTGTTTTTCCTTTTGCGCGACATTTCGCCCGACGCTTCCTTAGCTCGAGAAAGGGAAAAAAAAAAAAAAATATAGGCGCGTCGCGACTCGACCTTGGCAACAAGCTGCCTTTTCTTTTCGCTATTTCTATTCCCACTTCGGTGTCTATTTGCCTTTTTGCCTATATCTGTGTCGCTTGCGTGAAATTTCATCTTTTTCACTTATCCCGACACAGTTTCTCTCGTTCCACGCCGCTTGAAGCCACTGATTGCCACCACAAACCGAATGCATTGAGATCACACTTTGTAACATCGAAAACATGTCTTTCGGCAGCGGATTTGGCTCCAGTGCCTTCGGGCAAAACAATAATCAGCAAAGTTCAGGCTTTGGTAGCTCTGGGTTTGGAGGAACCGGTACTACTGGAGGTAGGTTCTCAACATCTTTTTACATAAAACTCCCATTTGCCTTTATTTCCTCCTTCTTTGTTTTCTTTTCGACCTTGGCGCCCCACGCTCGAGTTTTCGCCTCCCATTCATTTGACGCTAGTGCTTGCGACATTCGCTTGCATCAAGAAGATGCGCGTCGTCAACCCCAAGTGTCACAGCTTAGCGCCCGAAATGTCCGATCGATTTCCTGCGAAATCGACCTGTCCGTCTAGTCCACTTCTCTGACAACGGTACCTATCATATATAGGCTTCGGAAGCAACACAACCCCCTTCGGTTCTAACAATACCGCTACTGGGGGAAGTGTTTTCGGGAACACATCGGGAGGCTTCGGCTCCGGCGGAGGTACGCATTCAATTTCGCCTGCGTTCGTTCACCAAAAAAATTACGATGAGATTCTTGACGTGTCAAGAAAGCCTTTCTGGCGGGCGACGTTCATTTATCGATACAGCTCGGAAGGGTCTAATCTCTTTTGCCGTGACAATACAAGCTTGGGGGCCCCTTGAGGACTGTCGATGATTGAACTGCCATGAACTTCGCATAGCAATTTCACGTGTTTCGAATCAATTTTCGTGCGGAGAGACAAATTTGCTAACGGTTATAACTATAGGTTTCGGAAGTACAAACACTCAGTCAAACTCACTATTTGGTGGGAACAAACCTAGCGGCTTTGGCACAACGGCGACTACTGGAGGAGGACTGTTTGGCAACAATACAGCCACCTCAAGCGGCTTTGGAGGCGGCTTTGGCTCTACAGGCACGGCCGCAAACACGGGTACAACTAGTGCTTTTGGAAGCAACACCGGTAATAGCCTCTTCGGTGGAAACAAACCATCTACCTTTGGCTCTACTGCGAACACCACTGGTACAGGAGGTGCTTTCGGTACAGGAGGTGGCTTTGGTACGACGGGCAATGCCTTTGGAAGTGGAACTGGCACTGCCTTCGCTGGCCAAGTGCCTCCGTCTGATGGAACAGCTGGCACTCCTTTCAACCCAGTGACTGAAAAGGATCCAAACTCTACTACGAACAACGTTTACCAAAGCATATCGTACATGGGACCTTACCAGCGCTATTCCTTTGAAGAACTTCGATTAGCAGACTACCAAGCTGGCCGTCGCTATGCAAATGCAAGTGGACAAGCAGGCGCATTTGGTGCACCGGCCTTTGGTTCGGGATTCAACCAATCAACTACTGGCTTTGGAGGTACCGGTGGCGGATTTGGTGCTGCTACTAGTGCTCCTGGTTTTGGCGCCCAAACTCAGACTGCAGGAGGCTTCGGTGCCAATACTGCGACTGGAAATTCTTTATTTGGTGGTGCTAAGCCAGCGACGACTTCTCTCTTTGGAAGCACCCCAAGTACTGCCACATCACAGCCAAGTCTCTTTGGGAGCAACACAGCAACCTCAGGTGGCTTTGGGAATACTGCCACGACCGGAGGCGGATTTGGTACCGGAGGAAGTTTGTTTGGAAACAACCAGCAACAACAGAAACCCGGGGGTCTGTTCGGTAGCAATACAACTACTACAACTGGCACAGGTTTTGGTGGCACAGGTGGAGGTTTCGGACAAACTACTAATACCTCTACTGCTAGTAACCCCTTCGGCAGTACTACAGCCACAACAGGTTTTGGGACTCAGCCGCAGACTGGGACAACTACCTCAGCGTTCGGAGGGTTTGGCCAGAATCAAAATCAGAACCAGGCTAAGCCAGGGCTCTTCGGTAGCGGTGGGCTCAATACCGGGACTCAGCAGCAACAAAGTGGAACAGGATTGTTTGGTGGCGGATCAAACACGGGAACATCTCTATTCGGCGGCAATACTCAACAACAGGGTACTACGTCTCTTTTCGGAAATCAAAATCAACAAACTGGCACTGGACTATTCGGAGGCGCTCAACAACAGGAGCAAAAACCAGGAGGCTTATTCGGGAATGCAGCTGCGACCACGTCAAACACTGGTGGCTCTGCCTTTGGTGGGTTTGGTGGTAACCAACCCGCCCAGACTGGAGGAACAACAGGCCTTTTTGGCACCAATCCAGCGCAACAGCAGCAACAGCAGAAGCCCGGTAGTTTATTTGGAAACACAGGAGGAACTTCATTGTTTGGAGGAGGTGCGGCGGGCCAAAATACTGGATCATTATTTGGATCCCAGCCACAGCAACAGCCAACAACCTCTTTTGGCACTGGAAGTCTGTTTTCTTCATCTCAACAGAACCAGCAACAGCAGCCGGCGGCTCAACTGCAACCACAACAGCCAGCCCCCGGAAGTTTCCAGGCTTCGCTCCTTGACGGGAACCCGTACGGCAACCAGTCCATTTTCTCAGGACTGCCTACTCCCAATGCGCCCAGCCCAGGTCCTCTTGCCACCCCTCTGTCAGCTAGTATAAAGCAGAAGCAGCGTACTCCTCTTCCAATCTATAAAATTACTCCAAATGCTGCCAACCGTCTCATTACTCCGCCTCGACGCCAAGGATACGGTTTCTCTTACTCTACGTATGGAAGCCCAGCAAGCGCCTCGAGCGTCTCCAGTCTTAGCGGAAGTTTGCTTGGTACCGGCAGCAATCTTCGTGGTGGTAACGTGACTGGAAGCTTTGGACGTAGTTTCAGTAAGAGCTTTTCTACCAGCAACTTGCGCAAGTCTTTCGACCCAGAGACCGATAGTGTCTTGGCTCCAGGTGCCCTCACAGGATCCACTTCTCGCTACTCCAGTGGAAGTCTCAAGCGTCTGACTATTGATCGAAGCTTGAGAAACGATCTCTTTCAGCGCCCGTCTGTTTCTCCTGCTGCAATAACCAATGGCGAGGACGCTGCACAGTCTACCGATAAGCTCAAGAAACGTGTCAGTTTCGAGGCTCCTGCTAATGGGACCCTCGTCCGTGCTGAGCCAGAAAGCGCAGAGCCAACCGCCGAGGAACTGGGATTTTTGCGCTCCATTCGCAAAGGTGACTCAATTAATGGAGTTAATGGATCTGCTTCTTTGAAAGCTGGTAAAAAACCGGATATGGAACAAGTTCGTGGACGGGAGCTTGCTGTCGTTCCAGAAAACACAGATCTTACAACGGACACCACCTCCCTTCAACCCGTCCCTACAACAGACCCTCAGCCTGGCGAATATTGGATGAAACCATCGCGTGCCGAGCTAAGCAAAATGAGCCGGGAACAGCTAAAACAGGTTGAAGGCTTCACTGTTGGGCGACAGAAATGTGGACACGTCACATTTGATCGCCCAGTCGATCTTAACACTGTCGATCTTGATAACGTCCTAGGAGGAATTGTACAGATCACGGTGCGATCTATTACGGTCTATCCAGATGAAGCCACAAAACCCCCGCGTGGCAAAGGGTTGAATGTTCCATCAACTTTATCAATTGAAAACTCTTGGCCACGTGGAAGAGACAGGAAGTCCTCAGCATCTATCAAAAGTGGGCCACTCTACGACAGACATGTAGACCGGCTCATCAAGGTCACTAACACCGAATTTGTTACTTATGAGAAAGAGACCGGTGTCTGGGTCTTCCGTGTTGCTCATTTTACCACATATGGTCTTGACTATGAGGACGACGACGAAGGTGAGAGCTTCAACCAAAGCACATTAAGTGCCGGTCCTGACACTCCAACTCCGAAGGTCCGGTCCCCCGTGTCTCGTCGAACTCCGGAAAACACTGTTAATTCAGAATTCGATTCGACGATCTCTTTTGATGACTCTGTAGCCGACTCTGCGGCTGGGGTTGACGACACTTTCGATTTCAAAAAACGCAAATTGGTTCCTGGAGCATTTGGCGATCAGACTGTTGAGAATGAGGATGATGAGATGAGCCTAGGAGATGAAGATGGCGAAGTATCTACGGTAGAAAACGACTTTACAGGCTCGGACACTGGACGAGACATTGACGAAACTGTTACGGAAAGCATTAATTCCGATGCATCCATTGATGATGGAGATATGGAGATGGCGGGCTCCTTTCCCATACCTCGTGAAAATGAACATGCAGAGTCTGGCGATCTCATTGATATTACGCATCGCACTTCACAGTGGCGAACCCCATCGAAGTTAAACCTTGACCTTAGCGGTGGTTGGGCCGACCAGCTACAACGAACAATCAGTCCCCGAAAACAAAACCGTGATTTGTTGCGGGAGAAGCAGGCGGATGCATTTGTTGACAGAAACCACCAAGACGAAGATAAACGAAAAGCACCCCAAGCTGCTTCTACCGATAAGTCGAAACCTTTCTTGTCAAGTCTTGATATGATGAACTCTCTCTTTGCGCCAAAGAGTGACAAAGCTGGATCATTGGGAAGAAAACAGAAAGGTCAATTGAAGGCTTTTGAGGTGTGCCCCCCTGTCTAATCGTATCTTTACTTCACAATGTATTTAGGAATCGTATGGCCTTATGTCTCGGTTCATGTGTAGCTAGTTATTAATATCAGAATGAAAATTTGACTCAAGCTAAAATTTTGGTTTTCCAACAGTTGTCACACTCGAAAACGCCGAAAACTTTCGCAAGCAGCTCTTATGGGTTGTCTCCTGGCGATCTCGCTTTCCATCGTACTCTCAAACCTCGCTGGGGTACCAAGGATACCTTACTGAGGATAAATGATTTTTCCAGTAGCGCTCAAAAACTTTCAGATCAACCATGGTCAACCGGTGTTTCCTTGGGTGAGGTTGACGTACTGACTTTTAAAGATGCTCCCGAGGTTTGTTTCGACCGTGGACATTTCATGTATATTTTTGTTAATAAAGAATGAACAGTCAATCGATGTGCTAGAAGCTCAGCGGCGTCAGTCTTCCATCCGTCTAATTGATGGTGCCCCATTTGCTCGCGTTGAAAAATTCGACTTTCGGTCATTTGTTCAGTCCTCGGCATCATCCGAGTCTGTTTCTACCGGGTATGATGAGCGTTATATATGGCAACTCATCAACATTCTATTCAACGATGAGATTGAAGATGACATTTCCGCGGGTGTTCCTCCACAGCTCCGTAAAAACTTCATGCATCGCATCAAGAAGGACCGTCTCAGCCGCTTGTGGGAAAACGTGGTTCGAGAAAAACATGGCCAAGACATAGGGGAACTCGTTCATGCTGAGGAGCGCGCTATGGCTTACCTCACGTTTCATCGCATCGACGATGCGTGCAAGACTCTTGTTGAGAGCGGAAATTTGCATCTGGCGACAATGCTTGCCCAGATTGGCAGAGACAATGTTACCCGCGCCAACATGCAGAAGCAGGTCGAATCTTGGCGTCAGCATAACCTCTATTCCGAATTCAACGAGCCTATCCGTGCCTTATATGAACTTCTTGCAGGTAATGCTCTTCGGTCTCTTGGTCGTTCGTCGTGTGCGCCGGAAGATCGTGCTTCTACATTCAGTATTTCGGAAAGGTTTGAACTCGATTGGCTTCAGGCATTTGGTCTTCGATTGTGGTACAGCATTACAGAGGATGAGCCCCTCGAAGCCGCTGTTTCACGCTTTTTGGAAGATCTTGCTGCGGGTGATGAACCGGCGCGTCCGTACGCTCCACACATTGGAGGTGCTTCGGACTGGGAGTCACCTCTCTGGGTTGTTTTGAAAACCTACGCTGCAACGGCATCCAAGCATATAGCTCCCGACCTCAAAGTTAGCTTACCTGCTGCGATCTCGCCGGAAGCGGTGTCTGACAGTCACTTGTCGAGTCGTTTGTCATTCCAGTTGCACCAAGTTCTTACTACAATTGTTGGACAAAATGAGAGGATCATCCTTGACAAGGCTCGATCCGATCAACTGACCTGGAGCTACGCATCGGAGTTGACTGCTTCTAATGCAATGGAACCAGCTCTGTTTGTTTTGCTCCACTTAACGCGAGCAAGTGATAGAGAACACGCCATCAAAGAGACGTTAGGTCAATTTGCTGCTACTTTGCCGACACCCATAACACCTGATGGCAAGTCGGATGCCGGTTGGAACTACCTTGTTCATGGGTTGCGATTACCAGAGTCGTGGATATGGGTTGCCAAGGGACTCTTCGCTAGATATAGCGGCAACTTCGCTAACGAGGTGGTATACCTTATTCAGGCTAAGAATTGGAACGAGGCGCATACGACGTTCTGTCGTGCCGTGGCACCGCAAACCATCATCGAACGCGATTGGAGCACCCTTCATCAGCTGCTCAATGGCTTTGGCGATTCTCCAGACCGAAAGGTTCGTGGATGGACTGGTGGCGGCGCGGTCTATGAGGACTACTTGCGGGTAGTCACTGCGCAAGGCCCCCGGGATGCAGGTATTTTGAAACGCCTTATTGGATCGTTGGTAATAATGGGCGAAAAAATAAAACAGACTTCTGGGTTGGAAGGATTGGAAGAGCGGGTTGCTTTTAGGGAGATGAGTCGAGTTGTGGCGAGCTGGAGTGCTCGGGAAGAAGACGTAAGCCGAGAAATCTCTCTCTCTCTGTGCGTTATAATCAATTAAAGAGACATGTATGGCTGACTAGATGACCGCAGGGTGTGGAGCTGTCGGCGATTCTCAAACTGCCCCTGACTGGGGATGCGAGGGTCACGCATACTGCTGAAATCGGCCGTCGGTACTACAATATGGTCATGGCTACTGCCCACTGAGATGGATAGGTAGTAACACTTGCTTTCTGTGCGGCATTGTTCGAGCGGTTCGATGTTGCCCTGATGATGTGTTTTCTCTTTTCCTACTTCTGTTCTTTCCTTTGTTAGAAAGAGCAATCGTCTGTATAATTAGAAAAGAAAGTAATAAAGCTATGCCGAGTAATCCACTTGGATGTGAAGTGATATACATGTAACAATTGGTGTACAGGAGTATAGTGTCCGGCATCTGCAGAAGTTGAGGCTCAAGCATGGCCCTGCCCCTGCCCCGGCCCAAACCACCAATGAGCGAGCGAGTGAACCGCTGGACCGGGCCTTAACTGAGATAGGGTTCCGGAACCGGGGAGCATATCACATAAGGCGGAACCGGAGATCGGTTTTGCATCGCCCAACGGAGTAAAATACCCAGTTCCTCGAGTCTTTGCTGGCCCCTGTGGCGTTATAAATAGGGTCGTTCTCTGAGAACCATGAAGTCTTCTATCTTTCTTCTCACGTCGAGATATCTCTGCTCATTACCTAGCGAGGTATATGAGCGCCAGCGTGCATACGCGGAATATCGCAAATGATAGCATTGCCTGGAGAAGAAGTCTCTCAAGAACGAAACAATAAGACGATAAGACAACAGTCGCATGGAGAAAAGACTATGCAAATCATTTCGCCTGACGAAACAAATACAGAAGGGAATGATAACAATGGAGATCAACAGCAGAATAACCCCGATACCACTCAGGACCTCAGAGAGTCAACGACAGCTACCAGCGAGAAACCCTACACATCGTTCAGTCTGCCCCAGAAATGGTTCGTTGTGGGCATGGCCACGGCAGCATCATTCTTTTCACCACTATCAGGACAAATCTATTACCCTGTGCTGCCCATACTCGCAGAAAACTACCATCTGAGCCAGACCCTGCTCAACATCTCCGTGACGACGTACATGATCTTTCAAGGCCTGACGCCGAGCTTCATGGGCACGTTCTCCGACGCCAGTGGCCGTCGGCCCGGGTACATACTAGCATTCATCATCTACACGGCTGCCAACATCGGTCTGGCAGAACAAAACAGCTACGCCGCGTTGTTGGTGTTGCGGTGTCTTCAAAGCGCCGGGAGTAGCGGCACCGTCTCTTTTGGATACGGAGTTATCGCCGATGTTACTACGACTGCTGAACGAGGAACGTACATGGGTCCCATGGCAGCAGGGGTTATGATGGGTCCTGCTTTGGGTCCTGTTATTGGGGGGTTGTTGTCGCAGTTTCTGGGCTGGCGGTCTGTGTTTTGGTTCTTGGTGATCATCAGCGGGTCTTATCTTGTGATTTTCACTCTTTTTCAGCCAGAGAGTCATCGGGGAATTGTCGGGGATGGGAGTATTCTCCCCTCTGAATCGTGGCGGTTGTCTGTCCTGCAGTATATTCGAATCCGGAGAAAACAGGCGCGAATGAGCGTCGAAGAGAAGCAGGAGTATGACGAAGCGCGAAAAGAGTTGCGAATACAGCAGAAGAACAGGAAACTTGCATTCCCTAATCCGTTGCTCTCATTTGTGATTTTGTTGGAACCGGATGCTTTAATGCTGATTTTGTATATCGCGTTGATGTTTTTCGGTGCTACGATAATGATGACTTCCTTGCCGTCTCTTTTTCCTGGTATATATGGATTGAATGAGCTCGAGGTTGGATTATGTTTCTTGTAAGTAGCAACTTCTCCCTCCCTCGTTCTTCACTCATTTTCCATCTTGGGCGGGACTTTTCACATTTGCTAATCATTTCAACTCAGACCTCTAGGAGTATCATCCGCCCTGGGTGCGGTGGCCAACGGCAAACTCCTTGACTGGAATTATAGAAGATTAGCGGTGAAGCACGGAATGAGCATTGACAGTAAACACGGCGACGACTTGACCAATTTCCCCATCGAGAAGGCTCGCATCCAAATGCCACTGTTCTGGGCAAGTCTTCTCGCTGCTACATTTCTAGGCTATGGATGGGCATTGGACTATAAGACCTCGCTTGCTGTGCCGCTGGTCATATCTTTCATACTTGGTTTCTCTCTCATTTGCACTATGAATAGTCTCAACACGTTGCTTACGGATATTTTTCCGAGTCGAGTCAGCACTGCCTCTGCTGCATCGAATCTTGTGAGGTGTTTGCTCGGTGCCGTGGGTGCAGCGGTGGTTGATTCGATGATAGATGCTATGGGTATTGGGTGGTGTTTCACCTTTACAGGTCTGGTCATGGGCGCTGCAGTGATGTTTTTATGGTGTGAGTATAAATGGGGCATGCAGTGGAGGCAAAAGAGATGGAGAAAGAAGGCCGAGAAGGTCGAGGCAGTATAGTGTCTAGGAGGGAATTTTCAGCCCTCAGAAGTTACCAAGAAGGGAGAATAAGGAAATAAGGACTTGGACTGGCGGAAACATAGATTATAGAGTATAGACATAGTGAGCAGATGTAGTTGATGCTAATAAATAAACTTAATTCATATGGATCTGAACTTCCAGCGTTATTAATGTAGAGTGAATTTTAGATGCTCTTACATCAACATTACCAACCTTGAGGTGAAGCTTTAAGTAGGACAGATTAACAAAAGAAATCGAATAAATTGCTAATGAAGAAACTAAGACTGTACAATTAAAAAGACAAATCTGCATCCATTCTACATCTTGTTGGTTTGCTTTTGAAGAGGGGAACCATCTATTGACCTGGCGCAATCAGCTTTCCCTCATCTTTTGTCTGTGGAGCCCAACCGCCAGCGAAAGGCTGCTTGCCGTGTTCCGCTTCATACTGCTTGATACGAGCTTCAAGCTCGGGTCGGAAGTGGCGGATAAGACCCTGAATAGGCCAAGCAAAGGCTTCGCCCAAGGCACAGATGGTGTGTCCTTCAACCTGCTTGGTCAATTCCTGAAGCATGTCAATCTCGCGCTCACGAGCCTGGCCTGACTCCATTCGGTGCATAATCTGCTGTGTCCATTTGCTACCTTCACGGCATGGTGTACACTGTCCGCAACTTTCGTGGCGGTAGAAATGAGAGAGGCGAGAAATAGCACGGACGACGTCAGTGGATTTGTCCATGACAATAACAGCTGCGGTTCCGAGACCACTTTGGGAGTCTTTGAGAGCGTCAAAGTCCATCAATTGATCATCACAGACGCTCTTGGGAAGAATGGGGGTAGAGGAACCGCCGGGAATGACAGCCAACAAATTGTCCCATCCACCACGAACACCACCGCAGTGGCGGTCAATTAGTTCTCGCAGGGGAATAGACATCTCTTCTTCAACAGTGCAAGGGTTGTTGACGTGACCCGAGATACAAAATAGCTTGGTACCCTGGTTACGTTCACGACCGAAGCCAGCAAACCAGCTAGCACCACGACGCACGATGGTGGGAACAACAGCGACTGTTTCCACGTTGGTGACGGTACTGGGGCAACCAAATAGACCGACGGCAGCGGGGAAGGGAGGCTTAAGACGAGGCTTGCCAGCCTTTCCCTCGAGGGACTCAATGAGTGATGTTTCCTCACCGCAAACGTATGCTCCAGCACCGCGGTGAACGTATACATCGAAGTCGTAGCCAGTTCCACAAGCATTCTTACCAATCAAACCGGCCTGGTAAGCTTCTTGGATAGCGCGTTGAAGCACGGTAGCTTCGTGATAGAATTCACCACGGATATAGATGTAAGCAGCAGTGGCGTTCATGGCGCGACCAACAACCAAGCATCCCTCGATAAGCTTCTGGGGGTCCTTGCGCATAATTTCACGGTCTTTGCAGGTTCCGGGCTCGCCCTCGTCAGCATTGACAACCAAGTATCGTGGTCGCGAATCCTTATCCCAGTCTTTGAAGTTCATGAAAGACTAAAATCAAGGGAACCAGTGTTAGTTCATTACTAGTAACCCGGATAAGACAGACAGGGCAGGTCAGCGCTCACGTATTTAAGACCAGATGGAAAACCAGCACCACCACGACCACGCAGACCAGAGGCTTTGATCTCGGAGATAAGCTAGCAATATCGTGATATATTAGCCATTTATCTAGAAGCCAGACATACGAATTCGGCAACTCACCCAGTCATGGCCCTTGAGAACAATTTCCTTCGTCTTATGCCAGTCGCCGTACTTCATCGCCGACTTCAGATCTGTGCCATGATGGCCGTAAAGATTGGTGAAGATACGGTCCTGATCCTTCAAGCCGCCATGTGGTTTTTTGGGGGCAGCTCCATCTTGGACGGTAGCGAAAGTCCGGGCCGGGGTCGAAAGGCGGGCAGCGGCAGATGTTGATGGAAGGGCCCGAGAGGAGATATGGGTGAGAGTAGAGGTCGAGGGGACCGCTGCTCGAGACATCATGTTAGGCTGGACGCTCAATGGCGCGAGAGCGAGGGGTGGTGAAGATGGTCGCTGAGCGGAGAGGAAGACTTGAGGTTGCTCGTTCCTTCTCGGGATCCTCGCGTCGGCTCACTTATTTTACCCTCGCTCTGATTGGCCAGACAGGTCACGTGATGTCCCGAGCTTTTGTCAGCAGCGTTTCTTCAACTTTTGCTTTTATTATTTTATTTGATGATTCTTGATAGTTCAACTTGTCTACACCTGCGGTACATACAGAAAGTTTTTCGTCTTCATCCCCCCGTTCGCCCCGTTTATCATGTACTCCAGCGGATCATCAATGGCATTCATGACCAGTTCTTGTTCCAGAACCAACCAAGCCCAGCGTAGCCAGTTCGGTGAAAGCCACCACTCGCTGGCGTCTCTCTTCCCCTGGGCGGGAGTTTGTGTGCCTACGAAGCCCGTAACAGCAGACAGGACTTCATCAGGGAGGTGGTCGTTGATTAACGAATCATAAGCGGATAACACGGCTTCGTCGTTCTCGTCCGGAAGTGTCCATGCCACATCATTTGGCGGAGCCGGGTATTTAGCAAGAAGAAAATCGCACCATGACCTGAGACGAGAGGTGAGCTGTGATGGATTATGTTGTTTGACGGCAACGAATAGACAGATCACTGCCGCATAAGCGAATAGCGCGTGCGGTCCATTCTCTGCGTCCCCTGATCCAACCTCATCACCATTATCGATGAGAATGGCGCGTTGGGCACGAGTGACAACTTCTTCTAGACATTGACGGCTAGGTCCCTGCATACTTGTAGACAAGAGGTGGAATAATTCTTCAAAGCGGAAAAGTTCCCCACACTGGTTGTCTGAAAGGAGACTTTTTCTAGTGAGAATTCTCTTCTTAACTTGTTCCGTAGTTTCGCTATTGAAGATATGCTGTGGAATGCGAGATAATAATTCATTGAGAAGCTCCTCTCGATCGCCTTTTGAAGCGCCTTGTGAGCGCGTGATTGTCCAGTTGGCGATGAATATGGCTGTTCGTGAGAGACTGATGTGACTCTCTCGAAATTGCTTCGCATAAACCTGTTTTAGGTTCTGGGGCTCTCCAAGTTGACGTCCGCTGATCTCGAGTCTCTGGATATAGGATAGTAGCTCAATAACAATTTGATTCAGGGCCGCAACTAAATTCCTGGAATTTCCGTATTGCTCCCAAGGAACCCGGAAGCCTTCTTCGTCAATCGTAACCGTCTCTAATTCACGGTCATTCGCCGATATGACCGATAGCGCATGTAGTAGATCAGGAGAGAAAACAGAAAATTCCAGGGGTTGAGACGTGCCGATGAGTGGGTAGGGTAAGGAGAAGACATAGTACTTGTCTTCCTGGTCGCTTTTCGAATTCTTTTTGGAAGGTCTGGGGAAATGCTGTTCGAACTGAGCCTTGATCTGAGCAAGCGGACTACCTGGAGGTGCGCGAAGGCTGACAACGCGGTATTCGCATGGGTTGTTGGGTATACAGAAGCCATAATTCATCATCACTGGGGGTACTATCAATAACCTGTACTATTGGAAAGCATGGACGGACCGGATATACTCACACTGCTCGTTGTTTCTTGGGCCATAATTATTTCCTACTTCATCACCAGCGTGGACATCAGCCATGACAGCGAGTCCGATACTGTCGGTACCGGCTTGCCATTCCACTTTTGAGAGCGGCCTGTGGTTAGTCGCATCAATCAGGGGAAGAAGGACAGAAACTTTGTCATCCAAGGTCTCCAGTTCTGGAATCACGCTTGCCAGGACTTTGGCAGTGAATGCCCGTGAAGAAATAATGGTTGAAGCCCATAGGTACAAGTCCCTAGTCAAGCAGTCAATTTCTTAGCAAGGGAGAAAAAAATAAATAAAATAGTAGCAGTGCATGATACTCACCAAGAATAAAGATGTGCTTCTTCAAACTGGGATTCCTTTAAAATCGAATATCCTCTTTCATAGTTTGCTTTCCAAATTTGCAGTCGCCCCTCTCGTGAAACAGCAAGGCTTGTCATATTCAACCATGCCAGATCCCCATCCTCAAAGTACAAAGGCGTCGTCAAATCTTCTGGCCCCGGCAGAGACTGTATATAGGGATACCAAAAGCCTTCTTTCCCTCTCAAGTACTGGCCCATCAGGAAAAAGGCAGTCGTTTCTTCCGGACCAATTCTTTCAATAAGATGTTTTGGCAATACAACTCCATGAGAGGAAAAAGAAGAATTACTTCCTTCTGGTTTATAGTCGATCGCATTAAAGAAGGACATTGTCAATTCGATGGGGATTTTCATGACACACGTCCCAGGCGACACCTTGCCGGACACTGCTCCTGGTTTGGCCTGGAGATGTACCCCGAGATTCTCATCATGCGAGAACTGGACATCATTGTGTAGCCGGCCTCCATGCTGGGTGACCCAGTTCTCAAGCGTAACATGAGCATGAAGCGAGTCTTGGGCGGTTCTGGGATGTTGGTGAATGGCATGCATGGAAGACACAGACTGGGCGCAAACATACCTGTGGGCCTGCATTATTCCATCGATCTTCTTGGACTTGAGAGACAAGAGTTTCCGGATCGAATTATACAAGGATGGCATGTATGTTTATCTCTTGAAATGTCAAGTCTTTGGTTGTAGTAGAATTCTGATCGGGCGGGAAGGATAAGGAGCTCCACCGGGAGGGAGCCATCCCGCCGTTTCCTCCAACCTCCAACCTCCAACCTCCAACCTTCACCATCGTGATTTCTGATGAATCACCGCTGTCTATCCTAAATAAGAATAGAAGTCATTCGTCATGGTTGTTGCACACTGCGATCTTCCTGATAGGCAAACAAAGAAAACAGAGCCATGACTGTGCGTTTGTCTATATCCTTCTATTTATGTTGAGATGGCTGTTAATACTGAATTTCGGATTGCCACATATTACAAGGAGAGAGTATTTCTGAAACAGGAGCAAATCTCTTGTCAATGGGCTCTGTACGACAAAGAGCTGATCCAATACAGCGTAAAGAGGTCTAGCGAGACAATTTCGCTGCGAGATTATTCTAATGGGCATCTAGTGTATACGCTTGGCAGATACCATGAGCAAAAGATGAGAGAATGGAAGCACAAAGTACTTTCACCAACTCCTTTAGCATCCCCCAAATAATGCTGACCTCAGCTGGGACTGGAGGAATTCGCCTGAACCTACAGGCTGGCTCTGTAGTCATACAAGCTGAAATCTAATGTAACCGTAGCCTGGAATTGCAAGCATACACACGCTGCTACCGTCAAGGACAGGCGAGGAAGGTGAAGGTATTCCGGGCAAAAAAAAAGGGGGGGGGGGGCATTGATGTCTCGATAAAACCCACCTAAACTAGAAAGATGCAGATCAACGGTTCCATCATTATACAACAGACTGCCAGTATCATACAATGAGTGCAAGTCGGCAGCTGAGTCGCCATGCGCTCACGATGAAGGGACGCACTTACGAGCTGAAGGACATATACTTGAATTGCGGTGTGCCGATGACAGGCACGGCACATTTGCCGTCGTCGATAAGCTTAGTTCACGACCCGATCCATATCGCGGTACTCACTTCGCAGGTCGCAGCTATGTCCTGTACAGTCCCGACAACGATCCTGAACAGACCTGCGAAAGGGATAGACAATGCTCATGAGCCGGTTGTTTCTTACATACGCAAACGGCTTTCCCCTGAAGCAGAGGTCACTGGTGTCGATGCTCAGCATTCCGATGAAATGGCTAATACTAAGTGGCCTGTCACCAATCATATCACACCTCCTGATTGGATTCAACTTGTGCATAAAGCCATGCGCGAGTCAGGTGTCCAGATTCAATACCAGCTATGGCATACATTGTTGTTATATAACTGTACTCAGCTGTATGTCTGCTCCGACGACTCAAATAAAGCTTCTGAAATCGTGGCTGCTGGGGTGTAATATGCTGTAGCCCTTCATCAAGAAGACCAAAATGGAATCAGCTTAGGCTTATGCAGGAGAGCTCGCATGGCATCTTTAGCGGCAGACACGACGTCTCCTTCATGATTAAACAACATCACAACGGCTTCAATCCCGATAACGAGAAAAAGGAGATCCTCGCGGACGTTGTGAAGGGCATGGTAGATTCTTCGACAGACCCAGATGAGGGTTACTTCGGAGGCAACCAGGGCTCTTGAAAAAAAAAAAGAAAAAAAAAAAAAAATGGGACATGGAACATTCAGAGCGACAGCAGATCTCAACAAATTATACCAAATGATTCCTCAACTCGTCGAGACTGATGCCCTACTGCATTTGATCGATCAACTGTTGTCTCCCTTTGCGGCTCTCAGACTATTCATGTGATTTTCTTCTAGCGCGTTCTCTGGTTTTGTATTTACGGCTATTCTGTACATCTAATGATACTAGACCAAAACAATTTTATGGCCCATTTCTAGAGATAAGAGAAATAGTCGTCACTGAAATCGTCGTCCTCAGCAGGCAATCCTGTCTCGTCGCCATCTTTCATTGGTGCATCCCTTGATTTAGAACCCGGGAAGTAGAGAATCTCGAGACAGTATGTGGGATACATAATCAGCTGTCAAAGGAATATGAAGACTAGGGCTAGACATGACATTTCTTTTACAGCTGCTCTAGTCCTAATTTAACCAATCACAGCACGGGCTGCATCGGAGGATGTGTGATGGGCTATTCGGGCTCGTTTAGGGCTAACCATGACATGTAGGACTATCGATGCCTGGCAGGCAGCGACCATTCTGTGTTGACTCGTCTGCTGTTGCTTGGCCGCCTTAAATAGCCATCATGTCTTACATTCTTTTACGAAAAATTCTACCAGTATAGAGTCCTGTTCCTTCTCCGCGCGAAACGTGCACAATGACGGCCTGCGAGAGAATCGAGGAATGGTTGGTAGCTCGCAAAAAATACAAGGCACTGCGAAAACTCCTCAGATTTCAAAGGTACTTTTGGTCACGTACCAGTATTGACTTGCAAAAGAAGTGGGCCGACCGCCATTACAGAGAGAAGATGAAGGGGGTAGCAATCTGTGAAATTGAGATATACCTGAAGGAAGAAATCGCTACGTTAGAAAAGGAGAAAGAACTCAATCCTTTATCAGAGGAAAAGATCAGGAGACTGAAAGCGCACGAAGAGGAGCTTAACAGTCTCGATTTAGAATGGTGGTTGCATGTGCGGAATTCGAAAAGAATCGAGTATGATCAGCCAAAGGGACATTATGTGCGGCACTATCTCTATATTCTATCAGGCATACTTGAAGGGTATAAAGAAAAGGACTGTTGCGAACTCAGAGGAGGCTGCTGTAATTATAATTGTGGATGTTGCACATCTTCTAGGGTTTGCTCGAGAGGAACACTGAAAACACATTGCTCAGCAATCTACTGTGGATGCTGCATTCGTCGAAGAGGCTGCAGAAAACTTCCAGAGGGAAATTTATAACATACTTCCAAAGTGTTTACGTAAACACTTTGGAAGTATGTCAGATGGAGGATACTCGATGTTGAGCTAGCTTATAAAACAAAACAAACAAAGTCAGACATTCAAACCCCCAACAACATCCTCAATATCCAGTTCCTTCGCCAGACGCTTACGATTATAGACCTAATATTTAACTATTAGAACGAGATAACAAGGAAGGAAGTGGTATATGGTAGGAAAGCTTACTTCCCTTGATGATCCTGATGTATTCTCTTTTAAAAAAGGCATCTTAGCCGGCATATAGCATGCAGAATTGCTTTAGTAGATTGTAGTTAGTCTGATAGCATGGTCTAGCTATAAGAGAGGGATACTTTTATGCTAGCCTAGTTAAAGGAAACTATAGAGTGCTTACAAAGCTTTAGTGCTTAAAAGTGTAAAGTTGACAATCTAACTTTATTTACTAATTGTATAAGCAGAAAATAACTAGCTTTAAATAATATCTAGTCTAAGTAAGTATAGGAACTAAGTTTATATAAAAGTTTTATATTAATAGATAATTATATAAAAGCCTAAAGTTAAAGTTATAATTTTAAAGCATTTATATTAGAACTTTATTATATAAAGAAATATCTCTTAATCTTATAGACAAAGAGACTAGATATATAAAAGTGATTAACTATAATCTACTATTTATATTAATTAAGAAGTATTTAAGTTTTATATTTCTAAAATATATAATTATATTACCTAGTCTAATACTTAAGAAGTTGAATGTTGATTATTATATGAAATTAGCTTTAAAGATATCTATATTATCTCTTCTAAGATTATTCTTTTAATACCCTAGTATTCTAGCTAACCTTAAACTAAAATTAAGACTAATTTTAATAATTAGAAACTTATACTTAATAATTTATCTAATACCTTTATTTCTTATTAATCTAGTTAGGCTTATAATAACCTATTTTAATAAATATATTAAACTAATTAAATTTTTTTTTTAATTTATTAGTTATAAATGTTACTAGCTAGTTATTTTTAAGCAAGAGTAAAAGATAAATTAATTAGATAGTTTTTTTATAGTGATATATATGCAAAAGATCACTCTAAGTATACTGAATAGTATATTTAAGGATATACTTGTAGTGATGGCTGCTATAGATAAATAGGAGTTTATATAGATTGGCAGAAATAGGAGCTTAAGCAGGAAAAGCCAAGGAAAGTATGATAGAAAATAATCACAAATGTTGTTTAGAGCATGCATTGCTGTGCTAAGGTTCTGCATTCTATACAGATTAATGTTAATTGTGACGCCTGATAGATCCGGCGTTTGATTGCTAAGTACTCATCGTTATGAGTATACAACTATTAGAATGAGATAACAAGGAAGGAAGCGGTATATGGTAGGAAAGCTTACTTCCCTTAATGATCCTAATATATTCTCTTTCAAAAAAGATATCTTAGCTGGTGTGTAGTATATAGAATTACTTTAGTAGATTATGATTAGTCTAATAGCATAGTCTAGCTATAAAAAAGAGATATTTTTATATTAATCTAGTTAAAGGAAACTACAGAGTGCTTACAGAGTCTTAGTACCTAAAAGTATAAAGTTAATAATCTAATCTTATTTATTAATTGTATGAGCAGAAGGTAATTAACCTTAAATAATATCTAGCCTGAGTAAATATAAAAACTAAGTTTATATAGAAATTTTATATTAATAAATAGTTATATAAAAGCTTAAAGCTAAAATTATAGTTTTAAGATATTTATACTAGAACTTTATTATATAAAGAAATATTTTTTAGTCTTATAAATAAAGAGACTAAATATATAAAAGTAGCTAGTTATAATCTATTATTTATATTAGTTAAGAAGTGTTTAAGTCTTATATCTTTAAGATATATAGTTGCATTATTTAGTCTAATATTTAAAGAGTTAAATATTAATTATTATATAAAATTAACTTTAGAGATATCTATATTATTTTTTCTAAGATTATCTTTTTAATATCCTAGTATTCTAGCTAATCTTAAACTAAAATTAGGATTAATTTTAATAATTAGAAACTTATGTTTAGCAATTTACTTAATATCTTTATTTTTTATTAATTTAGTCAGGCTTATAATAATCTGCCTTAATAGATATATTAAATTAATTAAATTTTTTTCTTGATTTGTTAGTTGTAAATATCACTGGCTAGTTACTTTTGAGTGAGAGTGAAAGATAAATCAATTAAATAACCTCTTTATAATAATATATGTGTAAAAGACTACTCTAAATATACTAAGTAGTATGCTTAAGGATGTACTTATAGTGATGGCTGTTATGGATAAATAGGAGTTTGTATAGACTAATAGGAATAGGAGTTTAAACAGGAAAAGTTAAGAAAAGTATAATAGGGAATAATTATAAGTGTTGTTTAGAGCATGCATTGCTGTGCTGAGGTTCTGTATTCCATATAGATCAATGCTAATTATGACGCCTGATAGATCTGGCGTTTGATTGCTAAGTACTCATCGTTATGAGTATACAAGCTAAGAAGACTGGAAGCCAGTATTTCACGACGTCGTATTTTCTCTCCTTGGGGCCATGACATCGTAAAGCCCAGACTTGGATCAAGCAGACTTGTTCAAAACTGCAGAAGGATCCGAAACATGACGCTAAGGCTGGGAATTGACATCTCAGACTTTGAGTTTTCTGAAGAGTGAAATCACAACAATGGCGATTATATGGATGGAGTTCAATTGCGGAATTTTCACATCAACCACGCGACACTCGTCCAAGTCCCGCTGGCCACAAATGCAAGAGGCATGCCCTTAAATTTCGTTTGATTTTCTCGTGGATCGTCAATTCCGAGCAATTTCTTGTGGGGTCCACGCGAGGTGTCTGGCAATAAACGACAACTCAACGATCTCAATCTTGATTAAGTGGAAGACTTGTGTTAACCGCGTCAAAAATACATTTGCCTCCAGTAGCCCATTAAAGGAAGAACGGAAACAATGCTGGTGCCGTTGGTATTACGTGTTTGTTGAAATATTCTTGCCCATTCAGCGACATTTCGACCAAGAGACAGGGAGAGCGTCTATGTTTCAAGGCAAGTCCAAACTGTCGGCTCTTTCATAGTTTTCTGTTCTTTGTAGGCTTCCTCGTAGGCTTTCACCTGTCTGTCGAAGTCTGTATCGAGAATTGAGGCGTGAAGGAGAGGCTCCACAGAAGCTGGTTCTTTCAAGCCGCCGTTTGCACATGGGCTGGCGATCTTGAGTTGTGTTTAGGACAGCCTTGTTTTGAATAGAAGGATAATGAAGTTGTTCTCCGGTACCATCAAACTGACTTTCGTAGCAGCCATACTTGCAATAGAGCGCTTTCCACCGACAACGGACCTCGAAGTGCCGTATATATGCGGAGACAGTGTTCACAATTCATCCTATCGATGCTTCACAACGGCTACATGAGCAATCTGTGTCCATAGCCGCTTACCAATGTTGCCCAGGAGGCGACCAGATACCATGAAGTTGGATCGGAAGGAATCACAACGGCGTCCAAACCATGCTTCACAACGGCGACATGCTGTTCAGGTGAAAGATCATAGAGTCACTTTCAGGACGTTCTGTCAGTTTATATCCACCACCATTTTTCTACGTTCCCCGGAGCCGATTCAACGTCATAGTGTCAGTAGAATTGGAAGGAATCACAACGGCGTCTAAACCATGCTTCACAACGGCAACATGGTCTCCCGGTGAGAGATCATAGCGTCACTCTCAGAACGTATGTCGATCAACAATGCTCGCAAAAGCCGATTCGACGTCATAAAGTCAGTCAAAACGGAAGGAATCACAAAGGCATCCTAACCAAGCATCCAGAGGCAGCCTGGCCTTCTGCTGAGAGATCATAGTGTCACTCTCTAGAACATCTTTACCACCTTGCTCGAAGAAGCCGATACGACGTCATAGCGTCAGTCGAATCGGAAGGAGTCACAACGGCGTCCTAACCTGGTATCACAATGGCAACCAGGTCTTCTATTCCATGTGTTGCAGTGGGACATCCACCAACGCCGAGTTAACGTCATAACGTCAGTCAAAACGGAAGGAGTCACAACGGCGTCCTGACTAGGAGTCACAATGGCGTCCTAGCCTTCTAACTTATGAGTGTCGTTCAACCATGAAGTATGAGTAGCTAACTGATTCACCGTCATAACGTCAGTTGAAACAGGAGGAGTCGTAACGGCGTCCTCTCTACGCCCCATATGGATCGGGACGTAGACAGCTATTATTGTCTCGTTCATTCTCTGGTAACAAACCAGACCGCTGCAGTTGGGTACTGCTCGTGGGATTGTCGCCCGAGGGATTGGCCGGAGCCGCACCCCCGGGGTTGGACGAGGCAGCAAACTCCAAACGGACATTGGGGGAAGCGGAACTGGTTGCGTTTGGCTGTCCAGAGACCTGAGTGCTGAACAACGGCGGAACTTGGGCATAATTGAGGGGGACTGCAGGAGCGCTATATTGAAAATCGTCAGTTTTAACATATACTACCATATGGATGTCTCAGAAGATCCGCCCATACTGGCTCGTTGTACCTCGACCAACGCCATTGCATATTCATGCCTCTGACGTCTGGATGCAACCGTTAGCTTCTGTTGGCATGTATATAGGTTTGCATGAGTTCACTCACGGTCGCTCGATTATATGTCTGTACGAGAGCCAGAAGAGGGGCCCCTGGGCGGTCTATCACGGTGGCTTTCATCTGGCACATGCAGTAGGAGGGAACCCCTGATAAACTGTTGGGACAAAGATTTTGGACTCTGATGTGCCATTTCGGGAGTCCTACAGTCGTCTATCACGATATTAGTTAGCCTGACTGGAAGTCACAATAAGAGGACAATTATATGCCTAGGTACCTCGTATGCATATGATATGTCGTAGTATTCGATTAAATAGGTAGGGCGATTAACATCTCGTCCCCGTTCATGCGATAGTATATCTATCGCAAGTTTGAATAGCAGACAAGACATCCCCTCCTCCACCTTTTCTCCACGTTCATGTGCGAATAGCTCTAGCTCTGCGTTCTATCTATCTCTCGGCCACGGCTCTGAAACTAAAATTGCGTCTCTCCATTTATTGGAGTACCTCTGCAAATCCTAATTACTGTGCTGAGCAGCGTTGATAGCTGCCACACTCCCCATCGCTCTTTGATGCTGCACAGGTTTAGCTCCATTTATCTCTTGCTTTGCCTCCCGAGCATCTCCCCAGCCTCCTCCTCCTCCAGGGGTCATGATGATCACTCGGTCTCCTGGGTTCGCACGGATAGTGTTCTTGGGCCCCAGGTTGATGGTCCGGTCATCTTTCACGAACAAATTCCTACCCATAGCTCCGTCTTCGCCGCCCTGTAAACCATAAGGAGCATGTGAACGACGATCTGAGAGGATAGAGACAGATAGAGGCTTGCGGGACTCTATTTCTCGCACACATCCTTCACCACCTTTGTACTGGCCTGCGCCGCCAGAGCCATTGCGCAAGCCAACTGAGCGCACCATGCAGGGATAACGACGCTCAAAAACTTCACAGTCGGTGATACGCGTGTTCGTCATGTGGACGTGTACGCCATCTGTGCCATGCCAGCCAGGACCAGCTCCGGCTCCGCCCGCAATGGTTTCGTAGTATCCGTATCCCGGGGTGTAAGAGCCATCTGGATTTAGACGACTGCTTGTGCCGAAAGTGAGATTGTTCAGACACCCTTGACTAGCGGCACACGCATCGAAACAGCGTAAAATGACGTCCGTGACACGCTGCGACGTGACACAATTACCTCCAACAATTGCAGCGTCGGCGCTGGGGGACAAGATGGTGCGCGGTGGCATGATAACATTGATAGGGTTTAGGCATCCTTGATTCAGTGGGATATCCTCCTTGACGAGGCATCGCAGTACATAGATGATGGCGGAGTATGTGACTGATGTCGGGGCATTAGTACTGCCGTATACTTCAGGTCCTGTGCCGGTGAAATCAAAGACAGCGGTGCCCTCCTTTCCATTAATGTCAATGGATAGACAAATTGGACTTCCGTCGTCCATATAGTCAACTGCCTTGAGCGTTTGTCCTCCGAATTTTTGATGAGTTTCCTTGAGCAGTCGTCTAACAGCAATCTCGGCATTTTCTTGTATAGCTTTCATATAGAACTGGGGATTGTCAGCATACGGCATTTTAATATTTGGAATTTCAAGTTTTACCAAAACAGTCTCAAGTCCATACTCCTGCAGCAGCTGGCCGATTAATTGGATCACCCTTCTGGTTGGCACCAGTCTGTGCTCGTAAGTCTGCCATGTTATCGGACAGGTTACGTGCTCCACTACATCCAGGGTACTGTGCAGGGCGGATGAGTAGGTGCTCTCGCACAGCTTCCTCATCAAAGACACCATCACGCACAAGATGTATAGATTCAATGGCAGCACCTTCTTGCCATAGCTCTGTGGAGTTTGGAGGTAGCGACCCAGCGGAAATGCCACCAATATCTGCATGATGACCTCGCGACGCAACATAGAAAACTATCTTTCCGTCATGGAATACCGGCGTGATGACGGTGAGATCTGGGAGATGGGTTCCTCCGCAGACTATGACGATTAGCACCGATACTCAAATTCAGATACGGAAAAAGTTCATGACAAGTCAACTCACTCGGATGATTAGAGACCAGCACATCGCCCTCCTTTAGCTTATCTTTCCAATAATCGTGTTGCCACAGTACTGCATACTGCATACTTCCCAGATGCACGGGGACATGCGGAGCTGTGCCACATTAGCGACAATATCATACCACTTGTATAAGATCACTCACCATTGGCAACTAATTGGCCGTCACCAGAGAAAATAGCGCACGAGAAGTCCAAACGCTCCTTGATGTTTGTGCTCACACTCGTTTTCTGCAGAGTACGGCCCATTTGTTCAGCAATACCCATGAAACGATGGCCAAATACAGAAAGCTGCACAGGGTCAACGGTGCGAACCACAGGATCTGAAGCACTGGCTGAACTCTCGGGTATAATGTCAATAACTATATGACTCTTGAGTACCGTTGCTTTTGCTCCTGGGGTCACTAGAATAGTCTGCGTCTTGTCGATTATTAACGCCGGGCCAACCAACCGATTGCCCACTGGAAGGGTTTCAAGCCGGTAGACTGGCGTCGATTGCCAGCCATGTTGCTCAAAGTAGACCTTTTTCGTCATGAACTTGGCTTCTGCGGCCGGCCCCTGAATGGAACTGAGAGCCTCTAGTTGCTTTGATGGTGGTAAACTTCTCTCGCCAGTCCCTCGTTTACGACCAACGGCACGTAAACGAACGTCGCCGATGCAGACATCACGAGGCAAGCTAAAGCCAAACTCCTGGCGATGTCTCTCAATGAAACATTCACCAAACGCCCACTGATCACCTGCAGTAGGCTGTGGGATCATAATCAAGGTATCGGAACCATGATAGTGCATGTGTAAGAAGAGCTCAACATATATCTCATCGCCGGTTGCCTCATCAATTCCTTGATCACGCAGCTGACCAAACGCTTTCGTTCGTAGCTGCTCGACCATTTCCTGAATTTGGGGTACCGTTTCTGGACCAAAGATAAGATACATGCCAACGGCATTTGTACGTCGGCAACAATATCTGCGAGCGCCATACCATAAGCCGATAATATGGAAGTGTATCGGTGTAGTAGTACACGACTGATGCCCAGAGCTGCGGCAATAGAGCAAGCGTGCTGTCCCCCAGCACCTCCAAATACCACCAGTTCGTGCTGACTGGTTTCAAACCCGCGAGCCTCAGTCAATGTGCGTATAGGTCTGCACATACTTTCATTCGCAACACGTAAGAAACCCAAGGCAACTTCCTCTGGAGAAAGGGTGCGTTGTGTATCACGCTCAATTTCCTTTGCCAGTTCAACAAGAACTTCACGAGCAGCTGCTTCATCCAGGGGCTCGTTTTCGTCTGGACCAAAGATACGTGGGAAACACTCAGGGACCAACCGGCCCAGCACCAGATTGGCATCGGTTACTGTTGCCGGTCCACCTTTGCGATAGCACGCCGGTCCAGGATGAGCGCCTGCACTGTCTGGTCCAACCTTGAACAACCCATGAGACCAGAAAAGCCGAGATCCTCCACCTGCCGCAACGGTGTTGATGTCAAGCTGAGGAGTCTGCAGTGCAATCCCCGCTGTGACACTTTCGAAAACATGCTCATACATACCAGCATAGCGAGATACATCTGCATTAAATAGGTGACCTTGCCAATGTTTTATAGATCAGGGTGGAATAAATACCTGTTGAAGTGCCTCCCATATCAAACCCAATGAGCGGTTTCTCGTCATAACATGTTTGAGCATAACCGACAACTCCACCTGCTGGACCGGACAGAATGGCTCGCAATCCGGAAAAACGCCGGAAGTCGACAAGACCGCCATCACTCTGCATCATGTCACAACGTGGCGACTCTGCAGCCTCTAATTGACCGACGAATCCCGGACGAAAACCATCGGTATATTGACGAGTGAGTGGTGTAAGGTATGCGTCGGCGGTAGCTGACTGTCCTCGAGGAACCATCTTGATCTGCGAATTCAAAAGACGCTGTCAGTAAAAGCCACCACAGCTAAACAGCGATCAAGACATACCATGGGTTGTAAGACAGCGCTCACTGATACACTGATTCCCAATTCCTCCGCTACTGCAGCAACGGCAAGCTCGTGACCTGGGTATGTGTAGCTGTGCATGAAACAGATACTAACGCTGCGAATGCCTTGGTCACGAAGACCCTGCAGTTGCTGGCGCACTAAATCAAGATCAGGTCGACGCAAGACGCGCACAACCTTTTTCGAAACACCAAGAACTAGGTCTGGATCACCTTTGATCTCTTCATCAGTCGGTCGTCTTTGGTCTGGGTCTTCAGTAAACGCCTCGAGCGTGACTCGTTCGTCGACTTCGACAACAGTCTCGTATAGAACAGCGGGCACAGTAACGCTGAGATCGAATATATCCGGACGTGCTTGATTTCCAATAACCAGCAGGTCCTTGAAGCCCTTTGTTATTAGAAAGGCACATCGCTCGCCTTTGCGCTCTAATAAGGCGTTCGTTGCCACTGTTGTGCCCATTCGAATGCTCTCTACATCCCGGAGATCGAGCGGTTGGCCTCGTGGAATGGATGAATGAGATGCAACTTCCAGAACACGCCGGATACCTTCTGTCGGGGCATCGTTATAGTTCTGAGGATCAACAGAGAGCAATTTCAGTATAAGGTCATCTCGATTGGGGATCGAGGCGTGGACATCTGTGAAGGTGCCTCCCCGGTCGATGGCGATGCGAATTCCCGGCATTTTGAAACGAATGTCTTGCACGAAATTTTTTCAAAGGAATACTCGAGTCAACACTCACTCTTCAACTAGAATATCTTTATATCACAGTTCCAAATGCCAAATCCAGTGCTTCCTACTACTATTATCAGCCATCGGCTGCATTCATGCCGCGGCCTGCATGCAGCCGGCGGCTTTATAGAGTAGAACCAACATTGGAACTCTAGAAATCATGGTTCGGAGAAAAAGTGTACATCTATTCGTTTATTGCTTGTGTTACAAGTGTAATACCCTCTTTGCATTCCCTCCCATGACCATTGCATACTCCTCGTCACCGAGCGCCTCTCGTACCGCATCTCGGTTCCAAGTCATCGCCGGCCAGAGGGCTGTCTTCTTAACCGGTGCAAAGAATGGATGGTCAGTGCCAAACATTACACGGTCAACACCACTTGCTTCTACCGCAGCTTTTAGTCCAATCTTGTCGAATATAACTTCCATCGAGGTAGATATTCTTGCGGAGGACTTCCCATAGTGACAACCGCGGTTCATTACTCAAAGCTATGTCCCTGTCATGCTCCATACATGCCTCGATGCGTCCGGCAAGAAAAGGCAATGTCCCGCCGCTATGAGAAAGTATTAGTCGCAATTTCGGTATTTTGTCAAATACTCTGGCTAGGAACATGCGGGTAATAGCGATGGTGGTCTCGGCCGTAAAGCCGATTGATAGCGGCATTATTTGACTGTTTCCGTGCTTTCCACCCCATACTGAGGCCGGAAGTCCGTAGTTTGGGTGTATAAAAACAGGCAGATCAGCCTCAGCTAGTGCACGCCAAACGGGCAACAATCGCGGATCGTCAAGCCCGTCTCCCAGTCCGTTGGTGCCAATGACAACTCCTCGGGCCTGTGGGAGCATGGTGATGTTTTGGACTTGGACCAAAATCGTTGACTCGTCCAACCGAGATAATGGTAGCATGGCAAAGAAGTATAGTCTCTGTTTATACTTTTCACATAGTGTATTCATGGCATTGTTCATAGAAACAGCAGTTTCTCCCGCCATCGAAGGCTCAAGGAAATCGAGCCATGGATTTCCCATCGACAAAACTGAGATGTCGATGTCATGAGTGTCCATAAAGGCAATCTTTGCCGTAACTGAATAGTAGTGGTCCGTGAGCGGTCGACCAGGCAGACTGCCCGATGCTGGCGAGTAGGGGCGATTACATAGACAGGGAAAATCAATATCCGGAACATATTTGATGTACGGGATCTCACTGCGTGCCTTCAAAAATTTCGATGTACTCTGGTGGGTACAGATGACTGTGTATATCAACAACAGGCATGGTGGAATTGCGGGTCTGAAAATTTTCCAGGCTCGGTTTTGACTGTCGGCAAAGAAGGCATATTTTCCTTTGTCAATATATAATGAATAGTCCGGGGCCTGCAGTATCGTCGGCTGCATACATGCGAGCCGAGGCCAGGGGAACCGCAGCTTTGAGAAAAATATAAAGAGATTTTTTGCAATGCTCCATAGCTATGCAGTGCTACAAACCTTGGAGCCTATACAACCATGTCGAAGTCTCTCGATATTGTCATCGTCGGTGCCGGCATTGGCGGCTTGACGTTGGCTATAGGCCTGGAACACCGGAACATCCCCTATACTCTCTATGAAGCTGCCACACAGTTCAGCGCTATCGGTGCCGGTGTTGGCCTTGGCCCCAACGCTCTACGTGCCATGGCTATCATGGACCCAGTGCTGCGTGAGATGTATAACGGAATATCCTCCGGAAATCTGACGCCAAATAAGGAACACGTTGCCATGGATGTGATGTACGCTGAGGAAGGACTAGGTGAAAAACATGGCTGGCAGCCTGCTCCATTCGGCGCCGAGTGTTACGAGCGTACCAGTGCCCACCGCAAGGATTTGCTGGATATCATGACCAGCCGCATTAACCGAGAACGAGTACGATTCGGCAAGCGCGTAGACTCCGTTCGTCAGGATGAGAATGGAGTGACTATTACTTTTAAGGATGGTGAGACTGTGCAGGCCGACCTTCTCATCGGTGCAGACGGTATCAGGGGACCAACACGCCAGGCTGTGCTGGGAGAGCAGTATCCTGACAAAGTCTCTGCGACGTACAGTGGTAAATACGTCTACCGGTCGATTGCACCCATGAAAGAGGCGCTGGATATCCTCGGCCAACATGCAGGTGATGCACGTACATTCCTGGGACCAGGAGTCAATTTCATCACATATCCCATCTCGAGGGGCACGGAATACAACATGGTCGCTATCAAAGTAACTGACGAGCCTTGGTCCCTCCCACAATGGACACAGGAAGTAACTCGTGAAGAGATGGCTGCTGACTTTGAGGGAGTTGATCGACGGATTGTGAAGTTGCTAGATGTAAGTAATTCTAACTATAAGTAGAGGGATTAAACCACCACAGAGCATCACTAACACATCATCACAGTGGGCACAACCTCTACGATGGGCACTATGGCACCACTACGACACGCCTACCTACTACAACGACCGTATCTGCCTCCTTGGTGACTCTGCCCACGCTACTACTCCACATCAGGCTTCAGGAGCTGGCCAATGTATTGAGGATGCGCTTGTGATGTCTCACTTGTTAGGGCTAATCCAGCACCGCAAGCACGTGCCATATGCTTTCAAGGTGTACGACGCTTTACGGCGCCCACGCGCACAAAAGGTCGTACAAACGAGCCAAGAACTTGGTAAAATATACACTTTAACGTCTCCAGAGCTAACCGACATGGATTCCATTGTTGAAAATCTTAATCACCGTTTCCTGTGGATCTGGGAGCATGATATTGAAGGCGATTTGAAGACAGCTACTGAACAGTTCAAGGCTCTGGTGGAGGAAGCAAGGTTATAATTCTAGCCACAAACAGCTCACATGCTCCTGTGAATCCAAGACTATTTTTATTTATTCCTATGTGGATAGACCTAGGTAGATACAGGCAACTATATTACAAGAGTGCTCCCACAGCAGTCTCAAAAGAACTACTCAACAACATCGTCCCTATTGAATCCCATGATAGTGCATTCTCTTCATCTAGCAGTTCCAGTAATGAGTCTTCTCCAGCCTGTGCCGACGATGTTGTTGTATTGGCCGCAAACTCGGTCACCATGGTCTGCAGTTAACATATTATACTCACCCACAGCTGCATAGTGCCCGGCATCATTGGATTTGAAGCCCCGTGGCGCTCGGCCATGGCAGTACACTTGTCCAAGAGCACCAGTGGCTCGCTAAACATCTGTTGATCGCACAGGATACTCAACGTCACAACCAGAGTTGAGGAGTATAGATAGTACACATCCCACCATGTCCCGGCATTGAATTCACTGATCTCATCAAGCTTTAGCAGCAGCTCACACGCTCTTCGACCTGAGCAGCTACACACTTTGGCCATACGTGCTATCTCCTCAGTGGCACTCTCTTCAGGCCTTAGTGTTGCCTGGTAGTACAGTAGCAGCGCATATCTTGTCAAAAGCGTTACTGCATAGTGGTACTGAATATGAAGGAGTAGTGTCGGTCGCCGAAAAGCATCCGGCAAAGTAACTGCCTCGGGCAGAGCAAGGTGTACCGGCAGCGAATTGTGCCATCGACTTAAATCTCGTAGAAGACTTGCTGTAGGAGATAATGGGCCGATATACGTCTCGGCACTGGTGGTGATTGTGGGAAGATCTCGACATACGAGGCCTAGTAGCTTTACTAGTTGTGTCCAGCATAAGATATAGTCCGGTGGGCCGAAAAACCCACTGCTACCCAAGATGCGCTCTCGCGGAGCAGCGGTTGAGCACTTTGTAGCATCAATAGCACTAGGACGGTCATGCGAAGAGACCTGCATCTGTTCAAAGCCATACAAAGTCCACCACAGCACTTTGCGAAGTTCACGAGCCAAACGGGGGCCAGCAGGTTCAATCTCATCACGATGTAGCCCAATGGCAATGGCAATACGTCCTGCGGCCCCTGTTATTGTCCAGCATGCGTCACGATGGTTGGTGTTGTGAAGATGGAGCGCTGCTAGCAGCAATGTCTGCACAGAGTTTACGCTCGACGTAAATAATACTCCAGGTAGGAGGGTTTCAACATGTGACCACCACCGCTGTTCGTCGGCCAACATGGAGCTGTGATTGTTGTTGGCAAAACTGCCCTTTTGAGCCCTGACTCCAAGAATGAGCACACATAAGAGACTACAAAGCCAGGCACGGTCCACTGAGTCTGGTGCGACACGCCATTTATCAAAGGTCTCAAGAAATGCTGCTTCATGCAGGACTGGGAAATCACTGTTTACGCGGTCAAAGTAGACACGCACAAGCTCATCCAGAGTCTGTGAGTATTGAGTCAGTAGCTCTGATTCACCGGGAATGACATATGGGATTGCCACCAAAAAGAACCATCTGACCATACCGGCCTTGCGACTCGCGGCCCAGCAATGTTCGCAGTCTCATCTGGAAGACATATGAGCTGGCCGGGCCGATATATTGGCCCTGGCCCTGTCGATCATGTACTAGGGTTTTACTCTCCTTGGGTAACGGATCAATGCTATCAGGCTGCTGGATTGGCCCAGCACTCCCTTTGTCTTCCGGAAGTGGAATGCCAAGTGAGCGGCCAACGGCTCGCAGGGCGTTGAGGTCTCCAACATCGGTCTCAGGGATCAAGCCTCTGACTAGACCCTCGAGCAGATTCACACGGGAGCGTACATGATCGACGCTGCCGTATAGACGCTGTCTTGCGCGGTTTGGTGATGATGCATTGGTAATCGTGCTGCTGGCAGTGCTGGCAGCGTGGCTGGCCTGGAATACGATGACACTTGTGCTTTCGCGATTTGCAGCGGTCACAGCTATGTTCTGTGCGCTTGCGGTCCTCGATTGGGCCCATATTGCGGCGTAGGTGAGTTCAGTGTAAGTATTGATATCTATGACTCGGCGAGGGCTGGTTATCTCAACCCAGGCACAATAATTGTGTGCCTGAGGCAACAAGGCATCAAAAAGGGCTGTCGGCTGCGTGCATGCGACGGGGGCGACTTGGCAGCCAATCACAGGACGCGCTTTGCTATCGCGTGGCTCCGCTAGCCCTAAGAGCCCCCAACTGGGGAAGATAAGGAGCTTCAATAGTAACAGCTCGGAAATGGCTTCATCCGTGCTTCACCTGTCTGCCCGGCGCTATATATATATATGAATGCATTCCTCTCTCTGTCTCTGTGGGCATGACCGAGAAAGCCACATACGGTATTCGCAGTCGGCGTAAGTGTACAACATGAGCCCATCCTCGACTACTACATAAAACCTATTAACCTAACTTCTAGTATACCCAACGCAATGGAAAAATCACCGAAAGACATGGATAGTGAGGTCGTTGACGACAAGGAGCTTGGTGTCACGGTTAAGATGACCGGCGACGGCATCCCGTTAGTACCGCAGCCCAGTGACGACCCAACCGATGCTCTGGTAAGGATTGAAGCTGAATAACATGTTCAAACAAGATGCAAACTGACAACATCAGAACTGGTCGAGCTTGACAAAACATACTGCTCTCGTTGTACTCGCTTTTGAGTCATTCCTAATAAAATTCAGCGCCGTTGTCGTCGTACGTTTGAACCTCATGCTGGTTCTCTTCCATTCTTCTCACAACAACCTTGGCAACAGGCCCCTTCTGCTCTCTTATTTGCGGAACAGTTTGATGTTTCTAAATCGACGGCAACCTACCTCGGATCAGCACCCACCATTCTTAACGCTATCACTTCTTTTATCTGGATTCCGCTCAGTCATCGCATGGGTCGTCGTCCCATCTTGTTGCTCGGGAACCTGGTTGCTCTCATAGCTGCCATAGGGGTTGCCAATTCACAGACTTTTGCCCAGGCCCTGGGCTGTCGGATGGTGCAGACATTTTTTGGTTCTGTTGGTCTGTCCATTGGCCCGGCGGCGATTTCTGATATGTTCTTCCTGCACGAAAAAGGTAAACGCATGGGTGTCAACAGTATTTTACTCGTCATTGGACCTTACGTTGGTAAGATATATATCCTAAGACTGCTATTATTGCATCAACATCATCATAATCTCGATTTATTAACGATCTTTTAGGCGGGGTTGTCGGCGGTGCCATTGCCGGAAGCAGTCTCGGCTGGCGCTGGTCGGTATATTTGACGGCTATTTTGTTTGGCGCAGAATTTATCGCTCAGTTTCTATTTGGTAATTTTAACCATCCACCTTTCTTTGCTTATTTTTTTATACCTTTGGCACTGGTTGTCATCTTGACTCGTATACTAACTGAAGCACATGTAGTCCCTGAGACGATCTACGAACGAGACCAGCCAACTCCCTATATCAAGTTACATGGTCCACTCTCTGTGATGCGCTTCCGCATTCCCACTATCACTGAGAGCTGGCGAGAAACATTTCTTCATCCCTTCGTCATGTTCGCCTATCTATCAGTCTTGTTGCCAGCCTTCTGGTTCTCTGTTGCGGCGATGACCGAAGTAGGAAACACTGCTGGCTTTGTTCTGAACTTTGGAGCCGACAGTCAATATCACTTTACTACCACTCAAGTAGGCCTATGCTACTTATCAGGTATTATTGGCGCTGGGTTGGGAGAGATTTGTGGCGGACCACTCTGTGATCTTATGGCTAGATCATCTATCAAGCAAAATAAGGAGTGGAGGCCAGAACGGCTCTTGCATCTGTCTTGGTTGGGACTTTTGACTACCGTGGTAAGATCTTCCTTCCTGTCTTCCTTATTGCCTAAAATTTATTCTAATGTGATTAGGCTGGTATTCTTTTATACGGCTTCGAGCTCGAATACGGTCACAGTTGGGTTTCCGCTCTCACAGGCATTGCTCTACTCACTTTCGGTCAAGAAGTCCTCGTCACCGTGTTGCTGACTTACATGACCGATTGCTACCGGGCACAGGCCTCTGAGGTCGCTATTGTCTTCCAATTCTTCTTTGCCGTCCAGTGTTACCATGTACCTTTTTATCTACCGCAGTGGATTGCAGAGCCCGCGGGTGTCAAAGTTCCGTACCTAGTTTTTGCCGTTTTACCTATTGTTCTATTCCCGCCTTGTATAGGCAGTTTGATGTGGAAAGGGAGGAAGATTCGTAGCAAGGGTGCTCTGCCTAGGAAGCGGTCGTCCTTAGCCACTACGTAGTACCTAGGTAATATACCATCGGTTCATCGAGAGCTGATTCGAGGACAAAGGACAAAAGCGCACATGATTCTATTCTTGAAGATGGAAATAGTATAATAAAATTCTACGGACTTGAATTATCATATACAATAGGGTAGTTACTTTACTTTGAACTGTTTCTATAACCAAGAGGTAGTAACGCGGACATCAATAGGAGACAGAAGTATGTAACCAAGTAGTCTGTAAAATCCCTCAAAAACATGTCACACTAGGTCGAATACTTTCGATGGAAAGTTGCACAAATCAACATCTGGTCACAGGAAGGTAAATGGGCATGTTATCGTTTTGTTGAGAATCTAGACCGTTGAATTCCTCACCCTCCACATCAATCGATTGATGGACTTGCTAGCAGAAATCCCAAATCCACAAAATATCTCTTCTAAGATCGACAATGATTACGATATTGGTTCACAAGCATCGAGGATTGGATCTCAAGAACGGTCTGGATATCGGAGGGCCCCATCCTCACAAAGTCGGAGCCTACAACCGGAGCTCCGTAGCATGATCCAGACATTACAGCAACAATCAGAGGAACAGAAGGCACGTGAAGAAAAGCTCCTCGCTAGATGGAAGAGCAAAAGGTACGAGAAGAGAAGTTACTAAATCAGCTTTTCACGCTTCTTGAACATAAATAGATATAAGTAGAAATCTATAACCGCAAGCTTATCAATTTATTACCACAAGTATTAAGTAGCCCAAGCATTTCATTCCAAGGCGACACGCTAGAGAAACTAGACTTTTTCAGTCTAAATAACCAAGCTCAGTCACGTAAAGGAGATATCTCAAATGACCTGAGGTAAAAGTAGCGAGGTAATACGGCACTCTCCGACAATGATCTGATTAGAGGACAAGACGTGGACACTGGATATAGGTTTAGGTCCTACCTACTCATACTACAAGATTTCCCTAACCTGCCCTGATTATTGCTGACAGTAATCTTGGAAAGAGCGAGAGTATTCGTGTTATATCTTAAAATCGAAGCAGAATATTTTTTTAGCTATCCTCCTCATTTTCTAACTTCACCATACGCAAGCTCTCTGTCCAAAGCTTCTTCTGTCTCTCTTCATCAAATGCCCATGACGCATAACCAGGGCCCCAGGGACCATCGTTCGGATTGTACAGACCAGCAACTTGGCAGTTATCCAAGTACTTTCCGCCTTGACCCTCCAGTTCCTTCGCCACAGCTTCCCACACGGTCGTAGCGGCCCCTTGTTCAGGACTTTTCCAGTAGTTCGTTAATGCTTCATCGGTTCCCCAAGCAGCCTTCTGTTCATCCGTAACGTGACGGGATATATCGGTCTGAATACCACCCGGGTGCAAACTAAAAGCATGGAGGCCTTGAGAGTCATAACGTTTCTCAATTTCATTAGCTGTCCAGATACCAGCTGTTTTGCTCTGGCCGTATGCCTTCCAGGGATCGTATCCGTTCTCGAGGCTGATGTTGTTGAAGTTGACGCTCGAATACCGATGGGCGGCCGAGGATAGGATCACAACACGAGAGTTGAAATTGGGGGTCGATGAAGCTAGCAGGACAGGCTTGAGTAGGTGAAATAGGAGGAAATGAGCCAGGTGGTTAGTTCCAAACTGTACTTCGAAGCCATCTTCCGTTCGGCCCTCTGGGCACGCCATCACTCCAGCATTCTCAATCAAGATGTTCAGGGTCTTGCTTTTAGACTTGAACTCTTCCGCACAGATGCGAATAGACTCTAGGGAGTTCAGGTCAAGGTGCAACAGGTGAACCCGAGAACTAGTGACCATGTCGCCCAAACTGATCTTCGCTTTTTTGATATCACGGACCGTCAGATAAAGAGTAGCGCCAGTAACATAGAGTGCACGTGCCGTCTCGGCACCTATGCCAGAGGAGCAGCCGGTTATCAGAATAACCTTGTCAGACAACTTTCCTTCAAGGTTTTCGTCCTTGATGATTTGTAGTGCGGTTGGACGGGCGTCACCTGGACCTTTGGTTGACAGGTGAGCTGCAGCGTATCCGGAAGTCATGATTGCGGTAAATGAAAAAGCGTTTAATAGCGAATAGCGAATAGGTAATAGTAAAAAACAAAACAGATGGAAGTAAACAGACCTTTACCAATATCAGGCGAAAGCATCCCATTATTTAAATGTCCAGTCTTGCGACGTCGTCTTCATTTCCAGACCTGTATGACGTGTGACTATTTCTATCTCCGGGTAAGCGGACAAAGCACGGTAGGCATTTTTCCAATTTTACGGCACTATCAAGGCATTCAACGGTCGTCACTGGGATTGACCACTTTTTGCGAGCATTTTGTGCTGGTCGATTGATATTCTGTGGGTCTTGACAGATGGACGGACGCTTCCCCTAGCTGCCTAGCGGTCAGCATTTAGTGCGATGATTGTCAGGCCCGGGCTGATAGTTATTTGATACCACTCCAACTTTCTCCATGCCCAGTAATTCACTCGGTGCTATCGCTGGGAGCACAAGGAAAAGAGCAAGGTTTGTCAGTGATTAGCATGGTTCTTGAGGTAAATCTAACTTGTTCGGCTAGACAAGCATGGTGACTACCGAAACCCTCCGCTTGAGAGGACTACCCCCAGCAGATGACTGGTACGGTGTGTCAGATGCCAGGGAGCGAAGGAAACGGCAGAATCGGGTGAACCAGAGAGCCCACCGTGAGTCTTCGGACCTGAAAGTATATCTTTGATTGGTGTCTAACCACGCCATTAATCAGGATCCAGGACGAGACCTAAGCAAGACTTGACAAATCCAAGTCAGGTGAGGGATTTGAAGCCGTCCTTAATAGATCATGAGCCAATCCATCGGGTCCAGAATGACCCATCGGAGCAAGTTGAAAGACGCGAGCTTTCTCAGGTTTCTCTTCAACCAGTATCCTGCTTATCTGGGGCTTCCAGCCCAAATACAAGTACGAATGTAGTACTGTCCAGATTTTTGACATCGCAGGTCGCGAGGGTTAGCGCACTATGGCTCAAGATCCCCGGTTCAGATAAAAGGGAAATCTTGCTGGAGCAAGTGGCTCGATTTTACCAAAGCTATCGGCTCAACTGTCCGACAGCAGACCATCTGCTTACCCTGACAAAGGTGAACGTCCATCGCGGCTTTGTCAGCAATATGGAGGCTCTGGGCATTACCTGGGAGTGGATGGAAGATGATTCTATCTCCCCGTTCTGCATGGCAGGGCCAGCTTGTGATACTGAAGGTCTTCCGGAGAAATTACGCCCGACTGAAGTACAACGCAGAAATGTTCACCACACGTGGATCGATCTGTTCCCGTGTCCGAGGATGAGGGATAATCTCATTCGAATTGGCAACGACTGGGATGACGAGGACCTATGTATTGATATTATGGGATTCTGGGATGGGGCCTCAGCAGGGCCCTTTGGGTTGATCATCTGGGGAGAGGCGACTGATATAAGAAATTGGGAAGTCACCGAGGGATTCGTGAAGAAATGGGGCTGGGTCATACAAGGGTGCATAGATTTGATGTGGTCAACAAACTCCTGGCGAGCGAAGCGAGGCATAGGGCCGTTGTTTCCAATGAGTTAACATATACAGCTAGGAGAGCAAAATCAAAATAAATCTGGGACCAAGGGCAAGAATTAGGAAGATTAGTTAACGAGAACTACATAACTAACAGAAAAATACCGAGTATGAACAGATGGGTTGGCACAAGTGATGACACGGAAGAACTATCACATACCCGAGGAAATTCAAGGGCGTATAGAGACATGGCAAAATCACCTGTGCATCATGACTGGCCATTCGTCGTACTATGGAACAGAGAGGAAGAGCATTAGTTGGTCATTCTGTTTATTTCAAGTCTAGTATTCCTTTTTTTTCTTTTTTCCAACACCTCGCTTACTGCACTTCCGCGCAGCAACCCTTTAGTTCAAACGCCGGGCTAGCTTATGACATGACTAATCAAGTAGAGAAGATTAGTTAGAGGCGGAAGGAAATCTTAGAAGCAAGGACGCGATGAAGCGAGTTGAAGATGTCTCGTTTGTGCTTTTGTTTGTGGTCATGTGCCATGATATTCCTCTATCCAACGAATGTAGTCGCATCCGTCCCAATAATAGTGTTGTTAGCATTTCGTGAGACTTTCGCGACCATATTGTCTATGCCGTACTTGAACTGAAGGGCAGGTTTACGTCATCCCTGAGTTGGTCGGAATTCACTTATATATTAATCGTGATCGATTATACCTCCCACAGTCTTGGTTCGGTGCTTACCGTCTATCCCCCAGTCTCTTAAGAGTACAGCCTTCGCTATGCTGTCATCGACGGGGTACCGAACAATGTGAGAAGAAGGGGAATGTGATAGAGAGATAAAGATTCCGATCATGGATTGATACACCTTATCAAAACAGTCATTGGTGGGTTCCTATGATAGGAACCTTACTGGAAATGGATGCTCTTCGCATCGCTGGAAATAGACAACAGCACTTTCCCCTGCCGTCTCGGAGTGGCTTCGCACTCCAGCGCCTCCCGAATAGAAGACAGTGGGAACACAGCTGCTACCTTTGTTGCCGCGGTACCATCACGGATAAGTTGGAAAACGTCGTCCAACGCAAGCTGTATTGCATTGCGCTCGCTCGTATGAACCCAATCTCTTAGCCGAAACAGGACAATCCGCACTTCCGGACAAAAGAACCACCTCTCGGGGAGGGCCAAACGCCCGCACAAGGGTTCTGAACATTCCAGATCCGAGACGTGTAGAGACCAGAAGCTATGAAGTTGTCGGTTGGGCACTAGATCCTCGTGAGATGTGAGTTGTTTTCCAGGGTCGAGTCCGCTTTGGTTGAAGCATAAATGGGAAGAGTTGGGCTGAGGGAAGATTGGGTCCCCACATGTAACCTTCTTTGTGACTGAGCGACGTTTAGGGCATGCCCCGTGAAACCCTAATTTCCCTACGTAAACTCGTCGGCGAAGCCTCTTCTTTGGACCTCTTTGTTGGAATCCTACGCGTTAATAAGAAAAAGAGGATATCCTTTGAGCGTTTGTTATGGTTACGCATAGGTGCCAAATCAGGATACTGATGTTGCCTAGAGAACTAGTTATGGAAAGAGAGCGCACCAGTCATATCAGATATGGTGCTGTATCAATACAGCCCAATCCCCCAGCTAGATAGTTTGTTCTCTCATGCTTAATTTCTCGTAGACAGCTACCATCAGGAATTAAGATAGTTTCTTCGGCTTGAGCACCCCTGTTACGGGCTAGTCCCGCCTTATGTCCTCTATAAGGGCTTATTCGAATAGAAAACGCAAGGAAAGGAAAGGAAATAAGCAAGTTGTTAACGCGCATACAAGTTTCTATGGAAAGAGAAAGCTCTATGTTTATTCCTGACTATATCTAAATAACTAGGACAAGCTACTTGGTTAGTCAAATATGCTAATATTAGGGTTACTGGAGTTACGGCTCTCTTCTACTTGAAGGCAATGGAGTATTTTAGATGGAACATGTGCTACACCCTCGTGAAGTTCAGAAAGATACAACTATTGAAAAACTCGCAGAACAGAATAAATTGCATGCAACTAGTGTACAGTGGTATATCACGCATATTGCAGACGTTTATCTCAAACTAACCCCCACGGATTCGCTTCCGCAACAGATGCGAAAAAACGCAACCAAACAAATATAGTGGATGGATGCTTGGTTCAAATGATCCCCAGTCATGCAAGCTGGGAAGATGATATACAAAGCGGCTACTGAATGGCAAAAAAGTGCTTAATTTGAAGAGAATGACTTTCGTCCTGGAACCAGGATCTCGACAAGACCGTCCTCACCATCACTGCTATCGTCATCTTCGTCGTCATCATCAAACGAAGATTGTCCGTTTCGCCCATATGATCGGAACCCACCGTATCGATTAGCTCCGAAGAAGTTTGAATAGCCAAGTGATTCGTTGATTATAGCCTCTTCCTCTTCATCTGAATCCATCAGGACTGAGTCCGAGCTGGGACCGACCATTTCACCCATCTCGTCGTCATCGTCTTCGTCATCTACCTCCAGGGGTACACGAATCTTGCGCCTCAGCGTCTCCTTAAGCTCACCAGCAGCTTCATCTGATGAATTAGTTGACGGTGACCGGGGAGGCGTAAAGCCAGTGTGGAAAGTTGGTGAAGAAGGCTGGTCATTTGCGTCCATAGCCGAGAATTCAGCGGCAGGGAAATCAGGAGAAGTGCTCGAGTCATCTTCGAGATCAGCTATGATGAATGGATTTGACTGCCACGGTTCATCATTCTGGTGCGAGTCATTCGTACTAGAATGTTCTGTCGAGTTCTGGGCAGCAGCATCAGCTTGCTGTTTGTGAAGAGCTAATCGGGCAGCCAACTGGCGTCGTGCCCGCGATGGGACGATATTTAGAGGGGCAGGTGGGGGAGCCAGGATCGGTATAGGCTGGCTGGTCGAAGAGGATGCGGCCACCTGCAAGAAAGACATGTCAGCAACGATGATGTTTCATTTGTGCCCAATCGGGCTAATGACACGGTGATGTACAACGCAGCGTCCAGTTGAGCATGACCAACGAGGAGATGAAATAGTTGTAAATGTGTCACTAATCGATACATCCCAGATCTTCGCCTAAAATCTGCAAGGGAAAATGAATGTCATAAAGCAAGGAGATAAATGATGGGAGCAGCCACACAAGCACACAAGACGCCGGCCTAGGTACACTGTGGGATAGACACAGCACGATTCGATGCAAAAGGAACACAAGCAGCAGCAAGCGAGAGAAAGAGATGAAGAATAGAAATGGCGGGTTGCCTTCGCCACAGATTTTGAGGCTGGTAGAGTTTACAAGAAAACAACTCTCTTAAAACTCCCAAAACCCCTCTACCAACAACTCTCAAACCGTAGCTGTCCGTATTTCCCATGTATCGAGTCACGCTATTTCGCTTTCCCTGCCAAAAGAAAGGGGGGGAGGAGGAAGGTGGGAAAGAATGGGAAAACAAAAACTGGAGCAAGATAGATTTTGCGGATGGGATGGGAAATATCCGCTGTCATAGCTGCTGCATCTCGATGTCTGCAAAGAAAGTAGTACCCACATTTTCTGATCCGCTCTCTGCGGCGTTGTCCGTAAAGCCTTTAGTTTCATCGTCTTCTTGATCCTCCATCTCCTCGTCCTCATCATCACTGGAGCTTCCAAAGCCGCTAAGAAGGGAATTGCTACCTCCTAGGCCAAATGCCCCACTAGAAGCACTGCCATGGGTCATGGAATCGAAGTTCTCAAACCCAGATCCATTCCCCCCACCTCCTCCTCCATTAAGCCCAGCATTCGCGAGAGCATTTGAGCCAGTGAAGCCTTGTACAGCATTCATTACAGCTTGACGGTGGCCCATGACATCAGGTCTGACACCACCAAGTATGGCGTTATCACGTTCACGTGTCTCTGATAAAGTTCGTTCAACGTAATCTACCCAATTGGGATGCAACACCTTGTCCATAACACTCTGTGACAAAATCTCTGCTGGATGGCGCTCGGTGAATTTAACAACCTCCTCCGCTATCAACGTTAGGTGGCCCATATAACCGAGCCTCATGTTCCTGGCAGCTTGAGCCTCGTCACTATGTCTTTGGCCTTCAACGATCTTCTCTGTAATGCATCCGGCGTTAAAAAGATCGATAGCGAGAGAACGATTAAAACCTCGGTCCATCGATCCATTAAAGACTTGTTGCACGACATCATATACTACGTTATGCAAGAAATTGTTCCAGGGGAATCGGAAGAAAAAATCCTGGAAAATCGGTTAGATCTTCCGACATACTGGGAGTATATCATAAACTTACCAATATAGTAGGAACAACTTTGTGTTCCACAAATTGGAGCTTCAAGAAGTCTCCAACAACGGGCTGACCAGAGGGTTCGTACTGGATTTGGGGTGCGAACTCGTCATCAATTTGAGTGACGTGGGATCCGGCTAAAGGCTCCTCTTCGGTTGGGGCATCACTTGTATTTGAAGGTCCCCGAGACTCCGATTCCACACCTTGTGGGTCTGATTGTGAGGTAGAGGTAGATGAAGTTGTAGGGGTATCTTCGGGCAATGCTGGAGGTTGCTGGGCTTGCTCTTTGGGGACGTCGTCTGACGCTGAACCCTGGCTATCATTTCCTAAGGTAATCTCGCTCACAATCTCCGTAAGACCGGATGCACTGGGCGATGTCGGGTCAATAGACGAATCTGTAGGAGCAAAGCTTCCAGCCTCTAGTTTGCTAACGGGCTCACTCAAGGTTTCCTCGACTATACTGTCTTCAATATGAAGTCCATGTCCTTGAGATTGCGCTTGCGTATTCTCGGGTTCTGGCTGTTCCGCTGGCTTATTTTTCCTTATCGCGGAGTCGAGATCTTTTGACGACCCGACATCTTCAAAGCCATCGTCATCACTAGCGTTGGCGTTCTCTAGCAATCCAGACTGAGATTCAACTTTGTAACAGTGTTCTGATGCCCCAGCATTCTCGCTGTAGGTCATACCAGATACATCCTTCCTATTGAGATCAAAGGCTCCCTGTGTCCTCAGGTTTTCTCGCTCATTGTCCCGTTGTCGGATGTAATCTTCACTCCCGACCTCATTCAATAAGCCCATGTTACTGCAGTGGAGAAGCTCTGCCATGAGCTCGCAAGTTTTGAAGCGATCAAAGCCTAGGGGCTCGATTTTCACACCCCAAGCCGAGTTAAGCTGTCCACGGTCCACGACTTTCAACTGGCCATTCTCAACGACCGAATGTCTCGAGCTCAGAATCAACGTCATGAAATCAGGGATATGCTTTGAGAATTGACGAAGCAGGGTGCCTAGGTAGATAGGGTCATATATGCTTGGTGGAGCATCAGGTCCGCCAATGTTCTCGTCATAATCGGAGTTATTTTTACGGATGACTTCAATAACAATACCGACGCCCACAGTTAGCGAGTTCCCTCCCTGCAACATGGATTGGATAAGTTGTTCAACGCATGGAGCAGAGACCAGCTGCCTGGTAAGGCTGTTCGGTCCAATGCAGGATTGTTCGTTTTGAGTCGCGTTTGCAGAGATAGTGATTATTGCTTTCAGAAAATCTCCTGCAGACGTTTGGATGGAGGATGGGTGCTCGGACGATATGTATGACAGGAGAACAGGAATAAGACCCTCATCCTTCAGCCACTGCATTTATCTGTTAACTGTTGAAAACAAACTAGGCTGCTTGTGAGGTTTGACTTACGTCGACGATGCCTTGTCCACCTTCGACCTTTTCCAGGCTAATAATTTTCAAAAGTAGATCCATCACCATTGGGTTATCCACATGTTGTAGAATACCAGGAACAATGCCTGTCAGCGACTTGAAGAATTCCAGCATTTCTTCGGTTTTCTTATCGAATAGAACTTCATTCACTTTTGTAAAGTAGCCGGCTTGAGCGGTGTCCAAGGGCGCTGGTCGTTTCACAAAGTCCCAGAATTCTCGAAGATAAGCTTCATTGAGCATTATCGATTCTAGAATAGACCAGGTTTCTGACGACAAGATTTCGCACGCCACATATGCAAACTTGGAACGTTGCTTTTCAGCCCTTTCAAGATCCTCGGGCTCGAGGATGTCTTCCTTTTCATTCTCATTTTCTTGAGTATCGTGTCCGACGGGAGATTTCTTAGTCGCGTCAACGTCGTCATCGTCATCATTATCATCGTCATTAATTAAAGGCGGGGCGATCACATAGTCCAGCAACTTCTTGAGTATATGGTCCTCCCTCAAATATTCTATGAGTTTCGTATTATGTTGTTTTAATTCCGAGATGAGCTCAGGTTCGTCCAATAACTCCTCGAGGCTGACATCAGGCTTATCGAGAAGGGTGTCGACCGTGGAGATATTTGCGTACCCCCCGAATCGCCAGAACATCGTGAAATATAGGACAATGGACGATCGGAAAATAAAGTCATGGAAGTATTATCTAGATGCCAGTCGAACGGTTCCCCTGTCGTGACGTAAAAGGGGAATTGATTCCCCAGTTGCGATGCGGAAGAAGGAAAAAAAAAATCGTAAAGTCGCTCTCTATGCGCGCCCTTTTGATGCAGTTATACTCTACCGAAATCTGCCTATATGTTGGTCGGATATAGTGATACAAGACGTTTCTCGCTCGTAAAAGGGGTATTATGTCTGTCGTATTCGGCGTTCGTTATTCGTTGCAGAAAGAGGGAAAGAGAAGATCAAGCACACACAATCCGAGCGACCGCGCGCTACCGAGATTCGAGGTTAGTTCAAGGAAAAATTCAACAAATGATGGATGGAATGATATATATAAATCATCGACGAGTGCCGGCAGGAGAGTATGACAAGCCAGCCCGCATGACCGTATCAATCTGGGGAAGGGCGATGACAGTTCTCTTACCGTCGGATGTAAAAGGAGTGACACAGGGAAAGTGGACAAAGTACGCGACTGGGGCATGTGCGGAAAGTAATTTGGTTCGCTGTCACGCTGGGACAATGGCAGTTGTTCCCGGCCACTCGACTCGGGGAACAAAGGCAGGGAAAACGAATAAGTTGAAGATAGGGAAGGAGGGATGAGGAGTCGATGGAGACTGGTGAGGCTGAGGCTTGGTGTGTGATGTTTGATGAAATTAGCTCCCTCCCTAGCTATGTTGCTGAGTGGGGGATATTTATCACAGAGTGACACAGGAGTGTGCCGTGCTCGCGGATGGCACCAGAGACGCACAGAGAAGAATCGAGGAAACGACAGTCGTCCTGGCAGTGCGCGCGGTGGCTACCTGGTCCTATCGAAGAACTCGCGGTAGATGTAGATGGTGTTTGTTCAATAAGCTCGGTGGTTGGCAGGGGGGAAGGGACGGAGTTGTGCTTGCTGTGCTTGCTTCAGCTACTTTGGGCGCCGATGCGCCTAGCCTATTAGGATTAGGTAATACCCCAAGCACGAGACCTTGGCTTGCCTGCCTGAGAAGTTAGGCTTGCCGTCTTGCGTGTTTATGCCGGGTTATGTTATGTTATGTTATGTTATGTAGCTAGGATCACCTGGCGCGTACGGCGGTAATGCACCCTACTCTTAGTTGGAAGACATGCTGTGCTACGCTATATACATGTCTACGTCGTATCTTTATTGTGTGTATTGGCTTGTGCTACCTATAGCTACGAGGATGAATACCTTGACGGGGTGTATCTATTCAATGAGCCATGATCAATCACCAAGTCCCTAAAAATATTGACTGCCAATGCAAGTATGTCTGAATACTGTTCAGCTGCCAATAACTAGTTAACTAACTTATGTTTATATACACGATCACGTGGCTCTAGAAGCCTGTCTGCCTGAGGCACCGATGACAGTCTAACCCGATGTATTGCTAGTCACCCGTGAAGGCAGCCGCGGTCTGACGTCGTCCCTCATATCAACACAAGAACCGATGCTGATAGACTTCTGATCGAAGATGATTACTTTCCGACAACTGTGCTACTCCAGAGTATTCAAAAGCAACATACCGTCTCGTTCAACTTACCTTGTCTGATGGTGCTACTATCCGTCACTAAATAAACGGAGGCGATTGACGCCAAACGTTCAGCTGTTGCTACCCCTCCACCGAGTAATCTCACTGCCTGGTCTTTTGGAAACACACTAGGACCATTACACAACTTCGCCCCAACGTTCAATTTCAGTTTGAAAGTCACTGGAACAATCGGCAACCATGAACCGGCTATTTGGCTCTAAGAACACGGCTCCTAAGCCAACCCTGGATTCAGCTATCACAAACGTAAGTAAAGAGTCATTTGACATCCTTGCCCCTGAGTTACATGTTAAAGCAGTGAGTTTATGCTAATCCATCTCTGTTTTGATAGGTTGACAACCGTGTAGCAAGCATCGATGTCAAACTTGCCGCGCTAAACTCCGAACTCTCTACATATCAAGCCCGCCTAGCCAAAATGCGAGATGGGCCCGGCAAGAACGCATTACGGCAAAAAGCGCTCAAAGTGCTGCAGCGGAGGAAGCAATACGAGGCACAGCGCGATCAGCTATCGCAACAATCGTGGAATATGGAACAAGCCAATATGATGCAAGACAATCTGAAGAACGTAATGACGACAGTCGACGCAATGAAAACGACGACAAAGACGCTGAAAAAGCAGTACGGGAAGATTGATATCGACAAGATAGAGCGTATGCAGGATGAAATGGCGGATTTGATGGATATTGGCAATGAGATCAACGAGAGTATCTCTCGATCTTATGATATCCCCGAGGATGTCGATGAGGCCGAGCTGGATGCCGAGTTGGAGGCGCTAGGGGAGGAGAGCTTATTTGAGAACCCCATGGGCGAGGAGGCAATGCCGAGCTTTTTGCAGGATGAAGTTGCTCCGCCTACCTTTATTGATGAGCCCCCAGAACAAGGAAAAGTCAAAGAGGCGGCCGGTGGTGTTGGCTAATACGTAATCTGTTCTTCATCCACGTGACTTTGGTTGTAATTTGCACACCTAGGTACTTGATGTTGATGTTATCGCCTGCCTTTTTATTTAAAGAAGTAACATCGTTATGAGTAGTACTTGACATCCCTCTATTTCATCGCCCCCGAAAAAATTAAAAAATCAGACGCTATGCTCTAATACATATTAATGAAATTCGTCAAGTCATATAATTTCCATCGTACTTCGAAAGATTAGGCATCGTAAATATGTTCAGGCCAGCCCAAGTCCCATCAAAACCAACATAGCGATGTCCATGACAGTAATTGCAAGCCAAATCACAACTGCCAAGACCGATACAGGCCAGCTATTGCGCATTTTCACGGCCTGTGGCGATGGTGTATGATTTTCTCTATCGGGGTTGCTTTGCACCGAGTCTTCAACGGTCATGAATTTATTCCGAGCGGTGAAGTAGATAAGCGGTGCAACGACGAATGGCAGGATGACGCTGAGCACCACTTGAGATGCATTCAATGCTGCATCTAGTCCATCTCTGCCCACGGCCGCAGCGATGATGATACTGGGGATAATGCTTATGATACGTGTGATTAGTCGGCGGATCCATGGTTTACAAGACCACTGAATCATGCCTTCGCTGATCATCTGTCCGGCTATGGTGCAGATAATTCCAGCAGATAAACCGGAGAGTAGCAGGGCCAATGCAAAGATGGTGCCAGCGGCCGGTGCAATGGACTGGGATAGAAGCGAATATAAGCCAAATAGATCCGCGTCAGCAGCCCCGGGGGTTCCATAAAGAGCTGCAGCGGCAACGATGAGAATGGCGCTGTTCACAAATAAAGCAAACGTGAATAGACACAGAGTAAGCTCCACGATAGAATATTTCAAACAGCCACGAATGGCATGAATCGAAGGGCGATATGTTGTATCGTCGTCACCGCCGCTAGAAGGCTCAGCATGTCCGGCTCCAATGTCGAACTCTTTGAGCCGTGGTTGGACAGAGCCGCTGCCCAAAAAAAGGGAATGCGGCATAACGGTTGCACCAAGTATACCGCAGCTTTGATAGAGACTGATTCGCAAGTTAGACGGGTCTTGGAGATGGAAATTCTTTGGGGACACACTTACCCACTACTTTTAATGACCGCTGAAGATGGAAGATAGCCTCGAAAGACTTGTCCCACAGATTCTATCTTGAGCAAGGATAGCTGGATACAGAAACATATAACGACAGCGAGCACAAGGGTCATGACGAAAAACTCGAAAGCTCGCAGCGCCCACATGGATCCATATGGCCTGTAAAATAATAAGAGAATCAAGACATCGGCCACAGTAATGACGCATCCTGCGACCAGAGGTATATTGAGCAGCAGATTGAGCGCAATCGCTGTGCCAATCACCTAATAGACTGTCAGACGCCAATGAACAGTGAGCGGAAGTAGAAAACAGAGAATGATATCTACCTCGGCAATGTCAGTGGCGATAATAGCCGCTTCTGATAGAACATAAAGGGGAAGTGACAACCATTTTGGAAGGTGAAGTCTACAATTCTCCGCCAGACTGAGCCCTGTAACACTTCCAAGTTTGATACACAGAGCCTGCAAGAAGACGGCGAAGACATTGGACATCAGCACGACAAATAGAAGGGCATATTTGCTAGTAGCACCAGCGGCAGCATCTGTCGAATAATTTCCAGGATCGATATACGCGACAGCTATCAAGAATCCCGGTCCAATGAATGAAGCAAATTTAGCGATAGGGCGCAAAAAACGAGAGACTAGTATTACTGCCACGGAATATTTGCTCCTAGGTTGGTTTCGCTCGTCTGGAGTAGGCGCAGTGTTGGTAGCCACGGCTGTTCCCTTCGCAGGAGGAGACGAATGTGTCGTTTCATTTGGGTTCGGCATCACGGCTATCTGCCCTAGAGCGTCTTCTAATGCTGGCGTCTGTAGTTGATGGCCTCTTCGATCTCGTAAATTGATCATACCATTGAGGTCTTGTCGTGTCGTCGCCTCTGCATTGAGCGACGGCGGATTTTGGTTCCATCCGGGATGGTCGAGGGTCTCGTCAGTTCTTGATGTTTGATTCATCTTGGCCGGAGGGCTGCAGCATGCTGGATGTGCAGGGTCCCTACATGCAACCTTTACAACGTGTACGACCTCGCTATATGTCTTCGAATATCACGACGGTTACGTTGTGTTCCAGACCTTGGCCGCCCGATTCTGCCCGCCTTTTTTGCTTGCCGAGTGTAATAAAATACACATGATTACGTGGATGAACCCACGCTTGCGGTCGAAATAAAGTTTAGCTATAGCAAGCCTCGGCGAGCGGACACGCAAAAGCCACGTAAATTACTAGCGTCGATAATTACGGCTTGTGCCGAAACCGACATTCAAACTTCGCTGCACATTCATGGCGTCATTGGGTATATGAGCAGGAAATTTAGATGTGATGTGTCTTCGGCAGTCAGGCAGTGGTGCGTTATGCTTGAATTTCTCCGGTCCTTCTCCACAATCCCAGATTCTGGACGTGCGACTTCAACTTGTGTTGACGAACAAACCAAGGTACTACGTACAGCCATGTACTACCATGCACAGAGAGATCTTTAGGCGACGGATATGTTGATAACAATTATGCTGCACTACTAAGGTTCACTCACTCGACGCAAAGGACGTTCCGAGGATAGTCCAGTCATTCAGCATGCTGGCCTGATCCTCTCGTGTTTCCACTGATCTGCCTGTTACGTATGAATGTGCATTCTGGGCATAGCAACAGACGAACAAAGAGCGGTCTGGTCTGTTTGTTTTGAGTTAGCAGAGGCATGCACGCCTCTATAACTTACCTAGGCAATCGACCCTATGCCTAGGGGATTGCATGACAACAAACAACCCCAGACCGAATCGGAGGCACCCCGCGCAGTCGACGATATGATGCGAGGGGTCACGATATGCTATTGCTGATAGTAGTTAATTGTGCCTGGTGCGTGTAGAGCTCTAACGAAGTATCTCGATGCGGTCTGCTTCCACAGGCAACACAGCCAGTAACTATATCCATAGCCTTACTGCCTGCGGAATGGAGTCGTGTTCGTGTTTACATGTTAATATAACCATCCATGAACTAATTATAATTGATTGTAATTCATTAATATAGAAAAATAAGGTAGAAGCGTTGCTATCGATAACGCAGCGTTGCCCCCAGCAACGGGCTAGTGTTTACCTGCACGGGGCCGGAGGTTTCAAGCAGTCGCAGCACGCGCGGCGGAGATGATAACTAGTCAACTAGTGAATCTTAAACTCAGGCTCCCTCGAGCATCGCTCCTCAACGGTCTTGTTGTTCCTTCCTGTCTTGCTTTCTTTCTTTCTCACCAGCACTGCCTGCGTCCATCGTCGTCGTCGTCTTCTCTTCTTCATGTCTTCTTTTGCCTGCGCCCTTGCTTCTGTTCTTGCGGAATCCGTTCCTGTTGTTTGTTTGTCGTTGCTGCTTGCGTTTGCATAACTTTCTACAGAAGAGGGCGTTTTTGAATTACATCGTTGCAGGTACCCTTTGCTCCAAGTACAACCTCGTCATTGTTCTGTAACGATCGGATTCAAGCTGAACAACCACAGACCATGATCTCCAACGCTCAGCACCCGGCCATCTTCGATGATGCGAGCCGATCTCCATCCAAGCCCTCGATGCTGCGCTCCATCTTGCCCTCGAGGCAACACAGAAAGTCCCCCTCGACCGGCGATGCGTTGCCAACGGTCATGCCAGGAACGAGCTTCCTCGGTAATGCGGGCTTCCTTCCAGCAGACCACCCTCATGCTCAGCCACTGGGGGAGAGGGCACACAATCGAGATGCCGCTGGCCCAAAGCCCACGAAGGAGGGGCTGCATAAGAAGACGAAGAGTTCTGTATCACTCAAGTCTCTAATCAGAGACCGTGAGAAGAGAGATAGCCAGCGGTCGTCAGGAGACTCCACGGATAAGGGGTCGTTTGAGAAGAAAATGAGGAAGATGAAATCCACGGCCAGTCTGTCGGCTCTCTTGAAGAGATCACATCGAGACCGCAAGGGCGGATCTGTGAGCGAGCCCAAGGAAAAGGAAAACCGGCGCCCAACATCAGAAGTCATCTCGCCAATCTGGGCTCAGTTCGCTACTCAGCCACAGGAAGACTCGGTGGGCAATGTTTACGTCCCCCAAAATGGGAGGTCACTAGAAGAGGAGGTCTCTTTATACACGCCCAAACAGTACTCCCCTTCTAACCAACGGAATTTTTACGACTACCATCAACCCACCCTAGCACGAAAACCCAGGCCTAAATCGGATTATGTATCATCCGGTACAACGAAAGTAAAGGAGATGTTGGGCCAGATCCAGCGAGTTCCCTCGGGCAAACAGCGTCATCCAGAGACGCACGTCGAGAATCCCAACTTGTCTGATGTTAATACCAGCAAGGAATCCAAGAGGAACTCTAATCACAACAGCGGTCGCGTAATGGCTGTTGTCTCGGCACTCAATGCGAAGGAAGTTGATACACGTAAGGATCCGGACAACAAGCAAATCGAGAGCGAATTCGAAAAGCTTTTGGTAAGATGACAGAGCCCTAACCCCAGTGAATACTTTTGGCAAAGACTGACGGGATGCCAGGACGCACGAAACATTCCAATGAATATGCGGGATAAAATGAGATCCCTGGACACCAACATCAAGGCCGACTTTATCCAGAAGAATCGAGCTGAGAGCTCGAACCCAAACTCGGCAACCTCGAGCACCTTCGACAGCGCCGGCCGTCGGGGCAGGAAAGATTCTCGTTCTGCGCCTTCGCAAACACGTGACAAGAGCCTGCGCTCGCTGTCTCGGGCTCGGTCACCCTTCACGAACTCAAGGGGCGATGCTTCGCCTTCTAAAAAGCATCAAAAGTCAGATAGTGCTAGCTCTTTCAGGCGTCCAAGATCCATCGATCACGGGCGTCCATATTCATCGATGCTTCCTAGCGCATCAAACTCTGCTACTTCATTGCATGCTAAAACCCACACGGACACGTCGGCGGACCCTGCAGACTTTATTCACTATTTGAGAGAGGTCCAGAAACCAGAACTGGTCGAAGTGGGCAAACTTCATAAGCTTCGGATCTTGCTGCGGAATGAGACTGTAGCATGGGTCGATTCATTTATTGCGGGTAACGGTATGGATGAAATCGTCATGCTGCTATACCGCATTATGAAAGTTGAGTGGAGGTATGTATGGATTGTCAGAAAAGTTTGTCACTTGGTTTGTACTGATATTTGTGGCTTGTAGAGAGGAACACGAGGATAATCTGCTCCACGAAACTTTGCTCTGCCTCAAGGCACTCTGCACAACATCAGTTGCCTTGCAGAGGCTAAAAGTGCTAGGCAAGGAGTTGTTCCCCGCATTGCTGGGAATGATATTTGACGAGGAGAAAAAGGGACCGAGCGAATTTACCACGAGAGGGGTAATTATCAGCATTCTATTTGCTCACCTTTCAACATCCCCAGCCGATGAAAGGACTGACCGCGCTGCCGAGATTCTCAGCTACCTGCGCGACCCTACTCCCAATAAACAGCAAGTTGACTTTATTGCAAATATCTATCAGCCTCGTCCATACCGTGTGTGGTGTAAGGAAGTGACTAATGTCACTCGAGAAGTGTTCTGGATCTTTCTCCATCATTTGAATGTGGTTCCCTTAAACCGTGGCGAGGAGACTACCGCCCAATTGGAAGAGGATTACTTCAAGAGGCATTTCCCTGCACCTCGCCCTCCAGTACCAGCTGCTCCATATGTTGGTGGTGTTGAGTGGGATGCCACAAACTACCTTGCAACGCACATTGATCTCATGAACGGCCTCATCGCGTGCCAGCCCACGAAAGAGCAGCGAAATGCTCTCCGCGAAGAACTGCGCGCTTCGGGCTTTGAGAAGGCCATGGGAGGAAGCATGCGCACTTGTAAGGAGAAGTTTTATGGAGCAGTTCATGATTGTTTGAAAACCTGGGTGTCTGCTGCTCGTGAAGATGGATGGGATTACCGATTCGTCCGCGAGGGACCAGAGCCCGGTTCTCCAACCAAATCTTCTCTCAAGGCTTCGAGCAAGAAGCAAACTGAAGAGCCTCCGAGGTTGGCGCTTGACATGGACTTGGAGAAAAAGTCCCCAAATCGTGCTTCCGACATTGGCGGATGGATCTGAGTATTTCAGGTCGCATGGCACGACTTTTCCTTTGTTTTTGTTTTTTTTCTTAATGTTCTTTTTCCTTTCATGTGTTTCTAATTTATACTGGGTTTTGGTGTTAGTGGGAAGGCGTTAGAGGCATTGGAGCTTCATCATATATGCATTGAATATCTTTATAGTTGGTCCTTTGTGAAGCCAGCTTTACTTGCACCCTGGATTTAGCATGCACATTAGCATGATCATGACCATGACCATCAGGGCGTATAACGATTTGAGGAATGAATTGACGAATTTTTTCTTTTCTTTCGCTTATCTATTGGCATTGACAATTAACTGCAACTCGTAATTTTAAGTTGGAGTCAATCTTCTCTGTATATATTGCCCAAAAGGGTTTAGATTAGTTTTATCTCGGCGCGAATTTAACCATCGCATTTCCACCTCACTTCTTTTACCAGGTCAATTCTTGTCATTCCTCTATTCTTTCTATAGAGCACAATAAATATGGCGAATATACGACCTCTATTCTCATTAGCCGAACTGGCCGCTCAGCGAAGCCTACGCCCGTCGTCGTCACTTGCGATCGCATACAGAAATTATCGTTGCTGTTGTCAAAGCTCGTTATCTCAGGTGAGCTCGTCTCTCTGTTCTAGACAGTCACAAAACTAATTTGACGAATATTAGAAAAACACGTTCAATACGATACAGTCTCACCCAGTTCCCTCCGCGCATCGATCCTATTCAGCCACATCCTCCATGCTCTCGGGCTCCTCGCCCTTTCGATTGACGTCGACACCCAAACAACACGCGGACACACCTGCTGCTGCTGTTGAAGAAGAAGTCGAAATTGAAGAGGAAGATGAAGGATACTATAGTCCATACAAGCCCAAACGCCAATGGCCACCGGACATGTCGAAACTGTCGCCCAAACATCAACTCCGATTAGAACGCAAATATAGACGTCGAGCGGCGCTGAAATATGCTAGGCCACGATGGGTTAAGGCTACGAAATTGGTGCAGTGGGGTGTTATTATATGTTAGTTTGCCCTGAACCTGACCACCCGTCTTCATAATAGCTACGACTAACAGAGGTTCATAGTCGTGGTGATTTATTCGGTGCTGTTTATGGAATGGGGCAAGGAAGGAGAGGAGCATCCGTTCGAGGACGTGAGTGATCTCTTCTATATTCTTACCTCCCCCGTCCCCGAAGATTTTCTTCTTGCAGAGGTACCTAGGTATATATCGCATTGGATACTGATTGATTTTAGTTCCGCAAGGATTTCTTTGCTTCGTTCAATTCGCTATTCTCGACGCCTCCGCCGCCTAGAAGGAAGGAATAATCAAAAAAGGAGAAAAAGAAAAAAAGAAAGAAAATAGCATCATGGTCGACTGATTAGTGATCGTCAAGCATATGAATCGGCAACACGGCGCCGACACAAACGACATCTAACGACTGCCGAGCGGAGGGTATATCACAGACCAACCAGCGTCCTTGTATTCTACATAGGAATCCACATAGCTCAAATATGAAATCACAGCTTGTACGTGGCAAAATCAAAAGGACGTAAATTGGCATATGATCTTCACATGCATGGGGAAATGGTGCTGACTCAGCAATGATGTCGGACCTCGCTCACGTGCCATTAGGCCAGCAGCCAATCAAGTGCGTCGGCGTCATAGCTGCGACACGGAAAAACGTTGATACGGCGTGCCTCGGCTTGTTGAACAAGTCCGGCTAAACTGGCAGTCCGACAGTATCATTACAAAAAGAGCGCATTCTTTCATCTGTTTCAAACCTTGTGTATGTGAATGCTGCTAATTTTTACGACTGTTGAGAGAAATAATAAGAGTTTTATCTGCATTTCACATCTCCGTCATCATGGCTCTAGGTAAGCAAGAAGAGCTAGCAAACTAGCTATACTTCACGATAACCGCCACATGCTCCAGAGCGAAGACTGACACTTGCTTGCCCCATAGCTCACCAACGTCTAAGCCAAATTTCGTCTCACCTCTCAGGCCAAAAGACCAATATCACAGCGAAACACCCAGATGATATCGTCGTGACTGCCGCTCTGCGGACGCCCTTTACAAAGGGCGGAAAGGGCGGATTCAAAGACACCGCGGCTGCGGATTTGCTTGTTGGTGCTTTCAAGGGTCTTATCAGCCGTAGCGGGATTGATCCAAAGCTTGTAGAGGATATTGCTGTCGGCTCGGTGCTTGCACCTGGAGGCGGAGCCACTGAGTTTCGTGCCGCGGCGCTGGTTGCTGGGTTCCCGGAATCTGCTGCTGTTCGAAGCTTGAATCGTCAATGCTCGAGTGGCTTGCAGGCTGTGGTGGATATTGCCAATGCCATCAAGACGGGCATGATTGATATTGGGGTTGGTGCTGGTGTTGAGAGTATGAGTTCTCAATATGGGTATGTCTCTCGCTCACCCGCCCACTCCCCAAATATCCATAACTACACAAACTATGAAACTAACCGTATAATTTAGTCCCGGTGCAGTAACCGAGTTCTCCGAACTCCTCGAGAACCACATGCAGTCTGCAAACTGCAAAGTGCCCATGGGCGTGCTCTCAGAACAAATGGCCAAGGACCGCAAGATCGCGCGCGCTGAGCAAGACGCTTTCGCCGCATCCTCGTACCAAAAGGCCATCAAAGCCCAGAAAGCAGGTCTTTTCGACGAGGAGATCCACCCCCTCGACGTCAAATGGGTTAATCCCAAGACCGAAGAGGAGAAAACCATCACCGTCAAGGCCGACGACGGTGTCCGCGAGGGCATCACGCCCGAGTCCCTGGGCAAAATCAGACCTGCATTCGCCAAGGACGGTAGCATTCACGCCGGTAATGCATCGCAAGTATCCGATGGTGCTGCAGCGGTTCTTCTGATGAAGCGCTCCACGGCTGAAAAGCTGGGGCAGAAAATCATTGGCAAGTTCGTCGCTGCTAGCGTGATTGGCGTCGAGCCATTGCTCATGGGCATTGGTCCGTGGAAGGCTATTCCTATCGCTCTCGACAAGGCTGGTATTTCCAAGGAAGATGTTGATATCTACGAGATCAACGAGGCGTTTGCTTCGCAGTGTGTTTGGTGTGTGAAAGAGTTGGGTCTGCCGTTCGAAAAGGTGAACCCGAAGGGTGGTGCCATTGCATTTGGTCACCCTCTAGGCTGCACTGGGGCGCGACAGGTGAGTACGCTACTTACGGAGTTGAAGCGTACCAATAAGAAGATTGGCGTTACTAGTATGTGTGTTGGAACGGGTATGGGAATGGCAGCTGTCTGGGTTGCGGAGTAAATTTCTTTCTTTCTTTCTTTTTCTGTTGTTGGCGTTCATAAAGTCGACGTCAATTCTTGGTTATGATACGATATATGTACATATTATGAAAGCATCGGCTGTGTTATTATAGTTATAAAATGTCTTCCGTCCGTTGTATCGATTTTTCAATTACCTAGATATTAAACGATGATTGAGATAGGAATTTTCTATCCTGCTTAGAGTGTGTAAACGCATGTATTATATTATCTCATACATCTCATTCATACTTGTTTTCACCACGGTTGTAATACTAATACTAATCCTGATACTGATACTAATATGCAGTAGCAATAGTGATTATAAAAATAATAATAGTGGTCAGGGATAAGGGATAAAATCACTTTTCTAGACAACCAAAAGAGTAGAAAGAGAGAAACTTAATCAAGCAAAATAGCTCTTCCACAAAACACCAGCCAGATCTTCAAGTTGATCTGGTGTGAATGACTGGATAGTAATCATGTTAGCATAGTTTACTCTAAAGATGAGAGATAAAAAAAAACATACCTTTTGATCAATATGCCAAGTATCTTGTCTAGTCTTTTTGAACTCACTAATTATACTCTTCACACTCTGGCCGACGACACCAGGATCATGCGCAGCCTTGGTGCTAAGCGTGGTCAGAGCATCGGGCATCCAGAGCGGTGGCGGGCTTGCATAGGGGAATGCTTGCACCAAAGCGCCGAGGCCTAGTACGGCGGCGTGTCGAACGATGATGAGTCTTGTATGTTCCGGGGTAGGTGTGCTGGTTCGACTAGATGTAGCTGATGATCGGCCAAGGTGGTTTCTGGGTTTCTTGGGCAGAGGGTTTTCGATCAAGGTTTTGGTGAATCGTTCCTGGAACTTTTTCACAAATGCCTCCCGCAGCGCAACTGGGGAGCATCTTATCATGCCAGATAGAGTCGCCGAGGCGCCTACACGCACCTCGAGCTGGCTGTCTTGAAGCATATTGGCAATACACTCGAATAGCTTGTCGCGGTCAGTTGCTGACAGTAGGAACAAGCGACGGAAGTAGATGATCTGCATGTTGATCATCACACGAAGCCGTTGATGCCAGGATGTCGCATGTTGTCCAATGTTAACTAGGGTTTGGATGAACGCCGACTCGCTCTCGGCTGGATAAGGGATATTGGGGAGGTGCCGGAAAACGTGATATGCAAGAGACTGAAGTTCGGGGTCTTCCTTGACGTCCATCATGTGAAGCAACTCCTCCGTGAAAACCGTTGCGAAAAATGGCACCAACTGCGTACATTCATGAGAAGATAGAGTCGAGTCAAGCCAGAGCAGTACCGTCTTGCTACCAGATGTGTACGACGACGGAGTCTGCTGGCCTGGTTGTCGTTCTTGTCGCCACACTCCGAGTTTCTCGAAAATGTTATTGGTCATCTTGGTGAAATCTTCTGTTGGACTATAAGGATAGGTCCCAATAGACGATGAAGAATTCTGAGCTTTAATCAGACTATCAACGTCGGCGTGTGATTCGTGATGTCTGGTGCGGAAAATAGACCCCAGTGTATGGCCCATAGCCTCGCGGACTCCCTTGTAAGGGTGGTCTAAGTGAGCAACAAAATCTTCAACAATAGGTTTCTCGAGCTGGAAATGCCAGCCTGCATCGATGATACACTGATGCAGTAAACTGATTTTAGAGCTCTCTTTAAAGGCTGCATTGGATGACATATCCAACCTGAAGGATGCCAGCCAGTCAACCAAAGGCCATGCACGACGAGGATCTCTGCACTGAAGTATCATGTGGAGGAAGGTTGTCCAGTAGCCAGAATTCTCTGGTGTAAGCCCGTCTTCAAGGATCTTCCGAACCATGGGGAAAGCATACTCCCAAACAAGACTTCTCTTTTTAACATCTGAGTCTGTTACGGCGCTAATCAATGCACCAAGAATCTCGGCTGTTGCTCTGTGTTGGTGTTTATCGCTTCCATCTTCAAAGACTAATGCGATTTCCTCTTTGATCTCATCAAATGTAGCCGCAGTGAGTCCGTCTCTAATCATCAACTCAAAGACATAGAGCAACATCATAGCGCACGCCATGCGGAATTTGTCGGCAGCCACATCGCGAGGCTCCTGCTTGAGGTAGGAGAAAAAGCTGCGGAACCATTGACGGTCAAAAAGCTTGCCCATATGACTGCGGATTTTCCACTCTACGTCGTCGTACTCGATATCTTTTTTGATATCAGCCTTATACGCGGGCATCTGGCTTGACCAGACAAGCCATCCCGGGAAGTCATGATCAATGTAGTACTCCGCTTCGGGATCCGCAAAGCTAGATAAGTATTCCTTTGTCCATCCCTTTTCGTATTGTTTGGTAGCAACTTGAATCCTTGCTGGGAAATGTTGCTCTCCCAGAATATAGTTCTCGTAGGTATGACTGCAAATGGCGCGCACATCAATCATAGTAAAGAGAGCGATCAAGGCCTGTGAATACATTCCCCGAAGACCAGGATGCGTATCGACAGATCCCGTAGTGACTAAATCGACCAACTTTTCGCTTGCGATGTAATCGAACCGCAGGCCCATGCTAACCACAATGCTGGCAGCTCGACTAGCGATCTTCCAATGCGAAGTTCGCGCCAACTCTACAAGTTCTTCGGCAAGTTCTGCTTTTCTATTTTCAATCCTAACACGCTTTTTGCTGATCGACTTGCGCCTTTGTTCAATCGTACTCTCAACATCCTTCGTCGGCGCTATGGAGTTGACAATGTCTTCGTTGAGGACAGCCATCCTCTCCAGAGGACGTCCGTACTCCATGATCTGATACACAGCTCCTGAACACAGTTTCTGCACAGATGGCTTGTCGACGCTACTAGCGTCAATAAACGCTCTGATAAGAGCTGGAGTATACTTCCAATGGCGCCCTGCGGGTTTAGCTAGACTACCATATAGCAGAGAGTGCAACGCGCCCTTTATCCGCGCGTGGTCGTTCTCCTTGATGGCCTTTTGCAAGGCTTTGAGCAAAGGAGGTATAACCACTAGCCGAGAGCCCCAGACGGATTTAAGAGCAGATTCACCGGCGTTTTGTGCGTTTCGCCGAATGTCAGTGTAAAGTGAAACACTAGATTCAGCCAAATCAAGAAACAGCTTTTCATCGAGCTTCGATCTTGGCCGTGGAGCCGCATTATGTCGCAGACGCTGTAAATGATATACATTCGCTCTTCTGACGAGAAGTGGCCGTGGGTAGTCCTTGCGGACACCGCTCACCTTGTACGGATGGATGTCGGCAGCAAGAAGACGTGTGACCCGATCTAACACGTGAGCTGATCTCTCGATACCAACATCGATGAACCAGGATCTGTAAGCGGTGTACAAGGCCCCAAAGCAAGGAACGTCATCCTCTTGCTTTTCTGTGAGGAAGCAATGGACGTCATGAAGCACATAGCCAGCCTTTTGTCTGATTTCATGAATGGTTTTGTACAAGGGATCGTCTTCAGTCAAAGAGTATCCTGTGGGATAGGTGAATGTCTCCCGTACGGTCTCTTCGTCGGAACTGTCTAGAGAAGAATCGCCACTCTCGTCTTGATTATCACCTTCCAAAGTGTGTCCATTGGCTTCAGTCATCTCCACGTCACTACCATCGTCGCCCGCTGTGGAAGCTGCCTTTGAATCAAAAAGCACAGATATACCGGAAAGGATGAGTCGTAACAAAACAAGCTTCCTGGTCACTTCATCGGACCACTCCTTCCCACTTCCATCTCGCTTTACACTAGATGTCCCATCAGTCAGGGCAGTAAGCTGGGATAGAGCGTTATCTGCTTGGCTCTGGAAAAGGGCCACGGCAAACTCAATTTCTGCTCGATTGGGTATGTGCCAATTGATATTCAAATTGCGCGGATCGGGACGATAGCCCCAGTGCTCAATTTTGATACCGTCTTTGACATCCTCGCGCTCAAAAAGACCGTAATCCAAGGTGTACGTGACAGTAAGATTAAGAAGGAGATGGTGAATGAAATTGGACACGTGAATGGTTGGAATGCCTTTGCACTTTTCTTGCATGTAGATGGCGATGTCCAGAAGTTCTTGCTTATGGTTGAGAACTGCACTGCCAACATGGACCACGCACATACTCAGCATACTCACGTTCCAGACGAGAGCTCTGTCTCTAGGCAATACCTCTGTACCCGTTGTCCGCGTAGAAGCTGCGCCGTTCTCATCGATCTCAGAACGGATCGCCTGCACCAAGAGAGGCACGAAACGTTTCAGAGCCTTTTCAGGGTTTACCTTACAGATAGCATTGCAGATAAACGCCATTGCATCTCTGGCTTGGTGTATGACATGGTTTGAAACAAAGTCAGCGACCTTTTGCAGAGCCATATCATAGAGTTCTGGTGATAGTGATGATAATAATGGCATGAGTGTAGCGGGGAGGGTGTTGACCACGTTCTCTTCGGGAGAGCCGGTTTTCACGCGGGATGCATCAGGAAGATTCTCAAGAAGGGTAAATACTCGTCCCAAGAAAGAGATCAAAAACTCGCCAAAGCCGGTGGTGGAGGATCGGAGAATCATTTCCTCGGTCTCATCGCTCAAATCAGTGTCGTAGTTGAGTTGGACATTGGCTCCTTCTACCTCCATTCTCTCGACCTCGCCCGTGATCCATTGCATTGCTAACATGCTGCAGTTGACATCGTCTCGTCCTTTCGTTAGGTCTTCTAGAGGGATATTATAACAGACAGACTGAATGAAAGACAGAGCGTGCATCGACTTCTCCAGGTCGTTCGCATCTATGCCCGGCAGAGCAAGTCCTAGCAAGGTTGTCATATGGCAACGGAAACCTTTGGTACGGACGATGATTCTGGATAGGGTCTGGAGGGATCTCAAGGACGAGGTAGTTCGATGCACCTCGACCAAGCCCTGCATAGACGGGTAGATTCTCTGCAAGGCGCCGGGCAGGATGAGTTGAGGTTCAAGGTACGCAAGGCTTTGTAACGTAGACAGAGAAAAGTTCATGGCGGTACCACTCTTGGCGTAGATGCCCATGAAGATCACGTCACGTAGACATAGAACAAACCGTTTTCTCAAAGGCTCGTTCAACTTCCTTTCGGGTGGCACTTCCATCTCCCCGTTGTGTTCGCGATTCCACCGCATGATAAAGAAGTCAGCGAGGTAGTAGACTAGCTGGGCCAATGTTTTCGTCCAAGCGCCTGAATTAGAAGGGTGGAAAAATGTCTCGACAGCCTGAATGAGGCCCTCAAGTTGATGGAGGATGGAATCTGGCGCATCCAAGCACGCGGGAGACAAAGACATCACAATCCAACGGGCTATGTGATGGGCGACAGGATGTTTTCGTGAATCACGGTCAAGCATGATCCCCAGGCCAGAAGATATATCGACAAGAGCACTATACGGAGAGGTAGCTTGCCCGACGGGGATTTCGAGCAGTCTAAGAATGGCTGTAAATATGAGAGAGGACTGTTCTTTTGTAAAGAGGCCATATTCTGAGAAAGGAATATGGGCTGCAGGCAAGGAATCGCGTGCTAGTCGAGATAGAAGGTCCAAAAAGTTCATGTCAAATGTCTTGGATCGATTGACAAGGGACCATAGATGGAAGTAGGTGGGGAGATATTTCTGTGGCCGCAGATCCTCTCGAGACTCCGGTGCGGGAGAGGTAGGGAGCAATAGGTTCATTAATCCCACGACGACAAAGGCACCCTCTGAGAACGAAGTGGTGTAGTGCGGGAGAAATTCTTCCAGCATCGCAGGTACTTCGCAAGGGTCGAAGTACAGCTGCGAAAACGCACACAGCTTGGTAAGAGTCTTGATATTGCGCTTCAAGTTTGTCGAATGGATCAAGCCAGATTCGGTCGGCAAGACGAAGGTCTTCAGTTCTTTGTACAGAGGCTTCCAGTCTAGTACCAAATCCTTCACGGGTCGAAGATAATGCTTCCGTCTTAATTACCGGTGTCAGTCAAAAGCATACATAAATCCAAGGGACAGAGGAATTAGCCTACTTTGTAAGAAGCATGAACATGCTCGCGAACCGTTCGGCGACATTCGGGTCTATGCCGGGAGCAAGCGATAATTCATAGTAGAGCCTCACGAGCTTTATGCGTTCCTCCCTCGTGGGGTCAAACTTGAGCGAGAGCCAACCTCTCAGTTCACGGGTCCAGTGGACAGCGCCGGGACTGAAGTCGCCAGCCTTGACGGCCACGTACAAGCAGTTCAAGATTTCGTGTAGATTATGCTCTCGTTGGCTGTCATCTTCTGTCTCGTATGGCAGGTAGCTGAAATATGGGTATGTACGTGGTCGGACTCTGGCCTTCTTTGTACCATTTGCTTCGACAGGCTCGCCGCCGGGCGATGTAGCCCTTGATATCCCATGGGCATTGTGGAAGTTTTCAGACGTTAAGATGGAGGCTATTCGGTCTGCATTGTGTCTGTCCATGGTAGCATTCGTTTATCGACGGACGACTTTTCGGTTTTATCAAAGACTTGAGAGATAGCAAATCAAAGGGATCTTCGTCCTATGCAGTGTGAGGGATATATGATTAGCACGGGTGAACTGACTGCTTGTAGACTGTCAGGAGTAAACACTGGATCAATTCTGGACCTACTCGTTCTCCAGCGAAGTGTCTCGCGGGAAGATCGACTTCCCGATGAGACTGGTGGAGGAGTGTAAGATGATGCTGGGATAGCTTCAACCGTGCCGGCATCTGCTAAATGGTATAAGAATACGGGAGACAGGACGGGCAGCGAGGTGATCGCGTAGATGATCAAGGCTTCTTATATGAGCACGATGAGATGAATTCCTGTGTGATGCGTACGAGTGGCACAGGCCTTCGCCTTCTCGCAGCGGCGTCCCAGCTGGGAAGGAAGGACAAAGTAAGAATGGGCCGGGAAGAAGGTGGAAGAATAACGCGAGAATTAAAAAGGTGATTAATAAGGAGATTATTAGGCCGATAGTTAACGAGATGGAGGTATATGTTTTTGAGGCAGGATGGTGGAGGAGGTGGAGGAGGAGAGTACATAATACGGAGTAGGACTAGTTAGTTAACTAGTCTAGTTAAGTCTAACTAACTAAACAGTCTGAACCCGACCCGCCAGAGATGACATAATGCTAAGGTCACAGATTCGCCGGCCGCGCTTTTGTTCTATGCTCGACGCCGCGCCATAAGCCGGCAGCAGGGCAATGCTTCTTCTTGTTTCTGGCTACAGAGCAGCAGAATCGAACTAATTCTCTCGCTCTCCAACGGTCGACTGCGTCCTGCTTGCTCAGCGCGCGCCGGTGAGGAAGCTGACCCATGCGGCCTAGCGTGGTGGCTCATGCGGCGCAGAACGCGCTGCCTTAGCCTTTAGGCCACGAACAGACTTAAACGCTAACTGCGCATGGGTCCTTGCGGGCTCCAGTTTCAGTTAACTCCAATTAGGCACCAACCCGCTTGCTTGCTTGTTTGATTGCTAATAAACTACTCCTAGTATACGCGTTTCTATGCGGGAGGAAGAAAAGAACCAAAGAGAACCGCCTGGATCAGCGCGTACATGGCCATTCCTTGAACCGCCACCGCGAACGTCCGACTGCCCGACGACTTGGAGTGTTCCAGCGCCAAGCTGGACAGACACCAATACCACAGGGGATAACCAGATGCGATGCGATTGATGATCTGGACGTGGAAGGTCGTCAGTGCCATGAACGCCAGAATGCCCTGTGCAATGGCGAGGCGAGCCAGTGCAGACTGGGTGACATGCACGTGATCGATGACGCGGGATGGGGGATATGGTCCGATACGTCCCGTCGGTGTTACGAACGACGAGTAGAGCATGATCACGAGCATCGGGGCGGCGAGAATGAAGAGCGGCAAATTGGATACGGTCCAGTATTTCAAAAACCCAACGTTCCTTGTACGTGTCAGCTAGGATTTCACTAATAGCCGACATGTAGAAGTAGAAGAAGATACTTACCAGTAATGGGCCTGGACCCAGCCATAGATGCTGGGCAAAAGTTGTTCGCACCACGGCCGACGGGTCGAACCTCCACAGTACTCAGTGAAGGCGATAAATTGGGGTATGATCGAGCCCAACGCAACCGTCATTCCACCCAGGACGACAAAGCCAGTACGGCGAATCAAATCTACAGAAATCCCCTGACGGAGAAGTTGGAGCGCTCCTTGGATGGCGTCGTACGCAAACAAACAGCCGCTCAAGATGCCATTGCCGCGAACTGTGGTCGCCACAGCAAAGGCAATGCCCGCCAGCAAGAAATGAGTATCACGCCGTCCTCGCCTCCCAGCACTTTCAGAAATGAGCGCCGACGAGTAGAGATAGAAGCCGGTCAGATTCAGGAGGGAGAATATCGATTCGCCGTACGGGGCAGAGAGGAAAGCGCCTGCGGGGGAGATGACATGGAGGGCGGCGGAGATCAGACAGAAGGCCCTTTGGGACTGGGTGTCGTATCCGAACAAGGATTTTGTGAGGGCGTGAAGGACCAACACGGACAGAAAATGCGCCACATGGGAGAGGACTACACCGCAGATTGCGATGGCCGAGATAGAGACGGGGCCGGATTGCACGAAAGCTTGTAAACGCAGCCGTCAGCTAACCAACTGAATGGGCGTCACGCGTACACGTACATACATGTATATATCCTTGGCTTGGGGAGGTTCTTGTACATACCAGAGCTAACATGGCTCAGCAAGCGCGTGTATCCATACCCCCAAGCCCATTCCTGCTCAAACAGGTAGCCCCTCTCAGCCACGCGAACGAAATAGATGGCATCCCATCGAATCCAATTCCAGACGGCAGACGACGGTGTCGAAAGAGCGGTGGCAGGCGGGATCAACAGGGTGGTGGAGGTGTCGTAGCCGAGGCCGGGGCAATTAGCGACAGTCGCGAACAGGGCGATTTTCCAGGCCACGGAGAGCGCCGCCAGGGCTCTGGTCGGATGGCGGAGAATATATTCATGTTTACTGTCGATTGCCTCGCCCATTATCATCACGACGGGGAGCAGAAAAGGAGTCCCGTCCTTTTCAGTCCCTATTCCCTACAGTTAGCTAACTAGGGGGGCGGTGAGCTAAGCAAAGCGTAATCCTGAGCGTAGCGTAATAAAATACAACCACGTGAGCTTAGCTTCGTATTCGCATTTCGCATGCTGTAAAAGGCTCGCAATATTCGTCGCAACAGGCTAGTTTCGGCCGGAAGTCTGCGTTGTTTCGTGCGTAACGCTGAGAGTTTGGCGCCAAGACTTCCGCTGCCGGCTGAATCAGTGCTTCCATGACGCGTTCAGTACTGAGTCAGCAGTGTTGTTTTTTTTTTCTTTGGTCAAGTCCGTCTCCAATCCGTCTCCTCCGTACACTATACAAATCATAGCACGGAGAGTGGACTACGTTAGTGGACGGATCATCCATTAGCTTAGCCACAGAGTTAGGTTGTAGCACCCGAAGCCCGACCACGGCACTGATCGACTCCGGCTCCGTCGTGCATTATTTCATAATTTAATGAAGCAAATCCTGGCGTCGGCCAATCGGTGCATAGCCCTAGTTAACGCCCTTTTGCTTACTGATCAGCAGTGGATCACCGGACCGCCTGTATAACATCCATCCAGGCTGGGATGAGAAGAGGTTATGCATTGTTCATTGTCCAGAGGAGACAGATATACAGAAAACAGACAGATGCTTTGTTCGACACAATGGCCCTGGCCGACCATATCACCCTGTCTATAATCATACCCGTCATATTGGAATAATGGGATTCGTTTAGCCAACTTAGTTAGGTTCCTGGATCTGGGCTGACTCCACAGCGGAAATACCGATACGGCGATACCATACACGGTTTCACTCCGCCGAGCTTTAGTCAACTTAAAGTTGTCGGCGTTGCAAGGCCAGCTGGGACAAGAGATTTTTCCTTTTTATATTTATATATACACATATATACACATATCTATCTTATGTCCTGGACGCCCTACGATATCTTATATATTCCTCTATACTATATCCTCGACTACATATAGCATCAACACAGTCTTGTGCAGAATCTCCGCTGGTAAGTTCAGCTCTCGAGTAAGGTTCGGGCGCGCGCCTGCAGAACGAGCTGCTGCTGCCAATAGTTGGTGGGCTGCGGGCGTATCTCGCTTGCTATTTTTCAATCTGCCTGTCTGGTCGGAAAAAGAAAAGGTTCGAATCTTCCCGAGCTGACGCCTGTACCAGCAGTTATTAGTATTGATTCTCCACTCGCGGGGTACGAAGGAGACACAAGAGCCTCAGAGAGAGGAAATATCATGTTTGTTCGAAGATAGTCCTCTGTGGATGGTTTCTCTCCCATGATCGCCACCTTGTCGGATCGGTGTGATTTCTCCCTGGCGAAGGAATCCATGTTGCGAGTCTCCCAGCCGGCAACAGGCCTCCTGCCCAGCCTGAACTTCCGCCATTCAACTCCGCCTGTTCTCACACCAATCCACAGCAGCACAGCCGATCCATCGTCGAGCGAAGAAGAGGATGAAGAGGAGGAGAGAGAAGATGACGATGAAGAAGCAAAGAGACGTGCTCTGCGACGGCAACGAGCATCGAGTCGCCCCAAAACCGTTTTACACTTTGCTCACCCCGTTGCGAACCGCCGGCGGCTGAAATTGAGATTGAAATTGCTTCTCCAACTACACGAAATCAATCGATCGTCGCGACCCTTCCCCAAATTCGATGTCCTTCCTGCCGACGTGCCAACCAGACTGATTTGCAAACTGCCCAAGCCGTATGGGACGACACGTGCCTTTGGGGCAAAGGACATGGTCGTTGTGACTAGTGACATGTATGAGCAACAACAGACGCTAGCCACCAGCGATGACCGCAGTGTATCCTCGGACGAATCCTGCGTGGAGCAACGGGAAGTCATTGCCACCATTTGCCAATGCGGGTCGGACGATTCCCCGCGGAAATCCAAATTCGAGGTGGCTTTCAGTTCCGGGGTGTATTGGGAAGGCATCGCTCTCCCAAACGGCTCGTATGAACTCGTTTCCCAAGGGGGTTCTTCGCCCCCCCGCAAAGTTCGATGGGTGGCACGCGACAAGAAACCGGTCAGACAAGCGTCAGGCTCCTCGGTGTCGTCAATGAGTGCCAGCCGATTTACATTCAGCGTCATCAACCCCAACACACGCCAGCATCCTGTCATCGCATCCATGACCCGAAAAGGGCTTACCGTGTTTGACCAATTCTCTTACCCTGCGGCATACTCCGGCGACGAGCAGTCCCCTCCGGCCTCGCCATCCACCGCGTCTTCTTCCGTGAAATCGGCCGGTCTCGTCCACACGGACGAAGACCTGCGCAAAGTAATAGTCATGACGGGCATCTGGGTGGCCTTTATGGAAGGGTGGGCGTCCAAAAGTCTGCTCAGTGGCGAAGTGCCGAATGCAAGCACGCTGTCGCCGCGGGCGAGATCATCCACGTACCTGAGTGCCGACGGCGATGCAGTTGTAGTAGAGACCGGGTCGACGGCAGGATCGTCGGCGTCGGGTCGTCCGTCGCGTCTGAATTCCTTCAGTCGTCAGAGAACGGTTAACCGTCGCAGCACGCAGTCGGAGTTTGGGCGCGAGATTGTGACAGAGCCGCAGAAGGGAATATGCAACATTCGGCGCAGTAAGAGCCTGACGTCGGCTGACCGCCGCGACCTGAAATGGACCAGCGTCGAGGCGGAGTCTGCTCCTGCTGCTGCTGCACGTGATGCGCCGGCGGACCTTCAGACGCAGGACGAAGACCCGAAGACCAAGTCACGGGGATGGCGCCGGTTCTCGTCCATCTTGAGACGGAAGAAGCGGTGACAGTCGTTATGTTGTGGTGCATTTCAGCGGAGCACCTCCTCTTTTTCTTTTTTTTTGCCCTTCTTCTTTTTTGTCGGTGTTGACCACCAAGATTGACTGTACATATACATATCCATGTAGTCCTCTCATTCCATCTCCTTTCAAGGTAGCGCGAACCGGCGGGGCCGCTCAATATATGTAACTTAGTGCCTTCAACCAATTCCAGGGTCCCGCGATCCAACGGTGATTGGCCAATGCAGGCCACTCTGACCGGGCGGCTTAGTTGGCTAGCCTCGGGATTGCTTGATGGACGCTGCATCCATCGCATGTCGTGTTGTCGCATCCGGTACGGCGCGGACAGCGGACACAAGCGAAGTGCTTCTCGCAGGTTGACCTTGACTCTGTTCACTCCTCATCGCTTTCTCGCTTTCTTTTCTGGTCGAGGTTAATCCGTCCATCATGGCAGGTGCGTTCCTTCCCTCTCTCTCGTTTTGACTCCTTGGCCCACTCCTTCCTTCCCTGTGCCCCAACAGTCTTCTTCCCTTCCTTCCTTTCTTCCGTTCTTCCTTCTCTCCGCTGCCGCCATCTTTCCGCTTCCTCGCAAAAAAAAAAGAAAACAAACTCCCAACAGCACGGTCTATGTCTATGGCGTCCATCAGGACTCTGCTTCGACGGCCGTGCTTGTTGACGGGGCGTGCCGTGAATCAAATCCCATCTGCTTTGAACCATTCTAACCCCCGTGCCTGCCACTCCTCTGCAGCAGACAACAGCAACAAACTTGAAACGGGCCTCCAGTACAACAAGGAAAACTGGGCGCCCGCATACCCCGAGCGCTTCCCCGAGCTCGCCCACGGCCAAAAGCCGCAAATCCTCTGGATCGGCTGCTCCGACTCGCGCTGCCCGGAGACATCGCTCCTGGGCCTGAATCCCGGCGATGTCTTTGTGCACCGCAACATCGCCAACATCGTGCACGAAGCCGACCTCAGCTCTTCGTGCGTCATTGACTTTGCCGTCGGCGTGCTCAAAGTCAACCACATCGTGCTGTGCGGCCACACCGCCTGCGGAGGCGTGAATGCTGCCCTGGGCAACTCCAAACTCGGCATCCTGGATACCTGGCTGCTGCCGCTGCGGAAGCTGAGGCAAGAGAATCTCGAGGCTCTGCAGGCCCTGGAGCCCGCCCACGCTATTGTCAAATTGGCCGAGCTCAACGTGCTCGATGGCATCAGCAAGCTTAAGGAAAAGGGCGTCGTGATTGACGCTATTGAGCAGCGCGGCTTGAAGGTACATGGTGTTATCTATGATGTTGCCTCGGGCTTGTTGCGTGATGTTGGTGGCGGAGAGGAATCCCAGGGTGCTGTCAAGGCTCGCCTGGCTGCGTTTAAGATTGCCTAGTCTCCCTTTCTTTTCAATTAGTCTATCTGGACAGAACGGATTACGATGCTACGTGGATTTACCAATAAAGAGTTTTTAAATGTATTCACTCTGCGATCAACCTTGAAAGAGGAAAGAAAATGAAAAAAAAAAAAAATTGAAAAAAAGGCCACTGGTACTTTCAATCCTCCCAACACTCAGGCGGCGTCCAACCCAACAAATAATCCACTCGATCCCGAATCGTAGTCGGCCGCCATCTCCCGTTCTCGCCGCAGTAGTATCGCTCAAACACCTCCCATGTCGGATCCTTGTAGTCACTGACTTGTGCCATCGTGCACGCAACCGAGGTCGAGCAGGCGACGTGACGGAATACCTCCACTGCAAAGGAGGAGATGAATGCGCCTCGAGAAAGTGCTTTGGATGAGCCATCTCTACGACTTGGGGGCATCTCTTTGGAGGTTAGTGGTTTGTCCGCAAAGATAAGCCCCGAAGCGCACACCGGGCCGTAGTAATCTATCGGTCCTGCCCAGGGAAGGAAACACATGTCTGACTCTAGAGTGTCGTTCTCGTCTTGTTGCGGAGAGGTATCTTCGCCAATATCAATATCGTCTAGTTGCAGCTCATCTAGCACAATGGTTGGAACTGGTGTTGTCTCTGAATGATTGGGATCCTGATCGTTGATATAGTGCTGCGACGTATTCACATGCGTTTCAAGTCTAGCACGAATATGGTTTGCATACCTTCCGACGGTGCGAAATGTGTTACTAGGCGTGGCGATGGCTTCGGGAGGCCCGCCGATGAGTGCGCAGATGAACACGGTGGAGAGAAAGACGGCCGGTAGGAGCCACTGCAGGATGAAGAGGAATTGTTCTCGGAGAGCGTTTTCTGGAGAAGAGCGTCTAGCCGGACATGATGAGCTTTTTCTGGGAGGCGCCCCTTTTGTTTCCACTTGTTCCGCGGTGGACTTGATTCCGTTCTCTGGTTCGTCTATATCACCCTGATCACCTGCATCAGCTTCTTCGTCAGCTAGATGCGTCTGATAGACTTTCGTTTGTACATCCTGAACCCCGTTATTCTCAGACTCCCGCTCACGAATCTGAAAGAAAACAAAGGGTCTCTCCCGCGGGTCAAAAGAAGACTGAAAGCAACCATCCGACTCCTGGACATCATCAAGACCACTAATTTTGTGCTCAAAAGACCTGTCCAGCGGTATATCCAAAACGAACTTTCCAGGAACATTCGGACATGCAACGATAATATCAGACAGATCCAGCATATACCAGCCCTCCAAGTTCTGGTTCAGAAACTGATGGGAAATGACCTCAACCCTGTAAAGGCCCTCTTTTCCCTGGCTGGAAACGTAGAACACTAGGTTCCCATCGTTACGACGAATGTAGGCATCTCCTGCCAAAAGAGACGAATCACTCTCGCTCTCCTCCATACGGCTGACGATGTCCTTTGTCGATGTCCAAGGGAACAAATCCTGCGAAGACGGCGTTGGACTGGGCGGTAAGTCGAGATCAAGGTCGCTGTAGGTCGAGTCTTTATGAACCGTGTCTGCATCTCCATCCTTTGCTGACCAGGGTTCGGAGGGGTCGGGCCCATCGGACGCTCCGTCAAGGTCGAACTTGCGGATGGGGATTTTGCTTGGTCTTGGCGTGGTCGCAAGGCTTCTTAAGGATGCGGCATCGTTATTATTTGGGGCTTTTATTGTTGTCTGCCCGTCAGACTGTCCATCATCACTGCAAAGTTCCTGCGATGTGCTGTCGTTTTTCTGACTTTGGAGTAGTTGACTGATCCTACTCGCGTTTTCGGGGCTATCGTGCGCACCCTCATTTGGTTGTCCCTGGTCGAGGGAAGGAGGGCTGTCATGGTCGTCTTTCATATCATCGTCAGAGCTATTATCTGGTGCTTCCAGGCCAATATAGCTAGTTTTGCAGTCAAATAAATCACTTTCAGTCAAGCCCAAATCGTCGATGTTTTTGAGTATCGTCAGAGATGAGTGCGGTCTGGCTTGCACCTGCAAAATGACGCGGATAGTCGCAGGACTTGCAGTGTCTCCGTTCCATTCTGTCCTCAGCTCGAGACTGTGAGGGTAAGGATACTCCATCGAGGCTATGGGCTGGCTGAGCTGTGTAGAAGAGCTACGCATGTAGGACTAGGAATGTTTCGTTTCTGGCGGACAGGAAGAAATCTGAACCGCTCAGAGATGAAACACGAAGGATTGAAAGGAGATGGACGAGATGAAAGAGGGCGGTGGGCGACTTGCAAAGCCTGCAATTCTGGCAGGTCACTTGCGTGTTTGTTTGTTTCATGCTATTCACTGGGCAATGGCTTTCTTTATTCGCCAGGCAGACGTCACAATAGCTTTGTACCTTCATTATCCATTATTCCTGTCTTCTACTTACTATGTGCAATCTCATGATACATCCTGATGTCGTCAACAACCCTAGCCCTAACTCACGGGTTTTGAGCTGTCTTAAAACCCGTCGCCGGTCTCTGCTTGCCCACTTTTTTTTTATTTTTCTCCTCTTTTCGAATACTTGTTAAGCTGTTGCATTCTGAATTGATCCTGTTTTAACTTTGTAGTATCCGATTTAGTAATCTTTATGAGAGTCGGCCCCATCTCTTCTGGACGTAGGATTTTGAGGTGGGTGTTAGACGGAGTTTAAGCCAGGGGTGGAACTGTGGTAGATACATGATATAAATATGTGATATCTTTTCAATTTTTGAGTCGCTATACTACTGTCCACGTGTATTCACGCATATTGTTACATCTAGCATTAAGACTAGAAACAATGGCACAGAATCAACCACCACATCCGTCGACTGAAAAACCGTCAGATCCTGAAGACCAGTCCAGCACTTCAGCCGAGACCACCGTGAGTTCAAGCTTCCACTCCCAACAATCAGAACCACACTAAGAAAGCACAGCAGCCTCCCGTTTCACCAACTGATCCCAGAACATGGCCGAGACGTCAAAAATGGAACATCACGCTTGTCGTCTCCAGCTTTGCACTCATCTCGCCCATCTCTTCATCCATGGTCGCGCCAGCGATGAGCAAACTAGCCAGCGACTTGCGCATCACAAACACCGTCGAAATACAACTAACCCTGACCATATTCATGCTCGCCTTCGCGTTTGGGCCGCTGGTTACCGCTCCTATCTCTGAAACCGTTGGACGGGCGCGCGTCTTGCTGGTCTGTAATATGTTCTACATAGTGTGGAATCTGGCATGTGGTTTTGTGACAAACAAGGCCGAAATGTATTGCTTTCGTTTGTTGGCAGGCCTAGGTGGAAGTGCTCCAATGGTGGTTGGAGGTGGTGTTCTAGGGTAGGTTATCCATAGTACCCCCTTGTGATACATATTAGCATGCAGTGCATGCTAATGGAGAGAGGTGAAAAAAAAAAAAGTGACCTATGGGCTCCAGAAGAACGCGGAAGAGCTGTCGGTATGTACAGTCTAGGCCCGTTGCTGGGACCTGTCGTCGGACCGATTGTAGGCGGTTTTATTGCTGAGCGGACGACATGGCGATGGGTGTTTTATGCGACAAGTATCGTCGCAGGCATTAGCGAGGTGCTTGGCTTTATTTTCCTGCGCGAGACTTTCGCACCTGTTCTAATGAAGCGACATGGTGTCAAGACCGACACTCCTCAGCAGGCAGAACCCTTTGTCAGGAGACTGCAAACGGCTTGCAAGCGGCCCTTTTTCTTCCTAGTCACACAGCCCATCGTCCTCGTTGTCGCCGTGTACATGGCGTTTATCTTCGGGACCATGTACCTTCTCATATCTACATATCCGGATGTTTGGACAGGAGTATACGGCGAAAGTATCGGTATTGCTGGCCTAAATTATATCTCCCTCGGCATCGGCTTTTCCGTCGGCGCACAGATCATTGCTCTGGTCAACGACACCATATACCGTCGCTTGAAAGCTCGTAATAACAACAAGGGCGAGCCAGAGTTCCGTGTTCCAGCCATGTTTGTCGGCTCAGCCTGTAATGCTGTTGGCTTGTTCTGGTATGGATGGAGTGTGCAGGCTCATACGCACTGGATTGTACCCAATATTGGAATTTTCTTCTTCGCCTTCGGAACAATCACATGCATGCAATGTATGCAAGTGTACGTTATCGACAGCTATACCGTCAATGCAGCCAGCTGTCTAGCTGCCGTGGGATTCGTGCGGAGTCTGGCAGCCTTTGGGATTCCGCTATTTGCTCCTGCAATGTACAACGCCTTGCATTATGGATGGGGAAACAGTGTGTTGGGGTTTGCGAGCGTCGTTCTAGGACTTCCATCCCCGTTTTTGTTCTGGATATATGGCAAGAAGTTGCGCGAGATTTCGAAGTTTGCCGCGAGTAATTAGACTCACTCACTTTTCGCGAAGTCTAAATACGCATTTTCTCCTCTCTCTTTTTCCTTTTTCTTTTTTAACTTCCTTCTATAAATATTTCGAGATATATATCGAGTTTGCAATTCTCAGCGAAAAGAATATAACATTATCCTAACCAAACAAGTTGTCGGCCAGTTTCCAGTCGCCGAATTCGCCGCTAGGAAAAGCCCCGTAAGACAATTCATTGATCAAATCATCCCATCCAACGGCCCATGAGGGATCCATCGGGTCGAAAGATTGCTTCTCAATGTTGGCCATTGTAGTGTCATCTAGAGGTTCTCCAGGCTCTTGAGGTAGAGACCCAAAATCTAGAGTTGGGACTATATTTTGACTGTCGACAGAAGTTGACTGAATGAGAGCATTGACTCTTTCTCTCGTTCTCTCCATCAATTTCCTTATCATTCTTGTCTTTGCCCTTCCATTGGGGTCGGCATGTGCTTTCTTATAGTGCTCGAAGACATCTTCAATCAATGGCCACACTTGCATGACAAGAGTTGGGTCGGTAGAGATGTAGCACTCTCTGATGGCAACAACTACTGTAGGCCATTGTGGTGTAACATACCATCTGAATCCCTCACCTCGTTCGTCATTCTGTATACGAGGTGCGTTTTCAATGACTTTGGCGCATAGTGCGAGAATAGATGGACGCTCTTGATTGAATGATGGCATGTTGTCTCTCATGGACGCGAATCGTCTGAAGATATGCAATCGCGCCGCTGCTTCCAGCGACTGTGTCCCATAATGGACAAACCATGAATAGTTACTATCGTCTGGGTTGCAATACTTGGTGAGTTGTGAGGTTATGTTATGAAAAGAGGCCACTAGTTCCTCATGCGCGGACCATTGCTGTGGCTCTGTGTAATACAACCGTCGTCCAAACGCTTGTAGACTGTAAATCACAAGTGGGAAAGTCATGTCTGTCACTTCCTGGCGCTCTGGTAAATCGTGGCCTTTGTAAGAGATATCAAAGTCCGTGTCGTTTACATTGCGCGGCAGCGCAATCTGCGTCATTTCAAGAGGAATCAGTGGCAGTGAATCTGGGTCAATGCTTGTTTGTACATCCAGGACACATATTGTAAGCCATAGCCGTTTGCGCATCTGCCGGTCGAAGAATGTTTCCGTTGGATGGAGAGATTCAACATGGAGGTTAAGCGCTTGAGCGATGCGAACTGCTGTAGCCAGTAAAGTCCATACAGCACGCGATTTATCATGAGCTCGGGTTGCAACCTATACTTGTCGATTAGTTTAAAAAAAATAAATAACAGCTACGTGTCATAATCTACTACCGGCAGGGAGGATATACCAGATACAGCACAAAGGCCTGCAAAACTGTAATATCGGTTGTTCGCATCAAGTCCGCTCTCTCCAAAGCGGTTTCGCAGGCGCTTTGGTATTCCGGCAGCACGTCCATCCTGGCACACTGGAAGAGTTGCTGGCATTGGCGGTCTGTCATGCTAGCGACGGCCGCGTAAAAGACAGCCGTGTCCAGCGCATTCTCTGCGTTGGGGGAGTCTTTGCAAGTCGGGTAGGGCGTCCCATCTAGCAAATGTTGCTTCAGAGAAGGCCGATGTAGCACCTTGATTATCCGGTCAACATGGTTAAGAAATATGTCACATAATGCATCCGTGACCGCGCGGGATGGCCGCAGTGACAGAGAATGCAAACGACCCAGCCGTCCCAGCGACAACCCCATTAAGTAGGAAGAAGAAGTAGGAGTCCGGAACGGCTTCTCATGTTCCTCAACCCGGTCATCCTCGTCATCTGTGTCCTCGCTTACCATCCCCTGAACTCCGTGAATCTCCGTCATCACATTAGACCAAAACTGGGGAGCCACTGGTCTGCTGTCCGTCGTAGAACCACTGACGGCGGGCGATGGCGCCGTTGGTTTCTGACTATCCGCCGAAGTCAAGGTCCAGCCATTTTCCGTGAAGGCAGAGGCTGTGCTGGCATCTCCTTTCCCAGATCCTACTATACTAGTACCAGAAGAAGACTCGGCTATTGCTACATTCACAAGAGCCTCCAATCTGGCGATCTTATCCCTCAGATCTTGCGTAGTTCCGCCCGGCTTGTTGTTCGCATGGCGCCCTCGAGGGAGTCTCTTGCGACGGACTGATTCGCAATTGATGCCGGCTTTTTGGCAGTTTGTGCATGGGTTCAGCTTGTCGCATTTGATCTTGCGTTGTCGGCAGAATTCACAGCTGAGGGTTGGAAGGTGTTGGTTCCGCGATGGAAAACTGGACATTGTGCACCTTTCTTTCCCCTAGACTGATCATATCAGCAATTCTCCGCGCATGGTACCTGTTTTGTGTGTGTGTGTGTGTGTGTGTGTGTGTGTGTGTGTGTGTCTCCAGGAATGGCGCCTGAGTTGTTTGACGATAAGATACGTAGGTAGTTGTAGTTGGACTCCGGCAGCTATCTTAGCTTATCGAATTGGGGGGGCAGGCTAACCGAATTGGTGGTAGCGGGGATTATGTTATTTGATCTTAGAGCACTTCATCTGAGTACTATCTGCAAAATATATCAGAGAACTGCCATGGATGGACAGTAGCAGCTGTCGCCCTTCATCTCGAATAGTCTACCTTGTTGAATGTGAACACCATGTTCCTCGTGTGCGACACAAATACGTGCGCAACAACCTGAACTTGGAAATTTGGCAAGTTCTGGGCGCCTATGTCATGAGCCTAGGAAGGACTAGTCAGGTAAGCTTGGACTTAATCGAAGCTGATTTTAGAAGTCCTCCTATTGGGTGCACTTTGGATCTCTAGGAATGACCTGCAAGTCAGCGCCACACAGTTCGCAATCCCGGGAGTGGTTTTTCTGCCGTTAGTAGTCAACCTCAGCAACATATCTATTGAGTGACGACCATCCGGCGGCGTGAAAGATCCCAAGGCATCTCATCATCTTTTACATGAATTCATTGCTTATCATATCATTGGCAGTGAATGCACTCCTTCGATTTACCAATCACCAAGTCTGCTCATGATTAGAGAATTGGCCGCTTCGAGCAGCAGCTTGTTGTCGTCGTTTATAAATGTTGTGTTGGAAAATAGCTGGAACAAACATGCAAAGCGATAAGGCGTGCTAGCATCTTATGTGTCCTCTACTCGAGCATATTCCGAATTTCAGCTCTACTACGGAGGATATCGACTTCAAGGATTGCGTAACTCCGTGATGCGTTTGTGATCTAATGACACAAAATTATCATCAAGGCTATTCGGGTTCCGTTTGTTGAAGATGTTCCTAATCAATTGTATCAGGATTCTCACTGTATGCTTAGACTGGATTAGATACTCCACAAATTTGATTTATTAGATATAAGAGTTTATTCTGCTAGGATAAAGGAGCCCTTACAAACAACCCGTTTAATCTAGCATGCTATAAGTTAGCTAATAGTTAAGTTATGCAAGAAACATACCGTATGCATTTTGCTTTATTAATATTTCGTGATCTGCCTGGTGTGGCTAGCTGTATTGTTTTTATTTTGATTATTGCAGCCCTAAAATACAAGCGCTGAAAGCTGTGACTGATGATCTACGAAATATTTTATCAATCTGGTAGCATGTCCAACGAAGAACCTCGCACATACAAGCAAGCTATTGTGATCGAAGGAGGTATAAATACTTGGTCAGAAAGCAGGGGGTACTATCATTAACACTACATACCTAGGTAAAAACTTCTCGTACAATAGTCTGAGTGGTATAGTCGCACTCTCTAGTGCTTCTCGTACAATGTCCTCATTCTAATAAAATAGATGGTAATAATGATCCAAGGCTTCAAGCAAAAGAATGGAAAATGACGCCGTCATGTCTTTCTTTCCTCGTAAAAATAGTTTATCCATTTTTTTTTCCCTTTTTTTTTCTTTTCCATTACTCAAGCAGGGTATCGCTGTGAATTTATGTAACCTCCTGGTCCGCCAAAGGATCTCATGGCCAGCATCTGATCCTCCTGGTTGGGGTATGACGAGTTCGTGCTCGTTAATTGCTGTGGCGGTCGAACGCCGTATTCCGGCATTGTTACTTGTTGTTGTCCGGTATATGCAAATCCCATTGGATTTTGATAACCTCCCGGCTGATTCGGGTACATAGTGGTTGGTTGGTAAGTAGGTGCAAAGCGCGCATCCGGTTCAAAGACGGCTCTTGAATCCATATCTATCGAAGTGCGAACACGCTTAGGAGCGGGCGCAGGTGTGTAATAATTAGGTTGAGGATAGCCTGGAAAACCACCACCGAGTATTTGCGGTACGGCTGTGCGGTCAGGGGAGCGCGGTAAGCTTGGAGCATATTCTTCATGTCTGCTTGCACCTGCCCGTTTCCTGCTTGTGGTTTAGCTGGTTTAGCTGGTTGTTTTTTCTGTCCCTTTCTGGTGAGATGTTTGGAGGTTCTTTACTCACATTGTATTTCGAGCTTCTTTGCGAATTCTCAGCTTCACTCCTTGATCTGCAAACGACCGCGAAAGATGTGTGGATTCTGACATTCCCGGAAAATTCTTTGGCGTCATAACTACAAGATTTTCCACCGTTATTATTATCGTCATTGTCATAAGCGCACATCACCAGCTGACGATGCACTGCACCGCACAGTAGCAAGCTCACCTTGAAAGGAGTTGGAAATGATTGACTTTAATGCCACGACATTGTCCCTGTGTACCAGTCAGCCCTGGTCCGAGCACGCAAGACGTTTTACATACTTTTGCATCTCAAAAAGAGTGAACTGTAGTCTAAAATCACCTTCGATCTTGATGGACAAGTCCCCAAAGACAAAAAATCCTCCATCTGGTTGGGAAAAACAGTGACCGAGTCAGAAATCGTCCAAAAGAGCAGTCTTCTCACCAGCTTCGACCCCGAGTTTCGAACAGGAAAATCACTCACCAGTATTGTCACTGTCCTTCAACCGATGCAGTGAAGATACGAGAGTTCCCGCCAAAGCGGTGGAGGGTTGACTGGAGTGCACAGGGTGATCCTCGGTGGCGTGGTATAAGCTACAACACATAAAATAATAGGGACTCTGAAGGTAATGCCTGCGAACTGTGAGCCCTGCCTGCTCCTCTCACAGCAGCAGCTGCCAGTATTTTTGGGGGAGGGAGGGAAAGGGGGTTTACTCACTGGGCTAGATAAGTGTTCTCTTGGGAAACTTTGAGCTGAATGACTGGTGGCGGATCAACTGGCTTGCGCTCTGTGAAGACTCAAGATTCAGCATTACGGTTTTCTCTTTTTCCTGCTGGGCAAACCGAGCAGAAGCAGACGTACCCTTCTCCTTGCCCCCGGCCACGCGCGCTCGCTCCGGCTGTTGGCGGACAATCAACTCGAAGTCAGAGCTAGTGTTGGAGAGCATGGTCAGTGTGTCTTTACCAGGCTGTTGCAGATTTGAGTGGAAAAGGCAAATGAAGCTGGAGACCAGGAACGGAAAGCAAGGTTGAAGAAACACGGGCAAAGTCAGCAGACAAACCTCTGGGAATCCGAGCGAGGCATAGGGAAATTTTCCTGAGGCGAAAAGACGCTCGCGGTGCTCTGCCGCGCCAGGTAAGAATGGCTAGGTAGAGTCTTGCAGTCTGACTCTAGGTACAAGGCAACAGTATCCAGCAGGAGAATGACTTTGGGTCTAGATCTTTTTTAAGGACGAGTTTCTCGTTTCTGGAGGAGGAGGGGGGGGGGTTGCTTGCCGCTTGCGTGCAGAGTATACTTTGTTTGGGACGAATCCTGACGACACGAACGGCCGTTTTTGTTCTTCCCCTCCGCTTTTAGGGCAGTCGCTGTCTGCTGCGGCGGCCGGCACGCCCCCACCGTGCAGTACGGCGTTTTGCGCTAGAAATGCGTAATCTATTCGCGGTCTGCCTACGGACGCATGATGGTCGCCATCTGCCTACAGTTATTATTACGTGCCCGAAGCTGGCGGGGAGTATGCGTGTCCGGTCTTGCTTGCTGCTGCTGCTTCCAAGCTGCACTGTTGATAGACATCCAAGCTATCGGCATCTACAACATCTAGGGGGACTGCCGTACATTACATGCACTGGTAATTTTCGTCACAGCCGGTCTGCCGGCGGTACGGTCCCTGCAGGCTCCCGTACACCGATCGATTATGGTATTCCACCAGATCCCCACCCATGGTATTAATCAGTGCTCGCTGTATGGCGTTCAGCGTCCAGCGTGCAGCGTCTGCTGGTTAGGCAGAACCAGAGCTAAGCCTCTGGACAAAGACGGTCAGGTGGCCGGATTATATAATGCCAATGTAGCGATAAAGTCCTGGACAGACTCAGAGATAAGCGAAACGATGGATGAAAGGGCCGCCCTGCACCCCACCATTATTGGATCATCCAAATTCACAGGTTATCGACAAGAAGACGAAGGCGCTCGAATAGGCATAGGCGCAGTGGGTTGACGACGACAGGCGGCGATTGGCTGGGGTGTCTCAGGAAAGCACAGAGAGGCAAAAAATAAAATTGAAAAAGAGCGCGCAAAAAAAACACACAAAACGGTCTAGGTCATCACGGTGGATAAACAGCCACAGCCAATGCAGGGCAGCCGTTTATGCCTAATCCACCCTTTTGCTCTTCCCACAGCGCGTACCATGGCTCTCGCCAGTCCTGTCCAGTGGACGACGATCCGCGCGGTTTCCTTCGTCTGATGATTCCGTCAATGCTCTGTCATCTGAGAGCTACGCGAAAGTGTTGAGGGAAAAGCAAAAGCAAAAGCAAAAGCAAAAGCAAAAAGCATAAAAGCCAGAGGGTAAAGTAAATTCGCATGCGATCTTCACAATGGGAATGGAAATCTATTACGTGCGAATACGGAACATGCCGTAAGCGGCTAGTCAGGGCCCACCGTGCAGAATTCATCTAGGCGGCGGGCCAATCAGGGCGGCAGCTGAGGCGGCGTAGTAACTTTAGTACGGCCTGCGATGGCGTATGTAATATGCACGATGGCTGCAAGGGCAATCTCTAAGATCGACTAAGTTCACTAGCATTCCGCCCAGCAAAGACTCCCTGATTCCCCGGTAATGCTAATACCGACAACCCTAATAAATTACACATACATCGCATGCTCCGTATATATACCTAGTTACAGCTCACGCAGCCACTGGTGCCTGCAACAGAGCAGTCCGCGATCCGACAGAATCGGTTTCCACGGGTTAATTGCCGAAATGCGCGCATTTGCCTCTAGTGTGGCGTGTGTCGTCGTCGTTCCTCCGTAAGCTGCCTAGCTCCTTTAGTGTACCAGAGTCTGGTGTGCTCCTCCTTATAGAGTAATATTCGGCCTCAGGACGCCCAGGTCCAACCGCACATCAGCTGACTTGGGTCCTTTCCCAATCTTCTCTTCCGCTCCTGCCACCATTTCTTTCTTATCCTTCCATGCCTACTCCCTGGGCAGGTGCTTTGCAATTCCATTGTGTGCTCCAACAGAGACGTTAGACAATGGCTTTACCCCTGGATCGTCGAGAGTCTCGCTGACGACAATGAGAGGCGGGCCGGTACGGCTTCGCTTGATTCGCGATGACCTAGATGTCTTAGTGCTCCAAGAGAGACCACTGTGAACTTGTCCTGACCACCCCCCCGGAACCTTCCTTGCCACACAGCACATCTTGCGCGAGGGGTCATTGCTCAGCAGTGAAGACAAATGGACCACAATCAAGAATGAAAGTCGACGGGCGGCTACTGAAGAGAGCGATCACAACAATGGACGGTAGAAACAATACCTTTGGCCGCAATTCACCAGTTTGAAATATCACCAAATCAATGGATTATACGGCGAAGGATCGACGGCTGCGATTTGTGCAACATCTGGATATCTTTCTATCAAGACATAGCTAATGCAATGATTGCAGATGGCACGTGCTGTGCGTTGAACGATCAACATCGTGTTAATCTTGTTGGCTCTTACACTCAGGGATAACCCCCGGTTACGATATTACACTCAAACACGATGTGTGCCTTTTCCGAAAACGAAACGCTGCTATGGTTCTATGCGGACAGTGGAGACTCGGACTTTGCCCGTTGAACATTTGAGTTGAAGGACTTGCTCATGCCGATCAGCAGGGTCGATCGCAGAATCTGCCGAAATGATGCCAACACTGTCAGCCTACGGTGTATTACTCCGTACGCCGTATCGTCCCATTATCGGCACTAAACAATAAACTACGCCGCCATATCTTGGACTATTCATTAGCTGCATAAGTGGCCGCAACGCGCAGCTTCAATGGCTACTAGTACCGAAGCAGGAATGGGGGTTTCTTGCCCTAGAAGGCTAGATGAAATTGCGACGTGTGGCTGGACTGGGGTCTATTTCCCCTGGCCAGTGTGACAAGGCTGGCTTTCTGCCGGCCTCTGCATTAATCAAGGCAGCGGGTTTTTGCTCCGCAGCTGAATCTACGCGTTGCCGCCGTGCGCGTGGAAGGAAAGGCCCTTTAAGTTGATAAACTAGGCACTCTGTGGACTTGCCTAGGCTTCATCTGAAATGATATGCTAGAAGAGATTCTTCTCCGTTTCGGTTATGCATGGATTGTGCATTGCGCATGGTTCTTGAACAATGAGTGTCAGTATGCTGAGAGAAATGGTGAATATCTCAAGTGGGTCACCAAACAACCGCTCGATTTCCAAGGTTTTCCCTTGACTTTCTCTTCAAATGAATAAACTGTCAAGAGTCATACAGCCGACGACGAACAAGGTCATACGAACGTTTATCGGGACCTCTGTAGAGTAGGTTGTAACGGTGTTTTGACCTTTGCTCTATGCCATCGAAAAGTACATAGGTGAGTTAACATATATTTGACCAACCCCAGGCAGAAAACATCAACAAACAAGGTATTACACGTAGCCTAAGAAATCCATGGTATTTTCAGATATAAAGTTACCCCATATAGAGCTCTTCATATAACTTTTCCCACTAAAGTAATTAGCTTAGCTACAGCTATATGACCATGGAACATGAACTCCCTAACTTCCTATGCGGTACCATGGATATACAACAGAAATGACACGCCGCTAAACTAGGTAGAACTCCCAAGGTTCTCTTGTTACTCTTGCCGCTGTCAACCGGATGATCGTGGTACCTGGTTTGAGTTGCGTTGGATCCATGGATTGCTGGTGCTTACTAGCTTCAGTACCACACCAGCCCTAGAAAGGTAATCGATATGATGTACCATAAGTAGTTAAGTGTTTATTTTGTTTCTCAAGTATGAATGTAGTAGGTAATTCAGCTTGATGTATCTATCTATCTATAGTCACCTAACCTAAAACAACATTTCAAACAATCAATCAACACCAACTCCGTTCCTCGCAGTCCTGTCCTCCGATCAAACCAAACCAAAAGAATATGTAGATACTAGACACATAATTAGAGAGAAAAAGGAAAAGAAGAAATAAACACACTCGTGCCGAATTAATAGAATAATATGAAATAAAATAGGAAAGAGAGCACGCTACTTAATACACAAAATAGGTGATACATGCATGCATGACTTGTGTAGCCCCAATTTTTTTTTTGTTTTGGTGATTTGTGTTCGTTGTATATAAGAGGAGATGAATCTTTTTGTTTCATGACATCTGCACATCCTCGTCGACTTCGCCATCTGCATCAACGTCGCTGTCTCCGTTTGCGCTTGCGTTTGCGGTTGCTGTTCCATTTCCATTGATGCTGGCCCTAGTGGTAGACGACAGCTTGATCGTCTTTTTCTCTTCATCGGCTGCGGATCGGCGAGTTCGACGCGGTGTGAGATTGCCTGTGCTGTTGGTACTGGTTGCAGTGACATTATTACTGACAGCGGTGGCGGTAATACTCTCGTTGTTAGAGTTGGGATCGGTGGGAACGTCGATGCCATTTGTCCCAGACTGGTTGGTTTCGACCTCGGCATCAGCGTCGGCATCGGCATCGGCATCAGCTGGCAATGGGGATAATGCGTGATTCGATTCTGGCATTGCCGACTCAGAAATAGATGTTCCGTTCGTGAACCCTTCTATTTGTTCGCCTTCTTCCTCGTCTGCATCCGGCAGTGTGGGCTCATCGTTGTCCGGATCATAATCATGATTACTGTTCATGCCCATGCTGACTGAAAGGCTTTCGGCCCCTGGTAAAAGCTCAGACGCCAGTCCACTTCTGCTCCTTCGCGCCGAGGAAACAGCGTCAGCACCAGCAGACGCTTGCGACCCAATTCCAAACATGGATGTCGAAGTGCGTCGGGGGGCGGATCGTGGACCACGTGGTGTCGTGTTGTACGATGTTCTATTGTAATTCGTCTTGCTGCCCCATGGCCTACCGGGTCGCCGTTTGAAGACTGGTGGCTGGACTGGAGGATAGATTTCAAAGCGAGTCGGGGGAATATTAGCTGCTGGATCCACCGCGCCCGTGTCGCCGTTGGTTTGAGATAACGAGGTCGACTCTTCCCCAAACGAAGAAAATGCTGTCGTCGGAGGACCAGCTGGTGCATACGATGATATACCTCCTTTTGAGGCTAGGTCACCATTAGTTTTCGCGGATCCGTTACCATCAATATGCATTGCGCCAACTTCATCCGTGTCCATATCATCTTCATCATTAAGGTCTTCTCTAGGAGCGACAGTGTGCAGTTGTGCACGATCGTAATGTGATTGGTTACTTCGGCCCATTATGTATGGCGTCCATACGAGGGCATTCGGGTTGAGCTTCACATACCCCTTGGCCTCCCAATTCTGAATGTACTCTTCAAAATACGGGTAGTTCAGCCGTAGTGCGTAGGTCTTAGTGACTGGGTCTCTGACAAGAGCACGCAGCCCTTCTAGGCCTGAAACAATATCATCTGCGGTTATGCCTGTGCGATCAGAAAGTTCCGCAATGCTAACCGGCGTCTTCTGGTTGCGCAACTGATAGCTTAGAACAAGTCGCCAATAGTTGCGATAAGAGACCAGACCCATGTCAGACAGGGGCTTCTCGGGAGATCCAGTCTTTTTCTCAACTCGCGTCAAAAGATAGGAAAAGTCAATGAGAAGATTGCCGTATCCCTTTCGCTGATGAATAGGCAGAGTCAAGATACACGAGACATTATTTGATGAGCTCGGCCGTTTCTCCTTGCTGAAATAGCCCACAAAATGACATCCTAGTTCGTCAAATTCAGTCATGACGTAGAAGAGAAAGGGCTCAACATCATAATATAGAGTCTTTGAGCCCAAGAAGAGCTTCGCTAGGAGACAAAGGTTTTGGCAATAGACTGGATTCTTTCGTCCATCCACTTCATAGATTGACACCGAGCCATCTCGATAAATTTCATCCCCTGGAGGATGTTTCGCCGGGCATTTCAATTTGTGCCTCCATGCGACGAAGTCGGAGTTCATGTATTTCAGGCAAAATTCACAAATGTAGAGCACTTTGTTGCGACTGTATTCTTCAGGGTAAGGCGCGGCATACCATGTCTCGATCTCGTAACCACCAAAGTTGATCCATTTGATTTTGCTCGGCGGACCAGATACTTTCTGTGATGCACGATGGTTGACTTCCCCAATAGGCTCTGACTCCATGACTTTTCTTTGCCAGTCTTCTTCTGCTTTCCTTCGCGCAGACTCGAACTTCTCTCGATCAGCTTGCGTAGGAAGAGTTCTGCTGGTATCGGCATCAGCTTCCGATAATATCCCGCCATACGGTTTCGACTTCAGCTCGTCAACTTCACGATCGTGAAAGGAATAGAAGGGTGCGGTCGTATAAGCAGGAACGATAGGGGCGAAATGAGTAAGTGGTTCATCTTCTATAGGCGGTGGTTTGGGTTGTTGTCGTCGCCGCCTTGCCTTGAGGGGTCTTGGGCGCGAATTGAGAATCTTTGCCATCTTGACAAAGTTGAGGTGCAGGGCAATGACACACTTGCCAATGTCGCTCTCCACGACACGACAAAGCTTCTTGTCTGACTTGCGCTTCCTGCGCGGTCGTGTGCGTGGCAACCCATCTGTGTCGAAAGACCCATCAGCGCTATCTGTTGCCCCTTGAGAAGGCGTTCGCCGCTGTCGTTTCCGCAATACAGGAACATGCTCATCTGGGTCGGCAGAGGAGATTTTCCTTTTTCGAAGTGACCGCGTTCCGTCCATGGGATCATCGTCAACTATGAGATTAGTGAAAATAGAGTGAGAAGAAGGCCCTTGGGTGCCAGTCGAAGCTGCTAATAGATCGCGCGCAATGTTTTGAGCAGTCGATCTACGTAGAGCCGCCGAATCTTCACCAGGATCGGGCTCAAAATTATTCTGAACGCAGGTGACACATCGCCAACTTTCCGCATCTGTCAATTGCAATTAGATGAAGCTCGAAGGAAGTGGACATGGCAGCTAGCTCACCTTCGGTATCGCTGAAAGCGCTTTGCTCTCGAGCACATTGTCGATGGGCTATAAAAAAAAAAAGTAATCGTTAGTGTCGACATACCACCGTTGCAGAGATGGAGAAGTCTTACAGTGATCACCGCATACTGCGCAAGTCAGGTACTCCTCAAAATCCTCGGACGGATCATGATCCTCATCCTGGCCACAAAATCTTTTTGGCTGTTAGATATCTAATTGAATGCTCGAGCAACTCTGAGCACTCACATGCAATTACCCCGAGAGATCTTCTCCCCATCATGTTCGTCCTCCTTCCCATTACTTTCAGCATCCCAGTCCTCAGGCTCTGCGTCTGAAACGTTGCTGTTTGAATCCGAACCTGAATGTGCATCTAGGCCATTCTCAAATGCGACATCTGGATCACTTTCCTCGTCATCTGACTTCGAGAAAACTGCACCTCTTCGACCTCGACGTAGCCTCCGAGACCCTTCGAATTCCTCGTCATTTTCATCGTCTCTTGATGCTGCATCCTCTGCCGACTCGTCTCCGCTCCTAATCTCCTCGGCGAAATCCGATTCCGCAGTAGCCTCGTCATCTTCAGCCGCATGGCCAGCATCCGCCTTTTGAACAGCACTCTGCAATTCCTGGTCCAGTTGGTAGAGATCTGTATCTTCCTCGCCCTCGGCATCTTGGTCACTATCGAGCAAATCGGTTTGTGGATTGACGCCAAGCTCGTCATGGGGAGCAGTCATAACTGCGGCCATGTCGTTCTTCGTCGTTAAGTTGAGTCGGATTCTGGCACCACCCGCAGCCCTGTATATCTTCTTGAACAGACCCACGATTGAAACTGTCTAGGGCTCCTCGATGGTGAGGAGTCCGCCGTCACTTGAGGCTAGACCAGTGATGCATCGGGGGTTAGCATGACAATGCCCGCAATCGCACCGAACTGAGCTCAGAAAGAGTTCCTTCCTACTCCTGCACTAATGTCGCCTTGTGGTGGGCGCAGAATAGACGTCAAATCTGTTTGTAGATCACAGTGGCGTTAGCTTGATGCCGCCTGAAGATATGAATCTGAATGCGCCAATGTCAAAACTAGGGGTTAATCATACTCAGCGTACGCCTGAAGAGCGCAAACACGTGTCTAACGCGTAAATTTGTGCAAAACAGGCACACAATAGCAGTTTTTCGTACTTGTTTCCAGGCGACGATGCGCCTCCCAAATCCCCTTGTCGTGCCGGGCGGAGAAACCTGCTGACTCAGACTGATCAATGCCAAGCCCGCCGAAGTCACTATGCCGTTTCTGGCCACGACGACTTCCTTCCCTCGCGAGATCTCCGCAGCGCTTCTTCCAACTTGCTCTCAATCCTCTGCTGCCAATTGGGTCGCGATTCACCTTTCAAAAGTCGAAACAGCGAAATCCACCTCGGTTATTGACATTGGATCTTACCATCTGACGCGCCAAGATGGGTGTGCCATTCGAGGCTCTGATTCCTTATGGAATCATCATCGGCGTAAGCTCTAGCAGAAGCGCCTTTGTTAATCGATCTCAACGGCATGGCTAATCCAAAAGGCTTAGATGTACTGCGTTACCGGAGCTGGCCTTGCTGTCACGAAATATGTTGCGAACGATGGCAAGAAGGCAAGGTGGAACAGAGACGTTTGGGACAAAGTAGGCTTGACTTATCTCCTCGCAGAGACCCTCTCGTTGATGCTAACAATCCAACAGCAAAGTATGTATAGTGACGCTTGAGAATGATTGAACTGTGCCGCGCATTCCGAGAACACATGACAATATACTTATTTCAATCTCGCAGTGATGGAGAGAGATTACCGGATAACCGGTACTTTGAGAGGCCAATCCACCAACGCCGAAGCACCCACTGGCTTCGAAGTCAGCAATCCATGGAAGGTAATATAGGCTCGCCCCAATGAAATGGATTCAATACGATGCTGACTATGTGTGATCAGCTCGAGAAGAGGCAATATTAACAGCAGGGGAGGTGTTTCGATTTGCAAGGTTTCTTTATTCACGATATGATATTCAATCTACATTTGTCACTGTGGCTTCTTAGTTCCCTTTGTACAGTTTCAACCAGCACATGCCACCCGCTACAGACAAACCCCCCTTGTCTCTGACAGAAATAAAACTTTTATGGCCAGTTTCGTTGACTTTCTCTTATATCTACTTCTCGGGCCGTTGGAGGGAAATTCTGTAAAATTGGGATTTCAGTATGTTTTTCTGCTGTAACTATGACAATGCATTAGACGATATTACGGTGCTTCTTCATTGCCTCGAAGACCGAGAGACCCTTCTCAACATCAGCTTTCACTTTATCGTCCTGAGCTATAAGCTTTGGAGATAGTTCCAATACGTCGTCAAGTAAGTCTTGTGGTATGACAACGACACCTTCGAGCGGGTCACAGAAGACAATGTCACCCTATGATAAAGTTAGTTTCCCAGAAAATTGATGCAAAAGAAATTTCAGCTCACTGTATTAACAGTCACACCATTGAAGTCGATGGGGACATTTCGTAGGCCAGCTTTCGCCTCAGCTCCAGTGCCTACGGTCGATGTTGCTTTTGACCATACCTACATATGTTCGTAAGCGTTATTGATGGGTGATAGCTGTGGCAGGACTGCTCATGTTGTTGATATACTTACATGTAGTCCCGTGGCACTCAATTCCGCCAAGTCTCTTACCCTGCCATTCACGACAACAGCCTTGACACCGAGAAACGACATTCTTGCCGCCATGATTCCACCGAGAACAGCACAGTACTGACCGGCCGGTTGATTGAGCACGGCAATGGTACCGGGCTGGTTCCAATCGACCCAATGCTTTCCTGGGGGAAATCCGTTCGTTTCAGGATCTGCAGCTTCTGGCGTAGGTCCAGTTTTTGGTACGAATTGGAAGGTGACTGCTGGAGCAATAATCTTTGATTTGCCTCCTTGGCGGCCAATGAACGGGGATACAGGGTCTGGGCTTTTATATTAGTCTCGCGCGATGCATTCCTTACACCGAGCCTTTGGAAGGTAGAATTTCCGCTCACTGATGTCGGCCAATTGCCCTGCTCTTAGTTGGCTACCAGCAGGGGTTTTTTGTAGTTTTAATAATGCATCAGACACCTATTTCTTGGTGTTATGAAAATAAATATCATCACACTTGAGCAATACGCAGGACATACATCACAAGCCGACAAGCTCTCTAAGGCTTTGAGCTTCTGTTCAAAGAGAAGTGCAGCAGACATAGTGTGCTTGAATAATTTGCCGGGTCTCGCTCGTAAGCTCTGCCTTGTCGTACTGCCGATAGCGGACGTTGTTACGAAGGTTGATATAGTCGATTGGGATAGAAGAGAATGTTTTGTTAAAGATGTCATGAGAAACACTTCGCGGTCACACAAATGACTCTTTTCGTACTTTACTAATGCAAGATTGAGAGTAACATGAAAGAAAGGAACGAAATAGCAGGTCAGCGATCAAGCGTCGGTTGTAATCGGCGGAATAGCCGAACTGTCAGATCCAACCTCGAAGTTTGCCCCAGGGTTATTCCTCTGTTTTTGAAAAAAAGAAAAGAAAAAACCATAGAGAAGAATTTGATGATGAAAGAAACTACAATTCAAGATACATCCGAATACCTGCGCCAGGCTTGTCTCAGTACACTGGAGTATGCTATGATGGCCGTTTTCAATCAAGGTCGGATGGCAGATAGAACGGTGGCCGGTTTTCCAATGTCGGTCCATAAAAGTGCAGCTGAAGACTATCCAGTGTTTATCAGGTGGCAGCAATAGAAATTACTTGCGCGGACATGAAGAGTCGTGCACAGAGCCATAGACAGAAAGTCGAGGCTATCCGAATGGAAGCAAGTCAACAAGACGGGTCACGTGAACGCTAGGTACGGCAACTCCAGCTTAGGGGAGCAGCCGTCGACACGCAGCAAAGTGCCTCGACTCGCCCAGAACCCCTCTATATACGATCGATCTATTGGCAAGGGGTGCGCGAGGTCTCGAGATCCAGCCAAGACGGCTAACACGTTTTATTTGCAGCAGAGACCGCTTCTGCAGTCGGCCAGCGACTTGTCCCTTCTCTTTGCGTTGTCCTCGTGCCATTGAGGCTTCGTATTAGTGGCATCCGGTTTTCCGATCAACCCTTTACCTGAAGCCTCTTTTGGTCGTCAAATTGGTCTTTCAAAATGGCCCCAAAGGACACGTTCTTCCGCTCTGCGGATATGAGCTTGACTCAGCTCTATATCGCAAACGAAATCAGCCGTGAAGTTGTGAGCGCCTTGGGCGAGGTGGGCGAGGTGCAATTCCGCGACGTGAGTGCACAAACTTCGTATATTTGTGAACTGCGTACTTCACTTTGATGCTCACGTTCATATATAGCTTAATCCCGATACGAATGCATTCCAGCGGACTTTCACCAAAGAAATCCGTCGCCTCGATAACGTTGAGAGACAGCTACGTATGTGCTACTCCAGTGATATAGGGCAATTTTAGTATTAACATACCTGAATTAGGTTACTTTGCTTCGCAAATGGAAAAGGCAGATATAACCATGCGGCCCTCGTCAGAGTTTGCCAACACGTTAGCCGCCCCATCCTCTGCCGAAATCGACGAGTTGGCCGAACGAAGTGAAAGCTTGGAACAACGTGTCGTTTCCCTAAACGATAGCTATGAAACCTTGAAGAAAAGAGAAATGGAGCTCACGGAATGGCGCTGGGTTCTCAGAGAAGCGGGAGGCTTCTTTGACCGTGTATGTCGTTGGTCGTTGGTCGTTCTGGGGGATTACCTTGCTAATGCATTATAAATAGGCACATGGACATACAGAAGAGATTCGCACTTCAGTGGATGGTGATACAGACGAGGCTCCGCTTTTGCAGGATGTCGAACACCAGGTTCCACGGGGACAGAATGGGGATGCGCAGCAATCCTTCTCTGTTATGAACATTGGCTTTGTTGCCGGCGTTATCCCCAGAGATCGGATTGGCTCCTTCGAGCGCATCCTGTGGCGTACATTGCGTGGAAACCTTTATATGAACCAATCTGAAATTCCGGAACCTATCATTGACCCGACTACAAACGAAGAAATCCACAAGAATGTGTTTGTTATCTTTGCTCACGGAAAGGAAATCATAGCAAAGATCAGGAAAATCTCGGAATCTCTTGGTTCCAGCCTTTACAGCGTGGATGAGAACAGCGAGCTTCGACGCGACCAGATTCACGAAGTCAACACTCGCCTGGGAGATGTGGAAAGTGTTTTGAGGAACACAAAGAATACGTTGGATGCCGAACTATCCCAGATTGCCCGTTCACTTGCCGCCTGGATGATTATTGTCAAGAAGGAGAAATCCGTGTATCACACGCTCAACAAATTTTCATATGATCAGGCACGAAAGACTTTGATTGCTGAAGCATGGTGCCCGACCAATTCTCTGCCATTGATCAAGTCAACCTTACAGGATGTCAACGATCGTGCTGGTTTGTCTGTTCCTACTATCGTCAATCAAATCCGAACGAATAAGACACCTCCAAGCTATGTCAAGACGAACAGATTCACTGAAGCCTTTCAAACGATCATCAACGCCTACGGCATTACAAAGTACAGTGAAGTCAATCCTGGGTTGCCCACTATTGTCACTTTTCCGTTCCTTTTCGCTGTCATGTTTGGTGACTTTGGCCATGGACTTTTGATGACTTTGACTGCCGCGGCAATGATCATATTCGAGAAGACTCTCCTACGAACAAAATTGGATGAGCTGACATACATGGCCTTTTATGGTCGCTACATCATGCTCATGATGGGTATCTTTTCGATGTATACTGGTCTAATTTACAATGATGTCTTTTCGCTATCGTTTGAAATCTTTCCAAGTCAGTGGCAGTGGCCTCATGATATTGAAGAGGGGCAAGCTGTGCAAGCATCGTTGAAGCCGGGTTATCGATACCCATTTGGTTTGGATTGGAATTGGCACGAAGCCGAAAACTCACTCTTATTTACGAACAGTTATAAGATGAAGTTGAGTATTCTGTTGGGATGGGCTCATGTAAGTTGCAGTACTCCTTTGGTTCTGACCCAAGATTCTTATGAAATAACCTGTGTGACTTCAGATGACATACTCCCTTTCTCTGCAGTATATCAATGCTCGTCACTTCAAGTCGAAGGTTGACATTTTTGGGAACTTCCTTCCTGGCATGATCTTCTTCCAGTCTATTTTCGGTTACCTTGTTTTCACCATTGTCTATAAATGGTCTATTGATTGGAATGCTCGTGGAGATGCTCCACCTGGTCTTCTCAACATGTTGATTTTCATGTTCCTCAGTCCTGGAAGCATTGAAGAACAACTATACCCCGGACAAGCTGGCGTTCAAGTGTTTTTGCTGCTCCTGGCTGTTGTGCAGGTCCCCATAATGCTTCTCCTCAAACCTCTTTGGCTTCGTGCCGAGCACAACCGAGCTCGAGCCCTTGGTTACCGAGGACTCGGTGAACATGCTCGTGTCAGTGCATTGGATGAAGATGGAGACATGAACGGCGGTCCGTCCGAAGGCCGGGACAGCTTGGCTAGCGATGGCGAAGGAATTGCAATGATCGCACAAGACATTGATGAGGGAGAGCACGAAGAGTTTGACTTTTCAGACGTCATGATTCACCAAGTCATTCACACCATTGGTAAGTCTTTTTCTTTACCACTGGGCATTCCGAGCCTATGTGGGTTCCTTGCTAACGAATTATCTGTAGAATTCTGTCTCAACTGTATCTCCCACACTGCGTCTTACCTCCGTCTTTGGGCTCTTTCGCTAGCTCATCAGCAACTCTCTATCGTTCTATGGACCATGACCCTTGGTGGCGCCCTTACCACGGAAGGTTCAACGCTCCGTGTTATTATGATTGTGGTCGGTTTTTACATGTGGTTCTTCTTGACGGTGGCCATTCTGTGTGTGATGGAGGGCACGAGTGCCATGTTGCATTCCCTGCGTCTACACTGGGTTGAAGCCATGAGCAAGCACTTCATGGGCGACGGCATTCCGTTTACACCTTTCAGCTTCAAGATTCTCCTTGAAGAGGATCCTGTTGACTAAACATTGTCTCTCTTTGCATTTTCTTTTTGATCTGAAATACTGTTGTAATTTATATAGCAATAGTGTGGATTTGTACCTAGGTAGAAATGTAGAATCCATTATACTGTTCAACTCTTAAATCTAGGAACCTTGTCACCATTACCCATTCCATATAATCGATGGTAAGTAACTATTAGTTAAACGTATCTGTCATTTTTTACTACGTGAAGAAACTATTTCTTGTGATGCTTGTTATATACATCAATGGCCTTTTGTACTTCTTCCCTCGAACCAAGGAAAACACCACTGCGGTCATGAATGTGTTCAGGGAGGACGGTAAGTAATCGCTCAGCGCGGGAGTTGACAGCGAGACCGCCCGCATTCTCAAACACCATGGCCATGGGGGCACACTCGTAGAGAATACGCAGCTTGCCCTTGGGGCTCTTCTTGTCCGCCGGGTAGGCAAAGATACCGCCGTACAGAAGAGTACGATACGCATCCGCAACCATACTACCAATGTAACGAGCGCTGTAGGGCTTGCCGCCCTCCGCGGGGAATTTCAGCGAGTGGAAATACTCGTTCACCCAGTCATCCCAGTAGAGGCTATTTCCCTCGTTGACGGAGTAAATGGCGCGCTTGGGCGGGAGCTGCATCTTGGGGTGCGTGAGGATGAATTCTCCGAGCGAGTTCTCCATGGTGAAGCCATTGACAGAGCCGCCGCGCATGGTGATGACGAGCTGAGCCGAAGCGCCGTACATGGTGAAGCCGGAGGCAACTAGCTCGGTGCCGTCGCGCAGTAGGTCCTTGCCTGAGACGGTCTTGTTGGGGCCCAGGATTTCATCGGGCAGTCTGAAGATGCCGAAGATGGTGCCGACGGAGACTCCGGCGTCGAGGTTAGAGGATCCGTCAATGGGGTCGCACACGACGGCATAGCGCGCGTTGGGGTGCTCGTCGAAGATGATGGCTTCTTCTTCTTCTTCGGAGACGAGGATGCGTACCTTGCCAGAGCCTCTCATGGCGGAGATGAACACGTCATTTCCAATCACGTCTAGTTTCTTTTGGTCGTCGCCCGTCGTGTTGGACGATCCGGCTAGTCCTGTGAGGTTGATGAGGGTGGCCCGACGGATATAGTAGGCGATTGACTTGAATGCGAATTGCAGGGCATGGCACAGTAGACTGAACACGTTAGTAGCTTTTTTCTTATAAGAAGAATGGATTGCCATACGTGAAATCACCGGTGGCTTCGGGGTAGTTGGTCTGCTCTTCCGTCAGGAATCTTGTGAGGGTGACGATGTCTGTGTTGATATTTTCCTGCCCGACAGCGGGACCGCTGGTCGCCATTGTGAAGCTATAGCTTTTTGGTGATCGGCAGACTTGAAACAGAGGAGATTTGGGAGGGATCAAAAGCTGAGCGCCGTCAGAGACAGATGAGGTGTCTATGTGGTTACCTCGGTTGAGCGGAAGACTGTAGTACACGGGGTTTATAGACACGAATCGCCGCTGATCGGGATAAGAGGGTTAGCAGGGTATCTGAGTGGTTCCAAATATGGGTATTATGTGAAAAGCAAGAATTTCTTTGCAAAGATGCCGACAATTGACTGCTTTATAGGAAGCTGCCAGGATGTATACTCGGGTGGATAAGAGCAACGTCAGTCCGATATCCACGGATAAGCGCTATGCCGAGCACGCTAGCCCTAGTTTTCTGTAGACACATCAATATTTCGTCAGTCCTTTGGCTATGAAATCATCCCCCCGCACTAGGCCCCGATTGGAAAGGCGCGGCCGGCCCTCCGGCTCATCTTCTTCTGGCCGGCGCGCTCTCCGGTCCTCCCCGCGTCTTCTCCTCGCCGGCTCGGGTGAAGTCGTCCGCGTTGGTCTCGTGAGAGACACAGATTTTAGAGCTAGCGACAGAATAGGTTTAGCGGGCTTAGTCATCAACAGCAGGTCACGTGAAGCTATCAGGTGCAAACTCCGCAAACACGCGAGCACATCATGTGACAGCACTAGCCGCTCTTGGCTAAGCGCCCTTATTAGCCGACCTCAAAAAGCTGCGAAGAGAAAAAAAAAAGTTCTGTTTGTGTCAACGCGAGAGACAACAAGTCTTCCATCAATGTTTATGGAAGCTTGTCCTTCCTGATGTGAATGATCAATCATGACTCGTTGTTCAACAGTAGAGCCCGACTGACAGCTTCACAAGCAGCTTAATTCCAATTGGTAAGTCGGAGAAATTTTCATCAGCTCACTTCCCTTCCTCTCTCTGTTTGATGATGATTTGTTACAACCGCAAACTAGAGTCTTTGACCTCCCAAGGAATGAAACTCTTATTGACACGTCAGTCTGATAAATTTCAACTCTTGCTGTGCATTTGATATCTGTTCGTTTATGTCATTTGCAGCGAGTCTTTGCTAATGTGCTCTCCGCTTCAGACCTTTTCCTAGCTAGCTAGCTGTCGCATGGATAGCGACATGATCGGCCGAAACTTTTGGGACGATACTGGGTAAGCGGAAAAAACTTTTTTTTGTCTCTTCTACATGATGATCATTTACATTAATATACGCTGGAAATTACCGGCTGAGACTTTCGGGTCTTTGATTATACTTAATGGCTTTGACTGATTCCTTTTCAATGCAATTATCTGTTTTCGTGCATGTCTTTGATCGTGTTCGAACCCATTTGCTAATATCCTGAAGGTCCCTGAGGGCTTCGATAGGTATGATACTGTCTACCCATGGCGAGAAAAATGTTTGCACTGTACCTCTCGATGATGAAGCGGCACTGGGCTCCGACGGCTGCACAAGCAGTTCGGTCTTGATGGACACGCCCTTTTGTGGCAGGCCTAGAAAACCTCGCCCACTGAGACACGCTCATACACACTCTTGAGTTTCTTGGTAAAGTCTTAGCCACGCATATCTAACGGGTGGCCTATTTAGATTAGAATATTGCATCTGGTCTACATGTAAAATTCTGCAGTATGGTAAGTTGGATTTTATTTAGCGTTCTGCACTCTTCCTGTTATATGATGATTATCTAGATGACGAGTCTTATTCGAGTTTTCGATGCAGACAACCTTTTTTAAAATACCATTCATGCTTTCCTGATCAACATTTTGCACATTTTGACTGTCGCTCAAACCTTTCATGGCCAACGCTGACGGTATATTTTAGTTAGATATATTCTCTAAAGGAATTGGTTGCCCTGATAAAGGACGCGCTGCACCATGGAGTCTCTGCCCCAGTTCATAGGGTATGTACTCACGTCGATTCTCCCTTTCGTTCCCAATGATGAATCGACATACAATCAAAGACAAGCATATGTCCAAGCTGGTTTCTAACTTGCAAAGACGAGAATTGTCCGGACTGAGAGTTGTCTATGCTGAACTATGGCATCCACAATTGTATGCCAACGTGCTGACCGTCACACCAGATCCAACATGCACCGTCAAGATATGTGAAGATATATGAACTACAAAGTAATTGGTAAGCCATCATACATTTCTTTGCCTAGCACTATGCCCGAGCTTTCTTTATATGATGATTTACTATATTTTTTATCACGACGGTCAACATAAAATTATTACATTGATGACCACCGCCTGTGACAGGGCTCTAACTGACAACCTCGTCTACTCTACATGATCTCAGTCAGCGATTGATTTGTTCGGGTTCAAACTAATGTGTTTTCAGAATGTAGGCCCAATCAGGACGCAACTCGCTCAGTTTCCCTCTCTCTCTCTCTCTCTCTGTCTATGCTTGTAGGTATCTGGAAGAACAACTCTTGAAGGATTATCAGTCGGCAGGACGCCATTCTTCCTTGTAGCAGCACATGACTCGGCATCAGGTTTATTATCAGGAATCAAATGCAATCAGTTAGCCAAAATTAGAAGTTCTTCAGGCACGCTATAGACTGCTCCGTACCTCGTACATAACACACGGCATGACCAGCCAATATGCTGCACACCCTAGCGCAAGATTTCAACATAAAGTTGCACTTCGAGGCTCGAGTGTCAGATCAACAGACAAATAAGCAGCCTGTGTTGGCTCGCCGTCGCGGTCGGCGGCTGCGGGCGCGGCGGTGATTGGGCTGGGATGTGACGAGTCGAGGGTTAGCTGCATTGGCACGTATCACTTCCACCCACGCTGCATGCTACAGAGTTATTTATACACCTCCCCCTGTGCAGACTACTTGGCCGCCGCCCATTCAGCGTGCTTCGCCGTGCTGCTCTTTCTAAAAAAAGATGGCTATACAGTTAGTGGAGGATTCGCTAATTAGCTGATGCGAAGAATAGAAACAAACCTCCCTCTTCGCCATCCATTGTCTCCTCCATACTACCTTCTGCTGACTGCGGCATACAGCAGCTCAGCTCAGCTCGCCCTTGAGGACAGAGTGTCGGCGTTGGCGTTGTATGAGGCACTGACTCGTTAGCAAGAGATAGATCGTGTTACAGACGGCCATGGCGTCCTGGGAGCCCTTTTAGCAGGGAGGAAAAAGTAATACACTACGCCTATTGCTGAGCGGCGGCTCTTCCTTTGGGGGTCAAGATGAATATCAACAGGTGGGGACTGGTTTCATTCATAATCCCTCAGAAAACCCTTTCTGTTCTTCTGTGATCCTTTCTGTCCATGCTCTCTCCAGACCAGAAGTCAGCAATACTAACGGCACAGCAGCTGGAATAACCTCATAGGCAGCTCGGGGAGTGCTGCAGCTGCCGCCCAGTCGTCGTCTCCAACCGGACGTAGAAACCATGCCATCCAACCTCCAGCACTGACGACATCTTTGAACGTTAATAACCAGTATCGCCAGAGCCACAGCGCTGGGGCGACTCTTGGCTTCATGTCTTCTCCGGCTACGTCTCTGTCGAGCCCTTTCTCCCAGCACCCCCAGTCGGCTGCTTACTTGCCGTCGCCGGGTGCTGCTCAGCGTGGTACCTCTCCAATGCCTCTGAGATTGTCATCGTCGTCATATGGTGGTGCGCCTTACAATCCTCAAGAATGGGGGCCTATGAATGTGGTGACTTCTCCTCAGACGGGCCAGGTTGCGCCTTCGCGCAGTCATGCAATCCGTACTATGCAACAGCAACCGCTCCCAGTGCTTCGTAGTTCAGGTTAGTGATTGAGTCTATCGCTCTTGTGCCTAGTATGGGGGAGTTTACTGTGCTAACTTCTACCTTAGACAACATGCCGTCTCCTCCTCCTCCCTACACACCGCGTAACCAGGGGCCATCGCCTCCAGGCTCGGCGTCTTTGGTAGTACCGCCTTCCCAAGCTCAACGTGGACAGTCGAATGATGTTGGTGCTGTGAGATATCGTACAAATGTCCCGCAACCTCGCCCTCTATCGATGGTTTCACTGAACGACGGTAATTTAAACTGGCAATCGGCATATGGTAACGTCCCTCCGCCGCCTCCACCACCTCCACCAGGGACATCCCGCTCGTCCTCTCGAGCTGATGTAGACCGTCAACAAAATAACACGGAATTTGTCTTTGGGAACCCAACACCCGAGTCATCGGCTTCGTCTCACCGTCTCACGGCCTCTCAACATCAAGCAGCAGCTTACGGTGAAGCCAACAATTTCCATCAGCTTGACTTGCCATTACATGCTCCATCCTCCAAGAGAGCTGCGTCCGCTGGTGCCTTGCAAACCCCAACCGCGTCAAGGATTGTGAGTTCATCTCATGGCCGCTCATCACCGCGCAATAGTTGGGAGCCTGGCATGCCGCTGCCACCACCCCCTCCTGGTCCTCCACCGGCGGTGAGGTCTCGTAGTGCTAGCAGCACTACATCGGATGCATCTTCATCGAAACGAGCGATACAGGCCCCTCGTCCACGAGCCCCTCCGGTCTTAGGCACATCCCTTGGTCAAGTCCCACCGACTCCGGCTGACTGGGTAGATGAGGATGTGGTACCTAAGCGCAACGAGCCTGATAGAGCACAAGCGCTACATATTGACACGGAAGTGGTATATGACGCATCGGAGGCTCAAAATTCTGCCGAGTCTTCGTCCTCTCGACGACCGCCGAGTCGAGGAGGACTATTCCGCAGTTTCGCTGTTAAGAGAGACAGTAGTGCCAAAGGTATTCGTGAACGTCGAATAGAGAAACACAAAAGACAGCAGGTTTCCGAAGATCTCAGCGGCGTAGCTAATAACAATGGAAACCCGTGGGAAACCCAATTGGAACGTCTAACGCCGGCAAATCTCGTTCTAAACGGTGCGGACAAAAGCGATGGTAACATGAGTGGTCGCCGGCAAGGGTTCCCAAACCCTCTTTCGAGCGCACGCAGCGCGCAGTCGGATGAAGTTCTATTTAGCAGTCGCTCTCGGACTTCTTCTGCATTGTTCTCGGGTCGCTCCTCGTTCTCTACACCAAAGCCCGATTCAATTTTCTCACATCAAGATATGATCACACCCACGCCGCCTTTCTCGCCACAGATGAATGAGTCGCCATTAGTGAAGGAGAAACAAAGTGTGCTCAACTCCAAACCTCTACCGTCAACCCCACCAAGCTCGGTCCATGAGCCACAACCCTCTTCGGCTTCGCGTCCTGGGATAAAGAGTGAAGAACGGCCGGTTTCACATCTGCTACACATCCCAAATGACATCGTCTCAGTACTCCCGCCGCTGTCTCCGCGTCGTATGTCTTTCAATCAGCCACCATCCCTTGACTCAGTTCTTCAGCGGGATAATGACCCATTGAATGGTGCCCTGCAAAGGTATCAAGCTGTTCTCGACAAGGAAGCCGCGGCAACGGATGACTCGGAAGCCTTGAGGATATTCATGGATTTCATTGTCTCCGAATCCCAAATTCGACGCAAGTTATATGCTCGTGCTTTTGCAGACGCTGACGTTAGTGTCGAGGAGACTCGCAAGAAGCTTTTCACCCAGGAAACCGCCCCGAAAGTTGAAAGAGGAAAATTGCCTAGCATGAAGCTGGACACGTCATTTACTGAGCCAGGCACGGCATCTGTAAATGTATCTTCTTCTTCAAGACCAGAGACAATGTGGTGGAACAACTACCAGCCCTGCCTATCCCCAATTGCTAGTATAAGCATTGAGAACGACGAGAGCTCAAGAGGCCGACCACCTAGTCGTTGGTGGGAGTCTAAAACCGGTTCAAGCAGTGAAGGAGTAGGTGAGCGAAAAGCCCAAAGATCCAAACGAGAATCGAAGTATATGGGGGTTCCACGAGAGGTTCGGGAGGAAATGCAAATGGGCTATAATAGGAGTCTGCCAGTGACAGAGGAGGAGCAGTACAGCGAACAACAGCAAAATTTCCATCCAGGTGGCTACGGCCCAAACGAGTATCCACCTGAAAAGGTTGGACTGCATGAGCCGGAGATGCTTCCATCTCAATCTCCCTCTCAATACCAATATGACACCTTGCAGGAAAGTCATTATAATCAGGAATATCGTGCACATAAAATGGATATTTCTCGATTGGTCACTCTCCCGCCGCCGTATCCAAGACACCATCCTGCTGTCAACAACAGCCACCCAGACTTAGTCGTCTATCGGACTACAGTTCGGTCAATTAGTGATTTGTCAGAGGTCAGGGCAACTCGAGAGCACTACGAGCATCAAATAGCACAATTACGGCAGGAATATGAGGCCAAAGTCCAAGAGAACCGAAGAATATTCAGGTCCAACATCCAACAACAAATCCAAGAGGGCAGCATCAAATACGCCGAGGCTGCAGAAGCTGAAGCCGCGCTAGAAGCCGATGAGCAAAAGAAGGAGAAGGAGTTGGTGCAAAGTAACTATGATACGTATCAAAGTCAGGTGATGGAACCAATGCATCTCATTCTGAGCGACCGCGTCGGCAAGGCCACGGAGCGAATTAATGAACTCAGCGGGAAACTCAAAGAAGCCATACAAAATGAAAATCCGGACCACACTCAGGAAGAAGGAGACGAAAAGCCAGAGATTCTGGAACAACTCACTCAGTTGAAGTGGCTCTTTGAAGCGCGGGAACTGCTGCATCGTGAAATTTATGATCTCCTAGGGGAGAGTAACGAAAAGTACCGGGCTATTGTTACCTTACCTTACAAGCAAACTAAGAATGAAGAGAAACTCGCGGAAACCGACGCATTCTTTGTGAAGGACTCCCTCGACCGTCGCGTTCAGTTTGAAGCAAAATCCCTAGCTAGGGTGGAAGCATTCATGGACGTTGTGGAGGAAAACGTTAGGCGCGGTGTCGAAACACACCTATCGGCCTTTTGGGATATTGCTCCATCCCTGCTGACGTTGGTGCAGCAAATACCAGAAAATCTTTCCGATCTTCAGATCGAGATACCGGCGCAGGAGTATGAGGAGAACCCCAGTTACTATCAATTCCCTTTGCAATATCTTTATTCCTTGCTATCACACGCAGAAAAATCCAGCTATCAATTCATCGAATCGCAGACCAACCTGCTCTGTCTTCTGCATGAAGTCAGGTCTGGAGTCATGGTTGCCAACTGCCGGCTGATGGAGGCACAGCGTACTCGGCATGGAGAACCAGAGGACTTGGTGCGGAGCGAGATGCAGGAGATGCAAGCCCGCGAGGAGCGAGAGTTGACCGCTGACTTGAAAGAAAAAGTTTCCACTGTTGAAGGTCAATGGACTGAGGCTCTCGGTAGTCATATAGAATCCTTACGGGAACGGGTCAAGAGCCATCTTCTTGCTGAAGATGGCTGGGATGATACGGAACAGCTAGAGTAGGGCCTTATTTTCACTGAGAAACTCTTTTTTTTTTCCTTTTTGTTGATTCTATTCTGGTTGCCATTTTCTTTGAGGAGGAGAGCAAGATACCCTTACTGTCGCTATCTTACGTATGAGTGAATGCATTGAAGACATTAAATGAACACAATATATATGCCATATGTAGCCATCGTAGGTAGTATTCCGTTGAATATTTTGCATTTGTTTAAAACAGAGCAGCTTCAATTGTGTGTGATATGACTTTTTGGTGGTGAGCAAGAGGAATTAGGGCTGTGGGTCTGTCACGTGACCAGGCCGTCTTTGTCATTCTAGAGCTTTCCTTTCGTTCCAAAATGTTCTTTCCCTGCGGAGTTTGGCAGGGAAGAGATTCTTCTTCCCTCAACTTTTCTCCGCCCCCTCTCCTCTCTTCTCTCTCTCTCGTAAGTGATTGTTTTCTGAGTTGCTCTGTGCTTCCAGCCTGATCGCTGTGTGATACTTTTATCGTAAGTGCAAATTTTCTTCTCTCTTACTGTTCTCTCGTTCCTGGTGTGGGCTTTTTCACACTGTTCCACCACTGCCCTCGTCTCAGACCACTGCCTGTCCTGATACTTTGCGCTTCTTCAACACCTGTGCAATCTTCATATGATGAGATATATAGCTGGCACCAGTCCTAGAAAGATTTGTTCTCTGTTCGCTGCGGACTTGCTTGCAACGGGTCGCATTAGTCGGCCCAACGCTCTGACTTGATACATTTTTTACTGTTTTCGATTTTTCTTTCTGGTGAATATTTACTATATATTCAGATGACTAATTGAATAATTAGGGTGTGGCCCGTCATTTTTGAGCATAATACCTCTTTATTTGATTTCCAAGTCGCCGGCTAGCGCAAAAACTCGTGTACACAATGGCTCTTCACAACCCAAACAACTGGCACTGGGTGAATAAGGATGTTTCCGCATGGACAAAAACATATCTGCAGGACAATCTGTCTAAGATCACTGCTGAGGACAACGGTGTCTCGGCCAAGGTTGAAAAGGTGTTGAGCATGGATGGCGACGTAGATGTCAGCCAACGTAAAGGAAAGGTCATTACTCTTTATGATGTGAAATTGCAGCTAGAATACGAAGGTTCCAACTCCCCAGTGATAATTTTTTTTTCTCCCTTCCAGGATAGAGACTCACTCTTAACTGTAGGTAAGACTAAGGATGATGAGACCGTGACCGGCACAATCAGCATTCCTGAAGTCGCTCATGATACGGAAGAGGATGAGTTTGTCGTATGTTTCCCGTACTTGCTATCGTATTTCTTTTCTTGTGTGTGCGTGTGTGTGAGATTGTTCTAACTGGCTTGACTCAGTTTGAAATCAGCGCCTACTCGGACTCATCTTCCAAACAACCTGTAAAAGATCTTGTCCGGTCTAAGATCCTTCCTCAATTACGTACGGCGCTTGCCAAACTTAGCAAAGTCCTGATTGAGGAGCACGGCAAAGATATCCAGCATGCTCCCGGGTCTAATCCTTCCAGTGGATTCGCTACTCCGGCTTACCATCCACAAAAGTCGCCGACGCCTGCGCCGGCTGCGCCCAAGACGGCCACCACATCGACTGGCAAGGTCTCTGTTAACACCACGACTGTAACAGCCTCAGATGAAATGCGGACCACTGCAGAAGAGCTGTACACCACATTCACAGACCCGCAACGCATTGCCGCCTTTACTCGAGGACCTCCCCGTCAATTTGACGGCGCAAAAGTCGGGGGCAAGTTCTCCATATTCGACGGCAACGTGGACGGTGAATATGTGACTTTGGAGCCATCAAAGCGTATTGTACAGAAGTGGCGTTTGGCTCAATGGCCGGAAGGACACTATAGCACGCAGGAAATTTTCTTTGACCAGAATGATGTTGACCGCGTTACGGTTCTGCGAGTCTCCTGGACCGGTGTCCCCATTGGTCAGGAAGAGGTGGTCCAGCGTAATTGGGAAGGATATTATGTTCGGAGCATTAAGCAGACCTTCGGGTACAGTCCCCCGTCATCCTTTGCTCGTTCTACCCCTCAAGATCCCCCCCATTCCCCTTCCGCCCACTTAAACCATCATCATTCTTCTTCCCCATATCAGTCATCTTTTGTGGTCCGATTACTGATAGTTTTCTTTGTTCTTCTTCTTGGCGTAGGTTTGGCACAATACTCTGAGCTCTTTACCAATTTCTTCCAATAAACCACACAAAAACCATCATTCGCCAGTTTTCCCCTCCAAATCTGTTTATCGATAGAAATATCATGCAGACAGAATACATTCGCCAAATTCAAATCTTTTGCTACACAGCTCTCGAAAGAAGAGACTGAAAGAATCAGAATATATTAATGGCTGGGGCGGGAGCAGAGAATGACATTATTGACATTGGCTTTTTGGTGTCTCCTCCGATTATGCAATTTTTGTCACCTTCACCTTATTACGAGCAAATGATAAACGAAAACTAGAAGTCAAAAAGAGAATGAAACTACCTAGGCTGCATCAATGAGAATTCTACTCAAAATGAGGCTATCCCTTTTTAAATTGAAATCATTCATTCTCGTTGCTCTGTTTTAGCTAGTGATGGTGTTCACTGTTTGTATGGTCACCGCCTTTTGGCCTATCGTAGTTAGGCAGCGCCAATCACCGCTATTTTATAAAGTCTTTTCAATCAGTTCAATGCCATAATCTTCCTTGAGAGTCTTGATGAGCGGAGCACACAGATCCATACTCATCGGGGCCAGAATGCCCTTCTCACTGATAACGCCCTCGAGGACCATTTTTACGGCAACACCGCACGGGACACCCACGAGCTTGGCCATGGCAGAGTAACCCTTTGGATCACCGTACTCAACCAAAGTGCTAGTGCGCGTTTCGCGAGAGCCGTCCTTGTTCTCAATCTCAAACTTATGTTGCAACATAACCATGTCGCGCTCTCCAGGGCCGTATTGCATCTTCTCCTCTAGCCTGGCGCAGAGGGTGTCAAGAGGGTTGTTGCGCGGGGTGATGGGGTCTTCGGAGAAGAGACCGATCCAGCGCAGACCGGCCAGGATGCGGTCACGCTCGTCGTTGTCTTGGAATTTGGTCTTGGAGGAGATGGCCCAGAGGAGATCGATTTCTTTCTCAGAGGTGGCGCCTAGAATCCGCTTGGTGGCTTCCCGCCAGGGAATGGGCGAGCCCTTGAGGAAGTCGTATTCGGTCTCGCTGAGGAATCCAATGTCGACGAGGACTTTGATCATTTGAGGGAATCCTTGATAGCGGAGCGTGCCGCGTATGACGGTTTGTGCTTCGGGAATGTTGTAGCGCTCGCGGTACGGGGTGGAGTCGCGGTTGGGGTAGGCAACAAATGCGTAGCCGGGGTAGATGTAGTAGGGCTTTGCCTCGCCCATGAGCTCGCTTCCGGGGACGCTGAATTCGGCTCCGTCCCGGTAGAATTTGGCTGAGTTTCCGAGGGCTAGGAGAACACCACGGCTGGACCAGGAAAATTTGTATCCGAGCGGGTTGTCAGAGTCCTCGGGAGCCGGCTGGAGATGGCTGATTAGTGGAATTGTTTCCAGGGGCAGGGAAGATGGTGGGTTAACGTACAAGGCCACCGCAATATGAGAGGAAAGACACGATTTTGCCCCCGGCATTGTGGACTTCGCTGATTGTTTTAACGGCGTAGAGATGGTCGATACCCTAAAGAGACATGACCCATCAACACAAGAACTTGCGTTTCATTCATCATGATATAACCCACCGGATCCAAGCCAATCTCATTCATTACTGTAATTCCAGCTTTCTTGGCATCCTCCTCCAGCTCCTGCATCGCCGGGGAAACGTAGGACGTTGTCACGACATTCTTCTTTGTGCGGATAGCGGCCTTGATGACCTGAGCGTGGTAGGTGTAGGGAATAAGGGAGATGACGAGATCAACCTTCTCCAGCTCCTTGTCGAGTGCAGCATCATCATTCACGTCAAGTGAGATTGCCTTTGTGTGCTTTCCACCGGCAGCAAGCTTTTTGGCGCCCTCAATGTTCCTGGCCGCTGTTCAATTGTTGTCGACATGGTGAGTACTCACTCGCTTGATTGCTATCATGCGGAGACAAGTGATTACTTACCAACGGTAACCTCAACACCGGCTTTGTCAAGAACATCGACAGTGGGCTTGGTGACTTTAGATGAACTATGGTTAGCTCGTTTTCTCTGACGGGAATAGGATTATTTATGAAGAGCAGGTACTGGAATTGCCTACCGAAACCAGAGCCCAAAAGAAGGACCTTGGAACCAGCGATTTGCTTGTCCATCTTTAATATTGGCTGATAAAAAGATATAGAAAGACAGGGACTAGGGTTGCAGCTTCAAATTATTTTGGAGATAATAAATTTGGCGGGGGAGGCTCCGAGAACGGAGAGCCTTTATATCTCGAATGTGTGAATTTCACGTGACGTCAGGACAACAGCTTTCGCACGACGAAGCACCAATGGTAACGTCGAGAAATAAAGATGTATGGGTTGTTTTCAAGGCTGAACGAATAGAATACATTTGCGCCTTCGATTGACCCAGTGAAAAAAGAGCTTTCGATTTGGTTATGCATAGTATACAGGGGTGACCAATTAAATACAATTGCGCGGTCGATGTGGGGCCTCAGGCAGAACAGCATACAACACAACATGACATGCTGACAGACAGCAATTCACAACAGAGTGGTAAGCTGATGGCGGTAATAGAAGCACAGGATTTCCCCTAATATGCCTTGATCTGCGTCGTTGTCTCGTTGATAGTTAGGTTAGCGTCTATCGCACTCCTCCATTCATCTGCATCGAGACCGCTCTCGCCTTTCCATGACTTCGTGACCCTTCGTTGCCACTTCCAAAGCACGGGCAGAAACTGCCATAGGTCGAATTCAGGCCATAGAACATCTAGGAATACAAGCTCTGTATCCTCATGGCATTGCCAGAGCATAAAGTCGCTGAGCCGCTCAACACCCGAGGTCCGAATTAAAATGTCAATGGGTGGGTCGTGTTTCGTGTACATTCGCTCTGAAAGTGTCTGAGGGGTGATTGTTTCGGACGACAAGAATTCGGAATTGCCAGTGGCTTGGCCATTAAGGTGGAGAGTTGTAGATGATGAGACGGACGAAGGAGAATCATATACATTGTGTGTTTGGTTGACGCCGGGTGGCCCATTTTCGTCATCTTGCGAAAACGCAGATACGGAATCCGAGTCACCGCTTACTTCCTGGTCTTTTGTATCCTGAAAAGCTTGTGCTTTGATGTTGGACACAATGTGCGATTCTGAGAATGGTCTTCGATTTTCGTTTGCCCTCGTTTCTTCTAATGGCGTACTGTAGTCAACGACGGTTTGTTTTATTGCGTGTGCTATCTCGTCCCTTGACGTGTAAGGGCAGCATATATTAAGGACCCTGTCTCCATTGCGACTTGTAAGTTCGACGGCTCGGTTCACTGCCGCAATGACATCTGGCCTGAGTAGGTCTTTACGACCAAGAAACCGAATGCTAGCCCCATATCTGTCCAAGATATCTCCATGTTGCGTAAGTTGAGCAAGCTTCACGTTGGCCATATCCATGAGTCCGTTGACCTCGAATTGTGATCGGTTGAAGTTCTCAATACTGAATGCGTAGATAGTTACGACTTTGACACCGCTTTTGTAGCAAACGTCGAGTATCTAGACTCGCGTGCGTGTCAGTCATGGCCCTTGCACCAAAAGGGTGTTGGTTGTCCAATCCTACCTACCCTGGCTAATGCTTCAAATCCAAGATGATGTCCCTCAATTGTTTCTATTCCATGGCTCCTAGCAAATCGACGATTCCCATCCATCACAAACGCAATATGTTGCGGTATTGGGCCCTGCCTCAAGGCGCCGAGGAGTAATTCCCGAACTCTGCTAACGACAAATTCGACTGGTGGAGAAGCAGCCAGCCATTTCCGGATATGCGATAGGTGCATTGACGTCGACATTCTGGCTGTTTAGAAGGACAATATTTGGATTTGATTGAAAAGAGAAACGAAAATAAAAAATAATGTGATAGTATCAAGATATGAAGAAGGCTGACGAAGGTAAGGCCAGTTGGGCCCGTACTAAGTACTAATTAAGTTAGTGAGTTGACTATCCCTAAAAGAGTTGTCTTATGTCATTGTTAACCCTAACCCTATATACCCATTGCAATATTAGCTAAGATAAGATAATTCCTCCATGAACCGACGCATTGTGAGTATGAAGATAAATGTCGGGCAAGTTGGTTTTGGCAATGGAGTCGAGAGTGTAACAGCGGATGGCCGTGGGTATCAGGATATAGATGTGCTACAAGGATGGAATTTCCCTGCTTGATGTTGGCTATTTCTTCTAGTACTCGATCCATTCAATCAAGCACCGTTAACCCGAGAATGCAATAACCCGGCATACCTAAGTAATCACACAACGACAAAGAACATTGTCACGTTACTAGTAGAGAAAAATTATATCTGGAGAGATGCACCGTCATAGTCTTGGAATTCAGGAAATTTTGAATATACTTAGAAGTCCTGGCATAACGAGCTAATGTATAGTGCGGTACAGAACGTTATGTGCTATCCTTGGATGTTACATGGGTATACAATATCAGTGTCCTAAATATTATTCACACTGTTCAAAGAATCCAAATAGAGCGCACATGAACGGAATTCGCAACCATAATGCATAACGACCTAGAAAAGACATTCGCCACCTTGTTCGACTGCATCGGAGAGAAAAGCTTCAAGGCATAATATACAGACTGGTATCATCTTGCGCACGAAAAATCACAACAATTGAAGATATTTTCAACAGTAAGCTTATTTTAACAACTCTAAAGGGACCAGCTACAGATTCTTTTTCTCTCCATCTTCTGGGGGCGTAACAGATCCCGCACTGACATTTTCCCAGCCAAAGTCTTCGCTACGTCGCCGACGTTGCTGACCGCGTTCTCTCATTGCACCCCGAATGCGTTTACTGACCTCGTCTAGTCGACCTTTGCCGTCAATCTCACTAAGTGGCTGGATAGAACCAGAGACGCGAGGACCTGTGGTACTGCGGCTTCGGCTGCGACTGGCAGGCCGCGTAGAGAAAAATCCAATGCTGGACAGATTGTGGAAGGACTCATTCCGTGGAAGCGGTTCCTGCGTCGTGTATTTGGTCACAGGATCATCACTTGACTTGTTTTCGCCGTCAGCTTTATTGCCGGTCCCTTTGAAAGGATCGGCGACGATACGAGTCGAATCAAAATCAGGGAATAGTTCAGGACCAAGCGTGTTGACAGCTTCTGTCAACTCGTGCGAAAGTTCAGCCCGTCTTTTTCTGAGTTTCACAAGAGTGTTTGCAGATGAAGGGTTTAGTGAGAGCATAAGCGGTCGGAGAGATTTTACGATATCCATGCCAATTTCCCCAATGCGAAGAGCGGCAAAGGTTATTGTGGGAAATAGCAAAACACCCAATAAAATGACAGCCCACAATGGAACCCATTCTGGAACATATCCTTGGATCCTATTGCGATAGGTCCAGTACGTGAAGAGCGTAGTATAGAATGCATACACAGCGGGTGCGAATGCTAATGCAACAAGGAGTTTCCATGTGGCCATGACGTCTCGTCCTTGAAGCTTCACAGTCGACGCAGCCAAAGCCTCCTCGGACTTCTTTTTGGAGATCAGTTTCGTCGCGACGAAGACAGGTGCAAATAGAATAAGACCCGGCAGTGTTCCAATGGCTAGCAGGGTGAGTTTGCTTAGTCTGTATATCAGTGTGGAAACTACCCTGATAATGGAGAACTTGGCATATTCAACCTGATGATCACGAAGCCCAAGTAATCGAAGTTCTTTGTTGTAGTTTGTGACGGACTTTTTCAGTTGCACGATACGAGGATCGTCCTTGAAGTGGGTATATCCCTTAATAAGGCGCCGATTCAGCTCGATAACCATTGGCAGCGGCAGCTTTTTGCCCTTCGTGTTATACAAACGGCGAGCAGATTGAGCGGCCTACGAGAGAAAGTGAGCTGTGCATAATTCTCAAGAGAGTTTGTTTGCGAGATACCGTCCTTACCATCAGTGTTTCAAAATCAGGTCCATTCACAGTCACAGCCAAGAGGGCATGATAGATAGTATCCAGAAGCTCACCAACGGCTTCTCGCCTCTCGCCACGCTTATACTTCTCGACTAGCTCACGAGGAATTTCAATCGGATTACCGAACTCAACAACAGCTCTCGACCGGAACTTGTGTGCATGGAAGTAGTTCATTCCACACGGCACGATTTTCAATCCTGAATCCGGGTTCTCGGCTAAAGAACCAAGGGCCATGATTGCGACACCGGCTATTAACTACTGTCAGCATTAACCTGACCTTAAAAAGCATCATACAACAGGGAAGGCTCTCGTGCAGTACCTTTCAAAGGGAGCAACTCTGGACGATCATGACTACCACCCTCAGGAAATATACCAATGCATCCGCCATGACTAAGTCTACCGAAGACGGCCTTGTAAACTGCGCTCTGATCCACATGAGGTGCTGTCTTAAATTTCGAGCCTTCAAAGTCCGCGTTTCCAGCCTCAGCACCTGTTGCAGTGAACTTTCCATCATCGGTGATATCAGTTCTCCCCGTCAATTGATACAGAGCGTCTTTCTCTTTGACTGGTTTCTTTAAAACAAGCTCCTCGGGCCCCCTAATTTCGGCAATGGTTGCGCTATAGGAACTGCCATTGATTGTTGGCAGGTGTATGGTGCCTTCCGGCTCGAACCCAGGTCCATCAAATTTGGTGCCGATTCCGCGCAGTAAGGTCGGCTCATTAATGGGGTCGGGCAGATAAATTAATCCAACTCCAGGCTTCATGCTGTCCATCGCTCGCGCCACAGGGACAGCGCCAATTCCTCTTGATAAAAGACCGATGAATTTCCGTCGAAATGATTTCTCCGCGATGAGCCAGGAAATGCGACGGCCGACTTCCCTTCGAGCGACGCGCATAAGAATGAGTGAATCGACAAACTAGTAGATAAACGATGGCCTTCAGTTATTTGTTTGAAAAGCATAGAGAAGTACTAGCGCATGGGTCGTTTCATACCTGATTGGCATGCGGTGCAGCTACGATAATCAAGGGTCCTCTTCTCGGTACTTTCCAGGAACCGCGTGGATGCACCTCCCTGAAGAAAAGATCAATCAAAACAGAGAAAGTCCAGAGCACCAGGTCATACAACCACCCGATTTGGGGTGGAATATATGGCTGCGTTGCCATCTTCCGTGCTTTGTATTGTACGTCTCTCCTGCTCCTCGGCTATCCGCTTTTCTCCAAGCCCGAGGACTTCATGTATTAGCGACAGTAGGAAGCCAGCGTGAGGCGAAGAACAAATTTGGGCACGTTTTCTGGTCGCAGGTCATTCATTCAGCGTCAGGTCCTGCAGTCAATCGATCTGGAGTAATGACGTAGTAGAACCTACCAGCAACCCAAGTATTGCAGAAAGAGTCCAGGAGAAAATTTTAAAAGGAAAAAATAAGAATGTGAATTAATAATAAGCGAGCATGAGTAAATGCGAAGACTGATCCCATGCTCTGCAGCAGCAAAGTGTCTGGCGGGGGTTGCGGCGCGATGCGACGCTTCTAGAAAACAAAATGGCAAGACGGAAGTGGAATATGATGAAATGTGCTGCACGGTTGCCTTGCAGCCTGAGGCCCCTCGCGGATAAGCAGCAGCCGCGGATTGCGATAGAAACATTTGCTGCTCCCTCTTCCACCAGAGGTGTCTGTCTCTTCTTCGTGCTATGTTTCTACTGTGCTCACGCACAAAGTCTGCCGACTCCTTCAGCCTTGATTAAACTCCGTCTAAACCCGTCAACTTAGGATGAACAGCATGACCGCCGATGTCATCTAGCATGCCCCTCCAAGTACCGGCCCTTGACAATGCGCTATCAACCCTTGCCAACGCTACAGCAGCACTCGACTAATAATTGAACTTTTTGATTCCTTGTCTGCCGAGTGCATTACCCACCGCGATATATCCACGAGAGAAACAGTCGGTTCGAACTAGACGGTATATATTCCGTTGAGTGGGAAGATGTCTTTAAAGTATGAATGTTTGCATTGACCGTTTACCTACAAAGCATTTCTTGCTATTTCTTTTTCCCAATTTTATCATCCAATACTATCATTTCCATCGATTGAACGTTCATTGTCATAGGCTTCTGATGAGCTTTGTGCTAACTACGATACCGAGCAGCTGGGTTATGCTTTCGAGTAAGGAAGGCTTCGTTCGACTTCCCAATGAACACATTATCTATGCCTCTCCACCACGCACAGCACTGTCGCTGAAGCCACCAAGTTCTTGGAAGGGCAAAGAATCCTTCGCAGTCACGAGTAGTTCTGGGTGCTTGTATCTCACAAACCAAAGGGTCCGTGTCCCAGCATCCAGTTGATGGCTGTGGCTAGCAACTTATTCATGTTGTAGATTGTTTATCTTCCGTCCCAACCGACCGATCGAATCCAGTCATTCACGGTGCCTCTCCTTAATCTTCACGATAGCCATGTTTCTGCACCTTTCTTCGGCCCGAATGTATGGACTGCGCTGGCACAACCCGTTTCGGGCGGAGGAATACCAGCTTCACTACAGTTAGTGGAACTAAAAGTCACATTTAAGGAAGGAGGGGCCTTTGATTTCCACACGCATTTTGAGCGTATCAAAGACCGACTTCAACAAGCCGTTGAACATGCAAGAGATAGCGGCTCGGCAGCTGCCCAGTCCTCGGCTGGACGCGGGATCAATTTTACCAACGTCCATCTCGATGAACTCCCAGCTTATGATGGACCTAATAACAACAATACTAGTTGTGGTCTATCACATCATGAAACACCCCAATCTACTGCCAGGGAAACGGCGGGCACAAATTGCCCGGCTCCCATGGAGCCTCCACCGGGATATGAAGAGGTGCAACAACGGAGTGTAGCAGAAGAATTAGAGGATCAACTTCGAAGAGCACGTTAAAAGCGGCAAAGATGACACAAGTTCTACTGCTGATTCCAGACCTTACCGATCTGTATCCGAACCTCTTCAGCCTTCAAAACGCATTGTATATGGAATATACACATCATCATCTGCATTGCACTATTGTATTGATCCGGCGAGTGGGTATGATTTATGCATCTCCAACGCCTTGTCCATGTCTAGGAGCATTGGTATCATCTGCTTCTTTCAGCATAACTAATATGTTTGATTTACATGCCGTATTTGATTCATAGTGACCTACCCAAAGACAGCGTTTAGAACGCACTGACTTTCAGGCATGAAAGAGAAGATTGAGAACATGAATACCTGATAGTCGTATACGATTCTGATATTGGTATATACATTCTTAAACAATGATTTATATCTTGATTCAAGTTGGCAAAGTCTTATATAAACAATCTCGGGTGCGAGCGGGTGCGAGCCAATCACGTGTAAGGGAATTGGCCAGTCAGCATCGGGCCCGGGAAGACCGCCGCGTTCCCGTTTTTCCAGGACTGAGAGCTTCACAACCTCATTTCCGACTTGCTCCCGGTCGTCACCAACCCCCAATTCGCACCACCACACCTCGCAACATACTCAATTACGCTCATTGAGTGAGCTGACGCTGTCAGAAAATGGGTCTCACCGATTTCTTCTCAGATTTGGTCTCCTCCTTCGGCTTGGCTGAAGCCCAAGCTGAGGCTCCTCCCGCTGAGCAGACCGACGAGACTGTCGCCGAACAACAGGAAGAGAAGTCCGAGGAATCCGCTGAGCCCGCTGAGGAGCCTTCCGAGCAAAGCGAAGAGCCCGAGGGTGAAGCTGAGGCCGAGCCTGAGGCTGAGGCTGAGGAGGAAGCCGCAGAAGAGGAAGAGGAGGAAGAAGAAGAAGAGGAAGAGGAAGAAGTCGAGGATATCAAACCCAAGCTTGAGGCGGGTAAGTTTATTTTTCTTTTCATTCTGTCAAGAAAAAGACCCTCTTTTTTTGCAGCTTCGAATCATGTGCGACTATACCATTTGTAATTGTTGTATATGGGTTCCGATATGAGATGAGATCATATGGAAACTTGAATATGCATCTTGAAATCATCCCCCCCAATGGTATCGCTTGAACATCAGCTGATCTTGGTATTCGGTATAGATTGTGCAAACTCCCAGCAATGTGCTCCCTTTAAGCACCACTTCGACGAATGCGTCGAGCGCGTCACACGCCAGCAGGAGGACCCCGACTCCAACGGCCCCACGGAAGACTGCGTTGAAGAGTGTAAGCTCACGGCATTCTTTATCCATACCCGTCGCAATTTGACATATTGTCTTTGGTTGTATTCATTGGCTATATGTGGAGATTTCGGATGGGAATTTTACTGTTATTATCATCAGAAGCTAATAGTTGTCTACTTGTCTACAGTCTTCCACCTCCAGCACTGTGCCACCCAGTGCGCTGCTCCCAAGCTCTGGAAGTCCCTGCGGTAAAGCTCCAGCCCGTCAATGTTTACGTTTATGCGTCAGTATGCGTGTGACATGGACTGGGTCCAAAAGGATATCTTACAATATGTTCCCTGTCGAGACTCGCTGCATAAAGGTGCTTTAAACGCCGAGAATAGAGAAGGAAAATCAGAGCTATGATGAACGATGATAGATTTCTAACTTGAGGTCGTTCCCCTCCGTTGTGGTTTCTCCTATTATCATCACCATGTATTATCATTCGAAGTGTTGCATAGCCCGCTGTCAAAGTCTGGGTTCTTTCTGGTCTTGGTGGGGGGAAAAGCTCCATCAAGCAACGAAAAGTGAGAATAGATCGTCCATGTTTCACTTTTTTTTTTAATGTACAGGTAGCTAGTGACTTTCTTCTATCTTGATTCAATGTTTATTCCGATATCTCTTTTGTTCTAGATCTGTTCATCCACACCACTTTTTCTTTTTAGAAACATTCACATTCGCTTAATAAGAAGTCCGCGGCACATACGAAATAGCACTCAATGTTTGCGAATTGGTATCAGGATATACATCAAAAGAACGTACGTCATCTATTCATCAAAAACAGGTCATCAGCTTGTAAGTAGTCGCTCGTAGGAATAACAGAAGTAGCACGTCCTCATACACCTTCTAACTCTCGCTCGTCGTCGGCAATAGCGGTGGTGTTGTCATTACTTCGACTACTCAACTGAACAATCTCCGCCGTATGCCCACGATCTACTTCCAGGCGTCTATTAACAATCTTAGGTCCAAACACGTTCAGTGTCATTGGCAAGATCGCAATGACGCACGCCACAACAGCGCTGAAGATAAGTGATCTTTTCATGTTAGCTGGTGGATGGCCATTGGGCCCGGCTTTGAGTGCGGTTTGGATGACGGTGAATATGCCGCCTAGCAACTGTCCGCCCGTCCATAAGAGGGTGCTGCTGATCTCAGGGGAATATGGATGTGTGATTTCAACGATGAACTCGAGGACCACGGGGAGAAGAGAAAATGCACTTGCACCGAAAAGCGCCAATACGACAATACTTGGGGCGATGCCATAGGGGCTCGCGGGGGCAAAGTAGAGTGCGATGTAGCAGATGGCGTGGATGGGGACAGCGATGCGGATGATTAACAGGTATTGCTTGAATCGATCATTGATGGGAGAAACGATGGCTGATGCAACGAGACCGGCAATGATGAGAATGCCACCGGCAACACCGGCATCGGTCTCAGAGAAACCGTAGGGGAGGAGGATCTGATTGATGAGGGCAGAGATGCTGTTGAAGAAGCCCACGTACACGGAGAATGGAATGCAGATGAGCCAGAATTCTCGAACACGGACAATCCCCTTTATAGATTCCATGAAGGGGGTTTTGGTTATCTCGGCGGACGCACAAGGTGGTATGGCAGGCCTGGCTGGGACGAAAAACGACGGAACACAGATAATGGTAGCCTGCGCAAGTTAGAGAATAGACCCAATATATCTGATGTGACCAGAGGACGTGCTAGACATACTATCACCGAGATCCAGAGCACCATGTTTGGTATTTGGTCAGGACTCACGGCCCAGAAAGAGTCGACGAGCTCGCCAATGGCCGCTCCCAGGGGATTCGCCAAAGTTGCCAAAGCAGTTGCACTCGTTCTGCCTTTCTCCGTAAACCACAAGTCACTGTATCTTGTTGGTGCAGCCAAGGCAAATGGTTGGGATAGACCGAGCAGCAGCTGACCGAACATAACCACGCCGAAGATGCCATTGTTGGCTTTGGTGCCGGCGTAGCGAATCCAGTTACCAACTAGAATCAGAATTGAACCGGTCATAAGCACCGTTCTGGGACCTCCTTTGTTCAACATATACATTACAACACTAGCGGTGATTTATTCGTTAGACGTGACGAGCAAACCAGAAAGCTAGAGAGAGAGAGAGAGAGAGCGAGTATATGTACTGACGGCGTTGAGACACAAAAGGCAAAGAGGAATGCGGTGCTCAGCCAGTTAATTGTGCTTTCTGATACTCTAAAATACTCTGCAGATGTGGTCGAGATGGCAGAAAACGTTAGCCACTAGGTATATTGATATCAGTAAAGCGGCTCTGTAGACAATACTAAATGGCAAATGCTGGGAAAGGAAGCTTTCTTCAGATGAACCTACATCCCAACTAATGATGATATTCATCAAGACCAGCTGAAAGAGGCCAAAAAAGCGTCTCTTGTAGACTTTGTATGTGGGCGTTGGTGTCGCATTGGTGTTCATATTCACCATCATCAACTCATCAATGGACTCGCCTTTCGCCGAGCCCATGTCGGCTTCTTTTTTCGCCATCGTGGATTTGAGGCCTAATCCAGTTTGCGTATCCGTCAAAAGATGCTGTATTGTTCAGATGCCCGGGCTCATTGCGCAGATACGTTGTGCTTGTAGGTCATGTCGAAGTTCAAGTATTGCCCTTGGTCTTGGACTTGTAGCTTGGATCAAGCTGAAGTTGTGTTGGATGTTAGCACCAGACTACTAGGTAGTTTCTCACAGGACTGAGTGAATGCTACTTAGAAGACACGGGAATATAAAAGGGAAGATATGGGCTTCAATTGTACCTAGGTACGACGCAGTATGGATGCGGGGAATGCCTTGGGTAGACTGCTAACTGGGCGACCCTCCAGCGTTGCATCACCTTATCGCTTGCTACTAAAGCGTTGATCCCTGCTGCCGAGGAACAAACATAATTGTATGTGCCATTCACTATATTTAATCACGGGCATGCGATCACTTTCCATTCAAGCCACACAAAGGAACCAAGGCTATCGGGCGGCGCGCTGCACACAGACAATGATAAGATAGGTTGCTACATCGCATCAATCAGCCTGAATGACAAGGATTTATATACATATGTATATATATGATAGCATCCACGCCCAATCATATCGTTGGAATCACCGTCAGAGTCCTTATCATGCCTTAACATCTGAGAAACCTCGAAGGCGATCTTGGCTCGCGTAACAGGTATCTTTTCAAGAGAGGGTATTCCGTAGTTAAGCGTCTCTTTTGCGATGGTCGAGCATTGTATTTTGTATGGCATACCATTCATGCATCGCTTATTATTGCATTCTCATGCATGGTCCTGCCGCAATGCACGTCACAAAAGGGCGTCACCTGGGCATGCTAGTTGACTTTCGAGTTGTCCGCATAATACCAGCCGATATAGAAACTGGATGCAACGAGCTTACTCTCACTGCCGTGGCTTTTCCTTGCGGGGCAGAAAATGTCTGAAGAGAAGAAACGGCGAGAACTTAGGAGAAAAGTCCGTGCAGCGTTGTTTTCTTCAAAATCGGCGTCCCCGGAAATTATGACAAGTCGTGTTGAGATACTCCGCCGTGACGAATGGCTCAGCCACTGACTGCACTTGGGCCTCCTTTAGCTGAGCCACAGCAGCGATGGTTGTTTGTGGTAGCACGGAGCCATGTCAGCGTTGCTCAGTAAGTGAAGAGCAGCAAACAGATAATACTCAAGGAAAGAGACAGGACTAGTTCGCAGAGGAAGTGAGTGTACGAGCGAGAGAGAGAGAGAGAGAGAGAGAGAAAGAGAGAAAGAGAGCAAGAGACAGAGAGCGCCTGCCAAATCTACATTGCAGCGGCCGGCCAGTGCCTGCCTAAGATTAAGATTCCGGCGAGCCGCCTTCCCTGCGTAAACTCAACTGGGTTAAGCTCGTCTCGATTACGCCGACGTCTTTTTTTCTTCTCTTCTTCTCTTCCTCTTCTTCTTCTCCGGCTTCACTTTATTAAATAGATAATTATCATACACGTGTCGCTTGCTCTGCTCGCCGAGAAACTCCGGAAGGGTAACCTCGATCTCTCCCCTGACCTGCCTGACCTTTGACCAACTGCCTGACTGACTGACTGCCAAAAACAGCATTCACTGTGCACACGTCTTCCGCTTTCTTTATTCCCTACTGACCCCAGTCGATCCCTTTCTGCTCCGCCATGTCTGCAGCGTGAAGACCTCGTTCATCTATATATAATACTATATAATATCTACACATATACTCCCCTGCGCATCCTTTGCTTGCCGAGCCGCTTCTGACCGCCACGATGAATGTGGACAGCCTCCGGTCGAGTCGGTCCTCATACGGGGATCCCAGGTACCTCTCCTCCGGTTATCCCAATGGTGCCGTTTCTTTGGTTCCGTCCCGGGCCCTGGATGGCTACCGAAGTATGTCGGACGTAGGGACGGATGATCGGTCTCAGTACAGTGGGGTACGCGTTATGACTTTTTTTTTTCGTTTCTTGCTGCGCTTCTGACTTTTGCTGACTGCTTGACATATTGACTAGTCCGGTGCGATTCCCCCAAAAAACGTGCCTTCTATCGATGTTACCGATCCAGTCTTACTACATCTCCTGACCGAAACCGCGATCGGAGACAGCGCCGGGTATGAGATTCTCCCATTCGAGGAAATTGAGGATTTAAAACGCGAACATGAAGTGCTGTCGAATCGCATTGAAAGTACGAAGCGGAAACTTGCCCTGGAGACCAAGCTGAGGGATGCCGCGAAATCCCTCAGCCGATTACCAAATCCAAAGGCTAATGGCAACGGTGAATATACGAACGGCAATACCAATGGTGTAGCGCATCATCCCGAAGATGAGGAACTTGCTGTTAGCTCTCAGAAATGCGAACAACTATCCCAGGAACTTTGGGCTGTGGAGCGGAGAGCGCAGGACGTTCATAAACGGCTCCTTGAACACACGGCAGGAATACTGCAATTGACACACCGTGGCCTCAAGAAGAACGCCAAGCGTGATAGCACGAACCATGTTCCTAACGGCGCCGGATTTGACTTTGACGAGCGAAGTTTCTATAAAGCTCTGGAAGTAGAGGATACTCATGGTCTCAAGGCGGATGTCGACACCCTGCGCAGAACCGAGCAGAAACTTGAAGATCTAAATGGGCGCCTGCGCGATATATTATTTCAGGGTCATGCTGACCGTGATGCAAGCCCATTGCCGCTTAGAGTCAATAATGATACATCCTTAGCCTATATCCAAGACCACCTGGCGTATCTCGAAACTAGCTTGGAAACACTCCAAATAGACGGGCTACCGGGAAGCGGACCGGTACCAGAAATTTCTGCCACAGAAATGGAGATTGAGCTTAGTGCTATCAATAGTCAACTGCAAAGTTTACTTGGGCAGGCAGGTTCTCACCTGTCACCGACTTTACCGCCACCCCCGAGTCCGTCTGGTCAATACCTCAACGGCCATATCGACTACTTGCGAAGCGGAATGGAGGACCTGCAGGGCCGCGTCGAGAGATTACAGGATCAAAAGAGCATATTGACAACGCAGATTCAACAACAAAGAGAGCTGAATTCAAAATCTGATGCCGAAAGGGATGCTCACGTCGCCGACTTGGCGCAACAACTTATGGAGACAAGGAAAGAATTAGAGCTCTCAGAGCGCGAAGCTCAAACCGTCAGAAATGAACTGGGCTTGGTAATGGAGCAGCTCGATACAGCGAAGCAGCAGCAGAACATCCAGGATCAGCAACTGGAAATTGATAAAGATAAAGCTGAAAAGGAAGTCGAACATCTCCGAGAACAATTGGATCTAGTAATGGAGCAGCTTAATGCAGCAAAGGAACAGCAGAATACCCAATATCAGCAACTAGAAACCGGAAAAATAGAAGCTGAAAGAGAAGCCGAACGTCTCCGAGAAGAATTGGGTTTGATGACGGAGCAGCTTGATGCCGCACATCAACATCAAGGCACCCAATATCAACAGCTAGCCAATGATAAAGTTGAAGCCGAGAAAGCAGCCGAACGTCTTCAAGGAGAATTAGGTTTGGTGATAGAGCAGCTCAATGCGGCAAAAGAACAGCAAAATAATCAATTTCAACAGCTAGAGACCGAAAAGGCTAAAGCTGAAAAAGAGGCTGAACATCTCCGAGAAGAACTGGGTTTAGTGATGGAGCAGCTTAATGCGGCAAAAGAACAGCAAAATAATCAATTTCAACAGCTAGAGGCCGAAAAGGCTAAAGCTGAAAAAGAGGCTGAACATCTCCGAGAAGAACTGGGTTTAGTGATGGAGCAGCTTGATGTGACGAAGCAACAACAAGACATTCATCATCAACAGCTAGCGAATGATAAAGCTGAGGTGGAAAAAGAGGCCGAACGTCTCCGAGAGGAATTGGAGCATGTTGAAGGAGAATATGCACGCGCCCAGACCGAGCTGACTGTGGTTAAAGCGGAACTTGATGGGGCATACGGTACTCGTGCAGAGCGAGCTGCCGAAGCTGCAGCTAACCCAGCTCTATACAAGGAGATCGAAGATCTGCACACCAGGAACATTAGCCTAGCAGAAGAGCTAGCAGCCTTGAGAGCCGAGCAAACAAATCGTGACAACGGTCAGGGCGATCTTCAAAAGCGCGTGGAAACTCTTCAGAAGGAACTTGAAGAGACGATAGAAGATTATGAGTCTATGACCAAGGCCAGCATTGAATTTGAAAAGGAACGCGAGAGATACGAAAGCACAATTGACAGTTTCCGGGACCGCTGCGAGCAGCTAGAGACACAGCTAAGTGATGAGCGCATCACGTGGATGGGCGTCAATAGCCAGACAGCAGCAAGAGACGGTGCCATGGAGACGACATCAACAATGGTACTGAAGAATGAATTCAAAAAGATGATGCGTGATACGAGAGCGGAAAACATGAAGCTTCTCAGGGTAAGTCTCCTTCTTATTTTCTTATACACCAGTTCGTCCTCACATACCTTTTATAGGCGGAACAAGAAGAACGAAAGAAACTCGAAGTGCTGGTACGCAGTCTCAAAATGGAACAAACCATGGGCAAGTCGAATCTCAGTCAAAACATGGTGGCCTAAACCTTCACAATATCCTTTTCTTTTCTTTTCTTTTCTCCTCTTACATTCTTGTGTATTTTTCTCCCTGTAATGACAAGCAACGATCCAACGATCATCGATTCATGCATGAAAATAAATATAGCGAGCCATCTAGATATATGGGGAAGGCGGGCGTCAAATCTTGTTTTCTTTTACTTGAAAAAAAAAAGGAAAGCAAAATCCTTTTCTCAGGTGTATTACATATTTGTTTCTCTTTCACTCTATATTACACTTTTTGTCTATTTCGGATTATCTGGTTTTCACAGGCAATCGGGTCACGCGTCAGCTTTGACATTTGAGCTAGAGTTATTATTAGCTTTTGTGCATATATGCACTTGGGTATATTTCTCTATATATATTCGATACCATGACGGTCACAACCTGAAATAGGTAGATACGTATCTTAGATGAACAAATCATATAATCATACAATCAAAATTAGACTATTGTTTCCGTTCATTTATTTTCGTCCCAACTAAATAGATACAAGTATATAAGTAAGCTGCGTTATCTAGGTTGATCCGGATCCAACAATGATATAAACAAGAAGTTAATAATACTCCGGAATATTTCAAATGCAAGAAGCAATGCCTTAACCTTGTATTGAGATGTATCGCTTTTGTGTTTCGTATTCATGAGTATCGTAGTCGTTGGTCGTCATTAGGAAAGGGGATACAGAAAATAGGTAGAAAATTGAATGCGTAAGACGTATTAATACGACGTGGTTATACCCCCACAAAGAATTGGGATGCTTCGATGAGTTCGGCATCGCCAGCAGCGAAATCCCAGCCGACGATTCGCCGATCTTGACTGGCGCAAACGATTTTGCGCGCGTCGAATTGAACCTTGTAAACTCTCGATCCACCTGGGGTGCCGGCAGGGTTGACCAGTTGTCGGTGTACTGGGAACCCATGTGGATGAGCTACAATATGGGCTGCCTGGGCTTGAGCAGCGGCTGCGTTCATTGCATGCGCCTGATGCAAAACTGCAAGTGGGACTTGGTCCGGTGGTGGATTGTTGCCTAGAGGGGCCTGCGGTGGCACCGCACCGGGTGCATTAACGCCTTGGTTATCAATATTATTGTTGTTGTCGTCGGCACCCGCAGGAGGATTGGCAGCTTGATGTTGCAGCACTGGCATAGCTCGCATTATGCGACGCGCTGTTATATCACGGGCACGGTGTGCGCTTGTCGAGTTTGCCATTGTCACGGCATCCGCCTGGCGAAGTCGATGTCCAACTAGCCACTTGCCGTCCCGGTCCTGTCTCCAGATGATGACTGTCTCATCGTATGACCCGGACACAATCCTAGCCCATCGGCTTCCTCCGCCCCCTGGCGGAATCCGTGCGCCCAAGGCCATAATATCTCGTGGGTCTTTTGAGCCGGCATTCCGGTATTTCATCCGGCGACGAGTGACGGCTGGCCATCGTTGATGATAAGGTACGATGCCACTACGTTGGGCATCCCAGAAATCGCTGTCCACAGCAAGGGCCTCGAGCCGGAGTGCTTCTTCAGCGCCAGGAGGATCGCCAAACCCAGCCTGAACCGTTCGCACCAGATTGGTATGTCCTATCAGACAAGCCACTTCAGCCCCGGATGCATGGTCATAGATGCGAACTGTGTCATCATTACTACCACTAATGATGCGCCGGTTATCGAACTGAACGCAGGCAATACCCTTGTTGTGGCCCATTAATGTCCTCAAGCATGACCCGTTACGGATGCTCCATACTTTGATCAGCCGGTCTCCTGCGGCCGATACGATTTCGTCGTCGTTGATCTCAATTGCGTTGACAGCAGCGCCATGACCTTCAAGCGTCATCAAAAGACTGTATGGCTCTATTGCTTTTATATGGCCGCTGGCTAGCTCCGCCTCCAACACAGATGGCGATATTTTGGTGGTATCTATAATGTAGGAAGGATATGTAACTGTTGGTCCCTTGACAACCGAAGGGTAGTCCTTGTCCCGTGGATCGAGGGACCGGCGATTCCACACCTTGATAGCATGATCCTTGGAGCAGGTTACCAAATAACTCTTGTTGAACTTCAGGTTTAGAATCGAGTCATGGTGCGCATTGGTCAATTCAAGGACCTTCTGGCCAGTGGAAAACCTCCAAATAATGACATTCCTGTCGCTACCGCCGGATATGATCACATCTTCTTCTGGACTGGGATCAAATTGCAGACATAGCACTGATGTTTGATGACCCCGAAGTGGTGGGAGGCTTAAACGCCTTCGATCCATATCCCAAACACGAACTGTCTTGTCGCGACTACCACTGACCAGCCATTTGCCCATGAACTGAATGGTGTAAACGCACTCTTCATGAGCCTCTTCAATGTGGTTCGGGTGGGGAACTTGGAAATTGGTGAAGCGAGCTTTCAACCAGTTGTCTTCCAGGCGTCTCCGTTGCTTGTAGAGATAAGGCCAGTTTATCTTTGCTGTGCCATTCGGTAGCCTAATCAACAAGGGGGAATGCCTACCCACGTACACATCACTCTCTTGCTCGCCATCGACGTCAAGGGGAGAGTTTGGCACGTCTGCTTCTAAGGACTGATGCTGCTCGTTCCAAGGAGGGCTGGACTGTGAGTCTGAGGCATCATTAGATATTTCTTGTGACTGGAAGCCTGCTTCGATAACACGTCTTTTGAGTTGAGGTTCTGATACGTCAGAATCAGCATGCCTAGTCCGAGTTTTGCGACCCTGGGACACAGATAGCTCGGAATGCAGTTGCTCATATTTTCTGATAGCACCAAAGTCCAATCTCCACCCCTCTTTGATGTACATGCCTCTCCATAGGCACGAATCAGTGGTGATGCGACTCCTCCAGTCACGCGAGGCGAGCGATGCGTTGAGTAATGTAACTGGGTCGAGATATGAGAATATCTCCGCGGTGATCTCGGGAGGTAATCTGCGCAAGGGATCCATGTGAAGTAGTGGCCGCAGTCGCTCTACAATCGATGAGAGAGAGCTAGTTCGTAAGCTGCTTAGTAGTGAGTAGGCAAGCTCTGTGGATGTCTGTTAGTTAACGCAGCAGTGATTCGATTGGGTGCGAACCAGCAAACACACGCACCTGCTCTCTCCGGTTCACTGTGGGCAAGAATCCAGTCCGGCAGAAACGAAGACTCATTCCCTACTTCACCTTCCAGTTGACTTCTTGAATCGTCGGAATAGCCCTCGTCCAGCTTGTAGGATGTTACTAGGGGAGCCGCGGTGTACGCGGGTTTGTCAGAACGCATCCGCCAAAGGGTTTCCGATGGATCGTCCTCATTCATATTAGGGACTCTAGAGCTCCGACTTCTGCAGCGGACGTAAAATGGCTACCACCAGTGGCCCCAACAGCCCCGACCCTGGTGAAGCAGAAGTCTTGTGTCTTTCTCGTGGCTAGAGCGAGGGGGAGTGAGGGAAAAGTCAGGTAATCCGCAGTGTGGTCAACCGATAGGGTAGCCAACCAAATACAAGCAATCAATCAATCAGAGCAGCGTCGACCTGGTGAAAGCGCGGAGACAAGAGCAAGCCCCTCGTTGTCGATGTTCATTCATTGTTGTGTTGTGATGTGATGAGATGAGTCGAACTTGACGGCAAGAGGCAGAGACGTTCCGGGGCTAGCGCGGGTGCCTCAGGCTGCCCAGCGCTTGGGAGTCTCGCCTCGGCGGTTCTTCTTTGTTTTGAAGTTGCTTTGCACTTGCCAGCAACGTTACAGCGGCCTACAAAGTAACTAGCTTGGTTAGTTGACTACTCGCAGACAGCCTGAATCAGCTGATGGACTAACTTAACTAACTATAGTGAAGTCGGAGTGCTGTTTCTTCAACTGGCAGGCCAGGCCTGAAGGGCAGTTCTCAACGCAACTCACTGATTCTTTGCTACCCAGCACCATCGACATGCAAACCGGAGCCCTTTATTTCATTGGCCCATCCGTTCTTTTGCTGTTTCAGACGAGTATCACAACCCTATCACACGGCACCGACCTGGGAGTCGGAGCTGACGCCAATATAGTCCAATACCCTATCACCCCCGAATGACTGTGCATGCGGTTTCGCCTCCGGAGAATAGCCATAGAGAGTAGACATGTAGCGGTAGTGATAGAGCGATATGATACGCAGCGTACTCTGTAGAACAACATGGACTGTTGTTTCGCGACTTTACCTGATCAGAGCTTAGCCTGCGTTGCCGAAACACGCTACGGCAGACGTACACACTCAGACTCACTCTTGATCCGGCGTTGATGCAGCAAGCAAATCCCTCTCCAGCCAGTGACTCCTTCGTGCGGCCTTGCTCTGGTGTTCCCATCTGGCGTGTTGTGCTGTGACGAGACCCCTTGGCTGGCTGGCTGGCTCCTCCTTCGTGCCTGCCTCTCGGCGTCGGTCTGCTTCCCCCCTCTCTCCACACCCCCGACCGACCACACATTTTCCTCGTCGTCGTCGTCCTCCTCCTTCTCCACCCCCCACCACTTCAAACATTCCCCTGCGACGCATCGCTGGCGGACGGACAAGAAAGCATTCAGTACAAGTCGAGTCGTCTTCCATCTGCCATCTTGGATGCTGGCCCTGCCTGTCTGCACGGGTTCTGGCGCACTCTCCAAATCATTCCCCCCAAACCAACCTTACCTAGATAGAGTACTGGGGCCGGCCGGCGACTATTATTTTGCCCGGCCATCTTGCTCGTGCAACTTCCACCGGTTAGCCTGTCCATTCGAATACCCTTCCTCTGCGATAATCGGTACAAGCCGTGGAGCAGGCTCTCGCTGCGATCAACGTGAACAACACGACTCCAGTGGCCCGCAAGTTGGACTGCCCTGCGTCGCTCTTGTCACCCTCGATTCTCCCTTCGGTTTGGACGTATTGATTTGCGCTACCGCTGTTCCATATCGATGATAAATTGGTTCTAGAGACGCAACCAGGTACGCTGGCTGGGACAGTTACTTGTGCGAAGGGAATACGACCGATTCTACCAACATGGACACGCCATCGAGTAACGGGGTCCCCGTCGGAGGCCCCGTCGCGGAGGACAATATCATCAACAGAAGGGGTGGCGAGTCCATCTACCAGAGCTGTGTGAATTTGAAACTTCGCCTGTCCGAGGTTCCAGGCTTTGAGCATCATTTGGACGAGATGGAAGCTGAAGAGCGAGCTACTGCCGACCCAGTCGCCTCGTTATGGAATTGTCTCCGCGGCGGCTATCCTCTCATGACCATCTTCAATGTGTCGCAACCAAATAAAAAGCTCGACATTGATCCAGAAAAGGTCCCGGAAGCAAAGAGACCCAAGGCTGCTACTTTCAAATTTTTGCAAGCTTGTTTACAAGATTTGGGCTTTCCGCAGCAGGATTGTTTTTTAATCACGGACCTTTACGGCGATAACACGACGGGCTTTATCAAGGTTGGCTTTGCGTCTTGAGAATATACGAGCACCACTTGACTGACGGTTTTCAATAGGTGATCAAAATGGTAAACCGTTTTCTAGATAAGCTGGAGATGGAGGGTCTACTCCGCCGGCCATCTGCAGCAATTGCCGGCGCGCAAGGAGGTCAAGAGGGTACTGTTAAGCTTACGAAACGCGAGCACATCTTAAAGGAGCTACTTGTGACCGAACGTGATTACGTTCATCATTTGCAAAACTTGCAGGCCTTAAAAAAGGAACTCGATGAGACTGGCGCTCTGACTGGAGATTCCAGCCATCAGATTTTCATGAACTTGAACGATTTACTCGACTCTGCGCAGCGTTTCCTCATTCGAATAGAGCAGCATTATGCACTGCCCGAGGAGCGCCAGGACTGGGGTCATGTCTTCATTGAAGCGCAGGACATTCTGCGGAAATATGAGCCATTTATTGCCAATCAATTGCAATGTGATGAGGTTTGCCTTCGTGAATGGGACAAGATCAAAGCTGCTCCACGGTCAGTGGACTTACAGCAAATGGTTGCAATGCCTGCCACTCTCAACAGTTTTTTTGTCAAGCCATTCCAACGACTCACTAAATACCCTCTTATGCTTTCGGTATGTATTGGTTTTGTTTTTTGTTTTTTTCCTTTTTTTTTTTTTACCTAAAGATATTGCGTTGATGATTATGCTGAATGATTGGATTAGGAACTTCGCAAACAAATTGAAGACGAGTCCTTGCAGCTCAATATAACGACAGCAATCGACATGATACAATCCGTCCTCGATACTGCCAACGATGCTATTGATGAGCAACACCTGAAAGCGGCAATGCATGATTTGGCTCAGCGCGTCGATGACTGGAAGGCTCTGAAAGTCGATGGGTTCGGGGATTTACTGCGATTCGGCACCTTTACTGTTTTAAAGGGAGATAGCAATAAGGACTCTGAAAGAGAAGTAAGTACAGTTACTAGACCATTGCGAATATTTGTTCTAGATTTACATACATTACCGTGTGCTCTTCGTAATTGCTGACTATCACGAAATAGTATCATATATATTTGTTCCAGCGAATTTTACTTTGTTGCAAAGATATCAATCCCAACAAGCAGAAAACGAAACTCATCGGTTCAAAGGAGAAGCCGTCGGCTAACCTCAAGGGCAAGCCACGCCTTCAGCTTAAGGGTCGGATTTATATGGCAAACGTCACCGATGTTGTGCTACTCCAGAAGCCAGGTATGATTACACAACCAAGCTTCGCCTATATATTACTTTCTCTCCATTTCCCGCCTGTTTCACCGCATATTCTCTGACAAGTATGAATTTATTAGGCTCCTATCGCATTCAAATCTTCTGGAAAGGCGACCCTGGCGTTGTCGATAACTTCATTATTCGTTACGTCAATGAAGACATCATGAAGAAGTGGTATAAAGACATAAATACGCAGCGGGAGTATCATGCTAGCCAGCGCAATGTGCGACACACTGGCACGTCGGATTCGGAATTTACGTATATGCAGAATATGACGGGGATGGTTAACCCTTACCAACAAGAATATGACGCGGAAGAGGACAGCCAGATACAATCGGCCTCTTTCTCGGAGTTTCCCGTTAGCAGAAATGCGTCCAGCACCAGTCTTCGGACTAGATCGGCGACGGGAGGCAGCAGTGGATCGATCGGTCTTCCTACTGCGCGACCACCTCCTCGATTCCCCATACCGGATGTCCCGCCGTCATTGCATACGCAATTGTCAAACGGCAGCCTGTCTCCCGGTGAACGAGTGAACGGCACATCTTATTTCTCTCCCGTGACCGAGACTCCCTCTACACGCTCTAGCTCACAGTCGGCATATAATTATACTCGCCAGATGACGCCAACCAATGCTTGGAGCGAAGAGTCAAACCGTTATACAGCCCCGGCTTTAACTCGAGGAGTGTCAAGAGACGGGACCAACGGCAATCCTTATTTCAATCCTCCCGGCATGAATGGTGCTGCCAATGGCCGGGTACAGCGTCCATCGTTGCCGCCGATGTCAGGACAGGGCCAAGCATCTAACCCGATGTCACAGAGGATGCGATCTGCTAGCAGCCCGGACATTCACAATACGTCGCGGTATATGAACGGTCACTCGATGCAGACGATCGAAAATGTCCCAGTTCCCCCCATTCCGCCGCAACTTGCAAGCATGCGAGCGCCGGTCAATCGAAGCCAGAACAACTCACCGACGAACAATGGTCTCCCCATTCGATCAGCTGCGCAAACACCCGTTGGAGGTCCGCGACATATGCAAAGTGGTAGCTACAATGATTCGTCTTATTTCCCCCCGATAGCTAACAGCCAGTCCTCTTTGCCCGATCATCCTCTCGCCAATTCCGGTACCCTTGATCAGGATTTGCAAGCATCTCAAGATCCAATTATGCCAACTCAACTAAAGGCAAAGGTCAATTTTGATGATAACTATGTCACGCTTGTTATTGCTAGCAATATTCTCTTCCGCTCCTTGACCGATCGGGTTGATGCCAAACTAGCTCGTTTCACGAATCGGTCCATAGGTAATAGGTCTGTGAGGCTACGATATAAAGATGAAGACGGCGATTTCGTTACCATCGACAGCGATGAGGCAGTGCAGTTGGCATTTATGGAATGGAGAGACCAACACCAGGACAGTCTCGCACAGGGTCAAGTGGGCGAGATTCAGCTCTTCTGTCAAGCTGTTGAAAACTGAAACGCGGGCGCAGGGCGTATCCAGTTTTGAGATGGCTAAGCCGAAAAAAAAAAAAGCACTCTCCCGTTGTGGTTCGAAGAGCATTCAAAGGCAGTTTGTGGCGTTTGTCTATCTATGGCGTTAGGGTCGCAGTTAGAACGAAGAGGCGTTCGTTCTACAGATGTTATTCAAGCAGGGAGGGAGTGCTGCGATGCAACTGCTCATCCCGCGTCTTTTCATGATCAATGTTTTATGACCACCAGCTAGCTGTACTTGAATTGTTTAGTATCGATGTGATGAAATGTGGAGTTGTCATTTCTCTGTCCGACGCTTTTGCATGTTTTATTTGTTTGTCTATGTCTATGACCTTTGAACGAAGCGACACGTACCTTTAGATGGATCTACTATATGAATTTATTATTATGCTCGAGATATCCATAAGCTCCCGGCATAAAGCACTAGCACGGCTCGGGTAGTCGGCACCTTAGGCATCCCTGGGCCTTCTAGAGTGCGCTCCAGGAAATCTTAAACTAAACGCCTTGCGTGCTAGTTAACTCTTTCGTTTGAAATCGGAAAAGGCCTCGCATTCCATTCCGTGTCCTACCGTTGCTAACGTACAGAGGGATGCATGCAGGGGCGCACTGCGTACAGCCACCTAACGCGAAACAGGCATAGCAAAAGCCGTAACCCTGTCTATAGCATAACCATTGATTTCGAAGTTTGCAGGTGACTAGTGGCTAGTCAGCACTTAGTCCTGGCTGTTAGCGCTAGAGGGGCAGCGGTTTCAGTTCGTGGGATATCAGACAGGGGGAGTGTCAGAAATGAGCGATTAAATCACGACATAGTCTCCGAGTCTGTAAACTCGTGTGTTGTGTCGTACGCGTGTCTTCTGGCCTATTTCCGCCGCATTTTGAGTGATTTTTTTTTGGCTGTAGATCCTCGCCACGGTCCAGACGACGACGATGATGGTGATGATGATGACGGATGAAACGATCAGAAAATAGCGCGGCTAGCCTTAGAAATAATACGTGGCTCCTGTTCGGACTAGTTTAAAAGAGAGGGGCACTGCAGTCTACTGGTTCTGCCATTTTTTTTTTATACATAGGATAGTAGATACTGTCAGGCACCTCCGAGTTAGTATCTCTTGGCGGCCCAACACTGAGCAGAGTTCTTCTCTAGAAAGCCTCCTGGCAATCCTCGACTCGACCGCATAAACCAACACAAAATGTCCTTCTCCGGTCGCCGTGTGAGCATTCTGCGCCCTACAGAGGGCAGACGCTTCTCTGCCACCAAAGATCTTTCGCAGAACGGTGCGTATGATGTCGCATTGCGGAGCACGTGTGCCTGAGGAACATCAGTGGTTCCTTGGCAGAGCGAAACCCTGCATTCTCCTGCTGTTTGCTTTCCTTGCTTTTTTTCTTTCTCTTCTTTGCTCCAGCTGATCGGAGAAAAAAACCCCCAAAACAAAACTGAACAGAACAACAATCCGCTACCCATCGTGATTTCCGTTCTGCCCACGAGGGCCACAAGCCGCACGCCGGTCTCGACGCTTCCCGTGCTTCTACCGGAGTCATTTGGTGCACAGAGCGTGCCAACGAGCATGGATTCTCCGAACAGCCCTCCGAATGGGCCAACTTGGGTCAGGGTGCCCCCGAGGCAGACGACGATATCGTGGGCAGCTTCCCCCGCCCAACAACCATCCCCATTGACTCGGCTTCCCGCGAGTACGGTCCCACGGCCGGCATCAAGAGTCTCCGCGCTGCTGTCGCTCGCCTCTACAATGAGCAGTACCGAAAGGGCAAGGAGAGCCAGTACACCTGGGAGAATGTGTGCATTGTTCCCGGTGGTCGAGCCGGTTTGATCCGTATTGCTGCTATTCTGGGAAATTCGTACTTGTCGTTCCCCATTCCTGACTATACCGCCTATTCCGAGATGCTGTCTTTGTTCAAGAACGTATGCCAAGTCGATTCTTTCTTTCCTTTTCTTTCGTAAGGCAATGTCAAAGCTGACGCATGCTTCTAGTTCTCGCCTATCCCTATCCCGCTTTCCGAAAGTGATCACTACCACATCCACCCTGACAAGATCGCTGAGGAAATTGCTCGAGGTACCTCGGTCTTGTTGACCTCCAACCCCCGAAACCCTACTGGTCACGTCGTGGAAAACCCAGAGCTTGCTCGCATTCAAGACATTTGCCGCGACCGTGCGACCCTCATTCTAGACGAGTTCTACGGAGGTTACAATTACACGACCGACTGTGATGGAAAGACATTGAGTGGCGCAGAGAATGTTATTGATGTGGACAAAGATGGTATGTAATTTGGGGCCTATGAAAAAGAAATGAGCTAGAGCTGACATGTAATTCGTAAGACGTTCTCTTGATTGACGGTCTGACCAAGCGGTTCCGTCTTCCTGGTTGGCGTATTGCTTGGATTGTCGGACCTAAAGAGTTTGTTGAGGCTCTTGGCTCTGCAGGCTCCTACCTTGATGGTGGTGCCAATGTGCCCTTCCAAGAGGCTGCCATCCCCATGCTTGAGCCATCCCTTGTGGAACAGGAGATGAAGGCACTTCAAAAGCACTTCCGGGACAAGCGCGACTATGTCGTGTCTCGCCTTCAGGAAATTGGATTCCGTTTCAAGGATATCCCCCAGGCGACTTTCTACATCTGGCTGGATTTGACTTCTATTGAGCCACCTCTGCCAGAGAGCGCCAATATCTCTGATGGTCTGAACTTCTTCAATGCCCTGTTGAAGGAGAAGACGATTGTTGTGCCTGGTATTTTCTTCGACTTGAACCCGGCCAAGCGCCGTGACCTGTTTGACAGCCCTTGCCATCACTTTGTGCGACTCAGTTATGGACCCAAGATGGAGGTCCTGAAGAAGGGTCTCGACGGAATTGAGCGCGTCATCCGCCGTGCCAGAGGGGAGAATGTTGGACCAACACTGGAAGACGAGGTTGCCATTGAGGATTAGATCATGGACGAATTGTGGTTGGAAGTTGTTTTTGGCTTGATGCATGCTAGTAGAACTTGCTTATACAGTATACAATGTTGGATATAAACATACCATTTAACGAAGACCAAATTGTCCTCTTCTTTTTTTTTTTTTTTTTTTTTCAAGTTTAATAGATAGCGTCGTGGACATATTGCTTTTGGACTAATTCAGCTAATAAGTATATAGTCACGTGACCCGACCGCGTGCCTTCGTCCAATGCCCATCCTATGAGCAATACAAATAGTATTACTCTAGCTACATCGCGACAGCAGCAAACGTTCGCTGGACGGGTGGGCTCTTCGCTCACAGGCCCCAAGGACTAAAGCTGCTCAAAGCCATGAGGCCAATTCACTACAATGATTTTTAATGTCCTTCATATTCTCAGTTCGACTGTCTATTCGCTCCTTACTATCGTTCTCTTTGCTCTGACCCTTCTGACGCCGGGCGATTTCATCTATCAGTGTTACGTCAACCACAGACTGGTAAATATATTCATTGTTTCTGGCGTTTATATCATCACCGTCTTGCTGGGTCTTCTCATCTACGCCAGCCGCATCTACACGAATCGCACCGCCCTCAGCGGAATCCCGAAGGCATGGATACCTGTCGCGAAAGGCGAGGTCGACAGAAGTGTGCAGCGGATTGTGGAGGATGGACTTAGTCGGAGTTCTATTATTGCATTTCAGGCACGACCGAGAGATGTGTTTGATGAAACCAACGAGCCCGTCCACGATGCCGAACTCTCCATCACGGCCGAACGACCCCCTTGGGGCACCGTGTCGCATGCTGGATGGTCTGCGCCTTCGTCTCTCGATCTGCCAGGATTGCAGTATGGACCCGTTATTGAAGAGCTGCCACACCTGATCGAGGCCAAAGCCGTTTCCCTGGTCCCGTCGGGCCCTATACACCCATCGCCCAGCCGTCGTAGTTTTCTTGATCACTTGGAAATGGAGGAACAGAGCGTTCCCGATCCTCGCCTGGTGGAGCTGTTGCAAAGACCTGCGACCGTGGGACTGCGGGATTATATTGGACATCTCACAGCTTTGAATTTGATTAGTCCGCCTGAACTAGGGTTGGACTTTCTCGCTCTCTATGAACGAGCGCGATTCTCGTCTCATCCCTTGTTTGAGGACGAGTTCAGGACGTTGATGGGCATATTTGCGGAAGTGTTGAGAAGTATGAAAGAGCTGGATTACCAATTGGTGCAGGAAATATGCGGCGAGGAGGACGACGACGAGTCGCGAGTCGACAGCGAATCATTTATCGGCCCGTCGGATGAAGAGGGTGAGACTGATACGTTGGGCTCGGAGGAGAGTCGTGTACCTCTGCATCGCGAACGGAGCATGGACTCATCATCAGTGTGGAGTAGTAGCTTTCGCTCTGTGCACACGGCGCCGATGGTCCAAAGCAGTAGCAGCTCACGGGGGCTTTCACGAAATGCTAGTGGGGGTTTACAGAATCCGTGGTCAAATAATTCTCTGCAACGAGCTCGATCTATTGCCTCGCAGAGCTCAGGTAGCGGCAGCGTCATTCGACTGGCGAGGACGCGCAGTTCGACTGATCTCCCCTATGAGATTAACATTCCAGCCGAGCGCAGGCTCTGAACCCTTCTTTATCATCATTTATTATTATCACTGTATATAGTCATATAATTCTGGTATATCATTCTATATTATTTCTAAAATCCGAGCTGCCGATTATGAGGGGAAGCTCGGAGATAAACGGTTGCTGCTCGGATCAGATAAGATAATTTCCGAAGCCACGTCCAAATTGCGAAATCCTGCTTGAAAGTTCGCACTCGACTTTTGTATGAGTGTTGCATTGATTTCCCATTTGACCATTTCTTTAATCTTCGACAATTTTCCTATTGAATCCTATAGGATTGGTACACGCAGTCATGCAGAGTATACTCCGCCGCGGCGCGCAATTCTTATCGTCACGGACTGGCAGCCCCGCCTCTACGAACGATGATGGCTTCCAAACCGCGGCGTCGCAGCACGTCCTGTTCCCCAAGGTAGACCCGGCGGTCGATGGCGAGGACTGCAACCAGGACTGCGCCAGCTGCACCATTCACTATCCGGCTCGATTCGACGTTGAGCTGTCGGACAAGTTGTACGGCAATGTGAAGGGCTGGGCCACGCACATCCTCGTGGCTACGGGCAAGGCCGATTGGGTTCGTGATGTTGCTGATGAGAAGGGCAGTGTGATGGAGGCTATTGAAAAAGGTGGTTTGAGCCCGAGTAATGGGGTATGTTTTGTCTACCTCCCCAAGGTATCATTATCATAGGCCGGAGAGAAGGCTTACTTTTGAGTAAAGACGCTGAAATTGTCCGCATCCAATATTCCCGTGCCAGACGAGTATCATCATGCCGAAGACGGAGAGAGGCCAACGACAGTCGTTCTTTTTCCCGCCTTCAAGATCATCGACCACGTCACTCCTGCCCTAGCTCCGGATCTGATTAAATATTTCGTCAATCCGTCTATCACGACGACGACGCCTCTTCGCAGATTACCACGGACTACTGCCGATACTGCTGATGGGAGTGGCGCATCGGCATCAGAATGGAAAGAAGAAAATGTTGATATCACGTCGTTAACATCTCTCCGATCTCGCCCCCTGCCTCATGCAGCAGTTATTCTTCTCTGCTCACAGAAAACTCGCGACGCGCGATGTGGCCAATCTGCACCGCTCCTGAAGCGCGAATTCGAACGGCATCTGCGCACTCATGGCTTGTATAGGGATGCCAATGACGAGAGACCCGGTGGTGTCTCGGTGTACTTTATCAGTCACGTAGGCGGACACAAGTATTCGGCTAATGTCATAATCTACCGACGCCGTGATTTCGAGTGGTACAAGACTGCTGACTCTGGCGCACAAGAGAGGAATGAGGAAGAAGACGAAGGTGCGGCGCAGGGTATTTGGCTTGCGCGAGTGCGCCCGGAAGAGTGTGAGAACATCGTCAAGCACACCATATTGCAGGGCAAGCTGGTCAAGCCGGATCAGCTGCGGGCTGGGTTTGATCGAGTGAAGGGGTTGACTAGTTGGTGAATGTGCTATAGACTGACTTATACATTTGTGGTGTATATACAGTGATCGATTTGTCACTTGCGATGAACTGTTTGGTTAGACCATAGAGTCATTCATGCACTGAATCGTGTCTTCGATTATGTCTCGAAGAAAGGAATCTGATCGGTCGCCCTTGAAGGAAAGCTTAAATATATAAAACGGATACTGATATCTTTTGTCTCTTTCTGCTGTAAATGCAGCGGAATGTATTTCTGTCCTACTTTAGAGTAGTACTAGCACCTCTCTCTTCAGATCTGAGGTGCACTCCGATACCGTTCGTGCCACCTCCAAAGCGACAGGAAACCGTGAAGGCTTGACGCCACGACTTGGAGACTTGTTCAGACACAGTCAGTCAGAGCAGTTACTTAGATATGGCTGCAAAACCTCACCGGCTCTAGACGTTGACTTTCTGCTGAACTCCTCACCGCAGTTGAAGCAGTGACTTGAAGTCTATCGCCAAAGAGAAATGCTTCGGCGGCGGCAATTTATGCCACATGATATACATAAAAATACACCAAGTCTGATTTACTTCCAAGATACGTAGTGTAATGAGCTTAAAAAGAAGAGAAGATAGGTGAACCGGCTATGAAAAGACGGTTGTTCTCAGACGTAGGTAGACGTCTGGATCATGTGATTTGGATTGCCCTCAAACCGCTTCTAGGAAGTTTGATCTTGAACCAACTCCAGCCAATTACAGTCTAATCATGACAGCTGGAATCCACATACATTACATTGATCACAGAGCCTGTAGGTACTTGCTTGTTGAAGCAAGGCTTTTAAACCTACGCTTAGGCTTCAACGCCCCCTTTCTGGGAGGAATATACCGACCAGACTAGAGTCCTGTACTTATATTTCAGTTTCTGAAATTGGAAAGGCGTTGTGTTAGCAGGGCGCTTGTACTTGTTGGGGCTCAGAATTCTCGGTTACGAGTTTTTTGATACCGTTGCTGCAAATATCCAACGTCCATGCTAGAGCAATTAGCCGAGCTCACGCTTCCCAATGGAACTGATATCCGCAGGCATACCTTCATGGCACGGCATGCCCAACAAGGAGATCTATTCGTCTCATTAACTGCCCAACCTATATCGTGATTTTATTTATCATCGTTAGAGTTTGATGCCAAGGTGATGTGGCTTAGAGCCTCTGGAAGACTAACAACAAATTTCGCCGTTGAGCAATGAGAACGAAAAATGAGCCCTTACTAGGGTGATTTTAAGGCTTCGTATAGCGCAAGCGTTAGTATTTTCTCCCTTTGCCAGGATTGGCATTGGTATGCCTAGAAAGTAGCCAAAAGCTAGATTAGCTGTTCAACTAACAGCAATCAGAAGAACCGCGGGGGCAGAATGTTGGAATCTAACTAATACTCCGTGGATAATGGTGCTCCGGTGATCCGAATCTGGCGTCTCGCTTATTGGAAGATATGATTGGCTGAGCGGGTTAGTTTAATCTAAACCACCTGGCTGACATGAGTGTTCTAGTTAAATCTCGATGGGGCTCTTCTAGCTGCTGTTTCAAGTGTGTGTGTTTCGCAGGTTTAGCAAAGTACTTTCGTCAACTCTGTAGATGCAGCCAATCACGCCAAACTGGTGACATGCCGGCCTAGACGCCAAACCCCGGTATTGAAATACCCACGCAGCGTGAGAAAACGGCAAGTGAAACGGCCAGGTCCACACGGTATTTACGTTTCAATACATACCCATACCACGTAACAGAGTATTACAGAATTACAGTACTGGCAGAGTACTTCGTAGCATCTGGTATCACCGTCTCTAATATCGACTGTCTGTGAGAGCTTCGGCAAATGGCTTGAATGAATGAATGAATAACCTGCAAGATCGGGATCTATTTCTTGTTATCGGAAACGTAGTGTAAGACACCTGCTTTTAGACCCTGCAGGTGACGCACGCAGCGGAACTGGATTCCGGGCAGTATAAGGCTGGCATTATCTCGACACATTCCAGGTATTCATAATATGATTGGTCTAAATATAGCACAGTATAATATTAGTCCGTATTAGGTACTTTGCCTTTTTGTTAATTCTTGCCACATGGTAAGGTATTATGTCGTACAAATAGAAATAGTAACTATGTAGTACTTCTATTTGAGGGCAGAGTACTTCGTATGCGACGTATCATGCAAGCCGGGACATAGCTCCATTCAATCAGAGCTCCGACTATACAATTGATAACTAGCTAACCAGCTAGTCAACTAAAAGTGTGCAGTACGTAATAGGAGGGCAGAAAAAGAAAAGGTGATGCATGATCATATTCTTGCATACAGCCTCCTGCAAGGGGTGTATTACTACAGGGTCTACGAGGCTGGAGGCCAATGATAAGGTGACGCTCGCCACGAGATACGCGGTTAGCATGTTTTCTCTGAGTCTGTTGAATGTTCTGGCGATGATCTTCCATGTATACTTCTGAATATGTATTCCGTACTCTGTACTCTGTGCGCATGTTGTATGGACTATTACATGTAAGCTAACGCAATATCCAATACATGGATAGTACGTCGTGCGTGTTAAAATTACATACAACAATATAATAAATACATCAGAAGGTGCGGTATGTTATGCTGCGAAGAGTATAGATCGTCGTATCCACTGTGGTACCTGGTGACTGGTCAGTGCTCTACGTACTCATTCTAGTACCAAGACGGAGTTACTACGGATGGTCGGGTACGGAGAAGTACCACAGCGCCCGAAGGAAGGAAGTATTCGTTACAGGAATGGATGTTGTGGATGCAAAATTCATGATTGGGTTGTTAAAAGTTGATTTTAACCTGTTTCAAGAGAATGCAGGGTGTTGTTACTCTAATGCTATGCACTGTTGGTTCTCTAACTACGTAGTTACATATCTAGGGGATATAAGTTGCTCTACCAACGGATGACATTTGACAGGTTGCTTTACCTACTACCTTGTATGAATTCCAGACTCTCTCCAAGCTACATCCTAAAAGTTAGAACTTGAAATTGAACCCCACGCGGCTGGTAGATTGCGTTCAAGTTTACCCTCACGTCATTCCAGTCATTCCCTCGGAGCAGTCATGGTCAATAATACGTATCAATACTAGCCTCAAAGTGGACATCCGTTGGGGAGGGCTTGTGTCCACAGTCCGGGTTATCCCTGGTGTTAGGTAGATCATACTATGAAATTTCCCATGGTACAAGACTCTATATTATGGAGAACGAAATATATAGAAGTCGGTCTGACCATCACAAGGGCGTATGCATCCCAGTACCGTACTCCGCGGATATGTGAAACAGAAAATCAATGAAATATCAAACGGTAGGGCTAGCCAGTCGGTGGTTCGAGAAAAGAAAAGAAGAAAAGAAAAAGGGCTCACGAGAAGAAGAAGAAAAAGACGACCAATTGTGTTGAGTGAACCAAGAAAACGACCTGCCATTTTGGGGCTAGCGCTGCACGACGGCAAAAGACGCGGAAAGCGGGTAGGCCCCACTTGCCCTTGTGGGCCCAGGGTCTTTACTATATGCATACTAGTGCGGAAACGTGGCCAATCAGGGCTGCGGCCAGTCTGGCTAGCCCTCTTGGGTTGACAGATGGTCGGCGTGGCTGTGTATGGAGATCCATCCGTTTCATTCCATTCCACGACGGATGGGATCGTCGACGTGATGTTTTTGGGAGCAATCAACGGCTGAACAGCTGATGTGAAAACGAATTTTCTCTCTCCTACTTGAAGTCTATACGCAGTTTCTAAGCAAGCCAGCATACATAACTTTAACAAGAGAAAATCTTCTCCATGGACTAGGAAGAACTAGCGGATAGATTTAAAGTGCACACAGAGCTTGGCGGTGATTGGCCGTATCACGATCCAGATCCCTGGGAATTGAGAAGAGACCCACCACTATTTTAGGCACTACCTCCAATCAGCATGCAGAGATAATTACTACGTATGATCATACAGCCTCTTTCCATGGCATTGAGTCGGGATACAGACGGTAGAAGATATTAGACACACAAAAAGAAATAACGAAGTACACGTACTTAGTGTGGCATGTGCATGTACGTACTACGATCAACAGCCGGCAAGATTATGTAGCCAAGGTCTGTACAAGGCCATCGTCCAATCAGAATTTTCCCAGCTACATGCTGAACTACATGCTCAAGAATAAAATCGCGCAAGCAAACCTAAGCATTATACCACCTGATTACCCCTTATGAGCCAGCAACTCGATAACTGATAAGCTGGCCTTTACAAGGGCCTAAGTATAACCGATGAGCAAACCCCGACTCGGAAGTTGCCATCAGCCTGTTATAACCCCATTTACCCTTTAGACGTTAGCTACTACCACTACTACTAGTGCCCATTGTAGCTACCTAGTAATAGCTACCAATAGGAAAAAGGCATTGCCGAGAATTCCTATGTCTAGTCAACTTGCTGAAACTTATGCCTAGCTCCCTTGCATCGTAGTTATCTTAGATGGTCATATGCCACTACGAACTCTCTAATTGTAGATAGTTACAGCTTCGAGTGGATAGCCATTTAGTATTTAGTATTTCCTGATTGGCAACCACTCTAGTTCTTCCAGAGAAGCTTGCGAAAAATGATCTTCTGTCCAGATAACCTTGGTATATCGAACCCTAATTATCACTGACTGTGGCCGCAGCCATTTTTCTTTCTTGGCCACTTGCTACTCCGTATTTAACCTGGGCAAGTATCATTCTGTCGCCCGGTATGGGTCTAATCTGAGCACGAAAGAAGAAGAAAAAGTCAAAGTAAAAGCAAAATTTGACATAGACAAGGGGTATCAAGGTTGCTGTCACTAATTAATGAATCCACGTGTTGTTCGACTCACTGCTCAGCCGACGGTCCCAGCCCAATATCCACCAAAAATCTGGCCAATATCAAACGTAACGGGGCCAAAAAAGGGATCGCCGATTCTCTCAAGAGGTGGAGATGTAAAAAAGAAAAACACCAAACAAACATGGTACTAATTACAAAAGCCAAAAGCATAATTCAAATTGGGGGATCGTCGCCAAGGGGCCCTCTTTCAAATCAATAAGCCAACCAAATACACACACAAGTCGCAGAGCAAAGATAACCGCCCTCAAATTTCCCGCCTTTGATACCTGTAGATACAGTGGGTGAAAACGCAAATTTACACGATGACAGACAGAAGCGAACATGTAGAATAGCAATTCGTAACGACTCATTCCGTCTCCTAGAACAGGCCTAGAGCAAGGCTTGTTTCTCCTCCAACGACGATGGATAATCCTGTGATCTTCGGGGCGCGGAGTTGCAAAACCAGTCAAGGCACTAAGAGCGTAAAGGCGAAGAAAAAAAAGCAAGAAAAAACCATTAACAACGAGGCAATTTCGAAACAAGGTTGAGCCCGTATTTCAGCTTACTCCGAGGAACGACCAGTCCGTACCCTCCTGTGAACTCAGGATTCGGGCAGGGGGCTTGTATTGATCGGCATGATATGTAGCCATCATTGGACGTGCGTCGACGGCCATTTGCTGCTGCTGGTGGCCGGGATATGGAGGAGGCGGTGATTGGTACTCGGGGGGCATGTAGGTTGGGTGCGGGTCATATCGAGGCTGCATCATCTGCGCATAGTGCTGTTGCTCGAAAGGTGGAGGCGGCAGGTTCGCCGTCGGGATGGGCTGGGGGATCATTGCTTGGGCCTGGGTGAAAGGGAGCCCGTGCTGCGTCTGGTAGAAATCCGAGGTTGGCGTGTGAGTCTGCGGGTGGTAGTATGGTTGTTGCGCGAGGATGTAGTGATTAGTAGACGGCATGGTGGTGATCATAGGCGGCTGGTAGGGAATGTGTTCGGGAGTCGGCGCCTCCTCGGAGGATGGTCGAGTGTGTGCGCCTGGTTGGTGAGTGCGGCTTTGATGTTTCGTCAGTGTGGTTTTACGGCAAAAGCTAGACAGGCAGACTTAGTCAAATCGCTGAAAAGACTCGAAAGCACAAAACGGATCGAAATAACGAACCTTCTGTCGCATGCTGGCTCCTGGCAGATGTACGGCCTTCTGCCGGTATGGATGCGTCGATGGCGAGCTAAACTCGACGACTGATTGTGTATCTCATCAGCTTGAACACTCATCTCATCACATATGTAGAGTTTGGGCTCACATCAGAGAAGGCCTTGCGGCAATCTTCGTGGTCGCACACATGAGGCTTTTCGCCCGTATGAGTGCGCGAATGGACTGTTAGCGCGCTGCGTTGGATGAAACTCTTGTTGCAGCTGGCGAAGGTACAATGATATGGACGCTCGTTTGTGTGGATGCGGTAGTGCCTGCATAAGTCGGACTTGCGATTGAAAGACTGGACGAGTTTATCCAGATTAGTAAAAATATTTCCGTATTAAGTAACTACCAAGGTAAACTCGACGGCGCTCACATACCTTGTTGCATCGTTCCCACGTACAGTTGAAACCTCGTGAGCTGCCGGGGGCCATGATGATTCTGTAATATATATATATATATATATATATATTTCTGTACAACAGAGAGGTATCAAGCGTGGGAGATTTCAGAAAAAAAAAAATAGAGAGATAAGAGATGTAGAGAGGAAAAGAGGAAGAAAGAGAGAGAGAAGGCTGGCGGTGTGGGGTTTGCGAGGAAACAAGGGAATATAATATATACGTAGTATACGATATATGTATGGACGGCGGCGAGTAAGTAGAGACTTGCAAACCCCGGCTGGACCTGGGTGTACAGAGAGACAGGGAGGGGAGGTTGTGATAGTTATAAGCCAGGAGCGAATAGTAGAGGCAGCTGGACTATACACGGCCGGGGTCATACATGTATACTAATGACTTATAAAGAATTCAAATATAAATGAACCTGCAAGAAAGAGAGAGGCCAAGTAATTTAAATGGCAAAGCCACCCCTCTCCCTCCATCTCTCCATACATGGGCGATTCCTCCTTATTGAGCGCCTAACTGAAGAGGGATTAGTCTGGATAAGTGACAGATGGCGCCGTCTGTTAGTTAACTAGTTTAGTTTTCGAGCTCATCACTGCCATGACGACTAAATTACTAATTGGTCATGTAATAAATTGACTAGTTAGTTATATGATATTATGATATTATATGCTCCGTACGGCGGCGGCGTTGGATTTTTTGCAGGGCTAGGTAAAGCAAGCCGGGCGTAGAAAAAAGAAAAAAAATTACTAGCGGTTTTCCGTCTTGTTACCGCGGTAGGAATTTCGGCCAATCAATGCGGCCTGATTATCTGGAGGGGTGGGGCCAGCGAGAGCTCCCTTGGCGCGTCTAGACTTGGGCCGTATGATACTTCGCCGGTACAGTATGCTACAGTACAGTACGGTATATCGTATTGTCCTAGGATGTACTGCCTACTACTCCGTCTTGGGTATGCCATTCGCGAATCTTCTCAGCTGCCAGCAGATGGGCTCTCGTATTGACGATAAGTTATAACTTATAACCCTAAGTGCCCCCGTTCTCTTGGCAGCGAGCGGAAGCTTGGTAATCTAACTGGCTGCCCAGACCCAAGGTAAGACCAGGCAAGTCCTTTTTTCCCCGCACAAGCCACCTTGGCGCCTTCATGCATTGAACATTCTGGTCGAGAAATACGAGGAGGAGCCTTTTTTCTGCTTTTTCCTCTCCTTCTGTCGCCAAGTCGCAAGCAGCAGCCCAGGCATGGGGAGACCCTTGGACCCGTCTGCTTGACGCATCTCCAGTGTCTCGGGTCGACTTGCAAAACATGGGTGGGTCGTCCAGCTCACCGCACATTTTCTGGGATTAACTCTCAACCAATGCATCTGTTAGTATGCGTCGCATGCTAGTCACGGGAAGCAGCGATAGTTAGCCTCAGGCCACCAATGCTCATCGTCCGACTTTCTTATTTCTGGGGCAGAAGCTAAGCCCTGTGTGGCTACGGAGTACTCAAAACAGCATTCTGTTCCGAGTTCTGTTGCCAAGGCCAAGAGACACCGAATATTGGCGCTCTAGGTATGCCGCGTGGTAGCATGCTCCGTAGTTAGTTTACTAACTAACTAGTTAGTTGGTTAGTTAATAGCTTGGCCGCTGGAGTCTAGTGAGTCCGATGCCAAGCGAGTATCGACTACGAAGTCGACTGCTTCAATCCAGGAAAAAAAAAAAAAAAAAAAAAAAAAAAAAAAAAAAAAGAGGATAATCATCAACTGCAGTCGGTCCAAACCGACAGGCAAGCCCCCAAGTCCAAAATCTTCCTCTTAACCGCTTGGCGAGAGGCTGCTCCTATATACGGCGGTTATAGTCAACTTAAGCCTCTTTGAGTGAACGATGCTGACAGTTGCATAGACCGGCTAACTACTCGGTGAAGTTGAGTCTGTAGCCGACAGGATCATAGTCCTTGCAGCTGGCACTATATTCAATCGGACACTCCGTATAGAGGTAAGCGAATTAGTATGCAAATCACCGAATTCTTGGCAGGGCTGGCTGGTGATTGCTCGCTTTACCGAGTGCGATTTTTCACGATGTTGTCAGTGATCACAAAGTCAATACTCCTGCCTAACGCAATGAGTATCGCCGGTAAGGATTCGCGATTACTCATAGGGCGACTTGTAGTAGTTGGTTAACTGATCGTCAACATCCGGCCTTTATGATGAGCTATTTGATAGTATGTCTGTGATAGTTTATCTACACTCGAAAACAATACCCTGAATCAATACGCCCCGTACGGTAAATAACGTCTGGACACTGTAATGCCGTACCGCACTAGCCCCCTTAGGGCGACCCAGCAGTCTGGGTGGTCGCGTCGGCCTTCCCTGCTTTACCCAAGCATATGATGAGTAACTACAGTTGTAGTTATTTACATCCCATGTTTATAGAGAGAGAGAGAGAGAGAGAGAGTTATACGCCGTATATTTATTGCACGGCATGCATGCCTCGTCCACAAGCAAGCCGCTACGGAGCAAAGATGACGCTGCGCCAAGTCGCCCAGCCCCCGACTCTATACTCCCAGGCCATATCTGACACTGACATGCGACAAAAAGACATGCTGGCTGGCATGTTCTTTCTATAGCTCTGTGGGAGGGGGGGCGGTGGCTTTCCTGTCAACCACTCACCATTTCCACGGGTTATTGTGCCATACTTCGATCGCTTCGAGCAGCTGACCTGTCCCTTTCTCCCTATCTTGTCGTACATCTATCTGATGATTATCTGCGCGGCGTAGTCAAGAATGGACCCCGCATCAACGACTCAGCTGTGGCACTGTGCAGACTGCCGGTTAGCTGCGTTCCCTGCCAACAAAATAACTCTCCGTTTGGCTAGCATGGGAGAAAAATCAACCCATCGTGATGCAGGACGCCGGTGAACTCTCTGGTTAGTAATTACGTAGTCCAATGATAGTGTTAACTCCCATCGTCGGTTTTCTTTTAGCGCCGTCTATTAGGGCTTTCCTGACCAAAAGTAGTTCATGGTATATATACACCGCAAGCCGCTTGATTCGCGTCGCTGCGTTCACCAACTACCCTCCACGAGTCAAGACAACGGGTAGTTATCGCTCCATCACGACGGACAAACACGGGCTAAAACTGGGTACCGCCGAGGTTAGTACGAACTCTGAAACCACGAGTCAAGCAGATCCTATCCATTCTACGACGCGAAAATGCTGCATTTCCAAAGGACCGTTTGGCGCCGTTGTTATATTGCTGTTCTAGTATGATTATCCAGGTTTTGCCTCGGTTATACCAATTCCGAGGAGGGGAGCTACATACCATATAGGAAAACCTCGGAATCGGTGGGTGCAATTCGTCCAAGCCTAATGCGAGTGCCATCATCGCCATGGCCACCCCAGTTTTCGTATGCCTTTAATTGGTGGCCTTGCATGTGTTCAACAGTCATCTGGCGCCGTGAGATTCCAAGGTTTGCACTAAAAATATAGACATGCCCAATGACGTACACCCGGGCCAATGAGCAGATAAGCCATGTGCGTGGTCTTGCTTGGAACTTTCTGATCTGTACGGAGTACGCTCTCGTCAATTTTCATTATTGCCTCCAAGTACAACCGAATTGGGCTCTATAGCACTATCTATCTAGGCGGTATCCCAGTATATCGGCACATACCTCACGGACGGAGCTTGCGTCGTAATCGGTGTGGACGTTGAATGTAATTTACATACCAGTTATTACAATTCAGGAATATTCTACACTTGTTCGTTCTCATTTGCCATTTACTATTTACTGCTTAGTATACTGGCAGAGTCCGGCTAGACACTAGGCTTTCCTCAAACAAGGCATCCCCAACACCATTCCACACGGAGCATATCGCTCCTTCAGTTCTAGACGCTGATATGTTTTACTGTAGATTGACCATATACCAATAATAGGCCAAGAATAAGCCAAGGGAGCCCCGTATGAGTCGGTGTGTCTCCATATGGCCGATTGCATGCTTGGCCACTCAAAATGATGACAGTACATCGCTTTGGCCAATAGTTACAAGCAGATTTTGCCTTAGCAAATCGAGATCGATTAGCTGTGCGACAAATGCATGGCCATGCATGTACATATGTGTGAGCTATGTGCCACAAAATCCTGATTTGATGTGCTCTCCGTTATAGGCTAGCTTTACTTCACATAGCTAGATGTATGCATTACATGTGGCATGTTTCCATGCATCAAGTCTAGGTCAATGACATGTTGGTAGGTACTTGATCGCGGGGCCCAAGCTTCGAACCAACGCATACATCAGTGGACCCTAGTTAACTACGAACTAGTCTAATAAGCACGGTCATCTTAGACTTGAATGCTCTGATCATGAGCTTGGTTCAACTGCTCTTGTAATGCTAGGATGTCCCTATTCAAACCACGGAAACATACCAGGACAGAGAGGTAGCAGTCGGTGGCCTGCCCAATTAGGAAATTTTGGTGACATGCCATCAGTCAGGCACGGAGGCACCCCTCAGGCAACAATCCAACGTTCCCTCTGACTGTCTTCTGACTGAGCTTAATCCTCAGCTCACTGATCGCGCTGCATTGATGGGATTAGCTCTCCACCAACTGCATTGTAGCCATTCTCTGCAGGGTCATCCCGGTAACAGTCGATGTGAGATTTGACGCATCCACCCCAATGCGGCGCATATCTACCTCTCCATGGCCGATATTGCAATTCTCATAGACAGCTGTGTTACTTTCGGAGATAGCAGCTAATGCAGATGTAGATTCGCGGACTTGGAAGCCCATAGCTCCATGCTTGATTCCAGTACTACTTGAAGCTCATGTAGTACGGGAGTACAGGGTATAAACAAGAGTATTTAGTCACCTTCAGCCGATGCCACTGAGACCCTTGCCAGGGACTGACTACTTAGGGCTTATTGTGGGGAAGAAAAGCACCGATGTGGTCACCGTCAGACCATCCCTCCGAAGACTTTTTTTTTTTATATATGTAGCGGAAAAAACAGTCCATTTCGACAAATATAACCTATACATTCTCTGCAAACACATTACTCAGAGATTTGTCCCTTGAGATGATTGCAGTAACTGTATGAGGGCTAAACAATGTCCGGCACTTCGGAGGTACTTAATGCCGCCATCTACAGGCTGCTATGTAATTGAACTTCCGCTTCCGCAGATCTTCGATTCGTCAACAGTGCATACTTCTTTTTGATGCGTCCACCAATTTATCGACCAAATGAACACTCGCTGATTGATGCAACCAACACTCTCGTTTAGTCTCTTGTGCCGAACATGTTGGCGGGGACTTCTTTTTCCGACGGGGAGGCCCGCTTGCAAATTGACTCTCCTGACGAGCTCCAGAACAACATCGTCGTGCTTGTCACAGGGGCCAATACGTGAGTCGCTGGGTGAAATTTTCTTTATTCATACTTTTTTGGGGGGGCTTCATTCTTCATTTTCTGAGCTAATGAATTGAGTTGTCCGTGTAGCGGTCTCGGTTACTCGACATGCCAACGTCTTATAGATGAATTTGAAAAGAACTTCCCAAACACCCACAAACTTACTCTCCTAATTACCACTCGCCGCCCTCCAGCGCAAGTGCGCGATCTTAAAAATGACCTCCGCAAATATGCCCTTCGTCTCGGCTCGCAGGTCGCAGAGCGCATCCGCATTCTCGCAGAAACCTTAGACCTGCTCAATCTTTCCTCTGTCCGAGCCTTGTCCCGACGCCTCAATCGAAATTTCCCAAAGCTGGATGCTATAATACTGAATGCCGGAATTGGTGGATGGTCCGGACTTGATTGGCCCAAGGCCATCTACAATGTCCTGACAGATATGGTTCATGCGACAACGTGGCCATCCTACAAAATCGGTTATGTTGGCATGGTAGTCCCCAAGCAGACACAACAACCAGAAGAAAAACCATTAGGCTCCGTATTCTGTTCCAATGTCTTTGGTCATTATATGCTCGCTCATAATGTCATGCCATTGCTCAGACGGTCAGGACAGCCCAATGGCCCGGGACGAGTTATCTGGCTTAGCAGTATCGAGGCGACAACCAATTTCTTTAACGTGGACGATATCCAAGCACTAAAGTCTGGCACTGCATATGAAAGCTCCAAGGCATTAACCGACTTACTAGCCTTGACATCGGATCTACCCAGCACCGCACCGTGGGTGAAGAGCTTCCTTTCCACTTCCGAGTCCGACGACGACGACGATAGTAGTAAACCTACTCCCACCAACTATGTGGGCCATCCCGGAGTTTGTGGTACATCCATCGTTCCCCTTCTGCTACCGCTAGTCTACTGCATGATCGCTGCATTTTATCTCGCTCGCTGGTTGGGTTCTCCATGGCACCCAAACACACCTTACCTCGGTGCGAACGCACCCGTCTGGCTCGCTCTCAGTCCACAATCGACTCTAGACGCGGCAGAAAAACCGTACCGTGAAAAGGGTGGTGGTCGTGTGAAATGGGGATCTTCAACAGACATATTCGGCAACGCAGCTGTGGTCAGCACTGAGACAGACGGTTGGGGGTTTGGCGGCGTGGTTGGAGGCCCTATTTTGGCAGCAGACAAAGCTCGTCGCCGTAAACGGGGGATGAAAGTTGCTACCGTTGAGGACAGGGTCCGGTTTGAGGAGCTTGGTCGCCGCTGCTGGCAGTACTTGGAGGAGTTAAGAGTTGAGTGGGACAAACTGCTGGATACTCTTGAGCAAGAAGACGGCGGTGATTCATGACAAGATCTGCCATGATCTTTGTTGATGATAGACGACTCAAATATAGTAATTAATAGCAAACCGACTATGTATATTCTTCCTTTTCTTCTCTTTATATATACCCTTTGCATATGATTTCCATACATCTAGCCAACAGAAAAAGGCTATACCTCACAATCTAAATCAACTAGGTATTGTCCATAAATTACACAAGCCAGATTATGATTAGAGAATCAACAAAACCAAAACTCAAATTCTGTCATTGCTATAGGTATCCTTTTCTTTCCCACGTATTACCACTGCACACTAAATACCTAACAAAAACATAACCACATCCATGAATAAAACCATCGCTCCCCTGGTTTTCATATCTAACATGTCAGTCTCGCCTTTTCAGAAATCAAAGAGTATAAGTCTTTTGTCTCTTTTTAAAAAAAAAGAAAAAAAGAAAGTAAAAACTGGGTAGATATCAAATATCTACAACCCCCTGTGTCATCACATGCAAAAGAGATAGTATCGCGAGTCCTTTCTGTATTTTTCCTTTCCCGTTTTTGAATGCCAGACCGAGTAGAATGAAAATAAAATAAGAAACGTGCGAATTGGGGTTGTGTTTATTCTTGTGAAAATCGCAGCAAATCTCTTTCATGAAATCACGATTAAGACATGATTAGTGGTGAATTTTAGAGAGGGAAAAGAAGAGAATAGAGAGGGGAGAGAAATATGTATGTGTGAGGCGAAGTGATGACTGATGCGAAATTCAAAGATGAATAAAAAGGGAAAAGAATTTGGAGCTTTGTGATTAGATGCATACAGTGAAGACAAACGAAGGCCCTTCGCCACCAGGGCCAAAGGAGAAGTGAATAGATCATCCGGGGGGGGGGGAGAGGAAAGAATTATTGTATTGGGAGATGGAACACCACCAAATGAAAACAGCTGAGAAAATCCGTCAATGCGCCGATAAATGCCGGATGGCGATGGTTGTCAATGTGTCAGGGGACTGACTTCACATGATAATAGCGGGTACTGCGACAAAATGTTAGTTACGTACTGTGTATACGCCAACATTATCAAACCAGGCCGGAAGAGGTTCTTACCATCAATGTTCTGCTTAATGCTCTTGTGAGGTAGGATGGAACCTCCATTGACATAAACCTCGTCGGCAATTGTGACATCGTCACCGAGTACAGTGACATTCTCCAGGCGAGCCCACTTGCCAACCGAGCTATTCCACCCGACAATCGTTGACTTAACCCAGGCGTGATCTTTGACTTTGGTGTTCTCAAGAAGGACGCAGCGCTGGAGACGCACTCCATCACCAACAACAACATTAGGTCCAATTACTACATTGGGCCCAATGCGACAATTCTTGCCGATCTTGGCAGTAGGGTCCACCATCACATTGCCTCCATGCACGAAGGGCTCTGAGGAGGGCGAGAGAAGCTTAGAGTTTCGCTTGGCAAGCGACGTGAGATAGAGGCAAGTGCCGCTCAAGAAATCCTTGGGTTGACCGACATCCATCCAGAAGCCTTCAAGATCGAAAGAGTGCAGTTGCCCCTCCTTGACAATCGCGGGGAAAGTCTCCTGCTCGATAGACGTTGGACGCAACTCGATGCGCTTTAGAACGCTTGGGTTGAGGATATAGATACCGGCATTGATGCGGTTTCCCACAAACTCGACGGGCTTCTCCACGAAACGGTCGATTCGAGAGGGGTGATTGGGCTTATGGACAACGACACCGTATTTGGAGGGCTCATCGACCTTGGTGACCACAATTGTTCCCTCGTCACCGTGAGCTTTATGGAAATCGGCCAACTGTTTGAAAGGGTATTCGCAGATGACGTCGGAATTGAGGACAAAGAATGGCGTGTCATCCTTTCCGAGGATTTTCTCTGCCAATTTCAGGGGACCCGCGGTACCAAGAGGCTCGGACTCGACGGAGAATTCAATTTTGACATTATATTGTTCTTCGTACTGGTAGCAAAGAAAGCGCATTAGCCCGTACGTCCTGAATTCCCACCGGAGCGTTGAATGATACCTTCTTCAATGCTGCAACCATGACATCAGGGCGATAGTTGACAGCCAGCACAATGTCGGTGACGCCCGCAGCAGCCAAGCTCTCAACCTGATGTAGGATCATAGGACGGTTTGCAAACTCGACAAGAGGCTTCGGCAGTGTGAGAGTCTGTCATAGGTAGAAGAGCTGTTAGTCGAGCATTGGACGATGCCAGCAGGCGGCGGAGAGGGAAACTCACGAGGGGTCGTAGGCGGGTGCCAAAACCTCCGACAAGAATTAGAGCTGTGCATTTGCGTAATCATCAGCCAGGTGCCATTTGCCATGATGTAGTCCACGACTCACCCTTCATTTCCAATGAGGACTACAACGCGATTTCAAAAGATCAAAAGAAGTAGGTGCAAAGTCAATGACGACCGGCGCGAACGAGGGCGGTCGCAGGATCAGAGGTATGGCTATGATGGTGGAAGAAACAGGCTCGTGGATTGCTGGAGCGCCGGCGCAATGATAGGGGGCTCTTCTCCAGTTCACAAGGATAACTGTGTCAGGAGGTGAAGTTTTGGACAACTGTCAAAGGTGCATCGTGGCTTAAGTTGGAGTCGGCCAGAGGAGCTTTCCCAAGTGGGCCGGCGTTACTTGGCTGTCGCACTTGCAGTCAAGTCAGGTGGTCTCGGGTGGCCTCAGGCGTCCGTTTGCAGCCAGCGCCGTAGCCCCTGAACCGCCACAACCGCAACGTGCCTCTTCTTTTCCACCGGCATACGCGTTCGCCCCGTCCTGCTGTGGAAACTGCCCAACGACAGGCCAATTGATGCCCGCATGCATGCTCTTTGTTGTTTCATCTGGAACGAGGCTGAGGCAACGCTGTGCAGCCATTTACTGTTCTCTAAGAATAATGGACGCCATGCTGATGGGAAGTGGCAATCTCGGGTTTCATTTCGCTCAAACAGAGCCTCCGGTGCACTGCAATTACAGCATCTATTCTAATTGGCCGGCCTTCTCACCTCATTCGCGTCCTTGTCTTCAAAGGGCAAACCTGCGAATGATTTTATCTCAGACCCGGGGATTCCTCTATAAATCCCTGTCTCATCCCATGGTTACAGACAGATGTGCCAAGCGACTGACTCCTGCTGACTGGCTTCAGGCAATCAGTTTCGCACCTGGAAGGAAATATCTGGACCCAAAGATGACAACCGCTCCGATGAGAGCCGACACACCTGCAAAGGTGATGGCTGGCTGATATGTGCCATAATCGCTGACCATCGCGCCAGTTATGGGAGTTCCAGTCAGCCCTGCTATGCCGTAGACACCCAACGCCATACCCAAATATGAACCAATCTGATTCGATTGCGGCGCAGTCATGGCAATGGTTGCGGGGAAGACAGCAATCACTATTCCCGAAAAGAACCCGAATAAAGCAGCAAATGCAATAATGCCTCCGTGGGACCGAATGGACAACCAGCAAAGAATCAAGATGCCGCATACTGCACAGGACACTGACAGGGTATTGATTCTACCCAGTCGATCAGCAGCTGCACCGCCAAAGAGTCTTCCGAACAAAGATACTGCATTAAGAATTGCGAGGAGATAATAGGACAAGTCCACACTCAACCCTATTGACTCCGCATATCCTGGCAGATAGAAAAATGGAACGAAGACAGCCCACATGACTAGGAAAGTCCCGGCCACCTGAAACGAATATGCTGGATTTTTCCAGGCTTCCAGCAAGAGAGGCGGTCCACTGCGTCTCTTTGGCGCGTTCGAGGTAACAGACAGACAGGCTACAATGCTGAGGACTAGCATCACAAAGCCAAGCACTCGAACGGACCACCCAAACCCGAGTGATGTTCGGTTTAGCAATCGGTTCAGCACGGTAGGAAGTATAACACCAGAGAGAGAAGCACCACTTGACGCAATGCCCATGGCAAGAGGTCGTTTCTTGGAAAAGTAATGTCCTACCGCAGTCAAAGCTGGGGTATACGTAAGACCATTGGTAAGACCGCCTAGAATCCCCTGAGCTAGAATGAATTGGTAATAATCTCTGCATAAACTCATGATCATGACCGATAAAATGAAAAGCACCGAGCATGGAACAATAATTGGCTTCCACGGACACGCACAAACCTAGAATCAGCATGCCATGCCTCTTTTTTCTTCTGATATCTTCCGGCGACAAAGGACTCACCTTCGGCCCATAGCGATCCATCAGGGGCCCAGATACAAGCCCTGCCGAAAACATGAAAAATACTTGGATTGAACCAATCCAAGCAATATTGGAATTGCTCTCCTTGGGTAACATTGTGCTTTTGTAATATGACTCAAAAATTCTTTTATTTTCGAAGGGCATAGACGTTAGCATATAGAACCCCCTAATCAATGGATGCTCAACACTATACCCAAAGGCATTAATGTATCCAAATGTGTTGAACATGATGCACCAGCAGGCCAATACCGCGAGCCATCCCTTTGAGCCGCCTTCCGGTATATCTGGCTTTGCTGAAACAGAAACACCTGCTGGATTATCATTCTCGCTTTCATGCTCCAATACTTGGTCGTTCTTGTCTGGCGTTGATTCGGCCATACTGAAAGGTATTGTTTTTCATATAACCAAATCTACGGTAGGTTGATGAATCAACAATATAACCCATCAATTCTATTTTCATTCCTCTCTTGCGTCTTTACGTACCTATGTGGGGTTACGTAGGGATTTATTTCCGTTCTGGGAAAACTGGTATGTTGCTGTCGGAACCGAATTCGGAAGCCAGGTCGAGCACATCCAGCCCTGGATTCACTCAATCGCCGGATTCATCACGCAACTATAAATTTATCTTATCAAGTGAGCTGAGTAGCACCGTTGGGCGTGCCTAGTGCTTGGGAGAATGATCCCTAGCAGACTCCTTGATTTTCACATGTTCATTGGCTGGATTATGATCAACCCTACAATTGTATACCTATTTAGGGGCGAAGAATGTACCACCTTATGGCTCGTGACCTGTGTTATTGTATCAATTTTTGATATTCTCCTTTTCTTTCTCTAGGTACTCGTAAGGTTCGAATAGACGCTGTCCTTTTTCTGCGTGTATAGTGCCAAAGAGCAAAGTCTTATGCTTCCGACTCGCGTAGTCAATATGAACGATTTGTATTAACCAAATCTATTGCGTGTCCGGGGGCAGCAGTCGACCTAAACTATGGCTGTCATAGTGTGCCTTGATCCCAACGAAATTCATCAGCCAGCTTCGCACTTTTCGCACTTTTGTAAGTAGTCTGTCGTCGCCGCTTGCTGTGTCAATCACACCGGCAGAATATATGCCATAATCGTCTGTAGAATGGCATTCCTGTCGATGTAAAAGGTCAACCTTGGTCATACCTCGTCTGAGGCTTTGCCCGTATACTAGGTCTCGAAAGGAACCGAGTCCCACGTTTCTGATAAGAACAATATCCCGGGGGCGCAAGGAACAGATTTTCTCCCTAAATTCAGAGTTGCCATCGGAGACCAGTTTCCCATGTGTTTCTTTTGTTCCCTTTGACAATGGAAGCCAGAATGTAACCCCGAAGCCGGTCCTAGTCTCATCTCCCACAATGAGTTCAAGGATATCCAATTCCTGTTTCGAGTGTCGCGCAGTAACTCGCCGCAAGGGATTAATTCCTACAATAGCAACAACCAAAGTGACGCTCGGGGTTTGTGGGATAATTGACCGAAGATATGCGGCATTAGGAATGTCTTTTATGTCATGTAATTCGTTGGGGAAATCGAAAGAGGGTGTAGTAGCTTTCGGGCCGGCCACCAAATGCATGCTCTCATCGATATCACTATCATCCAGAGCCAATGTTGTATCATTGTTATCTGACTCGGACGAATAACTCGCTCCTAAGATAGATAGCGAGTGCTCATAGAATTGCGAAAGCACATCGTCAGACGTTCTGGGAATCTTAAAAATCAGATTGGTGGTGTCTAAAAAGAGCGTATTTCCTGTCCATATGGAAGAAGAGGATTGTTTTCCGCTCCCTCTTTGCAGAACCCTCCATTTCGTCTCGGATGAAGTGCCAATACGCGGACCGGAAGATTTGAATGGAGGTACAGCAGTCTCAAGCAGGTCAGTGCCATTCCACTCTAGTCTCCCTGATGGAGCTCCCATCAAAAAGATGGTCTTCCGCGACATTACGGATGAAGTACATTGCTCAGAAACACTTTCATGCTATGATCGATGATCGATTGCATGTATAAAAGCAGGCGCAAAGTTGGAAACCAGGACAACAAACTCACAAGCCGATGAGCGTAAACAATTACCCGGCTCCGGAGGCTGCTATCATTTGACGACAACGTCTGAAGGCGCGTAACTATCCCTGAAGACTGTGTCAAAGGTCTTGCTAAAAGTTGCAACACGTGAGCCATATAGTCACGTGATTTTCCGTAATCTTATTGGCTGCCGGCCGTCGGCAGTACGGGGAAGCGCTAAGTCCTCCGTGGCAAATCATGTCCGCTTTCCACGAAGTTCGCCGCAGATTGAAAGCAGACACCTTAGAATCATCGTCACCACCGTCATTTGCATCTCCTGCGTCTACTTCATTCATCTATTCTACTAGGAGATTTATCGTGTCACCTAGTTAACAAAGTCGATCGTAACGATTCCTCCGACTGTGGCTACATCATAGAGTGGTTGCGGCCAGGTGCCGCTGAGCGTCAATCATGGCTTTCAACGCTTCGGTCAGCATGCCGGTAGGATCAATTTCCATGCCATGCTTCCATTCCAGTAAGCTAATATCTGATTTGATTTTGCAGAATATACAATCCGCGACTTCCGAGATCTGGTCGGTAATGAACTCGCAATGGAAGCGTGCCAACATAGCCTACAGTTACCCTCAAATTCGCCGCGAGCCCGTCCAAACAGCACCGGTATCGGTAAGAATCTATATTTATTGTTGTCGGTTAACACTGTTCACTAACACAGGTATCCTAGGTCGAACCCCTTTCACTTCCGGAATCCTTACAGTCAGTCCCCTCAGATAAGATGATGCTTGGGCAGGTGTATCGGAGACCAACATTCGGGCAAAACACATTAAGAACTGCGGGCATGCTCGTTCGTGCGAGTAACTCCCTCCACTCTTCTCGGAACTACTCGTCGCTCTCAACTGTTGGTTTGAGAGGACTCCGAAAGCCCAATATGCACGGTCTTTCGAAGTTTGACCAGCAACGGTTTTTGTTTGGGGGGTTATCGCAGAACTTGCTAGCGCAGAAGGAAAAAGCGGCCAACAGCAATCCCGGCAGTGCGAATGCTCAGAATATGTTCTATCAGTCTCTGCTACGTGCGAACATGCCTGCTATTGTTGTGGAACGTCATCGTACGGGTCAATTTGCCAGTAATGCAGCAACCGAGGCCATCTATTTGAAGGCTTTGCAACGACTTGGTGGCGATGGCGCAGTTCAGGGGGCAGTTCAAGCCACTGGTCAAACGCTGGATCCCGAGCAGTTACAGTCCGTTGGGCAGGCAGTGGCAGCTCGCACGCATGGCAGCCAAGTTGGTGTGTCCACAAAGCAACCGGGCACCGGAGCTAAGGAGTCGCCGTTATATGTGGTTGTCGAAGAGTCCTTGGGCAGCTCTGTTTTCCGCTGGGTTAAATTCTTCCTCTATTTTGGCTTCTTTACCTATATGTCTCTTGTCTTGGTTACCATCTTGGTTGAAACAACCGGCGTTCTGAAGAATGTTCGAGGTACTCAGAGTAACGAAGCTACGCCTCAGCAGCAGAAAGTTCGTTTCAGCGACGTTCACGGTTGTGATGAAGCAAAGGATGAACTGCAGGAACTGGTCGAGTTTCTGTTGAACCCCGAACGATTCTCCACCTTGGGCGGTAAGCTGCCTAAAGGCGTTCTCTTAGTTGGCCCCCCTGGTACCGGAAAGACGCTTCTGGCCCGTGCAGTTGCTGGAGAGGCTGGTGTTCCTTTCTTTTATATGTCTGGATCTGAATTCGATGAAGTCTATGTTGGTGTTGGCGCCAAGCGTGTTCGAGACTTGTTCAATCAAGCCCGTTCAAAGGCGCCCGCCATTATTTTCATTGATGAGCTGGATGCCATAGGCGCGAAGAGAAACGAACGTGATGCGGCATACGTCAAGCAGACACTGAACCAACTTCTCACTGAATTGGATGGCTTTTCGCAAACCAGCGGAGTTATCATTCTTGCGGCAACCAACTATCCCCAACTGCTCGATAAAGCTTTGACCCGTCCTGGACGATTCGATCGCCGAGTTGTCGTTGGTCTTCCCGATGTAAGAGGTCGCATGGACATCCTCAAGCATCACATGAAGAACGTACAAATCAGCACCGATGTTGATGTTGGGGTCATTGCACGTGGCACACCTGGTTTCTCCGGAGCCGATCTGGAGAATCTCGTAAACCAAGCTGCAGTTCATGCCAGCCGGCACAAGCTGGATAGAGTGGGTCCAAAAGATTTCGACTGGGCTAAGGATAAGATTATGATGGGTGCAGAGGCTAGAAGTCGTATCATTCAAGACAAGGACAAAATACTCACAGCCTATCATGAGGCTGGCCATGCTCTCGTCGCTTATTTCTCCCCTTCTGCTACCCCTCTTTATAAGATCACCATTGTTCCCCGCGGCATGGCGCTGGGTATCACCCATTTCCTTCCCGAAATGGACACGGTTTCGAGGAACTACACCGAGTACTTGTCTGACATTGATGTTTCCATGGGCGGTAAAGCTGCCGAGGAATTAATTTTTGGCCCTGACAAAGTGACGAGTGGCATCTCGGCGGTGAGTTGCAAGCATATTCATATAAAACGGCTTAAGTGCTAACGAATTTGATGACGAATAGGACATCCAATCAGCCACGGAAACGGCATTCACACTTGTGACACGATTCGGATATTCCAAGAAGCTTGGAAATGTCGATTTGTCAACAAACTATGACAAATTATCATCAGAAACGAAACAAGAAATTGAGGCAGAAGTAAGGCGCCTCGTGGAAGAGGCGCGACTTCGTGCCACTAAGATCCTGACGGACAAGCGACAGGAGTTGGAGCTGCTCACGAAGGCACTGATGGAGTACGAGACGCTGACCAAGGAAGAAATGGAACAGGTTCTCCGGGGCGAGAAACTGGAGAAGATCCAATCCATTCCATCGGCACCTCTCAAACTGCCCGAGGCGCTTGCAGCAACGAGATTGAATCCGGTAACGCAGGCACCTGAGAGTGGGACTGCAGCAAAATAATATCCATTCTTTGCCCCTTTCTTTCATAGCCCTTTTTTATTCTCGATCTTCCTCTCTTCCTGTCATATCAAAGAATGGATGAATACGCAATCTTACACAAATTCTTTTTCTCCTACTGTCTTATTTTTGTATACTTGGTTGTTCTGTAAGACAAAAAGCTGTGACATCATTTCAACTAGTTGTATTATATTCTACAACTATTTACAATATCACGTCGAGACTTTCCAGTAACTGATACGCTTGGAGTAATACTAATACTACTATGTAGTAAGATTGGAAGTTGTGATGAATCATTACATAGGTATGACACCCACCGACATCTACCACAAACTAATATACAGAAGACTCAACTTGCGGCATGTTCTCTTTGGACGAATAATAAAAGATTATGGCTTGGGAGGCCATATATTTAATTCATCAAAAGAATACGTAACCCTGGGTTTAGATAACCCAGCATTTGTCAAAGCTCCCAATATGCCATTTCTCGCCCGAAGAGGCCCTAATTGAACTATTCGAGCATGAGCCTGCGAGAAAATTGGGATATGAATAATACTGATTAACCTTATATCTCTAGTTTGAACCTTGGAATTTTTGAGGCTCAGCCGGTGGCGTTATTGGCAAGATACCTATTTTGTTCGGTTTAGTACTATCCCAAGTCTTTCGTACGTATGATAGACCTAGTACTCTTCTACCCAATTCTTCCGAATAAGGTCATGTAAATTTGCCAAAGTTTTCCAAATCTCTGGATCTCTAGTCGCTACATGCCCATTTAGTGGCTGAAAACAAATGTTTATAATCCCCGTCAATATGTAACTTGAGGTCGACTGAAATCTACGACGAGCAATATCGACTCTTGGGTTACAGTGTAACTAGCTGTTATGGGCGAGTAGTAACGTGTCGAATATGCTGGCACACACCTGGCGACTGATACGCTGGCATTATTGTCAAGCATGAACAATTGGTCCACGTCAAACCAGGTTCTTCTTCCAGATGAAGACAGCACCTAGACGCAGTTTAATATTATTTCCAACCACGAGACGGCACGATGGAAAGAGCTAAGGTCTACTCCGTACACTGGTTGAAATAGCAATCAAGCACGCAGCCAGTTCGAGGTAACCACGTGGTTTTTTGAGTGCAATAACGAGCGACATCTTGTCATCTTCGTGCAAGGAAGCAAGATTACGTACGAGGCGGATCCCGGGAGTCTTGAATAAATGAATACGAAGAATCCAGATGTGTTCGAGAAATATAGTTAACTTGGTTCTAAGTACGGATAACTACGTAACGGCGTAAGTTATGGGCCGGTATTTCCGGGACGGGTCGGCGGGCATGGAGCGGGCCGCCCGTTCGTGCTGCTTTATTTAAAGAGTTTTCTCGGACGTTTCGTAACGTACAGCCACGTGATGGCCGCTAGCCCTTGTTGGAGATGACACGCGACACTTGAGTACAGTATGGACATCAGGAAGCAAGGGAGTTAAACGGCTATTAGTATTCTGATTTTTCTAGCGTTACACTTACGGCACTAGTCCGAAAACCCCGACGCGGGAAACCTTGTCGAGTTCAAAGTGACCCAAGTCTATTCGACAGTCTAGACTACGTACGGAATATTTAGTATTCGTGGTAGCTCGATTGTGGGCCACAAAGCTGTGAATACTAATTACATGTGGTACTATTGTAATATTTGTACGGAGTACTACTCCGTCGTTAAGAGCAACAACAAAACAAATAAAAAAAAAATGGAAATGGAAAAAAAAAAAAAATAAGCAATCAAAAACAAATCAGAAAACGGGGGAAAAGGCACATTTCCAACACCTCTATCTAGTTCACCGAGTGAAATCCTTTGATAATATAAACCTTATCCCTTGCCCCCTTTTTGTGTATGCCGTAAGTATAGTACCTAGTTATGCATTGCCTGAGAACGCCCAACTCAAACCAAAATCACTTTTGAGTGTGAATTTTCTTTTTCTTTTTTTTTGTAGTCTTTGGCGCCTTATGCCTCGCTCGCTAATCTTCTCGGTTGGAAATATTTCATCAAGTCCTCGGAGTTGTGGGACGCTTTTCCGTATTTCATTTTGCTTTTTTTATCCTTTTGGGGGGAGTGGAAGATCCATGAGTTTGTTTGTTGTACGGGATAGTTGTTAAGAAAAAAAAAATTCTCGTTGATTGTGAATGTGGACGAGGGACACAGAGCGAGACGTCAATCAGCTATCCATTTTTGCAAGTACCTATATTCCTCAAGAACAAGTCAGTGCTTTAATATTTCACACAAGTCGTTTACCAGGGGATAAAGTCTTTGCATATATCTAGAATAGAATGTATAGAATTGAACGCACCACAATCTTCATCCGGTCTGCGTTCTCTGCTCACATGAATAGTAGCACTCCAATTAGCTACCATCAATTGAACCAGAACTCCGGAAGGGAAGGGGAAAAAAAGAATCATCAATCCTCCAACTCACCTAGCCACAATGTTCGGCGGACAAGGCTTCTGAGTGCTGGCATATTTCGCACACCAGGCATCGACCAGGATTCGAATATGGCCACAGCGGTATGTGACTTCTTTATGATCACACATGGTGCAATTTTTTCCCGCTTTTCTTCGTTTTCGTTCTTGCGCACACACACTTTTCGTCTTTCTCTTTATTTTTCTCCTCTTTTCTTTGCACGGGCTTGTCGAGGTAGTTATTATATTGCAGTCACCACCGATATAAGATACAGACTGCAGATCATCGATAAATATAAGACATATTGAGAAGGGAAAAGGGAGAAAAGAAAAGAAGAATATAAATATAGCAAGCCTGAATCAAACGATCAGCCAATCCTTGTAGAAGGGAAGAAAAGCAGCAATGACACACAAACACACACGTACTAGTTAGTTATCTCGTGAAGCCATTGACCCGATTGATTAAGGATCCCGAATGCACCCCCCCCCCAAACAACAGACGAAAATGAAATTCCAACAAATAATTGAGATCCTATTAGGAATAGAACAACAATGGTTTTGGGCGGGAAAATATAATTGGAAAAAAAAAAGTTTGGGTATTTGCTTTGACACCCATGCAACGGGATGCAGGACAGTGCGGTTGGTTCGTTATTGATACGGGGACAAGGTATGTATGCAATGCATTCACACAAAGTTTTTTTGTCTCCTGTTTTTTCCTCTTTCTCTTCTAGAATGCTTATCCTAGTCTCTTTATCTTTTCCTTTTTTTTTTTTTTTTAACCCTCGCTTTTCTGCACTGATGGATCATTCGTTGCATACTAACTGCATCGAGTTACTGCATGGCAAATCTACGAAAAAGGCCACCCTACAGCATAATACGATTAGATGATAAATACGCTATTCAGCAGACGTAAGTAAACTAAACTATATGCAGCAAAAGTTCCTATCGTGCTCCGTACTAATCGTATACATACGTACTAGTCGTACCTTGAATTTTCGTGGCAATGGCAATGGCATGCATGCATGTCGGCAGCGGATTCGAGCGGGTCAATCTATAGAACTAGACAGGGCTGTTTTCTAGCGTCTAACTAGAAGCTCTTATTCAGTGTTTTAAGTTTGGTATTGGAGTAGATAGTTGATACTAAAAGTCTAACCGTGAATTTGAATGGTAATGTTCCAACCCGGCGAAAGGGACAGAATTAGAAATACGTAGCATTGGATCAGTGGATGGTGACGAGCCCTAACTACGTAACTTGACAGGAATCGTGTCGATGGCTTTGGGGATCTGCGCCTCATGCATATGAACCCTGCATCCAAGTTCTACATCCTCATTTTCGTTGTCATTTAACTATTGCTATCCGTAATCCTGGTATCCCGGTAGAATCCTAGTCCTCCTCCCGTCCAAGTGTGCTTCACAGTAAATTCCGATGCTGTCTGTTGCTCGCTAGCTGGAACTCTAACCCAGACTAACGCATGAAACAAAGAGACTGCAAGAAAATGCAAAAGTCCCAGATCAAGCAAAAGCAAGGGCGTTCAATCCATGTCGGATAAGATTATAGCGGGTGAAATAGTAACTATATAACTTAGTATAACCATGACATTATTAATATACAATACGTACTATTACTGTGGATTCCCTACTGAAATCCGTCCTGACTCTGCACAACGCACGCAAAGCCACAACCAATTACTCCGTACAGGCTAGGCGACTAGCGAAGGATGCGCGGCGCTGGCGATGCCATCCGGTTGGTTCGATGTTCCTGACAGGTCGGGGATTAATAAGTAAAAAAAAAAATAAAGAAAATGAAGGCGATTAATTCCAGCTCGGGCATGTTTCGGATTGCCTTCCAGTCAATTTCGGGTACGTGCTACTATTTACTCTGTATTACTTACGAAGTAGGATAATGGTTCTGCCATTTATCCACTTTGTTGGAGAATAATTGGAGACCCCCGGAGTCTTCTCCGTAATAGTCTGACAGATGGATTCTTCTCGAAGGATTTGGTTGGTTGGTTGACTGATTGATTGTCCCTTGCCTATACCTCGGTTATAGTACCGACGTTGTTTTGAATTTCCACCCCTCTTCGAATATTCGAATATCAGAATAAGGACCTAATGCAAGTGTGTAACTATTTCACGCGCCAATTGTGCCCTAGATAAGTCTACGAAAATATTGCATGCACCTATCTGTCTCGAGTCACATCATGCATCCGGGATCATGATCAAACGAAAATGAGATCAAAATGAGATCTATCACATACTCCTGCCGCTGCGGCACTGCCAATGTACATAGTATGGATGTGTATGTAAGGGTACCTAACCATGAACCCAGTTCTCTGTGTACTGCTCCTACTTAGGACTAAGTTAAGTGCCTGGATACTCGTCAGGTTAGGCGGTTTTGATCAGACAGATCCATGAGGGCTCCCGAGTCAGTAATCCAATCTCACTCCTTGGCTGGAATTTGCCTTGCATGATTCATGGCTATGACTGAATCTCTGGGTTTGACAGGTACTCGACATTATACATAGGTAGAAAGCATATATACAATATTGTTATAGCCCATATACCAAGGTGTTGGGGAAAAAATATATAAGGTATATATAAATATGAATGGAAGTATGACGAGAAAACACAAAATACAGAACAATACATGAAAAAATTTAATGATTCCGAGTCTGAATCGAAACGCTACTGTATGATAGACAGCATCTTGATGTTAACCCAATGCGCACGCCATGGACGCTCTGTACAGTGATCCAGCCCAGAAGACTCACAAAAATGCCGCTCACAAGAGACCCTCAAAAATATAAGAAAAAAACAAACAGACAAACAAACAAACAAACCAGTGTCATTGACGCACAAAACATTCATTAATCCGACTCTGAACCCACGGCAACATCGTTGGAATCATCGAAATCCTCCGGCACCAATTGTCGCAAAACGGGTTTCGTTGTTTCATGTGCTGCTTCTTGTGCTCCCTCAACCTCCTCGACATCATCGTCATCTAGTCCGATCTCAGTCGCGTCCAGCCAACCACGAGACATTTCTACCGCCTTGCTCCACTGTTTATACATCAAGGCGCTCTCCTGCGCGGACAGGTAGGGCTGGAACTCTGTCCTGTTTGCTCGGTTCATATGTTTCAACTCCTCATACGTCGACCAGATGCCGCTCGCAAATCCAGCTGCAATTGCGGCTCCCAGGGCAGTGGTTTCATGCATCGATGGTCGTTCCACCGGGATTTGGATGATATCGGCTTGTGACTATGGCGACATCCATGTCAGCACTCAGATAACTTCAAATGATCAGATTGAAAAGAAGAAAGGTTACATACCTGCATGCAAATGTCCGAGTTACTCATTCCTCCGTCCACGGCCAGATCAGTCAGCTGATGACCGCTGTCCTTAGCCATTGCATCCAAGATGGCCTTTGTTTGAAAGCAAGCAGCTTCTAGAGTGGCACGAGCAATATGACCACGTTGAGTGTGTTGCGTGATACCGACTAAATGCGGGGAAATGTTAGCAATCTATACCACCTCGAGGGAAGAGAAGAAGAAAAAGTCATACAGATTGTTCCCTTCGCGTCATCAATCCAATACGGAGCGAAGAGACCACTGAATGCCGTCACAAATACGCATCCTCCGTTATCTGGCACTGTTGCGGCGACCTCACTCACTTTCCGCGAGTCACGGAAGAAACCCAGATTGTTCATCAAGAATGACACTCCACTGCCGGCGACAGCGATACTACCCTCGAGTGCATACACTGGTTTTCGGTCGGACCCCAGCTGGAAAGCCACCGTTGCTAGAAGACCGTGTTGCGAAATCGTTGGTTTTTCTCCCACGTTATACAGCAAAAAGCAACCTGTGCCGTATGTGTTCTTCGCATATCCCGGTTCAAAGGCACAATGTCCCACCAGGGCAGCAGACTGGTCACCAAGACAGCTGGTAATGGTGGTGCCGGCCAAAGGACCGCCATCAAGTCGACCAAACTCCTTCGAATCAGCCGAAGGCACGATCTTTGGGAGGCGAATCTTGTTCTTGTCTAGACCGAAAAAGTCCAATAGCCTGTCGTCATATTTCAATTCATGCAAATTCATGAACATAGTACGCGAGGCATTGGTGACATCTGTAACAAACACCTTGTTCTTCACGCCTCCGTTCAAATTGTACAGCAGCCATGTGTCGACAGTGCCGAATGCTAGGCGGCCTTCATCGTAGGCCTTTTTGACGTTCGGACGATGGCGGAGCAGCCACATCAGAGTGACAGACGACGGATAAGTGGACAGTGGCAGACCACAGATGTTGAGCAGGTCGTCGGCACCTTCCTTGGACCTCAGCTCTCGCACCATGCCCTTTGTTCGAGTGTCGGGCCATGCAATAGCATTGTGCAGGGGCTCGCCGGTCTCCCAATCCCAGACGACCGTGGTCTCGCGCTGGTTGGTGATGCCAATGGTCTGAATATCAGACTTGGAGTGGCCCAGGGCAAGGAATGTTTTCATTGTTTCTTCTATACATTTTTCTACCGTTGCAACGAGTTCTCGGGGGTCTTGTTCGTGCCATCTGCAGAGGTCCGACGAGCAAGGTTAGCGTCACATGAGCATTGAAATGAACAAGGGTCGGTTAGTTGCAACACACCCTGAATGAGCGTGAATCTGGCGAAACTCAGACTGATAAGAGGCAATTGGCAAGCCCGTGCCATCGAAGACGATGAACCTGGTACTTGTGGTTCCCTGGTCAATGGCACCGATGAAGCGGTCCTTCAGATTATCGGTGCGCGATTGTTCGTCCTGGAGGAGTGAGCGCGCTCCGTCCTCCCTGGTCGTCTTGTTAATCACGGATTCTCGGCGCCTGCCCGACGAAGCCATGACTAGCCAGAAAGATATATGTCTAAAGGGGTAGAATGGGGTGGTGGAAGTTTATGTATAAAGCCGCCAATTGCTTGAACGAGGGGCAGCAGGGCAGCAGCTTGCGACAGATAAATAAATATACAGATGAGGAGCAGGAGGAAAAAAGTTCGGCGAGAGAAGCAGGTTGACTCTTGCCTTTTGTGACGTACACGGTCGATGACGCAGTTAGGGCAAGAGCCGGCCAATCACGTGCGCGATCCCGGGGACTGTGGATACGCCAATACAGAAAAGGATATATAGTACTATACTATGCAATCGATAGTATAGAGAGGGCGAGGTGGTTTACCCAGCACGAAGCGAAGACGAAGGGGAAAAAAAATATTAGAAATTAGGATAAGTTATTAGGGACAACGGGCGAGTACTGTGCAGGACGAGTAAGAGAGGAAAGAAAATGGAAGAGCGAGGAAGAAAAGGGGGCAGTCGGATTTAAGTGCGCGCGCAGGCTGTGCTGTGCGAGAGTCTGGCTAGAACTCGCAGCAAAGCAAGGAACGCGGCCTCAGGCCTAAAAATACATTAACTGGTGGGGGCTGGCTCTGCTCCCCGCAGGCCTTTACTCGCCAGTATGGAGAACCCAGCTCGCATTGACTAATCGCAGCGCCGAGCTCGAAACCTCCAAATTTTTTTTCAGAGTCAGGCGACCTCCAGAAAATCGGGTCGGCGTCGCTTCTCCACTGCCGCAGCACAATTTCGACGACTTGTACCTGGTCGATGCTCCCTCCGGACCTACTAATGGCAATGCATTGGGAATTTATGCCCGCCCAAGTCGCATCTGCCATCAACCCAGCCGGCCGGATTGGGCACACTGGCCCCGTTCGGACCAGCTAAATTTTTTTTTTCCAGCAATCACAGGCTCGGGTCTGGTCTGCATGCATGCCGGCATCGTGTCTTGCTGGTACGACGCCGAGAGTCACGGGTTCGGCATGAGCATCGCTGGTCTGGCCCTTTGGAATTGATAGTCGATAATCATCAATGGATTACACGCACACATACTTAACCAGTGCTTGGCAGCAATTGATAGTCGTCCATCCTCCCGCGCAGTATACCGTACATACATAGTAGGAGAGCCACGGCTATTTGGTATGCTGGTTGGTGGTGTTCAAACACACTCCGTAGTTCGGATACGGAGTAATGGAGATGGACATGGAGATGGAGATGGAGGGGCACTACCCTTGACGGCCCACGTGACGCGATCCCGTAGTGCAGCAGACTAGCACGCTCTCGGGCTAGCAGGAAAAGATAGACAACCTCGTGATGAGGGTGTAGCGCGCTTAATTTTTAATTTCTTAATAGTCCCCGGCCCAGACGCTCCTTCGAAATCTGATGCAAAGTCAAACATATCCGCCCCCCGTGCCGATCCTGCTCAATTATTGAGCTTGGCTTACATGCCTCATGCGGTGCTCTCAATATGCGGTCAAGGTTCGCGGAATCCCCGACGTGTGATCCGAAAGCTGGAGCCATGGACCCAAACGGCACCCAGACTTACGATATGCAGATCTAGTCTGACTACTCATGGATATATATATGTACGGAGTATATATAGAGTATGCTTAAAAACTACGTGTAGAATAGCTTAAATAGAAACATTCTTCTTTTGATATTCTACAACAACAAAGGAAAATAAATGACTAGCCTGAGCGACAATTGATTGAATGGTTCATCTACACCCTCTTATTCCCAAAACCGAGGTTCTGGCTTTGACATCATTGCAGATTTGCAGATTTACTCGAGAGCAGCCTCCTTCTCCTCGGCACGCTGCTTAGCCTCCTCGATTTCCTTCTTGCGGAGGTAGAGGAGAGCCTGGATCTTGTCGGTCAGAGTGTGCTCCTCGCTCTCGTTCTGGGAAATCCGCTCGCGACCAATGAGAGTGGCAACAATGCTGGCTCCGACAACAAAGGTCAAGACGAATCGGTACATGCCGTACCAATGAGGAGCGTAGCCACGGCTGGCAGCACGAGCATCGTTGTAGTACAAGAAGGTGAAAGCAAGGAATTGTGTGATGAGAGCGTGCTCAACGGGGAGCAGGAGTGTGGGCCAGGCGACAGCAGGCGCAATGCAACCGGTGGCATATCTGCGGAAACCATGCTTTCCACCGTATCCAGCCCACTCGAGACCCCAGTGAATAGCGCCTAGGAAAGACAAGATCTGTATATTTAGGTCTTAGCGATATGAACTTGTCAAAAGCTAGGTTGACTGTAGGAACTTACGACGGCACCATATCCAACTTGGAGGGGCTCAGTAAGATGCAGCAGGAAGGAAGCAGTTTCTCCAGAGAGAACGTAGCCCGATCCAGTGACTGCGTTGTTGTTGATTTCCCATGCGAGAAAGCAAGTATTGGCTGAGGTCAGCAGGTATGGAACGACACCGGCGAGGCCGAAGTATAGAGCCTCTCGGGGAACTTCATCGAGAGTGAAGGTTTCCTTAATGACTTTCTGTACGGAAATCACGTCTTAGCGGGCCGGACAGTAATTAGACGCTTTTGAAAATTATCCGACGTAACATACCACATCACTCTTGACACCAGCCATCATGTCAGGATCCTCCTCCTCAATGCCATGAGCCTAAAAAATTTATATTAGCCATTGTACAAGCCATAGACTTAGAGATATTGCTAACCGGATCGCCTTTTTGTGGAACAGTCGAAGCATGGCGGACGAGAGCTGTGGTAACCGGCTTACGGACCGCCAAGGCGAGGGTTGGTGTCGACGTCAGTCGAGCCGGGAGACGGGCAGACGAGGTCAATTGGGCCTTGAAAACGCTGCCTGGGATGGCGGCCCTGATAGCGGTAGAGGCATTGGAGCTGGATGCTGCGCGGAAGGCCGCGCGGGCAGCCGACATGCGGTAGAGCATTGTGAAAAAGCTTCGGGTATAATAGGAATTCAGAAGAACTGCCTGCGGGCGTCCCAATTGGACCCAGAAAGGGTAGAAAATTGAGATTGTAGAGTGGAGAGGGGGTTTTATATGGGCAAGAGAGCTTCAGCTACTCTTGTCGGACGCGCAGGTGCAGCGTTGGCAGAATTGATATGAAGTCTGAAGTGTAACGCTGCCGGTGATGAAACCATGAGGAACTGACCCGAAGTTGTGCGATTCCGGCCTTCCGCAGCGACCACAGCGGCATTCATGCCTCAGGCCCCCACCCGAGCTCTCACACCAGATAACGCGATTTTCTTCTTCTTCTTTTTCTTTTGCCATAAATGTTTGATAATAATTGACCGTGAAGGCATTGTAAAAAGTATCAGACAGATACTCTATATTTGCTATACGAAACTAAAGATTAGCCATTGATCTTAATGAAGAGACAGACATCCATCGATATACAGGCACACTCTGTTGCTATAGAATTAAGCAGAAAGCAAGCCATAATTAATATTGAACAAGAATCACTAGTGCATCGCCTCCTAACCCATCATCCTCATGGCCACTGACCTCTTCAAGGTCACTTCTCCTGATTGTGGGGATAGCCCACGTAGCAAAGCAAGAGATGCATGCCTGATTGTCAAGGCTCAGCTGCCAAGCACACGACGTCACCTCCCCGCGAGATTGTTCCAACACAAACAAGCCCAATTACTCCCAAGACCCATTCATGAATCAGGGACCAGCCAGGGACGACCACACGCCATTCTGCGGCCCTGTCTATCTTGCGTTCACATAACTCTTTTCTACCCCCCGCTTGCGACTGTTACCCGAGCTCGTTTGATATTTTCAAGATTGTCCTGTGCCAGTGTTCTCGCAGCTCAACTTCGATGTGGACAGGCCGAGCCACACCAAGTGAGCGTCCAGAGAGGCAGCACATTGCAACGCACCGACAGTGATGCCATAAAGTTGAATGAGTCTTGTAGAATCCTCACCGGTAAGACTCCTATTTCCCTTCAAGCCGTCAAAATCGCTTCACATGTCGCATTTCTTGATTGCCCTTTTCCAGATCTTATCACCTGATAACTAATGGGGAGCCTTTCATTATTTCCCCCCTTCAGGGACCCATTTCAAGAATTCAAGTGCTGTGACCACTTACGAAACGACGAGACGATAAACGGAAAAGCGGCGATCGTTCCACTGGAGTTAATATATCGTACCCGGCCTGGGTAACGGCCTGCATTGCCCGCCATGTTGGAAAGCGTCGTTGCAAACCTGCTCAACAGGTTTATGGGCATGTACGTTAAGAACTTTGATGCCAAACAACTCAATATAGGAATCTGGTCGGGAGACGCTAAGCTTCATAACCTCGAATTGCGCCGCGAGGCCCTGGATCAACTCCACCTTCCTCTCAACGTCGTCGAAGGCCATATTGGCCAGCTAACGCTGTCTATCCCATGGTCGAATCTGCGCGGAAAACCGGTCAAAATCGAAATTGAAGAGGTATTCCTCCTGGCAGCCCCGAAGGTAGAGACCGATTACGACCCAGAGGAGGATGAGAGGAGGGATCACAATATCAAGATGGAGAAACTCGAAAGTGCAGAAATCCTGCGTGAAAGAAACGCGGAAGGTATGACCCAAGAGGAGCAGAGGCGAAACCAGAGTTTCACGGAAAGCTTCACCACCGCCATTGTGGACAATCTGCAAATATCTATCAAGAATGTTCATTTTCGATATGAGGACTCTGTCGCCTCTCCCGGCCATCCCTTCGCTGTCGGTATGACACTCAAAGAATTAAGTGCTGTGAGCACGGACTCGGATTGGCGCCCTACGTTTATTCAATCCACCTCAGGCACGACCCATAAATTAGCAGTTCTAGGAGCTCTGGCTGTTTATTGGAATACTGATACCGAGTTATTGGGAACTGGAAGCGGCGCGGACTATGGTGCAGAAGCCCAAGGCATACCTCATGAAGAGCTCATGACGAGGCTCAGAGAAGGTATCGAATTGGACGAGAACAATCAATACATTCTACGACCTGTGAGTGGACGTGCAGGGCTTGAGATGGACAAAACAGGGAAGCTTGATAGGCCTAGAATGAAAGCGCGTCTCTTATTCAACGAGTTGGGATTCGTTCTAGATAGCGACCAATATCGAAATACACTGATGCTGGTGGATTTATTCCATTACTTCATCCGCCATCAGGAGTACAAGAAGCTGCAGCCGTCAACGAGCCCCAAGGAGGACCCGCGAGCTTGGTTCCGCTTTGCTGGAAATGCTGTCCTGTCGAAGATTCACGACAGAAACAAAGTCTGGACGTGGGCATACATCAAGGAACGAAGGGATGATCGACTAGCTTACATCGACCTGTTCAAGAAAAAGAAAAGGGAAGAGACACTTTCGGCGGAGCAGTCCACAGAAATAGATCAATTAGAAAGAAAATATACATACGAAGATCTTCGCTTCTGGCGCTCTTTGGCACGGAATCAGCTACGAAAGGAAAACGTTGGCGTTCGAAAACCTGCGAAAGCGCAATCATGGACTCAATGGATGTGGGGAACGAAGACGCAGCAGGACGAGACAGAAACGATGACAGAAGAGCAACGCCAAGAGCTTTACAACGCAATTGACTGGGATGAGAAGAAAGCACTGGCTGAGAGTGTGGAACTTCCTAGAGAGTCAATCAAGTTGCAGGTCAATTCAAGTCTCCGTGCTGGCAGCTTAACCCTAAAACATGATCCGCATGGTGCGGCAACCGAGGTGATGAAACTCGTGTTCGACAACTTTAGGGCAAAGGCTTTGCAGCGTCCTGATTCTTTTCTTGTTGACCTAGACCTGGGTGGCTTAAGAGTGTACGATGGAACTACCGAAGGTAGCGTTTTCCCACAGATCGTTCGAGTCAAAGACTCGAAATACCAGGAAGGGCATCCATCTTCAGAAGAGCCACGAATATTGCAAAATGAAGATGAAGAAGAGTTGGTGCAGAGAGACAGCTTGTTCCATCTCCAAGTCGAACAGAATCCCCTTGAAAGTGATGCAGATACTGCCGTCAAGGTGAAACTAAAAAGTATCGAGGTCATCTACAATCCTAAATTCATCGTCGAAGTGGCACGTTTCTTCAAGCCGCCCGAACGACATATGGAATCGATAGGTGCAATTCTCGATTCTGCAGGAGCCACTGTTCAAGAGATCAGGCAACAAACTCGAGCCGGTCTGGAATATGCGCTTGAAGAACATAGAAAAGTAGACACCCAGTTTGATCTGCAAGCTCCGCTGATAATCATTCCTGAGAGCATAGTAGAAGAGAGCTCTCTCTGTTTGATTCTCGACGCCGGTCATATTAGAGTCAGCAGCGAGCTCGTCGACCGGGACACAATGGCAGATCTGCAATCGAAACAGAAGAAGCAATACAGCGAAGACGACTACAGACATCTTGAAGAGCTTCTCTATGACAAGTTCTTGGTCAAGCTCGATTCCATCCAAATGCTCATCGGCCCAGGTATTGAAGCTACAAAGTTGCAGCTCACTTCGGATGACCCATTGAAAGATCTTCATATTGTTGATCGTATCAATGTCGATTTTGTTCTCGAACTCTGCATTGTTCCCAATTCTACCGGTTTGACCAAGACGCGTATTTCCGGCCATTTACCAGAGTTGCATGCCTCGATATCCGATAAGAAGTACAAAAATTTAATGAAGCTCATTGACATAGCCATCCCACGTTTCGAAGAAACCGATGAAGGATCCCCTGCCAGACCGCAAGCAAATACCGATGGAAGTGGCGAGCAAGATGATAAAAGCAGAACAAGATCAGCTTCTTTCCAGCCGTCAATAATAAGAGAAATTCCCATCCTCGATGAAGAGTCTGACGCAGAAGATTCAGGCAAACACGAGATTGCGAAGAAAGAGAAGCAGCCAGTTGCCTTGCATCAACGGATGTTTGAATTTAAATTCACAGTGGGAAAGCTCCGTGGTTCTCTTTTCAGGGCCGATCAAAAGGAATTAAAGCCAGATCAGTTACTTGCCGAGCTTGTAGCTGAAGGGTTTCAATTGGATTACTATCTTCGACCATTTGATATGGTTGCTGAAGTGACCTTGAAATCTCTCAGCGTAGATGACCACATAGAAGAGAATCCGACACCTGAGTTTAAACAAATTGTTTCATCCAAAGGCTTCAACGCCGATGAAGAGAAAGATTTGTTTAATCTCAATTTTATCCGAGTCCGGCCTGATTCTCCCGAATATCATTCAACATACGAGGGTGTTGACATGAATCTTGATGTTACGGTGTCGACAATCAATATCATAGTCACGAGAAAAACGCTTCTGACACTATTAGATTTCGTGCTGATTACCTTCACCAATCCCGACCAGCCAGCGGCCCCCAATCAATCAACAGACAGCGCTATTGTCAATGTATCACAAGGACAAGAAGAGCCACAAGAAATTCGCAAGATCAGAATCAAATCGCAGCTTAAAAGCATTGCGCTGATTTTGAATAACGATGGCGTGAGGCTTGCAACCTTGAGTCTAAACACTGCAGACGTTGGCCTGTTCTTGGTTGGTCGGACTATGCAGATACAGTCTCGGATTGGAAGTCTGACCCTGGTAGACGACGTGAATGTTGGCGCGTCAGAGGAATCGCCTCTCAGAAGACTCCTGACCATCGAGGGCGAAGATTTCGCTGATTTCAGGTATCAGACCTTTGACCAAGATTCATTAGAATATCCTGGCTATGACTCGGAAGTGTTCTTGCGCTCCGGGTCGATCAAGATCCAATTCCTAGAGGAGCCATATCGAAAGATTATGAACTTTTTAGTGAAATTCGGAAAAATGCAGGCTATATTTAATGCAGCTCGGCAAGCAGCAGCAAACCAGGCAAATACACTACAAGAGAATGCATCACGTATGCGATTCGATATTGTCGTACGGACGCCCATAGTTGTCTTCCCTAGGGCCATGTCAGAAAATAGGAAACGGGATACTATAACCGCAGAACTGGGAGAAATCTACGCGAACAATACTTTCGTTCCCCTAGATGATCAAAAGGATAGCCCAGCTGTCAACGTGATTACCACCGGTATTCGCAATATCCGCCTCAGCTCTGATTTGTTCTTTGAGGATGAATCGCATGAACAATTGGAGATGATCCAGAAGGTCAATCTTGATTTTAGTATCTGTTATCTTGAACATCAACCAAATCAGCCGCGTCCGGATATTGAGGTGGAAGGAACGATGTCTCCAATCAAGTTGCGCATTTCACAACCGCAACTTAAGTTCTTGCTAGAAATTACAAAGACAGTGCCTGGGGTACTTACACCAGACGTTGATCAACAGGAACTTGAAGCAATGCAGTCTCTTCCAACAATCCAAGCACAGCCGCAGCAGCAAGATTTCGAAGCTCAGCAAGTGAAACCCCCGTCCGATCAAGATCCCCAAAAGGATGCAGAAAAGGAAACTTGGGTCAAACTTGATATGATATTCAAGGTTGAAAGTGTCGGTCTGGAGCTGCTCCTAGCGAAGGAGAACAAACCTATCGGCCATGTGGAGGATTCCAGTTTGTCCAGGTTTTCACTGAACAACACCAGAGTGAAATTACGCATGTTGAGCGACGGCGCCTTAGAATCGGAGCTTCTAATTCACTCCTTTTCTATTAGGGACAGCCGCTCTCAAGAGACAAACAAATTCAGGAAAATAATGTCTCTCATTAACAACGACGTTCAACAACAGTTCATGGCTAATATCTCGATGTCACCGGGACCTAAGAAGCACGTCATAGCTATGGTTACCATTGACAGTCCTCGCATTATACTCGCACTTGACTATTTGATGGCTCTACAGTCATTCGCGAGTGAGGCTTTTGCACAAGACCAGCCACTAGAATTAGAAGAAGTTGACGAAACACCCGAAGAGTCTGACACTGCGTCTAATGTCACAGCCGGTGGCTACAAATCCCCCGGTAGTGAACAGAAACCAAGTTCTTCAGAGGAAGGGCAAATGACTTTCTCCTTGAGAGCTGACATCGTTGATGCTCAAGTCATCATGATCGCCAACCCGGCAATCGTGCATACTGAGGCCATCGTTCTGGGGACAAAGCAGCTGATATTTTCCCATCAAAATGTCGATACACTTCAGATTAACAAAGTAGGCATGTTCCTCTGCCGAATGGACAAGTTTGAAACTAGTCGCCTGCGGATTTTGGACGACTTCACCCTGGAGCTATCTGTGGATAGCCGTGCACAAGCCCGAGGATCGGCTCTCACTAGCATTGATGTACATGTCGAGCCCCTTGTTCTACGGTTATCATTGCGCGATATATTGCTTGCTACTCAGATCATGAATAAGGTGTCTGAAATGAGAACAAAGCCTGCGCCTGCTGTCATAGAAGGTGATGAGCCGCAAAGAATAAAGGAGATAAAGGGCACTGAGAAGAAATCAAAGAAACGCTCCACCATAGGGGGAAGGCATGCTCCAGTAGTAACAAGTTCAAAGCCAAAGACCAATTTGATCCCGGAACAGAGGCTCGCACCACAGCAATCAGCTGTAATAAGAAGGGAGGAGCTTGGTGCTCAGATTGATGGAATTAGAGTTATTCTCATTGGAGATCTGCATGAACTCCCATTGCTTGATTGGAGCGTCAAAAAATTCAATGTCGAGGTCAAAGATTGGTCCTCGACTCTGAACGCAGATACCTCGTTTGACACTTTCATCAATGTCTATAATTTCTCAAAGTCGGCTTGGGAACCTCTCATTGAACCCTGGCAACTGGGATTTCACATGTCCAAGGAAATAAACCCGGATGTTCTATCAATTGAGGCTTATTCTCATAAGAACATGGACCTTACCCTCACTTCTGCAACCATTGCACTTGCCTCGAAGTCGTTCCAGTTCCTGAACACTGATGAAGACGTGTTGTCCAAGCCTAGAGGTGCTGATGCGCCATACAGGATTCGTAACTATACTGGGTTTGACCTTCGAGTGTGGGCAGATGTCGAAGCTGAAGAGAATGCGCCGGCTGCTAAACTTAGTGACGGCGAAGAATACCCCTGGCGCTTTGAGGATGCAACTACCATGCGTGAGAATCTTACACCTGAAGGTAATGCGGGCCTAGTAGGTATTAAATTGGAGGGCAGTGGCTTTGATAGCATCAACCACATACCAGTCATCAGGGAAGGGGAGACATTGTACAATCTGAAACCCAAAAAAGACAAGATCTTGCACAGAATGCTTGTGGAGGTCAAACTGGGCTCGGACAATGTTAAGTATATCACTTTCCGTTCTCCGCTGGTCCTGGAAAACAACACTCAAATACCCGTCGAAATGGGCGTCTTTAGCCCTGAAGATGGTCATTTGCTTAAAATTGAAAAAATCTTGCCTGGCGATGCTCGACCGGCACCAGTTGGCTCAGCATATCTACATCAACTCGTTGTTCGCCCTGACCAAGGCTTCGGTTACGACTGGTCAAATGAACCGATATATTGGAAAGATCTGCTACGCCGACCAACAAGAACAATTAAATGTGTCAGTGAAAGTGGACAACAGGCCCCGCCGTTCTATTTCCAATTCAACGCTTCTTATGACAAACGGGACCCTGTTATCAACCACTACCCTAACATGAAGCTTCGCATTTCAGCTCCCGTTGAGATTCAGAACTTGCTACCGTACGACTTCAAATATCGCATCTATGACAAGAATACCCGCAAAGATTGGACCAACTTTTTGCGAAGGGGTGGAGTTAGTCCAGTGCATGTAGTGGAGCTGTCTCACTTGCTTCTCCTTAGCATCGACTTGCAGGACTCGGTATACAGACAAAGCGAGTTTGCAATAATCAATGGCAACACCCAAGACTTCCGGCGAGAAGATTTCCTGGCACTCAAGGACGAAAATGGTGTAGAGCTAAGGCTCAAATTGCATTACTTTAACGTGCCAGACAGCGGGGGAGCCTTCAAAGTCAGCGTGTACAGCCCGTATCTTATACTCAACAAAACCGGGCTAAGCATGGAAGTCCAAAGCAAAGGATTTATGCAATCCGCAAAATCGTCGGCTGGGCAAGGCATAAACGCTGCTAACTCGGAGGCGGGCCATGCGAAGCCTTATATGTATTCCTATCCCACCGACGATACCAAAAACCGATCTATCTTGAGAATTGGTGATTCCCGATGGAGCAAGCCGCAGAGTTTTGATGCAATTGGAAGCACATCTGAGGTTATTGTCCAAGCCAAAACATCTAGGGTTGAGTTACATGCTGGAGTCTCGGTTGCTGAAGGAGAGGGCAAATATAAACTGACCAGAGTCGTCACTATAACACCTCGATTCATCCTGAACAACAAGCTCAGTGAAGATCTCCAGGTGCGGGAACCAGGAACGTCCAATGTGTTAACGATGAAAGCTGGTGATCTTGTGCCTCTGAATTTCCTTCGTCAGGTTCCAGAAAAACAGCTATGTCTCTGCTTCCCCGGTGTCAATAATCAATGGTCATCACCGTTCAACATTGCCGATGTGGGGATAACTCATGTGAAGTTGGCTAAGGCATCTCAGCGACAGAGGCTTATCAAAGTGGAAGTCGTAATGGAGAATGCAACTATATTCATTCACCTGAGAATGGAAAATAAGCAATGGCCATATTCCATGCGGAATGAAAGTGATGCGGAGTTCATCTTCTATCAGTCTAATCCCAACGTCGACGAGGACGAGTATGAAGATACAAGTAGCGGATGGCGGCCAATCCGTTACCGTTTACCACCTCGCAGCATCATGCCTTACGCTTGGGACTATCCGGCTGCGAAGAGCAAGTCGCTTATTCTAAATTGCAATGGAAAAGAGCGACATATTAGATTGGCAGAAATTGGAAATTTGATTCCGATGAGAGTCCCGTCAAACACCAACTCCAATGGCCAGACTATTATCGACATTAACATAGTTGCAGAAGGACCTACACAGACATTAGTTTTGTCCAATTTCAAAGCATCTAAGAGCATTTATCGGCAACAGAAAGCCCAGACATCTCAAGCCAGCGTCGCAACAGGTTTTGAAGTCAAGGTTGAGGATTCGGACATTACGTTCAAGGCTCAACTACGTCTGGGTGGCGTGGGAATTTCATTAATCAACCAAAATATGAAGGAGCTGCTATACTGTACATTCCGGGAGATTGAAGTCAAGCTGAATGAGAGCAAAGTATATCAGACACTAGACACCACGATCAAATGGATTCAGATCGATAATCAGCTCTACGGCGGTGTATATCCAATTCTTCTTTATCCCAGTGTCGTGCCAAAAACTGGAAAGGAGATGGAAGCACATCCAATTTTCCGTGCTATGGTTACAAGAGTCAAGGATGATTCATACGGTGTTTTATACATCAAATATGCCACGCTGCTTCTCCAACAGATGACCCTAGAATTGGACGAAGACTTTATTTTTGCCATGCTCGACTTTGCGAAAGTGCCAGGAGCTTCTTGGTCGATCGAACAGGAGGGTAAGCTCTGTGACGAAGACCTGGACATTCCTGAACCGAAATACGAGGATGCTCGACAAGATGTATACTTTGAATTATTGCACTTGCAACCCATGCAATTGGACATTTCCTTTATGCGCACAGAACGAGTCAATGCCGAAGATAAACTCCAGCCCTCCAATCCATTGATGTTTTTCATCAATGTAATGACAATGTCTATGGGCAATGTTAATGATGCTCCTGTCCGACTCAACGCGCTTATGCTCGAAAACGCAAGGGTGTCTATTCCTGTGCTCATATCAAACATGAGAAAGCACTACACCCAAGAATTCATCGGGCAGATCCATATGGTGCTGGGCTCGGCGGACTTCATTGGAAACCCCGTCGGTCTCTTTAATACTGTCAGTTCAGGTGTTGCGGACATTTTCTACGAACCATACCAGGGACTAGTCACAGACCGACCGCAAGACTTAGGCTACGGCATCGCTAAAGGAGCTTCTAGCTTTTTTAAAAAATCAGTGTTCGGTTTCTCCGACAGTATCACGAAGATAACTGGAAGTATGTCCAAAGGTCTTGCAGTTGCAACTATGGACAAAGAGTTTCAGGATCAGAGACGCATGTCAAAGGCACGCAATCGGCCCAAGCATGCGCTATATGGTGTCACCTCTGGTGGCAATGCCTTCGCAACAAGCGTATTGAGCGGTATTGAGGGCCTTGCACGCCACCCCCTTCAAGGAGCAGAGAAGGGTGGGTTCCAGGGGTTCATGAAAGGTATGGGGGTTGGCATGCTCGGAGTTGTGACCAAGCCTGCAATTGGAGCATTTGATCTTGCATCTAGTAAGGACTTTCCTCCTTCATATCAGACAAGCAGAAATGGTTAATTGACTTACTGTATCTAGATCTTGCCGAAGGTGTGCGAAATACTACAACCGTATTTGATGCTGAAGGGCTCGATCGGGTTCGCCTTACTAGGTTTATCGGTATGGATGGCGTTGTGCGTCCTTACTCCCAGCGAGAAGCACTTGGACAGTTCTGGCTCAAGACGACAGATGATGGCAAATTCTTCAAGGAAGACTACATTGCCCATCTTGAACTGCCTGGGCGAGATATGATGGTGATGTTGACGTACGATCGTATATTGCTCATACGATCGGACAAACTTCGCTCGGAATGGGACATAAAGCTCACAGACATCCAAACTATATCAAAAGAGCGAACGGGGATGAGCATCACCCTCAAGGGAGGGGCAAACGGACCATTCATCCCTGTACAAGATGAAAGTTCTCGAAACTGGCTATACAGACAGATTGCTATAGGTATGTTTATTACTTCCCTTTTATTATAATAGAAAAACAGCTTGCTAATCAATTATATAGCCGTTAACGCCTTTAACGAGAAGTATACTGCGAAGAATTAGTCAGGCATGTTGTGGTGGAAAGCATAGTTTCTTTTCTTATTCTATTTTACCTCGGAGCTGAATTGCGAAGTGTGAAAGCCTGTCTAGTATTCTGATACCTAGCTTGTGGATTTATCATCGTGGCAGTCTTGTTCATTGATCATCTAGCTGATGTTATATATTTATGTAATTGTTCAATTTGTTCGCTTGTATAAATTATCTGTCAATCATACCTAGGTACATTCAATTCGAGAGAATACTGACGTGATATGATAGTTGGTCGTTCGATGGAACGATGGTAATAGAAGATTGAATCAAATGCGTCAAGTGCATGTTTTTTTTTTTAGTTTCCCAAGGTTTCTAAGCGCGGAGACATGAAAAATCATATTCAAGATCTTAAATAATTATCAATGGTATCTTTCTAGTTACTGAACAGCTATCATGTGCTCGTTTCTATAAAATAACAGAATAGATATGTATACAATAAACGAACTCCCCTCATTTGCCTTCTGCACGCTCGACGAGTTGATCTTCTAAACCCATCGGTTCCCAGATATCTCGCGCCTTTCGGTTCTGTACCCAGACAACATCTCCTTGTAAGAAAGCTATGACACCACCCTTCCCACTCGCACTAGCAGTAATACGGAATAAGGGTTGGCCGTTCTGTGGATGCGCTTCGCGCAAGGGAAGGATGATAAGGCCTTGATCCGCGCACCACTCTTCCACAATATCCTTGAAGGAGATCTCTTTGATGGGGGCAGGCTTTGCTTTCTGTGTCAAGACTGGCGCAGCTTTATCTGGTCGGAGACCGGCAGCAGTGATAGGTGCTGCTGTAGGCGCTGCTTCAGGTGCTGGAAGTTCTGTTGCGGCTCGATCACCAAGTTGCGAGGCCAAGTCCATCATTTTCAGACCCTTTGTCCATTCATCATCGACTACTCCAATCTCATTGAGCTCGGGAGGGATCTGAGATCTCCACCATGTGAACCACTCGCCCACTTCCTCAAAGTTGGGCTCGTTTGTCAACCAAATATAAAGTATATTGTGCCATTTCGGAAAGAATTCAGCAACGAGAAGTAACCCGAAGACTTTGGTTTTGTAAAAATCTTTCCATTTCAGCACGTCTTCAAAGGCTACCAAGTCTTGATCCTGTGGGTTTACTTGGAAATCTTCCCGCAAGTGGCGTGCAAGCCGTGGAAGTAGGTGCCTCTGAAGCGCAACATCAAACTCCGATCCAAGAGCCTCTTTCCAGAGATCGATACCGTCCAACAAGCCCTTGCGCAGGTCCCATGTGTCTAGGACAACCCTGAACTTGCGTCTCACGTCAGATAGCAGGCCGGTTGCGTGTCTAGGATTAGTGTGGTGTTCGTCCAAATACTGTAGCCAGGTGAATAGCCACCAGGGGAAGCGGGAGCTATGCTGGGGTGTTTCGGCATGCCGGCGACTGCTGCGAGGTTTCCACTCCTTAATCGCAATACTAAGCTTCGGCACTATCACTTGATTGAGGATATTCGAATAGACAAACGCAGGAATAACATCCTTCCAAGCAACAACCAAGGATGTAGCAGGCGAAGGATCAAAGACGTCCCACTCATTCAAAAGAACTGTGCGTACTCGAGGAAGCCACATTGAATATATTAGACTTTCGTAAGATGATGTAGACTGCCGCTGGCGCATTTCACTCTGTTCTTCTTCCTGACGTTTCCTGGAGAGTAGCGGAAGTAAACGCAGAATGTCAGCAACAAGAAAAGTAGGATCCTTTAAAGGATCCCACTCTTCCATTGCTTCACGGAAAAGCGGATGGATAGCTGCAACAGCCGCGTCCGAAAGCCGGTATTCGTCGATGACATCGCGATATTCAACTTCAATCAATTCAAGCTTGCTTGTGACTTCTTCAAAACGCTGCAGAATAGTTTCTTTCTTTTCCATGATTTTAATATTTTCAAGAGCCGATACCAGGCGTGTCAATTGCTCTGATTTGGCTTGCCGAACGTCCATTTCTTCGACCACCTGACTTTCTTCGAGATCGATGAACTTTTTCCGCTCGGTTAGACCTTTCCATTCATCGATGAATGCCTCGAGATCATGACGCGCACGTCTTGCAATCTTCAAAGCTTCTCCTTCTGTTTGATTGACGAACTCCATAGGAGTCATTAGACCGGCGGTCGATGTCAAAACTTTCTGCTCTTTCCCCGTGGCGTCGACCAGCGACTTGAGCACGTTGGGAACAACGAGACCTTCGACCTCTGCCTCCAATTCACGAGCTGTCCGGAATCTTGGTTTTGGTGGAGCTGCTGGTGTTATCGTTCCGCTCCGGCCATCCACTTTACGCTGAGCCTTGCGCTTCTGGCGTCTTTGGCGCTCTTCGTCAGAACTATCTTCAATGACTTCGCCTCTGGCAGTAGTCTGTCGCTTCTCTTCCTCCCTTGCCTGTTTTGATTTCTCTTTGACAGCGCCAAGACCGATTCCTTGTGGGCGTGCCTGCGCCTCTACCGGATTGATGATACCCTGACCTGTTGAACCAAGACCTTGGCCTTCAACGTAGCCCATCTTAGCCATCATTCGGGCCGCGAATGAATTCCCTCCCATAGCAGAGCCCTTCTTGTCCCCTCCACCTCCACCTTTTCCTCCACGCCCGCGATTTTGCATTGTAGCTGATGGAGTGGATGCCATGTTGTTCCAGGTGCTGCGACCAGCGCCGCCACCCAAGCCAGTCATCGATGGAGGAGATTCTGAGCGGGAAGCAGCTCGACGGAATCCTTGAAAGCCAAATGACGGGCGCGATGTGCTGGCTTCTTCTTCCTCATCGGAGGAGCTTATATCTCTGACTTTGCGCTTCTGGCCTGCAAAGGACGATCGCGGACGGAATTCGTCGTCACCGGAATCCATGGTCGCCGAGGAAGAATGTAATATGAGCAAACTTTTTCCTCTCCCCGGGTGAAAAAAAAAAGGACGATGACCGCGTCCTTGAAGAGTGGCGAAAAATGCCAGTATGCTGCTGCAACACCTAGGTACAGTAGTAGCCTTATCGGATATATGATTTATTTTCGTTGCTGCAAGGCTCTCACGCCGGAACGCGGAAAAACAAAAAGTCCCGCAGCCTGCCTGCCGGCGGCTATGACGTTTTGTTAGGCTAACTGAGGTAGTTATTGACAATTCCCACCCTCGGAGTTTCCAACATCAATCATCTTTCACCCAAAGCCTTTTGTAGTAAGTACACAACTCAAGCCTTCAATTGAATAAAAGCTTGCTGATTTATTTTGAAGTAATTTTCTGAACACCATGTCTGCCTCTCTTTTGCGCACTTCCACTGCTCGCGCGGCTCTACGCGCCGGAGCTTCGGCTCCTCGTTCAAACGTAGCTGGCCTTGCTGGGACGAGCTTCGTTCGCACCAAAGTCACTCTTCCTGACCTTGCCTGTATGTGAAAATATTCAGTTCCTCTTTCTGCATTTGTTTCATCTTTCATCTTCATCTCTACCCCTCGAAGAACATCGCGCCATGTGGTAGCCGTATCAACCGAGCGCCATGATATTTTTTTCTCATCACCAAAACCATTACTTAGATAAACCGGGGAACGCGAAGTACTAACTGACGGTTGTAATAAAATAAAAAAAACAGATGACTATGGCGCCCTCGAGCCATCCATTTCAGGCAAAATCATGGAGATCCATCACAAGGGTCACCACAACGTGTACGTGACTGGTTACAACACCAACATCGAGAAACTAGAGGAAGCGCAAGCCAAGAGCGACATTGCCGCTCAGATTGCCCTCAAGCCATTGATCAACTTTCACGGTGGTGGTCACATCAATCACACACTCTTTTGGGAGAATCTGGCCCCCAAGAGCGCCGGCGGTGGCGAGCCACCATCAGGTTCTCTAGGAAAGGCCATTGATGAGACATACGGCACCTTTGGCGAATTCCAGAACAAGTTCAACACTGCTCTCGCTGGTATTCAGGGTAGTGGTTGGGCCTGGTTGGTCAAGGATAAGGAAACCGGTGATATCTCTATCAAGACCTATGCCGTATGCTGCTCTTCATCAACCTTTTCTAACCTCGTTGCTGTTGATATACAAGCTAACAAAAATATAGAACCAAGACCCCGTCGTCGGCCAATACGTTCCTATCCTCGGCGTCGATGCCTGGGAGCATGCTTACTAGTAAGTTTCGACCTAGGAAAAGCAAACGAAATGGAAAATACTAACACTTTTCCCCATCTAGCCTTCAATACCAGAACCGCAAAGCCGAATACTTCAAGGCTATCTGGGAGGTGCTGAACTGGAAGGCAGCCGAGAAGCGTTTCGGTGCTTAATTTTGTCTTCAAGTCAAATAGATGCCATTTCGGAAGGGATGGCAAATCCAATTACTTAAACAGCTTTTCCCCTGGGAATTACTTGTCTTAATCTACCGTACATATGGTGCAACTTTCTCATTTGTCAGGATAGGATAATAGGCACTGAGATGGTGATTCGCCTAACTTAGTCAAATAGTATCTATCTAATTAGTTACCTTCCTTCGCATATCTTAGCGTATACGGTCTCATCTACATAATATCAAGTTGATGTTGTAGGACGGGTGTTTTAGTCAATTGTGAGGGAATCATGATATTGGTATTGGTATCAGTACATAACACCGTTGTGAAAAATAGTACATGAAAAGACGTAGACGTAGACGTAGACGTATAGGCATGAACCATAGTACGTAAGCTAAGACATCAGAACGCTCAAAAGGCAAACCGAAGGAAAAGTACAAAGGAACTGTAGTCAAAGAGACGGTGGTTGTCTGGCTTGTAATGCAAAGTAGAAAAGCAAGAATTGTAAACAACGAAGCGAAAAATAGCGGTGTAGGAGCACGCAGAAGGCTCGTCTCAAGGGTAGTTAGTAATAATACATAACATAGCAATCACTGAAACTTCAGGCACTTGAAAGCCAATGTTCAACAAGTAGCAATAATAGAAAAGTGTCTGACAGTGTCGGGAAAGAAAGTTGTTAAAGAGGGTAAATATTGTTACAGTGCCGAGTGCTTCGGAAAGTTGATATTGTTGTAATCGTGACCAGAGTCCGGCGTTTCATGTTGGCAAAGGAAAAAGTATGGGATGATGATGAGATAATATCGTAAAGAGAAAGAGTGTATAATAGACTTGAAGAGTAGGTCAATTGGGAATGGCTTCGCAAAAGCTCGCTCTTAGGCCTTATAGACAAAAGTTTTTATGCCATTCGCCGGGAGCGTCTCCGAGCCCGCCAAACGGGTTCGTCTTCTGCAGCAGGTGACGCCAATTCACCAGCTCGAGCAAGGGTCAAAGTAGAAATGTCGATAGTGGCAGTTGATTTCGGCCTCTCCGAGGCTGTGCGAGCCAGCACTGCATGCCCAGTAGGAGGCACATCATAGTCCTTATTATGCGATCCTTTCATCCAGTTCTTAAAAAGAGACCCTTTGCTGCGAGGCTCATTGCTCTCTGAAGTCACAGGCCGAGAAGCTGTTGAAGGACGTAGATCAGATAGAGGCTTCGGCAGAGGGCGACTGGAGGCTCGTCCAGCTGCAGATTTAAACAGAAGCTCTTCGGAATTGAGACCGGGACCGGAGCTAGTTCGCCTGTGCTTTGAAATTGTAAGGGACTTATCTGGAACAGGCGAAGGCCCTTTGTTGTTCAGGGTCATCGATTCTGGTTGGAAATCTTGCTGGTGGCGGTTTCTAGTAAAAAACCGAGGGCGAAGCGATAAGCGTCTGCGCGGTTGAGCCTCTGCTACAGGCTGGGAGTCATTTGCCCAGGCACGAAGCCGTAGTGGGGGATTCTGTGAAAGCACTGAGTTATCAGTGGGAATTTCATCGACCGTTGTGGGAGCAACGTCGTGCTTTTCTGGAATTCCCAACGGCTTCTCTTCGGTATCAGACTTTATGCTGGAATCGTCTGCCCCTTCCGATCGTTCTTCTGTTTTCGCTGCTTCGAGCCACTCTGAAGGTGTCAATGGTGAAGAAGGGGGTGATTCGTTGGGAACTTGGACGGGAGTGACGGATTTGGAGGATGAAGTTCGTGTCATATGCATCCCGGAGACAAAATTTTCGACGCCTTCTCCGTTGAATAGGAGATCCCCACCATAACAACTCAGTCTCGGATTGCTTGGGCTTCCAGGCCCCAATAAACGAGTGGCCTTTGCGGAGCCTCTACCGAAGTGGTTGAATGAAGAAAGAAGACCGGAGACTTGGTTTTGGTCTCCCGACCCCAAGTTATTCTCCACGCTTGCTGCGGTATCATCAGTATCTGAGCGATCACTCATGGTAATACTAGGCGGTCGTGTGGTAATCTCGTCAGCTGAACGTGGCCGACTCAAACGGGCGAATACCGATGGCGACGTGTCAAGTGCTGCGCGGCTTCCAACAAGTCTGTCCATGGGAAGACTAGCATTAGATCCGTTTCCAAATGCGGGGCGAAAAGTACTCATTGTATCGGGCGTTGGCGGCAAGTTACCTCCGAAGTCAGCTAGGTGTGGGTGACGAGGACTAGGATGGTGGTGACTTCGCCTGGATTTGCAATTTAGCTCAAATGGCTCGTCAAGACAGGTGACCGGAAGCTGCGAGCCTCTGGATATGTCTGAGAGTGCACGTGTTCGACGTCGATGATTGTTGTCGTTGTTGCTGGCGCTCTGAGAAGTATCCCCATCGAGTTGCATCCAATTACTTATACGATCAGATAGGTGACCGCTTGGATGATTACTCGACGAAGCAACAAGATCTGCTTCATCATTGTTGACAAGGTTCAATTGATCCAAGTGATCTGGTTGGCCAAAATCGGCACCTTTTGGGTGCATATCTTGTGGAGAAAAGTAGCTGCATTCGCTCAAAATGCTCAACCTAGGGGACTGGGGGTCTGCCATTGAATCGAGTGTAGTTGCCATAGTCGATGCGCTGACAGACCTGACAGATTTGTTCTCCTCGGCCATGAAAAGGCTGCGCAGGGCAGCTGTACTTCTGCTTTCTTCACGGAGGAACGAAGGTGACTTGCGTGGTCGACGAGCTGTTCCTTTTCTCGAAGAAGTCCGATCCGGTATATCAACGAATGCCTGGGCCTTCGGAGTGCATACTTCTGATTCGTCATCGGCAATAAAGGTCATGCTGTCTCGGGGCACCGGGGTGGTTGCGGAAGGAATCGAGGCAATGCGACCAGCTCGCAATTCCTCGACCTTTGACTCCAACTGACAAATCAACTCAACAGCCTCACTGATTGCCTGGTCTCTTCTATCCAGTTCTGACTGCAATTGTTCGTTGGCTTCTCGCAATCGCTGATTGTTTTCCTCAACTTCTCGTAGCTCGTCCAATTCATCCTCCAGATAATGCATTCGTTCCAACTCCTCTTCCATTGCATGCATACGCTCCATCTTCTTTTCTAGCGTGGCAATTTGTTGTGTGCGATGAAATATATCGAGTTTCAAGTCGAAGTTCAGCTTATTCATTTTGGACACATACTAATCACAGTCAGCGGCTGGCACTGGGGGAAGATATGACAAGGGATACACACTTGATCCATTTCACGAATGCCCATATCTCGCGGTTGTTTGAGGCCAGATGCCACGAGACTGTTAATTCGACGTTGTTTTTCTGAAGGACTGTTTTCGTGTGAGTGGGAGTGCGAATGAGAAGTTGGTGGCCTGTGGTCAATGTCATCTGACAGATGAGGTATTGTCTTTCGTGATCCTCGGGTTGCCCGTTGTTCTTTGATCAGACCCTGGAGTATTGTCGAGGTAGGGTTGACGAGCGTAGTGGAAGTATCTGTGCTGGCTGTTGCAAGGGGGGGGGGGAAAATTAGCAATGAAGAGGAAGAGCGTTCGAATTGAGGAGGCATACCAGAATCATGGTGGACCGGAGTGTGAGGTCGTGAATTCATTGTAGCGAATTGTGACTTTGCGATGTCTAAAACCCAGGGAATGCATTCATCAGCGCCGGGGAATGGAATGAGACTTTCCTTCTCATGTAAAACCTACCGTGGTTGACGTGCGGGGGGTTATTGCGAGATATCCTTCGAGACGTGGAACGACGAAGGGATGGCGGAGCATCAGGAGTACCTAAAGACAAGGCAAGTTATCAGAAACCGTGCGACGCATTCATGGCAAATAGACGAGTCTACGCACGTGAAGAAGAGAGCTTTCGAGAGGAGGTTCGCCTTGTTGGAGACACGCCGCCTGTGCGCAGCAAGATTGATGAAGGCGATGGAGAGGGCGACTGCGCAGCGGCTGACTTGCGTCTCTGATCGAGAAGGCTCATGTTGAGTGGCGGCTGCATGCTTTAAAGCGCTGTGTGGTGGACGGTAATGGGGAAGGCGGGACTCCCGTACTGGGAAAGACCCAGCACAGACTCGAGTCGGAGATTTTTGTAGCGCCCAGCTGCAGCAGATGGAGCACTATTGATTGGAAGATGCAGCGAGGGCCAAAGTGAAAGGTATTGAAGGCTCGACATCAAGGGGTAGCCGGTATGCGAGGGGGCGAGGGAGTGATGCTTAGATAGGCAGATATCGGTTCTCCGTTCGTTGTCTGCGAGGACTGCATTGAAGGGTAGTTCGAAGTATAACTTAACGAGCCCAATTGATTGCACGGCGGGGGTTCCGAATGCGATCGTAGACAGAAGCGAAGGACTATGGTTGGATAATGGTGGGAAAGTGGGAGAAAAAGCAAAAGTGATGTAGAGAGGGCGACACGAGTCCGCCATCAGGGGAAGAAATCAGCTTGAAGTCTGAAGGCTCTAAAAAGCGGCTGGTCTCCGCCAACGCGCTGTTATTGGTGCGCTGCTGTGATTGTAGCAATTTGCACACGCTGATTGGTGCGAGATAAACAGAGCGGTTGCATTAGTGGCTGGACTGGTGTGGCGGGTAGCCAATCGGAAGGGTGCCCGCAGTAGTGCCCCTTGCATTAAGCCCAATACGGAAGTGAACGGACCACCGTCCCTTCTTGGGCACCCGTCTGGACTCCGCCTCTACCGACACAGAGATACAAGTTCAGCACGTTGCTACACTAAAACTAACTACTATCATGGTATCATCAGACAAAACAGACTCTAAACGCCATCCATCGTGACAAAATAAGAGGAATACGCCCTACTTCGACTTCCTGGCTTCCCCTGCCCAGATGCGAACCTCTTTGGCGCTGTCGTGGGCTATGCGAAACACTAGGTCTGCGTCAGTTGAGATCATGGCATATCAGACTGGAAGACGTACATTGTCGTTCAGTCTCGTCTAGCCCTCTTAGAAACTCCACTCCTTCGCCTAAGGCGCCGCGCGAGTTGTGAGCGTGATCTGCGATTTCTGCCGCTCGCTTTCGAAATGTCTAAAGTCATTGATTGCCGTTAACGAACCCTTCCGTGACGACTCGATGCGCGACTTACATCGCTGAGAATGTCCGCCATTTCTTCTTCTTCGAAGAGTTCCAAGACTCTTATTCCCAGACTATAGAAATGCGGCGCAAGAGCCCGGAGGTCGACTGTGCGCGGGTTTGCTTTGAGGGCGTTCAGCACTCGCTCGGAGAGAGCGGATGGGAGATCAAGTGTCACGAGTCGAGACGTGCCCAATCGAGCCCTGTAGTCTGGTTAGGAAGAACGGGGCGTTCATGTCAATGTCTTTTATGCGGAGTTGAGGAAAGATACCCACCCAATGGAAAGCATTTCTCCGAGCCATAATGGCAAATCGACTTGTGTTCCTGTCTTGATCTGCGGGGCTTCAGCAATTGGCCTGGAAAGATGCGTTCCGAACAAAGACAGACACACACACATTTTCACCGGGGTTTCCTTCGAGGAACCCAAGGCCAGGCACCTCCAGTTCGAAGGTGCATGGGAGCTTCTACAAGGCGATGCAACTTCAGTTAGCTTGCAGGTCAATTGCCTTGCATTGACGGGGATGTACTTGGGCGTCGGTCAAGATAGCATCGATGTCGTAGTAGGACATGGTATGTATGAGTTGCGGAAGCAATTTTGTGATAATCAATTCGCCAAAAGGAACGCGTGGCTCAGATGTGACTTCGTGATCGTCACCGCCGCCGCTCTGATTGGCCCGAGAGCCATGTCACGTGCTTCTGAAACAGGTCTTGGATTTTTTCGGGCAAACGCGTAAAATTACGTAGGCAGATTTCACATTACGCACAGCACCGCCCGGCATCGCGGTACGGGGATTACCAGATCAATACCGTCCTGCATTCCACGATTCCACGAGCTGCCAGGCTGGGCAGCCAGACGCCAGATCGGGCATCCAGCGGACGAGAAAGAGATCTATAAACTAACTATCCTCCGCCGTAAACAAGCTTATCTACGCAGTAAAATTTCATAGGTACGATGCCATACTCGCCGTCATACAAGTCTAGACCGCAGAGCTCCACCGCAGCGAATTGTCTCAATTAAATCTGGGCTGGTATGACGTCCGCGCTCATTGGCCGGCCTTGTCGCTGTAGGACGAACTTAATAGAAGCCAGAACAAGGAATGTCACGGGGAGGATCCCTGGCACTGGCAATCCTTAATGTTATTATAATAATGCGACGCCTTCTCGCTCTTATCTTTCCGTCCCCTCTCTCCACCGAATCCATTCTTCCCTTTCATGGCTCTGCGTGGACTAGTCTGTCGCGATGGCTTACAATCCTGTCGCCCAAGCTGAGGATTCTCCTGTTGAGCCTCTTGCCTCCGCAGACGCAGCAGCACACGAGTCGCTCGCTTCGGCCCAACGAGGGCTAGGGAGTCTGATCAACAGCCTCCAGAGCAGCAAGACCGATTACGATGTGGTTGAAGACGACGACTACGATGACATTGCTGCGATAGTGCGCGACAACAAAACCAACGCACCTGCCACCTTTCACCGCGCGGAGATAGCACGCTCCACGTCGCCGGAGCCGCTAGTTCGAACCTCTAGTAATGTGTCTATCCCTTTACGGCACCCAACCCCTGATTTGCAATCGCTCCAGGGTGCGTATGTCGGAAACATCGAGAGGCTAGAAAAGAGCGCCGAGCGTCTCAGCATGACATCCTCCGACATAGGGGCCGAGCTCCGCAAGCTGGATCTAGAGCAAAAGCGCCGCTCGTCAGCCTCTTCTTCAGCACACCACGTCCCCGAATCGCCATCGCGCCAGATGTCCACCAGCTCCATGTCGAATTCGATCATTGCAGTGAACTCTGCCGCTCGCTCGGGAGGCTATTCCCCGGCCGGTTTCCTCTCCTCTCCGCGCGGGTCGATTCTTTCGGGCTCTCGTTTCCGCTCGACGTCCGTTACCTCCCCGTTACAAGACATTCATGAACCGAAACAAGAAGACGACGATATGGAAGCGGTGCCCATTGATGATAGAGATGTTCCTATTTTGACGCCAACTCCACTGCCACTTCATGGTCGCAAAGAGGAAATCAACCCTTTAGACACTCATCCGGCAGATGATGTAGGCCATGGAGTGCCGGACAGGCCGTTGACTGCCCACTCAACTGATACCTATCAGCAGGCGACAGACCTCTTTCTCGATTTCGACGGCGTGCATTTTGTCCCCCATCCAAAACAAACACCTCTTTCACGTCAACTCTCGTTGGACAAGCCCCCACGAGCGACAACTGCGGAGCATTACAAAGAGCCGCAGGCTGGCCAGGACTTGATTTACTATCCAGCCCCAATACCCAAATTGCTCAACCTCCCGCAACGCCTGTCGAAACAGCCCGCATCGACCAATGCTGAGAAACGTCGAACCCGGTTTATGGACTCCATTCCGGATAAGAAAGACATCAAGCTTGTTGGTGATGCCGCTGAGCAACGTGCCAACAAGAGACTGTCTACTCTTCCCCCGCAACTTCGGGCCAGTGTGTTTTTTGATCAGCCGACATCGAACATATCCTCTTTGGGGGTTCAAATGAAAGATCGGTCTGCCGTTTCTACGCTAGACAGTATTCTAGATGCCTCTACCCATGCTCCCGTCTCTGCGTTTACAGACCATCCGATTGTAGGTAGTGCTGGGGCTAATGTGTATGCTCCGGCAGAGGGTTTGGCTAAAAAGCGAGCTTCTCGGATGTCTCTGAAAAATAATGGTAAAGATGCTTACAAGACTGCTCCTGGCCCGCGTGAGAGTGCATTATTTGTCCCGGATGAAAGTGCGCATGGCCATAGTGCTTATTCTGACAACGAAGCTACGCAGCGGAATGCAGATGATGCCGACTGGGATGACCATCATTCTCACTCACACTCATCATCGGATGTCTCATCAGTTGATTCACATGGCAGCGAAGGAGACGTAGCTGATGACGACGAAGATGATGACGACGAAGAAAAGGAGGACTACGAAACTGAAGAACCAATGTTATTTGGCCGACCAACAACTCTTCTCGCAGAATTGCAAATGAGAAAGCAAGAGCAAAAACAACGGACCAGAACAGCCGCAAACGCTTTCCCGAACGGAATGCACTCGACCTTGTTAGAGCTCGATGCTGTTGCTCAAGCACAGAGTAATAAACGACGACAGAAGCATGTGACATTAGCATGGGAAGCCGAGGCCGTGCAAAATCCGGACGAAGGCGATGAGGATGAAGACATTCCGCTTGGTCTGCTGTATGGCCACAAAGACCCTGCTGCGGAAGAACGACCTTTGGGTCTCATGGAACGCCGCGAGATGGAAGAAAGTGAGCCTTTGAGTAAACGCCGAGCACGGCTACGTGGAGAGGCTGTCCCTTCAAACAAACGGTCCAGCACGATGACACAGCTGCAGTCGCTTGCGGCAGCGGAACCCGACAGTGGCGATGAGGGCGAGACTCTCGGTCAGCGACTGCGTCGTCTAAAGCAAGAGAAACGGGACAAGTCAAAGAGCATAGTATCTGCTGAATTCGAAAACGAAATCATGGCTGAACTGGGTAAATTGCACGAAGCGGCCGAACCTGTGGTGGAAACTCCAGGTCCGCAGAAGCCACTTGAGAAGGCTCCTGTAAATGAAGAGGAAGAGACCCTCGGTCAGCGTCGAAAACGTCTCCAAGCAGAAGCACAAGCACAGATGAGTCATGGGACAAGGAATGTGCGAGCCAGCAAAAGTATGGCAGATATTCTTCAGGCATATCCTTCTCATAATCCCGGCTTTCCTGCTTCGGGCTACTCCCACGATCGTCAGATGTCTTTGAACCCGGGCTCTATCCACACCCATCGATTGTCGACGGGGCACAGTGTACGACCGAGTATGAGCGTCCATGCTGGCCTTGCACAGGCGCCTGGCTACCCAACTATGCAGTACAATCCCTCGTACATACCCGGTGGCGTCAACGTCTACACGCCGCATCCACACAATGCAGCGATGATGCAGCAAAACATTGACCCCAGACAAAGAGATGTAATTGATCGGTGGCGACAGAGCGTCGTATGATATTGTTACAAAACTTCTGGGCCTACTCCTGTGATTTCTTCCCTGCGTTCGAGCGATTTGCATGAGCATATCCGGCGGTGTTCTCGAGAATTATTTGGCCTGTCCTATCCTGTCCTGTCCTGTTCTGTATACTTCCTACACCAAGTACGTAGCTAGTTCAATGAAGCATGTGCTGTTTTATTCGTATCGTGGGAAAATCGGTTTCCTCCTATGTCCCCCGGTCAATTTTGGGGCCGCAGTATCAGAGCCAGCGAGTCTGGACTGATCCATTTGGGGCGGATTCGCGCATCTTCCCTGTTTACGCTGTTTACCTAATGAGTATTGAGAATAGTTAGTTAACTTAATCTAAGGACACATTCCCTCGCCAATAGTGATTTGTTCTTGGCTTGCTGCTTACCATTGTATGCGTCTGTCGATGTGATATTAATATATACCTGCGGACTGTCTTGCTCAAGCTTCCGCAGCAGCTAGAGCCGTTTGCAGCTTAACAATCTGCAAAGTGCAACATCTCTATCCGCCGTGCTAGAACTTCTTCTTCGCTCTACATATACGCATACATATACATACATCCTTTCCGCTCTAATCACCGGTCGGTTTCGGGATATTCGGTTTCGTCCTGCGGCACTTTTCATTGCATCTTCAGCTGCCATCATTCTCAGCACGTGTTGGCCCACAAACAACAAATCAACATCGGCCTGCTTGCTTGCTTGTCCTGCCCGGCACTGAGCAGAGAAAGGCTTTGTCTTTATTTTCTTTTGATTTGCTGTTATTTATTTATATCTTCTGATTATCGTTTTGTTATATTTTTTGATCTGTCTGCTTCTTTCATGCGCTTGCGACTCAGGCGACTGCGACAATGACTGATTAACGCCATTCCCAACGGTGTGTCTGCAACAACGACAACGACAACGACAACAACCTGTAATAGCCGCAATCATGCCTCCGTCGACCGTGTTCTCATACTGGCGTCGCGACCATCGTCGAACAAGCCCTGCTCCTGGTTCGGCGTCTCCGATAGGAAGACCATATTCCCCGACCACATTTGCGGATGCCCCGCCCCGACTTCCAGGCCTGCCAGCAACGACGACGACAACAACAACAACATTCAGTGGAATGTTTATTGAATCGCCGCAAGACCATGTCGGCGCTTCACCTGCCCCTCCTCTTCCCTCTCAAAAGCAACAACAGCACCTCCAGGAGACAACTGGGGCAGATAAGCGCCTGTCTGCCGCTGCTCTGAGCTCGCAACACTCTTATAACAACCTCCGAGTGCCATCCGCGCCGACAGACAACCCCGTACGTCCACACTCAAGCCCGGGGAATACAGCTCAGCATGAGGAATTGTCCCCGGAATCAGCCCACTCTGGCCAGCCGCTCTCGCCCAATGGCCAACCGGACATGCATTCGCAAAAGCCAAATGGGTCATGGCGCTTGGGGTTTAATAGAAACAGCGCCCATTCGCTAGCCGAAGATCAAAAAGACACTCGTCCTAGCAAGGCTGCCGGGATAGACCTACGTATCAATACGAATGTGGAGGGCGGCGTTGGTTTTATCGGGGGTGTCTCGTTGAAGGAAATGAAAACAGAGAGTGTACCATTCGCTGGTCATCATGAGCAACAGGAACCTGCTACTCAACAACAACAACAACAACCCAAACATGGGAAGACTAAACGCCATCTTCTCAACCCCATGACATTATTAGCACGCCGAAGATCCTCTCAGATAGCGAGCTCGCGTCTTGACGAAGGAAGCATTGGATACGCAAATTTGGTGCCTGCGATCCCAGACGATTACGATCCTAGAATCCGTGGAAACATAGTCCATGACTTCTCCGCTCCGCGTCCGCGTCCGCAACTCTCTGGACGAGATAGCAGTATGGAGTCATCTAAAAAGAGCAGCGTGCCGTCCAGCGCAGTGACACGCCACAGCGAGCACTCGCCGGTCTTCAAGGAGCACTTTGAGGAAGACCGCAAGCCGCTGCAGGTAGAAAGTAAAGGGTTTTTACAGTCTTCTTTGTTGACCGACGCTGGCTCCACGGACCATGACCCTGCCGATCTTCCTGAATTTGCACGCAAGCTTCCATCCAGTTTGCCGGAGCTTGATGATAACCAGTCTACAGTTGAACAAAATGACGCGGCGGTGCTCGAGGCGCCGTTGCCTGCTTCTTCGATACAGCCAACTCCTCGATCAAGTCCGAAAAAGTCCATTGAGTCCGCCTCACAGCCGGCTTCCAGCATCCCCATGCGCCTAAAAAGTGATGCATCAAGATTCAGTTTCGACATGAACGGCGTGGGGTCTTCTGCTCAAGAAAAGCTGCTGGAAGAGAACTACAAGGAAAAAGAAGCGGCGCGCAGGGAGGAGGCGCGGCAAAATCGATCTAGTTTTAGTGACTATGATGACGATGACTTTGACTACGATGCGATGGAAGATGACGGTGGGTTTGAGGAGCGAATACCCGGCATTAATGCGGACGCAGAGGATATGGACGACCAATTTCAGGACTTTTCTGGGGTTGTGAGAACATCTGAACCGTCGTTTATTCCTATTCTGCCAACCATAGCTGCCAGTCCTATCAGTCCCTCGTATCCTGAGTCAGCCATGGTTGGTGCTGTTGGCAATGCACAGATCAATGTCAACAATGGGGGTGTTGTCTCCTCCAATCTAAGTCGTTCTTCTTCAACATATAGCAGACACGAGGATGTTCAGAAGGGGAGCGAGGCATTATCAGGACCTTATGCAGTGTTGGCAACCGAACAAACTGCTATCGGCACCTTGAATACGAACAATATCGACGAAACAAAGCTTCAATTGGAAGCAAGCGTCGAAGAAAATAATGCACACAACCTTGATGATTATGATGACGATGATATGTATTTCGATGATGGGGAATTCGGCGACTTGCCCGAGAACGAAAACAATGCGACATTTGATGAGTCCATTTTTGATAACGACAACGGACAGTTATATGAACGCAAGTTCTATCCAGGGACCAAGATTCCGGTCAAATTGCAAGGAGGAGAAGAAGAAGAAGGAAAGGAAGACGTACCTGTGCAAAGATTGGAATCAGGACCTAGTACGCAGTCTCAAGTTAGACATGTCCCCAGCTTGGTGAGCGAGTTTCGCCCAGAGTCCTGGGATTTTGGCAACCAGATCGCTTCGAAATTGTCTAGCAGTGAAGTAACAAAGGTCCCTGGTGGTGTGCTATCCGAGCACAATTTGGAGGCCTTTCATAGTGCCCTAGCTCGAGTGGCTGACGAGGCTGCTGCTGCTGGCAATCTTCAACGGAACACCAGTCTAAGTGAGACTTCATTGGGCCAGGGGAGCAATTCCCAACTCATAGAGTCACATCCAGGTCTCATCTCCGACGACAACAGATTAAGCCAGGCTACAGGGTTCGAAGATGTCTTGGACGATTTCAACTACGATGATGACGACGGGTTCGATGACGATCTCATAATCGCAGAGGCCAATGCAGATGCCCTAGAGAATGACGACGAAGGGTTCTACGGCCAGGAATTCGGATTCTATGCACAATCCAGTGAGAACTGTAACGATGAGCCGATCTACGGCGGTTATTTCGGCACTCAGGGTCCAGGAAGCCTCAATCGTAGCCACAGTGGCGGGGCCAATTTCCGCGAACCAAGTCTAACTCCCATCACTGAGCGCAGCGAATGGAGCACGCGCAATTCGATCATCTCTCTGACAGCGCTTGGCCCAGCTGCGGTGCAGCCCAATCCCTTGGCAAACCCTGGTCTATCTCAATTGGTCGACATGGAATACAACGACGAAGACATGTCGTTGGGCGCTCTCTTGAAGCTGCGCCGCGGAGCCTTTGGTGGTAGTAATGGCAGTCTTCGCAGCAGCACAGGCAGCTTATCTCCTCAACCTGCTCCAGTGGGGACGTCGAATCGAGCCAGTTTCCTCAGTATTCCCGAGGATAGCCCCGTGGAGTTGAATTCGAACAACACAGAGCTTGGCTTCCAACTGCCCGAACCCAGCCGTCGTCTGAGTCACAACCAGTCCTCGTCGCCTCTGTCCGATAGGAATAGTCTCCCCGGAAGCCCAACCATGACTCTTGACTGGTTGACTGGTGGTGAGACGCGCAGCTCTGTCGGTGATGGCGAAAGGCGCCAAGAACCTCAAGTCTTCGCACAGCAGAGCGAGCAGCCCTGCTAGTATTGGTTAAAAACAACAGCAAGAAGAAGAAGAAGGATCGACTAAATGCTCCCTAGAGCGACGTGCGAGAGGAAACGGCGGCGAAACGGAAGTTTACAAGGGTTTCGATCTACCTACCTATTACATTTACAACCGACGTGCTACGAATCTACGAATAGACGATATTTATGCGTGCATACCCGCAATCTTCTGGGGAGGGATCTTGGAACACCTACTAATTACTTTTTGGTTTCCTTGCATGTTTGGCTTCATGGCGGTCTTTTTTCTTTGTATCACAGTTGTGTATATACTATATAATACTAATAAATACCTGGATCGATGTACATGTTAGATGCAAGATTTCCGTGCCCGGCTATGTATGTATAGATAGCTATAGCCTGGCTTTCAATTCCAGTTTGTCGTAGCAGGGCCTAGGACGAGCATCTGAAAATTTGTACGGAGATTTTTTTCAGATGCAGGCTAATGTAGTGCAAGCAGGGGAATACAAGCAGAAAAAGGCGCATATTGAAAAATGGCTCGTACATCGTTCCCGGCTCGACGGCAAGGACGGGTATCCCTGCCGCGTCCCTATAGGAATAGCCGAAAAGTCAGACACAACTCTAACTACATCATCCTTTCCCGTCCGGATCAATCCGACTCCTCGTCCTCCACCTTCTCCCTCGAGCAACGATCTCGGAGATTCTCTCTGCGATACCAAACCACTGTTCTTTGTTGCGTGGACTGAGCCTCCCTCCAGTCCTCGAAACCCCTCTCCACTCTGTTCCGCTGAGTCCTGCGTGTCCGTTCGTGTACATGCCTTCGCGGCTGCAGTAAACAGCTTTTTTGTGCCTTCCTTTTTCTCTTTTCCCTTTCTTCTTCGTGCGAGCTTCAACAATATGCTTAGAGCTCTAGCTTCGAAGAAAGCGACGAGCGCCAGCCTGCTGCGTGGCAGCAGCTCTGCGTGCTCCGCCTGTCGCCGCTCTCACTTCCTGGCGACCTCGTCCCGACCCAACGTGCAATTGACCACGCGAAGGCCGCTGGCTGTCCTTGACCGTGTCGCTGGACGAAGAGAATATGCACAGAGCGCGGAGGAAACCTCTCGAGGAGTGGTAAGCAAGCAGTCTCTTATTTTTGCGTGGTAGAGAGGACACATTTCAGGAGTGGCAAAAATTTTGATGTTTGAATTGGGGAGGGGGGCTCTTTTGCCTTTCCCCTTACTTTTTTGAAGGGAAATGGATGTCGGAAAATTGGATTTTATCGAAGCTAACGTCTATTCTCGCGGGCGCAATAAATTGCGCTTTTTCGCGAGTTGGCTCGATGTATAGGACCCCAATGATTCCTTCCTCCAAGGCAATACCGCCAACTACATCGACGAGATGTACCTCGCATGGCGCGAGGACCCCTCCAGTGTGCATATTTCCTGGCAGACCTACTTCAAGAATATGGAGGATGGGAATATGCCAATCTCGCAGGCCTTCCAGCCCCCGCCTACCATCGTTCCCACTCCCGTCGGAGGTGTGCCTCAGCACATGCCTACCGCAGGCCATGATTTGACGAACCATCTCAAGGTGCAACTTCTTGTCCGCGCTTACCAGGCTCGTGGCCACCACAAGGCCAAGATTGATCCTCTAGGAATCCGTGGCGAGGCAGAGGCTTTCGGCTACAACAAACCCAAGGAGTTGGAGCTCGACCATTACGGATTTACCGAGAAGGATCTTGACCAAGAATTCACCTTGGGACCCGGTATTTTGCCTCGCTTCGAAACCGAGTCCCGCAAGAAGATGACTCTGCGAGAAATCATTGCTAGCTGCGAAAAGATTTACTGCGGTTCCTACGGTGTCGAGTACATTCATATCCCAGACCGTAAGCCTTGTGACTGGATCCGCGATCGCTTCGAGATTCCTCAACCATACAAGTACTCCGTTGATGAGAAACGCCGTATTTTGGACCGTTTGATTTGGAGTTCCAGTTTCGAATCCTTTTTGGCTACGAAATTCCCCAACGACAAGCGTTTCGGTCTTGAGGGATGCGAAACCCTGGTTCCTGGTATGAAGGCTCTCATTGATCGCAGTGTCGACTATGGTGTCAAGGATATTGTTATTGGAATGCCTCATCGTGGTCGTTTGAACGTGTTGTCCAACGTCGTCCGCAAACCCAACGAATCCATCTTCAGTGAATTTGCTGGTTCTGCTGAGCCTGAAGACGAGGGCTCTGGAGACGTGAAATACCATCTCGGCATGAACTTTGAACGCCCTACTCCCTCCGGAAAACGCGTTCAATTGTCTCTGGTCGCTAACCCGTCCCATTTGGAAGCTGAAGACCCCGTTGTCCTAGGTAAGACTCGTGCCATTCAACATTACAACGGAGACGAGAAGGATTTCAACACCGCCATGGGAGTTCTGCTGCACGGTGATGCCGCCTTTGCTGCTCAGGGTATTGTCTACGAGACGATGGGTTTCCACTCTCTCCCTGCCTACTCGACCGGTGGTACTGTCCACATTGTTGTTAACAACCAGATTGGTTTCACGACCGACCCTCGATTTGCTCGTTCTACTCCTTACTGCTCTGACATCGCCAAGGCTATTGATGCTCCCGTCTTCCATGTTAACGCCGACGACGTGGAAGCTCTCAACTACGTCTGCCAGGCGGCCGCCGACTGGCGAGCTGAGTTCAAGCGTGACGTTGTTATTGATATCGTCTGCTACCGTAAGCAAGGTCACAACGAGACCGACCAGCCATCTTTCACCCAGCCTCTGATGTACAAGCGCATCGCCGAGAAAAAGAGCCAGCTCGAAACATATGTTAGCAAGCTCATTTCCGAGGGAACTTTCAGCAAGGAAGACATCGATGAGCACAAGAAATGGGTTTGGGGTATGTTGAACGACAGCTTCGACCGCAGCAAGGACTACCAACCCACTGGTAAAGAATGGTTGACCTCCGCATGGAACGGCTTCAAGAGCCCCAAGGAGCTTGCCACTGAGGTCTTGCCTCATCTGCCAACCGGTGTTGATGTAGAGACTTTGAGGTCAATTGGTGACAAGATCAGCGGAGCACCCGATGGATTTACTGTTCACCGCAACCTTAAGCGCATTTTGGGAACCAGGAAGAAGGCTGTTGATGAAGGTCAAAACATCGACTGGGCTACTGCAGAGGCCCTCGCTTTCGGTACATTGGTGAAGGAAGGCCACCACGTTCGTGTATCCGGACAGGACGTTGAACGTGGTACTTTCTCTCAACGTCACGCTGTTCTGCACGACCAGGAGAACGAGGGTACCTATACCCCTTTGCAACACATTAGCGAAGACCAGGGTACATTCGTCATCTCTAACTCGTCACTGAGCGAGTTCGGTGTGTAAGTAGTAACCTCCTCTTATTTCCCTCTTTCATGTTGATGCTGACGGGGTTCATTTTTGCAGCCTCGGTTTTGAATACGGTTACTCTCTGACTTCCCCTAACGCCCTTGTTATGTGGGAAGCCCAGTTCGGTGACTTCGCCAACAACGCCCAGTGCATCATAGATCAGTTCATTGCTTCCGGTGAAGTTAAGTGGTTGCAACGTTCGGGCTTGGTTATCTCGCTGCCTCACGGTTACGACGGCCAAGGCCCAGAGCACTCTTCCGGTCGTATGGAGCGTTGGTTGCAATTGTCCAATGAAGAACCTCGTGTCTTCCCATCTCCAGACAAGCTGGACCGTCAACACCAGGATTGCAACATGCAGATTGTCTGCATGACTTCCCCATCCAACTTGTTCCACATTCTGCGTCGTCAAATCAACCGTCAATTCCGTAAACGTGAGTTTCAGTTCCCACATAGTACAATTTGTGTTTCCAGCTAATAAAAGAAAATTTATACAGCACTTGTTATCTTCTTCTCGAAATCTCTCTTGCGTCATCCTATCGCTCGTTCTGAAATTGAGGAATTCACTGGTGACTCTCACTTCCGATGGATCATTCCAGACCCAGCGCACGGTACCTCAATTGATGAGCCGGAGAAGATTGAGCGTGTTATCATGTGTTCTGGCCAGGTATACGCTGCTCTTACCAAGTACCGTGAGAGCCATGGTATCCGCAACACTGCTATCACTCGTATTGAACAACTCAACCCCTTCCCATGGGCACAACTGAAGGAGAACCTCGACAGCTACCCTAATGCTAAGGACATCGTCTGGGCCCAGGAAGAGCCCCTCAACGCCGGTGCCTGGAGCTTTGTCCAGCCCCGTATTGAGACTTTGCTCAATGCCACAGAGCACCACAACCGACGCCATGTGCTTTATGCTGGTCGTTCCCCAAGTGCCTCCGTTGCCACGGGCCTCAAGGCTAGCCACGTTAAGGAGGAGCAAGAATTCCTGTCTGACGCTTTTAACGTGCACCAGGAGCACCTAAAGGGGGAGTAAACGTTGTTAATTGATTAGATGTCTTTGGAAGACAATAATTTTCGGAGCCCGGTCTATCTATGAAAAATTTCGGACCAGTACTGGTCCGTGGTATATCATATTCCTATGTAAAACTCTTTTCTTGTGTGATTTCCTTTGTTTTGAAGCATACCTTATTTCTATTTTTGTGATAGCAATGTATCTTTATTATTGGCTACTTATTGTTAATCCTTCTCTTGGAGTCATGTCCACTACTCTGTACGCATTGGAAGTAGATATTAACCTTACTCTAAGCTCTGTAGATTCTCCATGTACGTATTCCAAATCCATTACGATTGCTATCTTAATTAGCTTCACACAGGACACCTCATTTTCTTGACCTACAAACCATCCTTCGAGCCAGGGCAGTTTCTGTATCACTATTCAGATTCTATGGCCAGACGGTACATTTGTGCTACAGAACCTCTTCAGATTTAATAGAACAGGATCGTGTATTTAGAAGGATTAATCAAATCTACCCCGGGTTCTGTAATAATATACGTTTTAAGAAAAATTAAAATTCTCGAAGAGAAATCCGATATCATATTATTTTCCTAATGGGGTTACGCCCGGAGTGGAGGTTAATCGCCGGTACCGCCTTCCTATTCGGACTTGATGGTTGTTACCTTCTTTTCTCTCGCCCTCGCGACGTCTTCTGACACAACTCGAGTATCGGTTTTCTGTTTAGTCACTTGGGATTATTCCTGGGCTTCTGGATCTGCGAGTACTTCCCAGTGTCTTGATTGTCTCCCATTTGATGTCTCTTTCTTTCCAATAGTTTGTCTCACTTCCAACTCTACAAGCAGCAGCTTGCTCAGCGGCATGGCTTCAGCTGCCACCAACGGCGCGAACGCTGTATCCCAGGCTTCGGGGAGTCGTAATGCTGTCCGACAGACACGTACAAATCCTTCTCGTGTTTCGAAGACCGCTGCTCGCTCGTTTCCTTACTACGGTCAACAGTCCGCTAGCGATGCCCCTCAGGCGGCCAATGTGCCGCATGGACTCTACCCAGCTCTGACCCATTTTACCGATGCCATTACAGCGCTCCCACGAGAGTTTCGTCGTCACAATTCGCTTTTGAAGGAAGTGGATGCGAAGGCGTGGGCATTGGAGGATAATCTACATCAGCTGCTCCTAACCGCGTCGGATTCGCGGCCTGTGCCTTACCCTCCAAATCCAGCACCGATCGTGGACGGCGTGGTGAGAGACTATGGAGTAAGTTATTATTTCAAAACGAACCCTAATAAATCTTTTCCTTTTTACTTGAACGGTCGTTTGAAATCTATAAATTCAGCGAACCACTGACATAACCTTCGTTGGCCAGAATGATCCGCAAAATGCCGAGTCGCAAGAGAGCAAGCATCGCCGGCAGCTTTTCGACCGCATTAGACGCACCCTATCCGATTTGATGTTGACAGCCGACGAAAAAAATCACGTGTTGACAAACGCGAACGAAGAGCTTGACCACCAGTTATATCGCCTGAACTCCATCTACCCATACATTTCAACAGAAGTCAGCGAGGAAGCAAGACTGGGTAGTCTCACTCATTGGGCCTACTCAAATCGGGCTGCCGCCAAAGCTGCCGCCAAGACTACGACGAACGAACGTCCTCGTCGTGAAGCTGCATCTGCTACCTCGCATTTGGTCCAGGCTCTACAAGAGGCGGACGCAGCTGCTCACCGAAGCGAGGTTCGACGTGAAGCAAATCGCAGGCAACGTCGCGGCCATGCCGACTCAGACTTTGATGAAACACGTACCACAACTCATCGCAAGGGTGGTGCTGCGAGATCCCGTGCAGTTGCTGGCGATAGTGCGGACTCGGGCGCTGCTACTGTTTCTGTAACGAAACGGAGGAAAGTGGAAAAACCGGCTTCCATACAGACAGGCAGTGCTGCGATGGAACGTTCTGCTAGTGGAATAACAAATAACGGGCGTACGACGTCAAAGGATAGTGCCGGCGCCGAGGTTAAGAAGAGAACCCGCGCACCAAATGCTGTTTCCGCTGCTGGTCGCAAGAGGTACGTTCTATACACGCTCATTATACAGCACGTTAGTGGATTGACTGATACTAATACTCATGCGCGACTGTCTAGGAACAACACAATGACGTCAAATGTAGAACCTCCCTCGGTGTCATCACCACCAATTGTTGGCACATTCAACCCCCCTAGGAGTGCTCCAAGCCCAGGGCCCAGACCACAATCTTCACGAGCTCAACAACCTGCCACTCAGGCGAATTCCCGCCAGCGTCCGCCTTCGTCTTCTAATCGTGTAAATAACAGCAGTACGTTACCTGGACCTGGAGATATCCCGCTCGGTGTCACCTCTAACCAGACGTCAGTTGCAGATAAAGCAGTGGACTCCAAGGTGTTTAATACCCCGACAGAGGACTCCAACCTCAAAGAAAGGACCCCCCAAACTCTTCCCGGAGATGCCCGGCCACTGGATACCAAGAAGGACAGTTCGGACACCAAGTCAAACCTACTGGTTGACAAGGACGAGAGACCCGAGGTGAAGGCAATCGATACAACACACGCTACCGAGCAGATGTCCCCTGCTCTTTCTACTATTGGGCCGGCCAAGGGACGGTCTTCAAAGACATCTACGCCTGTGATGTCTACATTCGCAGAGGCACAGACTCGGGTACGATCTTCGCGGAACAATCCAGAAGCCGCCACAAAGCGTAGCCATAAGAAGAGCGGCAGCGTGTCAACGGCCTACAAGCCCAAGATTGCTGTTCGAGAGGAGGAAGAGTCTTCTCGCGAGGGCGACGATGAAGACGACGAGAGCGAGCCTCGTTACTGTTATTGCAACCAGGTTAGTTTCGGGGAGATGGTTGCTTGCGATAATGACGCTTGTCCAACGGAATGGTTCCATTTGTCGTGCGTAGGATTAAGCAAGCCGCCTGGGAGAAATGGTAAGTTGTTTCCTTTCCTCGAAGAGCAAACATATCTCCCTGCAGAGGCTGATTATTGGAGTTAGTGAAATGGTACTGCTCCGAGTGCAAGGAGAGCATGAAGCGCGGGCGCATATCAGCGCGATGAAAGGGGTCCATCGCGCTTGGGATCGAAGTGTATCGATAGTTGTATTGAATCAGTTTTAGTTCTTGGTACCTTGGTAGTCGAGCAACGAGTTCAATCGAATCAGCCACTTCACCGCCTTCCCCGTAGTTGGCTAACCAGAGGATATACTAAGTTATATATTATTGCTGCGTCAGCTGACGGGCGGTCACGAGACGCGCTTACCCCAGAAGTCTTACCTAACAGCGACTGCCGCCATTCGCCGCCCATTACGTCGTGCTCCATCTCTGCTTATCACTGCTGCTTAATCAAATTATTGTTCACATCCATGTACGACTGATGCAATTTGTCGCCAGCGTTTCCATTATGTCACGGAAAGCATTGCACCATTCTGTCGAAGGAGGTGGCCGAATGCAGAACAACGGTTGGCTGTTTGTTGGGCGTCGCCTCCTCCTGGCGTCTCCCAAGCTGCTGGGATCAGAATTCGCCTCCTGGGCCCCGTCTCCGGGTCGCGCGGCGCAAGTAAAGTTTCTATACAGAACCCGAATAAAATTTTTATTTTTATTTCTATTTTTCTCTTGAATCTTCCGTTGAGTCACCCCTACAGAGTCATGTGCTCTCGAGACATCGTGGTTTTACCTGCTGGAAGAAACATAGTCTGACTGCTTATTTGGGTCCGACGGAAGCCGCCCACTCGCTGGAACTCTCTCGAGCTTCTGGCACCATACAAGACGAATCTGTGACTAACATCATCTCGCCGGCTGCAACTAACCTCCTCACGCCCCCTCTTCGCAATTTGCTTGTGCTCGAACGCGTCGATTCTGCAATAATCCGGGGTACCTGCCGCTGCTCTGATTGGCCTGTGGCGCTTGGTTGCTGCGTGTATAAAGAAAACGGATGGTCCCGTCAAGTCTCGCTGGCAAGATGGAGCCAGTCAGACCCCCCCGGGACAAGACCTTCCCTTCCAAAGCCAGAGACGAGTCCGAGTCACCTTCAAGATCCCACTCCAGATCTAGTAGCCTCCGACGTGCGTCCTTTGGCTCTGTCAAGGAAGACGTTGACGGCATCGCACAGAGCTTTCTGGATACCAAGCTGTCGGAGGATCGGTCGTCAGACCACAGCAGCGCCGTCAACATGGCTGCCGCAGTTGACCACCTGCCCGAATTTTGCTGCCCCTGCGGAGGCTTCATGGGCTGGAAGCAGATCCGTTTGCGAGGACGGAAGATGAGCAAGAGCTATGGCGATCTGCGGCTTTTGGGTCATAGGAGCTCTTCAACTGCTTGGGCCTGGGACACCCCAATCAAACGTCCGATCATTCAAGAGGTGCTCGTAGAGCCGGAGCAGATACAGCCTCGCCTAAGCATCGAAGATCTGCCCGTTGAAGTGCTTGGTAAGTAGTTTTGCTTACTTTTGTTTTGTTTACGTTTACGTCTAACAGCTATATTCTGACGTACCTGTCTCTCACAGTGCAAATCATATCTTACTTGGCCGTTGAACTTCCGCCAAACGGCTATACCCCTCGCAATGTTGACCTGGTCTCTTGTCTGTTGACATCTCGTACCCTCCACTCGGCAACCTTGAGCGTGCTCTATCGCAACATCACTATCCCCCACTCGGTGATTTTTTCCAAATTATTGAAGCACATCGTTCAATTTCCGGCCCTGGGGACCATTGTTCGTCGCCTGGATTTCTCCCACTTTACCTCTGTGGGCCTTGGCCGTACTCGACAGATGAATGCCGAAATCCAGAACCTGACTACCAAAACACTTATGCAATGCTTGGATTTGCTTCCTAATTTGATGGAGTGTCTGTTCCAGGAACACTTGGAGACTGATATCGATGCTGCAGTTGTCCGGAAGATATTTGCCGACCTCCCCAAATTGCGGGCTGTAGACTTCTGCGGCTGCTCTTCACAAGCTTTCTCGACGGGGTTCTTGGAAGCTTTTACTGCCACTTCTGATATTCCCAACTATTTGACGCAATTGAAAAGGCTATCCTTGCACGAATGTAGTGGGTTGTCTTCTGCAGTTTTCGAAAAGCTACTCCCACGATTGATCAACCTGACCCATCTAGACCTTGGGCGAACGCAGATTACGGAGACAGCTTTGCTTTCCTTGCCAGACACTGCTCGGCTGACCCATCTGAATCTCTCAAAGTGCTTGCGGCTATCCGGTCAACAGGTTGTCGGGTTTTTGAAAACTCATCCTGCCGTTAACGAGTCGTTGGTTTACCTTAATTTGATGACCGATCCATCTCGCTATCGTCTTCTTGAAGCAGAGGATGTGACTGCGCTGCTACCGAAGCTGCCGTCGACTCTCCGGTCTCTGAATTTGAATGGCGCACGGATTACTTCGGAGCATGCGCCGCTTCTTCTTCCGTTAACTAAACATCTGGAAGAGCTCGGGCTTAGTGGAGCAGAGTTATCTGCCAGTGATCTAAACTCGTTTTTTGTTCCTCCAAGCTCCTCAGAGGCTGCAAAGTTGTGGCAGCCACCGTCTCTTCACTACGTCGACTTGAGCAAAGTGCCATCCATTTCTTTGTCGACACTTTTTAACCCTAGGGTTTGTGTGCTCGTCTCTTCACAGAGTATGCCACTAGAAGTGATTGAATTAAGCGATAAACTAATCACTCCTCTCCGCGACCGCACGAAATCTGCAAAATCAAATGGGTGGTCACTTCGAGAGCTTGGTCGTAGAGGCTGGTATGTCAGAGAGCCGACCAGAATCGATACGCTGGCCATCGACGATGGGTCACGTTGGTGGAAGATGGGAGCTCGCTGGTGGGGAATGAGGAAAATTCCTGTCACTGTTGGCGAAGTTGGAGGCATTTATGGTCACTACATGTTCAAGAAGTGAGCGACCTGAGTCTTCTTGTGCGACCTTTCCCGTGTATTTGCATGCATTTGAAGCGGGCGAGGAATTGATATCATTTTGAGCAATTTACAAGCTTTGGACGACTAAACGACTGCGTGATTCGACTTTGATGCATGGCTTGCAGCGGCTTTTTTTTCATTACGGGTTTTGCACTTTGTTTGCTTACTATTTATCTGCTTGATGAGCGTTTTGATTGACATTCAAAAGTACTTTGCTTATATGGCTAGCTATAATTTTTTGTGTAGTTGATTGTTTGTAGCATCAGTTTCATTAATTTGAATTCAATTCACTATATTATTCAACAAGTCCATAGATTCTGTCTTCTTGTAGACCTAGCTCTAGTCCACGTGACCTGACAGCTCCGAGCGGCGGCGGGCACTCTTTTAGTGAGGCTTTGCCGATCATATTCAAGCTCTCTATTCCTTTTTATCAACTTCAGACGCCCTGTTCCTGCTAATCTCTCCACCACGCCACAAAAAACCGCACGGCGAATCCTTCCGGTCATCATCTATCTCGCCACGTACACACTTTAGATATATATCTCCCGATGGAAGGTGGTGGCGGTGGGGGACGTAGTGTTGCTATATATCCGGTTTCCGTACCGTGAAAGATTGTTTCGAGATGGCAGCTCCCTCTGGATCGGCTTTGTTCAAAAAGAAAGATGGCATTCTCACAGTTTCAAAAGACCACAAGTCGATATCATGGATTCCAGCGGCTGGGGGTGCTGGAGGTGCGGTCACGGTGGCTGTCCAGAACATGACCAGTATGTTGTTGGGAAGAAAGTTTGGTGAAATAAAAAAAAGAAAAATAGTACTAATCTGACATATTAGACCTACAGCAGACCCCCGCAAGTAATCCAAAGGTTATGCTGAAGATTTTTGCACAGCAGAATGATACACAGGAACAATACGTTTTCACTTTTACGTCTGCCACCAACGCCCGTGCCGAAGCCGATGCCATCAAAGATGTTCTCAGCGCAGCAATCACGGCGGCCAAGGCTGCTTCTGCTCCGGCGCCGGCTGCGGGTGCCCCGAGTGGTGAAGGACTTTCTGCTGCGATGGCCATGGCGAACGCGATTTCATCTCCTGGGACGGGTCCATCTGCATGGGATAATGATGACAAGTTGAAGGCAAATGCCGAGTTACAACAGTCCCTTCTCAAGTCCGATGCAAATCTGCAGCGAATGTTTATGGAGTCTCTCCGTACACGGCCGGAAACCCTGTCTGTCAGCCAATTTGCGTCTCAGTTTTGGTCGAGCCGAGTCCATCTGCTAAGGGCACATGCAATAGAGAGAACGCAGACGCGCGGCTCGTATAATGTCCTGTCATCCTTGAAACCGCGTACAGACAACAACGTCACGAAACTCAACATCACAAAGGAGCAGATTCAATTGATTTTCACTCAACACCCGCTAGTGAAGAAAGTTTACGATGAGAATGTGCCCAAGTTGAGTGAGCAACAGTTCTGGTCACGGTTCTTCCAGAGCCGTCTGTTCAAGAAACTGCGAGGAGAACGCATATCAGAGTCCGACGCTACGGATGCTATTTTGGATAAGTATCTCAAAGTCGACGAACATGCCGACCGGGTCAGCAACGCTCAGGTGCCTCATTTTATCGACCTTGCTGGGAACGAGGTCAACCACAGTCAACGACAGGGAAATCGCCCAGATTTTGACATGCGACCTGCTTCTATTGAGAAGGTCCCTATAATCCGCACCCTGAACGCGCTTAGTGAGAAGATCATGGCCAACGTAGCCCCGGCTGACGGTGACCCTTCTGCGCCGATTGGAATGGATGAAGAAACATACAACCAATTGCTATTACGGGATCTCAAGGGTGAGGAAGAACAGAGCCGTATATATCTTAATATTCGTGACCAGAGTCGGTTTTTTAGTCGGGATAAAGAAAAGGATGGCAAAGAGAAGGAGGCAGTTGCACAACGTGATCCAAAAGAGATCATTGTCTCTCTACAGACAGATCTGAATCAAACGTTCCCCGTTGACGGTTCGTATCATCTTGGGAAGATAGTTGAGCCAGAAGAAGAGGATGACGAGGAAGAAGACGAGAACAAAGCAAGGCAGGTGGTGGGATCAAAAATCAACATGCAGCGAGCCTCGACTGAAATCTTTGACGTTATTCGGGAACGAAGAGCGCAAGCAGATGTTACCTCGGACTCGGGCACTTGGGGTTTATCATCTACATTATTTGACCGTCTGTCCTTGACGCATGCAACATCTACGGAATTCTTGAACCAATTCTGGAACGCCTTCCTATCGGGGAATCCAGACCGCGCCGGCGAGCTTGCGTCCTTGGTTGAGTCATTGAACCGGGCAATAGAACGTATCAAGGCCGTGGCAGCTGATGCGGAAGCCGAGAGAGAGCGCGAAACCAACAAGCTCAAGCAGCATGCTCGTGAAGTATTCGCCGCAACGGGGAAGAAGATTCGCATTAATCTCGCCGGGGTTGGCGGTGGTGAAAAGGTGGTCAACCAGTTGCTCGGCCCTACTATATCGGCTTTGAGTGTGGCTATCGATAAGTACAAGCAGGCGCTCGCTGAAGCGACAGCTGCTGACGCCCTTGCTCGGCCGTCGGCTTGAGACTTGAGACTTGAGACTTCAAGTATCAGAGCTGCCTTGAATGCCTGAACACCTTAGCGGCTCTAGGCGATATCATTATGACGATCCAGAGGAGGGAATGAGTGTATTATATTTCAATTTAGGCAGGGAAGGCAACTCTTTATCAATATTGATAGACAAACACATAAAGCTTTCTTAATCAGCTAGCCCTCGTCTTGAACTAGTCATAGCTACTGACTACAAAGAAGAAGAAAAAAGAAAATCCCGGGAATCGCACCCAGAACTCAACGCCCGTCGAACGGGACCTGGCAAAACCAAGCTGGCTCATTCCATTGGTGCATTGAACATGTGGACAAAGGGGTGTGTAAGGAAGTGGATCTTACGGGTGAGAAAGGACAGCAAATGGATGTAAAAAGGAATAGAAAAAGGAGCAGGATGGTGATGCTGATGTCGTTCAGGGCTTTGCTTGTTTATACTCCAGTGCGGCTCTAATGAGGGGGCCTTAGGGCCTTAGGCATCAGTATTAGTCATGAATCACATGATTTCAATATACCTACAAGAAAGGGGCAAAATCTCGGAGACTGTTGACAGAAATCATATATAGTAAGTATGTACGTAGTATAAACAAAGTGTATGTTTATATGGCATCCATGACCGGCTTGTGTTGAGGCTAGCTATGTGCTCTATCAGTACAGACATGACTCGCCGTGCCGATTGGCAACCGGAAGACTTCAGTGGAGAAACACTTGTGCCAGTACCTACCTATCACTTCTAACCAGCATCAACCATCATACAGCACGGAAGATGTATATGGTCACCGGCGTTTGAACAATTACCGAGTTCTAGATTGCTAGATTGCCAGTCAGAACTAAAGCGTGCTCATGCTCATGGAGCTACCTGCTCGCGAATCTTAGCGCCACGTCGACATCATCGATTGACCATTCCCTCGAACAGCACCCAGCAAACAAACCCATTGAATTCTCTTGGAAGTAAAAAAATAATAACCATGTTATCATCCGGCTTTGCCAACGCCTCCGTCTCCAAATACCTCGTCATCTACATCGTTGCATCGTCAATCGCGTTGTCGATCTTCGATGTCAAGCATCTTGCCAACATCATCGTGGACCTCCACTTATGGAAATATGGCCAGGTATCGAGAATATTCACCTGGCAAGTAGCCGGGTATGCCAACTCGACCGAGGTCTTGTTCGCGGCAATGATGGCGTATCACTTGCGAGTCGTGGAGCGGATTTGGGGATCTAGGAAGATGGCCGTAAGTGTTCTCCCCTACATCTGGGATGATGATGATAAGAAGGAGACTGACTAACGGGTTAATATTGGTAGACCTTCCTTGTGACAGTCCTGCCCTACACGACTATTATCACACCTCTTGTTCTTGCCCTCGTGCTACGACCGCTTTCGTTCGGTACACTGAATTATCTACCGTCCGGGCCGACTGCGATTATATTCGCGCTGCTAGCACAATACCACGCCGCGATTCCCCATACATTTAAATACCGTATCTCTACATATGGTGGAAGCACAAGCCGTCGGAACACCGCATCGACGAACGAGGGCAGCAGCAGCAGCAGCAACAACGACAACACTAAACCCTCTTTAACGATACTGCTCTCTGACAAATCGACAACATACCTTGTTGCCGCGCAGCTGGCGCTCTCGCAATTCCCGGCGTCACTTCTGCCCGCCTTTGTTGGCTGGGCTGTTGGAATTGCGTGGAGAGCGGAGATCCTGCCGGCGTCTCGGAGTACGGGGAGAGGCTGGAGGGTTCCAGCCTGGGTAGTTGGGGAGAGGGAATCTGCGCAACAACAGCAACAACAAAGACTCTCGTCTGCGGGCGGGGATGGGGAGGATAGCGAACGATATGCGGATTTAAGAAGACGATTGGATGCTGCTTCTGCCGCAGCGGCGGCGGCTCAACAGGGTGCTAGCAGTGGTGTAGAAGGTTCTTCGGGGCAGACGCAGCGTAGGCCGTTGTTGGAACGACTTACGGGGACTTTCTAGCGTTGTCGCCAAACGATACTAAGTATACACACATATCCACGCAAATGAAATTCTTGTCCAAGAAATGCTACATGCTGTCCAGTGTCTAGGTAGTTATCCTACAATCCATTCGCGCTCTCTCCTTCTCGTGAATGATAATGGAGTGGAACAGTTCAACATTGTATCCTTTTCACCCAAACCCTCATCCCACCGTTTCCACCCCTATTCATCCGCAAGAAATACGGAACAAAGGTCAACTGCTTAGTCGAGTCACCATACTTCCATTCTTCAGAGCCATACAGGGAAGACCAATTGGCATTTACTATTTCCTTACCGGGCGAATGCACCCTCACCACATCCTCCACAGAAGCAATGGTAGCAGCTGGAGCGTCAGCCACAATATCGTCCGCTATCAGGGCAATATGATCGATATCAACGCCAGGATTGTCAACATCTTCAATGCAGTAGACCAGGGGCCCGCGCATGATACAGATCTCATCCTTGCCCGTTTTCGGATTTGCGTATACTTTGCGTGGTTGTAGAGGGAAGTTCAGGCTGATGGTTGTATTGGCCACCGCGGCGAGGTAGAGGTATCCATCTTTGACTTCGCCGCCGGACAATGAGCAGGAGTAATTTGAAGCCGCCCAGTCGGGAATTCTTAGGGCAAGCTTCAGGGCCTTCGGCCCTCGAACGGTGAGTTGAATATCGCCAGACCAAGGTAAATTCGTTGTTTGCGAGACCAACGTTCCTCCACTTTCCGGTACGGAGAACTCGCTGGCAATCCAAAGATGGACAGCCACCAAAGATTCTTGCTCGTAGGAGGAATAGATCAGCGACTCGAGCTGTCCCAGCAGCTTTGCCACATTCGGTGGACAGCATGCGACTTCGAACCAGGTACTGCGCTCCTTCTTGTGGCCGGTGAATGTTCTTAACGGGTTCTGGTAGTAGAATGATTTGCCATCCAGGCCGACAGCACCGAGGAAGCCATTGTACAGGGCAATTTCCATGACATCCCCGTACTCGCCCTTGAGTTCCTGGCGTAATAGCTTGGAGCACCATACGATCAGGGCAAAAGTAGCGCATGTCTCGGCGTAACAGCCGTGGCTTTCTTCGGTGTCTCCGAGGAAATAGTCTGGTCCAAAGCCTTCTGATTGCCGCATCGCGCCGAGCGCACCGGTGATGTAGAGTTTTTTGTCAACTGTGTTCCGCCATAGACGGTCTAGGGCTTCTTTGACTTGGATATCACCGGTCAAGCGCACGTATTCCGTGGCGGCTGTGACAAAATACATGGCGCGCACGGAATGGCCTTTGATCTCATCCTGTTCAACAAGGGGTGCATGTGCCTGCTGGTACGCATAATCTCTGGGGTGTGTGTAAGGATTGGGCATTTCGGAGCCCATCGCATCGTACGGATCACCCCCTCGAGCTCTCGCTTCGTGGTCATAGAATATCTCGCCATTTGCATCCCTCTGGCCGCGCTCCAAAATAAAATACTTGGCTAGCTTCAGAGGTAAGGGTTCTTTGGTGAGCTCGTAGAGTCTCAACAAGCCCAGTTCAATCTCTGGATGGCCGGGGTAGCCATGGAGTTTGCCGTCTTCAGGACCAAAGACCGAATCAACATGTTTCAATGCTTTCATGACTGGTTCCAAAAGTCGTCCGCTATTTGTCAAGGTCTCATACGCGACGCAGGCTTCTATCAGATGGCCCAGGCAGTACAATTCATGCATATCCCTCACATTCGTCCACCGCTTATGCACCCCTCTAACTGTATAGTACGAATTGAGATAGCCGTCTTCATGCTGCGCAGCGCGAATCATGTCAACAGCGTGCTCGACTTCTTGGCGCAGGATGAGATCATCTTTTCCTTCTGGATGCTCCTTCAAAAGGAAGTAGCATGCGGCTTCGGTGACTTTGTAGATGTCCGAGTCCCAGAAGGCGTGCGGTTTGGTCTTGTGGCCTTCCTTCCATGTTAGGCAGTACCAATGGCCCAGCGATTTCTGGGCGTGGATGATTGCTGGGATTGTGAGAAGGCGAGAACGGGACTGCATCGATGTCCAAAAGGCGGAGGTGATGTTGACATCGCGAATTGCGCTAGGGGAAGACATTATTATAATACCTAGGTACTCTTTTATTATTTTCTTTGTTTTTCTCTATTTAGTCTCTGTGATAATACTGATGATATGCCATTCTTTTATAGAATCAGATCTACTTAGGGCAAGCTGGAGGGGCTCCTACGTGACCCCGCCGGAGGCCACGATGCAGAGCCTAAAGAGGTAATAATCCGGTGAACTCATTTTTACCGAATTTGGAAATCTGCCAGGTCGACCTTACATTGGCACGAAAGTCAGTTAGGGCTAGGGCTAGGGCTAATGGTTGTTTCTGCTCAGATATGTATTATTGACAGCTGCTAAGGGGGCCAGACTAAGGTAAAGCGACCTTGGACCAGACATGAACGATGTGACCATTTACCAAACCCTATAGTCATAATATATGCATAGTTCTAATTCTCAGACCCCTTGGTCGTACACCAGTGTTACTCTACGCAGGAACAATTGTCCATACTTCATGCTACCCTAAGAAGAAAAAAAGGTTCATCAAAACCCTAACTACTACACCGTAAACTTTGAGTCTTCCACCCAACAACGCATCGGCAGTATACGGAGCCAATGTTGCATCTTACACCGATTCTCTGACCGGGATATACAATTTGTTTTTTAAGAATACTATCTTAAAAAATAATCCAATCACATCAACAACGCAATCGGCACAACCGGAAGACTGACCTCCGGCTTAATCAAGTTAGCGTATACACTAGCACGGGTCAGGGCTAGTTCTTACCGTAAGGAGACTAGAAGAGCAACTGAGGGAAATAACTGAAAATTACACCCCACTTAGTACTAGTAAATTGGACGGTAACTTGGTAACACCGTGACAGCGTTACAGTTACAGTTGTGACGTCATGCCGCAGCCAATCAGATGCGCACGAGTTGAAAGTTACCTAAAAGGGAAATATTGGTTCGTCCCAAGCCTTTCTATCCTTTTGGTTTGATGGAGAGGAGATAAGAATTACGTAGATTGGTTTCAGCGTTACCTCACCGTTTTAATTGTTTAGCAGATTAGGGATCAGGGATGCTCTTGAGTTTGTTCCATGTTAAAAATTCCCTGGAATTCAAAAAAGTGAAAATATAACTGTAAATCCGAACTCTAGCCTCGATTGATCAACAGGGGAATTGAAATACCTGTGCAAGGTTAAATCTATTTGAGATCGTAGACAAAATAGCAAATGAAAAAAGGTTATGTAACCGTCATATTCTTGAAGGTTGTCCTTTCTATCGTCAAGTTCATAGTGGATATCCATGCAAATTTATACCAGATGTACCAGAAATAAGAGAAAAAAAAAATCGTCATCGTCATCGGACCAATATCCGATAGGTCCGTCCCAAAAAAAGAGAACGCCTTTTTGGGAGACAGAGAATCATCCCAATACCCTTTATATGTATCCTTTTTGAATAAAAAAAAAACCGAAAAAAGGTGAAGAGAAAAAAAGAGTTTACTCGACAGCAGAAAGCCCGTCACCACCGTGTAGGACAGGGTTGATCTTTTCGTTCCACTTAAACTTAAACTCCTTGCCGAGTTCTTTCCGGACAACAGCCTTGACGGCTTCCAACACGTTGTCAAACACACCAAAGTTGGCCGGGCTGTCCGGTGCGTTCTCTCCTGGTCCGCCTTGGAACACACCAGTGCGGACTAGACAGGTGTTCCAACCGTACATGTTGCCGCCAATGATATCGGAGGCCGGGTTATCTCCAACCATGTAGACATTCTGGGGTAGCTTGTTCTCGTTGTGAATCTCCTCCATCCACGACTTGAGCACTTCGTCGGCGTATTTGTATGTGGCCAATTCAGGCTTGCCGTAGACCACACGCTCGAGGTCATTGCCCGTCAGGGACTTGTAGATGGCTTCAATGGCAATACGGAATGCTCCCTGGGTCATGCGAGGGGGGCCCTTGAACTGGGTGGGCATGACCATGTCGCCTTGTGAGAAGTAGATGGGGATGCTGTTTGTCTCTAAGTTCTTCGACTTTGTTCCAAAATAGCCGTTTTCGGATAGTAGCAGGTCAATGATGAGCTGGAAGTCTGTGGCGTAATCTCTCGAGTCGGCAAAGACAAGAATAGCGTCGAACTTGACTCGTTTAAAGTCGACTGGGTGTGCGTGGACACGCTCCTCCTCGGTGAAGCACCTCCAGGGGGAGGCTTCTTGGTCCCAAGCCAGGATGTCCTTCGGGGTGTACACGTGCTTGAAGCCATAGTTCTGGGCGACGCCACGACACTTAAAGCCCTCGCCACCGACGACGAGAACGGTCTCGTAGTACTCGGACAGAGCCTGCATGGGGGTGTGAGATTGAATAAATTGGTTAACAGAGATGGGGACCTCGAGAATTTCGGACAGCTGCTGGCAACGCTCCTCTTCGGTCTTGCCACCACCGTTGGTCAAAAGGATGTAAGGAATCTTGATGCCCAATTCGTTGTCACCGTTCAGCATCTTCAAGGACTCCCGAGCCTCGAGGATGGCGTGGTTACCGTGGGCGAGGACACCGTCGATATCAAAGGCAAAGGCCATGTTCTTGGCGGCCTTTACCTGCTCCTTGGCCATGTCTTGTACCTGGGAGGCCAGGATTTCCCGCGAGACGGCGGCCTTTCGGTCATCTATGCCGACGATGGAAGACAGACGAGAGGGGCGAGGAGAGCGAGGGATGGGCAGCGAGGTGCCAAAGGAATTCCTTGAGCCGCGCTTGTCCCGCATGGAGGGAGCCAGGCTCAGGTTGTGCATGTACTGAGAAGCATCGCTGATGGAGCTGCGTGTGGCCGGGATCTCGACCACCTCGCTCTCCCGACGGCCAGCGTGAGAGGGATCTGCAGGGATGGGAAGAGTTGTGCCTTCTAGCGACTGAGGTGCAACTGGGGCCACGACGCTGGGCCGGCTGTCTCGAGGAGAGTGAACCTGGGTGAGATCGGCTCCAATATCGGAGTCGTCGAAGCGAGGCATGGTGGCTGTTCTGTTTGTTCTGGATGCTCTAGACGGGGATAAGTAGTAAATATGGCACGGAGCAGATGTGATAATGCTTGAGGAGAGTAGATATGAAGGAGTCTGGAAAAGAATAAACAAGAAGGACTGGCGGGGGAGGGGGCAGTATTTATTTGCGCAAGACAAACATCATCACCATTGCTTGATATCCAGAGGCTGCCGAAAGCGGCTTAGTGGGCAGCCCGGCTCCACCGTGGCCATCCCTAAGAATTATCGTCATCATTTATTACGTCTGCGGTCAGGGCTGATTGGGTTTGGAGATCGCTCGGCGGCCCTTTTGATCGGTCGGCTGCTCTCCGGCCAGCGTTGCAAGGCTTCGCGAACTTCAAGCCGAGTTCTCGGGATGGGTTTTTTCGCGGCGGTTTGTCGCAGGGCTGTTCTCCTCGGCGACCTCCGAGTCTCCCAGACAGGCTCTCGATGCGCAAGAGTCGAGCAAGCAGTGCGGCGTTTCGCAAGAGAAGCCTCCCATTCTCCCCCATACTGGAGTTACTAGCGCGGTGTCTGTCACTGACCAGAACAGTATAGCCCGGCAGGACGGAGCACTGCACCCCTAAAGGGTGGTGAAACCCACGGCTGGCGCATACGTTCGAAGACATGGACCCAGTGGGTGATCCAGTCAAACGAGGATGATAAAGATTGCAGCAGCAACGCCCCATAAAAAAAAGTGGATGGGATGGTGACATGGATGCGTCCGAGGTAGCAAAACACGGAGCAGGGAGATCCATGTGCATCTGTCTATATATGTAACTGTATGGCAGGCAGGCCACGGAGGAAAACGACAAAAACGCCTCGAGAAGACACAGACGTGCATCAAGAGGCGCCGCTAAAGCATGCCCTAACGGCGCATCCGCTCAGGGCCTCGCATTGGCAGCGCAGCCACTGCCAGCCACTGGTAATTTGTTATGGAGCCCCTCGGACCCAGTCAAACGCGTGGTGATGTCATGCTGCTTCGTGGTTGGTGCACAAGCGTTTCAGCAAAACCCATGAATATCTCGCTCGAAAATTGGATTGAGCAAGTATGAAGACTGGAGTCGGCAGAAATAGGAGGGAAAATGGAACGGGAATGCGGCGGAATTGCAGATTTCATGTACGGTAATATATTACGATATGACGGCATGATTCAGTCAGTCCGCGGGTACTAGTACAGAGCAAATACGTCTTAAAATACGCAACTTTCAAACATGATGCAAAAGCGGACGAGGATACGCCGGGACTGGACAGCAATAATGAAGCAGCAGGGAAAAAAAAGAAAAAAAGAAATGGAGACCAGTGGGCTGATTGATGTAGGATGTGGTAATCGTGCTCCGGGAATGTATGTACGATGTCGTAGAGAGAGAGAGGCGTGGAGGGGCATCTGTGAAGGGGTCCCGCTGCCACCGGACGCTCTCTCTCGTTCTCTCTCAACAAACTTCTCTCAACCAGCCTTGTACCACCATACGCATACATACATCATCTGCCTCATATATATATAAATATACACATCGATATATACATTGTCCTGTCCCATCCTTCCAGTGCGTCGAAATAGCCCATCATGTCCGACGGCAAGACATTCACGCTGAGCAATGGCGTCACCATCCCCGCCGTCGGCTTCGGCACCTTTGCCAACGAAGGAGCAAAGGGAGAGACCTACAAGGCCGTCGCCCACGCCCTGCGCGTTGGCTACCGTCATCTAGACTGTGCATGGTACTACCTCAATGAAGAAGAAGTGGGCGATGCTCTGCACGACTTCCTCAAGGAGAACCCCTCCGTCAAGCGCGAAGACATCTTCATCACCACCAAGGTGTGGAACCACCTGCACCGCTTCGAGGATGTCCTCTGGTCGCTCGAGAACTCGTTGCAGAAGTTCAAAACCACTTACGTCGATTTGTTCCTCATCCACTGGCCCATTGCCGCCGAGAAGGAGACCCAAGAGAAGCCAAAGATTGGCCCAGATGGAAAGGTACGTCTTCCATCCTTCTTTACATGAATTTCTACTGACAGGACCCAAAAAAAAAACAGTACGTCATCCTCAAAGACTTAACCGAGAACCCCGAGCCAACATGGCGCGCAATGGAGAAACTTTACGAAGACAAGAAAGTGCGTGCTATCGGAGTCTCCAACTGGACCATCAAGGGCCTCGAGCAGCTCCAAACCTTCGCCAAAGTGAAGCCGCACGTCAACCAGATTGAGATCCACCCCTTCCTCCCCAACAACGCGCTGGTTGACTACCTGCTCAAGCACGACATTCTGCCGCAGGCCTACTCCCCACTGGGATCGCAGAACCAGGTGCCTACGACGGGCGAGAAAGTGAGTGAGAACAAGACGCTCAATGCCATTGCCGAGCGCCGTGGATACACCCTAGCACAGGTCCTGATTGCCTGGGGTATTCGACGCGGCTATGTTGTGCTCCCCAAGAGCTCTACGCCGTCGCGCATCGAGTCTAATTTCAAGTCTGTCAAGCTGACAGACGAGGATTTCGCGGATGTTAACGCCGTTGCCGATGATCGTCATTTCCGCTTCGTGAATATGAAGGATACTTTTGGTTATGATGTTTGGCCTGAGGAGGCCAAGACTGCTATTTCCACATAATTTACCCTTTTTTTTTTCTATCTGTTCGGGGGAAAAAAAAATAAAAATAAAAATACCGTCTGTTCTGTTTTGTTATAGTCACTAGATTTAGGCTTAAGAACACCGATATTTCACATGCAGGGTTGATGTCTCCATACGTTAAAAATATGATCCGTACTATATTCGGGGGTCATCTGCACATCTACATGATGATTCAGAAATCAAGGAAATGGAGAATCAGGGTCGACCGGGTTTCGAGTGATCTGTAGGAATATAATAATATATTATTCTTATTATATGTGCGTGCTGATCCGAGGGAGGGATTGTTACACCTAGAAAAGATATCCTCTCTTAATTGACTTAGGGTTGCGGACTCAGGCCTCAGGCAACAACGGATGTAGATAAAAATCAATGTATAGAATAGACTGAATAAACATGCTGGATATAATATAAGGCAAACAATAACGAAATAGGGTATCAACATTTAGCAGTACACACACAAGACATCCGATGTTATGCTAGTCAAAATAAATAAACATTTTAAACAGCAGTTCTCCTTGCACGCACCCGTTTTACCATGGGCGTCGCACCCGCTGAGGATGACCCCGGTGCTTTGACGAGACTGCTACTCCTAGGAATGCCACTGACTTTCTGTGATATGTGCTGGCTGCTTGACATAGCGCTGCTCTGCTTATTCGTTGTTGTTGCAGAAGAAGCAGTTTTGGACGAATGATGAGAGGGCAACTCCGCGGTGCTTGCTGTAGCAGCAGTAGCAGTAGTACTGGTGGTAGAGCCCCGTGGCACTCTAGGAGTCAGCTTTTTGCGCTTCGGAATCGGTGTGCCAGCAGCCAGGGGCTTGGTGCTGATGGCCGTCGAGTTTGCGTTAGCCGTCATGTCTCTATTGCTACTATTCATTGCTGCCATGTTGATCTTGCGCACTTTCTTGATTGGCGTAGCTGGTAGGGCGGGTGCTGTAGTGGTCTCTTGCTTGATTTTGCTTCCCTCACGTCGAGATTTCTTCTTCCCCGGAGATGGAGACTCAGATGTTTGGTATATCTTCTCCGGTGCATATTCGACGAGCTTGTCATCCCTCCACAATACTTGTCTGGATTTGGCATGTTTCCGCGGCGACCGTTGGTGTTGTGAAAATTCTTCTTCAATTGGCATAAATAGCATTGTTTCATCGCCGCGCTCTTGTTTGCCCAAGGCTTGTAACACGTACTTGGGAAGCACCGAATTCCCCTTGTTGCGGCGCGTGTTTTTACGAGTTGTAAGCGCCAGCTCCTGGGCTTCTGTTCGTTGAAGAAACACAAATTCAGTGCCATTGGCGCGTCGCACTGGAATCTGGTTTGGTACCGCTGGTCGCAGACTGCGTGTTTGGTGAGCTCTCGAAGGCTTCGTGCGAGTGCTGCGGCGACACGCGATCGTTGGCGAGAATGTCTGACCTTGACTCGGCTCTGAGGCTTCAGGGGATTCTGGCAACTTTTCAGCCTTGACCGGGGTCAATACGACTTGTTTCTGAATCGACGGCGAATTGACATCCAACTCTTCGAGCACACGCCGCGACTGCACTGCTGGCGAGCTCAGTGTCGCTGCCATCTGCTGCTGTTCCTCCCTGTTCCTGTCATTACTCTTACTTTCGTTTGACACCATCGCAGCGTTGGCCGCGCGTTTCGCTTGGGCCCGCGACAAGAATTCAGTAAGTAGCGCAGCGTCCTCGCCGTCAAGAGAGTTCATGCGCAGTGCTGACCGCACCAAGGTTGGCTCTTGTTTTACGATAAGTTCTCGCACTTCTGCCGCTGCCTCGTTACTTGGTGCTTCGCCCGCAAGATCAACAATCTCAGAAATTACGGCGCTATGGTCGGCGTCATCATCTTCGCTGGCACCACTCTCTCCCACTTCGGGATTTGTGCATAGCACGACAGCATGTGAACTCTCCTCCAATGGGTGCGCAACATGCTTATTATCTTCCGCCTCATTTTCAGCGTCGTGGCTGGCAACGGCCGATGGCCCCTCGTCCTCCAAGTCTTCAGGAAGGGCGACCAATTTGCCTAGTCGGGTAGTTAGTAACCTATCAGATGCAAGTCTGGCATCATCGGTCCAATCGCTCACGTTTTCTCTTCCCAGTCTCCAACTCCCATTTGGTCTCCAAAAAGGACCGACCCCGCTCCGTCTGTGCTTGTGCATCTGCATCTGCATCCTGCTCGTTGTTGTCATGTTGTAGTCGCTGTCGCTTGACTGCGCGAACATATTCTGCATTTGCCGATTGACTGATTTCCTTTGCGAACTCGCTTTCTTCAATGCGACTCGGCACTGGTGCAACTATGCGCCGCTCTCGAAGCGCTTCCATACTCTTTCTGAACCGTTTCCAAATCTTGCGCGATTTATGGCGCGGCAGAAATGCCGTCGATGGTTGCCGTTCCCAGGCTTTCAGGACTACTGTTGTCGCAGGCGCAGTTGGCGCGAAGCTGATCTGGTTTGTAATTTGCGTAATGCTATAAACAAACGTTAATAAAAGTTATCACCCAATGTTCGACTGGAAACGCTGCATTTTCAACGCCTATGACGGCGGCCGAGAGGCATCCTCAATCATTTTCGCAGACGGTCACAGAATAAAGTAATAAGGAGAAATGAAGCACTTACTATGTTGGCAACGCTGGCTGTGGGTATGCAACGGCCGCTGCTGTGGCCATGCCTGTTAGAAGCACGTCCTTCATATTTACCACCAACCACGCACTCGCGCGGTGTGATTTGTCCGAATGGAATGCTTGAAATGCCCGCTGTACGTATTCCCAATTTCTAGACAGCAATTGGGTCTTGCTTGCGGGGATATGGATCCAGGAATGGGGGGCACGCGAAGAATGCTGTGTTGTTTCTTTCGTCTCGAGGTATCGATGCAGCGTAAAACTACAGACAGAGCAGTATCCCCGAGTATTAAGGAAAACAGATGATCCGACTATGTAGCCGGGTGTCGATAGGATTAATGTCTGCTGGTGTATTCTATGCCGTGCTGTTTGTTGGTTGTCGTTGAGAAGCGAAGAAAGAGAGCGAGAGAGAAAGTCGCGTGGTGGAAAACGGGCCCAACAGTGCGCGTTGCCGTGCCAACGCTCTCTCTCTCCTTATTGCGCAGTACGGACTGACTTGATAGCTAATACGAAGATTTTCTATTTCGTTGGTTTGGTCATTTTTCTCATAAGACATGAGGCATAAGAAGACATCATAAGCATTCTACACTTCACAAAGCGATTTCTTGGAGAAGTAAACCAGGGCAGGCCTCAACAGACATGGGAGCCGTGCGATGCAGAGACGTCTAAACCAGCTTCTGTGAAAAGAACTCTGCGCCGTATGATGGATATCGTCAATGACACCCCCTCCGGCACCTATGTCGCTTGTCGATTCGTGATCGCCCGGGATGGCTCTCTTCTCAAAATGCGCTGTGCATGTTCAAGATGACCCAGGGTGCGGCACCGTGCCGGCACGTACTTCATAGCGTATCGAAACAAGTCGCTCCAGTCAATAGCTATACAGCTCGAGAATATACTGCATGCCTAAACGCCCGAAAGCTCTTCTAACATATCGGATTCGTCATATGGATCGCCAAATTCGCCTGTTCGAACGGGTGGTTAGGACCGTGCTGCTCCGACTAACAAGATTATGATAGATAGACCTACGCAGACTAAAATCATTGTCAACAACAGATTCCAACGCCCGATTATACTCCTCCTGTGCTCGCTGGTTATTCCACGACGCGCCAGGCGCTTCTTTGACCTGCGATGACGTGCCAGTGGCGGTAGCAGCAGTAGCACGATCTGCAGCTAGTTTATTCAGCGAAGAAGTAAAGGGTGAGCCGAGAGATGCGCCGCCGCTCTCATGATGAGATGCTGTCTGTGAACCAGGCGGCGAGAGTTCTGCTGCTGGTTTATCGAATGTCGGTGTACGGGCGCCAGCCGGTGAGGCGGACTCGGAGGAGGATAGCATTTCGGAGTCTCCGTCGAGGTCTGTGAGACAGACAGTTAGTTATAAGACCAGGTCCGAGAAGCTGCAGAAGAGAGCACAGGGAAATGAGTAGAGGGCGAACGCACCGGCAGACATGGTGATAGTAGGTAGTGTTATAGAACGACTTCTGGCTCGTTGTTAGCTTCAAACGACTGAACGGTCCATAGAACACAAGCTGTGTCAAAGCACCTTTGATATATGTTCAGAGAAGAAGGTAGCAAATAGCGAACAGACAGTGGAATAGGGTAGGCAGATAGATGACTGTTGATGGGAAGATCTGATCGATTGATAACTAAACCAGCGGACCGCCCCGCATTTTCCATTTGAGTGCCGGCCGCACTTCAAAAGATTTTGAACGTCGAGACGAACTACACTTTTTTTTCTCTCTTTGCGTCTCCCCAGCAGCAAGCAAAGTCCTTTTTTAGGCCGTCAATCGTTTCTTGCCACATACCACTTACTGCCATCTGACGTTTCTCCTGTGGCCGTTACTTTTACCTGGCTTCCCACTTCTATCACCATGAGCAAAGAGCGAGCAAACGCCCCCGATGCCTGGGAAGCAGACTGGGAAAGCTTGGCTGATGTATGTGAATATACCTCTCTTATTATAACTTCTATCTACCTGGTTGTTACTCACGCATTGGATCTAGAAGCAGGAAGTGAAACCCGATGCCGCTGGTACGCCGGGAAAAAAGGTGTCCTCAAAAGTGACCAAAGCACAACGCAGAGCAGCGCAGGCCGAATTCAATAGGAAACTGTGGGAGGAGGCGTAAGTTCTCTAGGGTTGATCTATATGCAAAGAAGTCTAACGTTGGAACAAGTGAATCCCCACAAACATTCCACTATCTGGAGTCGCGCTCAGCTGTCCCGCTCAAGCAGGAATTCAAGCCTGCCGTCACTGTCCTCAGTCGCCGTCCACAGATTGCTTCTCGGAACAACAACCACAAAGGCCATGGAGTCGATGCAGCGGGCGAGGGAATTTCAAATCTTACGATTGGCGGTTCCGGTTTATCAGATTCGGAAGATGAGACCAACAAGCCGCCGGAAATCACGCCTGAAGAGCGGCAAGCCAAGGCTTTGAGGGACAGAGAAGAAAAGCAGCGCAAGTATGAAGAAGCCCGCGAAAGACTATTTGGCAATTCGTCGACACCGGGCTCCGGAACCTCATCGCCGGGTGGTACTCCTCCGCCATCGAGACTCCAGAACTCTGGCGGCTTTGATGGCACTCGTGGTCGGGGGAGAAATCGAGGCGGTGGTGGTGGCGGCGGCAGAGACAGAGACAGGGAGAATAATAACAAACGTGACTCTCCAGCAGCAGCCAACAAGCAAAGGCAACTGTATGATCCAGGCTATTCGACCAAGCCGAATTCGCCTTTTCTACAACGAAGAGAGCGCACGTCACAGCTTTCTACAGAGAGATCAGATAGCGAGCAACAGAGTCTGAAGCCTACAAGGAACCCAAGGGGACCTGATGGCAGTGGCCGTGGTGGTTTTGGATTTGGCCCTCGCGGCAGAGGTGCTTAGGTTTTTCTTTCTTTCTTGTCGACAAGAACAAGGAAAAATAGAAAGAATAAGGAAATTAAAAAGAAGCTCAAGTCATGGTAATATTCAAATGTCCCCACTGTGGGCGCAGAATACATCTCGCTAATCTTCACTTTAGATGGCAATTCAACGATTATACGTCGCAGCGACAGGCACGACTAGGGCAGGCCTCTGCCACTATTGATTGCGTCGGCCAGCTGCGAAGTATTTGGTCGATTCTCTGAAATGTCCCAGTCAGTGAATCTCGGCTTTCCTAGGATGGCTTGTTGAGCGCGCCAAACTTACCCATGTACCTTACATAACTGTCCAGGTAAAGTTCGTCGCTACTCGTCGTAGCCATGACATGTTCATTGTCTTCGATTGCTTGCACCCATCTGCCCCAACGACTGCCCATTTCAGGCTCGGGCCAGCCGCGATATGGTTTCAAGACTCGACTTAGGCGGATTATCCAGGGTGCGAGCTGAATGTCCACGTATGACATACTGGGACCCAGAAAGAACGGACCGTGGACATGCGATGCGTTGACCAGCTTTACAAGCTCTTCCTTCAATTCTTCGGCATTTTTCACCTGAGTTTGAAAGTCTTGTTCCATCAAGACTTTGTAAAAACAAGGGACTATATGCCGATTGATCTATCCATACGTGGATTTCGTCAGTTATTCACTTAGCGACGGGGGAAAATAAGTGGCCGCGAACGAACATGGTCAGCCCATAGTCGGCAATGAGCTCGCAGTTTCGCGTCGCCTGGGGGAAGAAGGGGAGGCCCTTCATCCAGGTCCTCCAACTATTAGAAAGAAAACCATGTTAAACAGAAACGGACATCTTATCGTTAAGTAGTCTGAGCAAGCACTTACGTATTCGAGAAGAACGGTGCTCTCATAACAGCCCCAATTGCCATGGAGGATAGCCGGCACTAATCCGCGAGGATTGATTTCCAGTAACTCGGGTGGCTTTTCGTAGGGATCAACCTCTATGTATTGATAGGGAATGCCTTTGGCTTCAAGTGCGATCCATATCCGTTGGACGAAGGGACTAAGAGCAAAGCTCGTTAGATCACATATATAGATTCAATTTGATTGCTAGTGACTTACCAAAAACAACTTCCAAACAATTTGAGTTCGCACTCTTTAGAATGCTTCTTGACGGTCTCATGAGCTTCGCCTGTGGCTTTTTTATGATAAGTTTTTGCTTGCGCCTGCTTCTGCTGGTCAGTCATGGTTGGGTAGTGATGTTTTAATTGTAAACTGGAGGAATTGTGGTTTGTGAAGTATCAGAACATGACCACCAAACTGTCCAAAGTGAGATTCCTCTGCAGTTAAATCTCAACTTTCATTTCAAAAAGCAGCCAGTTTGGTGTTTTATGTGTTCGATGAATGTGACGTATGCATGAGCCCCACGCTTGTCTCTTTTCTTGTTTACAGTCAAAAGTAATATGATCAGATTCACTTACCACTTCTTTCTTTTCATCCTTTGCTTTCTTAAGCAAATATCTGTGTACACTGTTCTTCTTGACCCGGTCACTTTCCTCTAATGTATGCCTGTGCCCGCCCTCAATTCCATCCGTTTTCCCATTTCCACCGTTGCCATTAACTCGTTGGATAGTATATAATTTCTGGCCACCCGTTATAGAATGATTAATAGGTAAAGCTGGGTTTGATGTCAACACACCAAAGGGCTGGCTAGCGCGAGTGCCCCCTCCATCTGGGAAAAATAAACTGTTCGACAGCGAATCTAGTGCGCTCTTCTGGTCAGCAGGATCAGCTGATATAACTGCCCCAGGAAAATATTCCGTGATCTTGATTTTCACATCGCATAAATCCCGTTCGCGGGCAACTCTTTTGCGCTTTTTCTTATTGGGATCATCGGACTTGGGAGTTCCAGGAGGCCGTCCTTTGAGGCGGCAGTCCCAATAGTGGGAAACAAATGGTTTTCGTTTGTACTTCTGCGTAGATCGATGCGAGTAGATATTGTCGACGTGAGGGAAATATGTATTAAATCTAGCAGGGCCAATTAGACTTTGAGTTCAATTCAATTTGACGAAGAGAAACGCGGTCGTACTGTTCCTCGGTCAACATGATAGGCTCATCGACATTGAACAATCGCTCTCTCCAGAGATCGAGATCAGGAGGATTGGGTACTATTCTCATGCTCATAACATGGCTATCCTTGATCTCTGCAGATGTTTCTGAGCCGTTGCGTGCCTCTTGCGGCACGGGTTCAATACGACCGGGCTGCTGTAATGATGACAGAGAAGTCGACACCCACGCAAGTTCGCCACCCGTGTTGAAGACCTGCGATATATGACCAGCGGCTTCTTGAATTGACAGGCCGAGTTTACCATTCGCCCTCAATTCTTGAGTCGAGCGTGATGACGGAGCTATGTCATATCGTGTAGAGGCACTATCATGCGCGTTGAAATGCGATGGATGAGCCTAGGGATAGTGTTAAGCTTTTCTCTTTCGAATGAAGAGATATATATCACACTAACGAAAGTGGGCACAGCTGGTAACTCATGGTCTATATCGCCAATGGCAGTAGAGAAGCCCTGGAAAGCTGGCGATTCATTGGCATTAAAGCCAGACGACAACTGTGAGCCCAGAGGAAGGCTGACAGGTAGATGAGGCAATTCTGAACTGTCCATGTCTGAGAGCTTCTTTGCGTGTGTGTTTAGTAGATCCTTGTCATCATACACGATGACATGTTTTGCTCTTAGGGGTCGTAGCACGCTATGTGAGGCATGATGAAGACTCTTGAAGCGGCACTGGATTCAGACTGGGTGGGGAGAAATGGCTGGCGCAGATTGGATGCATCGGGCTGGATTAACAAATTACCGCTTATCGAGCTGCCCCTAAGTTGCGATAAAGACCAACGTCAAAAATGGCCAACATGGGAGAATGACTACAATGCTCAGATGGAAATAGAAAAACTGATTCTCTCATTACAGTTCAACTGAGGTTGATGCGATTCTAGTAATGACTTGACTTGGACAACGTATCGATCATAAAGTACTCCAGAAATCGCCATTTTGAAGCTTCCTCTCGACCACATTAAAGCAGCATGCCATACATAGAAGACGAGTCGCTGTTCGTATATGCTTCCGATATTTCTCTCACAAATTTTTCCTTCCGGAACGTCGCTTGTCTGCCTCGGCATTTTTGAACGGAAAGCCCGAGGTTCTTTTATCGGCGCCCGTTCTTCGACTAATGCGGCCTTTGCTCGTGGCGAAAAGCAGACACCAAAGTCCCACGGAAGCAACGACAGTTGATCCGATCATGCCCAGTGCTAGCGCTTTCTGGCCATTGGAAATATACCATGTATAGTTGTAGAATGCTAGGGCGCCGTGGAACAGTGTTGTGACGAGTAGCGTCGGCACGGCGTAAGGGGCTCGCGGATCTTCCTCTTCTTCAGTCGATAATGCATCATCAAATGAGGATGACAACGGAACAGAACCCGTAAGTAGGATGGTTAATATTGCAATGGCAAGCAAGGCGAGGCCGAACGCTCTGGGAAAGTAGGTGTCAATGTCTAAGCGAGCTGCTTGCGAAACACATGTTAGCAGATCTCCGGAAAGAGCTAACTAATTTGCTTTGCTAGCAGTTAGTTATCAAGCTCAGTTTGACAGGAACTGACCTGTAGGCGGGGCTCGAGTAGTATCCTCGACTTGGACTAATAGCGTGACGATTAATTTCGGAGTCACGACCAGGGCCAGCCCCTGCACCGCTAGCCATGCGCCGGAGCCGTAAGTGTACAAGTAAAAGACCTAGAGGGGTTCCTGGCCGTCAGTAAGCTGGTCTTGGATTGGTATGAATTTGAAACGGATCTCTTTTTTGGGATAGCTCACATCCATGGGTAGATGATGAATAGGCGAGTCAGTTGCTCTGCCAAACATGCGACAACAGTTAGAGTGAGAATGCGGTTGTTTGAACGAGGCAGTCTGATTTGAAACTTGACCGAGATTTACATTTTCTGATCTCAATCGGTTCACTCGGTTGCGACATTATTTCCAGTCGGTCGAGTTCGAAAGCTGGCTTTTGATCAATGATGTAATGTTTTGTCAGTTTGCATCAGGCGGAGTCCACGGAGTGCCTAGAATAGACATGACTATGTCCAAACGGGTAATTAGCTGATCAGTGGAGAAGTTGATAAGATCCTTTTTTTCTTGCTCCACATCCGGGCGCCCCGTCGATATATCCGGCTGCGTTCAATTCTTCCAAGGGTGTATTACATGGGAGCAGTACTTATCACGAACCAGGCACAGAGGTAAAAAAAAGCAATTCGAATTATTACTTCATATATGCATAGTACCTGACCTACCAGTGTCGTTTGAATTTCCAAATTTCCATATTGGCTAAGATTTCCGGTATCTGAGCCACTCGGGGCAAGGGGCTGAAGAGGAACTAATCCACAAAACCAGGCAGGCCAGAAATTTTTCCGGCCAAAGAAAAAGAAAGGAAAGAAGAAGAAGAGAAACTATGCCAAATAAGCCCACAACTATTGATCTCCTCAAACGCCTTTCCGTTCCCTGATCCTATGCATTATTCATTTCCTCACAGAAGAAATTTGTAACAGAAAAAGAAAACAGCCATCGATGTAATAGACCCGCGTAGCCACTCTTTACTTGGCTTTGCCGTTAACTGTATGGACATCCTTAACGGGCTCCACCACACGGGCAGGGTCCCCCCACGCAACGCTAAAAGGGGGGATGCTTCGTGTGACAACAGACCCAGCGCCAATGACCGAACCCTTGCCTATTGTGACCCCCGGAAGAATGGTCGTTCCAACGCCAATCCAACAGTCTTCCTCGATGGTAACTGGGCGGGTGTACACATCTCCCCGAGATGAGATGTCTTTATCGTGAAGCTCGGTGACAATGGTGACATTCGGCCCGATAAGAACTCGATCACCAATTGTGACCTCGCCACTATCCATAATCCGCAAGCTGTTTTGATAGTGGCATGTTAGCAAAATTCTCACTGGGAAAACCAGATGCCGGATAAAAATAATGTATGGACGAGGTAAACCAACTTGACATTTGCATAGACTGAATCTCCCATGACAATGTTGAAGCCGTATTGGAAGTTAAACGGCGGTTCAATAACGGGCCCTTGACCGATACTCCCTATTATTGTACGCAGCAAGCGCTCACGCTCTGTACGTAGGGCCATGAAGAGCTCGTGCAGGGGCATCTCGTCGTCCTTCAGAACCTCATCGTCGGCATTGTATTTGGCACAAAACTGACGTGCCTTGATTTTCTTGGCTTGAAGTTGAATGTCACCGAGGACTCGGAAACTACATTATCAAAGGTTTCTCAGCAGAGCGGCACATTCATATAGGAGCAGTTTCGCTCACGGGACCCCTGATATCATCTTTCTGTACTCCTCGGTGTTCGGCGCGCCAGTTCTCGTCTGCGAGGACGAATAGCTTCCCGGCGGGTGTTGGGACATCTGTTGAGTATGTATAGTATTGTGGTGGACGCTTTCTGACTCGGTATCACTCGAATTGCGCGAGTCCAACTTCTTGCCTCTTGAGTCAGATCCTTCCGAGTAAGTCTTGCGGTGACTTTTGCCGGGACAGAGGCGACGTAACCATAGGGTTAATTTATGTAATGGGCGTCTCATGGCCCTGATGCACATCGGCGATTCTTCTGAGTAACAGAAACGAGGCCTATCGGGAGAAGCCAGGGATTGGGCGTCGGCAGTAAGCGCAGAGGCGGTTGGCAGTTAATAAAGGAACATAAGGAAGCCAAAATGGGATAAAAAGAGAGGGAGAAAAAGAAAGGAAAGGAAGGTGCTGACTGCTGCTAAAGTTACGTAGTGCGTGCCTGCCGGTTGTGTGATTTCTTTTTCCTCCGTGGCAGGCGCGACCTCCAACTCGAAACTAGAACTGAAACTGGAACTGCAACTGCCAACTGCAACCAAGTGCCACTGCAAGGAAGGCGCATCCCGCATGGCAGACTGTCAGCAAGAGCCCCTTCCTTGTCTCGTGACTTGCTGGACAGGAAGGAGCACTTGGGGATGGCCGATCTGGTCCATCTCGCGATATGGCGGGGAGGGGGAACACTGACTGGCTTCACTTCCTCCCTCCCCAGCCCACTCACTCGCTGCCTGCGCTCAAGCCTTATCAAATGAAAATCTACGTTTGTCGCGGGAAAGCCACTTCAGCTCCATGCAAGATGCAGTCACTCTTCCCTCTTCACACCCCCCTCCAGCTAGGGCGGAACGGCCTAATGGCTTGCGAGTGGGCCGTGATTCATGCAAATACGAATGCATCCTGCTATGCGCTGCTAACTACGTACATGCTTTCTTAGTTGCATGCGCAATGCGGAGACTCACACATGCAACCGCTTCCTGGCAGTCCTGGACCACCCACAGGTCCTGGGGCTCGAGCGTTTTTCGTTCAGGGGGTGGGTTCTCGTGTCAATAACGTGGATGGAAGGGAACAACAACCTTGAACCCTGTGGGTATGACAGCTAACTCCAGTCATTCCATCTCGTCAGGCATATCCGGCAGCATCCATTCCCCTAAGCAAAGCACACCGCGACAGAGCGACCTCCAGGAAAATGCATCCGAATGCATAAGTGCCAGTCGATCTCGAGACCGATTGGCATTGTAGATTGACTCTTCAACAAAGCGGCAGCTCCCGAAAGCCAAAACTGGGCTCCGCAATCGCCCACTCGCTCGCTCTCAGACAATGTAGCAACTGCCCATGTGCTCTCGGACCGACGAACCCGTATACAGTGATACACTGACTATCACAGTTAAAACGACGCTTAGCTACGACCGCAAGAAAACATGATTCTAGCACGGGACTCCCCGTACGGAACACTCCGTCCATCTTTCATCACCCTCGGCACCACCAAGGGGACTCGTGAACCAATCTCAACGCAGGACGCTGGCCCCTCAAGACGAAACGAGAGCGGTGTGACATTTTTCTATATGAAAAGCTCTCGCTACGCTACTAGCTCAGGGACTGCCAAAAAAGGAGACGATCCGATAGATTGGCTGAGACATCTCGAGATGGGGAATGCAAAGTCAAATCCTGTTAATCCTGTTCACCCGAGGTCGTCACGGCCTCACCTGGCAGGCTGGAATTGTCGGAAGCTTCACTGCCGCTCCAACATTTCGGAACCATATGGAGATTCAGTCGCTAGCACAAGATGGCTGCGGCTGCGGATCAGGTCGGTCAATACAGGAAATTTGCAGGTGCCAAGCGGCGCAGTCTCTTTCTAGTTCACTAGCCAATCACGGCGATGGAAACATGCGATAGCGTCCAGGCCATGGAGATGGATGAGGATGACGGCAAAGCTACCAAAGAGGCGGATTAAATTGAAAAAAAAAAAAAAAAAAAAAAGGCGAAACAAATAGTCGAGTTGAAGGAAAAAGAAACGGTCCTACATTAGTACAGAAAAATAACATAACCCAAAGCGAAATCCCACTTGGGCAATGATATGTCAGCGTCTTGCTGCAGCTCCACTTATCCAAGAATGGCTGAGAATGACGGCAAATGGAGAGCAAATGAACGCACCAAGCGGATTGTGCTGTTGGTCTTGCTCTGGGGGGGGGAAGGGGGGTATGAGGTGTGTTGAGGTAAGGATACCTTTTCAGCGCTAAGGAATAGATACATGCGCCAAACTGAGACAGGACGGTACTAAATGGAGTCTTTTTATTATTATTGTTGTTATTATTGAGGTTGGCTGGCGCGGAGATATCTCATAAAGCTTAGGTCCTCGTGAGAAGGCTGAGGCCCATCGGCAAGTGCTTGCTTATAGCGTGAGGCGAGACCAACATCCGCGGATGCAGAGTCCTCTTCCCCTGAGAAGCCGTCGCTTTCGTCGCCGCCAATAGAGTCGTCGTCTGCCGGTGGGTCCGACTCCTCTGCCTCGCTCACAGTCTCCGGGGCATCCATTTTATTTTTCTTATCCCTGCTCGAGACAGCCATGTCCTTCATAAGCTTCCCGAGCTCAACGTCACGCCGCTGTGCAGCCTGCTCCACGCGTTCCTTTTTCTTGCGCTCGAGCTCCGGTTGGTAGTCCCGCAGGAACTCCTGGCGCTTTTCCTCGACCGCGCCAAAAAACTGGTCGACACCGTCTCCAGTCATCGAACTCACCGCAACGACGCTCAGATGGCGGTAGAACTCCTCAAGCATTAAGCTCATACTATTGAGTAAGGATCCCATGTAGCCGCTGCCTGCGCCGAAGCCACCGCTACCACCTTCCGCGCCAAAAGCCCCGGCTTCCTCCTCCTGGCGTAGAGCGCTCTGAAAAGCGTCAAAGTCAGTCATCCATTCCTTGGCGAATTCCGCGTCTTGCACATCCGTCTTGTTAAAGACTAGTATCATTGGCAATTTGGTCTTATAAAGAATACTGCAAGCATAGAGCATGTTACTCATAAAGGTACTTGTGGAACTCGTCCTAGGCGTGTCGATCACGTATGCAATGACGGTTGGAAACGAGGACGCGAGTGTCTCTAAGAGTATACTCCCGGATGCGCTCCACACAAACACCTCGATCTGACCCGGGGTGTCAACCAGGATGTGCTTAATAGATTGTCCGCTAGAATTGGCAGCATCGGCCGGCGCCGTGCGTTTCTCTAGGAGGCCAATGATTTGGTCGACTTTTGTCGCAAACAGGTTAAGCGAGGTTAAAATGCCTCCGTTCGGCCCCAAATTATATTGTTTCATCACTTCCTTGTAGTTGATTGAATCGCGGATGTCTATGTTGCTCTCGAATGGGACCGAATGCACTGCCGGGTCTAGATTTAGGACGTAAGGGGTTTTTCGTTGGGAATGGAGATACGAATTGATTCGTTGCATAAAAGTCGTCTTTCCTGAACCTAAACATCGGTCAAAGCCTCGTCAGTATCTGGTGCATTGCCTTAGTGCTAAATACTCGCTGTCTACAGACACGTTGACAGCTTCGGGCATCAGAGCCCTGGATGGGGTGTCTTCGGGTCCATTTGTCCCGTGCTTGCCATCGAGATGAAGAAAAAGAAGTCTTTGCTCACCTGCCATGCCAACGCATACGATTGCTACCGGCGAGGAAGAGTCGCCGGCGGGCGATTCTGCTGGCGCTGCTGCAGCCGCCATGTTGCTTGCACGCAGACTATGCTTTTCAAGACAAGGGACAAGGGACAAAGGTTTCAGGTGTGGATTCCGTATACAACGCGTTCAACCATAGAAATCAAAAGTGCAAGTTCGTAAAAGACACTGCTGCAGTCGACTTCGTCAGTTTGGAGAGTAGTTTTTTTCCCACGGCGGGGCGAGGTCTTTGTTTCGGCCTGGCAAGTGGGGCCTGCGCCAAACGTCATTCATTCCGTAGACAAACCTCACCTGGCTTTTCGCTGCGACAATTGAGTGTCTGTCATGACAGCGTTCACAACTACCCTGTACATTATATGCAAATAGATAATTTTTACAGGCCATCATGACGCTAGAGGACTTTGAAAAATCTCTTGCAGAGAGTCGCGAACTGAGACAGTCTGAAAATAACACGGACAAGGATCGTTCTCGTTCGCATCGCCATCATCATCATCACCACCGACACCACCATCGCAATTCGTCGAGAACACGAGACAGGCACCATGACAGAGGCGAAAATAGAGAGGAGCATAACGAACACAGACATAAAAGGTCCAGGAGAGACGAAGACGGCGATGAGGGCGACGGCCATCACAAAAGACGCCATCGACATGACAGCACTCATGGCACTGGTTCCCCAATCGATGAGACGCTAACGGGCTCGACAACTACGAAAACTGACTTGAAGCGTGACTCATGGATGCAACCACCTACTGCGGACGACATAGATTATATTCATAGACCGGATAGACGCGTCCAAGAGCAGCCTGAGCCGAAAAATTTGCGAGCCGATTTCGAGCTGAAAATACACGACAAAGAGCTCAATACCCATCTACGTGATTTAAATGAGGGGAAGAAAACTGTTGAGGAAATTGAGAGTCAGCCCTCTCAACACGTGGTGGACTACACTTTTGGTGATGCGGGCTCTCAGTGGAGAATGACGAAATTGAAAGCCGTGTATCGAGAAGCTGAGGAATCGGGTAGAAAGGCGGAAGAAGTTGCAATCGAACGCTTCGGAGACTTGAGGTCCTTCGATGATGCTCGAGAGGAAGAGATAGAACTGGATCGCAGGGACAGATATGGGGAGTCATACGTCGGCAAAACAAAGCCCAGCGGAGAACTCTTTCAGGAAAGAAAGCTCAGTCAGGGTGCTCATACGACTACTCAACCTCGAGATCGACATGCCAACGAATCTCCCGTCAGGGAACAAGGGAAGTCGATGGACACAGTTGAGCCTGTTAGCACGACGCATCATCTAGACGCCACTGCACTCAACCGGCTTCGTGCAAAGATGATGAAGGCGAAGCTTAAAGGGTCAGCTGAGGCCGCTGAATTGGAGGAGCAATACAATGCTGCGGCAGGCTTGATGGCAAACCGCAAAGAACGTGATGTGGTTGTTTTGGGTGTTATGGATAATAGAATGCTAGCCGGTGGTGCTAGGGGCGAGGTCAAGCCAGTCGACAATCGTCGAGGCCGTGAACGTGGCCAAGTACAGGAGAATGATGACATGTCGATTGAAGATATGGTAAGGGAAGAGCGGCGAACGCGCGGTCAAGCCGGCGGAGAAGGTCTTAGACTGGCCGAAAGGATTGCAAAGGATAATAAGTTCGATGTAAGTTTCCAACCGGACATGGTGTTTGGCAGAGCTTGCTGCTAACTTGAAATCACCGTTGCTAGAACGATTTGGAGTACATGGATGACAATGCAAGCAAACTGGCCAGGCGGGTGCAGAAGTCGGAAATAAACTTGAAGAATACTGCCATCACCGAGTTCCACAAGATGAACAGAATTCTAGATAACTGCCCTTTGTGTCATCATGAAGACACAAATACGCCCCCAGTGGCTCCCATTGTTTCACTAGCTACACGTATCTTCTTAACCTTGCCAACAGAGCCCGAGCTCAGCGAAGGAAGTGCCACTATTGTGCCAATCCAACATCGTACAAACCTGATGGAGTGTGATGATGATGAGTGGGAAGAAATCCGAAACTTCATGAAGAGCTTGACCCGAATGTACCATGACCAGGGTCGTGATGTGATCTTCTATGAAAACGCAGCACATCCAGACCGGAAGCGCCATGCAGCACTCGAAGCCATTCCCTTGCCATACAGTCTAGGCGAAACCTCGCCAGCTTTCTTCAAGGAGTCTATACTGGCGGCCGATTCCGAGTGGACCCAACATCGGAAATTGATCGACACTCTAGCCAAGGCCAAACAGGGATTGGGAAAGTTAGCTTTTCGCCGCACGCTGGTCAAGGAGATGCCCTATTTCCACGTTTGGTTTGAGCTTGATGGCGGGCTCGGCCATATTGTGGAGGATACTCACCGATGGCCGCGTGGAGATCTCTTTGCGCGCGAAACGATAGGGGGTATGCTGGACCTGGGCCCGGAGATCATCAAAAGACAAGGCCGGTGGAGCAAAAGCGGCGATCGGCGGGTTGAACCCTTTCGAAAGCGATGGCGGAGGTTTGATTGGACTCGTATACTCACAGAGGGGCAGTAATGCTGTATCACCTACCAGTCTTTCCGAAAGTGCGATGTCAAAAGCGAGCTTGATTTACCGTATGAATTCATATCCTTGCTACTGACACAATAAAAAGTTGGAACGAGAGCAATGGTATCTTTTGTACCGCGCACTAATTCTATAGCACGGAGCAATTGTAACTAGCTATTTGACTAGTGTACAGAATAAAAGTTAATAATGAATGGAAAAGTCCTCCTCGGAGACTTCAGCTACTAGATTCATATTTCCATACGGTTTTACTGTTCATTCAATATGCATTATTCATTTAGTTATTCTCCCAAATGCCTTTGCAGTAAGCCTTGCTTAAGTAATATGTATGACAACCCAATCGGGTACGGTGGGGCGTTTAATCGCTCCTTACCACTATTGGATTAGAGCCAGCGGGTACATCGACGCTTAGAACACATACAGCCAATAAGCAATAGATAAGCAGACCCACTGATGCATGGCTCCACACGCATATCTACTGTATGCAATTTGTTTACAGGCATGGAAAAAACTGACACATACTCCGTCCTGACAGGCTATAGCTGTATATATATACTTATGGCTCATATTAGCGTCATATGGAAACTCTTCCAAATTATAACAGCCGGATTTGGGGATTTCTTTAGCATATTCCAACGGTGGACAAACTACGTTGAATGTTACAATGTCTTGTAGAACAAGCTTGGAACATTGATATCGATCGTCTTAATCTTTGAATATGTCGGTAAAGAAGTAATAATGGAATAGTATCTTTGCTAAGCAAATAATTTTGATAAATGCAGCTTATCCAATAAAGCCTATAGTTCTAGCGAACGACATATCAGGCATTTTAGGGATGGCTAGATGTAAAATGTATGTTAGGTAGCTAAACATGCCAGTGTGCGTCACTTTCTGTAGCATTGAATAGCTAGGATGGGATTGGAGATGATCGAGCAAACCTGGCTCTGCAGATATAAAATAGACGAATCATTTCGAACCTACGCAAGTCCAGTAGTTGATCTTATACTAGTGCAAGAGGTTGCGCTACATATATCTTGTTATATCTACATGCTTGGTGTTTGAGACCACTAAAGTTATTTGCCTAGGTGAAAATGGCACACACTTTTTAAGAGGACGGACGACATTGTTCCAACGCCTTGTATATATACGGTTGTATGTAAATTCAGCAAATAAAAAAAATGATACTCTTGAATTTTAGGGTCATCGATACTAAGTATTTCTATATCTCATTTACCCACTGACGTTCCTCGCATACATCAGTCCCAAAATTGCCCCTACACTCGGCTTTATCTCGTCTCCTTATTGTCTGTATTATCCGTTCCGTTTTTCTTGTTGTCTCTCCAGAATCGCCATCCCGCCATCCTTATCCACTAAATGTGCGTTACCTGATATTCTGACAAGGAGCATTCTGTACAAAGTGTCTGCTTTCCTCGATTTCAGCTATTATAACAAATCCTGTTGAGCCAGTGATAATATTCGAAGAGATTTGAACGATGAGGCACGAATCTGCGAGAGGTGTCCTTGAATGAGTCTCACAATCCATACATATATCGAAGACGGGACCAACAGGGCAACCATTCTGCTCACTACCTGCAGCGACGAGGACCGAACGTGACGGCATAATATATACGCTCTTGGTGTATTTGCCGGGAAAATGTACATATTTTGTACACCGTGGTCTGCACGTCATATTCTTTGGATATTCTCGGAGAGAACGCAGATCACGGATTGTTAACAAGATGGACGGGCTGATAACGATTGCTGGCCCCGCACTCGGCCGTGATATCTTCTCCTAGGTAGTATTACTGAATGACTATCATATTGACTTTTTTCTTTCCTCGGCCGGAAAAGTTTCCGTCGACTGGTGATATTTTGTGTTTCTTGCTTTCATTGCGAAGATCATCGCCTGTATTTCTCTACAGACTTCGATTGAATAAAGGATATACGTTGGCGATTTTAGATATCCCGAAGATAACTCGTGAGTCAACTGTTTGCCTGACTACTCAGTGGCACTTACGAAACCACCAGGTTTTTTTTTATAACGCGCTTTTCTGACAGTAGCTGCCCTTGAGGCCCAAAGGCTTGAATACAGTCTATAGACAGAGCTTGACTGCGTTACAAACGATGGCTCGACCAAAAGCCCTCCTCTTGGGCGAGATACTTTAGTAGGTGCTTCCTATACATACCAAGTCTAGTGCTTGATAATTTTTAAAACATTGTCTCATCGATACTGGCAGTGCCGACAAAACGTGGGATGCATTGAGCGATGTTGCAGACCTGATCACAACACAAGCCACCAATCGAGCCGAATTCGTCCAGCAATGCAAAGACGGAAAATTCGACGGTGTGGTGGCGGCGTATCGAACATTTGGCTCCATCTCTATCACAGGGCCTTTTGATGAAGAGCTTGTGTCGGTTCTGCCAAAGTCACTTTTGTTTGTTGCACATTGCGGTATGATTTCTCCTATCATTCTCTCTATTTACCACCTTTTTTTTTTTTCTTTTTTGATATTGTCGGAGATCATAGAGTAACAAAGAAAATAGGAGCTGGATATGACCAGATAGATGTCCACGCCTGCAGTGCGCGTGATCCCCCGATACGCGTATCCAATGTCCCTACAGTCGTCGACGATTCCACTGCAGATGTGAACATGTTCCTCATCCTCGGTGCGCTACGCAACTTCAACACGGGCATGGTCGCTCTTCGAGAGGGCAAATGGCGTGGTCAACCTAACCCGAGTCTCGGCCATGATCCCGAGGGTAAAGTATTAGGCATCTTGGGCATGGGAGGTATCGGACGAAACTTGAAAAGGAAGGCGGAGGCCTTTGGCATGAAGGTCATTTATCACAATAGGCGACAACTCAGTGACACTTTGGCCGATGGCGCTGAGTACGTTTCATTCGACGATTTGTTGGCGAAGAGCGATGTGATCAGTTTGAATCTACCTCTTAACGTGAGTAACCATTCCAGGAAAACGGTCTTCTTCTTAATTGACAGATGACTGCCTCCCAGAAACACACCCGTCACATCATTGGCAAGCCTGAATTCGAGAAGATGAAGGATGGCGTTGTGGTCGTCAACACAGCTCGAGGGGCAGTCATAGACGAAGCGGCTCTAGTTGAGGCCCTGGACAGCGGCAAGGTCTTCTCTGCTGGTCTAGATGTATTCGAAGAAGAGCCCAAGGTTCATCCAGGTCTATTACGGAATCCGAATGTCATGCTGGTGCCTCATATGGGAACCTGGACTTTTGAAGTGAGGATTCGCTCTTTTCTTTTCATTTTCTTTTTATTACAAGCTAACACGAATCATCATTTCTTCATTACAGACGATAACTGCAATGGAAGAATGGACTATTGCCAATGTGCGCCAGGCTGTTGAGAAAGGAACATTGAAGAGCATTGTGCCCGAGCAGGTGAATCTCTGAGTTGCGTGCATTTAGATACGTTATTCATAGATTTATGTAAATGCATAGCTATAGAACATGTTAGTAGATCATTCTTTCCCCGGGATTCTTTCGATGTCTGGTCTATCTAGGCTGTTCGATGAGATAGGGAGTGTGCACATAACACGGTTTCTTTTATCAAGTATATACCTGGCATATCACTAGTAGTTTTTGCTATACCGAGCTGAAGACTTATACAAGTCATGCAAACGGCGAATTCGTTTGACCCGTCTGATAAAAAGAAAGAACAGAACTAGGTCGAGACGCAATGCGCTTTGGGGGAAAGTCAGGAGGAAAAAAAATAAAAAAAATAAAATAAGGGTATATTCAAGCCAGAAAAGCAGATAGAAGAAGATATTGTCAAAAGACAATGCAAAACAAACGAACCATCAAGAATGATGACAATGAGAATGTCCCTGAATGCGAAATACAGATCAAGTTCAAGTTCAAGAGAAAATAGAAACAGAAACGCCGCCATGTCTTCTTACAAGTCGTGGAAACAAATCTTTCTTTTTTGAACACCAGAACACCGTAGGCTATTATGTATGTTAACAAAAAGGTAATAATGAGTGTGAAATATTCGTTAGGTTCATGCGCGTGGAAGTAGAATATTTTTCAGTTCCCACAGCCTATGAACCATACCGCAAAGGCGTTTGACAACTTGCGTTGTACCTTTCTCTTTGGCCTCGTCTTCAATGAACCTTTGCGCAACAAGAAGCTTTGTGTTGGCGTTCCTCTCATCACTTGAATTGTCCGGTCTATTTCGCGGATGAAAGTCTAACAGACGCTGACCGAGGTGTCGCCCAATAGCCATAGAGTAGATCACGTCTCGGTTCTCAATTTGGTCGAGCAGCGCGCGACAACGACCTAGCGTGTCGTCAATTTCCACAGCAGAGGAAGCCTCATTATCCTGAAGCGTAAGGAAGTGTCCGATGCAATTCCAGAAATTCAAAGATCGCAAACGTAGTTGATCTTGCAAAGAGTTTGGATTTGGCGGTGGTTCGCGGGTGAGGTCTGCTCGTAATGGGTTATCCTTCAAATGATCGTCTGTGATTAATGCCTCCAAAATATCGAACCGGTTCGCCGTGGTCAGCAGATCGTATTCCTGCATAGGCTCAGTGTTACCGTTCCGCACCAGATTACGGGCTGAACGGCAAATCGACATCGTATCCCAGACCACTGACGCTTCAAAGCTTTCCACGCGGCCTCTAACAGCAGGGTCATCTATCTTTGGGTCATTAAATGCATCGATGAGGGCCGAGTATTGCGCCATGAGTTGCGCATTTGTTAACAATTGCGACAAGCCTTTGTCTCGAAACCATCGAGTCTCTAGAAATCGATCAATGGCTGGCGCATATGTATGGAGGTAGACAGTCTGTATTTGGTCTAGACGAGCCTGCTGAATAGGGACGATAGGATATGGTGGGGGCGGAGCAATGCCTTGAAGCGCTAGAAGGTCTTGTATCTTGACTTTCTCTACAGAGACAGCCCAATGGTCAGTATTAAGCTGATTGGCGTGTTTTTTTTTGTTTCTCATAATGAACATACCTTGTCGGCCAACTTGTCCTGAAAATGGCAGGAGGGCCGGCGTTGACAGATCAGGAGTTCCCACGGGCTGAGACATAGAGCCGTCGATGGTATCCTGGAGACTTGCCATCATCGACATGGTGTCGCTTCCCTCTACGGAAGGCTCAACGGGGCCTTGCCGACTGGCAGGGTGGTGGTGGTTGTTGTTGTTGCTGAGGCTCGACTGATCAAACGACTGGACGGAAGAATCCGACTGAACTGAAGGAGCAAAAGGCTGAGCTGAGGCAGGCACGTATCCTGGGGGCGCAGAGGGATACGGGTTGTGGTTTTCCTGAGGATTGACCACCAGCGCAGGCTGCGAATTCGCAGCAGGCCGTATGTCAGACGGTCCCGGTTGTTGGCGAAAAACCGGGTCGTAGCCTAAACACTCGCGTTTGCTCTTGACGCAATTGCGGCACACAGGATGTCCTTCGTCGCACTTTAAAAATTACCAATTGAGCGTCAGTATTATTGCAAAACTCGGCTATAATGGGGTGAAAGAGCGTGGTGTAAGCGACTGTCGTTGGCGGGGCTCTATCAAAAAGTGGGATGGGAAGACGCGAGCTAAGAACGACGCTTAAGCGACTGCAGAAAATCTCCCGCCATCCCGCCGCACCTCGAGAGAAAGAGCCGCCGCCGCCAACAACAACAACACCAACAACACCAGCACCACCACCGCCGCCTTCTTCCCTGGGTTTCTTCTCTTATTTCGCTAGAATTCATGTGGGCAGCTCCTTACCTTTATTCGGCGCTTACGGCATGTCAAACACCCAGTTTTAGTCCGTCTTTTTACTTCTCGCTGATGCGCTCGCGAACGATTGCCCGGAAGCTGATAACTCATCTGGCCTCCCTGCATGCCCATTTGCGCCATCGCGGGCGAATAACCGGGGTTGTATTGACCCATTGGCTGCATTGGAGGTACAGAAGAAGGCATACCTGATCCCATTGGAGGCTGCGCTTGCATTGGCGGCGGGTTTGGCGATGAGACAGTCGACGTTGGCTGGTATGGAGGCATTGAGGGAGGAGCCGGAGTTGCAACCGATGGGGATGATATAGGAGCTGACGTCGCTACCGGGAGCGGAGGAGGAGGTGCTGGTGTAGGTGTATACACAGGTGCCGGCGCTGGACTAGGTACGGTTCCCAAGGTGGTAGAGGGGGTAGAAGTAGTCGCGGTAGCAACATCTGGAGCGGAAACTGGCACTGTGTCGGTCGTGGCTGTAGTTGCAATTGTAGTTTCTGTAAGATTGTCTATTTCGTCTGTAGATATTGGCGGTAGAGGGGGCGGAGGAGGGAGCGCAGCAGCAGCAGCAACAGGTTCGGCAGCAGGAGCAGGAGCAGAATTAGGTGATGGGTCGCCAGGAGGCTGATCTGGCTGAGCCTCCGACATCTTGAAAATTTGTTCGCGCGAGTGCTTAAGAAATACCGAGCTCGTTCTGGTAACTCTTTGGCCGGCCTTGTCCCTGCGATCTGTGCGGCTAGTTAGTATCAGTTAAATTCCAATTCGACGGCAAATGATAAAAATTCAAATCCAAACGTTATTTGCAGCAAGTATGTTGGATAATAAGTATAAGGAAGGCGCGGAGGTTGCCAAAGCCATAGAGACTCGGGCTCGGTCATAGAGCGCGCTCGAAAGCCAAATAAGGAAATAGGGCATTCCGAATTCACCAGAAATATAAACATAGCCATCGTAATATAACGGACAAAGAGAGCGCGTTGCGAAGGGGGAACAGGCTGAGTTCTGCCTACCTAGGTAATCGATCTAACACAGTGTGCTGCAACCACCAGAAGTTCGTCAGTACGTATTGTAATAAAAGCCAAACAACAGGCGACGGGAAGAGCGAGCAAATTACCGGTGTGTGAATAGCGACATGTAAGAAGCGATGCAATTGATGGCATCCGGCTGGCCGTTCAGAGACAGAAAGTGAGATTTTGCGGTCTCTAGAAAAGACGCCGCAAATTGCAGAGTGGGACTGGGCAGGGCTCTGCGTTGCTGTGTATATATAGTATATATGTACTCGCCACGACCAGAAGGAATAGCTAGGCTGATGAGTGAAAGAAAACTCGCCTTTTAGGGAAGAGAGGTCTCGAGTCTCAAAGAATTTAGGATATAATTCTTATGCATGCACGAATGGGACGGATGCTGGAGTTCTTAATAAGCAGCTTGGCCGCATCCCGCCAATCACAGCGCTTTGCTTGGCTGTCTATCCTTTATATATACAGCGTTGTACCACCACAACAATAGGAGGGGGAAAAGAAAAGCGATGCTAGCACGCCCTGTAACAAATAGACAATGATTCCATACCTTCCAGTGAATGCTTCAGCGAGGCGAATTATTTGATAGAAAAGGAGTAAGAGGCTAGCGTCAATAACACGCTCAACCTGAAATTAATTTCTTAATGCTTTGCAGCCTTATTTCTACGTTTCTTGAAAACGACGCTGGGTAGCCCCTCAGAGTCAAGGTTCCCCGATGCTGGTGGAATCTGAGGTGACTCTTTTGTATCAAAATCCTCCTTTTTTATCGTCGTAGCTGAGTCCAGATCTTCTTCCGCATTTACATTGCCCTTTGATCCTGTTTCATCCTCAGTCTTCTGTATTAAGTCTGACTTAAGTTTCGAGTCATCTGTTCTCTTAATCGCTGTTGTCTTGGAGAGAAGGGCGTCTAGATCATCGTCTTCATTGGCAGCCCCAGGATAACTCAGCGTTGTATTGCCCCATCCCCTATGCGTTGACTTAGCCAATATTTGAGCCTCTTCTTCATCTTCATCGTTCTCGAGTCTCCGCTTCCTAACGCCCACATTGAGTTTGGCATCTTCCTTGTTGTCTTCGGCAGGTGCTAATCTTCGCTCGGAAACAGTCTCCCAGGCTCCCGCAAGCGCCATGTCCTTTCGATATTCTTCCGGAACAACGATGCCCATCTCAGCCAGCTGAGCGATTTGTTTTTTTCGGTCTTCGGTATTTGCTTGTCTGGGCGCATTCGAAAGCGGCGCTGATGGCGGACCTCGTGGCGCATCGGTTGCTGTAGGTGTTGCTGGCTTCCCTGAAACAAGATTTCGGAGTCTCTCTACTTCATTCTTGGTTCTTTGTGTCTCTCTTTCCTCCCGCTCTTTATTGCGATGAATGTCCCTGAGGAAGCGCTTCAGGTTTCCTTGATGTTTGCCTGTGGCTTCATGTTGGGTTTTCTCGAATGCCGTGTCTCGAATGTAGATTTGGCAATGCTTGCACCAATATTTTGGCTATTATCGTGTTAGTTAAAATCGCTCATCACATTAGGAGAAGGAAGACATCTTACAGTCGATTTCCAGTATTCTGCCATGGCTACTGATCTGTTTTTCTTTGCGGCAAGGAAGTTATGACGTTGGTTGGGAGTTGGAAGAAGCAAAAAGGCAGATCGGAGCTAGCCCGATGGGTGTGTGCCTGCGGGGAACCTTAATTTGTCGGCATCAAACGCTCTTTTACTGCTACATACCTAGGTACAAACACATCACCCCTGAGACTTCGTGAATGAAGGCTCTATCGATTAGTCCTTAATTATTTCACTATTTGACTCAGTAGCAGCGGCTCGACCCGGACCCTTACTTGGTCGATATTATCATCAAACAAGAACCCAACCTGCCTGGTCGAATCGACGAGTTCAACTTCGCGCCGCACAAATCTGCTGCCATCGGCCTTGACAAGCATGGCTTCGACGCGATGATCGGCCCGCGTAACTTCTTTTGTTTGTCCACTCTTGTGCTCATCTTCGTAGTCGCTGTCCCATTCTTCGCCGTCTAGTACGTTGAATTCTACGACAGGATCCCATTCTTCGGTTTCCCAGACCAAGCGAAATCTCAATGGTGGTAGAGAGAACAGTCGCGACGCAATCCCCTTGATTCTGTATATATCAAACGTCTTTGGGATCGCGAATGATTTGCTTATTACTTCACTCGGAGATGAAGATGACGACGGTTTTTGGTAGAAGTTGAATTCCACTAGCCGAGCTGCAACTGATCCTGGCTTGATGCTTGTGCCTTGTGATGACCCGTCTGTTATGCGCGTAATAGTAGGCTTGCTGTATTTTTCACACAAAGACGAATATCTTGGATGCGTGGCAAGGATCTTTGCCTCGTCAGAAGCAGGCGTAGCAGACAATTCTTTGCCGATTAGCGAAAGGTAGTATAGCTCCCCATTAGTTCGGTCCTGTGGCGAGATTTTACTGTAATTAAGCGAAGTAAGATCCGCAAGTCGAGCCAAAGTCAACATAAAAGCTTCGTCCACTGTCATGGATTTTTCAGGCAAGCCAGTAACGTTCGCAGGAGCAACGGCTCTTTCAAAGAGCGGATTTCCAGATATTCGTAATGAGTCCAGACCCGGGAACATTGTAGAGAGCGCATTTATAAATAACCAAGAGTCTATCTTGTTGTGAGAAATATCCAAGAATTTCAGTGTGCGTGAGAATTGAAAGGCAGGCTTGTCATTGCCATCTCCAGACTGCGAAGAAGCAAAGGCCGTATCTATATTATTTCCGCGGAGTACTAATCTTGTCAAATGTGGAAGCCCGGAAAGAACTTTCAGTGACGACAGAGATGTAATATCGTTGTACTCAAGTACTAGGCTCTTCAAAGTGACTGGGAGAAGCGACGATATTGATGTTATGTGGTTTGATGAGGCTGCCAAAGATTCTATCTTTGGAAACTGCGCGGCTATTGACGTGATCTTTAGAAAACAAAAGCGAGTAAGCACCAAAACATCAGAAATGAATGTAAAAGAAAAAGATATACCTCATCCCACGGCATCATTATTCCGTCTAGGTGCAACTCTGTAATTTGATCGAAAACGAGCCCATGCGGAACATTCTCAAATCGATTGCCACTTCATAAGTCAGAGGGAAAAATGTACTTTCTTGAAAGATAGGGATCCTCACTTTAATTTCAAACTTTTCAGCTTGGCCAGTTGTTTGCAGATATCTTGTACATCCTGCCAACGATAAAGAAGATTGCGACTCAGATCAAGCTCAGTAATCTTTGGACAGGTCCGCTCAATCTTCTGCAGCTCTTCGATATACTCAGATTTATCATCATCACTATCATTGTCTTTTAAAACACCCACAACTCGAAGACCGTCTAATAGCACAACCTTGAGTTCTTGAAGCTCGGCAAGCTGTTTTCGGATCTTCTCAAAGCCGACCTCTTCAACAACCTTCCCATTGAATTGGATAGTCTCGTTCATCTGGAAGTCGTCTCCATTTGCCGCTTTCCTTTTAGCAACTTCTTCCTCGAATTCCGAAGCGTACTTCTGATGAAGCGCCTCCAGGAACGTTCGAGCTTTGTCTACAGGCCGAGTAGGCCGCACAAATGAAGCCGCTGTTGGTTGATTATTGACGCCTAAGATTTGTTCGTTATTAACAAGCCGTGCACCGTTTTGACCAGCTGGAAGTAGGAGCAAAAGTTACATGTGAAATATCTCTTCCCCTTATGCTCGCCCGAATGCTTTCCTCGAAATGAATCGTCCCATTCAACGCCAAGCCAGTCGCCTTTGGTGCCTTCGACCTCGCCAATGTATCGCACAGTGCATAGTGCTCCGTCAAAGGACAGGCGCTGTCCTACGCTAAACCCTTGTGCCATTATTGTGACTGTATATCGCGCTGATTGGGCACAGTTGGACAAGTCGAATGTCTTTGCTGATACGTGAGGCTGTCCGTGTTGGACCAATCAGAGCTTGCATCCGCGGCAACTATTCTGCCGTCTTTTGCCGCTATGTATTGATTTTAAGGCTTTCTAAAGGTCAGTTTACCTTCAGCAGTCCAGACGAATAAAGCACTATATGAAAGCCTGACCATGGATTATCAGGTAAGTACCGATTCTTTAGTAGCATTTATGTTGCGCATCTTTAACAGCTCTTACTTTTATAGAATCGCGCTGGCTCCAAGTTCGGTGGCGGTGGTGTCGCATCACAATCTGCAACCAATGCAGACCGTCGTGAACGTCTACGAAAACTCGCCTTGGAAACGATTGATCTTGCAAAGGATCCCTATTTTTTCAAGAACCATCTTGGAAGCTTCGAATGCCGATTATGTTTGACCGTGCACCAGAACGATGGATCCTATCTCGCACATACCCAGGGTCGCAAGCACCAGACCAATCTTGCCCGCCGAGCGGCTCGAGAACAGAAAGAAGGAAAAGCGCAAGATGGAGTTTTACCAGGTGCGATGGGAGTGCAGGTGAAGAAGAATGTGGTCAAAATTGGCCGACCGGGTTACAAAATCACAAAGACACGCGACCCTCTGACGAGGCAGTTGGGTCTGCTTTTCCAGTTGCAATACCAGGAAATTACACCAGGTGTCGTGCCGAGGGTCCGGTTCATGTCAGCGTTTGAGCAGAAGGTTGATGATCCGCCGGACAAGAACTTTCAATATCTCCTCGTTGCTGCTGAGCCGTATCAGACTTGTGGCTTCAAGCTTCAGGCCCGCGATATTGATCGTCGCGAAGGAAGATACTGGACGTGGTTCGATGAGGATAGCAAGGAGTTTTGGATTCAAATTATGTTCAAGACTGAGCGCGAAGAGAGATACAGTGGAGTTCCTGGGTTGGCCCCTCGACCCTAGTTTTTGATGCTTGTCAAGGAGAACCCCCTTTTTTTTTGTGTCATGTATGGGGCGTTCAGGTGGATTCGTGATAATGCAGTATGCCAGTACTCTACGATATATAATTTTTTCTTTTTTTTCTTTTCTTGTTTTTTCTTGGAGTTGGTTTTAGTCAAGGACAATATATCATGTATGCATACTGACTTAAATGTTGCAAGGCCTGGGTTGCATTTCATCTATCACATTTTTGACTTGTATGTAAGCGGTATATGACTGCTAACTACTCAGTAGATGTACTATGAGAGTTAAATAGACAAATGCTTTCATTTCATGAGATTCATACGTTATGGAAATGTGCCCTCGCAGCTCAGAGCTGATTCCAGTGAGCTGCAACAAGTATATTTAGTAAGATGGCAGAATACAGTGCTCATGTTCATATGCATTTCAACATGTAGATCAGGAGATCCTTTGAATGCAGTCAACGTGTAATGAAAATGTCTTTAGCAATATAAACGTGCCCGACTTAATTGGCCTGGAACGCGTTGAAAGCTTTATAGGTATATCCAATGAATGGCAGACTCATTTCTGCCTCTTGTTCTTCGGGCATTGCGCGCACTTGAGCTCTATGCGCGGCGCTTGTATCCTCTTGAGGAATTTCATCGATAGGGAAGTAGGACACATCCACATTTGAGCTCAGTCTGGGCTCAAACGGTGCGCGAATGTTGCGCAATTGGTCCCAAACCACGCCACGGAAGAAAGGATGGCCCTTGATCTGCGTAGCCCCGCCGTGTTGACCACCCTCGTTGCCGATACGATGTTCCGGATCGCATAGGAAGCTAAAATAAGACAAGTCAGAAACGAGGCCATTATGTCAAGATAGGAAGGATAGCATACCTTCGAATAAGGCCTTCAGACTCTCGTGAGAGAACTAGCTCGTCCGGAAAGTATAGGCACTCTCTCCAGTTCACTATCTTACGATACGTGTCTGTAGCATCTTCGGCGCAAAAAGGAGGCCAACCGACAAGACACTCAAACATGATTGCTCCTACAGACCACCAATCGCAGAGATAAGTGTAGCCTTGGCCGTTGAAAATTTCAGGGGCAATATAATCTGGGGTCCCGACTGTCGAATATGCCATGGCACGACGAGATTTCCTCCAAGTGTTGATCTGACCACGGTTTGAAACCGTAAGGTTGATGGCGTCCGAAAAGAATCCTGAATTCCTGTTTTTGTCTTTGGATGTGGAGTTTTTCAATAAATTTTGATAGTAAGCATTGTCATGTTGCTTTTTGCCGCCAGTTGATAATCCAAAATCTGTAAGCTTAATATGACCGCCTCGATCCAGCAGAATGTTATCAGGTTTGATATCACTAGGCATATCAGTCAAACAAAATTCTACTTCGTAGTCAAACACAAGCAACTCACCGATGAAGGAAGCCCAGCTTGTGCACGGCCTCGATGGCCATCACAATTTCAGCCATGTAGAAGCGAGTAATGTCCTCGGAGAAGATCTCGTACTTGATAAGCATTGTCATCAGATCACCACCCGGTAGAAACTCCATCAGTAGATAAAGATAGGCATTGTCTTGGAACGAGGCGTGGAGCTTGACTAGCCAAGGGTTGTCCTTGGAGTCGGCAAGAATATCACGCTCGGCGCGAACATGAGCAAGTTGGTCTTTCTTGAACATCTCCGTCTTGATCAAAGACTTAAGAGCGTAGATCTTGCCATCACTCTTGCGTTGGACTAATTTGACTTCACCAAATGCACCCTTTCCAATGATCTTGATAGTCTGGAAGTTTGATGGAGTTTCTCTGGTACGGAGGAATCGCAGAAAGTTTGACTCTTTTTTCGCCAGGGCCTCTGCTTCCGAACGCTTTTTCGGTTCAGGCATGCTGTTGCTCTGCACTAACTTTCCTAGATTGACGGATCTGCGATGATTATTGTCAAGTCAGTAACATATTATAGCCGGTGGCTTTGCCGTAGATTTCAAAAAAAAAAAAATTGAAGGCTTTCTTACCGCATATTGCGCTCACGGGCACGCTCAATGTTCTCTTGAAAGAAAACATTGACGAGTTCCTTCGCAGCCTTTCCACGTTTGTGAACGTTCTCCGAGTACCTCTCAGGAAACCTTTGAAGCTCCTCTTCTTCGCCGGGCGGCTTCGAGCTGCGATTAGCCATGCCCGGGGCCAGGTGCCCACCATGTTGTTGCGGTCCAGTTGAGCCAGCAGTCCTGGGTCGCTGAGCAGGGGAAGCAGAGCGTGGAGACAATGCTGCACGCGGAGATGCACTCAAATCCTGGTTCGAAAATTGTTGGATCAATCCATTTGTGCCGTCATTGTTGTAGGGCACACGAGCGCCATAAGCGGCCTGAGGAGACTGAAGATTGTGTTGTGCATATTGCTGCTGCTGCTGCTGCACAGGGTAGTGAGGTTGCTGCGCGTAAGGGCCATTCACAAAGTAACCTTGTCCGTAAGCAGGATTGGCCGTGCCGTGAGCGTCCATGAAGTCCTGGCCCTGGTAGATGGGCTGCGGGAATGCGGAGGGCGTTGTGGGGTAGACACGGTTGCTGGCGGCGTTGTAGTTTCTGTCATTGTTGTTGAAGCCGAAGTTCAAGTGCAGGCGGTTGTTGTTGTTGGGCTCCATGTTGATTGACTGCGTCTTTGTTGTGTCTTGTCCGTCGACGACAGTCAAAGAAAGGGGGAGGAACGAGGGGTCGGCGAGACGCAGGGGTTTACGGTGGAACTGCAAACAAACAGCAGGCGCTCGTCCAGGTCACACAGCCCAGTTGTTGTGATACAGAGCATGCCAGAGCTGAGCAGAGTAGAACTGAGGCAAAACTGAGCAGAGCAGAGCAGAGCGAGGAGGGCAGGCAATGTTTGGTTAGGAAGGAAGGGAGGCGAGTTGTTCCGGCCCGCCAAGGGGAAACCCAAAAGGGGAGCGGGCCAGTCACAGTGGAGAGTCTGAGACTTCAACCCTGAACACTCTGGCTAGCTTGTCTGTATGGCGGTGTTGTCTTCATTATTCGACCGCTCGTTCGCCTATCATCTACGCCCTCGCACCGCTGTCTCTATGCCAGTACCTTCGGATTTGCCTCGAGGATTCCCTTCCTCATCCACTCACTCGGCTTCAAATACGCACTGCAGACAAGGAACTCAACACTAGACGAGCAACCTAAATTCGAGGCCCGAACATCCACAGTAGGTCCGTCCTATAGTCTATGGCAAGATCTATGCAAGCAATGCGCAATGCCTACGAATATTATATCGTTATCCCATTGATCAGTATGTTGTTCTGAAGGTGTATGCGCTAGTAAGCATACAGTAACATACAACAGTGGGTCACGTGGGTGACGGCGACCTGCCTGCCTCTTCGACCCATCCTCTCCTTCTACAGAGAATATTGATCAATTGGTTTCATATAATATGAACTATATACATCGAGAATGGCTGACCGAGGAACGCCGCCTCCCTCAAATCACAGCAATGCTTCATCCCTAAGACAGCGTCCTTATCGGTCGAAAAAGATACAACCGTAGGTGGCATCTACCTGTACTTATTGTATGTCTACTCACTTCCATTCTTTGTTGAAAGGTGTGACCTATGCAGAGTGAGGAAAGTAGCGTGTGTGGTAGAGCAAAACGCTCCCTCATGTAATTACTGTCGCAGTCGCAAGAGACCATGCACTTTTCGCTCTGCCCCGGTCCGAAAGCAGCAAACAGAGTCTGCTGCCTCCTCTGGTTCATCATCATCATCATCTTCTTCTTCTGGACTTCACCATGACTTGCATCTCCGGTTTGTGGATGCCGGTGATCAAACGCAGCAACATCAGTACGGTTCCCTAGACATGTTGGGTCGCTTTAACCATTCAACCATGATGGCTGGATATACCAGTTTGTATTCTGGGCTCAGCGGTGATCAAGGGCCTGATCTACTGAGACATTTAAGTTTCAACCAGCAGAATCTCTTCGGGACTTCTTTATGGACTGCATGGAGAGTCATGCCTAGGATGGAAGATCCTGTATACTTCACAGTAAGACCGACTCTCCCTCTCTACAGGCGGAAAAATATTGACATCTTCTAGATGTTCCCTGATGAGCATCTAGATCCGCATGATGGGTTATATGCCACATCAAAAATGGAATCACCGCTTGCAGAGTATGAGCCAGAACTAGTTGATCTGTTTTACACCTATGTACATCCATTCTATCCTGTGATGGATTGTAACAAGGAGGAATTTATCCGACGGCGGCGATCTGGCAAAGTGAGGGCATCTCTAGTGAGCTGCATATATATACATGCAGTTGAATTCTGGCACAAGTCAGAGTCATTAAAAGAACGCCCCATTCCCCAAACTGAAAACAGTTGGAATTCAATATTTGTCCGTCTTGCGGTGGAAACCCGTACCCCAAACCTCGATACTGTCAGGGCTTTACTTCTATATATGCAACTTCCTTCACATCATATCCGAGCGCCGAACCGGCCTGGCCACTGGTCTTTGAGCACATTGCTCGTCGGTGTCGCCCAAGACATCGGTCTTCACATCGACCCGACCCAATGGCAGATTCCGATGGCTGAACGAAAGGCTCGCAGAGTTCTGTGGTGGGCTGTCTACGCACACGACAAGTGGATGGCTCATTGGCTCGGGAGACCACCGCATATCGGTTCTGATGATTGGAGTGTTGAGCCGTTGGGTCTTGATGATTTCTCGGATGATTCCGGCCGGATTCGAGTCAGTATCCTGGAACATATCAAAGCTTTCATCACATTTGTAGATGCCTCTGTTCTTCTGGACGAGATATTGCGGTTGTTTTACACTGTTCGAAGCAAGCCGTTAGGAGGAGATGATGTCAAGATCAATACCGGTGTCCATGCCAGGTTTCTATCGTGGATAGACACGGTGACTGCGTTCAAACAGCCCAGTTTTCTCGCGCCAAATGGTAAGTATATTTCAATTACCTTTCCTTGAGTTAATCGCTTATGCGAATAGTCATTTCCCTTCGAATTGCTTGCTATACGCTTGAATTGTCAATACTCCGTGGTATCCTTCGGTACGAGCAGGACACATCACATGGAACGACAATCCGACACGCTCTGCAGATTGTGAAAAACGCAATGGATACACTCGGTAATATGGGCAGACTGGACAAAGATGGACTGTGGCCGTCATGTAAGCTTTCCTTCTCGCCTATTTTATTTTGTCCATATTCATATAGTATCTGCAGATTGTACAGGAAATCTGCAAATAATGGGCTCGGTACTGGTCTCGCTATGTCTGTCCAGCACGGATGATGAGATTCTCGCCGAACGCTCTAGTTTGCTGCTCGATTTTCAGACATCGTTGCAAAACCTGCTAGGGTCTACGCTGTCGACTCTGGTAACTGCCAAACATCCATTGGTTCGCTTAAATCTCATTCTTGATCAAATTTTCACGGGGCAAAATGATATACCGTGAAATTTATCTTCATGTTACACTTTTTCTTCTTTCACCGTTTCTGGGTGACAATTATTCAATATCCGCTGTTATCACTATCTATGTTTCATCATTGCTCCTATGGGGCATTCAAGCACATTCAGAAATGTATAATTTAAGTAACCCCTAATCGAAATTTTCAGTTTCTCGGCTAATATTATATATTATAGATCTCTTTCCTTCCTCCGAAGATACGAAACGCAATCTTCTCCTAGCACCAGACGGTTGATACAGTGGAAGCAACCATCAGTCGGGTTGTCCTAGTATCGAGGCTCCTAGCCCTTGATACTCTTCTCCTCGGTAACGGCAGCCAAATCGACTTCCTCTGGTTCGGACTGTCCATGAAGAGTATTCAGGTCCAGATCCCCGAATTTTAAAGCGACTTGCTCGAGAGGAATAAGTCGGGTCTCAACCCAGGTGAAATAGACCGCTGCAAAGAACAGAATGTTCCAAGAGGCGTTGATGATATAAAATTTCCATCCTAGTGATTCCATGGCATAGGACATGGCGAAGGAGGCCATGAGACTAAAAAAATATGTTCAGCACGCTTAAATCATTACACTTGACAATATTGACTTACCCAAAACTCGAGTCGAGCGTTCGGAATATGGATAGACCTGCGTTACGGAGTTTGTATGACAGGAACTCGGCTGGGTAGAGACTGGTCATGGGCGTTATACCCCAAGCATAGAATCCTTGGAACAAGAAAATTACAGCGACGATTCCATATACGGCGCTTTTGTTATCGCTCGATCCGTAGGCTATTTACCAGCCACAGGTTAATTTTCACCAGATCTCTTTCATGGATCAAGAGGAAACGTACTCTTTGAAAGACCGCCGAATATGTATAAAGTTACAATCATACCACCAATAGCTGTGAGTGTCATTACTCGTCGGCCCACGACATCCATCAAGAGACTGCCAGCGATAGCGATGGCGAATGCCCAACAACTCAAAATGACATTTACTTGGAGTTGCGTCTTTGAGTCAGTAATACCAGCTTGTGTCAACATATCGCCGAGGTAGTATCTGGATGATATTATCACGCATTAGTTAGGATAAGAAGGACCCCGGGGGGGGATCTATCGTACGAGATGACAAAATTGCCCAACATCTCTACCATAACTCCAAAGCTGACAACAATAAACAGACGATGTCTGTTAGCTTTTGTCGAGATGAAAGCCTTCCAAGGACCCTCGGGGTTGTTCTGTTCTTCCTTCTCCAAAACAGTAACGATTTCTTTGAATACTTCCACAGTCACCGGGTCGTCCACGTCGTTGTTTCCATGTATAATCGCAATCACCTCGCGTGCCTCATCGCTTCGGTTGTTGTTAATAAGCCAACGGGGAGACTCGGGCACAAAAGGCAAAAGGGCGATTGCCAACAAACTTGGCACAGCCTGGATGATCGAGGGCAACCTCCATGCCCAAGTGCCTGAGATGTCAACCGCGCGATAGTTAATACCGGAACTGACCAGAGAGCCCACATAAAAGCAAGTAAAGTACAGTCCCAGCACCGACCCTCGCTGTTTCGCCGGCAGAATTTCCGCAATAAGTGCCGGTGCAGGCCCACTGGCAAGTTCGGAGCCTATACCGACAAAAACACGTCCAACAACAAATTGTCCTATGTTGTGGGCTGTAGTTGTCAATATCGAGCCGAGGATGTTGATACACGCAGCAACCAGAATGGCATTTTTGCGACCTAGCTTGTCACCGGCTGGCTGAATGAGAAGGGCGCCCAAAAAGCTGCCTATCCACATCGCACCGGTGTTAAGGCCTGTAGTTGCGTTGTTAAGATGGAAATAGTCCTTATACTGAGGAAGAATGTTCAACCCGTTCATCATCGCTGAATCGTAGCCCATGGTCTGTATAAGAATGCACGTTAAACTAGCTTGCTGGACCGCGTAAGAGGGCAGAGACTTACTGCAGAGTTGACAGTAGCTACTGCAACGAGCAGGATCGTGATAACTCTCGCATTGCGAGGGACCCATCGCCCAACAAGACCGAGTTGCTCTGGCATTTTGCAGACGAGACGAAAAGAAAACCAGAGATAGTCACGGTCACCCAGCCAGTACTACCGGAAAGTAGACGGTTTTCTGCCGCAAAATATACAGCATTTCCATGAATATACTTCTCATATGGCCTTCAAAGGCGCTATGCTGTCTTATCTCTCACAGTTTAGCAGTTAAGAGAGAAGCGTCTTCACTCGTTCGCCGTCGGGCGACTGGGACGAATCAGAGGCCGCGAGAGCAAACAACACGGGCAAGTTCGCCGTTCGATTTTCCTAAAGAGGAAATTTACGCTGCACAAGTCGAGTAGTGTTCAAAGCTCAATGATAAGCGTTTATTATCTATATCTTTGAATAGCACTCCTACTGTATATACGAGGTTGACCAAATTCCGGAGTCCGTACTATTATTATAGATGCTTCACAGAAATTTTTTCGGCCGGCCCCGGACATGGTTGAGTACGAAGATATGTGTCACAATTCTTAGGCCGGGGGGGAAGGAGACTTGGAGACAATTTTTGTACCTAACCTGTTGAATAAGAGAGATATGACATGACAATTTTCGCCTTTCCAATAAGCTTTGCATCCATCGGTAGCCAACATCCATTTCTCGACTAGAATCTGTACGTCTACCACTATAAGCCCAGTGCCCAATGCACAACAGCTATAAAAGGCTAAACTACGTTCTATTTTTCTTCGCGATGAGCAGAATCAGAACCTCCCACAGCAACCCTCCCAAGCTTCCTCTTCCATACAAGTCAAGTCTCCTAGTCGGCCCTTTTGCCGACTTCCAGATACTCAGTTTTGTGCTTCAGATGTAGCGCCCTTGCATGATTGATGGTGACCATTTTGAGAGCTGTTTCGGCTGGAATACATGACGCATTGTCTGTGAATTCCTTACGTAGATGTAGCCGTTGAGGATGGTGTTGAGGGTGATGATGCTGGCGGAGTGGAAGACGACGGATGAGAATGGATTCTCCATTGCATGGCATAGTGAAATATTTGCTTGCTTCCTTTCTTGATTTTTGTCGCATACACAGGATATACCTAGCTAAATAAGACATGATAGATTGCTTGGTAAACGCTACGCACGTAAAATACAAAAACATCCACTGTGATTTTATTACGTACACTCCCAATTAGATTTTGATTGTGTCTACATAGAATAGCTAGGTATGCAGTAGCAATAATGAGTATCAATCAATCAAGAGCGAAGCATAAAAAAATGAAATGATTGTATGTGTTTAGAGTTATGATCAATTGCCCGCACGGCGGACTCGCCCGTGCTACGCCCGCTGTCGGACTTTCTGCAAATATTCACTAGAGATAACATACCTAGTGAACTAAGCTAAAGAATATAATTTATGATACGGGATTATATATGAAAAAAGAACCAATTCCCGAAGAAAAGAAACATCCCCTTGATACAGACGACAATAGGATGGAAGGTGACTGTGGAAATCTCCCACTCGGGGGTCGAAAACTACTAAACGTCGATGCTGTCCTGGCCAGACTGACTTTGCAAGAAAAGATCAGTCTTCTAACTGGCACTGACAATTGGCATTTATACGGCCTTGAACATCTCGGCATCCCCGTGGTGAGGGTATCTGACGGACCTAATGGCGTCCGCGGCACCAAGATGTTCAACAGTACGCCGGCCGCGTGTCTACCGTGCGGCACAGCCTTAGCTGCAACATGGGACGTCGATTTGATCCGAAAAAGCGGCCAGCTGCAAGCTCAAGAAGCCATTGCAAAGGGTGTGTCAGTCATTCTCGGTCCGACGACCAATATGCAACGTTCCCCCTTGGGCGGCAGAGGATTCGAGTCCTTCAGCGAGGACCCCGTGCTCGCTGGCTGGATATCTGCTGCTGCCATTTCGGGCATTCAGAGTAAAGGTGTTGCTGCAACCTTGAAACATTTCATTTGCAATGACCAGGAACATGAACGTATGAGCCAGGATTCGCGGGTGAGCGAGCGAGCGCTGAGAGAGATTTATGCTTTGCCCTTCCAGATTGCTCATTTGAAAGCTGCGCCATGGGCATTTATGTCCAGTTATAACAAGGTCAATGGATTGCATGCAAGTGAGAGCTACGATTTGCTTCAAGCTATTATCCGGGACGAATGGGGGTTTGATGGGTTGATAATGAGTGACTGGTGTGTCTTTTACTATGATATATATAAGCCATTTGATGATAGATTACTGACCTGACTTATAGGCGCGGAACATACTCAACAGCCGAGGCAATCAAAGCAGGGCTGGACCTGGAAATGCCTGGTCCAACCCTTCTTCGAGGGAGTCTGGTTAATCACGCTCTCATATGCGGGAAACTGACTGTTGACGACATTGATATTTGTGTTCGAAGGATATTGGCGTTTATCAACCAAGTGATGCCACTAAATATACCAACGAATGCTCCGGAGACGACCATTAATACACCTGAAACTGCACAAGGTCTGCGAGAGCTCGGTGCGGCTTCCATTGTACTGCTGAAAAACGACAACAGTGTGCTTCCATTCCGAAAGGACAAATCCGTATGTATAGTATTTACCACCTAATCGCCAAAATATCTTCTGACGTTCTCCAAGATTGCCATTATTGGCCCTAATTCGAAAATTTCGGCTTACTCTGGCGGCGGCAGTGCAAGCCTACATCCATATTATGCTGTCACTCCTTTTGACGGCATCTCATCTCAAGCACAAGGAGAGGTTTACCACTCTATCGGCTGCACAGCCTTTAACAAGCTGCCTCCGATCAGCGACATGATGAAGGACTTGAAAATGCTTGTCTATGATACCAGTCCTTCTTCCGGCACGTCACCACGTCAAACAATAGATGAAGTTACAATTACTACAAGCACCGACATCTACCTCTTCGACTACCTACCCCCGCTACCTCAGACCCATCGGGGAGCGTGGTATGCAGATTTCATCGGTTCGCTGGCACCGAATGCGGACGGGGAGTATTTCTTCAGTCTGAGCGTAGCAGGCACAGCGAGGCTTTTTGTGGGTGACGAGCTCGTTGTAGATGCGGCCACTGAGCAGGTTGCAGGAGGGAGTTTTTATGGGTATGGGACGACAGAGGTCCGTGGCCGTGCAATGCTCAAGAAAGGATCTTCATATACTGTCAAGGTGGAATTTGGATCTCTAGCAACCAGTCTTCTTCCTGGACCGGGCGCTGATTCATTAACTGGTGGAGGGATCAGGATTGGCTGCCAGTATCAGATGGATGCAGAAGAGGAATTGGCAGAGGCGGTTGAGCTTGCGAAACGGGTTGACCAGGTTGTCATCGTTGCAGGCCTTAATGTGAGAGAATCCTTTTTACTCCATAATGCTTTTTGTTCGAGCTCTTTTCTAACACTTCTGTCATCACCATCAGTCCGACTGGGAATCAGAAGGATATGACCGAGCCACAATGGGCCTGCCTGGCCGTACTAACGATCTGATCAACGCAGTCCTTCAGGCCAATGCTAATACAGCCATCGTAATACAATCCGGAACACCAGTGAGCATGCCCTGGGCCACCACAGCCCCAGCCATAATGCAAGCATGGTACGGGGGCAACGAAACGGGCAACGCGATTGCCGACATTCTCTACGGAGATGTGAACCCCAGCGGAAAACTACCTCTGACATTTCCTCTCCAACTGGAAGATAATCCAACATACTTGAATTTTGGGTCTGAAAGGGGGAGAACGATATACGGAGAGGATATCTATATTGGATATCGGTTCTACGAATCTGTGCAGCGGGATGTGTGCTTTGCCTTTGGCTATGGACTCTCGTATACGGAGTTTGCTCTAGGCAATTTAGCGGTTAGTATCTCGGAGGATGAGGATGTACTCGCCATCGAAGTAATGGTAGAAAACGTTGGGAGTCGCAGTGGTGCGCATATAGTGCAGGTTTATGTATCGCAGCGCCATCCGTCTGTCAAAAGACCAGTGAAGGAACTCAAGGGTTTTGCAAAGGTGTGTCTGGACAAAAGTGAGAAGAAGAAGCTTGAGATTTGTCTTAGTCTCAAATACGCGACGAGCTTCTGGGATGAGCGAAAACATGCGTGGGCGATGGAGAAGGACGCCTTCGACGTGCATGTAGGCTCTAGTTCGGTGGATAAGGATATGCTCACTGACTCTTTTGAGGTTTCAAAGACACGGTGGTGGAACGGTTTGTGAGAGAAGGAGAAAAAGCAGTCGAATCTATGTTTCCAAAAATGGCCTGAAGCCCTAAAGTCATGTGAAGTTGTAGTAACTGTAGAAGCTGAGAAGAAACACACCGGCCAATCATGTCTGCTTACGTAAACCGGCGCCGGCCCGTGAACTTTTTCCCGATCGCGACTCTCTCCAGACTTCGTTTTCGTGAGAGTTTTTGGATATCATTATTATTCGGGCATTTGTTGGCCATAGTAGCATCAGTTATGGCTGAGAATGCTCCTCCCACAAGCACTGCAGCGGGCACACCAAGTGCAGCGCCAAAGCCTGCAGTTAAACCGCCAAACCCGGTTTTTAGGATGATGGGTATGGGTTCATACTGATTGCTTTGATAGCAATGACTAATGGCAGCAGGACTTCCGAACTTTCGCTTCAAATTGCCTTCGCGAAATTGGATGATCTTCCTCACAATTACCGGAAGCTTCGCTGCCGCCGTGACATACGACCGCCGGCAGAAAAAACGCATCCAGCAGAAATGGTCCGACCTCGTTGCTCATATTTCGAAAGAGACAATTCCGGTCGAACAAAATAGAAGGAAGCTTACAATATTTCTCTCTGCACCCCCCGGGGATGGACTTCGATCTGCTCGGGACTATTTTATCGAATACGTAAAACCTGTTCTTGTTTCCGCTGCTTTGGACTACGAAGTCATCGAGGGAAAGAAAGAGGGTGAGATCCGAGCCGGCCTGGCCGAGAAAATCCGAGCTTTTAGACGAAAGGCCGGCGAGAAGAGCTCTGTGGTGGAGGAACCAAGCAAGGAAGCCGCAGTCGCTGAAATGCGACGCCAAATGGGCATTACGGATGAGCCCGGTCCTCTGGGAGATATCGTTATTGGGCGCCATACATGGAAAGAATATATTCGAGGTCTTCATGAAGGCTGGCTTGGCCCTCTTGATCCTCCTCCGCCTCCGCCTGAACCAACTACCCAAACAGCCACTGAATTACCCGGTGCGGATAATACATTCAACACAAATTCCCCTACAGCGTCTCCTGAAAATGCTGAAAGTTCTGAAAGCACCGATGCTCCAACATCAGAGCAGGTTACCCCGAAGGAACCTGAAGAAGAGAAGAAGCCTAAGGGACCAACACCCGCTTTCATTTCGCCTGCCGAATACTCGTCACAAAACCTCCCTGTGACCATCCCTCGGTCCTTTGAGGCATCCTTGCCTGTTCCTTTCCCACATCTCCTAGGTATTTTGAACACCCCCGTTAGAATATATCGCTATTTGACAAAACGCCACCTTGCGGATGCTGTCGGCCAAGAGGTTGCAGCGGCTGTTCTGGCCTCTGCGAGCAGGCCATACCACGAGAACGTAAACCCAGCAGAGTCCGGATTGAGTACATTAAGCGATCCCTCAAACGGATCTCTTTCTTCCGATCCATACAGTCCAGCATCACAGCAGAGCTACGAGCAACAGAGTATTTTCGAACACGAGGAGCAGGAATGGCCCAAAGCGGTTCGCAAGGCCGCCGAAGCGCGAAGACTGCAAGCAGATGAAAACGACAACTCTGCTAGCGTAGGTGACGACCAAGGGAAAAGAGCTGCCATCCTCGATGAAGAGCGCGAATGGATTGATGATGTCGTGCTTGATCCTCGTATCGCTTCCCGTATGCATCGATACGTGCTCGCCGAGGAGGAACAGGCACGCGCCAACCGCATTGCCGAAGGCCAAGAGTGGATTTTAGGCCAAGGCGAGAAGCCTGAGCAATTGTCTGTCTGGCAACGATTGTGGATTGATTATGGCTACGGTGAGGATCCAGAATTGGCTAAAAGAAAGCCCATCATTGGAAACCTGGATAACGAAGACGGTGAATAAATAGACAGGGGCTATAGTGCCTTGACATTTCTTCCCTTGGATCTCCCCTATAACGTGTATAACAGTGCTATTGCCATGTTAACGGTCACTTTGTATATTAGCATACATTTTCCATATATGTGACGCCATTCTATGCCGTGTCAATTGTATTTTATGCATACGACTTTTTCATTTTTAGACATGAATAGACTACAAGTTAGACATGGATTTAATGGTTTGGCCTGAGGTATTCATTTCAGACATATTTTGATTTAACCTTTTTTCTCTCTCTCGTGCTATCTCTTTCTCTCCGTCTAACTTCTTCCAAGGCTGCTTTATTGATACACATGAAAAACCACATGCTGGTCAATAGGACATACGAACAAGAGTAACCTCCATCATCCATGCCTTCCATTGTGGTGCATTTTCTTTTATCCTCTTTTTTATATTGGATCAGATCTGATTGGAAAGTTCACCAAGTCTGATCGATCACCTCCGACTACTCATCGTCACTCATGCTCAACCATCCAAACATGGAATCCAGCGGGCTAAGAAAACGAACAGACAAAATAAAACACATGCGCGAGGGTCTCAAGGTCGCGCGTATTTCTATGACTGGTTAGATATAAACGAAGAGGCTTCCTTCCACTTGTTGTGGGCCTTTTCCTTGTATGCTTCTCTGACAGCCGCGTCACTCTTCCACTCGTCCGCCAATGTCTCCAAGCCCAAAATAGCCTTTTCCAAAGTTGTGCTTTCGAGGTCGATCGTGGACACAAACTCCTTTTCGCATTCTGCCTTCGCAGCGGGAGTAAGGAGCAGGCGGGTAGAGAGTGCGGCGCGCACATGGTCGACGCTGTCCTTATGAAACGTTAGGTAGGAATTGTTCCAGTCCTCTAGGTTTGTGGATTTCGGAAGAATGGCTTCGAATTCATTCAAGACCACGTCTGATATTTTCTCTGGTAGTGGCTCCGACAGGCTATTGAGTGCGAGCCGGAAGCGTGCGAGCTGAACATGTAGTGTTGGATGAGAAGGATCGATGGCATGTGCAGCTAGGAGACATTTCAAGGCAAGAGCGTATTTTTCTGGGCATTTGGTTAGCAAAATTCACATCTTCTACAAAGGAGAAGAGAACTCACGTCTTCTTATGTATACTTCAAAACCGGCAGTTTGTGCGCGGATATCACCGGGGCTGAATTCCAGCAGTGGTGTGAGGAATTTGAGTGCATCTTTCAGAGGTTCTTTGGTTTGAACCAGCTTGGTGCCTAGAGGATCGGTGTCCTCCTTCTTCACCTCACCATCAGCACCCTTAGCATTTGCGGCACTGGCCTTTTTCAAGTCCTGTTTTTCTGCCTCCGCTTTCTCCAACCGTTGTTGCTCTTTTTTAGCCTTCTTGATCGCCTTTTTCCTCTCTTCTTCGTCTACATCACTAAGATTTGCGAACATTGGTCCATGAACGAGATCAGGTTGGTCATGCAATAGGACATATGCCTTGATAGCAGACAATGCCATTCGTGTATAAAAGGGGTGGTCTCGCAAGTGATCCTCCCATCGAACCATATCAACATAGGCTCGGACCATACCCTTCCGTAGCGAAAAACTATGGAAGTCGAATTGATCTTCTTGCCAAACGTCGAAGATATTGAAGACTGCATGGAGACGCTTCAGTGCAAGACCGAGCTTTTTCTGTCTTAGATAGGACTCCCCATCTTCCGTCAGATACCAGACACATTGCATTTCATGAAGATCGCCAAGAGGACCGCCAACAGTCTCATTTCTGGTGAATTTGCTCATGTCTTCGAGTGCTTTGTCGTTCTGGTCATTACGAAGCCGGTATTTGGCAGCTTTGGTGTTGATGTGGCGATCCTTTTCGTCAAGCTGCCTGGCTTCCTCCATGGCCTCTGCCGCTTTGGGGAAATCTCCATAGTGCTTGTATATCCTTGCTCTCGTCATGTGATAGTCAACGGATTTCGGATCGAGACTTATAGCTTTTTCTACGTATTCCAGAGCCTTGTGCAAATCGCGGCTAAGGTAGTAGTTATAGTGTTGAGCAAGGAAATAGAAAGTAGAGGCCTCGAATGTGGTTTTGTCTCCTGTCTTCTGTGCCTCGGACGAACCGTTAACTTGCGTTTGTACATTTCCCGATGCATATCCCTCGACAAGCTCTTGGACGGTGTCGCGCTTTGCTGGACGGTCGTACAGGACCTTAATATTTGCAAACAGAGACGGAACCCCTTTGCGCAGCATTCGCTGAAGATAACTATCAGCAGCTGCTCTGAACTCCTCGCCCTCCAAAAAGTCTAGAGGGGCACGTCGGGGAGCATCACCGCGGGGAAACTTCTCGACTAGCTCGTCATAAACAGCCTTTAGAGATTTGTGATCGGTATCAGCAATTGCCTTTGCCTTGATGAGACCGTCGTAGTAGTGAGAGTTCTCCGGATTTCGCTCTATGAGAGCACTATAAGCCGCTTCAGCTTCCGACTTTCGATCGAGACGAAGAAGGTAATCGGCTCGCATTTCCATGACAGCAAGAACATCCGAGCAACGCTTTCCAGCGGTGTCGAGATGTTCTAACGCTCTTTCAAGATCCCCAGACTCCGCAATGATGGTATTCTTGTACAACACAGCTTCGGAATGCTCCATATCGGCCCTTGAGGGAGGTGTCTTCAGTGTCTCTTCGTAGGTATTGAGAACATTCTCGGCCTCGGTCAGGTTTCCCGCAAGATGATGAGCAATCGCCAACGCTGTCCAATTCTGTCTTAATGATGGCCGCGACTGAAGCATTGAGCTGCGGCTCTGTATATAACCCTGGTAGTCCCGCATTTGCATTTGGAGAAGAGCGAGATCGCGTTGGATGGGCTGCGACTCGGGTTCTAGTTTCAGAGCAAATCTGTAAGCTTTGATAGCTTCTTCATAGTTCTTCTCAGCCCTGTAAAGGAGACCGAAGACGTGCCAGCACACATGCGACTTCATGTCGTTCCTCAGCGCCGCCTTGGCCAAGGCAAAGGCCTCCTCCAGCTGCCCCAAGTTGCTCATAATAAGAGCCTTCATCGCTTGCGTATCGCCATGGTTGGGGTTCTTGCGGAGAATCTGGTCGGCCGTTTTGATACCTGTTTGTTGCCGGAAAAGAAAGAGTCAGCCTCCAATAACCTCAACGACAGGTTGCAAATTCACCACGAAGACTAACCCTTCTTGTACTGCTTGTTCTCATAGTGGCGCACCACTTGGCGGAACAGCGACGAGTCCTTGGAACTCAATTGCTGAGGCATGACAGGCAACTGTCTTGATCTGTTGCTTGCAGGTCCTGAGACTGGTGAGGTGGATGTGCGATCATGCGGGTGCGGGGACCAGCAATGTCTGTCTCTCTGTGAAGACGCTAGCCCACTGCCGGCACAGCGGAGACTGTACAGTGTGCACCACAGTTTAACACCTATATGGACGAGGAATGACAATACGAGCTAAATTTTACAAAGGGATTTATTCGAAACTGAATAAGGCAATGTTGGTAATATAGCAGGGAGCTAGGAAAGGAGAGTTGGTTACATTTTCTAGCCAATCAGAGCCTTAGTATGAAGAGCAATTTGTGCCTCAATATTCAGGCTCCATAAATAGTCCGACATTTTGATAACTGCAGAGCAGCCCTAAATTCACTCGAGATATGAGCCGCCTTGGTCTTAGCGTGGCAGGGCATAATGAAATGCTCCAAGTCTATTGCACTAGTTAGATTTCAAGACTTTGGTAGACTGGATGTTGTATAATTCAATCCCTATCTGCCTGGGCAGCAATGCAGCCGCTAACTCGGGAGGCACGTAGTCAGTATAGATAGTTGTTACCTTCTCCAGGTGCTTTGGGTACAAGCTGCTCATAAGTTAGAAGGAGTATTTAGGTCTTGGATGACCATTCCGCGGTTTGAAAGAGAGAAGGAGACCTTCTCAAAAGAAAAACTCTCAGATATCTTGGTTGCTTTCTGCAGACCTCTTAAGACCCTTGAATAACTGTGATAGTAGATCGGTCCACGTCTCATTTTTGATCCAGCAATATTTGTTAGCAGAGATGGAGACCCTTGTGCCTTTTGTACCATCGGAAACAGAACGTCAACAGCCCCTTGCACAGCAGTATGTACAAACCGCCAGGCACTTGACCACCACCAATCTTCACCAGGACCCAAATGTATTTGGTCCATTAGGCTCTAGATGAGGGGTCAAAGAGGTCAACGCCGTTCGAGCAATCCCTCTTATCGGTCTCGATGCTAAACGCGTTATCACTAAGAAGTACTTTCCGGGGGATAATAACTCCGGTAAATTCTTTTAATCACTTCCTTCTAGATAGTGCTGACACTGCCATCGACTATACAGAGTTTGCATCACTTTGCAAATGCATTCGGGCAGCAAGGATAGATGATCTCAAAGGATTCGATGACGATTGGTATACAAACAATCCATACCAGCTTCTCTTTGAATATCTTGGAGAATTAATCACGACCGATACTTCCGAAGCATCACGCACTAGAGCCCGCAAGAGAAAAACTAGTGCTAGTTCAATCAATACCGAACTTTCCACATCAAGCAACGAGGGCAAACGCGAAACGGTCAGCACTGAAGCTCTCAAGGTCTTCATCAAGCCTGCGTTGTAGCGAGGTAGCAATCATCATCTGCGGTATTAGCTACCTTTGCAAGTAGACCTGTATAGCACTAACCTTTGGGTTCCCAGGTCTGGCCTTTGAACCACTAAAGACATGTCAAAAAAAAAAAAAAAGATGGCCATGGGAAGAGCAGCAGTCATCGTATCACAAATACATACACCGGTATAAGATATGATTGGTAGATGCTCATTTTTTGGGCCGACAGTGACCGCGCCCTCCGGCCTAGTGATGAATTTCTGGCTGCCAATTACATACTTCAGTTCAAATCCTGATATAGTAAAACTTTGATGTTCATTAACATAGCAATTCATACATGGAACCAATGCCAATGGCTAGTAACTCACTGAATTCTAGCATCTTTCATGCCTTCAAGGTTATTGTAGATAATTTTCATCAGCGCCCTTAACATCATACCCTGCGATGTTATAAAATGCCTAAACTGCTCTCGCTTAGACACTCTCCAGCTGACCTTGGGTAACGTGACTGTCTCGTTTGCCCTCAAGGCGCTTGTGAGTCCGGTATCATTAGACTCGCACCCTTTCGCCACTCCCTGAGCTTCTAGCTCTGTGCAGTAGGAAAAGAGATCGTCAAAAAATCTGTTGAATTCACACTCCCCTTCCACTGCATCGATGACATCATCTTCGATTGCAATATCAGAATACCAGAACAATCGAGGGGTCAGTCTTTTCACGTCATTCTCTTTCATGATGCGTTAGCAACATTTATCAGCTATATAGTGATATTGATCATCTTTCTCGTACCTCGTGTTCAATATCTACAGTTCTGTAAACTAATTCATCTAGATCAACAATTTCAGAGTGAATGGTTGCAAGCATGCTTCTAGAGGAGACCTATATCGAGGGCGACAAGTGAGAACATGAAAAAACATGAGGACAAAGTGAGATTGAGTTGGATTTGGATTAGTCGTTTTCGGGGTAGTCACGTGAGGCAGACATTCGATTATTCGGATAAAGTGGTATTTACATAAGAGGATTATAGAAACGGCGATTTTCTTCAAATATAAGCCAATGTTTCCCTTCTCTCTAATGGATGCTACCATCTGACCAGAGTTCAACCAGTCATAACAAAACCTTCATAGGCTCACTAAGCATGCAAAGGAATCCGGAGAACGGACGGAAAGAAATTTATGGATTACTAGATTACGCTCGACAATGCAGCTTATCAAATAACGCCATGCAATGCCCCCTAGTTGTACACGTATATATCTTGTATGTTTTTATTACTTGGACATAAGCCGCCAGCTTGTCTAGAGCCGAGACCGTAAGATCATTTTTCACCGGAAGATGGACTTCGACGCTCAATCCAATAATTGAACGCATCCTCCCACGAGCCGTTAGTATTGCATCTTTCACCGACGATGCCCCAACTCCGTGACCGAATGATTTGCTCCACGCTTCGTTCATTTCGGACGAGGTTGGCAAGTGATTCTGTGCGGGCTTCCCGGGGGAAATATCGACTTGAATACGGATCTAAGCGCTCATTAACGACACATTCTTGCTCTTTCGCAGTCTCTACTTGGCGTGAGACCAGATCAGGGTCCTCGGGATCGGGGCTCGTTGCCACCATGGCACAATAATTGAGCACATCGGATCTGCTTTGCCACGAAGGAAATAATACATTCTGTTTGAAAGAGTCACACGCCTCGACAGGGAGTCTGCTTTTGTTTAATGCATCAAACTGTCGAACGCCGGTGGATGATGGATTAAACCCGACTCGAGCAGGCGTTAACAAGGCATTCATATTTTGGGTAATTGAATCATCGATGGTCGATCGGGACAAGCGGAGGAAATCTGTGACTCGTCAGCTGTAAGCAAAATAGCTCGGGTAGCAAAACGCAAGGATATATCCCATGAAAGGTGCGTACCTCGCAAGACTCGTTCGTTGAAGCAAAACTGCGGAGTCAACGACGGTGAGTTGACTGAGGATGATTTCGACATCCTTTTATTAGCGTGCTCCGTCACCGGTGTTGCCTTGGATCGCTGCGCCCAAAACCACTCCAGCTTGAATTATATGTTCACTTGAATAAAATTAAAAATAGATATGTACAAAGCGACCTTCTTGGGTTGAATGAATGCGTGCAAGATGAAATGAGCTCAAGCACTGGCGAAGCTACGGAGATTGATACGTAGTGATAGGGCGGGTCACGGGACCACGCGCGTCACCGATAACCGCTTTACGCGGTCGCGATTGAGTCTCGCAATGGCAATTTAGCCACTTTCCTTCCGATTGTGTATCTAAGCTTTCGTATCTTTGTTTGATTCCTTCTTCCTGAGTCAATTTTGACTTTCTATTGTAAGGAAATCGGCAACGCTGCAGAGCAAACATGCCCGAGCTTGCAGAAGTCGCGCGCATTGTGCACTTCATCCGAAAACATCTCGTGGGCAGAACACTGGCGAATGTGCAAACGCAAGATGACAACATTGTCTATGGTAAAGTAGGCACAACTGCCGCTGAAGTTCAGAAGGCAATGCAGGGGAAAAGCATCATCGGTGCCGGACAGCAGGGCAAATACTTTTGGATTACAATGTCAAAACCTCCACACGTTGTGATGCATTTCGGCATGGCAGGCTGGCTGAAAATAAAAAACGCGGACACATACTACTACCGCACGACTAAAGCCGAAGACAAGGAGTGGCCACCAAAATATTGGAAGTTTATTCTGGAGACAGACGAGACCCCGAAGACAGAAGCAGCATTTGTAGATTTTCGCAGGCTGTCGAGAATCCGTCTTGTCGATTGTCCAGCCGATGACATTCGGCAATACACCCCTCTTAAAGAGAATGGACCAGATCCCCTCGCTGACAAGGATATCCTAACGGTAGGATGGCTGGAAGATAAGGTCAAAAGTAAAAGGGTGCCAATCAAGGCCCTGTTGCTTGATCAAGTCAACATCAGTGGTATTGGCAATTGGATGGGGTAAGCCAGAAAGTCCCATTGCATTTACTACCAATCAATAATCTGACCTGTATTAGGGATGAAATTCTCTATAATGCAAGGATACACCCCGAGCAGTATAGTAATACCTTGAACGACGAGCAGATAAAACAACTTCACAAATCTATCGATTATGTGTGCACAACATCTGTAGACGTTCTGGCCGACTCGGAACAATTTCCCGAGGAATGGCTTTTCAAGCATCGATGGAGTAAAGGAAAGAAGAACAAGCAATCATTACTCCCGAATGGCAATAGAATTGTTTTCCTTACTGTCGGTGGTCGGACCAGTGCTGTTGTACCGGCTGTCCAACGAAAGACCGGCCCCGTGGCAAAGGAAATCAGCGATGAGGACCAGATGGATGAGAAGGAGGATAAAGTCGTGGAAAATAAAAGAAAGCGGACTGCTGTGAAAGAGGAGGAGGAGGAAGAAGAAGAAGCCGTTGCAGCACCAAAACGTGCGGCATCAAGAACAAGCAGATCTAGTGCAAAAGGCGGCACGAGAGCATCTACAAAAAGGAAAGGTACTTGAATATGAGCCAGCGGCTGCAAAGCGAGAACAGTTACGAAACAAACAAGCAACAGCTTAGAAAATCGACCAGTACATTTCATCATCAAACCGCTGGCCTTGGGAGACTTTACTTGTCACATCCAGCGAAAGCTTTCTATGCAGATGCTCGGGTGCTGCCTAATATTAGGTACGCTAGACTCATAATCATTTTCCATAGACAGTCTGGGCCTGAAGCATCCGGAAAATGTACATGACCATTCTTGTAAACCTTGTTTAGGGCGAGTTTTTCCTACAATTACATGAAGCTATTCGCAACCATTTTTCTATAAACAGAGCAAGGCTGCTGAGAGCTTTTTGTTCTCAGTATTACGACTCAATCATGAAAGAGTGAAATCTGTAACGTCCTCTGTAAAAGCATAGAATTTGACCGAAAACAACAACCCTAACCCTAATACCGGTGGCAAGCGCAATCTTATCGCAAGCGCCGATTCCGGGCGGGGGAACACTCGCCACGAAAAGTCCCGCGGAGACCTGACAAATCCGCGTTGGAGGATTTGTCAGTTCATGTCCACTCTTTTTCACCTCAGGTCTGATCCAACTTTCATTTTCAATGCGGATACACCTCGTCCATACTTAGCGGATTACATGCGCCGCCTCTCAGTGCTTCCATCAGTTGTGCAGTGGTCGCTTTAAGTCCGTTATACGCCACGATCGTGAAATATGAGCGCTATTCTTTCTGCCGATGACTTGAATGACTTCATATCACCCGGGTTAGCATGCATCAAGCCGGTCGAGACGCTGCCTCAAAAGGGCACAGCTACCTCAGAGGTAAGAAAGCGAAATTGCATCTTCATGAGGAAGGACCGTTACTAATGGCAATCTGTCGCAGAACTCATATGAAGTAACAACCGAGGACAAAGTCCAGCCGGAAAACCAAGCTCCAGCACAAATATCCCTAACAGACTGTCTCGCATGTTCAGGCTGCGTTACATCCGCCGAAGCCGTTTTAATCTCGTTGCAGTCTCATGCCGAGGTTCTCAATACTCTTGATGCTCACTCACCGGCGTCTATGGTGGTAACGGATGATGGAAACATCAGTGCCCCCCATGGTATCCGAAGTGATGAGAAAATATTTGTCGCCAGTGTTAGTCCTCAGGTCAGAGCTAGTCTCGCCACAACATATAGTATTTCCGAGCGCAAGGCTGCATATATGATCGACCAGTTTCTCCGTGGCCCTCAAGGATTGCGTACGGGAGGGAAGCATGGAAATGGATTCACTTGGGTCATTGATACGGATGTATTACGGCAAGTCGTCCTTACACTCGCTGCTCAGGAAGTTACAGAATCTCTACAAACGCTGCCTTCTGCTGGAAATGGAGCAGCAAAATATTCCATCCCTAAACGGCCAATATTGTCGTCTGCATGCCCAGGCTGGATCTGTTACGCCGAAAAGACACATCCTCATGTTTTACCATATCTTTCACGCTTAAAGTCTCCTCAGGCACTAGCAGGTACTTTCATCAAGTCTATACTAAGTCACGCCCTTGGTGTCTCTCCATCACAGATTTGGCACCTTGCTGTTATGCCTTGCTTTGATAAGAAGCTAGAGGCTAGTCGTGAAGAATTGACTGATGCGACATGGAATATCCGTGGCTCGAATGGATCTCAGTCTCCTGTGCGTGACGTTGATTGCGTTATTACCTCACGCGAGCTACTAATGCTCGCTTCATCCCGAAACATATCACTACCATCTTTACCATTTAAACCCTTGACTTCAGTCTATGCGCCCCATTTTCCGGATCCTACAGTGGATTCATTTTTGTTCTCAGGCACACAGGGCCTCAAGCAGAGCACGGTGTACGGAACTTCTGGTGGTTACCTTTATCATATTCTCTCCTATCATCAGGAAAAACAACCAGGTAGTCGTATTGAGGTACAGAGAGGACGAAATTCTGACGTCGTTGAATATTTCTTGGTATCAGAGTCAAATGAAACGATCATGAAAGCGGCTCGTTATTACGGCTTCCGAAACATCCAGAACCTTGTTCGCAAAATGAAGCCAGCTCGCGCTTCACGATTGCCTGGTGCAAACAGGCGTGGAGCCACGGCGCATGGTTCAAGCGGCTCTTCAGGACTTGACTACGCATTCGTCGAGGTGATGGCATGTCCTGGTGGCTGCACTAATGGCGGTGGTCAGATACGTCTTGACGACGCTCGGGAGGCAACTGCTAATATTTCTACCAATGATTCTACCGCTGTGATACAAAAGCACACAGCACATGAACAGCGCGAGTGGCTTGCTAGAGTGGACGAAACATATTTTTCAGCCGATTCCGACTCTGAGAGCGAATCACAGCCTGCAACTACAGATAAATCGTTACACGACACAGAAAACAGAGCTCAAAGTATAATTCGGCATTGGACAAACTTCACCGGAGTAAGGTTGGAGGATCTTGTATACACAACATTTCGCAAAGTGGAAAGCGACGTGGGTAAAGACAAGGGCGTTAGTGATACTACGCGGGTTGCTGAACTTGCTGGAAAGATAGGAGGTGGTTGGTGATCTCATGATGACTTGCATATTTATATACCCACTTTGCATTTATTCTATAAGCTATGGAGACTTATGAAGACAATTTGGTGTAGAGAGCGTTCTAGAAAACAAATTCTCTGCAGATTAGTGTTGCCTGAGATAATTTCCTATATGGGGTCGATATACTTGCCCCCGATATCGGGATTTTCTATAGCCGTCTAGAGCTATGCCATATCGGGCTAGCGTATAAAAAGTCCAGGCGCGGGGGCGGTGAAGATCCGCTTTTCACGTTTCTCATTTCCAAAGTTGATATCTTCATGTGCCAAAGCATTTAATCAAGCAAGCTCCTCAGGTCCTCTTCTCACTCGAATCAGACAACATCCTGGGTGACGCACGCAAGAATATTTCTGAACACAATCAGCCAAAATGTCCCGCGAAGCTTATCAAGTCCCAAACCTCGATTCCAACCAGAGCGCATTCGGTAACGGAGGTGCCAGCGGTGGTGTTGGTGGCTACACTCAGACCGAAGCTCCAGCTGTACGATACATCTGCGGTGAATGCGACGCAAAATCTACCCTGTCGCAAAACGCTACGCTGCGTTGTACCGAGTGCGGGCACCGTATATTGTATAAGGAGCGAACAAAGAGGTTGGTCCTTTCCCCCGGTTCACCTTCTCTTCCACTTTCTTTCTCTCAAGATTTTTTTCCGAAAGTGTAGAACAAATACTGACTTTTCTTGTGTTGTAAAGGATGGTTCAGTTTGAAGCGCGCTGAGATGACCGTTCACGTTACAACGCGAGTTCGCTCTGATGCTATGAGAAAGAACCTCGCACACGCAGGAGGTGATTGGGATTGATATTCTATTTAGATCTTTCTTCAGCCTGTCTACCATTCAACGAGATTACGCATTCATACGGCGCGTTTGGTTTTGGTTTTTCAAATATTTGATGGATATGGAAAGGAGTCAAGTTATCACAATCAAAATGCAAAAATGCTACTTCTTTGAAATTCATATTCAAATCGCCATTTCATAGATACATCCAAAGGTCTGAACTGGTGATATTATCTTTATCTTTCATATTTAAAAATCAACTTTTTTGGAGGGCTTTCATGCCTTCCAATTGTCTTTTTTTCATAAGCGATTCGTCACTTCTATGAATTTCTCCAAGTGTTTCAGAGCCTGACCACTTGTGATTGCATATCGGGCCCGTCTGACACCCTCTTTCCAGCGTCCACCGCCAGGTCCACGCTCTGTAATGACCTTGCCGTCATCTCCAGGGCCCATATTGCTAGTTTCAGCTTCACATATACCCGAGGTCACAAACAATGCAGCTGTGTTTATAAGAACAAAGTGCATCAGAGGATCATCTGGGTCCAGTTCGTTGCGTAAAATACTCATAAGCTTCTCCGCATTCTGTTTTGGCATCTTCTTCGTGTAGACATCTGTAATGGGATGTGTTGGGAAACCAAAATCTGAAGGGTGGAGCTGGAAGATGTCAAGCTTAGTGAGCGTTCGTGGTACTTCTTCTTCTTCTTCTTCTTCATCATCGTCGTCTTCCTCTTCGTCTTCATTATCTCCATTCTCTGCACCTGTGCCTTTGTAGGCTGGGTTGGGATATTCGGAAAGTCTCCAACAGTTTGTCGGACCGGCACAGCTGATTTCGTCCATGTCTTCCTCTCCACAAATGACCAGGGCCTTCTTTGAGCCTCCAAGTCTCAGAGCTTCGATAAAGATGGGACCTAAGGCTTGGTAGGCAACTCCGACGACGCGCGCTTCTAGTGCCCAATCAACAGGGTTGGCCAGGGGTCCCATCAGGTTGAAAATCGTGCGGAATCCTAAGCCGCGACGAACGGGCTCCGCATACTTCATGCCTTGATGAAAATTTGGAGCGAAGAGGAACGTGTAGTTGGTCTCGTTGAGCACTTTGGCAATGTCATTTGCCTTGATGGCTGCGATCTTCGGTGGCACGGGAAGGATGCAATTCAATACATCGGCCGATCCGGAAAATGATGTTTGCGAGCGGTTGCCATGTTTAGCCACCATCAATAGAGATGATCCGACAATCGATGAGGTTGTAGAGACGTTGAAGGTGGAATGGGAATCGCCGCCGGTGCCAACGATATCGCACTAGTCAGAGAAAGTGATCAGTTAACTCCTGCTCTTACTTATCCGTAACAAACACATACCAATCCTCCATTGTAATTTCCCTCTGATTTGCCCCTAGCTTTGACCACTGCCCGCAATGGGGGCCTGTCCACGGTGCTTGCAGCTTCTCTCATGCGATGGGAGCATAGCGCAATGATTTTGGAGTCACGGTCTTTACCGGTCGAATGCAACAGAGTCAGGAGAGCTGCGGTCTGGATAATGGATAGTCGATTCTCGAATATCAATGCAAATGCGGCCGCAATTTCTTCTGCAGATACTTGGATTTGAGCGACGTCGGGGTATGCGAGCCTCTGCAAGAGGGGCGAAATGGAGACTGGCTCGGGGTTGCTATCGTCGGCCATGATGTTGGAAACTAAAGCCACCTGCTTTGGTATAACCAGTTGTAAAAGACAATTTTTTCTCTCTCCAATTCTTGAATTGGGCCAGTTTTCAAAGGGAGGGGTAGTTGCAGTTGGCTATGAATCATCCTCTGACTCAGGCGGTTTTCAGCGGCAGAATAGACCGGTGGTCGGGGAGAAAAAGCCACTAAGCCCAGAATGGATGGTGTCGTTCCTGAAATGGCAGAAACTCACCGCCAACGCATCGAGCACAAACTTTATGTAGCTTTTCTTGACCAGTTGCTCCGTAGGATTCATTGCACATGTCTCAATTTTTCAACCGAATTCCTAAATATTGTCTCACTAAAGCCTATAGCTTGCTCGAATTTGGGTCTACGGATTTCTCTTTCAGCAGTTAAATAGCGCCAATGCCGCCACGCTTGCGATTTTCATCCTCATATATTTCCCAGCCCGTACGCCGGCAGAGGGGCCTGACAAGACAGCAAAATGAGATGATACACGGCAGCAGATATGTGAGCACGGCTCCAGCTGCTGTATCATCATCAGCCGTTGTACCTCCTCCATCCCTAGAACAGATGAAGAAGAGTCCATCGCGTATCGCCCGAACACCGTCCGTTCAGCCTCCTTCACACAGACGCCCCGAGGAACGTCGCTCACAACTCCTTCGACAATACACATCCCTCATCCGTACGGCACCTTTGATGGTGTTTTTTCAACACAACAATCTGCAGTCAGTTGAATGGACTGCAATTCGCCGTGAGCTGGTCCAAGCCCTAAGAAAAGTTGACGAACAACAAGCTTCCGAAGGCCGAAGCACGACTCCATTGGCACCCCACGTGAAATTACAGATCATCCAAACCAGCATTTTTGAAGTTGCTTTGCGCATTGTGGACCATTTCCGGCCGGAGAACGTGAAAGGACAGTGCACGGCAGCGGAGGAAGATGTACTGATGCACGATCTTTCCCGTACTGTACACAGCGCGGTGCGTCAATTGAAAGGAAAGCATGAGCTGGCGTCTATTCTATCGGGTCCGCTTGCTGTCCTTTCACTTCCAAATGTCTCTCCAGAACACCTCAAGGCGGCTCTCTCGATTCTTGCCCCCAAGGCCTCTGGCTTTTCGGCTCCTACACGCAAGGCCAACCCCGGATACCATGAATTGACAGTGCAAGGCGGATTACAAAAGCTAATGCTTGTTGCTGCGCGGGTAGATGGTCAAGTCTTCGACCTCGAGGGCACGAAATGGGTTGGTAGTATCGAGAGCGGCCTCGACGGTCTTCGTGCTCAGCTCGTCCATGCATTGCAGGCAATTGGAGCTGGTGTTACGTCTACTTTGGAGGGTGCCGGTAAGAGCTTATATCTTACCATGGAAAGCCGGAGGAGCGTGTTGGAAGAAGAACAGAAGGGTGAGGATAATAAGGAGTAATCCCAACTTGTACTATCTGAATAAACCGTATAATTTTCTTCTGTACGATACTTTTTTCTTGATATATCGTTCGCACAGGTGTGTGCATCTTGTTGTTTGTAGTAGCAATCTTATTCATTATTGATTTGGCCACTGAAACACTATGTTTACCGTTCATATACCACACGGGCACGACAGAACGAGTGTTTCCATAAACAACAAAATGATACACTGTAATGACTGCTCTAGTTCTCTCTCAGCTTCAACTTCGCATTCATTCCCACAATGCACCTGACAAGATCCCAGTCACCATCCAACCCGACCCAGTCAGTTACCAAAATACCGGTACCCCAGTCGCCATCCGGGTGATTGCAATGATCCAAACAGAGATATTTAACTGTAGCCGGGTTCAGCTTGGCAGCAATCTTCTCGGGCCAGGTCTGGGTTTTCCAGAAATTGCTTGCACTAAGAAAGTTGACGAAGAAGGGATACTTCTGGTTGGGGTCACCACCACGTCCAAAAGGGTAACGAACGGCACCCGCTCGTGAGATGTGTTCAGTCACATACTGAATCTTCGTGTCGATGTTTTCGCTTTCCATAACCTGGTAGAAATCCTGAATGCAGAGTTCGCCGGCTGGACAGGTGGCGTTTGGGGTATTGTCAGCCCATCCACCGCCGTCGATGCCAAATCCTCGTCCCTCGTGCTCGCCTTTCAGCCCTTCTTCGAGGTTGAAACGTCTCACAAGAACAATCTTGCCTCGGACCTCGCCCAAAGTTGGCACATTTGGATCCGTATACCAACGGCTCTCCGGGGTTGCGTAATGATCACGGACAATGCGACTCAGCTGCTCATCCGTAGCTTTGCCCGTTCCTTCTCGTTTCAAGGAAACGATCAGAGTCTCAGAAGGATTGTGGTTGAGAAAGTCATCTACCTCATTCATGAGATCCCTGAAGTACTTATTTCCAGTGAGAGAGATTGGAAAGGCGCTATGGACGAGAACTAGCTCGTCCTTGGACGGATCATCCGGGTTCTGGGGCTGCACGCGGATGTCGAAGAATCGCACGCCATTCTCTAATTGCACCTTTGGGCTGACTGCTTGGCAACGAACTGAGGGAGGCGCAACATGGCAAGTGGGAGAATTATGGGTGCCGGGAACCGACAAGGAAGAAAGCAAGGTCTCATCCCGTAATTCTTGCATCCATGCATTGAGCCGTGCAGATGAGAATATCGCGAGGCACGACTCTTGGGTGAGATAGACTCCGGTAAACCGATGGCGCGGGTTGTCAGTCAGACATCGCATCTCGGCCGACTCAACGGTTGGCACGGGCACAGTGATGAGGTGTCGTTCGCCCTCGACCTCAAATGTGAGGCGTAGGCGCTCTTTGTCGTCATTTTCAAAGGTCTTGACCTCTGTCTGGTTGGTAGCGAACGGATCGACGCGAATATCAACATCCTGGCGGGCAAATGGGCTTGCATCGGGGGCAAGCGGCTGAGCAGTATTGGCAGCACGAGTGACATTCGTCGCAGCTTCAGTCACTTTCCGGGTTAGATTCATGGCCATTGCGTGGAACCCGCCATTGTCTTTGTGCTTCTCTTGGGGAGCAAAGCGCTCGATGTTCTTCAACTCCAGCGGAGTTGACGTGAAATTGCGAAGGGTCAGCGTCTGGGCAACCATGCTGGGCGTAGAAGATAGGGTGCTACAGGTGTTGGATAGTGAAGAAGGGGACGATTGTTGCGAGAGAAGGAGAATGATTGAGGGGAGGCTTCAGGCGCCTTGCCTGTGGAGAAAGATGCATGGCGCTGTGCTCCGGTAAGCGCCAATAAAGAGGGCTGTGCTTGGCGAGTCCGCATGGCGATCTGATTCGATCGTCTCGTGCTGCAATCGATCCAAGAGGCGAACTCTGAGGCTGGATGGCTGCATCCTTAACGGTAAGCGTGGTGGCCTCAGGCTGCCAGTCATTGTTTCAAGAAGGGCTCGGAATGCTACGGCTTTTAGAGAAATTATTGGTTATGTGCACCACTGGAATACCATATAACGCCAAGGCACAGACGCAGATATACTCCAACGATCTAAATAATCAAGTCCTCCCCAAGAATTCCAGCTGTTCCCAGTCTTCTAGGCGCCGTCGGGGCGGGCCTCCTCTACTGCCATCGCCGTGCATCAAGACATCCTTGTCGCCAGCTCTGCACGCCCACTTCTGGCGGAGAGCGCGTGGAGCCGATCCTTCAAACACATCGCAGGTGTAAGTTCCCAGAATAGGCAGGAATTTGAATGCACTGATGGAGACGTCAGTTCACGGCTTATACACCATGGGTTCTTCACTACTTACTGTCCGCTGCCGCCAGTCGCCAGGAAGAGGTTCCGGAGATCGGGGTGATGGTCAACAATGAAGTCACCTTGGGGAGTATCTGTGTACCAACACAAATGCTTCTTGACAAAGGGCCTCTCCGATATTGATGGCGAGAAGAAACGCCGTAGTCCTTCTCGAAGCGAGAGTTCGGCATCCGTTGGCAAGAACAAGCTTCTAGTCCCGTCGCCATGAAGCTCTGGCGCTGAGATCTGTTGCTGTTCACCTGAGACTCGCGTCTCGTAACCATATCCATGTCGAGCACATTTCAGGATATTCGAGCGTGGCGTCGGAGGAAAGACGAAGAAACCACTGCTGAAATCGATTGCAATAGGCATGTTCCTAATTCTATCTGCTTCATCGGCAGTAAGTTGGATAAAGCCCACAGGCTGAGCGGTACTGACGGCACTCGACGTAAGGTCTATAAGTCGAGGCGTCCATGCACCTGTGGCCAGAATCACATGGTCCGCGAGCAATGCAGGGCCTTCCCTGACATTCACACCAACTACTTGCGCGCCATCCAGAACGAGGGATTCAACCGAGCCGCGTGTGCCAGTAACGAAGGAGACACCCAAAGCCGCACACTGCGCGGCCAGGAAACGTATCGCTTCAGCGCTGTCAGCCCAGCCGGCCCGTGGGTTCAGATATCCTTGATACTGTTGTAGGGTGCCACTCGCAAACTCGCGGTGGGCGTTTCTTATTTGTGATGCATCATCAAAGATACTAATCTGCGTGCCTTGCGACTGCACTTGCTCCTTTGCCTTGTTCAGATACGAATGACCACCGTCGTCTGAGACAATGAGAATGCCGGTCTCATGGTAATATCGCGAATACTCTGATTCCCAACCAGCTACAGCCTCTATGGCCATTTGCATGTACTGCGCATCAGCATAGTCGGAGCGGATGACGCGCGAAATATCGACACTGGAGCCGTCTGGCACAGGAGGAAGATGGCGATCAAGGACGGTAACCCGAATGTAACCGCGCTTGCAAAGCTCGTGCGCTAAAGTCAACCCAAACACACCGGCGCCCACAATAATAATGGAAGCGTCCTTGGAAGGCATGTCGGCTTTTGAAGCTACTTCTTCAGATTGCTTCCCTGTTCCAACTTCTAGGATGTCTGTTGGCGTGACGCATTGTCGAAACCTCGTATGGTCCTTCTCGGAGATTATATTTAAGCTAACCTCGACACTAATCGACATGGGTCTGGTTTACGTAGATAGGCCCGCTGATAATTCAGGCCTACATTGCCTATGTTGTCTGAGCGGGAGGTATGGCAATATTAGCATTGACCGAAGCAGGATCTCTTGACAATTTGATTCAACCATTTTCGGTGTGAATCGAGGCAGATTTGGGTAAGAAATCAAGGTGCAAAGCCAGACTGTTTTGAGCTCATCTCCATGCTCCCCTTTGGAGTCGTAACTTGTAAGCCACAAGGCGCCCAATAGAAGTAGCGTCACTAGGCTTACTACCTGCTAGCGTAAGGCAGCAAGGTTCCAGAGACCCCACCTGCTCGTTTCTTTCCTCTTCTCTACTCTATCTTGTCCTTAGCTTGCTCCAAGCTACTAGGGATTTGTTTTCAGTGAACGTGTATGGAGAATGTAGTAAGGAGGTATAATACACGAGGAAAAGCCTCAGGCTACCACTCTGCCAAGCCACTAAGTCGATAGCGGCCGTGATCACGTGAACTAGATATCTGAAGCTATTCCGAACTATAAAAATTATGAAGGGAGCCTTCAACCTGACCACAAAAAACAGCCTCTCGACGGAGGCTTTTGTGTCGGGCCCCACTGCGCATCTAGATATTGGCACTGCAATACTCGTGAACCAAATAATTATCATAACGCTCGACCTAATCAGGGGCCATGTAAGTTGCGCAGTCCACTGAGTGCCCTATGAAGTTACTTACGGATTGTCTAGGGACTAGTCTGGATAAATATTGTGAAGGCCTTGTTGATGCCGGTCTTTCCAACATCTCACCTAATGACACTGCAGTCGAAAAACGAGCCTCGTATCACGGCTCAGTTCAAGCGCACCTAGATCTCCTTGGACGCAGCAGGCCTGTACTTAAGGGAATGTATATAGTCCCTCGCATTCAAGCAGCTTCAAGACCAACATTGTTCCATCCCGATCTGCACAAAAGAAATATATTTGTTTCAGAAAATATTGACTAGCATCGAACCGGCATTTTGGTATTCAGATGAAGTGCCAGATTTTGCGACTGCTGATGATTCTGAAAACAATATTTGTGCGAAGGCCTACGATGCTTGCACTCAATTTTCAACCCCGAAGCTTTCTGGTCCTAGATTGATGGACGAGAATCTTTTTCGACCGTTCCTTTATAGCTATAGAACGTGGAAAGATGGGGCCGTTGCTCTGCGCCATGAAACTCATCGAGACTGCCCGAAGGTGGAACGAACTGGGGTTCGCAGGCCCGACTCCGTACGCTCTTCCTTCCCCAGATGAATTAGCAAAGCATGAAGAAGAATACAAGCTGTTTGTAGCAGCACATGAATTGAAGCATGATCTCTCGAGCCTGCTCAATGCCGCGACAGGTGGATGGGTTTTTTTAGACGACTGGGAAGAAACTAAGCTCGCCCATCGGGAGTTATTCGATGGCATGTTAACTGCTGTGTTAACAAACGAGAATCCCGACCATGACAAGCCAGTCAAGGACGAAGGAGTCTTGAGATCGATTTGGCCATATGATTTGCCAACTGACGTTGACAGAGTATGATTAGACGTTTGCTATCAATGAATAGATTTGTATGTCTATGCTTAAGGAATAGAAGCATTCACAATGATACTAATATGGATTTCTAAGCATGTCTCGGTCGAGGTGCATCGCTAGCGCCGTTGACGTGACCTTGGTGCCTGAGGCTCCGAGCTGCTGCCTTTGCATTCCCTCTCGCGAGCATTCACAAGAGCATCTTTCCCCTACTGTTAACAGACTTCTGAGTCAAGCTGCAATGACCCCCGAGCCCACAAATGCTTTATATGCTGTCTCCACGGCTTGTGCTGCCATATTTCTGTTAATTCTCCCTGGCAGAATCTGGAAGCTTCGTAAATCAAGCACTATAAACACTCCAGGCTGGCAGGGGCCCTTCAAGGCTGTGAGTGTTCCCTCGTTCCAGGATTCTGATCTATATATCTGATACCAGCAACGGGCTAGGGTCTTGGGATATTGCTCGCCATCGCATTATCCTCATATTGGATAGAACTTTCCAGCTTGGGTGCTCAGCAGGATGCCGACCCTTTGGTCTCACTCTTTGCTTCTATACTTACTGCTCTGGGCCTGAGCCTGCTTCTGCTCCGGGAACAACAACGCTCTCAGAAAGCATCAGATCTAGTTACTATATATCTTCTCGCATCTATTCTGTGCGATGTCATCAGCCTAGCTCTGTCTTTTAAGGTCGCTAGATGCGCGAGCGCTTCGGGCCTAGTACTTCTTCGCTGCTGCATGCACTTGACGATTTTGGTACTCGAGTGTTGTACCAATCGGCGCTCAGAATCCGGTTCCTTCAACGTACGTCTCTCACCCGAAGAACTCCATGGCATACTGAGTAGAAGCTTTTTCATATGGATCAATCCGATTCTTCTTCAGGGGTACAGGAACATCCTGGCCCATGAAGATTTGCCAACCCTCAGTCAAGACATGAGGCCAGAGCACACAAGAAAGGCAATTCTTCAAACATGGTCTCAACGAGGTTAGTTAAAAGCTCGAAAGCCTCATTTGTTTCCACACTTACAAGACTAGCCAAGCCCGAAACGAAGAAAAGTTTACCGATAGCTTTGATAAAATGCCTGAAGCAACCATTTTTGGCTGCAGTTATACCTCGACTACTCTTGATCGTCTTTCGCTATTCTCAGCCTATTCTGATTCGGGAGTCTATAAGATATGTCGTAGCATACCCTGCTGATATAGAAGACAGCCAAGGATTCTGGCTTGTTCTATCCTCTGTGGCTATCTATGTCGGCCTTTCAGTATGGGCCCAATCCTTCCTCTTTTTCTTTCTTGTGGGCTAACAACGCTTGACCTCAGTTGTCAACAGCTATGTATCAACACCGCATGAATAGACTAAGACTTATGACTAGAAGTGCCCTCGTTGGGCTTATCCATGACAAGACCATGAGGGCACCTAGCGTTGCTTATGATAACGGCGAGGCCACCACACTTATGAGTACTGATGCAGATAGCCTTGACGGTGTTGCCGAGATGGTCCACGAGATATGGGCCCAAATTATCGAAGTGCTGATTGGTATAGGACTGCTAGCTAGTCAAGTTGGCTGGATCTGGCCACTCCCGCTCTTTCTGATTTACTGTAGGTACATCCATCCATTTACTTTACCTCCTCGACTGGGTACTGAAATTTGTAGTATGTTCATACGTGAGTAAGTTTGTTGCAATGAATTTACAGCCTCTCCAAAAGAATTGGAACAATGCTACGCAAAGTCGCATAGCTGCCACAAGCTCTGTGTTAAGCGCAATGAAAGTCATCAAAATGCTTGGAATTCAACGAAATCTCATGAGTCACATTCAGGAGCTTCGAAAACGTGAGCTCTGGGCGGCTTCGAGACTTAGATGGATCGTGGTATACTATAACGCGTCTGGTTTGTCATATGCACTGGTTTATACGGTAATCTTTATTCGTAAGCTGACTTGGGTATAGCCAATGCTCTTGGAATATTCACCCCGGCGATTACACTGATTGTCTATGCTTTGATATCCTTGGCTCGTGGCGGCAATTTGGATACAGAAACTGCATTCACTACCATAGCCATCTTGAGCATGGTCACACACCCCGCAAATATGGTCATGACTATTGTGCCGCGAGCAGTGGCAGCTTTTGCTGGATTAGAAAGAATTCAGACATTTTTGCTTAAGCAGCCTTTACAAGACAACCGTGGGATACTGCCGGAACGGTTTGAGCATCCTAGCCCTGTTATTCAAATTCATGAACTAAGTATCGAGCATAAACAGCTTGTCTTGGATAACATAAACTTTGAAATAGCTGCTGGATCACTTAATATTATATCTGGCCATACTGGTAGCGGAAAATCGACTTTGTTGCGTGCTATCCTTGGAGAAGTCGTACCTACTCACGGGTCAGTTAGTCTGTCAACACGAGAGATAGCATACTGTGCCCAGAGACCATGGCTACCCAATGGCACTATCAAAGAAGCAGTTTACGGTGCTACTGAATTTCATGATGCTAGTGATCAATATCATGAATGGTGGTACAATGAAGTAATAGAGGCATGTCGCCTCACCCATGACTTCGACTACCTTCCTGATGGAGATCAAACACAAATTGGCAGCAGAGGTATCAATCTTTCTGGAGGACAGAGACAACGAGTGGTACGTTTTTCGAAATATTGCATATGAGCTAAGCTAAATTGTGCAGACTCTCGCACGTGCGTTGTTTGCAAGATGCGACATACTTTTACTAGACGATATATTCAGTGGTCTGGACGGTGAAACGGAGCAAACGGTTTTCAATAATCTACTCAGTTCTAGGGGCCTACTCAGACGGATGAATACTACCGTAGTTCTTGTTTCTAATTCGCGTGAGTCCCTCCTTGCTAATGACTGAACTGCATGACTGACTTACCCGGGGGTAGTCCAGCACCTCCAAACTGCAGATCACATTGTCGTTTTGAATAACCATGGAATACTAGCTCAAGGAAACTGGCATAAGATCCAGACGGAAGCTGTATACCCCGCGAAGTTCTCTTCCGGCCATCGTGTCAAAGATAGCGCCATCCTGTCGGGAAACTTTGAGAAGCTCAACGCTCAATTGCGAGCAAAAGACGAGACCGAAGTAGACCTCGCAAGGCAGACCGGAGATCCGGCAGTATACGGTAGTTTTACGTGAATATTAATATCAACAGATGCCACTAACACGAGCACAGGTTATTATTTCGGTTTCATTAACTCCGTGAACATTCTCTTTCTTCTCGTCAGTACTGCATCATACTCTTTCTTCGTCACTCTTCCCCAGTACTGGCTTCAATTATGGACCGAGTTAGGCGGTAGAAATTCTTCATATTATATTGGTGGATTTCTCCTCCTGTCATTCATGTCGTGGAGTTCGACAAGCATTCAGATGTGGTAGGTCTCCGAGAAACTGAAAATGCCCATAATCATTTATTAATGAAGGCGCAATAGGTCCATTCTTATTCGGCTTGCTCCTCAATCTGGGTTGCGGATACATCAACGTCTTTTGCGTATTGTGATGAGGTTAGAACTTTCTTTTCCAAAAATATTCTAACAGGATGATCTAAAATGGCTGATCATGCATAGCGCTCCTTTGTCCTATTTCTCTAAAACCGATACTGGGTCTATTTTAAACAGGTGAGGGTGTATCATTGTATTTTCTAGTTAATGCTAATGATTCCTAGATTTAGTCAAGACGTCCAGTTTGTTGACAAGCAGTTGCCATCAGCTCTTCAGACTGTTGTAACACGTATGTAATAAACTCCCCATTCAAATGTGGGTTGAGGTAACAAATTGCCAGAAATATTCAAGCTTCTCATGCAGATAGTTCTTCTTTGCACGACCGAGAAATGGCTCTCAATTTCTTTACCAGTCTGTGTTGTTTTGGTCTATATCATTCAAAAGGCTTACCTTCGGACATCAAGGCAACTCCGATTTCTGGAACTGGAGTCCCGGGCAGGAGTTTTCTCGAGTTTCCTAGAATCCGTACGTATTTAATTCATGGTGACTATGGCCCACTGAAATTAACCTTCACTAGGTTGAGGGTCTCGAAACAATACGCTCGTTTGGCTGGTCTAGATCCGTAATACAAGGCAACATCCTAAGCGTCGACAACTCCCAACGCCCAGAATTTCTTCTTTTGTGCCTCCAGAGGTGGCTCAACATTGTTCTCGATCTTTTGGCAGCTGCTATCGCAACATGTGTTGTTGCTATAGCTGTAGCATTCCGTGGACGTGTTAGTGGTGCACAAGTTGGGATTGCGCTCAACATTATGCTCGTAGCAAACACAACATTACTGAAGTTTGTGGAGAATTGGACTACACTGGAAACCTCTCTCGGTGCCGTTGCTCGCTTGAAAACTCTCGAGGAGATAACCCCGTGTGAGGGTGCAAAGACTGAAAACTTAGACCCGCCTGAAAACTGGCCTCCAAAAGGGCACATCGAGTTCACAAATATCACTGCATCTTACCAGTTAGTATCCTGCCAATTGCCGCATTCTATCTAACTAACAGAAGCAAAATTTAGTTCCGAGTCTGTTGCTCTGCGGAATCTGAGCTTGGATATTCCCGCAGGTCAGAAACTTATCGTCTGCGGGCGTACAGGGAGGTTAGTACTATCGAACCGTACCGATTGTTTATCCAAGAGCTCACCCTATCTGTTAGCGGTAAAAGTACGTTACTGCTAACGCTCTTGCGGCTTCTGGAGCTGCAAAGCGGCCATATCGAGCTAGATGGCATTGATATCAAGCAAGTGAGGCTAGATTTGCTACGACAACGGTGCTTCGTTGTGGTATCTCAAGACCCTCTTATTTTGCCAAATGAGACCTTGCGATGGAACTTGGACCCAGATACCTCCGTACCGAACGACATCCTTGTTGCTTCATTGGCGAAAGCGGGATTGTGGGCGCATTTCTTCGACTCTGATAGAGGGAGAGATGTGGAGATCAATATCAATGCCTCTGGGTTTGACGCACACCCAATACTCGACCGGAAGGTCTCTCTGTTCCAGGAGCTTTCGGTAGGACAGTGCCAACTATTTGCACTTTGCCGAGCACTTGTCAAAGTCAACGCCCTGCGACGTTCTGGTGTGAAGCCAGTCATTATCTTGGATGAAGTCACATCCTCCCTGGATACTGCGACTGAATCCACCATCCATCAAATCATTGACGACGAGTTTACCGAAAAGGGCCACACTGTCATTATTGTTACTCATAGACTAGGTGCCTTGGAGGAGCACGCGGAAACTGGAAGGGATATTGTGGCATTAATAGCGAATGGTAGGGTACAAGAGGTTATAGAGGACTTGGGGCCGGCGACTTTCCAGCGGTTTGGGCAGGCGGGATAAAGATTTGCCCAGGTGCCTATTATAATTGGGGCTCAACTGTAACAATCAGCTTGCCAATATAAAAAATGAAGAAACAAAGACGCTCATATTGAAGCTAGCCCGTAATAGGGAAAAACCGACGATAAGAAAAGTTCTCGGCTATTGCCGGCAGAGCGATAACGTTGTCCTCCATGTCTAACCGCCCCTCGTCTGCCCGCTCGCTCGCCGATTGTTTGACTAGGACAATAATTTCTTCCTGTCTCTGGTTCTTATCTTTCTTTCTTCCCAAACCCATATGAGCTGGATTCAGCGACCATGAGCTCTCTGCGTTGCTCCAGGAAACTCATATGCCGCAGCATCTACGGCGGCGCACGTTCAAGTGCTCTGGCCCAGTTCGGCGTGCATCCTCGCCGAGCATTTCACGCGTCTGCCGTTTTCTGGGGCACTAGGTCCCAGGTCCTGAAGGATGTAGGGGAGGGTAGGCTCTTATGCTTTGCGCTCTCGCCCCAGTCAGCCAGCTAACTCGTCATCTCTCTAGGCATAACGGAGGTGCAGATCATTCAGTGGTATGTCGAGGAAGGCGCACACGTGGAGGAATGGAAACCGCTGTGCCAGTATCAATCAGACAAGGCTGTGGATGATGTATGTTCTGGATTTTAGTTCGAATAGGGAGGAATGAAGAAAATTGACCTTTTTTGCGCCAGATAACGTCGAGATATGCGGGAGTGATCAAGAAGCTTCACTTTCAAGCAGATGATACGGTGCCAACTGGGAGGGTGGGTTTCTTTTCTTAGTTATGAGGACAACGTGGCTTATACGTATTGATTCTTGGCCACTAGGCACTATGCGATATTGAGGTCGATGATGCGCAGTATCCAGATGATAACGCACCAGCAGCTCCAGAGGCGCCAATCACAGATACAGAGGACTACCAATACCAAGCCCCTGAGACTTTAAGTAATGCAACTGCCGTGCAGGAAGAGAACAAACCACAGTCAAAATATGCTTCGCTTGCAACACCAGCTGTACGTGGCATGCTGAAAGAGCACAAACTCAATATTCTTGATATCACAGGCACAGGCAAAGACGGGCGAGTATTGAAGGAAGATGTCCTGAAATACGTCTCCGGAAGAGACCAGTTACAGTCACCAAGCATAACATCATCTACGACTACAAACTCCACTATAACAAGGCCTACATCAACCGATACTCCACAAACCGAAACTACCCAGGCATTAACTCACATGCAGTCACAAATGTTCAAGACCATGACCAAGTCATTGACCATTCCGCATCTTCTTTTTGCAGACGAACTCAACATCAATGCCATGACAGCACTTCGGCGCAGCCTCGCTAGTGACCCGAAGAATACGCAGAAGATTACTTCTCTCTCCTTCATCATCAAAGCCGTCTCCCTGGCACTGGAAGAATATCCCATCCTCAATGCCAGAGTCGACACATCAGATGCCTTGGCTGGGCCGAAACTGGTAATGCGCGCTAACCACAACATTGGAATCGGCATGGACACGCCCCAGGGCCTCATTGTGCCTAACATCAAAAACGTCGGGGCGAAATCGATTTTTGAGATCGCAGCCGAGATATCACGTCTGAGCTCTCTGGGCAAGGAAGGCAAGCTCAGACCCGCTGATATCAGCGGCGGTACTATTACGGTGTCCAACATCGGGAATATTGGAGGTACATATCTGTCACCTGTGATAGTGCCGACGGAAGTGGCTATCCTGGGAGTTGGGCGGTCAAGGATCATCCCGGCCTTTGACGAGGCAGGCCAAGTGATCAAAGCAGAAGCAGTCAATTTCAGTTGGAGTGCTGATCATCGGGTGATTGATGGCGCGACAATGGCACGCATGGCTGCCAAAGTCAAGGAGTATATTGAGGCGCCACATAAGATGTTAATACGATTGAGATGAGAGCGAACTATCAGCGGCAGCTGTACAGAGTAGAAGAAATAAATATTCTTAATTTAGCGGTAGAGAATGTTGATGATAGATTAGGTTGGAGAGACGTAGGAATTCCGTCTTCTAGAGATTGTCAATATCAAACGTTATGATATGATCCTGGTCAACAAGCACAGACTGCTAGAGTCTGAATTCCGAAAGATCCACAGGCACCTGGCCGAGACGTCAAGGTCTAGTTCAAAAAAAGAAAGAAAAAAAAATGACAAAACCAAAAGTACCAACACATCCATCCATGCATGGCTAATGCTCCCATATCAAACACCAGACGTCATTTATCCCATGCTAATTGTACTCCTTTCAAGGAGAAAACAGAAAAGAAAGAAGAGTGTGTTTCTGCTTGCTATCAATTGTATTCGGCAAGCTTCGATGCAACTGCCTCTGAGACGCTCCTCCGGACTTCTTCTGGGGAGACCGAGACGTCCACGGCGAGGACATCCTTCTCATCAGAAGGGTCCTCAAGAGCCTCGAACTGCGAGTGCACCATGTTTCCCTTCATATAGTGGCTCTCGCGGCCATCTACTCGTTCCAGGAGTGTCTTCTCGTCGGCCTTGAGGTAGATGAAATGAATGCGAACCGACGGGTGGTCATATGCAGCAACGCGGATGACGTCACGGTACTTGAGTTTCAGGGCTGAGCATGACACGATCACTCCAGAAGGAGGCTGTTGAGACTCGTTATTGCTGATGCCATCGGACCCGGATGCTGCGGCTGCTACTGTTGGTGCTGGTGTCGAGAGGATGTCGACGGCGGCATCACGCAGGGATATCAACCAGTCCCAGCGATCTGCATCCGTCAAGGGGATGCCATTAGACATTTTCTCTTTGTTGGACGGAGGATGAAACTGCAGTAAGACAGGCATTTGGTCAGTTCAGGGGACGCAACCGTCATCTCTTTCGGATTGGAGACGGATGGAAGGATGTCGCCAAACAGACAGGCAGAAAGACAAAACAAAAGAAAAGAAAAGAAAAGAATACGCACATCATCCCCTTCTAAGAAGGGCAAGCCCATCTCCGCTTGGAGGTTCTTCGCAACGGTCGTTTTGCCCGAACCAGCCGGCCCCGTCACAATCCAGATATGCTGCAGCGACTTTACGGAATCCATATCAGAGCGGTCGTTTGAATCCATGCGATAGTATGTCTTTGGGCCACGGAGTGGGTTTTCTTTGGGGTACCCGAATATGCTGGGAGTGAGTCCATTCGACGTCGTCGAGGATTTATCGTTTGCAGAAAGCATGTTTGTGTACTTTTTTTTTTGACCAGGGAACGGGTCTGGGGATGTTTGGAACGGTGGAAAGATAAGAGAAAGTCTATATTTTATATACAGATATATGCGTTTACTCCCGAGGGAGTCAGCTCGCTTTTTTACTTGTTTCCTTTGTTTCGGTGTGCTCGCTGTGCTCACTGTACTCGCTGTTTGGGCGCAAAAGTATTCGCTGGGCCGGGGTGTATGCAGTTGCGCAACGAATTTGTAGACGAGTCCAATGGTTGTTGCAATTCCGACTGGTGCTGTATCTCAATGCGACATGCTCGTGTCTGAAGCTGGAACGTAGGCAGAGCGGCGGTGTGTTTTGTGACTCTGACTATTTAAGTAGTGAAGAAGAAGGGCGAAGAGAGACAAGTAGGAGAAGCAGGGAAACCTGGTATTATATATACAAATTACATGGTGAATACCGATCAATTACCGACCGGCCTAGAAAATACCAGACGTAATATTACCCAATGCGGCAAAGGCCGTGGGGGTAACCTTCCAGTTCCGACGGGCTGGGTACGAGTGTGATTTATGCACGGATAGGTAGGTATGGCGATAATAACACATTTTTTCGGAGCGAGCGGCGAGAGGCAATGTCATTATCCCGTATCACTGTACTCTGTATAGCACTGTATACAGCTATGAATATTCGTGTTTCTAGTGCGATAAAAAAAAAGATATCCATCGTTCTCTGTCGGGTTGGCCTTTTTTGCGTTGACTATGATTTCATATTTCCCGGCAGAAAGGGGAAAGTTACCTCCTTTCCGATTCGGGCTACTCGGAACCCTCCACAGCCAATCATATGCTGCTGGCCGGACGGCATTGATCCCCGCGTTACGCCGCCGATACGCAGCGATACGTGCTGGGTGACCCCCCACGCTAGTCAGTACCCGCTCTCAAAGCGCTAGTATTTAGTGTTCTGATATGTCGTCGGTACAGTATTACGCCGTAGGTACTCACTCTTCTTTCCTTGTACGTAGTTGTTGACGTTTGTACGCTTGGCTATGCATGCAAAATGATATATCCATTGCTGTGATAATCTTCCTCTGCAGTGCTCTTATCCAATCGTTTGTGGCATTTTAAATCACGCGACAGCTGGGCTAGGAACCAATGTTACATCCAATCACTTAGAAGTCTCGGTCTTTATGCGCAGAACATGCTTAAAATCTTAATTTTGCCACATGCTGACGCAAGTTTCTATCAACTAGGTAGCACCTCACTAACTAAGAGCGCATATGCATTGCGACGTCGAAAGCATCTCATCTGCAATTGATTTGTTTGCGAGTTGCTCGACATGTCATTGTCAGGCCGTTGATTACGTAACGGCACCAGCGAACCAGCATGACTTCCGTCGGCGCCAGGCAGAAGCCACTTCGAGATAACGGCACAACTACAACAACAACACCACCACCACCAGCACCACCAGCAGAACCACCAGAAGTCGCGTTTTGGGAATCTAGTAAGAGCGTCGCCAATGCTATATTCTGTGGAACATCAATCTCGAATTTGAAACCACAGCCCCCTGTTGCAGTGCCGCAATGGCTCCGTTCTTCTTCTCGACACCTGTCGATATCGATGTCGTCCTCGAAGATGGCGACGAGCGACAGACAGTCGACGTGAAGCTTGAAAAGGGCCGTCGCGAAAAAGCCCCGCTCTACATGGATGGAGAATCTGTTAAGGGTGCGGTGACAGTGCGGCCGAAGGATGGAAAACGATTAGAGCACACCGGCATTAAAGTGCAATTCATAGGCTCAATCGGTATGCTACGTCACCTTTTACAAGTTTGGACCCTTGTATAATTGTTGCCAGCATTATACAATCCTAGCTCTCTGCTTCCTCGGAGGTTTGGATTCGGAGTCAGGTTTACTACGATGAATATGCTAACTAGTGTCTCCGTTTAGAGATGTTTTTCGATCGTGGTAATCACTACGAATTCCTTTCGCTCGTTCAAGAACTGGCTGCGCCGGGCGAGCTCCAGCACCCTCAAACCTTCCCCTTCAACTTCAAAAATGTCGAAAAACAGTATGAATCATACAACGGAATCAATGTAAAGTTGCGATACTTCGTGCGGGTCACAGTCTCGCGGCGCATGGCAGACGTCATACGAGAAAAGGATATCTGGGTTTACTCGTATCGCATGCCTCCAGAGATCAACAGTCCCATTAAGATGGACGTCGGAATTGAAGACTGCTTACACATCGAATTCGAGTACTCGAAATCACAGTATCACCTCAAAGACGTCATTGTCGGGCGGATATATTTCCTCTTAGTCCGGCTCAAGATCAAGCATATGGAGCTTTCAATCATTCGGCGGGAAACGACAGGTGCAGCTCCCAATCAATACAATGAAAGCGAGACGTTGGTGAGATTTGAGGTGAGCCATCTCGAAGACGGACTTGGTGGAATCGAATATTCTAATGGCATTATTCCGCAGATTATGGATGGATCTCCTTCACGAGGTATGCGCGATATGTATGTCGGCATCGCATCTTATAGCTGACGGATTACATCGCAGGCGAGACAATTCCCATCAGATTATTCCTCGGCGGGTTTGACCTTTCCCCCACGTTCCGCGACGTTAACAAGAAATATTCAACCCGATACTATCTGAGCTTAGTCTTGATCGACGAAGGTAAGTTCACCTGTTTTTCATTCCTGTATTTGATGATACAATTGTATCGAATATCAAAAGCCGCCGGCTATTGAAACAACCCCCGTTATTACGGCGACACTAGCGTACCCCGCAGGCAGGAATCTCGCTCACATTCTGCTCCAATTGTAGATGCCCGTCGCTACTTCAAACAATCAGAAATCGTACTCTACCGCCAAGCGCCTGAAATCGCCCCAACACCTGAAGTTGCGCAACAGCAACTGTTACAGAAGCAGCACCTCGAGAGACAACAGCAAGTCCTTGTTGGTCCGAGCAAGAATCCGCAATATGTCCAGCCTCAGTCTCAACCCCAACCTCCAGTTTCATCATCCCTGAACCCAGCGCAGGATACACAGCAACAAGCTCAAGCTACCGGCTCTGCATAGGTAAGGAGTTCGGATACGGATTTATCAAACTTTGTTTTTTGGCGTGAATCGGCTTCTTTTTTCCCTTTCCCTCTTCCTCCTTTACTAGACTCCGGCTACGTTGTCCATATATCTAGGCGGGATAATGAACATCAATCCGTCTTTTATATTATATCCGTCTATCAATCAAGACATCTTCAAAAGTACATTGCATCGTGTTGTGATGTAGACCTGGATCATACATATCCATTGTACATACATGCGGTTTCAGTTGGGTAGCTCGTATTAGATCTGGTCACTGTGCTTATGTATCTATGCTCAACTAAAACAATGCGGCGTAGAGAAATATCTATCTATATATAATCAATCCTCCATTATACAGATATCAAATTAGGTATATTCTTGATCTCGACACGAAAGTCAAAAAAAAGGATAGAGTATGGGGACAAAAAGTCAGTAAGATCTAGAAGGGAAAAAAAACCTCCTAGTCGTCTTCCCCATCTCCATTGTCGTTGTCACACACCGCATCCAGAATTTTGCTCAAATGTTTCAACACTACGACATCATTGTTTCCTCTGCCTTTCTGTTTCCCGGCTACTTGGACACATTTCACGATAAGTGGATAGACCCAGCCCAAATGCTTGCTGTATACCAGATGAGACTCGTGGCGATTCGAAGAGGCACGGTGATGCGAATGGTGAGCTTCGGTGGGGATACTGGTAGTAGTAACGACTCCACTGGGTGCATCCGGTATTGCTGCAGGCTCGCTTCGGAGGTTGAAAAGCTGGTCGAGGATGTGTACGAGTTCGCGATGCGCGGGTGCCGGTTGCGGTAGTAGTCCACGTAAAGGCTGGTCGGCGATGTATGATTTGAGCGGAAGGAAAGATCGAAGAATTAGATAGGGCAGGATTGAGCGCGCGAGAGCTATGCAAGATGCTGTATTGTTTGGATTTTCTCTCATTTCTGCTCCGGTCTCCGTCGAAGCAGATAATGAGGAGGCTTGGGCAAGTGCGAACATGGTGTCGATGAGAACGTATGCTATGCGGGATCTTGCCGTGGGCACCGGGTCATAGGTCCTCCCGCGACGAACTTTGTACAAATCATGAAGCGGGTTGTCTAGTAGCGTTTCAATAGGGGTGTCCATTGGCTGCGGAAGGTAGATAAGTGAGGACTGGAAAAGAGCACATGAAAAATCCCGTCGAATACTGTCAGGTATATTGTTCGAGCCCAATGACGGAATCAGAAGTGGCACGAGTGTGTGGAAAGCATCCATATCAAAATCTTCGTCGGCCGCGATTCTCGATGTTGATAAACCAAAATCATCATAATTACTCGCAAGAATGATCCCGCGAGTGATCTCAATAACATTGGTCCAAAACGAAACAATATTCGACTTCTCGCATACAGTATACTTGCTTTCCACGTATGGTACGGCAACACGAATGATTTTGATAGCGGATGTCGTGACTTTCTGCCATATCAACTGCTCACGGTCCTTGCCACGCCACTCATATTTTCGAGCGATAGGGTGAGCTAGATGTTGCAGTACAGATGCCAAGGTTCCGTCCGAGAATATGTCCGCCTTGATGCCATGTTCGGCAATATACCAACTTAGAAGGTCAATTGCACCCTTTGAAAAAGCCACAAACGAGGGGCGACTCTTGTCTCTGTCCGCCGTCCAATGCGTCAGAGCAGCATCGCTGAAATCTGCAAGGCACATTACAATGGCAGACTGTGATTCGTCCTTATCAAGGCAAAGAACTTTGATGCAATCAAGGATCAGTTCCTGGAGAGTCGATTGATGGTCGACATCAACCGAATACCTCGAGATCACAGAGTTCCAGACCGCCGCGCGCATGTGTTGTAATACCTGGACAACTTGTTCTTGTGAGAGGTCACCCCTGTATAACCGATATATCTGCTGGAAAAACCGGAAATAGGCAACAAGGGCGTCCTGATTAGGTTCTTCCAGATTCAAAGTCTTCTCTTCAAGAGCGAGGTGGTTGTTGACCCACAAAAACCATGCACATCGTATCGCTTCTCTGCTGAAACCACTGGAAGATTTTTCATGCTTCATAATGTCACACAGGCTGGCATATATGGCTTCCTTGATCCCATTAGTGTTGATGCGAACCAAATTTTGGCAACATTCGAGCAATCGTTTCCAAGAGTCATCAAATCTCTTGTCTTGGACAATTGTATCGAAAAACGTCGTAATTAAATCAGCACTGCCCTTGATTACTACCACAGATGTTTCGATCCATTCTTTCGCTTGGTCTGTTCCTTCACGTGCAAGACTTTCCGTCGCAAGAACTTTGTTTTGAACATCTTCCATCATGACAAAGAGGACACGATTGAGGCAAAGATGCCATGCTTTGGGGGAGAGTTGTGGACCATATGCATCTAAAATCCTCAGAAGTGTATGAATTGCACTGTTGCGAATACCAGACCTATCATCTATGGTGAGATCAACGATGCGGAGAAGCAGAATCAACCACAGCGCTCCTCTGGACGTTGATAAGTCAGCATCATCGGTCAAAGCTGCGAGAGAGTCTTCGCTTATGGATGTATCCATGCAATCCTCAATAGAAAATTTGCCAACTTGGCCTTGAAGAAAGTCCGACACATTCCAGAAGAATGTTGTAGTGGTCAAAGAGATGTTGAAGTCCTGATTTTGTGATGCGAAGAATGACAATGAATCAACTAGTTCGAGCAGACATGACGGCGGAAGCAAGGTGAGGAAGTCAGAAGCAATGAGTTGCAATGAGCTATACGATGCTCGCACAAGACGTGGAGACCTAGCTTTGAAATCTCGGGCTCTTGACAAGGACTTTCTCCTTGCGTCTTTTGATTCTTGCCCTTCCTCAGTTTCCGGAGTTGTATTCTCAAAGACACTAGAGATCAATTCGAAAATTAGGTCCCAGCCGGATGTGAAAGCCTCCCCATATTGCTCCAACATGGCTTTCAAAGTATCTAAGGCTTGCCCATGAGCCTCCATGTCCACAGTGACTTGCTTATCTCGTTGCATATAGAGCGATGAGATTTGTGATTGTAGAGAATGGAGGTTCCTGAGTTGCAGAACGTTCCGAGAATCTTCTTCAAACCACCCGTTCTTCATAGTCTGCAGGATGATATAATTCAATATACTGCTCGCTTTCAAGCGAAGACTTCGACTATATGTGCTGTTTGTTATGATCAATTTCAGTTTCAGATTCATGACGCTCCAAGCAACATCTTCGTCTTGTCCCACGGTCGATAGACGTTCAATATTCGCTTCGCAGAGTTCTTTTGTTCTATCGAGTGCGAGGTTTATTTCATCATCCTGCAATCTGGAATTTCCCATAGGCTGGTTAGCCGAGGATTTTGTGGGAGATAGTGATGCTGGCAACAACGCTCGTCCCTTGGCTGACAGCAAACCTAAAAGCGCCTCAAGTATTGCTTGAAATGATGTGTCGGGATATTCCGCAGTGCTTTCAAACATTTTTGACGCAGCTGTTGAGACAGCAAGTATTTCATTTGCGATATTACCCCTGGGAACATCGGTACCACCACTCTGTGTGATATGATCGCTATTTCCAGCATTCGATGTCTGTTTAGCAGAGGCATTAATTACCAAATCTGCATTCTGTAAAGTCTCCAGAATGATAGACCATGCTGCGCAATCCAACGTTGGCCCTAGAGCAATTCCAAGATTTAACAAAGCTCGGAGGCAGAGAAGATTTCGCGTGCTTAATGATGCCCTTGCAACTTCAAACGACGCTTTTGGTGTCTCAAAATGCGGGTTTAGAGATTGATCAGTGAGCCCCGCTTCTGAAGTATCTGAATGGAGCGTGTTCGTGCTGATAGAACGAGTGCTCAAATCATCCACCGGGAGAGTGGCTTTTCCCAGGGTGGATAGAAATGCATCTCGTGCTGCGCTCTGGCGGAGAAGACCAGCTACATGGGTCAATTTCTGAAAGGACCGGACGAGATTGTGATAAAAGTCTGCGTCTAATGCCGCGTAGAAGAAAACAGAGCACGTTGCCAAAATTACAGGCCAGCATGATTCAGTGATTCCGGCGCTGGATTTTATGGCAGAACTCTGCGGATGATCCCGTAAATCTAATGGGTTGAGAGGGACTGTCTGTCTCCTGGATTCAGACCCAGTTGATTTAGTTGAGTCTGATCTGTGTAGTCCGCGAGAAGCTTCAGTAGAACCTCCATCAATCCTTCTTCTTCGCTTGCTCTTCGACTCAGTCACTGTCAGCGGGATAATAAATCTGGCAAGGCCTTCGGACAGCGCGCTGAGGCAGTTCAGAACCAGGCTGTAAATATATGTTTCTGGAGGAGGTGGCGCTTCTGATTTATCGAGAAGTTCAAGATACGGGGTTCTGACCGTACTCCATTGAGTGCTGATTCCGGTAACACTTTCGTCTGCAGAATTCACCGCAGCGGCAATGACTCCAGCAACGCCTCCAGCCTCGAGTGCAATTTGATCGTCTGTGTTCGACCTAGATCGTGAGTCATCCGAAGGTATTGTTGACTGATGACTGACGCCTATTAGGGATGGTTTCTCAGAAGCTATTTTGAAGAGTGACTCCATATGGTCCTTCACGATATTCTTTCTTCCCTGTGCTTCATCGAAGAGTGAGTAAATTAACCTTACTAAACCAGGTTCGGAATGAAGGCTACGAAAGGCTTCCATGCAAAGAACTCGTTTCCACTCTGTTGATACTCCGGGCTCCAAAAGATGAATCATAAGCCCTAGAGCAATCTCACATTCGTTCGGCAGTAGACTCGTGAAGTTACGTAGAAGTACTAATAGTATTCTAGTAATGCGTAGAGTCTGAGCAAACCCGTGTCTTTGTGAGAGAAATTTCATTGTCAAAGGCAAAAGGCGGGTTTGTAATAATTGCATCTGCTCCGAATGGCTTCGAAAGAGCTTAATGTTATTCACCAAGATGCTCTCGATAAGCTCGAGGACAAAATTGGATGGAAGAGTCTTTATGTGGAGGTACTCCGGCTTTTCGCCTTCAGTAAATCGGCAGAGGTCGCGCAAAATCTACACGCACTTATAAGCTGGTGGAAAAGATAATATACAGACCCATACATACCTGGAGAGCATCATGCGCAGCAATACCAATGTCGATGGTTGATTCACCAACCAACACCTGGGTGGTAACCGAACTTTGAGGGTCTCCTGTGGTAGAGCAATACCCTTGGTGAGCATCTGTTTTCAACACACGGTACTCTTCAAGCTTCTTACCATCTTCAACTGATACTTTCTCAAACGCCGAGCTGATGAGCTGCTGCAATGTGGCCGCTGCAGTATTGGATACTGCAGCAACCTTGCTAGCTTGTAATGTGGCGCATACTTCCAAAAGACGTGCAAGGGGCTCCCCACTCAATGCATCAGAGTAGTTATGGAGTAAAGCCGGCAATGTCTGGAGAATCTTCAATTGCACATCTTGACCTACGAAATGATTAATAAAAGAAAGTAAATATAGAAGCGGGTGCATATACTTAATCCAGTAATGTCACGCAAAGCGGACAGGGTATCATCAAGTCTAGTAGGTGCAATCGCATGTGATGTAGCAAGTCTTTGAAGGCAGACGACGCCAATTGCCACGAGCTTAGATTGCCGTGTTTGGCAAGCAAGGATAAACGGGGTGACAAAGTGTGGACGCCGTATTAGATCTTGATAAAATCTTTAGCTTACTCGTGTTGAAAGTCGGTGGGAAAGACAATACGAACCGGCTGTTATTTGTGTCTCAGAAGTTGAAGGCAAAGCCTTCAAGTCACTTAATGATTGTTCGGCAGCCTACACATAAGCGAGTTAGTCGTGGCATTGGTGTTGCATCAAAGCATTTCGGCGGTTTATACATTTCGAAGATCGGAGTGTTTGCGCTTCGACTCCTGTATCAGATTGGCGAGTTCCGTCTGCAATATCTGAGAGGACATATCCAATCACATATATGAGGGCAATAACATCTCAGAGGATTGTGCATCCAGTATGCTTGCTGCTGTCTCGATGCTTAACGAATGGCGAGACTCAACATTCCATTTGGTACAGTATCTTTGTATGCCGAGGATTGTTGAGAGAGTCACGAACAACACACGGGTCCAGATACATCGAGACTCATAAGCGTCCGGATACCAAGTAAGACGGTTATTGCAATCCTACCAACAAATAGGAGGGTGCAATGCTGTTACTGCGTGATAATCACAGCGTATACATGAAGCGTGTCCTTGTCGAGTGACGGACGGCGCCTCGCCAAGACTTCAGGAAGCTCCGGAGCATGGACCGGCGCCAGGAGTGAACCCCAATATGATTGGTTCCAGGAAAGGCGGTGAAGAGTGAATGTCACGTGCCTGAAGACCCGCCATATTATTTCGTGTCGCCGCCGGCCAATGGAGATCAAGTGCCCCTCCAAACGTTGTTTTGTCTCGATTCACAGCCACCGCCAAACTTCACCACAAAAAATCAAGACAACAGACAACTCCGGGAGATTTTGAGAGCCACGCAGAGCACCATGGCTAAGGTTCCACGAAATTTCCGCCTTCTTGAAGAGCTCGAAAAGGGCGAAAAGGGTCAAGGAGCTGGTATGTGCTGGAACCCCTCGAATTTTGTTCGGTCCTTCTGAACTGACGGGCATTTCATCGCATTGCAGAGGCATGCTCTTATGGACTCGCCGATGGAGAAGATCTTATGATGACCAATTGGAATGGCACCATTCTTGGACCTCCTCATGTGTGTATCATCGAAACGCGCGCCTAAAGATATGTCATTAACCAACCGCTGTGACAGAGCGTTCACGAGAATCGCATATACAGTGTCAATATTCACTGCGGAGATGCATATCCCGACGAACCACCGACGATTCAGTTTGTCTCGAAAATCAATCTTCCCTGTGTTGATCCTCGAAGCGGAAAGGTTGGAACCTGACTCGCACCCCTTGTCATACACTTGCTAAGTCTGTGCAGGTCGATCTTGGAAAGCTGCCTACACTGGCAACATGGAAGAGAGACTACACCATGGAAACAATCTTGCTTGAGCTCCGCAGGTCCGTATCTTTCCCGAATATATACTCCGGCGTACTAAGTCTCGGGTTTGCAGGTTCATGGCTTTGCCTCAACACAAGAAGCTCCCCCAACCTCCAGAGGGCTCTACCTTCTAAAATAAGTCATGCTTAGAGTAATTATGAAGGTTATGGATGGTGTATCATGAATAAATGACTCGTCATTTTCTTTTTCTCTGTGAGTATAGTGAGTTTATGCATTTCGGTCACTGATTAGCGGGCTTTTGATTCATTCTTCTATCTGCATTCGAAGGGGACCTACATTAGGAGTGAACTAAGGCAATAAATTATTATATCTTTATACACTTTATGTGCAAGGTCTTTTATTTGCTCTTTGATTATGAAGAGCTTCGTCGCATGCTAGAGTATATTATATACCAATCAAAGTCACGTGGTGATAACGATACTGGAGTCGTTATCATTAATGGAAATTAAAGAAGCACGGCAACCTCAACTCATTGATCTGTTCCTTCTCATCAAAGTATCCTGCATTTGCATTCATAACTGCCTTGTATAATGAAGTGGGGGAACTTTCCTGGGAAAAGTAGCGTGCATCGCTATACCTGTTCGTCTAATTTCGTTCGATGACTTTCCTGGATCCAAATGCTGACGCGTTCAGGCCTCGCTTTATATCGAGCACTTCTGCGACAATGTCCCAGATTGCCTTCGACAATCAGCGGAAACTATGCGAGAAAGGTTTTGAGAGAAAAGTTTTATAAATGCAAAGGACTGAACAGTCCTACAAAAACTCTTCACAGCCTGGAGGCAGGGTATGAGGTAGAGTCTTCCGATTCCTTCGAGCCGTAACTGCTTGCTGAGTGAAGAAACGAAGGCGCTAGATATGATGCACTCAGCATCACAGGGGGATAAATTTTCTATGCAACGTATCTGCAAGATCCTTGAAGACATCAAAACTCGTGAAGATCATCAGAAAACAGGCGCAAAGGCCACAATTCCGACTAGGCTTAGCTCATTGCAAAAGAAGCGAGCCCAAAACGTGGCATTACAAAGGCAAACTACGTTCCGCCACCCAGATGCTGAACCGATCCTTTCGCGCCCGAGACCTGTTGTGACTGGTCGGCGGAGAGTACCTGTTTTCGTAAATGCTCGTGGTTTACCTTTTCTAAGAATAAAGAAACCACAACCGCAAAATCTGAGCAGGGTTCTCCGACAGAAACAAAAGTTCAAAGAAAAGCTTACAGCTCGACGTCACAGGTTGTATTCCAATTTTCTCTTTTCAAAAGATGAAGAAGACTGGGACCGATTGCTTGCTGGTAAGAATCCAACTAATCTGTTGAAACGGAATTGGATTGAAGGGTCTTGGGCACAGATTGCTTGGGATTCTCATGAAAAATCTTTGGCCGATAATATGACTTTCCAACAAAAGCAAGTAGAACTCGCAGAAGCGATGTGGAAAGTTGTACTCGCCGAACGAAAACTAGCCGAAAAGGAGGAAGTTGAGAGAGAAAAAAAATGAAGTTTCACCCTGAGTCGGCATTGGAATTTTGAATACGAGAAATATAGTGCAGAGATCTTCGTCAATTTCTCAACTACGTCTACAGCCCTGCCGAGTTCCAATACCAAGCGAAAAATTCTAGTCGCCTTTACCATCAGCAAATACCTCCAGTCAGGATCAATGCCTGCTTCTGAACAGAACCTCGGGAGTTATAAGTTAACTATAAGATTTATTGAGACCTCCAGTTCGCTACTGAGCTGCCTATTGTGGAGATTAGTGGGAGAAAAGCTGTGTTCATCCTTCATTATCTTCCAAAAGAGCCGGATCGCAATTTGTTGAGAAAGCTCTACGCCGAAATTTGCAACTTTTCGACACCTGTCGACGGCAATTCTTCGTCGCCGTCTTCGTCATAATCGGCCTTTCCTGCCAGGCCGCGTTCCCAAAGCTGCCGTCCAGTGAGCTTTGACTCTTCACGAGCAGACGCCTTCTTTTTCTTTTCTTCCGCCTCTTTTTCCTCCCGCTCTCTCCGCTCTATCTCCTCCAATTCCTTCCTAAATCGTTCCCTCCATTCGAGAAATTTTTCTCTAGTGACTAGCGTTCCCTGGAACTTTCGGTTTTCTTCCTCCTCTGCCCTAGCAATCTCCCTCTCGTGTGCTTCTCTCTCGGAAGCCGCACGTTCCATTATCAGGCTTTCCGCTGCTTCTTTCAAAGTGCTGAATAATGTGAAGACCATTGCCATGCCAACGTTCTCCTCGATGCTAGGCTGAAGTGCGTTCATAAGATAGGCTTTGTCCTCTTGTATGTCGAAGCGGGGGTGTTTCGGAGAATTCGGAGGGGTCAAGATGTCAAGATCTGGTGCCACATCGGGATATGCTTCGGGATAAGAAACCTGTAGTATCAAGATCGGTGCTTCTTCATCATCTCCGTCGGCATCGAGGTCAAGCGGTATAGTTATTCGATAGGAGGTATCTGATAAATCTAACCAACCATAAAAATTCAGCCAAATGCACATAGATTATTAATTCCAAGCTATGCATCCTATAAGTACCTGTAATTTCTTCCGGGAATATAGATTCGAGAACTTCTCGTTCCTCGACCTGCTCCTCTCGACCCATTTTGGGGGATTCTTTGGAGGGGAAACTTCAAGGCAAAAATGAGTTATCGAGATCAATCAATGCGATAAAGTAACTTCAAAAACTTCTGCCGTGACACCACGATGGATAATTTCGCTATGTTAGCAATAGATGAATTGCAATTTAGCAGCGAGGGTATAATGTCGCATAGACTTAGGATCTTGAGATCACAAAAGACAGTGGAGTGTCCCGCATGCAAACACCGCAAACACGTCCAAAATTATTTACAACAGCGAGTTAGGCATATTTTTTTTGTTACACATTTTCTATTAAACAACATTATTTACAAGGCTCAACGTGGACAAATTACAATATTTTCCCTTATGACTGTCTGACTGGATCATGGGCAAATCGAGAACAAAAAATAAAAAGCATTCATCCAAGCACGAAAAGTCTGTTCTCCACGGTGTGGGCGGCGTTGTCTCCAAACGACAAATGGCAGAGAATGCTTCCGAACTACTTGCAAAGGCCACCGTCCTGTTACAAACAGGACAGGCCGATGCTGCACTTCCTCTAGCTCAGCGCGTACTCGAAATCTCCGAAGAGAACTCTCCGAATACGTTATCGGCGATTAATCTCGTCGCAGAGATATATGTCGAGCTCGGCGAAATCGATGATGCCCGGCAAACCTTTTTACATGCAGTACAACTCGATCCTGAGGGGACAATACCTGAGTCGCAAGGTGGCGGAGCAGAAAAATTCATGTGGCTCGCACAGTTGAGCGAACAAGGCGGTGCGGACAGTGTAGCCTGGTATGAGAAAGGCGTTGGCGCCCTGAGGCATATTATTCAGTCACTTGAACAAGAAGGGGGGTCCGAAAATGCGGCATTGCTTGAAGAGAAAAAGAAGAAATTGGCAGTTGCTCTATGTGGCGTGGTGGAGTTATATATGACTGATCTGTCGTAAGTGGGCATTTTTTCTTACTGACTGATTGTTCTGTATGATTAACTTGTTGAAATCCTAGATGGGAGGAGGACGCCGAGAGCAGATGCGAAACCCTCATCACCGAAGCCCTTCTGGTCGCACCCGATCAACCAGATTGCTTACAGACTTTAGCCTCCGTCAGGATATCTCAAACGCGAGTAGACGATGCTCGAGCAGCTCTCGCTCGGAGTCTGGAGCTCTGGCAAGACTTAGCGCCTGAAGACCCGAAGATTCCTGATTTTCCCTCACGCATCAGTCTTTCTCGTCTTCTTATGGAAGTCCAAATGGAGGTCCAGGCGCTTCAGGTGTTGGAAAGACTAATCCTGGAGGATGACGAGAGTATCGAAGCTTGGTATTTAGGCGGGTGGTGTCTATACTTGCTGGCAGGGGAGGAGAAGGAGAAGGATTCGTCCGAGGAGAAACGGCATGAGTCCATGGTTGCCAGTCGAGAATGGCTAAAACAAGGCTTAAAGCTCTACCAGAAGCTCGAATATGAAGATGACAGGCTCAGAGATCACGCACTTGAACTTGTCCACGAATTGAATAAAGAACTTGGTGAAGATATGGATGACGATAGTGATGCAGAGCCTGCTTTTCCAGGCGGCGATGAAGAAGAAGACTGGGATGGAGAGATCGAGGCTCTTTCTGACGCTGAGGATGAGGATGATGAGGACCATGAAATGAAGGATTCATAATGGGGCATTTTTGATCTGTTTTTCTTTTTCTTTTTTTTTTTTGTTTAAAGTCTTCAACGCAAGCAAAATAGTTGCACATTATACGATACCAATTGAAAACAGACTACTTGTACATCCACGGACCTCAATTCAAGCAAGGCTGTTTGGTAGATATAACTAAATCTGGTCGTTCCTGAATTTCTTTTTTTTTCTTTGCGACGCCACTCCGATTGGCCAGTGACAGTCCACGGATAAACCCGGCAGCCGGGCGATAAGCTTAGATAAGCGATAAATAACGGAGTGAGGTCGACATTCGTTCAATCTTCAAATTGCTGTGGTCAACGCCAATGTGAGCGACTGTCCATAGGCAAGAGGAGCCAAGGGGAGGTGCACCTGATCAACTCTAGCATGGATCTTGCGCCAGCTCCAGATATGAAGACTCCCGTCGTGGAGCTAAACGTGGTGGAGACAGGGGATGCCAAACCAGCCGTCATAGAGGAGTCCGCGTCCCCGGCGCATGAGGGCAACAACGGCAGTGATGAATCTGCTGATGAATGGGAGTCTGATTCTCTATACGAAGAAGCGTTGCACTTCATTCGGGATGACCAACTCTCTTCTGGTAAGTCCCTTCAGTATCTATTGCCACTTGCATAAGTCTCTAACCCTTTCTTTCAGTGCCAGACGCATGCACGCCGCAAGAGGCAGCAGCCTACCGTAAGCTTTTACGCGACGTTGGCAAGGTCGCTTTTGTTGAGCAGACAATCGGAAAGAATACAATAACCGCGAAAAAGCTCTTGACGGCCTTCGGTATTGTTCCTCCCTCTTTCCTCGAGGATGCGCCTGATGAAGCCTACCATCCATTGCTGGGTCTTGTTATTTCGCGAGAATTCGCGAAACGTCAGAAATTAGATGAATATAACTCTATTGATGATGCGGTGAACTTGCTCAAGAAATCAAAAAATGTCATCGTCATCACTGGTGCGGGCGTAAGTGCGAATAGTGCTGTGCTGAGACTCAGACACGTACTGATTATTGATTACTTTTCAGATTTCTACCAGTCTTGGAATTCCAGACTTCCGATCAAAAGACACCGGTCTCTATTCGCGGTTGGAGCACCTTGGGTTGAGTGACCCACAGGAGGTGTTCGATATCCATCTGTTCCGTGAAGACCCAAGCATATTCTTCTCAGTTGCAAAAGACATACTTCCTACGGAAAAGAACTTTTCTCCTACTCATGCCTTTATAAGGCTATTGCAAGACAAGGGCAAGTTATTGACAAACTATACTCAAAACATTGACAACATTGAGGCCAATGCAGGAGTTAGTTCCGACAAGATCGTGCAATGCCACGGGTCCTTTGCAACAGCAACATGCACTAAATGCGGGTTCAAAGTTCCAGGTGACGCTATTTTCGACACTGTCAAAGCAGGCAAAATTCCCGTTTGCAAACCCTGCAAGGAACAGATTGCCTTGCGGCCACTGGCGTTGAAACGGAAGCGTAGTTCAAATGGCCTTCATAGTAATCGCAAAAAGGGCTCGCTTGATGATGACTCGGAGGAGGAAGATTATGATATCCCCACTCCTGGTGTCATGAAGGTAAGTCAAGAAAGAGGCCCCCTTTGCTATTCTGGCATATGGCGTTAACGACATTATTAGCCCGATATAACCTTTTTCGGAGAGGATCTTCCTGATGAGTTCGGAAGGCGACTAGTCCACGAAGACCGAGATGTGGCAGACCTGGTCATAGTGATTGGAACTTCCATGAAAGTGGCACCTGTGGCCGATGTTCCCAGCATCATACCTAGCACGGTGCCACAGATATACATATCACGCACGGTTCGTTTCTTCCCCTGGTCATGAAGATGTCAGTCGTTAAGCTAATTGTGTTTAGCCTGTATCACATATCGGGTTTGATATCGATTTGTTGGGAGATTGCGACGTGGTCGTGTCGGAGCTTTGTCGAAAGGCTGGATGGGAGTTGAAACATAGCATGATACCCGAGGACCAAAAGATTGAAGTCACTCAAGAAGAAGGTTATGTATCGCGCCATACCTTCAAAGTCATTAATGTATAGCGAGGCGTCGAGGCATTTTTTCGAGCTTTCTTTTCACTGAAACGGCGTTGAGGTTTTGTTTGACTAAATGTTTTAATGAGATGTTTTACACGATTGCTGAACGAGTTTATGGCTATGAGCCGTATGCTCATTTAAATGTTTCTTTTCTTTATTTTTGCATCTTTCAGGCCGAGTATTGTCGTAAGTCTGTTGTCTTCATGACAAAAATTTGCTGTTGGCCCTATTTCCCCGCCTGTGGATTTGCAGGGTAATGTACCTTACGTACCCGTAGATATTTTTTCTATATTTTCAACATCCGTCAACGGAGGGGTTCCAAGTTTCCCACACTCTCTCCCCCTGCCGTGCTCAACATATAATTACCGTGTGAGAGAGACGCGCAATTACTTGAGAATACCAAATAAAGGAAGTCTTCATGGTCTATACGCAATATGGAATACATAATCAGGTTCGCACAGGCGCACGAGACATTTCGTCAGGCGGAGATTGAAGCGCTTGCCACACTGGCCGGCGTGGATGTCGAGTTTGTGCTATATGATAAATATGTGAGTTCTATTCCTATGAGCCTATGAGAATAGGTACATTTGAGACAGGCGTCCGTCAGTTATATATGCGTAGCATAATCAAGATCTGCTAACAACCGCACAGTCACCATTTTGCGTTGTCAAATTTCCAGACGATGAATCTGCCCGCAAGGTAGTCTCTCGCAGTATACTTGCGCAAGATGTGTATGAACTCTGGGGAAAAGGAGCAAACTACGAGGAATTGCATGCAGATGTCAGGCGCAGGACAGAACGTCGTTGGCCAGACTACAAAGATGTGTCATTTCGCTTCCTCGTAGACACATTTGCAAATAAAAGAACACAGGCCGAGAAGAGAGAGATTATGGAGGGCTTCACATATTTGAAGTTCCAGGGGCCAATTCTCATGAAAAATCCAGACGAGGACTTTGTCGTCTGTGAAGATTATGTGTCGTACGATGAAAGTGTTGATAGAGCAAAGGACACGCCTCTTCAGCAAAATCAAAGTATTGAAAAGGGACTCAAAATTGTTTATTTCGGTCGTTGGGTGTCTGCGAGTAGTCGCGAGCTGATGGCTAAATATGACCTCAAAAGGAGGAAGTATATTGCTACGACCTCCATGGATGCGGAACTGTCTCTAGTCACAGCAAACATGGCTCTGGCAGCTCCAGGCAAGATCTTCTTTGACCCGTTTGTGGGAACTGGGAGTTTCCTTGTTGCAGCAGCCCACTTTGGGGCCATGACGCTCGGTGCAGATATCGATGGTAGGAGTTTCAAGGGCAAACACAGAATCACCAAGGAAATTCCTATCGGGCTGCTCTCAAATTTCAAGCAATACGGCACCGAGAATAAATTTATCGACGCTTTCACTTCAGATCTCACAAACACGCCAATACGTGATGTCCCCTTTCTCGACGGAATTATATGTGATCCGCCATATGGGATTCGCGAACCACTGAAAGTTCTGGGAACGCGAGGTGGACGACAAGCTAAGGAAGTAGAATACATTGATGGCAAACCAGATTATACGTGGGTTTCCTTCCCAGGGAGTCAGTTGTTAAGTCACAAATCACTAATCTAACGTGACAACCACCTTAGTCTACCGGGCTATGTTCCTTCAAAGAAGCCGTATGGCTTTAATGCCTTGCAGCATGATATTCTGGATTTTGCAGCTCGAACACTCGTTGAAGGGGGCCGCATAGCCATGTGGATGCCTACAGCTAATGACCAGGATGTGGAAATGATAATTCCAACCCATCCATCGTTGAAAATTGTCAGTGTGAGCGTACAACAATTCCGTGGCTGTAAGTGACCTTACCTCCATTTCTTTGAAAATAAATATGTCTAACTTGTTGTAGGGGCACGTCGTCTGCTCACTTATCAAAAATTGCCGGACGGAGAGGTATCTTCTGATTCCAAGATAGCCTCTGTGACAGACGACCCGAATGGTGTCACGGCCAATGAACTGAACGAATTCAGACGAAAGGTATGTGTCAGGGTCTCGGGCAGCATTTTTCTGGTAAACTCACTAAACAATCTTGTTAGTATTTTGCTCCAAAGAATGCGGTTCATGATGATAGCTCAAAAGCGCAGAAAGCATAAGACATGGGGAGAGAAGTTTGATGAAGACGATTCCACCTCGGCAGAGGAATTGGCTTGCTGAAACTTATATACATTATTCCTACTGCAAGGGTCATGTGCAGCTGATGAATATATACAAAGCAGGCTCAATGCGCGCTTGCCCTTGCGGACGAGGCTTATCACTACAATTTATGATCAGCATCAACATCCAGGTCAACACCTTCCTGATCCTTCACTCTCGCCACTTCTCTCGCAAGTTCTTCCCTCAGCAACCGTGCAAGCTCCTCGGCTTCTTCGTCGTCTAGATCTTCCCTCTGCCCTCGGCCGAACATCGTCCAACCGGGCGATTGTGCCAGTGTGCCGGTAGAGACAAGCGGAGGTCTGGGAATGATGTGGAAGTGGACGTGAGGAACTACTTGGGCTGCTCTTTCACCTGGAACATATTTGTCAGGCATGATCATGTCATGGAAGGGGACTATGAACACCTCTGTCCCATTTTACTAGTCGTAGTAGTAAGAGAGGGGGGAAATTACCATTATTCTGCACAATATTCCAATGATGCTCTTCTGTTAAACTGCTTTCTCCAAATACCACTCGCATAGCTACTCGCGAGATGATTGGCAGCCATTTACCCATCTGTCTCACCATCATTAGGATCAGCCGCACACCCATCTAGCTCATTGCTTTGTTCGCAAACAAAACAAAGCAGAGGGGGAAAAATCGCGGAAACAATGAGACTTCTACCGATGATAGTGATGATGACTAACCTCCTGCCCAATCCTCACACCCAAAGCCCCAACTTTCTCGTAATGGTCTCTCGTCGTAACAAGTATATGTCCCTTGGACAGAGGCATAATATCGAGAAACGCTAGAACATGTCTTGTAGACAGGATGAGAAATGCGTGCCCTTTTTCCACTGGAGGAAGAACTTGGACTGGCTGTGAAGGTGGGATAGGTGGATATGCGTTTGCGATGCCGCAGAAGGGACAGAGCATGATTGATGCAGGCGTTCTTCTTTTTGTACAGACGCGTGTTTACTCTTGGTTGGTATGGATAGATATATTTATATATGGGTGTGGTGTTTGTGTTTGGAAGAAAAGAAGGTGACCGCCGAGGCGTATGTACATGTAGCGATCTCGGATGATCGCGCCAGGCAGAATCCGGTATCGTGCCATCTTTGACAACGTCCAGCTTTCTGCTCATGTTATATCTCTTCGCCTTGAATCTCGATCAATTGTATCATTCAATTGACTGGCTTTACTGGTTTCAGTCGTCAGTCGGTCAAGGAAAAAAAAAAAAAAAAAAAAAAAAAAGGGAGATCTCATCAAAAAGGATATCCCAATGCCTTGTCGTACATGTAGACACTGGGGGCTTGGCATCGGTCGAAATGAGAACTCTGTTGAATCCCTCAAGCACCGGTTCTTGTTCGCCTGGAATGCTTTACAAAACTTTATGCAGAATGAAGGAGAAAACAAGCGCATTTTCATATCGATGCTGTGAAATCACTCAGGGTCCTGGCGAGAGTTATCTCCCTCATCCATTCCAAGCGATCCTTGTTAGTTTTCACTGCAGAATAGTATGTCTGCCTATCAGACTCATAATCGCTGCTGATAATCATGGTGCTGGAAGTGAGACAAAAGCCATATATCTCTCCATTGGGCTCCAAGGCCGTCAAGGTAAGTGACCCATCATTATCCGAACTACGTACGGCAAAGTGTACGAGAGGAGACAGCGCGCCAAAAGACACATCATAATACCTGATATCAATATAATCCAACGCGATGGAGGACGTTGAATTATTATATCTGACGAGTTGTACTCCCTGGAGAGCGAAGAAGAACGTGTCTAAGATAAGCTCGTCGATTACCACCATCATATACCCGGACCAGCTGATTCGGAATGATCGAAGTCGATTGTTATACAGGACATCTGCATGCGGTTGAATTATAATTTTCGCGATTTCCTGATGGCCATTTTTATTGGCCCACATAAGTGGTGTCAGGCCGTTCTTATCAGGGCTGTGCACGACCGCACCCTTGTCTATCAAGTACTTCACCACGGCTTCGTGCCCTTTCCCCGCTGCCCAGGAGAGAGGCGTACGTCCGTCGTCGTCTTTTGCCTCGATGTTCGGTACATGCGTCGTGAATATCTTCCGAATCATAGACATATACCCTCTCTTCGAGGCCAGTAATAGCAATAAATCACAGTCCATGCCCCCCATATATATTGGGGCGTCATGAGTGAGCAAAAGATCTCGTATTTTTTCATGCCGTCCCCTGATTGCCCATGAAAGAGGCGTGCACTGATCTTCGTCTTGGGAGTTTATATCGGCGCCTGCCGAATACAAAACAACCGCCGCAGCGTAATGTCCATTCATTGCAGCCTGTGAAAGAGGTGTCCGAAAATGACAATCCCTTGCCTCAATCTTTGCCTTGGTATTTACAAGCAGTTGCACAATGGAATAATGCCCGCGACTAGCAGCCAACCAGAGTGGCGTGCATCCAGAATGTGAAGGCTTATCAACCTCAATTCCTCTTGCCCTTAGAAGCAGTTGAACAATTGCCAATTGACCTTTACAAGCTGCATGATGCAAGGCAGTATAGCCTTCTCCATCTTGTAAGTTGACTTGACAGATTCCCAGCAAAATCTCCACAATGGTTGTGTGTCTGAGTTTTGAGGCAATGTGTTGCGCAGGAAGTCCTTCATCCGTCATCGGAATATTGCAAACAAGTTGTAATTCACGATCGTACTCTAGCGCAATTGATAAGAGGGGTCCATGACACTCCTTTACTGCCCATCCGAAGAGACCATGTAAATGAGAATGTAGTGAACGGCCACTAGGTACCCACGGGTGGAAGTTCCATGTCTCGTTGTAGCACGTTGCAAGTCTTTGGAATTTTCTCCAAACGGGTGACTGTTCGGATAAGTCTCTCGTTTGTAGAGCCCAGTTTTTGACCGCATAGTCAAGAAATCTATGTTTCATCCAATCTGGCTCGGAGGCTGTACGTATTGTATGGAATGGCAGGGAAGTAGAGCGTGTCTGTGGCTCTATAAATCCGAGAAAGTGCCTAGAAAATCCAGATGTGATTGCTTCGCGCGCCAGCGAAATCGGATCCGGAACCTTGACTAGTGCTGTCATATCTTTCGGCCTGTCAAGCTGCAGAGAAAAATCAGAAAAGGATAGGTAGACTATACAAAATTCCCCGCATTGTAGGCTACCCTGGATTTGATTTTGTGGATATCCTGGAATGAGCTCCCAATATTTCTCCAGGTACTGTTTTACTGAGAAATGGGCGAAATTTATGCTATAATCGGTGAGATCCATTGTCACAAGGTTCGCACAAGAGCCAAGAATAAAATCAACCCTTGGAAATCGCTCTCCATGCCATTTGGTATCTTCTAGATCAAAAGCAACTGCCTCTCTCAACTCGTCAATATGTAGTGGTCTATTAGCAAAGCTCACCCATTTCAGTACTTTGATAGTGCGCGAGTCATGGAAATTTAACCGATGAATGCAGCACCGGTATGTTTCCTCCAGGCTTTTTGGAAGCGAGCGGAGAGCATCCTGTATTTCGATATCAGAAAAGCATGTGTCCCAGATGATTTCTATTTGAAGATACACCCATAGAAACCTATGATGATCAGCAAGGAAGATGAGGGAACAGATGAAATAGTGAAAATACATGTCCTGGGACTCTATTAATAGAGTCCGTTCGATCTTTCCCACCAAATTAGAGTCATCCGTGAGCTTTCGCAGCATCATTTTATCGGCTATACTCTCTTTGATGAAGATCGCAATGTCACCCATAATATTGGATGATGTTGAAATAGATTGAATGCCCGGTATAGACAATCTTATGTCTACAAACCCGGGAAGTTGTTCTCTGCTCACCAAAAGAATCTGGGATGTATGTGATATGTCGCCATTGCAAAAAACCGATCTAATACACCTTAGCAGGTTCTTTGTCTGTTCTGATTCAACGAGGTCAAGACCATCAAGGATGTATGTTGTATTTGGAACATATCGAAGTAAGTGAATAAAAATATCTTCCAAGTCCTCGAAATCCGGCGTCTCTTGCTCGAGCCTGAAGAATCTGTTGATTTTCTGTAGTACGTATGGTGGGATGGGTAAAGAATTTGACAATAGATATTGACAGATTTGTTTGATGAAGCTGGAGATTATTCCAGAAGCTTGCTGCTCGCTGCGTACATTGCCGCAGTAGAAAAAAACCGTCAATGCACCGGGCTCAGTGCGAGACTTTGCAAGTTCTACCACAGCAGTTCTGCCTCATCTTTAGATTAATCCCATTAAACGAATAAATTGAAAACTCACGCTATAATTGTTTTCCCTGAGCCAACTTCGAATACGAGAAGGTCAGCCCAGTAAAAGTTGCGTCGCAGAGAGTGCTTACTTTTTCCATTGCACCAAAGGCAAGGATATTCTTTTCCATAAAACCAGCGTCGGAAGATTGAGTGGTCTACGAACCACTGCGTTGTACCAATAAGTCTTTTTCGAGAAAGCCTTTGGTGCAGCTTTTCATGGTCGTAACCGGAAAGGCGGTTGAGTATATTCTCATTATCCCCATACTGGCATGATCCCCAACTGAGGGCATCAACTGTGCTGGGTCGATAAGTGTGGAAGTAGGGGTTGACTAGCATGGGAGCTCATTAGAGAAGCATCTAGCATGATATGACTTGCAACTCACGTTCCATGATGGAGTTGGCAACAGGCATCTCCACAATCCATGTTGGATGTATAAGGAAGAGAAGCTCCTTTGCATAGGCTGCTGCTGTTGCCGCGGCGTAATTTTGCCATCGTTTAGTTTTATGCGAGTCCGCATAATCGCAGATGCCCCGAATTATCAAGCAGGGAAAGTTATCCATTAAGCCAGCCGCCTCCATTTCGAAGCATATGATACCGAGTTCTTCAGCCAGCTTATCCCTGGTTGCCGCGTGCTTCATGACCTGGTTGCCAGATGCGATTAGACCATAGTGAATGGCTGGACGACTACTAGCCCGAAAAGGCCGATCAACGATTCTGTCTTTATCGCAGTCTTCGCATGGTTTCTTCGTGTCTCTAACCCGCTCAATCAAATTAATGCCAATGTATCGTTTTGCTGAGGGCGAGCATACTTGTGGTCGTATGTTGACTCAAAGAGTAAGTCATGCTCCTTGCCACAGTACGTGAACATATCCTTCAATGACGCATTTTGTAATGAAGCTTCATGCAAGAAATTAGACATCCGCTCAAGGCCCAACATATGCTGGGCTTGCATTTTGGCAATCGCTGTCAGGAGAATCGGTGGTGGCTTGTTTAAGAGCCCGGTTCTTTGGAAGCGCCCTTCATTCACCGTCTTGCCATAGTCATATTGTATCACGCCACCATAGTCTCTCGTCGGCCGACTAACAACAATATCACCTAAACGGATATCGGTGTCCTTGCTTGGGACTCCTCCGCCAATCCCAACCATGAGGCTGAATCGGATCGACCTGAAAGTATAGTGAATTTGCGCAGCTAGCATTGTAGCTGAAGTTGTACCGTAGACGCCAGACGGGAGGCACGCGATGACCACATTATGGTCACTGATTCTGCCGAGGACGTACGTGTTCTGATCTTTGGAATCCGTGGGCAAGTCATGATATTTTACGTCCAGCATCGTCTCGGCGGCGGCCATCTCTAACGGTAATGCGCAAATCCAGGCCACGGTAAAGTCATGGAAAACCGCCCTGGGTTGGGCTTCCATTTTTCAGAAGATATTTAATGATGTCGTGATCTGCGCACATCCAACACATGAGCACGATTTGAAGGCCTTCGAAACCGCCACGAAGCTCACCTCGAGTTATCAATGCTGGGGAAGGAGGTATGGCCAGGGATCAGACTTCTTCATGTTGGCACCTGTGACACTGCCACTGGCAAGGTCTGCATAGAACCCCGCATGACGAACAAGGCTGAGCTACCAGGCAGTAGGCCCTGGCTGCGGAAGACAAGCTCTGGTGGATTGCTCGCCCAGTGTTGTCACGGCAGACTAGTAGTGATTTGAAAACCGGAACTTGGAGCGTGGTAGGCAGAAGGCGGTGGTGACTCGACAACTAATATACCTACCTAGGTAGGTAGGTAGCAGGCACGCCACGGATTGTGTCACTTCTTCCTTCAAAAGCTACATTTACGAAGACCAGCGGATTCTCGTAACTGTCTCGCATTTAAGAATCAAAAGCATTATTTACAACTCCAATTAGTACAGTCAATCAGTGTATAACATCCAAGCCTATGAGCATGCGAGCGCCCCCTTCCACGAACCAAAAAACGAAAAAAGAAAAGAATAACATATCACACAAAAACGCAACAAGCCACCGCAACTTACAATTGGATAGGTGGTATGAACATGTTGTGCATATGCCATACGCATTCCGTATGCATGGCATATCATATTCCACATGCTACCGATCTCCTTTTTATAACAACAATTGTGAGTGGTCTTACCTACAGGAATAGAAGCAAACGCAACGCATGTAAAAAGACCAAGAGGAAAGAAGTAACGCCAGTGCAAAGGTAGAAAGTTGGAATACTAATGCCGTCGTAATATGCAAATGATCCATTCGCCAGCGCCCGCATAAACATAGAGAGAACGCCCCGATATAAAACGAAATCAATCCTATTATAGCGCCGACCGGTTATAAGTCCCATGCGAAGGACGTCATAAGGATCAAGGTGTCGTGGCTCGTTTCATCAGCATCAGCTGTGGGCCTGGTCGTCGTGGTCGTCGAGTGCGCCGTCAACATATAGGGAGTGATACCTCTTTGCCCACTGACGAGTGACGATAGACGCTTTCAGGAACTTCTTGCTGGCGTACTTTTTGAAGAAAGCTTCGTGGGCGACAGGCCGGCGCAAGTAGTCGACCATTAACTGGAAGACCGGTTGGATCTCGTCTTCCATATAACCGGAGTAGTGTGCAAGGGTAGCGTCCCACGAGGATCGCTCGAGGATCAGACGAGCGAGATACATTGCAGCTGCTGCGATATGACTCTGCTTGTATGACATGAAGCGATGATCGAGCAAGCTGATCTCCATCAAGTATTTGCCCAAGGTACGAGTTTGGATATCGTAGTTATCGGCCTTGGAAATTCGACGAAGGAAGTTCATTGGGTTGGGGTAACTCATGTTGTAGTTCAGCGTAGCAAGAACGTGTCTCTCCGCGTCCAGGATTTCTTTATCTGAGAATGTCTCGTCTGCGACTTGGCTGAAGTTTGCAACATGGGGCGACAGGACTTCCTCATATTTTGACGCGATAAACATAGCAGTTACACCAACCAACTGTAGACGATCCAATGAAACTATTTCGGCAGAAAGGAAGCGGTCGATAATGTTGACAGCCAAGAAGAGAGTTTCGGGGAGGAGTCGGAAGCTCGCATGGACTTCGATCAACCAGTCAATCAAAATTCCACGCATCTTCCATTCAAGTTCCGGTTGATGATCAATGTAGTCTGGGCTGGGAAGGGTCTCATGCTCGAGATCCCTCAGATAGTCAAAGATATCCACCACGTACTCAGCAGCCATCAGAGGGTCATCGAGATCTTCTGTGTCGAGGTCGACGACTCCTTCCTCTTGCAATTCCTTTATGCCAACTGCGTCGACTGCGGCTTCACCAGCGCTTTCAGAGACATCCTGCTGCTGGATGGTCGCCAATTGTTTCTTCTCGACGTCAACCTTCTTGCGAGGAGGCTCTTCGTTGTGAGAAATGTCCTCCTTGACAGATTTTTGACTGGATGAACGCTTCATTGAACTTCCACCAACACCAGACCCGCTTCCAGGGCGTTTCACTTCAACAGTAGCATTCTTCTTGTTGGTGTCCTTGACACCAAGCGCAGCACGGGTCGTGTTAGATCTGCTGAGTTTTTGCACACCACCTGCTTGGGATGTAGCCTTTGATGTAAGGCCAGTCTTACTGGCTGCTGCTTTCTTGACATCTTTCGCGTCAATGAGATCCGTTTTGTTCACATTACTAACATCACCAAGTGCAGGTCGTCGTTTCTGACCGGCATTTGAGGTAACCATTGTCGAGTTCGCCCTCTTGCTTTGCAGTGGCTTTTTTGTTGCAACAGTTGTAGCATCTGAGGTGGTTAGGGCAGCGGCCTTTGCTCTTGTTAGGCGTGTAGACGTGCTATTCTCGTCATTCTCGTTTGTGACCGTCCTTTGACGGAGACTCCGGGCCTGGAGAACGGTAAATGAGGACATGGACGGACGTGAAGGTGATCAAGCAACCAGTAAATGACGCGAAGAAAAAGAGAAAGAAGTTATTAATAGCTTACCGGAGGCATAATCACGATCAACTTCAAAAAGAGAAAGGGGAAAGAAACGCGTCAAAAAGACGGGTAGGAAAAGAGACGTAGTCACAGAGAACGGGCTGTTCGAGGTAAAGTACTACTAGCTAGTATCGATGGCGACGATCGTCCGGGTGGTTGTCACAGTTATTCGTGCTGCATTCCATTAGCCTTGGACCTTGGGGTGGAGATATCAAAGAATGAGGTATCCCTAGGCATACCACACACGTGGAAATATATTCAATCGATGCTAAGATTTCTATGAGAAACACGGTCAGCAAGCGCGCCCGTGGGAGAAATGATTGAAAGGAAAGGTATTGACGCGCGATATCACACACCTCGAGCGATAATTCTGTCTAGTCACGTTGTTGGCAAAGTTTTGCTGTCCTTCGGACACGGTGATGAGAACGCGACGAGTAAGCTATAAGCGTGTGCAGACCAGCGAGTAAAGAATTTCTCTGCAGGTTTGTGAGAATGGATCAAATGTGAATAGGTTGAGGAATGTGCACGTCTTGTATAGAGAGAATGAGTCTGCGGCAAGCTTCCAGCAAAGCAGAATTGAAGAGGTCGTGAGGGCACAGGCGATGTTTGGCTCTTGGGCTTTTAGCGTGGATCCTGTCGGAGACGGTAATGCCCCACTGCCAGCCAAGCCCAAACCTCGCGTTTTCTAACGAAATTGAAAGACAGAAAAAATGCTGCTTACCGGATAAAGCTGAAAGAGATTGGATACAATGGGCAGGAATGGCGATCTGCAGCCAAGCAGCAGCGGAGCGAGGGCGATAGATATAGGAGGAGGATAAGTTAGATGGCGATGCTGGGATACACACACCGAAGCTCAGATGATGACGCGACTGCCGTTTTATGGAAAACTTGCCCAGGCACGCTGCGCTGTGTAAACTAGTGCGACTGGTAATCTAACCGTAAATTACTCATTACCGCCTGCAAGCGCGTGGTTGAGGCGTTGTTACCTGATACGTACAATACTGTACGCAGGCGTTTATGCGAGGAGCGCGCGAGTGGAGCCGGTAAACACGCCGTTGCTCCGACAACAAGCGTGCCGCCCGCGCAACGTGACGACCAGGTCACCTGACTTGGGGCACCGCCACATGTTCCCTCAGGCACTGGATGTGGCGGTGTCAATAGTGTCACGTGCCGCGTGTGATCAAGCCACAGGCTACTTTTCGGAAGCAAAAGTTGGGATAGGAAGCAAGTCTTGATCAGCGGCAGGCAGATTGGCCAATTGAGACACATTGACAATCGGGCTTTAATAAAGCCTAGGTTTTCTGTTCTCATTGACGTACTACCTAGCGCTGCCAATTGTGCTTTTTCCTTATTTCCTTTTTTTTTTGTGTTTGCCCAGTCTTTCCGTTTTCCCAGGAAACACTTCGCCGACCTACTCGCCTTCCGTTGAGATTTTAGACGCGGACGTGGTCTGTGGTCTGCTATATTGATCAAGATGGCATTCTCTCTGCAGCCCCGACTCTTTCTCAGAGCGTTGAAGCTCCCATACCGTGGCATATCGTCAGCATCTTGTCGATCCTATTCAAACGTGATCCAAGAAACCGAACCAGCCCCAGTCGAAGAATCGTCGTCTTACGACCCCAGTATCGCTTTCGCACCTCCTCCGACCCGAGATGAAGCTGGCGTCCTAGTCCGGACATACAAGCCTCGAACACCCGGTGTGAGACATTTGCGACGACCCATCAACGATCACTTATGGAAGGGCCGACCCTTACACAGACTGACCTTTCCCAAGCGAGGCCATGCAAAGGGTGGCCGTAATCATTCAGGCCGAATCACAGTACGACACAGAGGTGGTGGTCACAAGCGGCGAATTCGAATGGTAGACTTTCGCAGACAGGCTCCAGGACCACATGTCGTGGAAAGAATTGAGCATGATCCCGGCCGAAGTGCACATATTGCATTAGTCCGCTCTGTGAATGACGGCAAATTGAGCTACATCCTAGCGGCCGATGGCATGAGGGCTGGGGATACCATTCAGAGTTATATGTCTGGTATACCGGAAGATCTCTGGAAGAGTATGGGGGGAATGATTGATCCAGGTGTTCTTGCCGCACGGACAGCATGGCGAGGCAATTGCTTGCCTCTACATATGATCCCGGTTGGCACGCTGATATTCAATGTCGGCCTACGGCCAGATAAAGGTGGTCAGCTTTGTCGAAGCGCAGGCACATTCGCCACTGTTATTGCTAAGGGAACCGAGCAACAGAAGAACGAGGAGCGCAAGCAGCTTTTGGAGGCTGAAAGTGGAGCTGGTGAGACCGAAGAGAAGAAACTCACTCAAAAGGATCGTCAGAAATTTGAACGCGATGCCAACCACGTCACGATTCGTCTTCAGAGCGGTGAAGTTCGTCTGATCCATAAGGATTGCTGTGCCACAGTTGGAGTTGCTAGCAATCCAAACTACCAGTATAGACAGCTTGGAAAAGCTGGTCGTTCACGATGGCTCAATATCCGCCCAACGGTGCGAGGTCTTGCAATGAATGCTATGGACCACCCTCACGGTGGTGGACGTGGTAAATCCAAAGGAAATGTACACCCAAAGAGTCCATGGGGAATACCGGTACGTGGCTTTCGTTACTCTTCTATCCTTTTGGGCGATACACTAACTTATCTTTCACAGACGAAATCTGGCTACAAAACCCGACCTAAATGGAAGATCAACAAAGCTGTCGTGGTCCCTCGTGTCCGCAACCAGGGAAAGCGTCGTCGTGGCTACAATTAAGGCAGTAGCAGTATGCATTTGCCATTTTCTTGCACGGACAGCAGAGCGTACTCGCCTCGACGTGATCCGGGTCTGGCAACTCTTGTCTGCTGGAGAGATCTGCGCTGTACAGTTTTATCATGGGAGTAGCTTGTATAACTTGTATAATAATGGAACGTCCTATGTTGTATTAGACTTCTGCTTGGAGCTGCCATCTCTTGCCACGGTCTAGGGCTGCGCAGTGAGCAATGAATGTATTACTATTATCCGCTATCTACACTATACACACGGGGTCTTCGATGTCGTTCCAGAACTGGCTTGGCGTCGGCTTGCGGTCGTGGGGCAGGGCCGGTTAGCATGATTGGTCAGCATGTCTGGGAATCCGCTTCTTAATCATGTCCCCAGGCAGAAGCCTCTATGCGTCTGTTCTGGAATCTATCGCATTTGCGGCATGATCACCATCTTGCTTTGGTGATTTGGCGTGTCGAGAGTCACTATCTAGAGCGCAAGCTCGTATATCTCTTACTGGATCTATACGTCCCCGAGGAGGACTTCGTCGTTCAGCCTCACAGCGTTCAGTGGCGTCCATTAGATCATCCAATATCCCGTTCAACATCGAAAACGTATCCTGCGAGTGCGCCTGCTGAGGGTTCGAGATTACACTGGAGGCTCTATATTTGGGTCGATACATTGGTGAAACAGTCGACTATCCTTAACCCGAGTCGCAACTAGATATCGCGAGAGCACCGGGGCTTTCTTCATCAATATCGGCGCCCCATCCGCTCAAATCTAGCCATGGCGGATCAGGACGACGATTATTTCAACGATCTTTCTCAGCAGCCCACACGCTCTCAATCCGGAAATACTGGCGGCAACAATTCTGCCAACGAAGACGAGGGCAACCCGATCCCTCGACAGAAACGAATGGCATGTGTTGTCTGTAGGAAGAGGAAATTAAGATGTGACGGCAAAAAGCCAAGCTGCGGAACATGTGCTCGTGTGGGTCATAACTGCGCGTACGACGAGGTGCGCAAGAAGAGCGGTCCAAAGAGAGGATATGTTAAACAGCTAGAAGCCCGATTAGGTATGTTGCGACGGTAGCCCTAAATGCTTGTTGGTATACAGGATATGTTCACCGACTGACTGACTTACTCGGTATCAGCTCAAGTTGAAACTCTCTTGAAGAACCACGAGCCCGAAAATTCTTGGAATGAAACAAGCCATAATGCGCCTCCGAACACAAGCGTCCCCTCGGCTACATCTGATGCTATGCCAGACCTCTTCAACTTTTCAAATCAGCCTATTTCGCGATCTTCAGAACGCATGAGCCAGTCTGGTGGTCATCAAAATGCGGCTTCGGCAGCGAATTCGGCGATAGAAACTGAAAAGTCATGGGAGGTCATCAGTTTAGGCCTAGAGGAAGCCTTGCCTGCTCAGGAAGTCATGGATGAATTGTGAGTCATTTTGCAAGTTCAGGAGCAAAGGCAAATTTCGCTTACAGTGAGGTCAAGGTTCGATGTTTACTTTGAAAAGATTCACCCGTCCAATCCGATGATTCATCGTCCTCGATTCTTCGCCGCTATGGATCTAGCTCCCCACATGCGCCCTCCTGTCTGTCTACGCTATATCATGTGGGCATTGGCTGCAGCCCTTACCCCCAAATATAGTTTCTTGGAAGAACACATGTATGCTCGTGCACGAAAGTACATACATCTGGATGAGATGAAGGGTCACGGAGAGCATATGGTTAGCATCACTCACTGCCAAGCTTGGATACTCATCGCGCTATACGAGTTCAAACAAATGTATTTCCCCCGGGCATGGATAAGCGTGGGAAGAGGCGCAAGAATGGCTGCTATGATGTGTTTCAATCGATTGGACGGAGCTGGATTGGATGTTAAACATTGTATTCCGCCGCCGCGTGATTGGGTTGATAGAGAAGAAAGAAGGCGTACGTTCTGGATGTGCTTCAATCAAGATCGGTATGCCAGTATTGGCACAGGATGGCCGATGGTATTCGACGAGAGGGATGTACGTGCCACAATACTACCATCCCATTATACGCCGTTTACGAAAGATTGTTACTAACGTTCTGTCCGATAGATTATGACAAACCTACCGGCTAGTGAAGAAGCATTCATGACCGGCACGCCTGAAACAACACCGTCGTTGAAAGACGTACTGGCTGGTGATATCGCAAACCTGTCTCCTTTAGGAATCGTATCAGTCATGGCCTGTGTTTTCGGCCTCAACTTGACACATCTTCATCGGCCAGATCCTCAAGATAGAGAAGGTGATATCAACGGTGAATTCTGGAAGCGTCATCGCACCTATGATAATATACTTCTGAATGTGGCTCTGTCACTCCCCCAGTCGCTCCGCTTGCCACAAGGCATATCCAATCCAAACATTATCTTCGCCAACATGTCGATCCATACATCTACAATTTGCTTACACCAAGCGGCTATTTTTAAAGCTGAGAAGAACAAAAAATTGAGTCAGATCGCTGCTGAGAGCAAGAGACGTTGTATCATTGCGGCAGACCAAGTTGCCAGCATTATGCGAATGGTTAGTCATACTGACTTGTCTCTGGTGAGTTCCTGGATTAATCCTTCTTTCGCTGGACCTACTAACATTTTATAAGTTGAACCCATTCAGTGCATTCTGTCTTTACGTTGCAGCTCGAGTTTTCGTGCAATACTTGAAGTCTCGACCCGAGGACGAAGCTGTCCAGTCTTCGTTGCAATTCCTGCTTACGGCTTTGGGAGCATTAAAACAATTCAGTGCATTGACGGAGTCTTTCATGATTCAATTAGATGTGGATCTATGTGGAACAAGTTTTGGTTCTACTATAAATAGCATGCGCAGTAAACAAACAGTGAGTATCTCGACTAAGAAATCTTTGACCGACAATTTTAACACACTCATCACAGGCCAATGCAATGAAAGATCCTGTTGAATACACGCCGCTTGTCCATATCAGCTCGTCGGAAGCATATTTGAGTGCAAAGGAGAGTTTACACAGAGATGCCCCTGTGAGCCATAAGAGTTCGCCCGCGAGTAGAGGTGGTTCGGTATCTTTGCAAAATTTCCAGAATCGGCAGAGACAAAATAATGCCCCTAAAACCAACCAACAGCCTTTGGGTCATGGAGATGTTCATGGATCTTTAGGAAATTCATCAGATGTGACTCGCAACAACAGCCCTAGACAGGATGATCAGAACTTGTTAACGAATTTTGACATGGATATCTCCTCTGGCGTGAGCATCAGTGACAATATGAACTCTATCTCCGATAATCCATCACCAGATACCCTGAACTCGTCTTCTAATACCGCTTTTACGCCTCCGAACATAGACCAATCATCGGTGAACGGCCAGTCATATAACGCAAACAAGAATATAGCCAATTCTAATAATGTCATGAATTTCAGCCCAGACATCAATGGTCTTGCCAACCAAAGCGATTTGTCTTTCTCTCCAATATTCGATATGTCCTCGTCGCATATTCCCATGGATACACTTGGCATGGAGAACCCTCTGGCACTGAATACCATGTGGTCAGATTACGTACCCGAACCTGCTAGTCTTGAGAATGGCTCATTCAATATGACGGATGACACGAACAACTTCTCTGACCGTCAGTTTGACATACTACTTCGAGGAATGGGGTGGAATGGCTGGAATGAGCAGGCCACCGGGCAATAGCGTTGTTTGCAACTAATTCTTCTTCTGAAATTCGAGAAGAAATAATAACTTATATAATACTATAATATTCTCGGCCATTTTGGATAAGTCTACGGGCTCTTGTCGGTGGTGGCGAGATTCGTGAACTGTAATGATTGTCATGGCTTTTCTATTTCTTTACGGAGTCAGGTCTACGGTGTTGACAACTTCTTCATACCCTTGGGAGTATCTATTGTCATTGTTATTTAATTCATCTCTTATTGTGTATACATATATTTGAGGCTTGGAGAAACAAACCTTGTGTATTGAGACATTTTGATTCTCTTCTCTTATGCTTGAAACGCTTGTTAGATGCGATCTTCTCATTGCTGCACATTGAATGATCTGCCCATGGGGGTGATTTTCCAAATCTGGCAAATTCTATGAATAACACCCTCCCCGTTCTCATTCTTGCTGAGGTATATCGCATATTCTCTAACTGATCTAGCGTATACCTTCAATTCCCGAGCACTGGCGTGGGCGCGTTGGGCGAATTTTCCTATACAAGTCAGACGTTGATATTGCTACCCAGGGAAATAGAAGTATACCATCAAAAGTCCTATCCAGAGTTGCTTCCATGCATCTTTTCACTCAGCCATAGCGTTGCCGGGCTGGTGTTGGAGCCTGAATGAACGAGAAGCGGTAGAATAGCTAATGCCTAAGGCAACACGGACGGCGGCAGGTAAAGTTGATTGTCCCCGCTGGATTTATTCATCATGTAGCTTCTGACTGTCTTTCAGCACAATTGAGTGCATACCTATCCAAATAAGCTCCTGGCCATGTCCTGAATTCTAACAGGCAGAACTATTTTATTTTATTTTATTTATATACTTTAATTACCGCAGTCGCACCAGATGAGGGCGTGCCTCAACTAGCACACTTGCGCGCACCCGATCCTAATAGCTGCAGCTCAAAAAGCTCGAAGAATGGCTTCGAAACAACCCGAACGACGGCTCATCCACAAGGATCGCTTTGGCTATGTATTCGGCTCTTTGAAGACACAGAGTTACCAGGACCCTGCGGCGCGAGGTCCTGGATCGCACACGTTCGTCGCTTCCAGACCTTTTCTATCTTCATGAGCGCAAAGCTTCTCGTATACCCAGGAAACTGATCACTCTGCTTATAATAGCATTCGAACACTTGCCTGGAATCCGACTGGACAACTTATAGCTACCGGCTCGGCTAACCGGACGTTACGTATATGGAATCCTGAACGCGCGAATGCAAGATACTCGACTGAATTGCGCGGGCATTCGGCAGGGATTGAGAAGGTGATTTTCAATCCGGTGCGTGATGCAGAGCTTGCTAGTTGTTCAAGCGATGGGACTGTGCGGTTCTGGGATGTGCGATCCAAGACTTGTGTGAGTCGATTGGATGTGGGTGGAGAGGCCTTTACACTGTCGTGGTCGGCGGATGGGAAGGTTGTTATGGTCGGGCGAAAGGTAGGGTCGAAGTCACTTTGAAATTATTTTGTTTCTTCGTTGACCTGGTGTGTTATTTGCAGGATGATACTCTGGTACCTGTTTCAGTCGAGAGCCCTTCGACACCAGCCGTCGCCATCAATGGATCCGGAGCCGCGGAGCAGAAGGCATCTACGTATTCGATATTACAGTCCCACCCACAGAACACGCAAACGAACGCGACCACATTCTCATACCACATACCTACCCAATCCTCGCCGGACCTAGACCTGATGGCCACCACAGGCGACGGAACAGTCAAAATATTCTCCTACCCGTCTTTCACCCTACAACACACACTAAATGCACACAGCTCTGCCTGCTTAGCTCTTGCTCTCGCGCCTACGGGTCGCTATCTAGCTGTTGGCGGAAGTGACGCGTTGATATCGCTATGGGATACTACAGACTGGGTCTGCCGCCGAACAGTGTCCAGTGAAGGCGGCGGGACTATACGCGGTGTCAGTTGGAGTTTTGATGGGCGGTTTCTCTGCGGGTCAAGCGAGGAGGTTGGACCGAACGGTCTCGAGGTTTTCCACGCTGAAACTGGGGATAGCGTTCACAAGATACCGGCGAGCGCTGGCGTGCCTGCTGTAGCATGGCATCCATCTCGATACTGGCTGGCGTACTCGACAATGGCCGAGGGAAGTAATGCCGGTGGGTTGAAGATTGTTGGTGCTGCTGGAGGGGGGTTGTAATATTAGGCAATATTTAAAAGATCAGAATGGACTGGAAATGATTTATGATTTCATTGGATACATATCAAACTTCCAGTTACTCTTATGATACCTATAATGTAGGCAGCATTTCAATCTTCCATGGTAATGGCACAGAGTGATTCATGGCGCTGCCTAGGCAGAAACCTCATATCAACCAAGGCTGCAAATGCTGCCTTTTCGGCCTAGGTGCGCAGTTAGTTGTTAAATAAGAAAGAATTAGTCAGCTGCGAGTATTGTCCTCTACTTTGAGGATAGAAGTATTTTGTGCGTGAACGTAGGTAGAGCTTTCCCCCAGAGAAGAAATTTATACACTAAGCCCATTGCTGTACTGCCCAATGATTATTTCCAACGTTTCGAAACTCAATAGGGAATACTTTTCCCAAAATCTTGCCACGAGCAACTCATAACTAACCCAAGGGCGGAAATATTGATCACATAATTTCAATCAAGTTCGATCGATAAAGCTCCGTTAGTTGGGTGTAGAAATAAGACATGTCCACTTACTCGAAAGGTAAACGTAAAATACGCGCAACACGAGATCATCGTCGGGCTGTCAGCTGAAATTGCAACAAATGCACGAAAGCATTAAAGATGTATGCGAACTTTAGTCGTCAATGTAGGAACGGTCCTTGAGGCTTGGGTGATCACTCCACGATGGATGATTCGATCGGGAATGGTAGCAACAAACGGTTGAGGCTGGTTCGGTGGCCAACTATTGTTGCACCAAATCCACCGTACGCATGCCGGGGTAGTTCTCCACAAAACAATACAGCTCGTGAGCTTATCTCAACCTCAGTCGAAGACGAAAATTTTTCGAAGCATCGTAACGCACATCACATAAGCTACCGAATCATTCAAAAGACGCAACAGCGTCTTGCCTTATGTTGCTGTAGCATTAAAACACAGACAAGTCACGAAAAATGCTCGACTTCGCCGAGGGAGCGTCGGCGCACGAAAAAAGTTACATTGCTGTTGGCCAGTTGCCGGAGCTTGTCGAGGATCGACGGCCACCGTATAGAAAGGCGCCGTTTACGACCCTATCACGCCATGCATTGGTGCACACTGTAAGGGATCCCAGAGTGCCTTGCAATTGGTCACTGGAGAATATCGTGCTGACGTTTGTTTAGACGGAATTGATTATGCCCAGAGAGGTTTATAACGCGATATGGAGCTCGATGCAGGACAAGCTTGCGAAGCCGCGATATATCCAAGTCATCATGCCGCTCATCGCATTGCTGGAAGGCGACTTTTTCAACACGTTCGTCAAGTCAGGTATGGATCCTCTCGCCGTTACTCTGCCTGCGCCGCTGGCCTAGCTGACGCCCGTAGGATGCGTTCTCATGCAGTCCGAAGGCCGCTCAGGGGTGGACGATGTTTTTACGTTGCACAATGGTGAGTGTTCAAAACGTTCTTGGCGAAGAAGAAGAAGAAGAGAAAGAAGAAGAAAGATGTAAAAGGTTGAGGTTGCTTTGCTGACGCGGGTGGCTCCTTCCCGACTCGCCAGGCACGTTGACGCTCCAAGTCGGCAAGGACAAGTACGAGCGCTCCGGTCTTGCCGGAAAACCAATCCGCAGCGGCGGCAGAAAACATGCGAAGGAACGATTTGGTCCGTCTTGCTTGGTCCTTTTCCATGTCTAACTGAACGTGTTCTAAGTCTGGGACAGCCATTGAGATTGATCTCTGCCAGCCGTCGATGCTGCACGGAAAAAGAGCATTCGAAAGGATCGTATGGGCGTGCCGAAACGTCCTGAATGCGTCGCTCACCTGGATCCTGGTCTGCGATGCGTCCAGTCAGAATTCCTTGGACCAAGGTAAATAGACATACATCTCTGTTGCCGACGCTATCTGACTCCCTCAGCGGTCGCTGCGCTTGCGAAGTATCATCCGAGAATTCTAGACTGCCGCTTCGAAGAAACCTCCCACCCTGTGGCCCAGATTCCGCCACTGTCCCTCGACGAGATTCCCCCTTCGTCTTCTCCGAGAGATCTGGAGGAGTACTGCAACGAGGTTTCTGAATGGCTTGCTCTGGTCTCTCTACGGTCTCCTCGAATCTCAGTTGACGACGTGATCGACCCCTATCTCAGTCGCTACGCCGTACCCCACGCCGAGTCTACGCTTCCGCAGCCAACAGCCCTCGTTAGTCTTCGATGGCAAGGCGCCATGGCTTCGCGCTGGATCACTCAACTATTCACCCTTTTTATGTAAGCGAATTTCTGCCTATCATGCATACTGTCAGTCATCACTGACTCTTTGGGTAGCCTAGAACAACGGCTCCACACTGACTGCTTAAATGCCTGGACTGCTCTGTCTGCCTCGGCCTTCCGACGAGTCGCTGTCGAAAATGCCGATGGCTACACTATCCTTTCAATCCCAGAAAAAGCGAGACCCATGGGTAACAGTTTTATTTCCTGGGACTTTATTGGTGCTTCGCTCTGTACATAGAGGTCGGGGAGATGCGGCTGCCTGCCGGTAGGGTATTTGAAGCAGGTTTCCTGCCGCCCAACTTTACTCCCTTTCATGAGTCCCTGAAGCTATACATCTTACCTGCCAAAAAAATTACGCTCCGGACTCCTTGCTTTGAAACAACCTTCTTTGACAACTAATATCAGCTTCCAGAAACTTTGCTTTCTCAGCTGAGAATCTCTCCTTTGCTCCGTCTTTGGCATGGATTCTGCACTTGCCCAACAAGCCTTACAGGGTGCAATGCCCGTCGATGCTCATAAAACCAACGACGACAATAACTACGTTTCTGAATTGTTTGCTCAATTGACCGATCCAGAGTTCATTACATCGTACTCCAATGATGTCAACAATTTCGGTCAAAATCCTCAATTCAGCAGTGAGGCTGCAGCTACTAGACATGAAAAAAGGAGCATCAAGCGCTCACAACAAGAAGTTGCCGAAGAAATTCCTCCACAAAACAATATGTCGGGAGAAAGCTCCCAAAGCCACCACCCAATGGACGGTTTCAACATTGGTGATGCGACTCCATTTGACTTCAATGCGCTTGACTTCAATGCGCTTGACTTCAATATGCTCGACTTTGATATGCTCGGCCAATTTGACAATATTCATCCTTCTTTTGATATCCCGGAGGCAGCCAGCTCTATACACGCTGGTGTGAATATCCACAGCAATGATACAAACACCTTCCCTGGTAGCCACCAGGTGATAAATGTGCCAGTTGAAAGCACAAACATTCGCATTCCAAAGGCCCCCCTGCCTATAAATGCCTTTCCTTCCTATCTCGGAAGTGTTCGGGGGGGCCTTGCCAATAATTCACATGTTGGCATCAATACTCCAGGGGGCAGAAGCACTTCACAGGCCCCTGAGGACACTAATATGATGCCTTTGCTTGTTAACCCGCATCAATTCTCGGCTTTGCAAGGCATCTCCTCAGCCGATCTGTTACACGGCGTTGGCTGTCAATCACGACCACAACCACCCTCAACAGGGCCAAATGTGAAACGCCAACGGCGGCGATCACCGTCCCCCCCAGCTCCACAAAATGCGCTCCAATTTGTGCACGACGAGCTGTCTATGCCTTCGGATTTCCGAGCCAACCCAAATAACCATGCTCGATTCAAATATCATCGAGATGGAACTCGGGAGTATCTGAATGCACCGAAAAAGCGGCGGAAACGACGCTGCTCTGACAGGGGTCCACAATCTTCCGGCTGATTGAAATGTGGAAGATGTTTCTGTGATTTTTTATCTAAGCATGTATGCATTGTCTACAATTTATTGACCCGATTCTGGTAGACTTGGTCATAATATGGACTCCCCTATATTCTTGCTTTGATCTTACACAACATCTTTGCATTCTGCGGCGTTGGAAGATACCCTGTATACTAGATATAGATATTAAAACGATGCCAAAGCGAAACATGGCACTGTGCATCTTACTATTGGACAGAATTTCTTTATAAAGTAAACAATTCATTCCGTTCAGTAGTTCATATCAAAAACATGAGAGTTTCCTAACCAAACCATCTGATATTCTATATTAGGTATCCAAAAACGCCAATAAAGAAATAATGGATGTATCTTTACCAAACCCCAAAACATGCACTTTCCAAACGCCTATCTCAATAGTCCTGTCCTATCTCTTTTATCCCATAAAATCATTCATCAAATCCTGCAAGACAGGCCGTTTATGCATAAACTTCTCCATAGCCAAAGCTTTACTACCGCGCTTTTCAGGCGTCTTCATCTTTCTCTCCCGTTTGACTTTAATTTGAGCAGATGGGCTCGTAGCGCTGGGACTACCGGGTCCCGAAGCATTGTATTTCCGTTTGAGGGTTTTATCTGGTGTTTTGTTATTGTTGCTCTTTCGTTGTGTTGGTGAGAAAAGCAGGTCGTCGTTGGACTCAAATACATGGTCTTGCAGGGCGTGCTTGGGGAGATCGTACACCCATTGACGTGACTCCATGAGCGCGACATATTTGTTTAGCAATTCGTTTCCGTCGCGAAGCGTGGATCTGCTCCCGACCACAAGGAGCTTTGTTCGGGCTCGAGTGAAGGCAACATTGATTCGGCGCCAGTCGCGAAGGAGGTCACCGACTTGGTTGTCGTTGTTGCTGCGCACACAGCTGAGTATTACAATCTCCTTGTCTCGACCTTGGAATTTGTCGGTTGTGTGCATTTCCAACTCGTTGGTGTATTGGCGTAGGGTTTGTCGGAGTAGGGCTAGTTGGCTCCGATAGAAGGTTATGACACCAATCTCTCGTGGTGAAATGCCCGACGAGATGAGCACTTGAACAAGCTGAGCGCACAGCGTTGCCTCGCTGGTGTTCGTGATTCGAGAACCGACCAGAGTTTCTGGAGCGCGTCCTAGCAGTGTGTCGGTGTTGACAAGCCTTGTCTTGGCTGAGGGCTCGAGCAAGTCCTTGATCCAGCAACGACGCTGATTGGGGCCCAAGCAGCGCTCCGATGACATCTCCGCCAATGATGTAACATGATGGCTTCTTATACCGTCTCGTAGATTCGGGATATTGAGCGACCGCGATGCTACCTCTGGCGTTCCACACTTGAGCCGCCCCGAGTAAATCAGTGTGTTGGATAGCAGCATGAGCTCTTCGCACATGCGATATTGATGTTCCAGGTTCGTCACAGACGAGGGCTGGGCATCGGACAAAAGCTTGAACAAGCTCACATCAAGACCGCCCTCTTGGGCCTCCTTGTTCTGGACAAGGGGTGGCAGTTGATAATGATCGCCCACGAGAATAAAGGTCTTCGCCATACGAACGGGGCCAAGGCAGACAGGCAGTGTGATTTGAGAGGCTTCATCAACAATGCAATAATCAAAAATGCGTTCATTGAAGATCGGGTGATTGACACCCAAGCACGTCGTCGCTACAACCTTTGACTCTTCGTAAGATTCCCGCAGTTCTTCGATCGTCTTCTTGGGGATCGCTGCCAGGTCAGCAAATTGCTGCACTTCCGGATGCACCTTCGCAACCGCCCCGAGACGAAGCGTTCGGATGTTGGCGTCTCGAATTTTGAGAAGAATATTGTCAACTGCTGTGTGCGTGTAGGAAGTCAACAGAACGCTTTTTCCCTGGGAGACCAAGGCGCGAATGATGTGAGCGATTGTCGTGGTTTTTCCCGTGCCAGGCATTCCGAGGATGAGAGCATAGTCTTTCGCGCTCATAACTTTATCGATTGCTCGCTTTTGATCAACATTGAGGCTTGCCTGAGAAGAGCTATGCATCATCGCTGTGGAGGGCGATGGCTTGAATTCAGGCGCTTGTCCCTCAATGATGAGCTTTCTCAGTTGTAGAGATACAGAAAAGTTCTCCATCAGACTGACCAGATTGTTTCGCACAGTGGCCATGCCATTGCTGAATTCGTCCTTGTCAAGGCGATACACCATCGGCTTTTCTGGATCTTCCATATCCGCTGAGCTCGAGCCGTTCTTTTGGCCGACTTCCATTATGCCCCTGAAGCTCTGGTTGCGCTCTGGATTGAACCCTTTGCACCTGACTCGCGCATTATGCAGCCTGCGGTCAACTGCTACCGAGATTCTCTTCGGGCTAATACGAACGACATAACCATTGGCTAAGGCGAAATGGCCCTTCTCGTCAGATATGACAATTGGTTCACCGAGTGTGATCTGAGACTCGGTAAAAGAAAAGCTAGATGATGTCTTTGGCTTCACAAATGTGTACCTGTAGCGATTTATCTTCGACCCGTTTTCATCTTCATAAGCAGATCCAGGGTCGATTATAATCTCGCTAAAGCAACGACCGAGAGATTCCCGCTCTGTACTGAGCATGGTCCATAGCTCGCGCCTGAATCGCATCATGCCCTTTTCCTCCATGGTTAGGAGACTATCCCACTTCTTGAAAAATTCAGCATGCCTTGAGTCCAAGTGACCAACGGCTTCTTCGAATTTCTGGCCAACTCCACTGGTCTCACTATTGCCGTTATCGACTAATTTATGATACACAAAGCAGGCCGTCTTCGAATAGCACTGGTTGCAGAGATGCTGTCGCTTAATCATCGGCGGTAGCTCCATCTTTTCTCGAATAAAACCGGCCAGCCGGTTGCGCTCCTGGATCATCTGCAGAAGTTCATGACGAATGCCTCTGACTCGAAACATTTTTCTGATTTCTAGGTAGTAAAGAAGACCGAACGTTACATCAATGTCTGGGGAAAAGATCAGCAAGCTTACTCTCACATTCGGCGGGGGGAAACCCCTTACCATAACGGTCGGAAAGTAGAAGGGTATATAATGAAGTTTGTGCCCGGTGGCTATGACTTGTATCTTTCTTGCCGGTCTTCATTTCCAATGGTATAGTCAACGACTTTTGGTCACCTTGGTCATTGAACGCGACTTCGACTGTGGCATCAACGTTCCCTTTCAGGCCATACATTGGAGACCATATGTGTTCTTCGACCTCCAGCAATTTGTTAATACTGAGGTTTGCTTTAGATCCGTGACGATCTTCAACCATACACTCTGCCTGTATTGCGGAGTCAATACAATGTCCATTTCCGCCATGGATCTGAAATTTGGAAGACACTCACATTTGGCTGAGGACGCAAAAAGACATCTGCCCAAGCCTTCAACTCGGGAACTTTACTCATCACATATTCGATAGCCTCGACCATACTGACATGGATTGCGTACAGACTTTCCACATATTGAACAAGGACTCGTTCGACCAAAGCTCTCATTGATTGTAGATCCCACTGGTTGACTTTCATGGCTTCCTGGAAAACCTCGTGCAGGACATGGCCATAGACCTGCGGTTTGTTGATATCAGAGGTAGCTTTGATACGGTCTTGCAGGACAGCACGTCGCTGACAAGTAACCGCATCGGCGACGACAGTAGCGGAAATGAGGTGATCAGGATGGAGGATGATCATATTATGCGAGTTGTCCACGATGCATTGGCCTCTATGGTCGAAATCACCAATCAAATGAATATAAGAGCTTTTGGTGCAAGGACTGTCGAACCATGATTCCCGTAGAATAATGACCTTTTTGAGGTTCGTTCTCTCGTCCGCAACAGAAAGTACCTATGATGATGAGTTACAAAGTGGCCTCGAGGAAGATTTTCGCGATTGTTTTTACTGACCTGTTCGGGTTGTGTAAGACCCTTTTGAGTCACATACGTGCTTTGTGCAATCTGGATAATGAGGTAGCGTTTGATAGCCTTTTGGGCTTTAGTTTTCTATTCACATATATCACAGTAAGTATCTAATAGATATGAATATGCTAAGGGTAACCGACTTGAGTTTGACCTTCCAACTGCTGAAGAACATTTTCATCTATGGCTTCCAGGTCCAGATCCTGATCGTCGAATTCATCATCTGATAATGCGTTTGCAGGCTGATTGTTCGTTTCCTCGGTTTCTCGCTTGCCAGCACCATGATTGTGTTCATTAAAGTTATGTGTATAATCTCTTTGTACCGGGGCTTTATTCTGCACTGCAGTTACTCCCTTGTCGTACTGAGTTAGTAATTCTTCCATACCCTCCCCAATTTCAAGATCATCATCGAATTCGTCATCGTCATCGTCGTCTTGAAGAGATAATTGCTTTGATGGTATTTTTTTAACATTGATTTGTTCAGTTGAATATGAAAATTGTCTTGGTTTGAGCGAAATTTGCTTGTTGGTAGCCGTATTAGATATTGCTTTCACTTCCTTAGCGGGTTCCATAAGCGGCGGCGTTGATGATTCCACTAAAGCCAGAAGATCATCATCGAAATCATCGTCACCAAACTCCGAAGATGGGGTTTTAAGGTTCTTGGAATTTTGGGTATTCCGGAGTTGTTCCTCCAGATTCTTCCCTCCCATGGTAACCTCAGGAATGTGGCGTCGAACGGCATTTTTGGAATATTGCTTGTTTTTCGACGGTGATGGGGAAGACTCGTCTCGTACATCATCCTGGTGAGGTGGAGGAGAAGAAGGCGGCAAAGCCTTAGGGCTTGCTTTTGTATTTGCCAACGTGTCTTGGATTCGATTCAAAAGAAAGCTTAACTTTTTGGAGCTTCCAGAGTCAAGCACGTTGCTCCTTGATCGAGAGAAAATTTCGCGGGCTGTACGGCCACTTTCGGCACCATCAACCTTTCTCCGTTTGGCTTTAGATGAAGGCCAATCAACGTTGCAACTGACTGACCTGCGCAGCGCTGAAGAGTCTCGTCCGGACTTCTGCTGTGATGCCGGGGTTTGGGGTGAAGAGGATAGATTGGCGAATTTCGCTGGTATTTCAAGGGTTCCATCGAGTTTGCTTTTCCCAATGTACTTATTCCACAAATCGGTAGCCATGTCGGTCTGAGGGGTTTTCAAAATGCCCTGGAAGGGTTTCATATCGAATGACTCTTTTGACTTCCTTGAGGCGCCATCCTTGAGAGGCGAACTCGTAGGGGAAGAGCTATGCCGTCGCTTCTTATTCCGGCCGCCTGTACCACTTTTTGCGCCGGAACTTTGGATAGGAGCTGGCTGCCAAGAGACATAATCGTCGGGAGTTACTTCTTGTGCCGAGGGTATAATCATCGCATCTTCCGCATTGCTTATGAGGTCGGCCAAAGGAATCCTGTTGGCGGGCGTTTTGGGGCATTCGCTCAATGGCTTTGGTTCCTTTTGTTGTGTTGACGATAGGCTTTTGCTTGGGGATTTGGGGGCTTCGACCACGCCATTCATCCATGACCTCTGGTTTTCTTTGTCGGCATTGGCAGCAGTTTGGCTCGATTTTTTGGGTGATTTCTTCATCGAGGAAGTACTATTGCTGGTAGGAACGTATTGGAAGCCGCTCAACTTCGACCTCGAGGTGGCCGAGATATACGGATTCTGCTTTGTGGTCATGGTGGTGGCATGCATCAATTGTAAACGCTATATATCATCTAGTCAAGTCAATAAACGCGTCTCTTCACACGGTGAATGTCGCGTACATGGAATATGTTGTCCCTAAATAATGAAAGTCATTGTGAGTAGCGATTAGCGAGTAGCCAGCGAGTTGTATCCAACAATTGTTCTTCAAGGCAAGCACGAGAGACAATGTCAATAACCAAGACACGAGTTCACGCGTTCCTCCGCGTTTAGTGGCGCTGCATGAAACCTTAGTGCCTGAGGCACTAAATTGTTGATGCCTGTTATACAAGGCCGCAATAGTTCAACTAGCCTTTCCGTTCCGGACAAACTCCAACGCTAGCTTCGATTCAGTTTCAACGTCAAGCAAGCCAGCCGAAACAACCACCACAAGTTGTCGCCCACCAGCTCCAAGGGCACCCTGTCAGGGACATCCAATTGCTCATATATTCCCGTCACAATTCAGCGGAGACTTGATTTGAAGCGTTACGTCTGCCAGTGAACTCGGCCACCCCGCGCTCCGTACCGACCGACCTTTTCCTCAAATCCACCTTTTTCATCTCGCATCTTTGACGCCGTTTCACTCGTTGTCAGTTTCCGCGATGCATCGACCGACATCAATTGCCCTTCGTTCCCGCTGCATTTTGCGCACGCCACAGACCAGCCGCGCTTTCACAACACAAAACGGCCTGCGTGCTGCCGATCATGGCAGCCACTATGACCCGCCTAGCGGATGGCTCTTCGGCGTCAAGCCCGGCCAGAAATATGTGAAGGAGGGCTGGGAGAATATCTGGTACTTTGGGTTCATTGGAAGCTTGGTCGCCGCCGGTGTTGCATACGTTTTCAAGCCAGACACATCGTAAGTGTTACCTTGAGTCACTGCTAAGAGTCTTTAAATATAGTCGTTCTTTACTACGCGACCAAAACACTTTTACAATCTCCCTATACGGTGCTGTGTGCTTTTACTAATCTCTATGCTAATCCAGGATACAAACATGGGCATTGGAGGAGGCTCGTCGAAGACTGGAGGCTGAGGGTATCCTGGAAGATCCAGAGCAGGCCAAGAAATAGGCAAACGTTAGTTGGGTCTTTTTCTTTCCATGATGGTAAACTGCGTTGTACATAAAGATCGGTTCATTTGCCTTTCCCTGATCTGTTGTGGTGGCGCAGTCATGTCAAAGATGGCTGGGACACGTTGATAGACATGTTTCTTATTTTCTTGTTTTTTTCGTAATATGATTTACTTTTACATCTGTAGTACGGCTACATAGATTGTATCAGTACATTTCCATAAAAGAAGTAAACATTACAATGGCATTTTTGAGAGGACTACTACCCCAAGTAATACCCAGGAAGAAATTCCGCAGCTGAATTTCTACCATGCTGAAGAATCGTCTAATATTATTAGACTGCACGGTACTTTCATTGTCTAGTCACCTGTATTTGCCATGTTTATATGATAAAAGTCCTCATTAACGTAACAGTTGCTCTTCCATCATACCTCGGGATAGACGTCTGTCCGCCGTAACAAAGGCATCTCTTTCCGTATTTTGGTAATCAGATCGAAATCAATATCGGCAGTCGCGATTTCAGGCTCTACAAAGTCACTGCCCAGCTGCGCAACCACCTGTCCCCATGGGTTGACAATCATTGAATGCCCATAACTTGTCCGTTTCTCATTATGCGATCCTGCCTGTGCTGCAGCGATTACATATGACTGAGTCTCAATGGCTCGAGCACGGAGAAGAGCTTCCCAATGTGCTTGTCCGGTTGGCACCGTGAAGGCTGATGGAAATGTTATAAGTTGCGCATTTTGGCGTTTCAGTGCCAAAGATATCTCAGGGAACCGTAACTATTCAGATATTTTGCATGGAATCAGTTGACGTTGCAACAACAGCCAGCAAAGAGGTGGCCTACATCAAAGCATATTGCAAGACCAACTCTTCCTACAGGTGTTTCAAATGGTGGCAGAATCTGGGTACCGGCCTCAACACTCCTACACTAGCATGTCAGAAACAGAATGGCCAAGCATAGTGTATTAACATACGCGCTTTCTTTGAGTACTGGGCCATCCTTGATTTCAACATCAAAGAGGTGGATTTTCTGATAACGTTGTGCAATCTCGCCATTCTCATCGATCCATATCAAGGTATTCTTGACTTTAAGCCCACCCTGAGCTGGTTCATGGATGCCGACGTTTATGGGAAATCTCGCATTCTTAGCTTCCCTCTGCAGGCCCAAGACAAATTCGCTTTGCTGCGCAGAGCGTACTAGGGATACGCTCTCTGCACTCGACGAGGCAATGTAGTCGGAGGCTTCGGGAAGAAAAAGTGCCTGTCCCTTCCTGTCAGGCTACATGACGCTGTACCCTGGATTAGAGATGGAAATACCTTTGCACCTGCGGCTACAGCTTTCTTTACTAGTGCCTGGCATTGGGCGAGATTGTGGGCCATGCTCGCTGTTGAGCACAGCTGCCCTACAGCCTACAGCAGGGTGAGCGAGCGCCCATGCAAGAGGCCGGGGAACGTACAACTTTCACCATGTTGGTGAGGATTGTGAATTATGAATTATCCTTTCAAAGAGTCATGAAGTACATGAGCGTGTAAGATGATAGACGATAACAGAATCGCGCAGTCCCGCGTTTTGTGGAGGTGGGGCTATACTATGACTGGCCTAGAAGAGGATTCATACCTAGTCTAAGCACGTATGCCAGTCGCATTCTCTGATAGCTGGGAGAAGTTATCCATTTCAGAAGCTTTCTAAACATGCCTGCAAGTCGTCCATCAGTGTAGTCGCTCAAAAGGTAGCTTATCCGGAGCAGCAAGGTGACTACACAAACATCTTTGTACGAGAGAAGCTAGGCGATGGCTTATTGAAATCTGCTTGTTGCAAAGAATTTTCAGCTGCAGAAATTGCTGTTCTCTTTTTCTTTGATGTGCTTGCTGAGTGATTGCTGACATGGGCCGTTTGAGCGTGGATTCATGGTAGAATACGACCATTTTATAATCGAAAGTCACCCTGTTTTACAATATATTGCCTGGATGAAGGACGTAAAGCAAAATTTAAGGTCAAAAGAGTTGTGTATGTACAGGGACAAGATCTCATACAGATCCTTGCAGGAGTTCCTTTAACTTTGCGAAATTCTGCCGTAAATGCAAAATATCAGACTGCGACTTTTCGTCTCTTTGATCGATCTGCGTCATTACTACTTTCAGTAGCGACCGGTGGCTCTCACAATTGAAGAGACCAGGTAATGAACCCTGTTGTCCTTCGGAAAGTCGAGCTGGCCTATGTATTCTATATTCTGCCGGTAGCCCCAAGGACGTCTCAATCAAAACCAGCTGATGCTCGAGAACTTGTATGATAAGTTTCAAATGCAAAAGCCCTTGCGGGAGAGGAAGTCCGCCTAACTGTACCCCTGAGTCATATTGGATGTTTGCAGCCCCGTCGGGCATGGTTTCCAGGACGAAGCACAAACGAGATATAATGATATTGAAAACACGTAATAATAACAAATAGGTCGTCATTACCATCAGAATAATCGGCATACCGGGCGAAGATGTTCCAAAGCTGGTACTGGTGTTGTCAATATGCAAGGCCTCTGCGGTTTGAAAACTAGATGTCTTGTCCGGTTTTTCTTTAATAGCTCCATCTTGTTTGGATGTATCTGAACCAGCCAGTAATTTTAGGACACTTATAAAATCCGAAAGAATTCGAAGAAAGCTGGCGGTCATATTTACTGGACTTTCTGAGTCGTCTGTATTTCCATTAGAATCATGGGATTCGAGACTCATGTTTAGTCGCCACGGAGGAGGACAATCGTTCTGTTGAATGGCCAGCATCCACTCATAGAGATCCTTATTTAATTTTGATAGTAACAGAAACGGATCTGGGCTCCTTTCTTCTGGGAGAGCATTATTCTCTGTTCGTGGTGTCAAGGGATATGGATCTGTGGGTTGGAGCTTCGACTGATGAAGAACCTCAGGAAGTATGTCAGTCTCCGGAAGCGGTTCTAAAAGCGATGCCATATCGCTCATTCCCATATCAAACCCATCCATCTGCATAGCAGACATAAGAGTGTCCCAAGACTCGGACCGAGAAGAGATCGTAGAGTCGTTATAGGGAAAAGGCGCGTCCACGGCGGAAGACACATTGGAAAACATAATGTTCTGTTGACTACCATTTGACGGTGTTGCAGTATCCAGTGAATGCTCATAGCTCCTAGGATGTGTATCTGTAGGCGCCCACAATCGAGAATGCCCAGGACTATTGTACAAGGAGCCTCGCACAGGACGCCCTACAGGCTTGGAGCTGCTTGTAACGCAAGCAACTTCAGCTCGCACACACCGAACACACGAGCTTATCGCTCCATTCTCACGCCGGCACCGCAGTTTCTGGTCGCGGCATCGATCACAGGCAGACCGTTTAGTCCGATGCATTGTTCCTCGATTTGTCGAATGGGCCAGCATAGACTTGAACAACAGCTGTTCTTCTTCCTGCTGGCTTAGGTAAGATGGACTCGGGTGGGGCCGATGTCCGAATGGCCTCCGGACAGCCAATCGCAAGCCCGAGAAGTATCCGAATATCAAGCCCTAATTGAGACTATCATTATGTATATATCTACATGTATAGTTGTCTCTATCGGTGATGTATCTTTTTTCTTTTTTTTGCAATTTCTAGTCTGCTCGTGACGCACAATTTCTAACACCTCTACTCTATCAAGTCGCGTTTACAAATGGATACTACTGTTCAAGAAAAAGACGGCTTCCACAAAGACGAGGAGGCATTTGCTTCAAGCTCAGAGAAGGAAACCAGAGATGGCACTATCAGCAAGTTGCAATTCGTCAAGGGGTTCAGATTCTGGGCCATTCTGGCGTCAGTCTCCGTTACTAGTCTTTTGACATCGCTCGAAGCAACAATTGTCTCAACCGCCTTGCCAACGATAATCACCGAGCTACACGGTGCTAATAAATACATCTGGGTTTCCAGCGGATATCTCTTGACTATGTGCGCTTACGTTATCACTTCCGATATCAAGAAAGTTCTCTAACGCATTTCAATAGGACTACCTTGCAGCCAATCTATGGTCAACTCGCAAATGTGTTCGGAAGAAGATACCCCCTGATATTTGCGGCTGCAATTTTCACGCTCGGGAGTGGCATTTGCGGTGGCTCGAATTCCGTCGAGATGCTCATAGCAGGCAGAGTACTACAGGGCATCGGCGCGGCTGGCATCAGTGTCCTCGTTGAGATCATTGTTTGCGACATCGTGCCTTTGAGGGAGCGAGGGACCTACCTTGGAATTGTCATGGGCTTCGGCTTTCTCGGCTCTGCACTCGGTCCACTATTCGGGGGTCTGATTGTTGAAAACATTAGTTGGAGATGGGTCTTCTATCTGAACCTGCCTGTGGGAGGAGCCGCCCTAGTTGCGCTTTTTCTCTTTCTGCAGGTCAAATTCAACAAAGAGATGACGATTGCCGAGAAGCTAAGGAGAATGGACTTTGGCGGCAGTCTGATCTTTGTTGGTTCTGTGGTTTCCATTTTGATTGCCCTAGCTTGGGCTGGTTCACTTTACGCGTGGTCAACGGTGCAGGTCATAGTCCCGCTTGTGTTGGGCTTCATCGGACTTATCTGCTTTCTAATATACGAGGCATTCGTCTCTGACCCTATTATGCCGCTGCACCTCTTTCAGAACCGTACGTCTCTTGTCGCCTTTGTACTCACCTTCCTACATGGGATTGCCACCGTATGGCTCCTTTACTTCCTACCGGTGTATTTCCAGGCAGTACTTCAAGCCAGTACAGAACGCTCTGGAATCGACCTTCTCCCCACCATATTTGCCATCGTACCGTTTGCGATTGCAGCAGGGGTAGTTATGGGGAAAATCGGGCGTTACAAGCCAATCCACGTGGTCGGATTTGCAGTAATGATGATGGGTTTTGGCCTTTTGACTCTATTGAATGAGAACTCCTCGACTGCAGCTTGGGTACTGTTCCAGGTGGTAGAGTCCCTGGGCGCTGGCCTCGTCATTCCGACGTTACTTCCAGCAGTCATGGCCGAACTGACTGACGCAGATACTGGGAGTGCAACTGGAACATGGTCTTTCATGCGAGGTTTCGGTATGACTTGGGGCGTGACGATCCCTTCTGCCATATTCAATGACCAAACCACGCGATTGGCTTCGCGAATACAAGATCCCAGCGTCGTCGCAATGCTCACCGGGGGCCAAGCGTATGAGCATGCGACGAGAAGCTTCGTCGAATCATTGACGGACCCAACTGTCAAATCACAGGTTATCTCTATATTTACGGAAAGCCTAAAGCGATCGTGGCAGATAGGCATTGCTTTCCCTGCTCTTGGGTTCTTGATTGTTTTCCTGGAGAAGGAAATTCCCTTACGCCAAGAACTAAACACTGAGTATGGCATTGAGGACGGGAAAGAGAAAGACAAAGAGAAAGCCTAGATAAATGGTAATAGTCCGTTTTAGATGAGATATTGGATGTATATATAGAGTGGAATAAACATAGAAAAGAAGAAACGTGAAATATAAGAGTGCGAATTTGAAAAGTAACGTCTTTGATCTTATCGATAACGCCTCGATAAGATAAAGCGGGCTGGCGGCTCGAAGATTTCCGCACGGGACCTCCAGAAACGCAATCCCGCCTTTTCGTGCTTCAGTTCTCGCACCATTACTGACTGTTAACCTCCGCCTGCTTGTTGACATCTGCATTGTATCAAGTGCAGCGTACCGTGTTCTAGGAAGTTACTCAAAGGACAAATCAGCAGTCACAATTCTTCCAAGCCGAGATGAAAAGTCTGCGAAGAGACTTTTCCTCAAACCCGCAGGCCCAGAATGTGTCCAGCAAGGTCTTCGTCAGGTCCACGAAAAGTGGCAAGGTTCAGAAAATAGTCCGCGAGTTATATCTCAGGCAAGATATTCCATGCTCTTCAAAGCTATGCACAATCTGCCCGACCTACGCGCCAGCAGATGCAGATGGAAATAGTGAGTGCGATGCCTTTCTTCAAGCTACACGTCTACTGACTGTTGGAAGTAAAACCGTTCGTCCTATCCGATCGGCCTGCCGGTACTGAAGCTTTCCCCAAGGGTCATTATATCGTGCCGGATACAAATGCTTTGCTGAATGGAATGGATGTGTTCGAGCACACTGGCGCATTTTACGATGTGATTATTCTGCAAACCGTCCTAGAAGAGCTCAGAAACCTCTCCCTTCCCCTCTACAACCGCCTCATATCGCTTATAAAATCGGATGAAAAACGCTTTTACCTTTTCTTCAACGAATTCCGTCTCGAAACATACGTCCGCCGACAGAATGACGAGTCTATCAACGACCGGAACGATAGGGCTGTGCGCACTGTCGCTCAGTGGTACGGCGAACATCTTCGTCAAGCCGTGAAAAAGGGGAAATCAGTTCCCACAATCGTCGTGCTCACCGATGACAAGGAGAATCTACGCAGAGCAAAAGAGGAAAATGTCGTGGCACTGTCTCTCTCCGATTATGTGTCAGGACTTGAGGACGCAGACACGTTAATCGACATGATCAATGATTCACGGGAAGAACGAGGACAAAGGACAGAGTTTTTTTACCCGGAATACTATTCCATGTCAAAGATGATGACAGGAGTACGAGCGGGTACTATGCATCAAGGCATATTCAACATCTCCCCATACAATTACTTGGAGGGCTCCGTGAAAGTAGCTGCGTTTGATAAACCGCTTTTAATTCTTGGTCGTGACAACAGCAACCGAGCCGTTTCGGGTGATGTTGTTGTCGTTGAAGTGTTACCGAAAGATCAATGGAAATCACCCTCTTCAAAGATCATCGATGAGGAAGCAGTTACCAGAAATGAGGACCCGGAAAACGAAGAGACAGAAATTGTTGTTACTGAGAGAGAGAAGAAGGCTTTGCAGGAAGAAGTGAGGCAGGCGCATGGAAAGAATGCCGAGGGAAAAGCTCAGCCCACTGCTCGAGTTGTGGGGATCATCAAGCGCAATTGGCGCCAATATGTCGGACACGTCGATTCTTCATCGACATCTCTCCAGAGCAATGCAGGAAGACGCCAGCAAACTGTTTTCGTACTGCCCATGGATAAACGTATCCCTAAGATTCGAATCAGGACTCGGCAAGCAGCCGAGCTTCTTGGCCAAAGGATTTTAGTGACTGTTGACAGCTGGGATCGCGACTCCCGGTATCCCACTGGTCACTTTGTGCGCTCACTGGGAGAACTCGAAACCAAGGGAGCAGAGACGGAAGCACTTCTCCTTGAGTACGATGTGCAGTATCGGCCATTCCCGAAAGTGGTTCTCGACTGTCTGCCTTCTGAGGGCCATGACTGGAAGGTTCCTACGCGCACAGATGATCCCGGCTGGCAAAATCGTAAAGACTTGCGAGATCTTCTGGTTTGCAGTATCGACCCCCCAGGTTGTCAAGATATCGACGATGCTCTTCATGCGCGCCTCCTGCCAAACGGGAACTATGAAGTGGGAGTCCACATTGCTGACGTCTCAAACTTTGTCCAGCCAAATAATGCCATGGACCTCGAAGCAAGTCTGCGCGGCACGACTGTCTATCTGGTGGATAAGAGAATTGATATGCTTCCAATGCTGCTGGGAACTGATTTGTGTTCTCTCAAGCCTTATGTAGAACGATTTGCGTTTTCTACCCTCTGGGAAATGACACCTAATGGGGAAGTAGTCTCCGCCGATTTTACAAAATCTGTGATTCGGTCACGTGAGGCTTTTAGTTACGAACAAGCTCAGCTACGAATCGACGATGCATCGCAAACCGATGAGTTGACTCAAAGTATGCGCACGCTGTTGCACATGTCCAAGATCCTACGGCAGAAACGAATGGACGCTGGCGCGTTGAACCTTGCATCTCCCGAGATCCGCATTGAAACCGAGTCGGAGCTCAACGACCCTCTCACTGATGTCAAGACGAAAGCGCACTTGGCGACAAACAGCCTTGTCGAGGAGTTCATGCTTCTCGCCAATATTACAGTAGCCTCCAAGATCTACAGCGCATTCCCTCAAACCGCTCTATTACGCAGACATGCATCGCCGCCCCCTCAGAATTTTGAGCAATTGGCTACACAGTTGCAAAAGAAGCGCGGACTCAAGCTTGATGTTTCTAGCTCAGGAGCTCTGGCCGACTCGCTGGACGCGTGTGTCGACCCGCAGAATCCGTTCTTCAACACTTTGATCCGTATTCTGGCTACAAGGTGCATGACATCGGCAGAGTATTTCACAGCTGGTGCCCATGCTGAAGCGGAGTTCCGGCATTATGGTCTTGCTTCGCCCATTTATACTCACTTCACATCCCCCATTCGTCGCTATGCCGATCTTGTCGTGCATCGACAGCTTGCCGCTGCGATTGGGTATACCTCAGCGGAGGGCCTCAGCCGACGGAGTCAGCTAGAGGACGTCTGCAAGAACATCAATTTCCGTCATCGTAATGCGCAGTTTGCAGGACGAGCCAGCATTGAATATTACGTCGGCCAGGCGCTGAAGGCTCGGGGCGAGATGATGGCCAAGAACAAGGGTAACGACAAGAACGTCGGAGTCGATGAAGAAGGGTATATTATGCGCGTCTTTGAGAACGGTGTGGTTGTTTTCGTTCCTCGGTTCGGTATTGAAGGCATTGTGCGACTGGAAGATTTTATGTTGCCCGGGGAAAAGGTGCTCCCGAATGTGCATGACCCTGAGCAAATGCGAGAGGTCGCCCATCGGCGTGAGAGCGAATATGACCCGGAGGAATATACTCTGCGTGTCTGGGACAAGAACCACCAGGAAACTGAACGATCTCTGGTCGTCGAACTGTTCGAAAGGGTCCAGGTGAATGTGAGCTCAGTCAAGGAGGAAGGGGGCCGCGGTGCAGGCAAACGCAAGGTCCGGATGCTCATTCTTGGGAAATTATGAGAGCTATACACACTAGCTATTATTTATCATGAGACGGCGTACATTTATGTTGAGATACGCTTAATTACCAAAAGCAGTGAAAGTAAACAATGGCTATGGGTACGTAATCTGTGTATTGCGCATACACGGCGCTAGTAACTTACCCGGTAATTTACTCGATCTGCTGCCCCGCAACGATCGCGTTTGTTTTTGTGTTGATATGGCGATACGTAATAAGCGCTGCAGCTGAAGTACCTTGAGTTGGACCAGCTCATCGCTGACTCTTGCACACTGTGTGTGTGTCTGCTACTATCTGCGTTGTCCCGGGAATCCTTCGGGCCTCTATACATAACTAGTTATACATGCATCGCTGAGCTTGGTGGATGCGATGCTTTGTTGGCAGATGGTCATAGCTTCCTTTTCCCTGCCAGCCTCCATCGAACTCGACAGAACCCGTCGCCAGCCAGATATATAATATCTGGCTTGAGGCCAGTTGAGTAACTATCTTTTTCTCTGCCAGCGTCTCGATTCAATTTCCGAGGAAGCTTCCCCGATTGGGTATTTATTATTTAGCCGCGCAGATCGCCGGCCAGACCAGACCAGACCCGCGGCTGCTTCCTCCCTCCAAGCATCCGGCGTAACTACCGTCGACCACATTCCTTGGACAGCTCCAAGGTTATCGATTGCAAGCTGGCATTCCACAGTAAGCGACCATGATGCACAGAAATCGCATGAAGGATCCCTCGCGGAAGGTCAGTCCGCCAGGGCCAACGTACATGTCCGACGATCAAGTTGGTGAGTGAACTACCTGCGAGTCCATCGTGGCAAAACAACCATCTGACATCCGGCGCAACAACGACAACGACAACAGCAAATTACTTGAAAGACCTTCGCTCTAGTCGTCCTTCCAGGCCAAATGGTTCTCGCCCACTCCCATCACGTCCGACCTCAATTGCGCCCAAGGCGGCTGAAGAGCCACATCCACGCGCTGCGTCCGCGCTGTCAATGAATGAATGGCGTGATTCCCCCTCAAAAGAAATGTCTAATCCAGATCCATATCCTCGCTCCGCTAGCGCTATGTCGCATAATAGACGAACGTCTAATCTGAATCGGGGCAGTTCCGTCGGCGTTGGTATCGGACGTCCCTTGGTTCAGCAGCCAAGTGGTCAATCCGTTCGCTCGCCCAGCACGGTCTACCGCGAAAGTGGCTCGCGCTGGATGGAACGGCAAGAAGCCCGTTCACTTCGAGACGCCCTTCAGGAGATGGACTTGCAGGACGAGGAACGCTTGCATGCTGCTGCTCAAGATGAGGCAACGAAGCTTGTTTGGGAGCATCAAAACCCAGGGTCTGCTCTGAAGAACCCTTATGCGGCGTATCGCAATCCAGATCTAAACGGGACTAGTAATCGATTTCGACAACACTTGGAGAAAGGAAGTCATGCCAGGAGCCAAAGCATGGGAGGCTATACCGACATCCCTAGCAACCACAGAAAGTCTCTGTCGGGTTCAAGCCAGGAAGACTCGTCATTGCATGACAGTTCTAGTGGATCGTCGTCTTTTAAAGAAGGTTTCAAAAAGAAAGGAAGAGTTAATTTTGCGTTACCCTCGGAAGATGATTCATCTGGATTGCCTCGTGAAATCGTGCCGCGGGCAAGGACAGTGAGCGGCGATTCTTCAAAAGGAATCTTTAGGAACCCAGAGGACTCGATTTATGAAGAGCCCGAGGATTCGAGCGCCCAGACCGTTAGACCAAGTTCATCTACAAACGCGCGGTCCGCTCTTCAAGTAAAGCCTAGGAATTCTCTTCCACCACAAAGCTCAGATCCACCCTCTCGGTTTAGCAACTCGCCCTTCGATAGGAAACGATCCAAAGTTGACATACATAAAAACCCACCTACTCAAACCAGAAACCCGCTTTATACCACGAATGCGCGCATGCCGCCCTCCAGAGAACCCAAGAAAGACGCTGACACCCCCACAAAGGATGGAATGGAGATACGAGGTGATGATATTAGAGCAGCTACCAGTATGAAGCTCAAGGACCGGAGCCAAAAGTTGCCCATGCCCACAGCAGTGAGTGATAGACCAGGCCAGCCTATCGTTAGCTTTGATCCGACATGGCGGTCTCCGGAAGAGAGGTTGATGGACGCTCCAAGCAGCGGTCCCCCAGCCATTAATATCGTTGAGCCAACGGAACCCATCCCGACTATCAATCTTCCCGATGAGTCAAAGGAGGAAGTTCCATCGATCGCTGACTCGGCGCCAAAAGAGCAACCGGTAGCTTCTGAACCCGTTTCCGAATCTGTTGCCTCCAGGCGCCGCAAGTTTGATAACCCTAAAGCTATGAAACCAGCTTCACAGGGCAAATGGTATTCTCCCTTCACACGCACCGGTGTACCCACCGCAACCTGTACGAATTGCACATTGCCGATTGAAGGCCGGGTAGTTACGGCTGCCGGATCGCGCTTTCATCCAGAATGCTTCACATGCTATCACTGTTCAACTGGGCTAGAATGCGTTGCATTCTATCAAGAACCTGAAGCCAAACGAGAGGAAAGACTTGCGGAAGCTACTCCTGGTGATGACGAGTCCCACGGCTTGCGTTTCTACTGCCATCTCGACTTCCATGAACTATTCAGCCCGCGTTGCAAGAGCTGCAAGACCCCCATAGAAGGAGAAGTTGTGGTTGCCTGTGGTGCTGAATGGCACGTGGGACATTTCTTTTGTGCTGAATGTGGCGACGTAAGTCTACTTTTTTTTTCCCCTCACTATAATACATATAATTTACTAACAACTACTCTCCTTGCCACAGCCATTCAATCAAGAAACCCCGTTCGTAGAGAAAGACGGATTTGCCTGGTGTCTTCGCTGCCACTCTCGTCGAACAGCCTCGCGATGTCTAGGGTGCAAACAGCCCGTGATGGAGGACGTTATTGTCACAGCCCTCGGGGGCCAATGGCACGATAAATGTTTTGTCTGTCATACCTGCGGCGATGGCTTTGGGCCAGAAGGACGGTTCTTTGTCAAAGAAGGCGAGCCAAAGCGCACTGCGAAAGGCCGTATTATAGGCGGCCCCGTCCAACTCGCGGTATGTGAAGCTTGTGAGGCGAGGCGGTTGAAAGCGTAAGGTCTCCATATTAGAATATCTATTTGGTAATTGTGTCATGCTGGAGTATAGCTCTAATGTCTTTTATGTTGACAATATTTGTTTATGAGGAGGGTGCGAGCAGGTGTCTTGGTTTTGTTTGCGTCGTTTTATTCTATCTATTCTGGGATTTTTGGGGGGGGGGGGGTTTAGGTCTTGGTAGATATTGCGTGGGTGTTGACGAAGTATTTAGATTTATAATTCTTGATCTTTGTTTCTTCTTTAAGAAAACCCCCCTTTCATATATCCTTCACAAGATAATGTACTAGATAAGACAACAGACCTACCATTCAGGATCAGGTAAGCGGCGAAAAACAGCAACAAACTTGGGTCCATTATTCCTAGCCACCTTCTTCCCTTCCTCGGTTTCTTCGCGCATGACTCGCACGCATTCATCCTTGGCTAGCTCTTCATCGGAGACGCGCTCAAAGAGCTCTCTGACACGAGCTACGCCGGAGTTGGCATCTTCATCATCCTCCTCATCTTCGACATCATCGGCAGAAGCAGGTGTTGCATTCTCATCCTGCGAATTATTATCTTCCTTTGTAGTAGTAGTCGTTCTAGTATTTTGCACACCGAAATGCCTCAAAATCCAATAGTGGTATTCTTCAACGTCCGTGATGGTGTAGAGGAATCCACCCGGCTTCAGGACAAATGCGTACTCTGCATTCAAGCTCGATGAAATAATTCTCGCCTTGTGTTTGCGTGCTTTGAAGTGCGGGTCGGGAAAGCATATGAAGATTTTGGATAGTTGATGACGTCGGAAAAAGCGAGGAAGGAACTTCATAGTGTTGGCGCGCAGCGCAGAGATGTTTTGATAGCCGCCGGGAACGAGGGTGGTGGCTTGTTGCGTGGAGTCTGGTAGCGCAGGGGCATCTTCTGGTAGATCCTGTTCATTTGTGGTCGCGCTGTCGTTCGTGTCTGGCTTCGTGGTTTCTGAGGGAGATGTTGAAGATGACGAGGCTGCACGCAATTTTTCCTGCTGATTGCGGAGAGCCACAACGCGGGCTTTGACGTATTCTGTGACTTGGCTTCGAATTTCCAGTCCTGATAATAAGAGACAAAGGTTAGCTTCTTATACATCATGTGTTAAGCCAACTCCCACGGATGTGGACAAAACATACCAACCATCAACGTATCCGGTAAAACAGGTGCTAATCCAATCAACAATCCACCAAACCCACATCCAATATCAGCAACTTCCACATCCTTTAGAAGCTTCCGTGTACCTGCAAGAGTGGTGTTTGCAGGGTTCGGGTCAACAAAGGCAGGGTAATTCGACTCCCAGCTCATATGTGCCGGGGTTAATGGGCTGCAGTTCCGAATTAGTTATATAGCAGCGCATTCTGACCAGATATAAAACATACTGCTCCAATGCATAATCGGCGAAGGGGTTCGCATGTGCGCGTTGACGGTAGAATTTCTTCTGGGGAAGTTTGACCCCGTTGGCGTCGCCTGATTCCAATCCCAATTTTTGGGCTTTTCTGAATTCACCACGAGTAGTTTTCTTCTTCTTCTGCTCCGGCATTTTCGCCTGGGGTGTGGCGGGGCGACGGTATAAGATATATCTCGCTTTTGTAGTCAATGTGCGGGGAATGTTCGCGGTCTGGCTTTTTTGAGTGTTGCGAAAGACTGCGATTTGATTTTTGCGGAGAGAAACTTTTTTTTCTCTGGCGCCGACTGTCAGAGGATTGGTCGCACTTGGTACTTTTCAAAGTCCTCTACAAGAAGAGCAATTGCCTCAATCCGAAAGTCGTGAATGGACCGATTGTACAAACTGTGCAGAAGGTTGTTAAAAACGAAAAAATGAGAAGAGCTCAGTTGGGCTGTGGATCTGACGTAGTGGAGGTCGAAAAGCGGAAGGCGGGACTGTTGCTTACAGAACCTCCGAATAGTTTACAGGCAACAACAACAACAACAACAACAACAACAACAACAACAACTCCTCAAACAGTCCCTTTCTTGTATGTCGAAGTACAATAATATTGACTCTGTGAAGTGACCATCTTGCGCACACTATACGATCCTTCCAATACCTAACGCCGGACGTCTGTACAAGAAACAAACCACCACCACCAGCACCCCGCATTCCGGTCTACAGAGAGATAAGCAAGCACATCTAAGAAACAAACAAACAAACATGTCTTCAACTTCACCTCCCAATGCCTTTCTCTCTGCGCCGACTACAGCAGCCAGCGTCGTCACACCGGCGAGCACCACTTCGTCACGCGATCCCCTGATAAGAACAGGCGCAAGTGAATCCAGCAATAACGACCCTTCTTCAACCACCAGACCCCCACGAACAACAACACCCTCTGGCTTCACATTCCCCGAAGTCTACGACTGGCCGGCCTTCTTTACCCTCCAACCCAATGCCCAGACGCGACAGGCACAAATGCGGCGGTGGGCGAACCTCATATCAGAGTGGTGTCGGTACCATCGCATGTTCCGTCTGTCGTTGACTGACGCTACTGATTCGCCGCTGTTCCACAATGCGCGAATGCGGAAACGCGTTGGTGTGCAGGATGCTAGGACGATTATAGATTGGATGGCCACGTCGCAGGAAGACGGCGGTGGTGGGAAAAGAGCTGAATGGGTCCCCGCTGGGTCTGTTACAGGTGGTGGTTCTTCGGGTAAGATGGGTGAGAAGACTATTGCATGGATTTGGTGGAAAAGGCCAGAGGAATGGGCGAAATTGATTGCCGATTGGGTATGATGTCTCGTTCCAAAGTCGTTTGGGAAGAAGACCCGAACTCATTGAAGCATTTAGGTCGACGAAACGGCACAGAAGAATACTGTCCTGACGCTTTATGAATTGATGCATGGAGAGGCAACCACATCACAAGGTACGTTTCCTTCCTGCATGTTATTTATATAACAAAGGTGCATTTTCTGCAAAACTGATACCTGTCGTTGATTAGATTTCCATGGCATGGACCCCGATGTCATGCTCAAATCGTTGAATGTTCTTGTCAAAAGTGGCAAGGCTCAAATATTTGGCAACGACGACGAGAAGGGTGTCAAATTCTTCTAAGAAATTCGTAGTATTCGTTGATGCTCTTCATATTCCCAACGCTATGAGACACATGACGAAGTAATAAACAAAAACAGGATATCACGTCCGCTCAGGACTGAACGCCGAGGACCAAACCTTAACTCATCAAAACCGTTCCTGAAGACTTAAAGAGTCACTATGTACTTTTTATGTACAACTCCCCCCTTCCCCTTTTTCTTCCATGTTTACGCATCTTCACGAGTTTGGAACTCATATTCGTCCTTCCAACGAATCTCTTGAGACATAGCAATGTCCAGCAACCAATTGACACTGACGATATGCGGTGTTCTGTCGTATTCGAAAACCATTTGACGAAATCGAGGCCAAAGCTTGACGTGATCAGGTTCATCGCCACTTATAAGAAACACATCATCTTTCATAGAGTGGTCTGTCTCGCTGTCATTTGTATCGGAGCTAGACTCACGATGACGATGATCGTTCATCGAAACGCGGCCCCGAAACAGTGTGCATTCACCACCATTCGCCTCGACAATTGACTTGAACGCTTCGAAACCGCCGCGGATTGTCTCGACACAGCAGATTCTATAACCTTTGAGAAGCTTGTTCTTGTTGCGGTGAGCCCGTTCACGCGCAGCGGTCAATGTAAAACCATTCTTCTTCTCGGTGATTTTATCAACCAAGGCAAAGTCAGCGGGATCAAGCAACTCGTCCTTCGCAAGACATTGTGTGATATAGTCGACGTTCACAATGACAGGGGCATATGCCAGAGCATTGACGAACTTGGGTGTTCGCAAGATGGATGGAGCGGCGAGATGGGTGCATTTTTTAGCGTCTTGAGTTATGGCAATCCCCAAGTTGCGAAGTTGTCGCTAGACTTGTATTAATACCTTGCTCTGAATTGTATATAGACAAGCATAGAAAAACTGAACAGAACTTACCTTATCTGCATCTTCCTTCTTGACATTACCAACCCATCTCTGATAGCCCGTTATTATCATGTGCATAGTCACAGGAGCCCTGAGTTTCTTCTGTCGTTTCGCGTCCGTCTTCTCGTCTTCAGCTTCGTCTTTTTCTTCAGGCTCGGCAGATCTTCTCTTCTTGTTGTTTGCTGGAGGAACAAGATCCGGATCAGTCTTTCGTCGTCCACCATAGATAACGCCGCCAACCCGTTTCATCTCCTTCTCATAAAGAGCAATATCAGGAGCAGCGTCGTGTATGCGCGCCGCAGCAGTTTCTTTAGACTTGCGACTACTTGTTGTTGAAGGTGTGACGTTTTCCTCTCCATCCGCGAGGAAGCGCGAAACCATGGGAGTCTTCGTGTCGCCGAAGAGAGATGCCTTGCGAGATGACTTGCCTGTATGAGGTGTCATGGTTGCAGCCGTCTTCGCTGGAACGGGTGATGACTTGGAAACGGATTTGGCTCGCTCTAGAGATGGATCCGTCTTGTTGTTTTCAGCGTTGGCGGCTACATTCTGATCCTTTTGCTGCATGACTCGGGTCTCCTCAACGCCGGTATCTGCGGGGAAGAAGTTCTGCTCGAGCACGGTCTTATCGAGTTTTGTCTGACCGACAACTTCTCCTAAATTTGTCCGCTTGGGAAAATGAGTGTACCGTGGTTCAGAAACTGGTAACATTTTCCACTGCGCATAGCTTTCTTCTAGCCATAAATGGTTAATAACATAAAGACCCCATTCTTTAGCTGCTGTGCATTTTTCGCTGTTGCCGTGCGCAGTGATGAGATGTGTGTTGTCGTTTTTGAGGGTCTTGGTGCATTCAGCACCCGTAGCTTGGATGAGATTTTCGAGATATGCTCTGGCTTCTCCGGCGTAGTTGGACAAACTAATTCGCAAACCTTTGAAGCCTGGAATGCCTTCACGATGGGTCGGATAGTGCAGTAGTCGTCGAAGAGGAGATGTCCATGTGTTATGTGTAACAAGGTGAAATAGCCACGACAAATTCCCGACCTCTTTGTTCCATCTCGATGCCGTGCGATATTCGAATCCATCCCGATGTTTGCAGATAAACATATCCGCTTTCCTCAAGTCCTTGGTGACTATACCATTTCCCTGTCTGATTAAGTCTTCAATAGAGGCAAGTAGATGGTTTCCAATTCCCAGATCCGACGACAGCATAATATGCTTTCCCTCGAAAACACTGAGATTGCGCTTATGAGCTGGGGATCGACTCGGGGTTGGCAAGGCAGTAGGTTCTGGTGTAGATGCACCAACGATATCCACATTACCAAAGGTGCGAATAGGTACGTCTGGCCCAGCAAGTAGAATTTCGGGATTTGGTAGAGTGTAAGGCCGTTCATCAATCCTTCTACCGAGTTTCAAGCAATCATCAAACCTAGAATTCAATTTCAACTTGTTAGCAGTGAACCAGGACACACAACTTCTGCCTAGTAGGAAGAACATCATACCAGTGAGGCAACACAATCTTCACGCCCAATCCCTTCGAGGTGACGACCTTGGCCTTGTCAGAATCCATACTGAGGTCGACCAGGTGAGTCACCTGCGAGGTGACTCTAGACGAATACAGTCCGCCCATAGCCATCACCCCACCAACGATGGCATCTTTATCGCCCTCTGGAATATCACCACATGTGACTACAACGTCGCTGAAGAACATTTTGGGGTCAGGGCTGAACTGGCGGGGATTGGCGAGTTTCATTTTCGCGATGGACACCTGCAGCCACTGCGGTTTTACAACTGGTATCAGGGTGTCGCAAGCAGATTGGTAAGCTGGGAAATCGGCGGTGGAGGAGATGATGTGCGTGAATTGCTCGATGGGTGGGAAGGGTGCTGGGTCTTCGTATATGACAACGTCGCCGCCGTGGTCTTTGATCTGGATGTCCAACTGTATTAGGTCAATCTTAGCCAAAAGCAAAAGGAAAAAGACAATGGGAGACTGTTGATTTTACCTGCATCGCAGCATCTTCTTGGATGTTCTTAGAACAGACGACGCATATTTTGCACTGAGCAAGCAGCTGGACGCTACTGCGTCCGTCTGACATTGTTTATTATTTCTCTCCCCAGGAGGGAGGTCCCAACAAGTGATCCAAAATGCGCGACTTGGGAGACGAAGCGGGGGTGTGGTGAAGATTGGTTGCCTTTGGATCCATGAAACGTTTGGCGGACAATAAACGCGGAGCAGATGACGCGATGGCCCGACGCGCATCAAAACGCAGGGTCACGTGGGTTGATGCACCGCAAAATAAAAAATAACTCTACGTACCTGCATAAATACCTACAATAACTCCATATATGCTACGTTGGTTTTACCGTTTCAACGTATATCTGCACCAATTGAACTACATGATGTATGTTTCCTTGCGACTGTACAACTGCATCCTGATTGGACCCCTACAGCCTCGGCCCAATCCAGCTCCCTAGCAGCGATCCGGCAGATACGTCGGCTTCGATTCGACAGAGCAGCATGATAAATAATGCCTAGCACGCTATCTGAGCAAAGGCCCTTTACCTCAGTTTGCCTCAGTCTACCGCAAAGAAAAGAATAGAAAGGAAGGAAGAAAGAAGGAAAATATGTCATGCCCATTTCGCATCGTGGAACATGTAGTTCCGGGACAGCATCTCCGGGAATATCCTCGGGCAACATCAACGTCGCAGGAAGAAACACTCTATATTGCCGTGAAACAGTACATTCCGCTAGATAATCCCCATCCACAGCCGGGCGATGTTACTATCATTGCAGCGCATGCAAATGGCTTTCCAAAGGTGAGGAACAGACAGGGCCTGGAAGACCCGTTTTGCTGTTGGTTAACTCCGGCCTAGGAACTTTATGAACCGCTCTGGGAGGACATCTATGCTCGATCAAAGAAGCATGGCTTCAGGATACGCAGTATTTGGATGGCAGATGTGGCGCACCAGGGTCAGAGCGGTGTGCTCAACGAAAACATACTTGGAAATGACCGTAAGTTTGTCGAAGCGTCGATTGGAACGGCTAGCTGATGTATGTCGTTGCAGCAAGCTGGTTTGATCACCCGCGAGATCTGTTGCATCTAATCAACCTCAAGCGCGATGAGATGCCACGCCCGATTGTCGGGCTTGGTCACAGCATGGGGGGAGCACAGCTGTTAGTGAGCCTTGTCAATTTGCAGTTATGATATGGAAGAACTAATCCCGTGTTCGATTAACCAGAGTATACTTATCACTATTACTCCCCCGACTCTTTCACAGCCTGGTACTATTAGATCCCGTCATTCAACGGCAGTCGACTCAATATGCCGGTGTCCCTATGAACACTATCCTCTCAACACACCGCCGAGAGATCTGGCCATCCCGGAAAGCAGCAATGGAGAGCTTCAATCGAAGCCCCTTCTACAAAGCCTGGAATCCGCGCGTTCTAGAGAGATGGGTCAAGTACGGACTGCGGGACTTGCCAACTCTCATTCACCCACTGCCATCATCGTCACCATCGCCATCTTCTTCGTCTAGCTCAACAGCAGAACCCGAAGAAACCAACCCCGTCACCCTTACCACAACCCGACATCAAGAAGTATTCACCTTCTCACGACCCAACTACGACTACGACCCCACAACCTCCAAACCCGCTAGCATACTCGAAACACCCGATCTCGTCCCCAACGCAGAAAATGCGCATCCATTCTACCGGCCCGAGCCCAAATACATCTTCTCCCAGCTACCGCACGTCAGACCAAGTGTCCTCTACATTTTCGGCGGACAATCAGACATGTGCAAACCGTCCATGATGCGCGACAAGCTCGAGAACACGGGTGTTGGGCATGGCGGCAATGGCGGCGTGGGAGCCGGCAGAGTCAAGTCAGTATTTCTGGAGGGCAAGGGTCATCTTTTGGCGCAGGAAGCGGTTACAGAATGTGCCGATGCGGCAACTGAGTTTTGGGCAGCAGAATTGGGGCGTTGGAGGGAGGAAGAGGATGCTTTTCTACGCGGGAAGTGGAAGAGCGAGAAATCGCAGGCTGAGAAGGTAACTGTCGATGAGCGGTGGTTGAGAGAAGTTGGCCCGCCTCCTGCGAAGTCTGGCAAGGTTACTACGGATGGTAATTCTTCGAAACCGAAGTTGTAAATACAAGTACGTATCACTACGTTTATTGACGATTAACGTATATAGATCATAAGGTGCGTTTGTTTATAAGTCTAATGTCCGTGACAATACCTAGGTTGATAGTGTAGTTACTCATTTTTAAAAAGAACAAGACTTGCTTGCCTGTAGAGTTAGTTGGGAAATTGTCTAAGTCTCAAAAATAAGACCCGTCCGTCCCATCCATGCGTTCGTGAAGATGTTGAGCCATAGCCTCCCTGATTTCAACGAGGAGGCCAAACCAAAAAAGAAAATTCCCCCGGAATGGAATAGCAAATCCCGAGAAAGTAGCTTTTTTTTTTCCTATAAACCAGCCCATCAGTCCAGCTGATATCCATCCTCGTACACAGCCGAATTGCACATAGCCGCGATATACTAGATGAATGGATTCTATATAATCGTCTTCGAGTTCAAGTGAACTTTTTCGATGGAGCGTCGCTTTGCTGGCCGGGCGAAAGACGAACAACCTCGGGAAAACTCCACATATGCGGCCATACGAGAATGTACTCGTCTTGTTCTTTGTTCAAGACGTGTCGTAGCCAGATTCCCCAGATAATATAGAGGTACGCGCCCATACCGGTCATGAGATGCCTAGAAAAAGAGATTGTAAGTCATGACAAATACGCATGATGTTCGAAGAGACCTTTCTAACTCACCACCAGCCATGACCTTCGAGAAATATTCCCCATGGCAGACCAACCCGTTGCCTCCATTCACGCAGCGTGCTACAGAAGAAATTGTCCAGACTCCAAATAGCAAAGCCGCCGAGGAACATGCTCAGGCCATAAACCACCATGAACCACATCGTCTTCAACGTCTTCATATCGCGCACATTCTCAAACTCCTGTCTCTCCTTGCTGGGTACTGGAAGCCCCTGTTTCTGTTTAAGTAGGCGGTCCTCTTCGAGAGACTTGCGCCACCGCGGACGTAGCGCCACTTCCATGGTATACATGCTCCGGAAAACGACAACAGTGGTCAGAAGCGCGTAGGCATTCTGGTGGAAGACGGGGTCTTGCAAGTAGTGGTAATACAGTGTAATGAAGACTGCGAGTCCGGTGAGGGAGACGGCAAGGAACTTTTTGACGGCGGATGATCTCGAGTAGGAAAAGGAAGCGTAGCACATGAGACACGTTGTGTAGATCATCGAGAGTTCGTCGACCAGTTGCATTGGGTCTAGATATCGAGAGAATCCAGTCAATCTACGAATCAGAAACAAGGGATATAAACAACGCACACTTCAAGGTCGAATGGAACAGAAAGCTGCCGGTTCCGACAAGCAGATATCCAAGGAACGCAACCAGGAACACCGAGTCATGGCCATGTTTGCGCACGTTCAGCACCCCTTTGACACCGAGCCCTAAGAACAACACATTCGTCAAGGAGTTCACAATCTCTGCGGAGTAAGGCGTTGCGTAGTAATCCTAATTTTCTATTAGCATATCTTACTCTTCCATCTTCTTTTGCGTTCGGCGTTCATGTCGTACCTCTTCACACCAATTCAGGGTCGATGTCACCGGGCTCCAGTATCCAGCCTTGGACGGCGGATAGGGAATGAATGGGAAGTGAGGCCAGTGTTCCATGGCGGATGGCGCGGTCTGTCTCAAACAGAACCGTGATAGCCCAGCGAACACAGTGCAGAGCAGGCGATCCAGGCGGTGGGACGAGGGGTGAAGTAGAAAACGAAGGAAACGATGTTAGTCCGGCGGTGCCTGAGACACCGAGTTCTTATATGGACGAAAGCTGAACGGGCGTGACGTAAAGTCGGCAGGTTCGCTGCGGCATTACTAGCGCGTTACTAGACGGTGCGGGTGATCCGAATTCAATACGGCACGGGCTAAGATGATTGGCTGTCTTCTTCTATTTGGTTCCTAGTCTTTGTAAACAAACCGTACCGTACAGCTTGCAGGACGCTTCTACAGATTACACATACAAAAAGCTACTCTAACTACTGTCGCTAGACAATAACTTATCCATCTCAGTACCTTCACAAGTGCCAAGCACCGTGCTGCTAGCTGTACTAGAATCCAGTAATCTGTAATCATTGCTTCCGTTCTACCCGGCCGAGATCTGGCCAATTACGGGTCTTTGGATGCAGTAAATGCCTCGGCAGGAAGATGTGATAGACCATTGAGAAGCAGTACCCCTAAACTTGCCATACTTCTACGCCCCGAAGTGAGAATAATAATAATAATAATAATAATAACTAAGTGATTTACTCCTAAACTAAATTATCTACGCCGAGATCAATTGTGATTTGGCTTCCGTTGTATCTACAAGTGCTTGATTCCCCTAGCTATATTACTGCTTCCTTCTTGCTTCATTTCCCATTCTCGGTGCACATTCACTTGTTTCTGTTTACCCCCGTCTAGTGAGAGAGAGTTTGAATATTTCAACGTGGGACGCTAGGCGTCGATCGCCCCACGTGCCGCTCGAGCCCTACTTTGACCTCGACATACGATGATGATAAGTTGCAACATTAAGCCAGCCACCACGCTCCATGGAGCTTCTGGCACCGCCAGATCTCTAGTAGCCCTGTTTTCTTTTCTCCACACATACAGCGAACAATAGTCAGAGTGACATAGTGTCCTAACTTGACACCCATCATACCAGTGTTATGTCTTATTTTTTTTTATCTCCTGTCTACCCATTCTTCTTGATGGTTGGGTTCCTTCGTCGCAGAGGGATCGGAGGGATCGGTGGAACGATATCGCATAGCTGTCACAATTGATGCCAATTCACCGTATATTATCTGGTCATTATGCCCAATGACATCCTCCTGTACACCTACTAGTAGAACATGGGGCATAATATCTCTTTGTGGATGGCTGCAAACGTAACATGTACACTGACTGATGTACTTATAGACCCAAGTGGAGTATTTCTGACGTGAATACCCGTTCGAGTCCAATACCATCCACCAGATAAGGAATTCCCTCGCCATGGTTACTGAAATCATGTCAGGGAATCAGCCATCATTGAAAAGAAAAGAAAAGGAACAAAAAGATAACTATCAACGTACCTAACTGAAATTATACCGCGTGTCTCGCCAAAGCATTCAACATCTGGCGATATATCCCTAGGGAATCCAGCAATAGTCCATTGACATGGGTAATCAGCAAGCTTCCAGCCAGGAGTCTCTTCGAACGTTTTCCACTCTTTATCGAAGACCTTTGCATATTCTGGATACTCCAAATCCTCTTAAGCGTGTTCAGGATCATCATATTGACTTGGATCAATAGGACCATCGTGAATAATTTGTAGAGTGCAAGGTTCAAACAGAATCGGAGGATTCTGGTTTAAATTTATGATCTCTGTATCAGTGGTAGTGAAATCACAGGCAATAAGACGAATGCCATTCTCTTCCAAAAACTTAGCTGGGAAAATGGCATCTTCTAAAAGGCTGTCTGTCTTCTGCGCCAAGCACAGTGCTCCACAAGGAGCGCAGTCTTTGGCGTAGCTCGGAAGTTTCGGTTGCCATATTCATCAGTTGCTTCTGTAGATCTTGCTGAGGAGCAGTAGTTGAGAGAAGAAAGGCGTTGAGGGGAAAAAAAAGTCGCCTGCACGGTGGTTGCCTAGTTTGAGTTGGTGAGGTCATTGGGCGATGATACGGCGAACTAAGGGGCCGAAAGCGATACTGCTTCCACCATACATGCCTAGGCAGTAAGCGTACGTACCAATGTTGCGTAGTAAGCACGAGCGAGATTCTGGCCTAGTAAACATATATTAATTAGATTTGGAGTGCTTACTTAGTAAGCATGCTTAGGCACGCGCTTGAGCGAGATTCGAGGCCTATAAGACGGTATTGAAGCTGTATAATGTTAGATTATCAAATGTTAGAGAATCCTTGAATATTAAAAATTAAAATACATTCAGTAATAGTATTAGTTGATAGAAGTAACTAGTTGTACTGCTCATATTAGTGCGTATAATATGCAAAGTATTGATGGATATGGCGGTTAGACATGCAGCTCACACCCCAGCCCTAAGCCCTAAGTTGCGGCCCTGCGGGGTAAGTATTTAACTAGCGGCTTTCAAGTTAAACTGCCGCTAACCTTAAGAGCTTGCCTGACCAGCGCAACATCGGCAATTATTATCTCAATCATCTACATTTGATCTTACAATCTTACATACACGGGCAGTACTTGTAGAGTGATTGCTTACTTTGCACAAATTTACCGCGCCTCGTCGTCAGAAAAAATACACCCCACCATGTCTATCCCCCCAGAAGCTTTGCAAAAGGTACGACACGAACCTCTCGACTTTCCGAACCGTTCATACCAGAGCTAACAATGTTTGGTAACAGCTCGTTCAAGAGATTGAATCGCGCGCGATTGTCGCTCAGCAACAGATTAACATCGTCAAGACACAGATCTCTACGAAGCAACGCGATGTACGGCTGCTGCAACTCACCTCGAGCGAATTGAGTACTATACCGAAGGAAACAAATGTGTACGAGGGTGTAGGGAAAATGTGCGTATTTAATGTCTCTCGCCTATCTCTAGAAGATGGTCAAGTCTGATTGAAATTGCTGTGTGGCAGGTTCGTGTTCACTCCGATCGATGCGGTCAACTCGCGGCTTTCGTCCGAGGATGCGACTCTCAAGAAAGATATTAGCGACCTGGAGAAGAGGTTGCATTATCTCGAGACGACGTATGAAAAAAGTAGGGAGAATATTGAGCATATTCTGAGGGGCACGGGTGCATAGTCGGGGACTAGCAATCAACTGCTTCGGGGTACGAAGCGTACGAAGTTATGTATATATTAATAATGATAATCCAATCATGTCAATAGAATAGTAAGCTATCCGTTATGATATTGTTGTAAAGGGGTTATCTATACATAGTTGATACTCGTCACGCCCGCCAGTCAGTCCGTCCGGGAGGGAATGATTGGTGGCCGTGACCAGATCAACTGGCGTGTTTCACCAAAATCAGGCGCCAGGTGAAACAAACAACGAAGTCGCTGGTGTTGGATGGCTAGTTTTGATTGGAGACTAATGGCGGGGCTTGCAGGGATGGGAATATAAATATTCACCACATACGTAGTCGGATCAATATATATATATCATCATCATAATATATAACTATATATAACTCGCGTGTATAGCATGACATCATAATCAATTGCCACCCTGCTCGGATGGCATCTTTCACATTCGCATAGCCATGGCAAGTTTGTATTTTTCCAGGGGAAACACTGGTTTGAAGCCCAACACGCAACGGCGTAAAATGAATGGCTCGGAACGGCCCAGCCCGAACCAGGCACAACGACGGACAACGAAGAAGCCCAATGTGGGACTGTTTCTGCGTGTAACTGAGTAAGTAGTAAGTACTATGCCGAGCTGCTATGGCAGGCAGAGTCGAGCCTGTCGAGGACTCGAGGGAACTGGGTACTCGCTAAGCGCTTGGAGCAGAACTCTGTCTTGAGGCCCAACCGCAGAGCCTCGTTGAGCAGCAGCACGGCGAATGTCAAACAGGGGTTGCAGGGCGTGCATAGCTTGCGTGCTGGCGCTGAGAAGAGGATCCACGCCGACTCGCTCTGGTCTCCCACGTAGTATATATTCGCAGGGTTGGTCGCTGTGCTTGCATCTTTCGTTGTTGTACGTGCAGCGTTTGTGTTTTGTCTGGAGGGAAAGAAGACAGAGGCTGTTCTGCTTCCCCCGCTCCTGCCGCGCCCACTCAAAGACGGCAGGCGCCCACCCCCCGCCACCTGCGCTCAGCTGAACTGCTCTCGTCGCATCGTATTTATTCCACTGCTCGTCCCTCCTTCTTGGCCGGTCTCGTGTCGCTTTTCTTCTCTTCTTTTTCCCTCTCTGCTGCATCTCGCGTGGTACCGCGTGTGCGAGAGAGTCGTCTCTCTCATTCTAGCGATATCTATCTATCTATATCCGTATCTATATATATACACGCACACTTATCTCTCTCTCTCTCTATATATCCGCACCAGGTATGACCCCCACCAGCTCCACGTCTCGCACTCGCGTTTACATGCCCATAATCATACTCAAATCACAACACAGCAGCCACAATGCCCCGTCGATGGGTCTTGGCCGACGACGAAACGTCCTCCGCCGAGTCTGACTTCTCGGAAACCGACGTTTCCTACACTCGTCCTGGCCGCCGCACCGTGGTCAAGCGCCGCTCGTTCTCGCGCGCCCGACGACATAGCCCGAATTCAAATGGCTTTCTTACCCCTGCGGTCATCGCTCCCCCGCCCCGCCGCGCTGCTTCAACTGGAGGCAGGCGCCGCGGCGGTGACGACCCAGTAGTGGTGGTCGATGTTCATAACGATGTCCACGCCAAACAGGAATCGCGGGATCGTCGCAACCACTACGAGCGCCGCGATGAACGCCGCGCTGCCGAGGACGATGTCGAAGACGTTGCTCGGGCGTACCGTCGCCCGAGAGTCGTCGCTGAAGCCTCCCGTACTCCGTCTCCCCGCCAGCGTGACTGGGAATTACTCATGGACCAGCGCATTATGGCCAACAATGACATCCGTCAGGACCTAGAGCTTGCTAAACAGCAGCAAGAAATCGACCAACTCGAGCGGCAGCTCGCGAAGATCAGGGCGAAACGTCATGAAGAACGACATGAACCTGCTGCTCGCCGGCGGCTGGCTGAAGAAGAATTCTGGGAAGAGGAGCTTGCCGAGAAACTGCGTAAACTTGAACGCCTAGAGCGATCGAGGCGCAGCGAGGATGTTCAAAAAGCTGCCGATGAACGCGCCAGGATGAAACGGCTGGAAGAAATCGAGCAAAAGATGGCTGCCGAGGACGAACAAAGAGCCGCCAACCAGCGCGCTAGATTCAAGCAGCTAGAAGAAGCAGAGCGAAAGGCCGCTGAAGAGGCAGAGGCCGAGCGCATGGCCCAAGAGAAGCATTTGAAAGCGCTTGAAAAACAGGAAAAGATCAGGGCTGAACGGGAACGTTACAAGCAGGAGATCCGCGATGAGGAAGCTCGAAAACTGCTAGAGGAACAAGAACGGAAAAAGGAGCTTGATGAAATCAAGAGCAAGGCCATTCTAGAGTGGAAGCATGCTGAGGAGGCCAGGAAACTCAGAGAAATCGAAGAAAAGAAAGCAAAGGACGAAGAGTTTAAAGAACGATTAAAGCTCGAATTTGGACTCAGCGAGGAGGAGCTTGAAAAGCGGCTGAAGAAACCCGAGGAGGAGAAAAAGGAGAAGAAGGAGAAGAAGGAAGAAAAGCCAGAAAAAGCAGAAGGTGCATTGGTTTTTGTAGAACCACCGCCCGAGAAGACGACCTATATCCGGGTGAGTTTGACTGGCCCCTTGGAAATGGCATCGACTGATGGGAATCTAGGTACACCGCAAATACCTGCAACCTGCAACATTGGAAGCTTATAAATTACCGTGGGACTGGGATAATGTAAGTCACTAGACAGCGGAATGAAACAGAACACCAAAAATGACTAACGTCAAAAATAGCGCGACCACAACTACATAATCATCAAGCAATGGATTTCGGAGGATTTCCAGGAAGAGCTTTTCGCTCACACTCGACGACTTCGCGGGGGCAAGCTCATCGAAGAGACCTCGACGACGCTTACCGAGTTGAAAGTCGACGATCGGAAAAGAGATAGAATGTATCTCGTTCGGAAGAAGAATGCCAATCCCCGGGCCTGGATTTTTACTTAATTTACTGCTTTTCGATTTTAACGAGAAACGACTGCTATGGAGGTTTTGTCTTTTGTTTGTTTGAAGTCGATTTGTTTCTTCTGTTGATGGATTATTTTATTTTCTTCGAATACTCAGCAAAGCTTCATTCTATGATACATTGATACATTGAGTTATGACCTGGAATTGCCGGTTCGGGTATTATAATAATAGCTGAGATAGTCCCTCATCCATCTCTTCATCGAGTCATGCATTTCATACCAACGCCTTCCAGAGCTATGATTAGTACCTACCCCCCACCTTGATCCTCCCACCTTCTCTCAGCTCTCATAATCAACTCCTCATATACGGTCCACGCCAGCGCCGAGCTGAGCGCTTTCCGTCCCATTCTCAAGCCCAGTCCACTCAACAGACTCCGCCCGCCATCTTCGCGGATCATGAGTCGCAGCGCATGGAACATGTTTCGATACTTGTCTGGCTGCAGCTGAATGCGCGTCTTCACCGCATCGAAGGGGTTCGTAAGTGCAGTCGCGAGGCCAGCTGCCATGGCGCCCGAGGCAAAGTTTATTGTTTTGGGAGATTGTATGATATTGTTCTCCTCCTGATCAGTATTGCTGTCGCCTATCCGACCAAGGGTTCGCTTGAGCTGCTCGTAAAAAGCCACATAGAGACCAGCATAAGGCGCATCGCGCACAGCCGTGGCGCCAAAGCCGGCGAAGAGGCCGCGAAAGCCCTCGGTGCGGATAATGTCCTTGGCTGCGCCGGCCAGGCTGCGGTAGGCGTAGTAGTCTGATTCGTAGCGCACTTTGAGCACGGTTACGGGCATCATGAGGAAGCCTGCAGATGTGCGGGCGATTGCGCCTGTGAGGAGGTTCGCGGTGTGGGAGAGTTTGGGCAGGGCTGATGATGACGCCGTTGATGACGATGCTGTGGAGATGTCAAGAAGAGCAACGGCGGGCCCGCGTCGGGCCACTTCTTGACGCAGTGCGTTTAAAGATGTGAAATATAATGCTGAGCCGAAGCCTGTGCGGAGCGCGGAGGGGAGAGTGCCTCGCCATAGAGAGCGGATGGGGTTTGGGGACGAGAGGATTGAGCGGATGGTTGCTGTTAGGGAGGCGGTGCGTTTGGATTGTTGCTGTACGCGGGTTTTGAGTAGATCGGCTGGTTGTAGGAGGATGGAGGAGGTTAGGCCGGATGCGAGGCCGGCGAGGAAGTGGAATGTTGTTTTGGATGCTGTTGGAAGCTGTCAGTGGCTGTCTCTTATGTATAGGAAGTAGGAGAACGAACAGGTGGATATCCGTTTGCTCGTCGGCGGAGATGGGGATACTGTTGGAAGATGTGACATTGTGTTTTTCTCTCTTCTTCTATTCTGGAATCGAGTCTGATTATTCAATCATGGAATAAGCTGCACATGTATCGAGCAGCTGGTATGGCGGTTATATCTTCATCGACTGGCGGACACAGAGAGAAAGAGAGGACGAACACACAGAAAGTCCCAGTTACCAGAACCAGAACAAAGAAAGAGGCCCAGAACAATCAACACAACGAAGAGTTTATTCTTTATTCTTTATGCTCTATGGCAGACAAAGAAAACAGCATCGTCAACCCAAGCTGAAGAGCACGAAGCAAAAGACGTAATTGAGTGGAATCGCGGCTCGCCGATTGGTCCGCGTTGCTGCACTGCCTAAGCCGGATGCGATCAAGACACAAGAGAGGAGGTGGTTATAGAACATTAGAAAGTTGCACCCACAACAAGAAGTCGTCTTCGTGATCTAGCGGTGAGGATATTTGTCTCATATCAATCGATATGATTGGTCGCAAACGATCAAGGAATCAAAATGCCGGGGTTCGACTCCCCGCGAGGACATCTTGTTATTTTTTTCCTCTTCTATTTTTATCATTATTTTTTCTACCTAACTATTTCCTCCAGATGGAAACCGCCAATTAAAAGTAAATTAATAGGGTTGTAACGGAGAAGATGGAAGACCCTAGCCGCTGCCAGCTCGAGCCGTTGCTGTGCCTACCCGATAGCTCGCTCGTATTACAGCCTCACCGTTTCTTCGATGTGATCCTGATATTTTATTTTATTTTTTAAACCATGCCAATTGAGTCTCACCCAACAACCCATCTCTCTGCGAGTCCAGCCCAAAGGCCATTAGTACAGTAGTACTACCATATTGACGGGTTCAACCCGGCCGCAACCATGAAACAGTCTCGCCATCTGCTATGTCTAGCCACATTGCTTATATCCCCCTCGTGGAGTATAGAATCAGCACCATTCACTCACGCAGCGACCGCCACGACCGCCGCGGCGGCTACAGCATCCATTCTCAACGCTGTACCTGCCGCATACGATTTGCAAATCCTCAAACGCGACGGTAACTGTCCCGCAAACTACAATTCATGCTCCAACGAAGGCGAGTCCGGCATCTGCTGCGAATCAGGGACAACGTGCACTGTCGATGCCGCGAATCACATTGCTTGCTGTCCGACAGGAGCGAAGTGTACGGGAACGCTTGGTGCGACATCGACGACATCCGGCTTTGTTTTCCCAGAAGGGACTACTACTACCAGCAGCAGCAGCAGCACATCATCTACGAGCTCGGCAGCGAGCATTACGGGATCTACCATACCTGACGCGGCGTATCCGTTTGTGTATATCCCGACAACCTTCGAAAACGCCGCGACGTGTAGCTCGTACTATTCCCTGTGCCGGAGTGAGTATACTAGCTGCGTGGTCTCGCTCGGGGGACAGTATGGGGTGACTATCGGCGGCAGTGGTGGGGGAGTGACGGTGGAAGGAAACTCAGGCGTCACATCCGCTTCGGCGGCGGTTTCGACGTGCTCGAGTCTGAGCAGAGAAGCTTGCTATGGGCTGCAAGAATCATACTGCACAGCATACGGCACATCGACCGGCAGCTCGTTTGTGACGGGGAGTAATGCGTCGGCTCGGAAATCGAGCTTGCATGAGATTCTGCTTGCGGTGGCATCGGGCATTTTGGGAATGTTGATATGATTTATGTGTATGATCTCTCTGATGATGATGATGTTTTTCTTTTTACGCAAATTCAGGCGATGCACTCCCCCATCGCGTCTATATAGCAAATCTTTTTTTCTTTTTTTTTTCCCTGGCTGGCCTGTCTATATTCCTCTGCATGTACATAGCATGAACTAGTCACAGGTCATTGTTTACTCGGGCGGTCGCCGGGCCAGCTATCGATAAGCCGCGGGGATTTATGTCGCATTGTACAACTACAATGTATATACATATACTTAAAATAGGACTCGAGTGAAATATGAAATGGAAACTACATAAATAAACTATAAATTGAAATAGAAGAAAGAGGAAAACAAAGAAAAAAAGAGAAGAACATGACAGAATATGCAGCCTTCGGCAACAAGGATATACAACGGCGGTGTGTCTGCCAGGGACGTCGCCAATGAAGTTCCCAACGTAATATCTGTATCTAACAGTAACTAACTGGATTGGCATGGCGAGAACGTGGCCATCATCAGGCAAGATTGGGCTGCCAGCGTCTAGACAACACCGGCGGTCAGTGCATGCATGCTTGCTTGCGAGGACGAGCTCATGCATGAGGGGCACAGCGGCCAACGCAGCAAGTCTGCCGAATCAAATCAACTTGCTAACTACAGGGTTGTGTTGTTGTAATGTAATCAGATTATTCTTTTTTTTTGGCCTATAATGTTAGGCCACTAAAAATTTTTATTGTTTCACTTGACACGGGTTCCTGCGGGAATAAAAAAGAGGTGAGGCGTCACGATTGGCGGATGGCATCAGGAAATCGGGTGGTTGGTAGGAAGAGGCTGGGGATGATGCATGGGCCTTAACCACCACCACCACCAGCCAGATTCTCTGTTTCTTCACACTTCTGCTTTTCTTCTTGCCACATTCCAATTATCGAGTTTCGACGCTCTTTATTCTATTCCATTTCCATCCACATTCCCAATTGTGCATATCTTTGAATCTCTTGCCTCGAGAATAATCAAACTTAGTAACGAGCAGAGAGACATTGACCGCTCGCAATGCGTGCAATGCATGCCTCATTCGCCATACTCCTCGCTGCGTTTTCGCAGCCCGCTCTTTCACTAGCTGTAACACCCGCGGCTTTGGCTACTGCTACTCCGACTCCCACACCGACTCTCCGTGTCTCGTCCGCTGACATTGACGTTGCGCTCGAGGAACGATCGTGCTCCAACCCATGCGGCTACTACGCACAACTATGCTGTACGTCATCAGAAACATGTATAACAAACAGCCTTGGACAGGCCGAATGCGTTTCCGGAGAAGCTACTACCACAACCTCGGACTCCGGAGCATGGCAATATTACACAACTACGTACACCCAGACAGACCTGCAGACCATCACCTCCACCTACAGCAGCTATGTCACCAGCTCCTCCGCCGCAACTTCTACCTGCGCCGTATCTCTCGGTGAGAGCACATGTGGCACAACCTGCTGCGGAGTTTCGGAGGTATGCGAAAATGGGGTCTGCGTTGCTGGAGCTTCATCCGAAGAAGCTCCCACAAGCACGGGGACAGCTACACCGGCTCTTCGCCCGACAAGCAGTGGTGCGGAAACCGTGACGGCGACGAGTACAACAGTTCCTTTCATTGCCCCGGTGTCAACAAACGGCACCTCGGTCATTTCCGAAGCCCACTCCGGTGGCGGTCTGAGTGGAGGTGCTATTGCTGGAATTGTCATTGGTACGGTTGCGGGTGTCTTCCTTTTGATTCTGCTATGTGCTTGTTTGTGCATTCGTGGAGCTGTCGATGGCATTCTCGCATTTTTTGGTCTGGGCGCTGCTAGAAGACGCAGAGACACCACTGTGGTCGAGGAACGCATATCCCATCATTCCCATGGTGGTGCTGCACCACCACCACCGCCACCGCCCGCAAGAAGGACCTGGTTCGGAGCACGCCCGTCTCGCCCAGCGCAAGGTGGTGGCGGTGATGAGAGATCTGGGTTTGGATGGCTAGGATGGGCTGCCATCATTGCCGGAGCGGTTGCATTGTGTCTCGGGCTGAGGAGGAGGAGACAAGAAGACGAGAAGAGCGAGTACAGCTATGGTCCTGGAAGCTCTTACTACTATTACAGCGACTATTATAGTGGAAGTGAGTAAATCCATGTCAAACTGTTGCAGGCATGGATGTCAGAACTAACGAGATAACCAGGCAGCGAAGTATCAGATGATCGAAGGACGCGAAATACTCGAGTTACCCGAGACTCCAGAAGATCTGGGTCGCGACGATGATGAAAAAGAGGGCCATGTGGAAATTTGATTGTTGCATTGGCGTTTGTATATATCCACTTCTGTGACGGAGTTATGCTTTCTGTTCTGTTCTGTTCCCGATTCTGGGATGATTTGACGTTACCAATGACTGCGATGTATATATTGACTGGATGTTTTGACATGTGAGATGATGGCAAAAGGATTATACTATGAGTGATGGACTGGACTGGATGTATTATCTATCGACTGACGAGAAGCAATGGAAATGACACCTCAATCTTCAGGCTCGTGCTCATACTATACTATACTATACTAGACACGGCTAGCGTATTGCAGATCAGGACTAGCGTGTCAGAGCTTATCTCAGGGCATCACATGACCACATCGTAAAGAATAACGACCTTACTCGACGCTCTGAACGAACGTACGAACTAGCTTGCTGAAGATCTCTGAAGATCTATCTGGCCGGTGTTATGCAGAGACGACCTCTGTTTTCTCGCTCTCAGCCTTAGTGACAACTAACTCGAGAAGGGGCCAAAATGCCAAATGGACACGCATTGAGTTTCTAGTTGCATGCCACGTATAGTGACAATAATTGATAGAAATAGTCCTCTGCCAATGGATTATAGATCATTACTCTCGAATGGCAGAGAGAATCGAAGCAAGTGAAAAAATTTAACGCAGATATAAAGGAATACTCTAAATATACCTGGATAGCGGCAAGCAGAGCCTAAAGGCTAAGGCAGCCACGCCCCGCCTCCGCCAGGCATTGCATTAACGGCGCTAAGAAATTGATTACACATCCCGAACTCACCGATCGACCTCGTCTCTCGGCACTTCTGCATCCATCACCGCGTCTCTCGCCTCACTGCGCCCTCAATCGTCGCTCACTCCCGCCCACGCACTCGAGAAACATCTCCGTTATATGTCTCCGGCAATCGTCCGGTAACTTCCGATAACCGGCTCCGTCAATCTAGTAGGAGCACAGTCCAGTCAGCCATTTTTCCTCGCTTCCTTTCCGCAAAAAGTACAGTACTCGGCATTGTTCCTCTCAGGCGCGGCACTCAACAGCACAGTAACTGTCGCCTTTCTCCGAGATAGATAGAGAGAGAGTCTGAGCAGCCATGTTGCAGACTCAGACTCAACACGTCTTTTCCCACCAGCACCAGTACCCGCAAGCTGAGCCTTCGTGGCTGCACCAGCAGCAACATCACCAGGCCCAGCATCACCAGCAGCACACGTCACTTGCCGCACAGCAGCATGCCCAGGCCCAAGCAGCAGCAGCCGCCGCCGCTGCTGCCCAGCAACAACATTACAATCGTATTGCAATGGCAGGAGCAAATGGTTCCGCTGCCGGTAGCCAGGCACAGGGCTCCGCCAACAGCGCTGCAGGCTTGAGCGCAGACGCTTCCTCTATCTCGGGCGGCGCTAGCATCGATGGTTCTATCAGCGAAGAGAGCCGTAAAGTCTTCATTTGGGTGGCGGAGCTGCTTGATCCTAACCGCAGGGAGACCGCTTTGATGGAGCTGAGCAAAAAGCGCGAACAGGTCCCGGAGCTTGCTCTTGTCATTTGGCACTCTTTTGGTGCGTAGAACTATCTCCGATCGTCTTCTGAGAGTTGTGTTTTCGTCTCTAATTTTTTTTTTCTCTCTATAGGTGTCATGACTGCTTTGCTGCAGGAGATCATCTCCGTCTACCCTTTACTGAATCCATCGCAGCTGACTGCTGCTGCGTCGAATCGAGTTTGCAATGCACTGGCGCTGCTCCAATGTGTTGCTTCTCACAATGACACTCGAACTCTTTTTCTCAATGGTATGTATGCATTTTGCATTTTTACTGTCTGATTGACCATGCTAATCCGACCACTTTTTCTTAAATCAGCACACATCCCCTTGTTTCTCTACCCATTCCTCAATACCACGTCCAAGTCTCGACCATTTGAATATTTGCGTTTGACTTCTCTCGGAGTTATTGGTGCGCTTGTCAAGAATGATTCTTCCGATGTGATCAACTTCCTCCTCACAACCGAGATTATTCCACTCTGTCTTCGCATTATGGAGACTGGCTCGGAACTGAGCAAGACTGTTGCCATTTTCATCGTCCAAAAAATTCTCTTGGATGACTTGGGCTTGAACTACATCTGCGCCACATATGAGCGTTTCTATGCCGTTGGTACTGTTCTGAGTAATATGGTGACTCAACTTGTTGAGCAACAAACCGTACGGCTCCTGAAACATGTGGTGCGCTGCTTTTTGAGGTGAGCAAGGAACAAAACCGCAATGAAACACTCGTCAGAACAACTTATTGACTTTTGTTTTTTCTACAGACTTAGCGACAACAGCCGCGCTCGAGAGGCTTTACGACAATGTCTCCCAGAGCCACTTCGCGACGCAACCTTTTCATCGGTGCTTCGTGACGATGCTGCTACCAAACGCTGCTTGGCGCAGCTGTTGATCAATCTCTCAGACAACGTGGATGCCGGAACTGCTGCTGGAGCAGCTATGTGAACGAACAGAATGAATGAACACAAAAACAAAATTCATAAAAAACACCATCACGCATATGAGTACCTCATCCTTTGGATGATGCTTTCACGACCTGCATGGAACGGCTAATGGCGAACTCGGGTATTGTTCTTTTTTATTTGATCTTCCACCATATTTATTTCCATTTCATTTCCACGGAAAGAAAAAGAAGGCACAAGAAAAAGCCGGCCGATAATGTCGAAGACCTTCACGGCAGTGCGAATGTCACAATTACTGGCAGCTCGATAGACACTTACTCCTCTCCTCGCATAAGAATATATTCTTGTGGAGCAAAGTACGAATCTTCGGTTACTGACTGACTATTTCCGCCGTCGCAATCTGGAAAGGCTATTTATCTACGTCGACGTTACTTACAACACATATGCATGATTCTAGGAACAATGACTGGATGGTCGGCATACTCCTATTTTTTTCTTTTTTTTTCTCTTCTTTTACACTTGACTTGACCTGCTCACCACCCCAACCCCCTGCATATTACGGTTATTGTATCCATTTATACTACTATTATTATTGTTTACTTTGCCCTTCTTCCTGCCCTATAGAGTTTCCCTATACGAGAGATACCAGGATGTTTGTTTTTGTCACCTTCTTTTTTCCTCCATTATTTTTGTGTATTTCCTGACCATGATGTTTTACACCTGCCAGAACAGATCAAATTCGACTTAGTTCAGGATTTGTCAAATGTTTCTATTTGACTCCGTCATTCGGTACTGTCTGTTCAAAGTGACTGGCAAGGGGGACAAAACTCTACTACTACCAGTATAAAGGTGACCCGGGGCAATTGGCGTTTTTGTCTTTTTTTTTTTTTAAATTCAGCTTTTATCACAATGTGTATGCGCATAAAAAGAATATTTCTTGTTTTGTTTTGTACTCTACCAGAATCTCGTTACTTCTTCTTTTTCCCCCCTCACTTCGTTCTCCTTTCCCTCTTTTAATTTTTATTATATTATTCCTGAAATTTATTTTTTTTCCCCCGTGTCATGCCTGTCCCATGTCATGGGATCGATCTCTAGGGAAGAACAAGCATAAAAAAGGGTGAAAAAAAGAAAAAAGAAAAAAGAAAAAAACAACAACAACAACAACAACAACAAAGGGCTGATTTAGTATCTATCAGCGAGCCCATAATTCTCGTTTCGAAGGAAGAGGCGTCAATTCGGTGTCTATTTCTCCTTTTTCTTACTCATTAAGTTATCTTCCTGGACAATTACGGATAACTATTTCGTGGACTTGTTTCTTTTTTGATTCACTGACATGTCATATTAACTATTATTACTTACTAGGTTGAATTAGTAGTTACTACGGAGGGGAAATATAATGTTATTTTATTTGGTGTTGTGCAAAATAAGTGTGTATCGTGGTATCGAGCTTAGTTGATCAATGATTACATACATAGAATAGCATGGTCTATCTACAGTATTCTAACTATTTCCCTTTGCATATATAGTATATACAGCTCATCCGGCTATGGCAAGGACATGTCTACAAAATCAATATCAGTCAGTCGCAATCGTAAGTGAAGAAAGAACGGCGATACTCACGATGTAATGCTATCCATCCTCTCTGCGGTCAGTTGCAATGTAATCATCAGCATCTCCTGCGCAATCTCCGGTTCCTCGGCCTTCAATTCCATCCACCTTTCCCGAACAAGACACCAAACGACACAATCCTGATCGACTCTGACGGTTGCTGTGCGCGGCGTGCCGCTAAAGAATGGCAGTTCGCCGCATGGTCGTCCTGCCACAATTAACTCTGAATACCGGCCCTGTGGCAGCGCGTATTCGGCTCGGAGCATGCCCGATTCAAGAAGATAGAACATCTCTGGTGCGTCGCCTTCGTGGTACAGCACTGTCTCCTTGCGGTGGAATTCACGGCGGAAATAGGCACATGCCGGGAACCAAAAGTCTTCGGATTTGTGCGTTGTCAGGTCCTGAAAGGTTTGGAGGAGGAGGGGGAGGGGTTGGCGATAGGCAGTCCATTTTTGGGCAATGTTTGATGTTGATTCCTCTTGGCGGAGGGTGTGCAGAGCTGCCTGTTGGAGATAGTTGCGTCGTGGTGAATGCCCATATGAATCTAAGGCTCCTGTTGCTGTTAATGTTGTTGCTGTTGGAGGGACATCCAAAAATTCTCTAGAGGATTCTTGCTGCTGCTGCTCTGTAAGCGCTTCTTTGCGGCTGTAGAACACCTTGAGGTATTCATTCTCGCAGTATTCCAGCGCCGAATTCAGATCCTCAAATATCTGAACCAGACTCTCATCTGCAAATAGCCCTACATTCTGTAGACTCTTGCCTACCTCGCCTTCAACATCTAGACCGGAAATCAGAACCTGAACATTTCTCTTCCCTAAAATTCGATTGATCCGCGTGAGAGCTTCCGCAGCCGAGAAATCAAGCCCGTTTACGCGTGGAAAGTCTAGCACCAAGAACCGAATTGGCCGTCTCCTGAACGCTTCATCATCAATAAGTCCTCGCGCTGTAGTCTCTACCTTGACAATTGTTCCGAAGAACAGGAACCCAGAAAGCTTGATAATCAGCGTCTGTCTTCCAGCATCCTTCAAAAACCGCTGCTGGATGGGAGGTCGTCGGACCGTCGATGCGGTGAATTCGCCAGAATAAGTTGCCCGAATCGCTGATTTGCGCGACGTTTGTACCACAAAATTGCCACAGGCAAGAATGATGCCAACAAAAATCCCGATAACGAAATCCCACGCGCCCATGGTCACTACGATAATGACCACGGTCAGATACTCTAGTCTGTGAAGCTTACCCCACGTGTCAACAAGGGCTTCTTCCATCAATTCTATGCCGAGCATAAAAATCAGCGCGCCGACAACGAGAATCGGGATGTAGCCGATAATAGCTGGTCCGACAACCATGATCCCAGCAGTTGCCCCAGCCAGCATGATTCCCGCAAGCCTCGAGTCTCCGCCGCTGTCGATAAACAGCAAGCTGTTGGTATATACGAGATAATTCTGGGCACCAGTTAGCTTCTGATAGACATATCATAAAGTGCTTCCAAACTCACCTGTATACTACCCACAGCGCCAGATAGCGTATTCGTAATCCCATGAGCAATCAGCTCGCGATCCACGCTTAGGTTGTCCTCGCCAGTAGAAATACCCAACGCCGGGACATTAATAGGGACGTGAAGAACACCGAAAAAGGTAAGTGCGAACATAGCAGGAATTGTATCAATAAGAGCTGGCCAATTGACAGCATTAAAGTCTGCAACAATCATCAGAAATGCGCTTAGCACTAAGAACGAACAAACAACTGAGTGAGGCAAGAAACTTACCATAAAGTGTATAGAAATGCCACCATGGATTGGCAGCTGCTGGCGGTTCAAATACCCAACCTTTGCCTCGCAGAGTATCCATTTCAATGCGTGCAGTAAATTTGACAACGTAAAAAAGAACAGCCACTAGAATGAAATAACCTCCCACCAAAAAGTTGGATTTGACGAAGCGTTTCACAACCAATAAAATAATGGCAAGAGCAAGTGGTATCGTCCAGAGAAACAATGTATCAAGTTGGAACAGATGCTGTAGCGTCACAAAATCATACTCCAACGATCCCGGCAACCGTGCAGAGACTTCCACGCCAGTAGCCACGAGGAACCAGCCAACGCCTCCAATGCAGCCGATCAGGATATGACGAGGGAAGAAACCTATCAGTGAGCCCAACTTAAACACGCCCATAAGAAAGAACACAATGCCCGTGAGCACGGAGCTAATTGAGAATGACAAAATTGCAGTTGCGAGCACGGATTTGGGATTGTCTTCGCCGACCCGGTTGAGGATCATAAAAGCCATCTTATGGAAAAAAGGGACTACTTCAATCATTTCACTGCCGATTCCGCCTTTGAACACTGACGCTCCGGACGAGAAGATCAATTGCGAGATGATCGTGCTAATATAGAACATCGATATGCCGTCGGACCCTAAGTCGGAGAACATCGCTTCACCTAGGGGAAACAAGATCATACCGTACGACAGTGCGTCCAGGATATTGAGAAGCAGACCCAAGAAGACGGCGGGAAGAAGACTAACGGGTCGCACAACACCTTCTTGCCATATGGCGTGGCGGTCCCAGGATTTCGGGTGTGTAGTGATATAGAAAAGTTTCCTAGTCCTGGAAAATGCATTCTGTAGAAGAGACTTTCTCGACTCATATATGTTGGTTGACTGACTCTCTATGTCTCCTACCGCAGTCCCATAGTTGGTGCTTTTGGATAAAGTCCTCTTGCGGATAAGAGCGGTCCCTTCATCCGGCTGGTCTGCTTCTTCTGCCTCTGCTCCGTCTAGTTGGTCTGAGGGCTCGTCGTCCCGTATTTTATCGAGGTCATCTGCAGATGTGCTTACAGCTCCCTGGTTTTCGATGGTATTAGCAGGCGGGGATGTGCGTAGAATTGCCGTTAAATTCGAGCTGGAGAGTTGCGGCGGAGAAATCGACGATGCCCGGAAGTCAGATCTTGGCCGTGAGATGCTGCCCCAACCACCAGGACTGTCCCTGTGTCGACTAGGGCTTTGTCTGAAGATATCTAGACCCGGTGGCATGCTGTCGTCAGCTAAATGCGGTGCAGAAGCGCCCGACAGACTGGTTTCGGCATCAGAGACGGCAAGCGAAGCAAGCTCCGCAGTCTGTTCGCGAACGCCTTGAGACGAGTAATGGGCGGGATCTAGCGGAGTAGCAAACCATGTCAGCCCGGATGTATTCGTACACCATTGAGTGTGATTAACGCGTGCAGATGAAGCAGGGATTTTTCTTCCGGCGGAGGGGGTCTCAAACCTAATGATCCGTGAAAAGCCCGATGGTAGAAAGAGCGAGAAGGCGTTTTCACATTGCTAATGCTCGAAGGCTGGACAGAATCGGATTTAGCGATTGCCGACGAGAGAGCAAAAGGAGCTTCAGCGGCATCTGCATAGGAAGCGTCAATTTGATCGGGAATGATGCTATCTGCATCATTCCTAGATACGGATATGCGGGAATTGCTGCGCCCGCGGACGTCGCTTGAAGAAGCCATAATGAGAAATTGACTAGGCAGCTAGATGCGCATGCTAAGTACTTCGGATTGTCACAGAGACTGGAGATACTGTGACGATGACGCGATGGCGAGATGGCTTTGTCGGAGCAGCATTCTCTCTTCCAGCTGGTCAGGTCAGTCAGTATGTGAGAAGCGAGCAGCTGGCCATGGCATGCAGAGCGGTCAGAGCAACAAGGAGTGAGTTGGTGCAGGTCGAGGGTTTATTATCCAGGCTGGAGGAGGAGGAGGTCGTGGTAGGAAGGAGCTGCTAAGAGTCTGCCATGGCTCCACCCCGCCGTGGAGCTTGATAAGACTAGACTGTCTGTTTACTTCTAACCAACCTGGCCCTATCACTGCCACTGACATATCCATGGTCATTGGATGCTATTCAGTGACATCCAATTAACCTGCTCTGTAAGAGCATGCGCTCTGCCAAGCGAACCGATACTTTCTTGTGCTGCACGCAAGTCAAGACCCCGATTATGTAACGCAGCTTATCTGCAGCTGCGCGACGGTTGAACTTTATCCGGCAGTGCTCCGTGATTGGCTGCCTCAGGCTTACAGTCTAACTAGTTAGTTATAACTTATAACTATCATCCATACGATATAAGACCAGTAAATGTGCGATAGTATAATAACGAGTCTCATCCTGTATATTGGCCTATATCCGGGTATCTAGAATCATATATATATATATATATATAGTCATGTCGCTCTATAATCTCAGCTCAACCGCTGCAAATATCCCTGTGCAATCAATCGTTCGACGTCTCCCTGTCGGACGTAGAACTGGCTGTTCTTCGTGAGGTTGATAGCCCTGTGTTGTATCAAGACCGTCAGTCAGACTATAACAGAGAGAGAGAGAGAGAGAGAAAGAGTTGGGAGGGGGGAACGGAGCGTACCCGTATTCAGTTTGTATCTCACCCGCATCCTTCAACACTCGCACATCAATAAACAAGTCCTTGGGCGGCTCCAAACTGCCCGTTAAATCAATATCCGTCCATTGACCCTTATACGCCGCCAGCATTTCGCTATACAGGCGAAAATATTCTTCTTCTTCAGGGCTCAAGGAGTTCTGACCGGACGTCGGCGCTGTGGTGTTCGTTGTGGGAGTATTCGAATTATTGTGCTCGTCTCCATTTGCGGCCCCTCCTATACCACCAGCAGCCTCGCTATTATTGGCAGCAGCGACGGCCTGCTGCTGCTCCAAGACATCAATACCCTTCCAACACATCTCCTCCAACTTCTCCGCGCGCACACGATGATATGCCAGGAGACATCGTTTATTTCGCCGCATGCACAAATGATCCACTAATAGCGCGCACGCAATTGCCGGTTGCGCGGAGGGATTGAATGACGATGATGTGTTGCTCTCAAACGGCGCCAGATGATGCGCGACATCCTTGTCGAGGTCGCGGACTTCGCGAGCTACGGAACGCACAATTTCGGTTTGGTAGGGCGGTAGGTAGGCTAGGGATTGAGTGCGTTTGGCGTGTTGGACCTGTTTCGCTCTTCTCAGTACATATTTTTGGGGTGCATTGCCTTGTTTTCGTTCCAAAATGGGAGGGAAAAGAAAAAAAAATACCAGTTTGTTTCCTAGTTCGCCGTACATCTTTTGGTCTTTGAGTCTTGTAATAAAAGAAGAGAATAATAAAAGTAAAAAGAAAAAACAAAAGTTGAAATAATGCTGTACACTGTGGAGTTGTGTTAGGAAGCAATCAGAGACACAGACCAAAGCGCGTCGTTGCAATTACTCCGCACGTGCAGCAAGTCTTACTGCCTTGGTACCTGAGGCCCATATTTGCTGGGCGGGGAAGTTAAGCTTTGCCAACTCGCAAAACGTGCATTAGTTCGATCATCCTCGGCATTCCTCAGACCAGCATGGCTGTAGGACTCCGTCGACTTATGCAGCATATCAGCTAGTTTGTAAGAAGCTTTACTTTTGGGGCGAGTGGGCTCTCAAGGGGGGAGGGGCCAAAAATACCCCAAGTGACACTTTATATACACCAGTCACCGCTCCTTGATTCCAGCTTTACTTCTTTCTTCTACAACACTCGCAGACCAATGTGAAAATCCATTCTCAATTTGTGATCCTAATACTTACATACGTCTGGAAAAATAGAGAGAGAGAGAGAGAGAGAGAGAGGAAAATGAGAAAATCAACCAAAAATCTGCCGCGGGGCTGACATCTAAAGACGGCTTATTTTGAGACCATAACTTCTCGAACAGATTGCCTACCCAGATCTAACCCATTTGAAACGGACATGACGCCGACGCAAATGGAAATGACAGACAGACAGACAGAAAACCTCTGACCATAGATGCAACGAAAGATTAAAATAGATTTAGGAAAGGAGAAAACACAAACCAGAAACAAGAGGGAATCTGAGCGGAATGAAAAAGAAAGAAAAAGAAAATAAGATAAAAAAAAAAAAAAACATACCAGATGGCACCACCAGCAATATTAGTGGCTTTGAAGATGGAGGCCGAGCTCTCATCATACAAGCCAGGGGTATCTTTCCTTTTTCTTCAAGGCATAACCTAACAGTCAAAATACCACCAAGTATGAGTCATGATATTCATCAATTTATCCGTCAATGGAAAAGTCCTTGGTCCCTGCTCACTGTGAACCATATACTGCATGATGATTCTGGGAGTGGATCCATTGATCGAAGTCTTTGCCGACTTCTGGAACGGCAATTCCATCATCTTCCCCCTGAGTCCATACAGGCTGTCCTTCTTCTAGCTGCTGCATGCTACCATAAGCTGCCGTCAACGAATTGTAGGCAAGGCCATGGTGGTTCCCCATGGAACTGCTCATGGGCATATAAGGACCCAGGCCCTGATGATCGTGATGCCACAAAGTAGACATATTGTATGGACGCATGTCAATTCCAGCTTGGTGGGAAGATAGCAGCTGTGGATCTAGATGGTTGTCATCCATTCGAGTCGCAACGTGAGCATTGCTATGATTATTGTTGTTGCCGGTACTGCCACTACTGGCGGTAGCCGTAGCCGTAGCGGCTGCGCTGCTGGTGTTGTTGTTACTGCTGCCATACGGTCGCAGCAGTTCCTGGTTGATGCTTCCTGGAATACCAGCCAGCCCAGTCGACGTGTTATATACGCCGTTCACGGCAAAGCCACCCTGTCGTGCAGCGGGGTGCGAATCATCAGACGGCCTGATCATGTTCGGGTACGATCCATGCGTGCTCACATAATACCCATGGTGTTGCTGCTCGGGGCCTGCCATCATACGTGGTGGCAGGTGACGGCCAACAGACACTGGCCACGGGTTGTGGTGATATGGCTCAGGCAAAACGGAGTCTTGGTTGTCAAATGGCGTCGATTCACGACTATTGTAGCCACTGTTTAACCCGGAGGATTTGATGATCTTATGAGGCATGGGGGACGCGTTGAGTGGACCATGGTACACATTTTCATCCGCCTCGCTGTCTTCATCATCCAAGGGACGCTTCTTTCGGGGTGAGGTTTGCGTCTTATTGGGAGCGAACTTGTATTCTGGGTGTGCTCTCTGGTGGTTGTCTCTCTCGATCAGAGCAAGATACTCGTACTTCTCCCTGACCTCGGGCGGTTCCTTGGGCCAGCTTTGACCCGATACGCGCGAAACAACCTGATGATTGTTCTGTGAGCACCACTGCTTTGTTCGTTCGGCGTAAGCAGATCGGTAGAGCATGAATGAATTCATAGGCCTGGCGATCTTGCCATTCTTCTGCGCAACTTCTCTACGTCGCACTTCGACCGTGCGGTTAACCCAGGCGTCCATGTCCTTGATTGGAATGTGAACCATATGCTTGGTCAGCTGGCTCAGTGGTGCTGTGATAACGAGATCGACGGCTTTGTCGGGCTTTGTAGTAGTCTTAGGACGGCGTCGCACACGTGGAGTCTTTAAGACTCTAACCTTATTGGCGCCAGGCATATTGCGAATCCCTATGGAGGGCGGGAATTGAAAACTTTTACCACCGCGTGTGGTGAGAATACCGCTTTCTGGCGAGAGTCCGTGAGAGACAGATTCGGGGTATAGAGGCTACAAAAGACACATGAGATTGAGGCTTTTTGGACAGTCTCAGTTGCTACTGCTACTTACTGAATCGTCAACTTGCACTGGAGCATGAGATGCGGCATCGGATGCGAAAGAAGGCGAATCAGCGTATGTCTAGATATGGCACCCATTAGTCCAGTCGCCCAATGGAAGGAAAATGCAGCAAACATTGGGCTCGGAGGATTGGGGTAACCCACAGGCATTGAAGACATTCTAGAGACACCCATACTGTTTGGGTCTACTGAGTCATTCGAGAACTGTCGATACAGCGAAGAAGGCCGGTTCTGTGGCTGTCCGCTCAAATGGTCATCGGAGCAGACGCTGGCACGCGCAGAATGCGAGGTTGATGGAGCGGGCGCGATCATGTCTCAATTCAACTCTCAACTCAACTCAACTAGACAAAGAAACGAGAACAGATGCGATCTTTCGATAAGCACAGGAGTAGACCAGAGCTCGTGATGGTGCTTCACGAGCGACACAGCAGATAGAGGATATTGGTCTTTCGGCGTACGCGAGGGCGAATTGTTCGAAAGCAGGCGGGCAAGAGACGATCGACCTCTCTCTTGCTCTGCTGGTTGATTGTTGAATGCGAAGTGAAAGAAAGCAAAGCGCTGCTAAAGAAGAAGAAAAGGAGGAGGAGGAGGTTAGGATGACAAGAACAAGAAAAGAAGAAAGCAGCGCTGAAAGAAGAGAAAGAGAGTCTGTATTTGTAGGTAGGATGGAGGGAGGGGGGTGTGAGGAAGGCAGCTGGTGGACACTGGAGGGGGCAAGCGCTAGTGGAGTGACTGAGGCCGACGCACCCAAAATACTCCCGTTCTGGGGAAGCGGGACTGAATGGAGGCTGAAACTGCGTCTGGAAGGAGGAAATAGAGCAGAAAGAGCTCTCGCTGCCTCTCTCTTTCTCAGCTGTTCCCAATGCCCTGGGATGTTGCACGTTTCATTGGGCTTTGTTGTTGATGAGACTGTGAACTCCAGGATCAAACATTCGGCACGGCACGGCTTTCAAGCTTAATATAGCTCTCTTTGTTGCTCGGTAACTGTAATGGATGCCTCCAGGATCCTGGTGTTTCTATGTTGGGGCTGAAGAGAGATGGGCAGAAAAGAATGACAGACAGATGGATGGAATAAATTAAGCCAATTTGTGGCAGTTGGGTGTGTACATATACTAAAATATGCTATACTATACTATATAACTAGTCCAGATTCGAGACCTGCACTCCAGCCGCTTTGGGGCAAAGGCAGTTTATTGCAGCATGGCTTGCTTGACGGCGCTCGAAGCAATGCGCCGTCTAGGCTCATTGGTGTGTGCGCAGCAATGTGGACCAGACAGGAAGGACTAGGCAGGGTCTGCCTAGTAGACTAATTGGGTTACTAAGGCACTACCACGATTTGATTTGATTTGATTTGATTAACTATGGATTAATTTTTTTTGGCACTGAATTACGGATACAGGATATACGGGATTAAGTTACGGAGTACTCCGTGCGGCGCAGGAGGTGGGCCCAACGTGCAACTACAGTACTGCTTACTGTTTCAATCACCAGGGCCCATGGTTGACATGTGTCTGTAGACCTGGAAGCAGCCTTCCTTTTCTTCCTCTTGATTTTGAGAGATCTGTTGTAAAGTATATAGTATAGATTCTTCTACTGCTGTCCTAATAGTGCCTATACTAGAAGCCGCTAACGGGCCGATAGGCCGGGGGGGGGGGGGGGAAATGCCTGTAAAGGGCAATAGATTAACAACCTGTCTGTGCCGGTCCTGCGTAATACCGCGAATTACCCGTACCAGGCAGTGGGTCGCGCGCTAAGTTGGACCAATCCGGGAACAGTACTTGCGCGCCCCAGATTCCGATCACTTTAGTTCGTAATTTACGGACAGTAATTAATAATTATGAACTGTGTATAAATTACGCATCTAGCACCCTAGGGCGTATACTAGTCGTAATGACGGGGAAAATAGGGAGCCCTCTGCTTCGACAGAGCCCTATCGCAGCAGATCATCCGCCGGGAAAATATAAGGAAAGGGGAATTATTCCCCAGGATTTCATGGCTCGCACACACACATACACACGAGTCAAGACAAGCCCTAAAACTCGCGAAATGTCTGCAATATCGCCATTTTGAAGAGTCCCAAAAAATAGTCTGTCCCTTGAAGATGATCTCCGTCGCACAACTAACTACTGGGTACTATATACAGACATACAGGCATACGCATGCAATATCGAAGTGCCCCGTGGGCACCTTGCCAGGAGACTGCGTGGGATGCCAATCCCTACCAATGTCATGCCTACATACGGAGTACATACGTATCTCGTAGACGGGCAAAAAAGATTAGCAGCAACTAGTATAACTAATCGGAACATGTGTCAGGGCGATCCACAGCTGGCCTGGGGAGAACCAAAAGGATCATTTGGCTTGCATGTGTCTTGCACGCTGAGTCTTAACAGTCAGCATGCGCTAAGAGATGTGTTAGAAGGGTCTGTTGATCGATCAACGAGCGACTAGGTATGCACCTACTTCTTAGTAGGATTAAACTATCTGTAACCTGTCAAATGCGGTAATCAATCTACGCTCCAGCTAAACATCGAGCCTTAGAGCGTAAGTGACTACTTGAGAGTGATTGATATAATCTACTATCAGATGCCATATACCATATACTTTACACCGGTACATATAGAGTACGTATCACGGAGCTTGGCGCGGAACGGAGAACCTACTCCGTCTCCCAGCCCTAAGCTGACCGAATGATATAATTCATGATTCATGGGGACAGCCATGTAAGGCACGGCTGATAATCATCCATGGAAAGTATGTAAGCAGTTACTCCGCATGTCTGACAGATTGCTCACAACGAACCACGTTATCAGGCAATGGGATCCTCACGGCGATCATTGGCCATGCAGGGTCTTGTGGGGCATACAGTTTACAATACGATACATTACTGCATAACTGTGCACCACACAACGGACCAGCCATGTGGCAGACGTTTCCTTTTCCCGTGCTGAGCTAGTACGGACCAGGTAATTGGTATTATATTATTAAATTACCGTAAGCCCGTAGGCTTACTCCGACACCACCTTATGCCGGAATAGGCAAAGCCGGGGTTTTGAAACATGTTTTCGATTTATAGGCAAAACCTACCTTGGTTTCTGATAGTCTACTATTATTGTAGAAAGACGGTGCGTAGTCAAAAAGGACCTCAAGCAAGTAACAAGTCCCTTTCAGCGCAAGTCGAATATAGATTCATGGATCATCGACGCAAGTCATGTGCCGAACTGGATGTTCAATAGTCTGTCCGGCCCCTGACTATGCTAATTATTACTGAAGGGTCAAAAGGATTCCCTGACACTGACAGCAAGATAGACAACTGACTTCCCCTTCCGGAATGACATGCCTAGCAGGATCCTAAATTTGGGAGGCAGAACAGACACACACATGAACAGTACGGAGTAGTACGTAATACTATGTACTTACTCCTCGGAGATGACAAGCAGGAACTATGGCTAACGGCTTGCAAGCCGATCTTCCGATAGGCCTGCCTGCTCTTTTCAGTTAGTTGGTCTCCTAGCTACATACGCAGGCATCAAAGTAGATGATGATATGACACGACGGTGAAGAGAGCTACTATTGACGGATCTATAAGGATAGCGCATGGGTAGAAATTATTTGCCCTCGGCGTAGTCGGAGACCTAGAATGGCTGCTCATTTATAATTCCCCGATCCCTCAATGAAGATAAAACGGGGGAAATAGACCTTGCTGGGCTCCTCGTTGCATGACTCGACAGACAGATTAGACATATATTATATTAGATAATTTCGGCGATAGACTACCGCGTTATCTCACTGTGGCGTGCAACTATAGATGTTATATCCTCTGGATCTCGATTGGACAGCACGCGATCTGATTGATTTCCTCTTTCAGTAGGAAATCCAAAGTTTGGCGGGCGATCATTTTACTCGACTGGAGAGGGACATGAGTCAAACTTTTGAAGATCTTGGAAAGGATCTATTTATTTTGCTTTTTGTTTTTCCTGTAGTTGGACTCTAGACGTAGGTACTATGCAAAAAGCCTGATCGACGAAGACTGTGTAACCTCATGGTTTCAGGTGATTCTACCTCGACTTTCAAAAGATAACACACACACACACACACACACACACACACACACAAGAGATGATCTGTGCGTGCTAGCAACGAGACTTTGCTGAGTATTCAGAGCGTTGAGAACGCAAAGCTAAAAATCATGATCTTCGAGATACTCGGAGAAGGTGGATATTTCTCCATGTCCACGGATATACCCTGACAGAAAACGTGTATCCCGTCTTGCAAGGTCCAACTACCTAGTCAGCCCAATGTCCTTATTTTTTAGTTCTCTAGCAAGTCAAACACGGTGAGCTATTTTCTGGTCTGTTTCTGTCGACATGGGTCAAATCGGTGAAATAAAAGCGCATCTTCTCCTATTTCCCCCTTTTCTCGAAGATCCGGACTTCCCAAAACGGAAACGGAGGGAAAGCTTATTGGACGTAAGGTTCCATGTGGCTCAGTCGAACGTGACGGACTTCAGTAGAAGGATATATTATCCTGCGAGGAACGTCAAATCTACATCTCGCAAATCTCAGATGGACGAATCACTGGCACAACCAATGTTTACCCCTTCACCGTATGTCTGTCTCTCTTAATTTAGAGGGACGACTCGACGACTTCTCCATGCCCGGTCAAACAGATCCAAAATACGGTGAGCAGCCGTGGTTATTCCCGAGACATGTGAATCTGTTGATGCTTCAACACCACACCTCCAGTCCGTGAGAGTATCTAGTGTAAGTAAACGGTAATTACTTACCGTACCGTGCTGTGCATATGTAATCCTGAGCGGGGCTACTTACACTAGTGATATGATTTATGCATAGCGGGCCAAAACAGGCTTAGTTGCGTGTATGGCGCCGTTGAAAATTGTCATTTGTTTTTAATTTTGATATGCACTTCTACTTTCCAATTGTCTCCCTGCATCAATTGGACCAATCCGGTTAATTGCTGATTTGTCACTATGTACAGCCCAACAGAATACGTAGCATGTACCATGGATAGTCCCTGTACAGGGCAATTAGTGACCGCTCAGCCGCACCACGTAGGACCCCTACGCATGTATGCAATCGCATACCGACGAGCCGAACGCTCTATCCTGTCTCCGCACGATAGAGCGGTCAGTGGCAATTCTGATAGGCTGATCTTTTGTTTCTGTCAGCATGACCAATGCGGAGAGAAGGTAACTATCCCACTCGCCTCCGGCCGTTAGTCTGGTACATAGTTACGTCTGTGCCAGTGATAAGCTACTTAGTACGTACTACCTAAATAGTAATTAAGTAGCGGGGAAATTTCACCTGACAGTACAGCTACGCACGTAGCAGCACTTCGAGGCTTGCAGGACATGCAGTTATCTGACTTGGGCAATGGCCCTGCGTCGAGCCATCGATGTACCGAACAACTAGACATATCAAGCTTCGAAAGAGGCGTTTTATCAAACATGCCCTGATTGGGTACCGAACACTAACAAGCCAGTCCAGGCTAATTAGTAATACATAATCCCCGGCCTAACATCGTGCCGACACGCGTGCAACATATACGTGTATTAACTACCACGTAACAAATCAATACGTAGCTAGTAGTTATGAAGATGTACAAAGTTAAATTATGAAGTGCAAGCACAGGTATAATTTGAAACGCAAAATAAATGATACAGTGCTCAACTCGCCACAAGCCTTTGAATTGTAGATAGGCTTATTGTAAGGCTGAATGAGAAAGAACCACGATCGACGTCAGAATGGTCATTATCTTCCTTTCCTTATCATCCATATATCTTATTAGTTCTATGAACACGAGCAAATAGTAACTAGCACTGCTTAATGTTACTTACTCTGCATATAGTCAATATGCATAGACCGCATGCGCATGCTTTCAGCATATAGTCGACAGTATGTATCTGTTTTGCATCACACTCAGTGTTTCAAGAGTAGCACGTGCGCTATGGATCATGAGATAAATCAGGTCACATAGGCAGTAACGAATAATAATTAGCATGCAACGCCATATACCCTAACACTACTCGGTTACAATATAAGCGGACTTGACGGCGGAGCTCGGAGGGCAGCGGAGAGCCGGGCAGATATAAGAACGGTCCAGAATCCAGCAACTAATCTTTTTCAGGGTAGGTGAGCTTGGCGTAATTTTCTCATTGGTTGTATTTGTGTCTAATTTAGTGGGTAATTAAAATACGACCAGGCAGACTGTGGTTGGCTGAATTAAACGCGGGAGTCTATCTCCGCTATAGTGTTTCGGCCAATCGTTAACGTACCCGTGCAAGCGCGGCTGCGAAGTGGGGCTAATTCCGTATAGTACGTATACTCCGTACACACTCAGTAACGCCCGTTTGGGCGCTAACCTATGTGCTCCGTAGTTCAAGATAGTATTGAGAGGCAAATGCAAATAATATATCAATACTGATTGGATATGAAGACTTTGGAGAACTCTGTACTAGAGAGTATATACTATACTGGAGTATGAAACTGTGGAGAGTACGCGTAAACGCGCCACTATTCAAGCACTAGGGCCTAGGCAGCACTGACAGCAAACAAAAGTGGATAGCGGAACTCCATATGGAGAAAACGCGATGACACTGCGGGCAAAGTTTGGCATAGCTATTTCGCAATGCATTGTTGAAATCAATTGAAGGTTCAACGCTGATCGACACGTCAGACACACACATACTCTCTCTCTCTCTAACTTTCTCCTCAAGTCACGATGTATAACTTCCACACGAGGCGCATTTTGCCCTAGATTAGTGCGAAGGAGCAAATCCTACGATCGGCGGCAATTACCTGCTAGTTATTCCCGAAGATGCCTGGGCAAGCATGGGCTTCGGAATAGTAACTGTTCTTAAAATGTGTCTCTACTAACTAACTTTGCAGGTTAATAATATACACCCTCATCGTAGACGTGAGCAAGTGGGTCGTCGGCCTGTGCTTATCCAGGAAATAGTAATCGAATAACTGCCGGGTTATGGTTGATTAGTAGGATTTATCCCTGTCAATCCGGTCAGAGATCTAAATCTGAATCAGTGTGAAATCTACTACCGCGCGCTCCGTACGGAGGACTTAGTAGTATAGTACTATATCACTTTATATTATAACTATAAGTATATCCCTATATAGATACTAGCCGAACGCAGGGACTACCCCTACTTCCAGATTCGGCTAGACAAGGCAGTTCTGGTTGAAATTAGGACTACCAAAGTCCAGCCGAGCCACTGAGCTACTGCGCATACTACCGACTATTTCTAAGACACTGGTATACATACTAGTTCATAGTATAATTATACTATGATCTGTTCCATCACGGCATCTGGAACGGGTGTTCCGGAGTCCGGACGAACCCGAGTTCGCCTAAAAAGAGACAGGCGCTAATGCTTTAACTTCCAGACATATGAAGTGCGTATATAGAACTCGAAAGTCGAACTACGGAGTACATATATACTACTATGCAGACAATCCCAATTCGGACTGGCCAGGATGGGCGTTTCATGCACAAGCACAGGCTCTCAAGCCGACCCAAGTCCATGGACTGGACGAGTCTTGACTGGGATTACAGACATGAACAATGTGCCAGGATCTGCCCGTTTGGAGGGGCTTCTGAACTAGTCTTAAAAAAAAAAAAGAAATAAAGAAAATAAAGAAATAGCCTACGACCGGCAAAATTTCGGCCATCTTTGTTTTTGATGTGATAGGCCCGGGGAAGTACGGAAAGCGTTGGTTAGACACGCCAGCCTGCCGGCAGTCAATTTGTTTGTAGTTCTACTTTGCATGCTACGTACTCCGTACATGGTATAATAGACGCAATGGAATAAACGGATCTCACATTCGGCTACACTCTCCGTATTTTGGTACGGGACGGAGTATATGTTCTTTCTTTCTATTGCGTATAGTTCTGTCACGATGAACCTGTCTTATCCAACCAGGTAGACACGCTATCACATACCAAGATGAGCCACGTAGATACACTCATATATAAATAGAAGAAAAAGAAATATATCAATATCTGCCCTGTCTCTACTCTTTGATACCAGTAGTAATCTACAATCTAGGTGAGCATAACTATTCAAAGTCAAGATTGTGCATGCGAGAAGGAGTTATCTATCTTTTGACTTTGATGATCCTATACATCCACTGTGTTCGTAATATTTCTTATTCTCATTTTTACCTCCTTTGTTATTATCCCGCGGCCTAACAATCAGATTCTTTACATTCTAATTCCGACTACTTCATATGCCATGGTCGATAGTCGTACCACAGCATCGTCCAATTGAAAACGTGACCCTGCCCAGCCCTATTCCCAATCAATGGCATGCATGCAGCATATGCACACAGCTACAGTTCCACGACATAACCAAGTAGCTACCTACTGCTCATACCTCGCATACCAAGGACGGAGATACTTCGCACTTTGATAGCATTCGGAATTCTCTCATCGGCTTCGGGATACATTTGATAGACGTACCTCACCGGTCCGACTTAGCTCCTCTCTCTCTCTCTCTCTCTGAGTGTGTGTGTGTGTGTGTGTGTGTGTGTGTCAAAAAGGCGGTCAGACCAATTACCTGGGTATAGCTTCATATTTACCTAAGAACTCGATGAGAGAGAGGCATGTGGGATGTTGGGTAGTTGAATCATAGAATGAGACTCGTAGGCTAGACATCTGTATGTATTTTACTGCGGTTCTTTCTAGCTTGATACTTGTATATAGTTGACACCTACACAGTCTACACTACTGTCCAGTGTCTAATGTACCTAGGTAGATAGCTACGAGGAGAAACTCTTGCAAACAGACAACCTTATCAGTCACATACACTCCTAATCAGAACATACATACATACGTGTACGGCCAGAAGAAGAAAGTTAGTCTTCCCTGTCCAATTCCAAACCAAACTGCAGCAATCCATGCCATTAACATCGGAAATCAAGGCGAAGATATTTTATATCAAGAAAAAGAAAGCAAAGCAAGGGAAAGAAATGTTTACATTTACATCTATTACCACCCAAGAATAAGAATCCAGGCCAAATCCAAACACATCCACATCCACATCCACAGACGCAAACGCAAATAATAGCCTCCCTAATTCAATACATGATTATACTTATCCATATGCAATACATACTTTTCTTTTGTTCTTTCAAGAGTTAGAGTCTAATGCCCATTAACCCCTTTACCCTGGTCTTGCGCTGTCGGCGCTAATGGCGGTGCTAGTGATTGTCGCTGCTGCTGCGACTGCTGCTGCTGGGCACTGTTCGATGACATGTTCCAGGATGACAACTGTGGCAGGGATGTGCGAGATCCGTTGTCAACATTGCTTCGGGCTAGATCTGTACCGGAAGATGCAGCAGCGGTAGCCATTTGATTTTCGCGTTGCCGACGTTCCTCCTGCTCAGGAGTCATCATCTTGACCGGCGGCGGAATGGGAGCATCCGCCGAACTGCGTCCCATGAGCTTTGGACTCGGCTCTAGTCGGTGGATCGGAGGCAGGATAGATGCTCCACCAACACTGCTGGCGGTCACCGGGCGCGGTGACTGATTCTTAGTTGGACTAAGGCCCGAAAGGCTTATGTTACTTTGGGATCCCGGTGGTGGCGGTGTGTGAGAAGGAAATGAATCGGAGAAGGAGTTCGTGCGCTGATCTATGCTGGAAGAGAAGGACGGGATTGCTCGGTCTTGAGGGCGGCCTGTCGGCCGATGTTGTCCGTATGGAGTCGATGGAACAGATCCGTTTGAGAGAGCCGAAGGAGGAAATCCAGCCAAAGGCCCAACGTCGCGATTGCCCTGAGTCGGGGACATGGATGGCCGGTTTTGAATCGGTGAAGGATGCGCCTGGCTGTGTATAGAGTGTGACGAGGACGGGCGGTGAGACGACAACGGATTGCCCGAAAGGATTCCTTGCAGAGCCGCTGATGAGTTCTGTACTGGTTGCTGATGAGCGTGTCGCTGGATGTACGCGGGCTCCGGTAGCGAAATCAACGGCGATGATGCTGGTCCAATGCTCCCTTTGGATGGCGACCCAGGTGCTGCCAAGGAACCGGGATACGGCAGTCCATTCGTCGCCAAGGGATGAGAACGACGTTCAGGGGAGGCCGGTTGGCTGCTATTGAACTGCGACGGCAATGAGGGCTGCAGGTTGAAATTACCCGTATTCGACGGCGTAGGAATAGCATTCGGTGAAGCTTTAGTCTGTTCCCCTTCCTGCTTCGTCGTGGAAGCAGTTGTAGAGGTTGCCGGCGAAGCAGACCCAATACGAAATTTCAAAGGTGGAATTTTTGGCCGGTTGGCCTCCTCCTCGCGGCGCTTGCAATCAGCACAGACAAAGTGGAAATCGTCCTTTTCGGCCTCATCCTGAGAAATCCCTAAGCATTTGCTGTGCTGCCACACATTGCAACGTTCGCATGCGACGCAATGTGAACCGTCATCCTGTTTACAATAGTTGTGAGTAGACTATGTAGACTGTAGGTTAGAGTTGAAGAACTTACGATATTCTCGCCATGAACACCACAGCCTGAGCAATCGAAAATCCACTGATCGTCATCGGCAAGTTCCTCCAAATCTTTCCTGCGTTTCTCCAATTCAGCCTTGATTTGTCTTTCGGACACACGTCCTTCACCTGACTCCAGCTTTTTCTGCTCTTGTTCTAGCCGGGCCATTTCAGCCTCGTGAAGTATGCGTTTTGATTCCCTGTCCCTAATTCTGCGTTCTCGAGTAACTATACGGTGGTGTCGCTCGTTTTCCATTTTGCGCTGATTCTCCTGCTCCTTGCGAGCGGCAGCAAGCTCGATCTCGTGCTTACGAGCGGCATCTGCAGCTTCTTTATCACGTCGCTCTTTATCTTGCTTTTCAGCAAGGCGGCTAGATCGTTTGGCGCCAGCTAGTAGCTGCATGTTAAACAATTCTTTCTCGCGTTTCTGGCGTTTGCGCTCTTCTGCCTCTTCTGCTTTTCCAACGATAGGTAATACTCCTTCTATCAGTCGATCCCTGAGTGACTTCTCGTTCGGGTCTCTAGTATTTTGGAACGAATCAATGAACTCCTGGTACTCGGGAAGACTGGTCGCTATGCACTCCCATGTGAACCCGGCGGAGGGATCTTCAACGGAACTCTTCTCGTTCTCGGCAACCTCATCTTTCTCCTCCTCCTCTTCTTCCTCGGCCTTGGCAGAAATTCTCCTGCGCTTGGCAGCTCTGGCAACAGCTCTAGCCCTCTTTGAATTCGCCTTCGGTTTTGGCGGGATAGGTGCAGGAATAGGAGGATCCGTGCGACGGTACAGACGGTTATCGTCTAGAACGTAGTAGATTCGGTCTTTGCGATCCCAGCCAAATTCCTCGATCCTCTAAAACAGGAATTAGCAACTTCCTTTCTTTGGTCTTAAGGGCGCAGAACGGAGACAAACCCATTGTGTCTGATCTATTTCCCGCTGCTCAGGCATCTTCTCACGAATGCGATCAGGGTTCCAGAACGTCCATAAGGACAATTGATGTAGCACTTTCAGTTTGAGGAAGACGTCAAAGTCTCTAAACTTATTTGGTTCTTCGTCGTATCCGAACGGGTTAACAAGATGAGGGGCTTTGGCGTTGTATTGGCGACGCGTGTATTCGTCGAAATTTTCGAATCTATTGGTATGGTAATTAATTGGCTGTTCAATGTAAGGGCTTTCCTTCAAGTAAACACGAGTGGTATATGAACATACGATAGACCCCGATGCGACGAGACGAATTTGAGTAGCGACAATCCAATATCCATAAGCTTATCCGAGGTTTCGGGTTTGAGGCATTCCATTTCCAAGTCCTGTACACACAAATTCAATATTAATTCGAGCTCATTCATACAATACATGTGGGTGTGTGTGTGTGTGTGTGTGGAGGAGAGCGGGCGCTTTCTTGCTTGCTTGCTTACCTCGATTCCAAAGTCCTCGTCAATCTTCACAATCTTCCCAAACGTGAAGATATACTGCATCAAAGAAGCAAATTCCCAGCAATTTCTAATTCGCTGCAGGAAAGTCGGTTCTCCATCTTGCTTTACGGGTTCTGTCTCCAGTTCGGAGTGAGCACGCTTTCGCGACACCATGGCGGGCGAATTTGCGGTGCTACGCCTCTCGGCACGGAACGCGTTGTCGAATAGGGAAAAACCGAGGACTCTGTGACTAACGACGTTCGAAGTAGGGAAATAAGTGATAGATATCAAAGATGAGACGGCAGAAGAAGAAGAAGTGCGAGATTAGAGGAATTGGCGAGTAATCCTGGACGGTGAGCAGGAACTGAGAGAGACGCGGACGAGGGAATCGGCATCGATAACGTCGGCGCGACGAGGCGATCCTTGCGCCTGCTTTTTTTCTATAGGGGCGAACCGTGGATGCCTTGTGGCCTGGCGCTAGTCCAAGCTCGGTTATATCGGGTGATGCTGGTCACGTGCGGGTCGACGCAAACTGGGAGCGCGCTAAGCCTATAATGGATACGTATAGCTGAATTGTTCGATTCTGCGACATTCTGTTGGACACAAAAAATATATTGGCAAATCACATATAATTATTATTATCAGTATACTATAGCTATACCGAAGTCTGATTAACTGACCAACGAGCGACAAAGGTTATTACTACTCACTTTACCCTGCGGGTCTGGTATCAAGGCATAAGAACCAAGCAAAAGGAAAACGCAGCAAGTGGTATCAATCTAGACAATGCACAACGGAGACACAAACGTTGAAATCATCTGTACTCGGGTATTGTTGCGAGACATGTTTTTTTTTTCGTTTGTTTGAGGGTTTTGTTTTTGATGAAAGCAAGAAGGAAAAAAAAGAAATCACAAGGAAAGACAATGAAGCAAGCAAAAGAACAAGATTAAAAGAGAGAGAAAAATAGTGGGTATCGTCATCTCGCCAACGTTCCAACAGTCCTGTCAACAGTCCTGCACATAAATAATTTGCTCTTGCAAAAAGTCACAAGACGGAAAAGAAACAATCAAAAGGTTAAAGACATCAGATTGCCCGTCGTCAGGCTGTAGATGTGCCAGAACGAGTAGGGAAATCACGGTCCCACCATTTTTCAAACTCCACCACGCTCGTTCTGGCGCCTCTTCTTCAGGCAGCAGCCTGAACTGGTGCAGCGGCCGGGGCAACGTTGACGGGCTCGGCAGCAACAACAGGTTCTTCAACCTTCTCAGTGGTAGCAGGGGCGACCTCCTCAACAGGAGCATCCTTGGAGATAGGCTCGGGCTTGTCTTCACCCTCAGCAATGGTCTCAGCAGGAGCTGCCTCCTTCTTCTCTTCCTCCGACTTCACAGCCTTGCTGGGCTTGCGGAACAAGCCTCCGAGCTTGTTAGTCTTCTTGCCTTCTCCATCAGAGGTAACTTCGCTCTTGACCTTCTTGCCCAGAGTACCGAACAAGGAAGTGCGGCGCTTGTCCTTGGCCTCAGGTGTAGTCTCCTCCTTCTTCTCGGCAGTCTCTACAGCAGGAGTCTCGGAGGAAGAAGCAACAGCGGCTTCAGCAGCTGGGGTTTCAACCGCGGTCTCGGGCTCGGCAGGCTTGGCAGCAGCAGCAGCCTCATCAACAGGGCTGTCGAGTTGAGGAGCGGTGCTGGCAACAGGAGCAACCTCCTCTTCGGTCTTCTCCTTGCTAGGGCTGGCGACCTTGTTGAAGAAGTTGCCGAAGAGGGATGCACGCTTGGACTTGGCAGCAGTCTTTGGCTCCTCTTTCTTCTCTTCGGCGGGGGTCTCGGCAGGAGTCTCAGCTTCGGCGGCAGCAGGGGCAGCCTCTTCAGCTGGAGTCTCGGTAGTTGCCTCGGCTGGAGCAGCAGGTTCAGCAGCGGCGGTGGCTTCCTCAGCTGGTGTGGCCTCAGTGGTAGCCGGGGTCTCTTCCTTGACCTCCTCCTTCTCCTTCTTGCCACCCAAAATGCTTCCGAAGATGGAGGCGCGCTTGCGCGACTGCGAGCGGCTCTTCTTGTCCTCCTTCTTCTCTTCCTTCTTTTCCTCCTTCTTGTCCTCAGCGGCAGGCTCAGCTTCCTTCTCAGGAGCGGCGGCAGCCTTGACAGCGGTGGCAACACCAGCAGGCTTGGTGATCTTCTCGAGCTCAGCCTTGTAGCCTTCGCTACCGGTGATGGTCTCCTTCTCAGCCTCAGCTTCGGCGGACTTGGCAGTCAAGGCAGCAACCCAGCTGTCACGCTCGGCGGCGGAGGTAGCCTGGAAGACATGCTTGTGACCGTTGGTCTTGAAGAAGAATTCGTTGACGCCCTCCTTGCTGACGTCGCTGACCTCAGACTGTGCCATTTGTTAGTCATGAAACAAGTGTAGTTCACAAGACAGAAATCCTTATCACATACCAGGTTGAAGATGCCAGCGGGAGTAGCCTTGTCCTCAGCACGCTTGGTGTAGAATAGAAGACCCTTGCCGGTCTGGGTAGCCCAAGCGGCAGTGCGCTGGGCCGCGGCAGCGCTCTTCTCAGAAGCGAGGTAAGAAGTCAAGTTCTTGGCCTCAACAGCGTCCTCTGAGAAGTAGAAGAAGCGCTTGGCGAATCGGAAGCTCCTGATTGAGAAGAAGTCATGTTAGCACATCACTTTCCTACATCTCAGCTCGTCATATTCACAATTAACTTACTTGACAAGACCGGGTCCCTTGTAGCCGAGAGTGCCATCAGTAGCGGGGGTGACCTCCTCTTCCTTAGCCTCTTCCTTGGGAGCTTCGGCAGTGGCTTCAGTAGCTTCAGTAGCCTCAGCAGCAGGTGCAGCCTCAGTGGTTTCGGTGGTCTCAGCAGCCGGAGCTTCAGGAGCAGCCTCGGTGGCAGGAGCGGGCTCGGCGGCGACGGGCTCAGCAACAGCAGGAGCAGCGGCTGGGGCCTCCTCCACAGGCTGGGTGGCTTCGGTAGCAGACATGTTGACCAATATTAGGGAAATAAAACGTCGATGGTGTCTAATTAGATGATGTTTTTTTTTGTTGGGTTGAAAGTGAAAACGGGGTTTCGTTTCACAAGAGCAGACAGCAACACTGAGCTCGCCTAGCGAGAACAGGCGGGTATCACTTTTAAAATTTGGGGGGGTATCTGGGAAAGGGGGTATCTCAACGAAGAAAACACAAAGAGACGCGGGAAGCAATAGCTATCGAGCGGCTCTATGGGGGGTATCACAATTAAAAAGAAGCCGGTGGCTTGAGAAGAAGTTGCAGCGAAGTAGAAGTATTAGAAGAATTGCAGGTGAGGGGGATAGAGAGAGAGAGAAGGAGAGAGAAGGAGAAGGAGGGAAGGGGAGGGAGAAAAAAGAGTATACCAGGGCAGGCCGCCGGCTGAAAGAGGTCTAGCGCAGGGCAGGTTAGGTAGGGAGCGCGACGAGGAAAATTAAGTTAGCGCCTGTACGGTAACGTAATCTGGCGACTGCCTTCGCAGCACCGCGCGGTAAAATAACGTAATGTTTGTATGGAGTTGCCCGAGTGGGCTTAGTGGCTGGCGATCGTCCTGTCTGGCCGCTTCCTCGCCTGGCAAATCAGGCAGCTCAGAGAGCTCCCCACCGGCGCCCCTTATAGGGCCCCACCCGGTTAGTCTCCTTATTTTTTTTTTCTTTCGTTTCTTCTCCTTTATCAGTCATTTGATGGCTGGCATGACAATGTCGACTATATATTGATTATTATCTATGGACATAATAGTGTATATCGCTGTTCATCTTTTGCATCTGCCAACATACCCAGGATTATGCTGTGGTATCTTATATCAGGTGATACTCTTGGGACAGCTCACGAGCCTCCCGTGAGACGGTATGGCGGTATGCGTAATACCTAGCGTACGGTACAGATCAGCTAACCAACCCAACCAGTCGATGTCTGACAGAAATTTTTTCAGGCACTCCGTCCCTCATATGATTGACACAGACGCACGCTGGTGTATATATACACTGCACACGTGGGTTCTTACTTCTGACTTGTTCTATTGTTTCTTCTTCTTCCAGGTCATGACAGATATTTGCGTCGTACACCATGTTTTGTTTGTGACGGTAATGTTGCCTAGCGCCAAAGCCTATGCCGTGTGGGCCTGCGATAAAAACCATGGTACTGTGTCCCACCTCTATACTTCATAGTGTCGATACTAGATAGACGTAGCAAAGTCTGGGCAGTGGCACACACGAGAAATTGTGGTTATTGTTGTTACTAATACTAACCAACCCTGCGCAATGGTGTCATGACTTGAACTTTGCCGTGAAGACGCAAGTCTGGTAGGGGATGCCGTTATCTTTGGGATGGGAGCAGCCGGTCACATGAGACATGTACTACTATCTACTAGCAATGCAATGTGCATCCATACTCCGACGTTCAGCCGTTTGATCTTCTGCATTCTGCAGTGTTTTACTTTTCCTTCCTGGCTCCGGCTCTGTGACTAACCACAGGCTAAGGCTAGGGCTTAGGCCACAAAAAGAGTCTGATTGGCGATCAGATTCCTTCCCATGTATCCTGATCAGCAAATGCCGTAACAGATTGGCAGGCTAACCACGGAGCACCGCGCCGGTGCTACCGCTGATGGGCGCATGACTTGTGGCTTATCCGCCTATGATATGATGTTATATCATGTTATGTATCAGAGTGTATATCATGCTGCAGTCTGTTCCGTGCCGAGTCCCGGCATTGTTTCTATCTGTCCATCTCTGGCTACTGGGCCCGTCCGCTGTGCGCAGTACGTAGTAAGGTACGCTTGGATTACTCTAATCTGCTCTAACTAAGTAGTTAAGCCCGCCGTGATCAATTTCTTCTCCTGATGACGAAACCCCACCTGACTTTTCTGTTCTACGATTATGGGCTACTAGTGAGCGCAACTAGCGCAGAATGGAAAATGGTCGGTAAGCCGTCGATGGTTTATTTCTCCGATGGTTCATATTGTGAAGTCAACCGTAGCCCTAACATGATACCAGTGGTCTCTTGCGGTTATCACTAATTAGCTCTTCCGCTAGCTAAAACTCGCACTGAAACATGTAACTGTGTAGTATCTAGCTAAACTAATAATCCAGCAGACTGTTTGCAGAGTCCGTTCTCGTGCCTGGCAATTTCGCTACGGAGAATAAATGAAAATAAAATACGTACTGTACCAGTTGGTGGTCTGTGTACACAGTATGGCCAATCATCGTATGGTACAGTTCCATACAACCGCAACGTCGCTTTCTCCCAAACCAGTAACTAGCGGATATTAGATGAATTTCATGAAATGACATTTCATTTGAACTTCACCTCGACGTTTCACTTCTTCCTTTTTATTTCGAGTTATCTGCCGGGATGCTTGTTTGAGACATAGTAGTATTATAGTATTATCCACATAATATCTTCTGGCGGCGTCATGGTTGAATACTGTCTCGGGCCAATCATATTGCGCACAGTCGAAACTGACAGTAAGCGCCGTGATGTTATTCTCGAAGCCATGGCCATGTTGATAATCTATTGGCTTCGGATAACAATTTAGCATTCGATTGGCCTCAGAAAGTGGCCCAAAATTGAGAATGACCGTTATAGATGTATCGAGATGAAGCCATACCGTTTGCCTTGCAGGTCAAGAATGAGAGTCGCACCCGATGATGCTCTGGATTGTGTCGCATTTGAGGTGTTCTTAACATACGGAGCCCATACTCATGATTGTGTTTGTAGTTTGCCAGCATTAGGGTTGGATCAAGTATGAGATACCGCTAACTAGGTGGAATGTTACCGCAGTGAAGATCAAATCAAGTCCTTCATGGAATTACAGTGAGTGACTGACACTGTTGACTGTTGAGGTTCTTTCGATCTTTAATTTTGCTAGATTCTTTAAGTTTTATTGGAACACACACATATAACTACATCATCTTTCATGACTCTAGTGTGTTTCTTCACGGATGGGTAGATGCGACTGAATATGCTCCCACTGATAAGATACAAAGATCAATAGAAAGCAATGCTTTCAACAAAGGACTCGGTAGAGACAACGTAGAGATGGTCTGGGCTCAAGTAACTCTAATGCTCGGAACAAAGAACGCACGTGGTATGTCGCATCACGTACACATCTAGTTGAAGTATATCGCCAGATCTACTGTCTAATAATGAAAGAATTCGCCCACAGCATACTCCTGATAGTTCAATTGAGGATACACGAGGATAGCCCTGAGCACTAACCCTAGTTCCCAGCGCGGGGCCGCGAGGGATTTCTCCGGCCGGCTGTGATGAAAAATTTTGAAAAAGACAATTAAATCGGAGGTGGAGGCTAGCAATGCGTCGGTGGCTATGCTAGTGGTCTTGGTAGTTAATCAACAGGAAACAGGCCCATGACATCGACTCTCCTGCAGGGAATATGCAGTTCGGACCGCAGTACATATGCCTGGTCATAGATAAGTTTTGAATACATCAGGTTGTTGAAGAGAAGCCATCAATGAATCAATCATACATAGATAGGCTCGACATAGTAAAAACGGTCGCTTAAATTTCCATTGTCTGCGCGGTGGTGGAGGAGGATAATCTTAATGCAACAGGGTTAACTTTTCTAGCGTGAGCGTCGGGGTCAAAAGAGGGAAAAGCGTTTCTTGTTCCGGTCTGGACTCTCTGGTGAAGTTTCCTTCGCTGGGGTGAGTCACGGACGGAGCATTCATTCCTTATATAATCTGCAGTCGAGGCCATCATGTGATATCTTACCTTGCGCAGAAGGCAGGCGCAATTGCAAATGCCAAAGCCAAACGTCAAGCAAAGAAGGAGCGATGGAAATCGCGCAAGGGACGACAAGGCAGGAATGGGACGCGCAAAAGGCAGTCGCGGCCGTCGCAGGGCGTGAGCCTTGAGGGGAGAAACTGGAAAGTGCGGCTCGGCAACTGGCCAATCAGGAGCGCACACTGGCTGTGACTCACACTCGGCGTGTCCACTTGCTCGCGAGACTAGGTCCAGGCTGGTCTAGCTCGATGATAGTCTGTCTCTGATTGGCCTGCGCCGCCCCGTGCGAGGCTGTCTGCGGCTTGGCCGGTCAGCTCCTTCCCTCGCTTACGGGCCTTCCTTAAGACTGCCTGATTCCCCCCATCGTGGGTGCCTGGCTCTCTTTTTTCCTCTTCTCTTCCTGTCATCTCCACAGACACTCAGTCTTTCTACCACCACTATTATTATTCTTATTCTCATACCTGTCAAGACATCTGCAAGCAGCTCCATCATGGCGGCTTATTAAGTGATTCTTCACTTCTCATTCTCTGTCCCTTGAACAAGCGGCAGACAACACTACAATTCCATCTCGGAACCCTGTTGTTAATCTCCCCTCAACCATTCCATCTACAGAGTCTTCCCTTTCTGGGTCTCTGAACTTCCGCAGCGCTTCGCGTAGCTCAAGTTCTCTTTCCACCTTCACTCTCTCTTCGTCCGACATCACGTCGCTCACCACGGATAACCAACAGCAAACATGGCTTCCCTACCCCCCTCCCCAACAGCCTTCGGCGCAGCATCAGAATTTGATCTTGAACAACAACAGCAACAACAACAGCAACAGCAACGTGCAGCAGGACTTTGTGCTCTACCCACAACATCAAGTCTCTCGCCCGCCTGCTTCTTCTTGGGCCGAGCCTTCGCCAGCACCTCTGAGTGTCAACCTTAATCAGCGATCAGTGCAGAACCAGTCTCTGGTTAATCGCCGACACACACTTCAGTACAGCAGTGTCAACGTACACCAGCAGCATAGCAAATCCGTTCAGCCAGTGAACAGATTGTTCCCACAGTCTACCGGGTCATTGTTTCCGTCCAGCTCTTATCGGTACAGTCCATCGGGCCAGAAGCGCCTTGCTCAACGTCTCTACGCGGCTTCTTTGCCTGCAAATTCTCCGCTCGCAAACCGGCCACCGGTTCCATTGTTCAACAGCACACAAAACACCCCTAATTATCAAAAACACCAAACCAGACAACAATTACAACAACATCGCAGAGTCATGTCTTCGTCCAATATCGCTCAAGGTGATTATTCACACCGCCCCTACCCCGCATCGACGTGGTTTGAGTCAATCTCCGTGACTGATGCTAATGCGTTGTATTTACCCTTTTCAGATTTCCCTCTAGATCTTTTCGATCTCTCTTCCCAGAGTCCCCTGCTGGACGATTTAACTTCTCCCGTCTCGTCCATGATGGCGTCCCCTCTCGCTGACGAGTTTGCCTACATGAACACTACCTCTGCGGCTGTGCCTCCGGGCACAGTCTCGCCTAAGGATTTGATTTCCGGACCTCCGTCTTCCTTCTCCACAGAACTCGGAACTCCGCAATCGGCCTTTGACTCCCCTGGCGATCTGTCCTTCAGTCACTTCACGTCACCTGTGTATGTGGCCGACAACGATCTTCCAGCCGACCACAATGACTGGACTTCGCTCTTCCCGGATAGCCAAGTCATGCCGGGTGACGATTTCGATATGTCAATGACAAGTTTCTCACAGAAGCCCACCAAGCCTGTTCCCTCTGCCGTCTGCATGTCGGCTGAGTCTCCGGCATCTTCAGAAGATACATCGTCTCCCAAGCCTTCGCTCACAAGTGATGCTCCTTCTCACAAGTCCAAGAGCAAGCGCGACCTCCGTGACCTTAAATATGATCCCGCCGATCCAGTGGCCGTCAAGCGTGCTCGTAACACTATGGCCGCTCGCAAGTCACGTCGACGCAAGCTCGAGAAGCAGGAACAAATGGAGGAGCGCATCAAAGAGCTCGAGGCGATGTTGGCGAAGTCCGAGAAGGATGCTCAGTACTGGAAGGCCATGGCTCAGGCTTCGTGAGTCTAATCGGCTAGCACGTTCTTGACGTGATTTTTTCTTTCTCTTTGGACGTGTTTGACCTGCATGTTGTGTACATGTTTAGTTCTTGCGTTTTGTATTTGTGCTTGTTATATCAATGGACTGGCAGCGAATACCTGCCACGGTGGGGGGCAGGGTTTGCCTCACACCTTGGAGTACCAGTTGGATTTTCAAATTCAACAATGACGCTTCAAAAGACAAAAGTGTGTTTTTTTTTATCTTTCTTCTCTTGTCTCTTATATATTATGTGTGTTGCTGGTATTTTCCGCATGCTTTTATGATACTCTGGCGAAGATCGCCTACCGGAGCTTGCCCCAGATTGGTTTATTTTTACTGTCTTTGCTTCCGTGTATAATCTCCCTGATCTATCTGTGCCGGTTCTGATGTCTCCTCTTGGATTGACTCGTGGCCAGATTTGTTTTATTGCTGTGCTTTATTAGGCTTAATAGATTTAAATCTGCCTGATTCTTATCTTCTCCAAGCATGTAGATGAACAACATATCTAAATTAGGCATGGTCAATAGGGTCAATGCTCCAGAAATAACATTATCTTACTCATGTACTCTGTCAATACTCATTCAACCCTATCGGTAGTTTAGGTAGTTCCGTAGTCTCACTCAGTTTCACCTCGCCCTATTTACAGAATCAGCTTATCTAATGAGTCACCGTAGTTAACTTACCCATAGATATATTAGCCGATACATATATATGTATATATCTGCATGCATTTGAGTATACTAGACCCAAAGCCTCATCCATACAAACAACATTACACACACAACTCTCGGGAACCATATATAAATATACCTCTCACAATGCTCAAAATTATGGATAGACCCTGGTCCCACCCAGACAGCGAATACCTGCGCAATCTGCAACGTGCAGAGATCGAGGCTATTTATGGTCGCCCGGATAGCGAACCGGGTACTCCGCCGTCGGCAGATGATATTTCGGTGTTTCTGGTTGCGTATCTTTGCTCTCCCGAGAAGATAAAGGGGGATGTGAAGGAGGAGGATGATGGGGTTATGGTGCCTATTGCCTGTGGGGCTCTTCGAGTTTTGACGTCGCTGCCGTCTTCGTCGGAGGAGGAGGAGGAAGAGGAAAAAGGGACGGGGGTAGAGGTTAAGCGCATGTATGTCCACGCAGACTATCGCGGGAAACCGTGGTATGCGGCAAAGGCTGTTCTCGCGGCGCTCGAAGACAGGGCGAGGAGGAATGGTTGGATGCAGGTTGTGCTTGAGACTGGGACGTTGCAGACAGCTGCTATCAAGTTCTATGGGCGTGAGGGATATGCGGAGATTCCTCGGTTTGGGGCTTATGTTGATGCGGAGAATTCGTTGTGCTTTGGGAAGGTGTTGAGTTAGGTTGAGTTGAAGTATGATGGAGATATGTCCTCGGACTTGGAAAGCACTCTTTAACGCCCATGTCTATATAGTCTAAAGGTTGTCTAGATATGGAAAAAGACCATGTAGTTACTTTTATGTTTGATGGCTCACAAGAAGGTAAACTTGCACATAGCTCAGATTTGCCTTTAACAGATCATCGAGTCCCTTTTGAAGAAGATTTCTCTCGGCTTACTTCTCTTGTCTCCCCTGTCCACTTCCTCTCTCACATAAAAACGCTCATCCATCGCTTCTCTTGTCACAATAAGAACAAGTATGTGCATACCACACCGCATCTACCCCAAGACGCAGTAATGCCGCCTCATGCAATTGAACCATATTCGCTCCACTGGTCGTAGTGCATAACGTGGTCAATGGCATCAGAGACAGTATCCACGGCAAGGAATACAGGGTATGTTGCGTGTATGCCTTGGTATTGTAGGTCGACATAGAGAGAGAGGATAAGCGTATGCATAGCAAGAAAGAAATGGCAGAAAATAAGAGAATGTAAGTCGGAAATCGTGACTCTCATAAGTATCTGTTTCTCTGGGTGTCATCACCGCTAGCGAGCTTCCATTCTTCCAAGCATGTATTCTTCTGGAACGTAGCATGAACGGATGCATGATTGGATATTTGAATGATAATATGTATTCGAGGGCGAGGAGAAAATGGGTATTTAAATTGTATGAGTCCCCTTGCTCTTACCGCTCTCCATCTTGGCGGTCCTTGACCCAAACTGTATAGCACGCTTCTTTTCCTGTGCTGTTTGAAGCATGCCTAGTTTTAGCGCGAGCAGACGGAGCGCTTTCTTCTCAGAGTCAAGGGTTTCCGCAATATGGTTAAGCTCGTTGTTTGTTGCTACCTGCACTTGTGCTGTGCCAAATCCGCATCGTTCCCAGACGGGTGTCTGTGTGGCCCAGGAGACAAATTCTTCGTCGAGGAATGGGAAGCGAGCCTCACGACCCCAGTTGGATATGACGCGGTCATCGCGCCCTAGATTTCGCTTTCCCAGGCGACTGACATCTAGGTCAATCTCGTCAATGAGACCTTGGAATCCTTTGCGAGCAAAGGCAATGCCGTGACGCCCGTAGCCGGCAAAGAGCTCATCCGCGCCTAGACCGGAAAGTAGCACGCGTGCCGTTGTGGTGTATGTTGCGGTGTCATTTATATCGTCGTCATTGGCTACATTGCCTTGCCCTCGAGACGCAAAATATAACGCGCCAGCGATAGACAGATCCATCTCAGTGTTGTGTGGTCGCATCAACTGTATAACTTCCTCTCGATGTGCTGTGAATTCTTGATACGGAACATCGACAGCAATGAATCGCCACACCCGGTCAGGACATACTTTCCGCAGTTCGGCGTACCCAGCTCTACCGGTGATACGGTCGGGGCAGCTCTCATAGATAGATATGGCTTCTTCGTTCTCCTCTTTCTCCTTTCTTGCCTTAAGAGCCGCCGCAACGCGGGGATTTTCAAACGCGACATTAATCAAATCAACAGTTTCGTCTTTTGGTACAATGTCATGGGTAAGTCGGGCAAGTAGCGTGCAGTCCAAGCCACCGGAAAATAATATGCCAATCTTTGCACCAAGTCCAGGCGATGCAAGTCCAAGTTGCGGTAGATATTGGACGCGGGTTTCCACCGACCGACGGAGCTCGTGTTCTAGTTTCTGGATGCAAATAGAAGACAGCGTTAGAGCTGGTGGTTCTGTACTGGGCACGGCCCGATTCATAGGAGAGACGGGATTCCTCAGTAAGAGGCGACCCGTTTGTTTATGTGACCATGGGATCACTTCCACTTGATACGAAACCTTGTGCGAGCCATCGGGGGTGTCGTTCAACAGTGAGATGCGCGAAAGGTCGATCATATGGAGCCCATCAGTCTCCACTTCCTCAAAGGGAGCAGGGGACGATCCATCACACACGCTACATATCTTGAGGTTTCCGGTATCATCGTGGCCATGGAGTAGTGCCCTCCTCCCAAGGCAGTCACGACTGAAGAAAATCCTGCGACGGAAACCATCGTAGAATACAAAAGAAAACGGACCTGTAATGTTGCTAATGATATCTGTTAGTCTAGCAACGGAGTCATCGACGCCACCCACTTCCGATTCACCGACATCGCAGTGGTATCTGGAGGCTTCAATAAGTTTCTGAAAGACTATTTCCGTGTCATTGCCCCTAACGGCCTGGCCGCAGACTTTCCATGCTTCGCCATTCCAACAGAGAACTGACTTACTGTCAGCGTCCACAAGTGGCTGGCTAGTAACATGGTCACCTCTTAGAGCGAGGACGGTCGAAATGAACGTTAGATATATCGCCTCAGGAGTAGTTTCCGGTGTTTCAAGGCGCCTGGCGCATTCCAGCTTCACCAGGTGAGTGCAGTAGTTATCAGGACCTCGGTTCCGTAGCCATGTCACGGTCTTCTCTTGAGGCAGTACATGCTCGGAGGCACTCAAAGAGAAGAAGATGCCGCACATAACAGCCCGAACCTTGACAAGCTTCCAAGAGGAAAAGAAATCCGAGGCTTGGAGAAATAAAATCATGGTTTCTTCGCACGGGAGCAGACAGGGCGGTATCAACCGGCAGAATGATAACGCCGCCGCAGATTGCCTGAATATCACTGATTCATGCATGACCTCTGTGTACCATAAGGCATTCCATGCTCGAAGGAAAATAGACTGTGCCGGGATATCATCTCCTATCTTCTTATTGGCCATTTGAGAGGGAAACAACATGCTGTGTTGTGCCGTCTGAATTACCCAGCTAAATAGCGGAAATTTCAGGAGTAATCTTGAATTGCCAGTTGACGCGGGGGAACAAGCTATACATATGCCCGCTTCACTGCCCTCGACGTTGGATGACGATTTCAAGGTGGAAAGCGAACAACATGAACATCGCCAGCAGTCAATAACCGCAGCACTACAACTTACTGGTCCTGAAACCGCCGGCAACATGGCAGAACAAGACGAAGCCGGCCACACAGAGCTTGTGCACGTGGATCCATCTCCCATGGACAACTCGACGACCGGGAATATAAACACGGATCGGCTTCAGAACCTCTCATTATCGCCGAAGAAGCCCGAAAGCCTCAGTGTTCAGACGCAAGCCGACGCACCGCCTCCGCCTCCACAGAAAGACGAAGTGTATATTGATCCTACCCCGAAGACTCCGCAGGCCCCTCGTTCTCCGATCGGATTACCAGCCGAACATACCGAGAAGGAGCTTCCTAATGTGCCTCAAGATAGTCAACCCGAAGATCGCAAGGAAGAAGCCGATGTCAACAGGACTGACGATGGAGGCGACGGTGACGGCGACGGCGACGATCAATCGGAGATTCAAAGTATAATGGAGCAATTCTCCAACGAAATAGAGGGGCCCAAGGAGACAGAAATCATGTCCCCACGCTTAGAACTTGCGGAGCATCACTTTATGGGTCAGCAAAATCAGTTTCCCACACGGAGGTTGAGTCTTGAACCGCCAGCGAAGAGCACCAGCACTAATAGCATCCCGTCATCCTCTGGACCGTCTTCTATACCACCACCCATCGTCGTACCCAAATCGAGCCAGAACTTTGGAAATGATGTTCCTGGAACCCCTCAATCCACATCTTCGAGAACAGGGCTGCCGCCCCCTGAACCAGAGCCAGATCAACCGTTTGATTTTCATCGTTTCCTTGAACAGCTGCGCCATCGCACCGCAGACCCAGTTGCCAAGTTCCTCCGCTCATTCTTGACGGAATTTGGTAAGAAACAATGGCAGGTGCACGAGCAGGTCAAGATCATTAGCGATTTTCTAGCTTTCATAACGAACAAGATGGCGCAGTGTGAGGTGTGGAGACATGTCTCGGATGCAGAATTTGATAACGCAAAGGAAGGGATGGAGAAGCTGGTTATGAATAGGTTATACAGTCAGACGTTTTCTCCTGCCATCCCGCCCCCTCCTTCTGTGCCTCGAAGTGCCAGTAGGAGTAAACGAAGGGAGATGGAGAGAATGCATGGCCCCGGCAGACGTGGCCAGCACCAGGAAGATGTTGAGCGGGATGAAATCTTGGCCCAGAAGATCCGGATATATAGCTGGATACGACCGGAGCATTTAGATATACCTTCCCTTGGCAACAATGGGCGTCGTTTCATCAATCTTGCGCAACAAGGTATGATTATACAGGTGTCAACTAATGGAAGTGCTTTTATTTTAACTGGTGCTTGCAGAACTGGGGAAAATAAAAAACTATAGAGCTCCAAGAGACAAAGTTATTTGCATCCTCAATTGCTGCAAGGTTATTTTTGGTACGTATATTTTGCTACAGCTGCTGCCACTGCGGCTCCTTGGTGAACGTTGCTTATTTTCATCCTGATGTATCTAGGACTGTTGAAGCACTCGAAGAATCCTGATACATCGGCGGATTCATTCATTCCTATTCTGATTTATGTGGTTCTAAAAGCGAACCCTGAGCATCTAGTTTCTAATGTGCAGTACATTTTGCGTTTCCGCAATCAAGATAAACTGGGAGGTGAAGCTGGTTATTACCTATCTTCTTTGGTAAGTCTAGCTCTTTTTTCAAATCAACTGTCTGTAGGGCTAACGGAGATACAGTCTGGTACCCTTCAGTTCATCGAAACTCTTGACCGCACGAGTTTGACTGTTAGTGACGAAGAGTTTGAAAAGAATGTGGAGGCCGCAGTGTCAGCGATTGCGCAGGAGAATATGAAGGCGGAATCAGAGTCAGCGAGCGCACAAGCTACTCCGCGCGCATCGGCCGAGGGCGAGAGACTCCTACAACGGCGAGACGGGCCGTCGTCGTCGGGCGATGAAGAGAACGCACCGGTTGCTGGGTTGCTCCGGTCAATCCAGAAACCGCTGTCATCAATCGGGAGGATATTCTCCGAGGACACAGAGCTAGACAGGAGATCTCAACAGACTAGCTCGAATGTATCGCCATTACCCGGGCCGCGACCCCCTGGCGGGCTTGACGCGCAAGAAGCAGCGGCGCGGCAGGCCAGTGCCGAAGCAGCAGAAGCTCGCAGGATACAGCGGGCAGAACACAGGGACGTGGTGGAGTGAGTCTTACAAGTTGTCGGTTCATTGGGACTTACACACTAACAACGAGACAGAACGTTATCGGGAATGTTCCCCAACCTCGATAAAGATATCATTGACGATGTTGTCCGGATGAAGGAGGGAAGGCACGTAACCCATCTGTCTGTCTGTCCTAAACCAAACAATTCACTGACGTTACGCATGGTAGAGTCGGACTGGCGGTAGATGCTTGCCTTGCGCTCAGCAGCACGGAGTAGAAGAGGAGGTCTGATCAAAGCATATTTAAGTACCGATTTGACGAATGTAGTTGCACTGCACATAGTATGAATAATGAACGTCTATTTAGACTAAGTTAACTATACCTGGATAGAACAAGTGTGTAAACAGAGCAAACACGCCAAATGCAAACAGTGCCAACAGTGCATACGGTACATACAGTGCAAACGCAGCAAACACGCAGCAGCCTACGCTGCGTGTGAAACACAGCCAATCAGCGGCCGCGGCACACCCAGATCACGCGCTCGCTTAACTAGCCCGAAGTAGCACTAGCGCGTCCAGGGGCGGGTATAAAAGCAGCGTCTTCCCCCAGCTCTTTTGGACTTTTTTCTTCTTTCTTTTCTTCATACTTACCTTGTTTGGGTGACTGCGATCATGAAGGCGGTTCACCACAGAATGGTCCCTGCATTGCACAGCGCGGAGGAACTTTCTGTCCAACGGCCTTCGGGTCATTGGCAGGCGTATTCTTTGGCACTTTCCACTCTTGTGGCACTTTTCTTTTCATCAACGCTCAGCTACAGCTGGGTTTTGGAGAGGAGATCTTATTCCTGTAGCCTCTGCATTTTGTGTGCTTGCAGGTTTTGATTGGTAATGAGCCTCGCGCTAGCAAATAGTAAATAATTGTTTCATGGATCCGATTGACGTCGTTGCCACTGTTCCTGTCGCGCCACCGTAGGCACGTTATATGTAGCCTCTTGGTCCTTTTCTATTTTACTCCTTGCATCCACCCTGTTGCCATTAACTTGTCCTACCTAGCATACAAGCAAGCAAGGCCAGTCTTCAAAGTGCTCAACTTCATCATCCACCTACTGTCATCACGCCCTTCCAACATGCCTGTCAGCTTCGTGAGCTCCGCTAGCGACGACCCTTCGACGCACAACACCAATGAACTTCGTCAAGACGAAGTCCGTCCCACCGGTAGTGCTGGCGCCGCATCGCTAGACGCCATCTCGACCTTGCAGCAGCAAGAGATCGGCACTCGCACGCGCATCGGCGCTGCGAGCGATGGCGTTGTGGCCGCTCCAGGGTCGCGACAGCCCGCCGTGGTGGACCAGGGAAATGCTCCGAGCGCTCGCCAGTTGACCAAGGACGAGGCGGATCGGTTGTACGAGGAGAATATTGAGGATGAATACGCGAAGCGTGAGGGTGGTGCTTAATTTTGGTTTTATGTCGCACTTATGAGTAATATGTCTGCGGAAATATGTACCTTGTTATGATTTGCTACGATTACGAAACGAACCAAACAACTCATTTCCTTTCGACTTCAAGTGAAACAGACGAGAGAATAGTTTGAAAATAGAATATATTTGTTGCTTTTGATATTTACTAGGTCCTGGTTGAAAAGCCTAGAAAATCGCAGTATAGAAGAAAGAAGCTTTTGAACGTTGCAGTCCACACCTCTGTATAGTACATCCTATATTACCTAGTCGAACGATGGATACCGGACACTCCCAAGGGGTTAGTAACCCATAAGTTATGAATACAAATTGATACGCCCGTAGCCAGGCCTATTCCGCTTTCTCTGGATTGGTAGCTTCTTCCGATAGAACCAGAGCCTTCTTTGCCTCATTGGCATCAGCATTCCTATTTTGGACCTCCGTGATTGTTGCGCCAATGCCGGTGCACTTGTACGATTTGAACTTCCAAACCGATACACCGGCATTAAACATCTCGTCGAGCTCCTCTAGACTGCGCCCCTTGAGCTCCGGGAGACAAAACGCAACCCAAACCATCGCCAGGATCGAACAGCCACCGAAAACGAATCCCACCTTCGGCCCTAGGTCGCCGTATCCGGAGTCCTGCACATACGGATTGATATACGTTACGAGAATCACCATGACGAAGCTCGAGAATGTTGCTAACATGATTGTCTTCTCGCGAAGCTGCTGTGTCGAGGCCTCCGCCGTTGTCGCCCAGGTACATGATCCCCAGGCTCCGGCTGCAACGGCCTGGTAAAGCAGAATGGCCGCAACGCAACCCTGAGCACTTGATCCACTGACGCCACCCGGTGTATAAGCAGCCAGTCCGCCGATCACGTACATGAATACCGCCATAATGAAGGCTCCAATGAACAGCACTGGCCGTCGCCCAAAACGGTCGAGCAGCAGGAATGACAGCGTGATACCCCCCAGCTGAGTGCAGTTGCTGGCGATGTAGATGCTCAATGAGTTGGTGATACCGATTTGCTGTAGAAAGACCACAAGGTAGTTGTTCATGAACGAATTGCCCTGAATCTGCTGGAAGATCTGAACGAATGTGGCGATCATGGTACGGCGTAAATTGGGACCTACAAACACATCGCGCCAGTTGGATGCGGCACGCATCTGCTCCTCCTCGCGCATTGCCATTTTCATTAGCTCGAACTCGGCTTCCACCGCTTCGGTCTCTGCAGAGCCCTTCCGGACGCTTGATAAGGCGCGTAGTGCCTCTTCATCTCGGTGTTTTTGCAGAAGCCATCGGGGGGATTCGGGCATGAACCAGACACCAACAAGAAGGATTACGGGGATAACTAATTGTACCACCATGACTGTCTTGTATGTCCATTGCCCACTCAGATGTATCGAAGTGCCGTAGATGCAGCAGCTTGCGAAGATGTTTCCCAGAATCTGCCACCATTGGTAAAAGCCCACCAGTGTGCCGCGGATGGCTGGAGGCGCCAGCTCAGCGCTGTATGTTGGAATGACGTTTGCTTCCATTCCTGTGCAATAATGGAATTTGTCAGCTATTACCTTGTTTCTCGTATCCCTTTGTTGTTGTTTGCTAGACAAAAACCTACCGACTGAAAGACCGTTAATCGTCCGTCCCACGATGATTCCCCAATACGAATCAATAGAAACCTGCAAGATGATTCCAACAATGGCAATCACAGATAGCAAGGCAATTGTCCGTTTTCTGCCCAGCCATTGATTGGCATAACCGCCTATCAAGCAGCCGATGGCCATGCCGGCATTGGGCGTGCCTGTGCCGGCAGATTGCCAGGTCGATGGGATTACTTTGGCCTGGCCGGGACCTGGTAAGACGCCATAGCGTTCCTTGAATTCAGTTATGCCCAGGCATGATGCCCACCAGGAGATGTCGAAGCCGAAGTTCTAATGCCACAGCAGGTGTTTGTTAGTTCATATTCTCATTGGTGCTGGCTGTGATGCAGAGAATCATTGCATACAATTGATCCAAACTATACACCGAGTTAGCATGCATCATTAGAGTACAAAAGATTGCACATTTACTCACCGAAACGAAAAGATAGATCGCCAGCACTCGAAGCGTCAGTTCCCGGAACAGGGCTGGTTTTCGTAGAGCGAACTTGGATGCCATGTCAGCCACAAATCATTCCCGTGCAATGCCTGTGAATGCATCCAGGGATATTGGCGCGTGGCCTATATATATACATATATAGGTAGCCGTGCATCTCAAGATTTTATTGTCGCGAGTGAAGTTCTTATCGACCCACGCTGCCCCGCGGGCAACGCTTCCCCAACGGGCAACAAAATGCCCGTGGCTCAAAGACTGTAAGCAGTGATGTGAAATCGAAAGGTAAAGAAAATCATTGGAGCATTTAAAAAAAAGAGTATGATCGATTCCTAGTTCTCTGTTCTTTTCTTTAACGTCGGAAGAAAACATTTACGTTCAATCGCAATATCATTACTTCCTATGGCAGACACCGGAAACTCAACCCTATTCACGCCGAATGGAGGCGGCGTTGACAGCAAATGGTGGCGTGAGGCTGTCGTTTACCAGATCTATCCTCGGTCCTTCTGTGACTCCAACGGCGATGGAGTCGGTGACATTAACGGCATTATTTCCAAGGTGCCGTACCTCAAAGACCTAGGCGTGAATGTGCTATGGCTCTGTCCCATTTATGTCAGCCCCCAGCACGACATGGGCTACGATATTGCCGACTACCGGGCCATCAACCCAGAATACGGGACAATGGAGGACTGGCAGACTCTGCGGGATGTGGTGCACAAGGCCGGAATGAAATTGATCATGGATCTGGTCGTGAACCACACCTCAATCGATCACCAATGGTTCGTCGAGTCGCGGTCTAGTCGCGACAGTCCGAAACGCGACTGGTATTACTGGAAGCCGCCCAGGTACGCCGAAAATGGTGAGAGACTGCCGCCAAATAATTGGCGTTCGTTTTTTGGTACGGGTTCTGCTTGGGAGTGGGATGAGGATACTCAGGAGTATTATCTGCGCATTTTCACAAGAGAACAGCCGGATCTCAACTGTGCGTGCACCATCGACCTTTGAGCGAGGCAAACTGAATGTTGACCATAAATGAATGTGCTAGGGGAGAATCCTGAAGTGAGAGCAGCGGTTCATGAGATTGTAAATTTCTGGTTGGAGAACGGCATTGATGGATTTAGGGTTGGTTGATGATATTGAAAATGGTCCGATCGAGACGCTTTGCTGACATATATCTATCAGGTCGATGCTATCAACTATATTGGAAAGAAAGAAGGATTCCCCGATGCCGAGGTGGTCGATTCGTCTACATACTGCCAGCCAGCGATGCATCTGTATCTGAATGTCGGCAACGTCCATAAATACCTTCGCGAATTAAACCTCGCCACGTTCGCCAGATACGACGCCATGACCGTCGGTGAAACGCCGTATGTACCTGCCACACAGATGGCACTTGACTATGTCCACCCATCGCGAAACGAGTTCGATATGATCTTTCAATGGGAGCATATGGACATTGACCGCATCCCAAACAGTCTCCTGGGGTGGAGACCCTGGTCGCTCTCGGACCTTAAACAGATATTCAACCGCTGGCAGACGCTTATGTACGAACACGGAGGCTGGAATAGCTTGTACATGGAGAACCATGACCAGGGGCGTTCGGTCTCCCGCTTCGGGTCAGACAGATCCGAGTTCCGGAACGTGTCAGCCAAGATGCTGGCAATGTTTTTGAGCACGCTCAGTGGCACGCTTTACATCTTCCAGGGCCAGGAATTGGGAATGGCAAACGTCAAGGGATGGGACTTGGAGGAGTACAACGATGTCGTCACGTTAACCTATATCCGAGAAGAAAAGGAGAAGCGGATACGCCAGACTGGGGAAAATAACCCCGATATATCTGATCTGCTGGCGGATATCCAGAAGAAAGGAAGAGACAATGGCCGCACACCAATGCCATGGAATGGTGATGCACCCAATGCCGGATTCACGACCGGTACTCCATGGATGGCACTGAACCCAGATTTCCCCTTTTGCAACGCTGCCGCAGCTGTTGAAAATGAGACGTCACCATTCCATTTCTGGAAAGAGTTACTGCGCATCCGGTCCCAATGGAAGACATTGGTATATGGAGCATTCCGGCTTCTGTCACCAGATGACGAGCGGGTATTTGCTTATCTGCGGGTGCATCCTGGCTCGAAAGCTGCGATGGTCGTGTTGAACTTCTCTCCCCAAAGCGTGGAGTGGCAAATCCCAAAAGAGGCATCCGACCTGGCAAATTGTCGTCCCGTTTATGGAAATTATGAATTCCCAGCTGAACTTGGTGCACATGTCACTTTGCAGCCGTGGGAATGCAGGTTGTATGAATATGATGCGTTGTAAACCATAGATAGATATTTCGGGCCAAATTTTATACCAAAAATGTATTTAGAACATAGATTATGTCACCGTGAGGTGAAGGTAACAGAAGCTCACGCTTCCATTAATGCTCCCCAGTCGAAATTCTCGCTGTCACCAAAAGGGTCAAAAGGCATGAACTCGAACGGATCGTCCACGGAGTAGATAGTATGTTCATCCTCTAATTGAGTCTGGCCTTGACTTTCATCATTCGTGTCATCTGTCGATTCGGAAGGAACAGTCATACCAGCAACAAAACCATTCACATCAGAGCTAGTAATCGGTTCAGTTGCTCTACCAGAACCCCCATCCTCCATGAGATTGTCGACCTTGGACAATAACTCGAGGCGGATGCAGGCAAGCTTGGTTGTATCAAAGTTGATACTGTGCTCTTTCAAAAGTTTGAGGTAAACAGAAATTCTAGACATCCAAGAATCAATTTCCTGATCCTCAATAGATGTTAACAGCATGCTGAACATGAACGCTCCAACAATGGAGAAGTTTACTTTGGAAGCTAATAATATTTAGCACCATCATATTAAATACCCAGTAGAATCAGACTGTGCACTTACCAGCCCACCAAAACGCACGGAGCCTGGAGATTTGCAATGTTCGTAGCAGCTCAATCACTAGCAACACCACTTTCTCACCCCGTTCTCGAATAGGGTGGTCATACTTGTCACGAAGTACAGCTCGACAAAGAGCAATCTCCAACGTGTAGTACCCGAGCTGTAAGGTGCCTGATTAGTGTATGTAAGTTAGTCCGGGTCAAAACAGGAAGGGGAAGGTACATGAAGAAACGCACCAGTAGGGTCAGGAAAAAGATCTTGGTTTTCGTGGAAAAGGAAACCATATACACTGTGCCATTGATCTAGTCTATCAGTGAAAGAAAGTATGCAAACATCTTTTTCCTTTGTAGACATATTCTTCAGCATCTGTACGGCTCTCACAGTATAGAATGTGGATAGGACGTCGGAAAGCATGACGGTCAAGTCAGCCATCGCAATAAACATTCTTTTTGAGACATATTCTTTTCGAGATTCGCTATTCGGTGAGCTTGTGCTGTGAGCTTGAAATTTAAAGTCATCGAAATCGGCCATCGTCATCATCGGGACATTGTGTTGGTCACCGTGTAAATAAGATGGGCGCCCCAGCGTCAACGCGGACCTAGGTAAACCTTGTCAACATCGGAAAACAAGATGAAACATAGTATCGTATTACCATTTATCTTGCATGTATATTCCCCACCATAACCGTTTCCTGCGTTTCTTTTCGGATTCGGGTATCTTCCAGTTCGTTGGGTCGACATTGAGGCCGACATCGTGGGCCATGCCTACAAGCTGTATATAATTAGCACGAATCAATCAATGAATGATTCGACGTTCGTACATTTCCAATTTCAGCCATTAAGCCAGGCATAGTTGGGGCCCTACACGACAGATAAGCATCAACAAGGACAATATCTTTTTGGAAACGGTAGACCGCCTACCGAAAAATATAGGTATGCCTCTGAGAGTAGAGCAAAGCCGCTTCGATACTGTCGAGACTCGCGTTTCGAGCTTCAAGTGGAATGGCACGTCCAAGAAAATTCAGAAATACCCAGGGGTCAATTGACTTTGCCTCTGGGCAGAAAACATGAGACAATGCATACATTGACGCTAGGCATAAAGTGGACGCCAATTGAGGGTCGAATTCGCTTCGGCTAACAATAGGGAAAGATATGTGAACTATCTCGAAATATGCATTAATGAGTTCATCCTTATGTGGTTGGGCTGTTTCTTCGATGTCATTCTGCGGATAGTATATTGGTCTTGCATCCAGATGCTTGTCTGGGAAGATCTAAAAATAAATCTCATGATTAATCATTAATACACTTACAAAAGAGGGGGAAAAAAAGAAAAAGAAAAAAGACACGGACCGTAAATTGAGCAGGCATTTCGGGGTTATTGTTCACTTTCTTACATGCCCACACGGCAGCGCCAGCAATCTCCAATTTCTGCTGGTTTGAGTGTTGCAGTAAATAGGGGTCCTGATCCCCGCTCAGTCCTAGATACTGTAGTGTGTGCCGGAAATTTTGGTCTGGTCTAGAAACAGTTGGTGTTGATGAGTGCTCTTGCGACTTGCTCTGCTGAATACTGTTCCGAGTCTTTGTTCGCTGAGTTGCCTGTGACAATCTATGCCTGACCGGCGGAGGTGCCAGGTAAGTGCAGGTTTTTCCTCTAGCCTTACAAAGCGCACAGTTGTCACTGCCAGCCTCCCGGATACAGCAAATCCTTCGCTTTCGGCAAAGATCACATCTGGTTCATTCATCATTAGAATCGGTCTCCAAGTGTGATATGGGGGATATCCGTACGGTTTCTGTTTGCGCGAGCGATACTTGCGCGGCTCGACTGAAGATGCGCCATTTACTGACGTTTGATCTCCCATTATGAGAATTGTCTTGCTTAAAGCTGTTATGGATGCTGCTGGATGAGAGCAGCTTGGATGAAGGTTGCTGTAGCCTTTATACTCGGGCTCGGATTTTCTCTTTCGCCGTCCTAGCCAATCATTATCCATAATATCTTTAGTAGATGTATGATAGCTTCCAAGATAAGTATCTATATTTTCTCAATATTTATTTATTTGCTGTCATTTCTAAAGTCGGTTTGTTTGATCTAGTTTATTTCTACAGTTCTACTTTATAAGTGGCTTCGGATTGCTTAAGAAACCTACTCTATAAACAACACCGCTTTCTGTTAAGAAGCTTGATATGTGCTGTACCAATGGCCATAGTGTATCAAACTTCAAACTCTTCATAGGTAAGTCTTTTGAGGAAATGACTACAAATGCCAGAGCCCACCTGGGCCGGAATTATTGCATATTTGCTATTCGGGTTTGTATCATAGAAATGTAGATATATAAATTGATTTTACCCAGTAACAGCTATTACTGCGATGTTGTGGAAACACAATTGACCATGAAACTTCTAAATGAACAATCCCTTAGAAACCGGCGCGGATTTCAGTTGGTCCTCTTGAATCTCCTGAATGAGTGCACTCCCTGGGTAATCGTCCAGATCCAAGTCCACATATCCTTGAGAAGCCCATTTCCGACCAGACACGAAGATTGAGTGCCCATTGATGCTTTTGTCGCTAAGGATCCGCAGTAGACATTGGCCTGCTTCCTCTGGCTGGGCGAACTGAACACCAACACTGCTGACATGGGCAAAATCTGCCTCGGATAGAATATTTGTTTTCACGTACCTTTTTTTTTTTTTTTTTTTTTTTTTTGGTTTCAACCGGTTAGCTGACGACCCATCTAGCAAGTTGCGTTCTAGGATGTACGAACCATGGAGAAATGACATTAACACGACTTCCATAATAAAAGGCTGTCCTTCTCAATGAGTGCATGATGCCTCGCATTGCCCATTTACTCGCAGAATACTGAGGACTCCGAGGGCAGTCAAGGAATGCTGCCCCGGATCCTATCAAAACAAGACATGTATCCTCTTGGTCAGACGACGGTTTCTGTCCGTTCTGTTTGATGAAATAATGTGACGCTAATTTCGCCGTATACAGGCTTCCGTAGACATTTACGTCGATTATACTCAAATCAGGCTTTTGCGGCTCTTCGTTATCTCCGGAATACGAGTAGACTTCATCCTGACGGTAAATACCAGCATTGGCGATAACATATGAAATTTTCCCTGTTTCGGAAAATAGTGCTGCTTCATGGAATAGTCGGACCTGGTCTTCCCATTTGGTTGTGTTGCACTGAACAAATTTGACACTGCTTTTTGCGGTAAATAGATATCAGTCCAAAATGCCACATGATAATCTTAAATATTGACGTACAGCTCGCCATACCTTTGCAGTTCTTGTTCTAATATCTTTCCTTTTTCCACATCTAGGTCTGCTACGCAGACATGAACCCTAGGAATAGTTAGCAACCTATATGTATAATATAGTAGTAATGTTGTGTTTAATACCCAACTGCCACAAGAGCCCGAACGTAAGCTTCTCCAATGCCGTTGGCACCTATTTCTGGTCGTCAATTTCCTGAAGTAAGACTCCGGTTTTAATGAATTCTGACCTCCGGTTACAATTGCAGTCTTCCCCTTTAGATTACTTGCATCAACTGAGATGTTGCAATCAATAGGACCTGTATGCACGTAACCTTGCATTTTGAAGACTGTTCAGAGCAAGACAATGTCTGAGAAAGGAGAAGGTTATGGATAATGGGAAGGTTGGCTCAGCTCATGATTATTAAACCCTTTGGCGCTTTGATGTGAGGGGCATATGACATTATTCATCTACGCGACTATAATCTACTAATGCACTACGCTTATTGATGGACCAGAGTTCTGTCACTAAACTTACTGACGGTGGCTGTCCTAGATTTAGAGAAAGGGATGTTAGACTATAAATAATTCGTGGGTTACCTAGCACACGACGCCTTTTTGGTACAATTGGTATATCTGACAGGAATTCCATTCCAAAGCATCCCCACCATAACGACTCACTTCCGTATATAGTCGTCTCGCCACCTTTCACCTCCGTGTTAAATTTGATGTAATCCACTCCCGGATTCGGCTTAGGTATGAACACGGAGTTAAGAGGGGGGAGGAGCTTGCTATTGCTGAAGCAATTGGGTATACTAAACGTTTGCATGTTTTGCATTAAGGTTAATTGGCTGGGTAATCATTGCTGATTGGCTCGGAATTCTGGCAATATCCTATCTAATCAGAACGGCTGCTGCTGCCTGCCTAGTCCGCTACTCAAAATCCCCCCCTCTGCTCGCGCTTCCTCATACACAGAATGGGGATACAGCGTTTATCTACACATAGCAGCTATGGAAATATTGTGTTTCCAGAATTCAACGACCCCCTTCGACCGGTCTACATCACGGGCGTGTACTCCGTATCTTGTTACTCATTTCCTAGCCTCCGCGTTCCTCTAACATCAAATCCGACAGAAATGCGGGTCTTATGGGGTCAGGAGTGGAAACACTAATGCACGATGATTACGGCCGCTAACCCGCATTCGGATGGCGTATAAGCGTGGTGCATCAAGTTAAATTTCACTCCCTGCCCTAATTTTCTGCTTCTTTCACCAACCTACCAAGCAACTGCCTCCGATCTGTGTACGTACTACTAATACTACTACTGTGCACCGGCAGTCTAGCAGCATGGCGGAGGAAGAACGAATCGCGCTTGTGCACATGCCTCAGCAGACCCATTACATTCGATCTATGCAAGACGACTGGACAGGAATTGTCGACCCGGTCCACAGGAGAAGACTCCAGAATCGCATCAACCAGCGATCCTATCGTGAGTACTGCAGCCAGCCAGGGAGGAAGTTGAACAGAGCTTTGACCCAATTATACGCAGGAAAGCGGCATCCTTCGAAAATAAAAGCCAATACAGCCAGTTCAGCGTCCTCGTCAAATTCCTCAGTACCTAAGATTAAATGTGTCATGCAGGATCCTTTGAAGTACAAGGGAATGCTTGAGTTCGAGGAATACGCATATCAATGCTATCTCCTCAACAGCCCGTTGCTGGACCAGCTCTTTACTCTTACCAAAGTCAACGTCCAGCGGGCATTCTTTGATAATATCTCGGCTATTGGAATGAGTCCAGACGAGAATATAGAAGATGATGCTAATTCCATTTTTAATGCGCCACCTATTGGGTATTCAATAGATAATATACCCTTAAGTCTTCGCCCTACTCATATTCAGCAGACTACACCGCATCATCCATGGCTAGACTTCTTCCCGCTGCCACGTATGAGGGATAATCTTATCTTTGCCGGTGAATCATACAACGACGAAGAGCTATGCCATGATATTATGGGATATGGCACTACAAGCGAGCCTGGCTTGGTAGTGTGGGGACTCCCTTGGTTGCCTCAGAGCTGGGAAGTGACTGAAGAATTTATTAGAAAATGGGGATGGATTATTACTGGTTGTCCTGAAATTTTGGCTTCCTCAAATTTTTGGAGAAAGCAAAGGGGAGATAAGCCATTGGCTTTGTGAAAAGAAAAAAAAAAAATTAACAAATAATAAAACTGTTTTCTCAGCGTCTATCTTCAGTCGTGGCAAGGGAGGAAAAATCTACTAGAACATGTTCTGAATGACCAAGAACTTGGTCCGATGTCACACCCCCAGCCTAGCAAAAATTGCTATTGATGGCATTTCAGTGATGTATTGCATCACGGATGTAGTCTCACATTGGACAGCAACTTCCGACTCATACTACGCGGCTAGGGTATAGTTACTTAATTCAGATCAAGAGCTGGTATGATCGGACAGGTTTTGAAATGATCGGCGTGACGATAAGAATAATTCAACTTCTTCAGAGCCTTGGCATTCTTCGCTGTTATGCAGGCAGGGCTATATACTTATGAAATGCGTGCATCAGATACGTATAAATAGCTAGTCCCAACAGAGCACCTGAAAAATATTCCTGCCATTAGCATACGAAGTTATTGGTGTCTGTGTATTCGTGTGTATACTTCTCAAAACAAAACAACCAGCCCAAACTGCATTCTAGTCATGTCATTGGGAGATTTCATGCGAGGTATCGTCTGGGATGGTACTCCATACCAGGTGAATGTGGCAAATGTCTCTTTCCCAACGATCATCAACCAGACCGACGCTATCGTGCAGGTCACTCTTTCTGCTATATGTGGAACGGACCTACACATCTATCACGGTGTATATGGGAGCCAGGAAGTTCCCTGGGTAATGGGGCATGAAGCAGTTGGCATTGTCTCAGAGATTGGAAGCGGAATAAGCCATCTTTCCATTGGTGACAAAGTTGTCATTCCAGACCAAGCTGCAGACGGCCATCTGAATCTCTGTGCTCCAGAACTGATCTCTTTTGGTCTGGGACTAGATTACGGCCTAGCAACTGGCTGTCAAGGTACGTTACAAGGGGACATATCGTATAGCTACTAGTGATACTGACGGCACTATATGCAGCCGAGTACGTTCGAGTGCCATTTGCAGATACAAGCCTTATTCCTATCCCAGAAAGCAGCAACCCAAGTGTCAGCAACATCACCAGTCCGAACCTAGATCTGGATTACTTGTTCATCTCAGATATTTTTGCCACGGGTTGGGGGGCACTGGACTTTGCGGGATTCGAGGCCGGTGACACTGTTGCTGTTTTTGGAGCGGGCCCTGTTGGACTCATGGCTGCCTATTCCGCTATTATTAGAGGAGCCTCTCGTGTCTACATCGTGGACCATGTCAGCGACAGACTCGCTCTCGGATTCTCGATTGGTGCTATTCCTATCGATTTCATGGAATCCGACCCTGTAGAACAGATTCTACAACACGAACCTAACGGTGTCCGCCGAAGTGTAGATTGTGTTGGGTTTGAGGCTCTCGACAGTGAACTTCAGCATGTCGAAAATGAGGTTCTCAATAATATGATAGCCGTGACTGCAACCAGTGGTGGTATTGGCATAGTTGGGGTATATTCAGCTTCGCCAAACAGCCCTGGAACGCCCCGGGGAGGTACAATTTCGCCTACTGTCCAGTTTCCTATGACTGATTTTTTCAACAAAGGGTTGAGAATGCAAGGAGGCGGTGTTGACCCGAAGGTTCTGGCACCAGAACTAGTTGAGCTGATTCAAACCGGTAGAGCAAAGCCAAGCTTTATTGTGAGCAGTATCATCGATATCGAACAAGTTCCTAGATACTACGAAAGATTCGACCAACATCTTGAGTCTAAGGTTGTCATTCGTTTCTAGATCGGGCTCATCAAGTATCTATACTGGGATTTCTACCCAAAATGGTGTATGGCTATGGTGACTTACTATATAGTATATGCAAAGATAAATCTTACACTGTGTGAAATCGTATCAGGGCCGTGGATAAAGGCATCTACCGTGCTTGCGGTCAATCCATAGAATATCTATTCAGGGGATGCTGTAGAAGGTAGCTGGTACAAAACCCTGGTGCTTTACCAGATTAGGCAGAAACTTGCATCGGACCAATGACATTTTGCTTTGGCCTGCAGACCCTAATGCACAGCAATTACGCCCCCTAAGCCTTTTTTGGGTTGGACCAAACGCAAGCATAAGCAGCATGCATAGACCAGGATATGACATCTATCATATGAAGTCACAAAAGAAAGTCGACCAAGAAGCACATTACAAATCAAAAGTGCTAGATAAAAGCATGTAGAATTATAAATATATATCATACTGCTGCTCTCTGATCTTTTCTTCTTAGTAATCTCCATACCGTCGAAAGAATTTCAATGTCATCAGGTTTATATTAATTTTGAATTCATCTGCTCAAGATCTGAAGAACACCATGACTCTGCAGGTTCCTACCAGTTTACAAAAGTCTTTTGACGATACCAAAGTTGAATATCGACAGCTCGGCAGTAGTGGCCTGAGAGTATCGGTGCCTATCTTTGGATGCATGAGTTTCGGTGATCCGAAAGCAACCACCATGGAATGGGCACTTGGCGAGGAACAGGTTGGAGCTTTTGGTTCCTTGTTGCTAGTGTCAACCAAAAATATCTAATGTGTTCTAGGCACTTCCCTTGCTCAAAGCGGCCTACGACCGAGGTCTCAACACTTGGGATACGGCAAATGCCTACTGTAACGGAGCTTCTGAGATAATCGTGGGCAAGGCTCTCAAGAAGTATTCGATTCCGCGTGAGAAGGTAGTCATTTTGACCAAGTGTTTTTGGGCTGTTGGAGAAGATCCCGGTATGCTCTTGTTCTTCCTTTTCTGGCTATGAAATGGTCCGTGCACAGGCTCATCAGTGGTCCAAACAGAATCCATGCATTGGGTCTTTAGAGATCCCATTGAAGGCTCCAAAGACTATCAAAACCAGTTTGGGCTCTCACGGACCGCGATATTCAACCAGGTGGAGGCCTCTCTCAACCGGCTTGACACAAATTACATTGACCTACTGCAAATCCATCGATTTGACTCGAAGACACCCATCGAGGAGACTATGAAGGCTTTGCATGATCTGGTCCAGTTGGGCAAAGTCCGCTACATTGGCGCAAGCTCCATGTGGGCGACCCAGTTTGCGCGCATGCAGTTTGTTGCTGAACGCAACGGGTGGACTAAATTCGTCAGCATGCAGAACCAGTATAACCTTCTTTATCGTGAAGAGGAACGCGAGATGATTCGCTTTTGCAATGATACTGGTGTTGGTTTGATTCCCTGGGCACCGCTAAGCCGGGGATTCCTCGCCAGGCCCCCATCGAGCTTCGGGTCTACTATTAGGAGCAAGCAAGAGAAAGACCGGTCCAGATCGGCTTATGGCACAGAAGAAGCGGACGTGAGAATTATCGAGAGGGTGGTGGAGCTTGCGCAGAAGCACAATTGGCCCATATCACACGTTGCACTTGCCTGGATTAACAAGCGCGTAACTAGTCCAATTATTGGATTCAGCAGCGTTGCAAGGCTGGAAGAAGCAATTGCAACTCGCGGAAAGGTGCTCACTGAAGAGGAGGAGAAATACTTGGAGGAACTGTATCAAGCCAAAGCTGCCTTGGTTCCGGAGTCCCTATAAACTTGCAGCTTGATTCCAGATATGAGACATACTTCTAGTCCACTATCGAGAATTCAGAGTTAATAACATAACCATCCACAATTCCTGCTAGAATGTATACCCTTGGCATGGAGACTGTCGTCTTCCAGGGTTTCCGGTAAGTAAAACATCTTCTTCATCCGTCGAGTAAACGGGCAACTCGTTCCAAAGGCTGAGCATGACGGTACTCTTCTACCAAGCATCGTCGGAGTATATATACGTGTCAGTTAGACGTATCTAGCGTGTTTGCTAGCGAGGAGGACATGTTGGCATCGTCTGAAGAATGCTGCCTGGGCCACTTGACGGTAACGACAAGAAGGACAACAGCTTGCTTCTGATTTCTAGGTCTAGCGAAGAACATAAAAGAAGAAGAACGTAGAATGGACGGCAGTTTCTATTCCATGCTGAATAGTTAGCTATTGAGGCGATATCGTAGAGCGGAGTGAACACAAAAGAACAAATAGATAGATCGGCCGCCGGCGGATCCACCAGTAAAGGCAGCGTGGCCTCTTTCTGCCTCGCCTTGCATGCCGACGCAACAACACAGCAATAACACCTGTCGCTAACTTCTGGTTTTTTTCTTCCTCTTCTTCTCTCTCCACGCAGCACTCGCCCAGCCCTTCCCCCGTGAGCAGAGGAATCCGATCGGATCACTGCCTCTCCCTTTCTATTACATCATGGCGCAAATACGCGGCACTGCGGGCTACAATCTCGGCCACCAGAATCCATTTGCGAACGGGCCTGGCAGACAAGACGCCACCAGCGACCCGAGTCCGTTAGATGCAATCCGTGAGCAGACCAGCAAAATCGAGGACTGGCTGGACACTCTGTCCGACCCGATCAAGCCGTACGTGTTGTTGAGCGTGTGGTGTGGTGGCCGACACTGACCCAATCCTTGCTAGATATGTCCCTGCAATTGGCCGATTCCTCATTGTCGTTACGTTCCTGGAGGACTCGCTCCGCATCGTCACGCAATGGAACGACCAGTTATTGTTTCTCCGGGATTACCGACACAGTATGTGCCCGGCGAAAAGAAAGTGGAAAAGAAAAGATTGACTGGGAGCTAATCAACTCGATAATCTAGTTCCCTGGGGTATCACGCATCTCTTCCTGATTTTCAACGTCATTGCCATGCTTGCTTCGTCGTTCTTGGTCATCGCGCGCAAACACACGGAATACGCAGTGGGTGGGCTGTTGGGTGTTGTCGTGACGCAGGCTCTCGGATACGGTCTGATTTTCGACCTCAACTTCTTCCTTCGCAACCTTAGCGTGATTGGCGGTCTGCTGTTGGTCGTGTCCGATTCGTGGGTGCGTAAGAAGTATATGCCCGCTGGTCTGCCGCAGCTCGACGAGAAGGACCGCAAGATGTACGTGCAACTGGCCGGCCGGGTGCTGTTGATCTTGCTGTTTGTCGGCTTTGTGCTGGCTGGCCAATGGTCATTTTGGCGCGTGCTTGTCAGTCTGGTTGGATTCGTCGCTTGCGTTATGGTTGTCGTTGGTTTCAAGGCCAAGATGAGCGCCGTCATTCTTGTTATCTTGTTGAGCGTGTTCAACGTGCTGGTCAACAACTTCTGGACGGTATTTACTCTTCTTTCCCAGAAGAAAGCAAACACACTAACAACCGGCATAGCTCAAACCTCATCATCCCAATAAGGACTTTGCCAAATACGACTTCTTCCAGGTTTTGTCTATTGTGTAAGTGTTTCTGTTTCTAAACCGCTGATCAAACGAACTAATTCATCTACTAGCGGTGGTCTACTTCTCCTCGTCAACATGGGACCCGGTCAGTTCAGCGTCGACGAGAAGAAAAAAGTCTATTAAAGTATTCCTTCGTGGTAAAATTGAACTCATTCAGAAAAGAAAGAAATGAATGCAAACGAAAAGATTATGCAGCGATCAGCATGAGTTACTGTCCTGACAAATGGAAGGAAAAAGTCATAAAAAAAAAAGGAACAAACAAAAGAACAAAAAAATCAGAAGAACCTCGCTTTTGGATTACTTATACGGTCGGTCATTTTGTCATGGGCAAGTATGCTATACGAATCATTTATTCAAGGGAGTTATTATTGCTTATGATTAGGGTTATTTCTTATTCAATCTCAATCAATTTTTCAAGCTATAGACAGACAATCTTTTTTTATGCATATGAACATCAATCTATTATCCTATATACATAGACATTTACATAGACCATAGTACATATATCATCTTGTATACCTCGTAACCGTGACTGTCCTCTCGCGTCTATCCTCAACCTTCTCCTCCCACGAAGTCATAACAACACCTCGCATATCAAAAACGAACTCTCTCAAGACAAGGCCATTATTTTCAGCCTCCCTCTCCCTTGCCACATGCCTGTAACAGGATTGATTTTCCTTCTTCTCAACAGAGACAAATTCAAGTTCCCCCTGAATTCCATCCTGTCCTGTGATGTGGAGATAGCCGTCTTTGGAAATGTCGAATATTGTTACTATCGTACCACCGCTGCCTTCATAGACATATTCCGTTCTGAAGCCAGTGCTTGGATCGTGCACTTTGCGTAAATTGATCGATGCGTGGCCAGACTGAGATGCTGTCTTAGAAGACATTCGCTCGTACTGCCATTTACCATGCAATGCCCTCAAAACGGCCTTGCAGCGTGCTCGCTGTCGGTCCCTGCTTGAAGGCTGGAGGAGGAGGGTTTGGAGGGATGTGATGGTGGTTGCATGGTTGGTTTTTGTATCAACTGATATCAATCCAGGACCGGAATTATGCAGTGGCACGAAATATCGTGCTGGTATCGCTGGTCCGCTCCGCTCACTGTCGTCGTCACCTGTATGCAGTGATAGGCGTGGGATGTCTAACTCCCGTGCATATGTCTCTATCAATCCGACATAGTCGCCCATGGGAAACTGTGCGCGGAGCTGTGGCGGTGATGGGGATGTTCGCAGACTTCTCAGCTTACTGGTATCTGCAGTACTGCCAGTGTCGATATCAGCTCGATCCCATCGATGCGCCAAAGCCCGCGCCTGCATCTCCATCACACCCCAATACGGCCCCCGGTAGAAACCCACGAAGCCCAAGTCGGCGATATCCGGGTTCCAAGTGCCCTTCTCATCCAGCACGATTGGGAAGACAGTGTCACTCTTAGAGAATTCCAGGACTGACAAGACATCCTCTGGAAGAAAAGACAGAGACCCAAAGGGGGTGAAGCCCGTTGCAAATACAATGGCCACGACATTGTCTATGGTGGTAATGCTGCCCCCTTCCCGATCCTCAACTTCTACCACGCCGTTCGCTTCCGCTGCGTGTACGTTGCTATTCCAATTTATACCCGAGACCCGGCCTAACGTCGGCGTGATATCGCCTGCACGCGCAAACTCAGCATAGTGGTCAGTTACAGCAACCCAGGGCGCGCTGTTCGTGTCAGCCTCTGCAGTTATTGCCAGCGCTTCCGCAACGTCGGACTGGTCAGACCCAATCAACGACTTGAAGTAGCTATGCACCATGTTTGCTCGCTCCGACGTAAGCGGGCCCAGCGAGTACTGGATGTCCCCAGGCGGCCTGCGTGCAAGGTCATACATGACGATATCCAGAGGAAGAAAAGAGCCCGGCTGATCGTTTGCAGGGAGATAAGTGGGCACGGCCCAGAATGGACGCGTAGAGATATGATGTACCGACGATTTCTTCTTCGTTGTAGTCGTTGTAGTTGTTTGCCTGGCAGTAGATAAATCCAGGGCTAATGAAGCAGCGGCTTCAGCGCCGGACATGCTGCCACCAACGACGAGGATTTTGCCATCGTTAGATGAGCGGATGAATTGACTGCAGCTTGGTGACTTGAGCGAAGAGCTATGCATGACTCTTTCTGGCGGAAATTCGTGCAAGCCTGCTATATCCGGGATGTAAGGGCGACTAAAATATCCGGATGCAACAACGAGATAGTCAAAGGATTCCGAGAGGAGGCCATCGGCATCTTTGCTTTGAGCGATATTTGTAGTACTGCCTTCTTCTACCCATTCAACCGTCCACCGTTTCGCTGCAGTAGAGTCTGGATTCCTTCGCGTGCGAACCACCCGACACGACAGTCTCAGGATACCTTGTTTCTCTGGCAAGAATCTGGCCGCATAACTCGTCAAGTAATCGCCAACCTCCCAAGCCTGCGGGAATAAGTCCTGGTCACTATCGCGAGCACGATGATTCTCGGTCTCCCATGAATGATCGGAGAAGGAAACCGTGAACCGACTCAGATTCGTGCGCATGAAACAGTCTATGAAATCCGTTGATGACGGATCCGTACCATCATTCGTGATACTATTAGAAGCATCAGGCCTGGTAACGGCCCATAACCCACCGACGGTGGGCTTGGAGTCGAATATGACAGGCTCAAAGCGGCCTTTGGGATAATGATGGAGGAGAGTTTTGGCCGTGACGAGGCCGGAGGGACCGGCGCCTGGGTTTGTCAGTTTGTCTTCGTTTTTTTGTGGTTTTGCTAATATCATGCTATGGTGTATGAATCCATGGATGCTTACCAATAATGGCAACCTTTGTTGCCCTGCTCATTCCTATTGATTGAATTGACTGCGAAAACTAAAAACCAAACATCAGCTTGTCATCACGGTCTCAATTGGCGGTGCCGTATGTAGCAAGCGTTGCGGCTACGATGAGGGGCAGTCGGTACGGGCCCAGATTTTTCATGGCGTTAGATGATACAATCTTCTACAACTTTGAATTGAGGTGGAAAGTATTGAAACAGCATATCGGAAAACCCTGGTATTTGCGTGCATACTTAGTTGCATCGTATCAGATACAATTCACCCTTGAGGCTTGAGACTGACTGACTGGGAATGCGACAAGGGAACGCAATGCCATTGCTAGGAACGGCTGCCAAACACAGCTTCTGGTCTCAACTAGCTGGCATGCGAGATGTTCTATCTCCTCTCCCTGATGCTATCCCTAATCTATTCCCAGTCCTATGCATACACAGTGGTGACGACGCTATCGATATAAAGCTAAGAATAAGATTCCGCGTGGCAGAATAAGCAAGTAACCTGTGAACTTGCCCTAACAGTATTCAACCATATTCATCGAGTGGTTGTCGTTGTAGTAGCGATGCTACTACAACATATTCTATGGTGACGGGGGGATGTAGTTATCACCTTGTCTGATGTCGATAGTAAACAATCGGTAAATGGGAATGTAACGAATGGCAGCCCGGGGGTAAGTATGGAGGAGTCACGACAATCGTCTTTCTCATGCGCGCGTAGATAAAATAGCGCGTAGATAGAATACTGCGAGCACATTAGCGATGCAAGGCAATCACAGGAACTGAAGTGCATGCACGTACAAACTTCAATATTCAACCAAAGCAAGCAGCAAGCTCAGGGCAATTGCTGCAGCCACTGCGACACGTGCAAATTTTCGGCCCGTCTGACACGCGCATCATTCAAATCTTGCTCGATGAGAAAGGTGTCGATGTTGCGCTGGGTCAGGGGTCTGGTAGCTCGGTTTTCGCGCTTGAGGACCTCCTTCTCAGCGAGCGCGGCACGGGTGTGTTTGAAGGACAGTCTGTCGCGCAATTTGGACATGTTGTTGATGAGAGGGAGCGTCGACAGCGAGTTGGGAGCGCGTGCGTGCGATTGGGACATTTTCGCACTGCTGTCCTGGGAGTCGGTGGATTGGCGATGCATGGGGAAGGAGACTTCGCTCTGAACAGAAAAAAGAGAGTGAGAGAGCAATACAACAAAGGAATGAAATGAAACGAGACGAAAAGAACGGCGGCAGAGGAAGACTTATAGTCTGGCGCTAGCCCCTGCCACTGTCAGGCAGTTGGAGAAAGACAAAGAGTCTGAGATAGAATCAGATGCCGAATCGGGCTAACGCTGCTGTATTGTATGGCCCGTACACGATACGCAGCTTGCCGCATATCACGGCTAACACGGCAATTGTATGCTGACGACGATAGTGGCGCCCTGTAACACTCGTAACGCTAGTACACTAACTGCTACACGATCTGCCAGTGCACTGGCCATGACAAGCCAACTGTTCGCCCTAAGTTTTAACCATTTGCAATCGACCCTGCAGCATTGCTCATTCTTCTTGATAATTAAATAAATCAACGATAGTCATTTGTTAGTAGCAGGCTAGCAGTAGTATTCATGAACCAAACTGTGGACTATCATGAAGTGGACCGGTACGCCTCACTCCGTGAAAAATACGGGAAAAGAACATAAAATGGCTCATCTGATCCACTCCTTATTTCCCCGTTGACGGTGGCTGCATTGCGTATACTACTCCATACAGGACTCCGAAATGGTCGAATTAGGGTTTGCTCAGCGCTTAGCGTGGAGTAGTGCTGCTCAAACTTGAGCGTCATGACCATAATCATATAATTAGCCACTCAGAGAGCAGGTTTTAAACATACTATAGCTAGAGCTAGAGCTACATATATATATATATATATATATATATATCAGGGGCCCAGGGGAAGAAAGCTGGCTGCCAGCAATCGTCCTGAACGACCCATACATCATACTTGCTTCCAACCAGCCCAGGGGATATCCTCCATTGCTGCCTGCCAGTTGTTGTTCAGAGTAGGAGAGTACTCGAGACTCTAAACACCGAAACTCCCATACACACCGTTCCTGAACATCCGTGAATAGAGCCTGTTCTGGCGTGCAACCCCGCGCGCAAGACGCCTGTTTCGCAAACTCCAGCACAGAAAGTGCAATGCTCTTTCGGAAAGTACTCGTATAACAAAGCAATGCTATGCATACTCATCGCCTTCGGGTTGAAGGTAAGCTGAGCTCAATTAGGCCTAGCTCTAAGGTGTGAATATCTCTTCTTCTCTTCTCTTCTCTTCTCTTCTCTTCTCTCTCTCTCTCTCTCTCTCTCTCTCTCTCTCTCTCTTCCCTCTCCCTCTTTAGCTTCATTGATCCGGGGAGGCGCTTTGCCGTATTGAAGTAGGCCGTCAAGTCCAATCTTTAATTGAAAATCAGGAAGAAAAGAATTCAACTCCACTTCTGTAAGAGCTGTAATATCTTTGCCTTGTTCAAATAAGCCAAGAGCATTAACAAGATTGACATCTCCTGGCATTAAAGAAATAACACGAGATGATTTAGTCATAAAAGGACTCGATTGAGATATATTATTGCAGTGTCATAGTCTGGGATAGCCTTTGCTAAATGACTTGCTTTTGACACTATTGAAATGCCTTATTTATCTGGAGAAAGGTTTCTCCTTTAATGCCCCATTTTGCTCGAGCTCTTTTGGCGAGATTTTTGGCCTGATTTTCAGCTGCTTTATCAATTGATTCCTATAATCTCACACACGAGCTTACTTGCGGTGCTACCGATCCGGTGGTCATTGGCCAGATGGCCAGACGGCCAAATACCAACAGGCACACACGCCCCAACCACCAGCCCTCTAGTGTACGGATTCTGGTGTCCCAATCTACAGCATCGAAAATCGCAGAAGATTTAGAGAGGAAGAGGGAAGCGTCATTGGTCTCGAGGATGGCTTGGATTTGACTGGATAGGCGGGTGCAGAGGTAGACGAAGATGTTTGTACGCGTCATGGTGCGTTCGGATGGGGTGCTGTATTGGTGCATGGAGCGGATCCATGTGAGAACTTGTGCAGGAGGTTCACGGCCGGCCATTAGAGATTTGAATTGCTGACCATGATGGGGTTAGTTGTTGTTTGGTTTGGACGGGACTTAAGACTTAGAGGGGATCAAAAGCTCTGCTACTCACGATGCCAGCAGACATACCAGACAAGATTTCGTCCATCGAGTCTGGTAAATTGTCTGCAGCCTCGCAGGCGGATTAACTGCGTTAGCCCACGGCAATAGACCTCGTTTCTATAAGACTCATCTGGATAAATGATCGGCATGTTGGTCAAAAAACTATTAGAAGCCCCGACTGTCAATAACTGCCTGTCCCGGTCACCTGTCACGACATGAAAAAAACCATCAGTTACCTCGTAAACTCCAAACAGCCACACAGCCAACAGTGTGTTGCCGTGGGTTTGTCGCTGAGGGTCCCGAAGAGCTGCATTGACTGCAGTAATCGCGTTTCGGTACCCCCGTGCCCTGGTGGCGTCTGCAGTAGGTCCATGCGTTCTGCTCGTTACGTAGGCGAAACCGATAGCATTGCAGACCTTACAAATGGGCGAACTACTATCTGCTCGGGTGAATATGCGTGGGATGGTATTGAAAAGACCCTCCAGGCCTTCGCCAGTCATATACCTTGCAATCTTGGCCAGAACCAGCGGAACAAGGTGGTTTCTCCTCCTTGGCTGCTCCATAGGACGTTGCAATGTGACATGGCATGTAAAAGAGAGTGGGGTTTGGCTCGGATCCTGAGTCATACATGCAGTACCAGTACCAGTACTAGTACTATCATTGTCCTTTACTTTCTCGATTCGTCAGCTCCACTACCAGAGTAGGCGGAGCTTTGTCGTCTGCATCCGCAATCCGCTTCGACGATTGTCTCTGCCGTGATAGGATTCAATCAGATATTCACAAGAAGGAAAACAAAGGACTACAAACCTTCACGCGGCGTTCTCGACATGCATGACAATCCCGGCTGGGTCTTCCAGTGTTGGGCATGGCTATCCACGACGGAGGTTAGGGGCTCCTCCAAATTGGGCCATGTATATAGTAGAAATTAAATGATCAATACTAGTGTGTAACTATATATTATAAGAGGCCTATATTTCCTTGACCCCGACGAAAAACTGTTGCGAGCCTGGCTGTTCAGCTCGAGGGAGGAGAACAGATCGGGCAATCCTTTCGAGCCAATCTGCCGATACTGATAGACCCGGAAACTAATCCCAATATAGACTAGTGCAGGGATCAGATACGCCCGCCCACTTCGTTAACTTGACTTCAATATATTAGAAAACTGCCATTCAAAGTTTCAAACTCGTCTATCACGCTGTTACTAGCCTGATCAAGCTATAGCCTACGAGATGTCAGGTACACAGACGCAATTCGTCAATATCCACAATCCAAAAGACATGAAATCGTCGTCTATCCAGCTATCCGTGCGATCGCATGTTGCTCGCTACCAATGGCAGAAGCACAAGAAACAGGCTCGTAGGAAGAATGTCCGACAACAGTTCCTACCTGTGAAAATAGAGCTGTATCTGCCGGCTTCACATGAAGAGAATGATGATGATGATGATGGCAACGTGATACCTCGGCTGGTGGGAGGCTATCGTGTTGATCCGTTCCACTCGTACCCCGTATGGCGACCATTTTTTCCGCTTCTTGTTGACCACTGTATGACCATGGCATATATTTCCCCTTACTGGTGGCGTTGGCAATCGCTGATTACTGTAGATATCGTTAGCATGGCCGTTGACATCCCCGAGCTCGATGAACCCGCGCAACCAGGACTGCTTCGCTCAAGATGGTTTCCGTTGGCAATTAGTGACCGCGCCTTGTTTCTCGTAATAATCCTACTTGCAGCCTCCCACTACGTGTCGTGCTACAAACGCAACGACTTGAAGCTGGATCTCCTGCAGTTACGATACGAAGCAATCCGGTCGATCAACCAGGCCCTCCAAGTAGAAACTAATAACTACAGCAAAAATGACAAAGCGCTCAACGACGCTATCATAGGCGCCGTGGCAAAAATGGCCAGCTATGAAGCTATGTTCGGCACGTTAGACGGCTATAATACACACATGCATGGGCTGCTGCAAATGGTGGCGCTGCGGGGAGGCCTCTCATCGCTCGGTCTGAATGGCCTACTGCGGCGGATTGTGATCTGGATTGATCGCAATGCAGCGTTCTTGCATGGATTGCGCGAGCTCTACTTCCCACACGATGAGTTGTCAGGCCCTAATCCGGCTCGCTTTCTGGGCGAGTCGTGATTGGTCAACCAGAGGATCGTGATCGGTGGATTCCGATAGATCCGCATCTGGACCCTTTCAGCCAGTCGGAGTGGGCCGTATTCGACCCGCTTTCCTTATCGGGAAAACGCATCGCAACCCTAATGAGCTCGGCCCATCTGGATGATATCATCCAGTTGATTCAAGTATAAAAAAAGAGGTCTACTCTTCTCTGAACGACGGGCGTCTTTCAATTCTGCACACTACACACGACGCACGAATAATATAGTATACCTTAACATTGTGAGAGAATGGCACTCTCAGGAAAAGTCGCTCTCGTCACCGGCGGTGTCAAAAACCTCGGCGCTGATATCGCCCGGGAGCTGGCCAGCGTGGGTGCCAACCTCGCTCTTCACTACAACTCCAACAGCTCGAAAGCTGAAGCCACCAAGCTCGAGGCCGAGCTCAAACAAAAGTATCCTTCGTTGCAAGTCAAATTCTATCAGGGTGATCTCACCACCGCCGATGCCGTCACTCACCTCTTCAAAGCGGTAGTAGCCGACTTTCAGAAGGTGGACATTGTTGTCAACACCATTGGCAAGGTGCTGAAGAAGCCAATTACGGAGATTACTGAGGCCGAATACGATTCCATGTTTGCGTATGACTGTTTCCTCCTCTTTTCGAAGTCTTTTCTTCATTCTAACACGGTGTTTTTGTCAGTATCAATTCCAAGGCCGCATTCTTCATTCTGAAGGAAGCCGCCGCTCACGTTCCAGATGGCGGAAAGATCATTACTATCGTCACTGCTCTCCTTGCTGCCTTCACGGGATTCTATACATCGTACGCCGGCAGCAAAGCCCCAGTGGAGCACTTTACCCGGTACGTTCGTCCCATTCATGCTTTCCCAGGGCTCTCTTAAAAGTTTATTAACAATGAGAAATTAGGGGTGTAAGTAAGGAACTTCAGCAACGCCGAATCAGCGTGAATGCCGTCGCGCCGGGACCAATGGATACTCGTGAGTTAGCCCCTATTTTGGCTTGGCTATTAGCAAAAAAAGAGAAACTAATGAGCCTGTAGCATTCTTCTACCCACAGGAATCTCCCGAAGCCGTCGAGTTCCACAAGGCTAATGGCATGGGCAACCGTCTTACCGAGACGGCGGATATTGCGCCGTTGGTGCGCTTCCTGGTCACGGAGGGAGCATGGATTACGGGACAGACGATTTTCGCGAATGGTGGCTACACTACTCGATAGTCTATGTGATAGGATATTGCTAGTGACTGAATATTGATGATGACTACACATGTACTATGACTAAATAATATATACAGCTTGGCATAGGCCATAGAACTCAGAAGCAGAGTTGACTAGTGCTTTGCAAACCTAGGGATTAGGCTAGCTCAATTAAACGAACAATAAATTGCAAGCGACAATCGCGGCAAGTCTAGTTATAAACAATATATATCTAGTCAACGAGTAATGTAGTCACACATGCATGTCTCCGCCTTGGTTGGCTAACCTGACAAGATAGTAAATAATAGATACGCTGGTGGCATGCATTGCATTGCATTGTATATGCATGTGCTGTCGGCCTATCAAATGGTGGAAAGCTCATACGATTACTGTACAGCTTTACTTTCAAACTCTAATGTTAATCTCCCCGTTGAACTGGCTTCTAGATAGCTGGTCGCGTATACATGCCTGATAGGTAGTTAGTATGTAATATTGAGTTTGAATGTATGTACGAGGCTTAATCGAATGCAATATTTGCTATGTATCCAAAGACAAGGAGAGTTATGGATTTCCTTCTAGAGATACTGTCCTGTTTGTATTTATTGTTTAAGTTTATTTGTCGTGCAGGATTTTAATAACTGTTAGGGCTAGGGCTAGTGAACCCTAACCTCTGACACTTGCATATACACAACTCAGTGTTTTGATCAAAGACCTTATAATCATTCTGGGAGTGTCCTTATTTCAAAGACCAGAAATCGCACCACGAGACGATACGCTGAACATTAGATCGCTCGCTCCGTATAAGGCGGCAATTAAAATACAGAATCGTTCTATCCACGCCTTGCACAGTCTGCACCTTTCAGTAAAAGATCAATCGACATTTATATTGCCGTCGTCGTTATGAGCGTTTTCAAGAGACGAAGGGACGCTCACATTGACGCTGACTCTCGCAAAGGAGAAACCCCTCAACCCTGGACTCTCATCTACATGTTGAGTAAGGCCGAGTTGAGAATGTCTATCTCTCTCCGTAAACTCTCTGAAAACGTCGAATAAAGGTACTATTCATAGTTAGTAGGTAGTTAACTTATACTCTATCAATCTATCAATGCTGATTAATGTCGATCGTTACACAGCCCCCACCGCGAGCACATTTACGCTCCGCCCTATTGCTGTTGACTCTTCCTCCTTTTCATCCGTCCGAGTTGCAATAACAAAGCCTTCGCTTACGAGGGACTAATACCATCACTAGCATGCAACGCATCGCTAAGGTTGAGATTAAGCCATGAGGCAGGCCACGCTAAGCACTGCTAGTAAACCCAAACGGACACGAGCCAGCCGGCCCAAAGTGCGCACAGGCTGTGGGACATGCAAGTGAGTAGGCTGCTCTGCTGTAAACAGCGTCAAGCTATTGAAGACGTGCATCTAGCTAATCTTGATTTCTCAGGGTACGGCACAAGAAATGCGACGAATCACGCCCCTTTTGCGTCATGTGCACCAGCACTGGGCGTATATGCGATGGCTACCAGCGCGGGCCTGACAGGAGGACTCGCGAATTTCGTACAGGCCGGGCAAAAGGCGGCGAATCGCCAGTGGAGAATGATAATGAGAGTGGCAATGAGGCTGAAGTTGTTCTTAGCGATGAAGCATCAGACGAGACCGAACCGACTACAACCGAAACAATCCCTCTGTTAACAAGGAGGAGGAGTAGGAGTTCACTGCAATCAGATATAATGCTATCAGATCCCCACCAGGCCAGCCTGACCGAGCGTGAACGTTGGTATTTTGACTTCTTCGTCCGTCAAACCTCATCGCAATGCTCCGTGTTCTACGGTGATGACTTTTGGCAGCATGTGCTGCCCCAATTCACCGAGTCCGAGCCCGAGGTTCGCCATGCAGTCATCGCCGTGGGTGCGCTGCATCGCAACTTTGCAGAAAGCCGGACTGGCGATCAATTTCCGATCATGCAGTGCAATCGCGCCATTGCCAGTCTCCAACGCCGACTAGACGGTGACAAGGGAGCGCGGCCGCATATGGAAACAATCCTCATCACATGTATTCTCTTTGTTTCCTTCGCCTTTCTGTCCGGAGATGCCTCAACAGCATGTCGCTTGCTACGCGGTGGCTTCAAGTTGATGAAAGAATGGCAAAAGTCGACGTCGCGAGTTGATTCTGCGATTAAGAGGCTCTTAACAAAAGTCTTCTCTCGCATGCAGATTAATTCGCTGACTTGCGGTAGTCCCGACGTCTCAGTTAACTCTGACACCATGCTGCTTCTGCCCTACAGCCCGAGTCTCTTTGAATCCATTAATAACCTCGAACATGCAAGTGACTTGCTCTTTGAAATTTGCAAGATTGTCCTACAGGGTCGACATACGCCACATACAGCAGAGGGCTACAAAATGGTTTCTGCTCTGAACGAGCTTCAACACTGGGAAGCGCAGCACCATGCTTCCCTGGAAGGCCGAAGCGACCATGTGTCCCTAAAGGAGTTTGGCACCCTAACGATGCTTCGCATGTGGACGGAGACTATATACATAATGGTTGCAGCAGAATGGATGGAAAGCCGACTGGAATCGAGATACGACATCTTCCTGAGCCACTTCCGACGAACCATCGGTCATGCAAAAAAGCTGCTGTCCACGAATTCACTTCGATCACTCCTGCCCACTTTCCATATAGAACCGGGCATCATTCCGCCTCTCTTCCTGTGCGCGTTCAAATGTCGCGATTGGAATCTGCGTCAGGACGTAATATCGTTATTGGACGGCTGGCTGTGCCAGGAAGGCTACTGGAACAGTGCAGGGTCTGTGAAATGCCTAGAGCAGATTATTCGGGTCGAGACAGCGGGACTGGCTCATGGGGAAGTCATCCCCGAGTCGCAGCGCATTGTGACTGCACGTGTACAATATCTCTCACAGGCTAATGCCTTTCGTTTCTTGTACTGTTTGTCTCAGAGTGAGAAACGCACTTGGCAGAGCGTGGTGGTTACTAGCTAATGACTGGTACGTTCTCTTTTCCCCACTGTGAAAATAAATAAGGAGTCAAGAATAGATTGACCTTCTATATCTATAAAAAAAAAAGAAACGCCGAGTTTATTATACACAAACAAGCCACAACCAAACGCCGGCTAACCAGTTCTAAGAGCAGATCATCAGGGATTTCATAAGACGATCAAGTGTCGTCGACAGGCTTGGGTATCAAAAGGTAGATATTACTAATTATTCTCGTTGATCAGTTTGACCAGCGCCACCGCAGCGCCTGCAGCAAGGCCACCAACCACACACATCTGAAGGCCACCCATCATGCCAGCCCAGATATTGACACCACCTCTCCAACCCCTCACAATACACGTCTTTACATAGCCAAACACAAAAAGTGTCACGGCCATAACAATAATACTAGCATAAAACGCCGTGAGGACCTGGCTGGCAATGAAATATGGAATGAGCGGGATAAACCCGCCAATGAAATAGCCGAGAGTCAGAGTCAACGCCGACATGTACGCCTGGTTGCAGTCGGGCTCTGATTCGCGGTGGTGGAAGTTGAGGAGAAAGTCACGTAGTCGCTCCGGCTCTGCTTGCAGAGAATTGGCGATTGCGTCGATGGCGTCTGGGGCAAGATTATAGTTGGCAAAGGTAGCATGAATTATAGATCGGGTTTCGGCAGGGTGGTCGATAATCTCGTTGACCTCGCGCACTGTTGCTTCGTATGACTCGCTGCATACAAAATTAGCTTAGGAAACAATCAACTGTACCGAAGAGAAAAAAGGGGTGCCTTACAATTCACTTTTCGCGCCAACATATCCTCCTAAACCCATTGAGATAGCACCGGCAATCAATTCTGCCAGCCCGCCAATGACAACGACTTTTGTATCACCCATGGCTGATAGACCAGCGCTCAACGCGAAGGGAACTGTCAGGCCATCTGAGAGACCAAGAATGGCATCAGAGATCAATCTCGGGTTGATTCGAGACCGCGAGTTGCTATCACTACTCCGAACCGACGCATTGTCCAAGTCGCCAATTTCCGGAGACGACCCTGCAAATGTGCTATATGATCCCGGCGTCTGGGCTTCGATATCCCTATCACTGCCGCCGTCGACGGTCGAGCCATCGAGATTGTCCGAGTCGTCTAATAACACAGGGCGTCCTGGGAGATGTTAGTCGGTTTGATTCATTGTTGGGGGGGAATTAAAAGAATAAAGAAATAGAAATAATAGATATAAAAAATAAATGTCAAGGAAGAAACTCACTCAGATCAGGAGACGAGGAGCCATTCTTCCTCAGCAATGGCTCACGAGAGGCTTTGTTTCGCTGATGATTGGGTTTGCTGGGCTGGTCCCAGGAAGGGAATAGCTTCTGCTTGAGAAATAGCAGGGCCATTATGTGTCTAGGAGTGGGTGTCTGTATGAAGCTGCACCAAGGCCGTAGCGTATGCCGAGGGTGCCAATGGCTGGAAGAAAGACAGAACAAGATGGAAGCCGGCCACAACACTGGAACACAGGCCCTCTAGGAAGCTGCAGGAATCAGTCTTATAAGCTGGCAACGGGTCGCATTCTTTGCAACAGAAAAAGTCCCCAAGGTATGCTGGATTACTTTTACCCTCGCTGTGATTGGCCGCTGCGGGCAGGCAGAAACGTCATGCTGGATGGCCTGGGCCAATCAGGCGCGCCCTAAATGTAAGCAGCATTCCTTTGCTTCTTTTAGTTTTCTTTTTCCTCTTTTCGTTTTCTGATAGGCAAAGCACCCTGTCTAGACGTGCTACACTGTTTCTCGGTTCAAGGCGTCAGGCTAACGCCTTCTGCACCAACTCCCTGCATCGCTCGCTCATCTCGATCTGCAGCGCCATCGCGCGTCCCTTGCCCGACATCTTACTCCACGTCTTCCTCAGAATACCCAGCATCTTCTCTTCATCCACGCCTTTCTCAAACGCGTCAAACTGGTCGTCCAGAAACACCAAGCACGCCACGTCTTCCAATATTTGCGTCTCATCCAGCCCCCTTTCTCCCTCCGTAGTAGTAGTAGTAGTAGTGGTGGTGCTAGTACTAGTAGCCCCCCGTTTCAAATTCTCCTTGCGCACCAACGCAGCAACTCGTTCCGCCTCCTCTGGCGAATACCCAGCATCGAGACAGATTTGCCGCGCCTGGTCGGCCTGGCGGTTTTTAAGGAACGTGCGCCAGTTCAGATACCCGGCTTTCGTAGCCGGGTAGGATGCGCGTGGGATTTCCCACCGGCGGAGATGCTGAGCGCGGATGGCTAGACGTAATGCTTCCGATGCAGATGGGTTGTAGGAGCCTAGATATGAAGTCATCTTTTCGGCATAGTGGAGTTCGTAGGGGATGGTTTTGTTGTCGACTGTGGTGAGCGTTGGGTCTTGCGAGTGTGCCGCATCAATGGCCGAGAGGGCACGGTGGAATTGCTCTGACATCGTTCTCTGCTTCTCTTTGCTTCTTCCTCTTTGGGTATTATGTCTTGCTTGAGGCGGTGTGGTTCCTTGCTTCGTGATGTGTGCGAAATGCCAAGGGAGGAAGAGGGGAAGTCAATAGCGTCGATAAGAAAATATATCATTATCTTATCGTCTTATCGGTAGGCATACAATCGTTGAAGGACTGACTCCAGTCGATAATCTCGCATGACTTGCTACCTAGGTACTTTCTACATAAACAAACTACTTCTGCAACTCGGCCTCAACAGCATCCGCAAATTCACCTAGGTCCTTGAATCGCCATGCAAACGCAGTCCGTCCCTCCAGCGCTTCAACATCGCCTCCAATACCGCTGACCCCATCCTTCCCCCGAGCAATCCACACGCTCTCCAACCCAATCTGCTTCGCAGGCACATGGTCATGCGTCAAGCTCTGCGCAACATGCAGTATCTGATGCTTCTGAACGCCAAATTGTGACTCAGCATGGGAAATCAGATATTCAAAGTTCCTAAGGTCCGGCTTGTACGACCCGATATCCTGCGCCGTGTATACCGCATCAAAAAACGGTGCTGACCCCGACAGACGAGAAGAAAGACCAGCCAACGGACCAGCTAGCGTTTTGCCGAATGAGTCCCGATCCACGTTAGACACAGGCACCAATATAAACCCCAACCGCTTCAGTTTGCGCATTGCATCAATCGTATCGGGAAACGGGGGCCAGATGGCGATGCTTTCGGCTAGAGCTACCCCTTCAGATTGGAGTGTTTCTGCATTTGGTACTGATTCTTTGTTCTCTGGAGATGAGGATGATGGTGGTGGTAATAGTTCCGTTGCAACACTGATATACGCATCTCGCAGGATCTTGTCATATGTTCTTCCCGGGTTGGTGGATTGCAGTCTCAGTTCATGTTTGACGAATAGAGAAGCAAGCGCTAGATCGTCGGTTTTTAGAGGAGAAGAGTCTGGTAGACGTGCTCGGATGGGTGAGAGGGCGTCTATGATCCCCTTTTCCCATTCTATGAGAGTGCCGTAGATATCGAATGATAACAGTCGGAAGGTAGAGAATGGCTTTTTGCTTCCGGACATTTCGCTTTTTTCTTCCCTTCACTCGTCTGTCTCCTAAAATGTTTCAAGCAGTGATGTTAACCATTGTCCATGCTTGTAGAGTATATACAGATACAAGTCGACGCGGGGTTATTTCCCCGCGCTGAAGTAAGCTGGTCAGAATTTGCGCAAAGGTTTATGATCTTGCAGAAATTTATTTTTTCATTGGACTTTCTATTTATTCCCATATGACATGTCTGCATTGCCACATTGGGTGGAGAAAAAGGAATCAGCTCACTCAAAAAATACATTGATCAATCAGGTAGAACCCAGCCTTGGTCATGAAGAAATAATAAAAAGAAATAAAGTAGAAACGAAGATATTCAAGCATAGCGCTCTTCCGGTCCCAATCCATTCTCAAAAAACGTTCTCTTCGTTCATTTTTTTTTTTTTGCGCGAATCAACTCATAAGTTCGCTTCGTAAAAGTGAAAACCTCAGATTCCCCTTGCTTTTCTCCCAGTTTCCCCCCTTTATTAATCATGTGCTGAAATAGTCAAATGCGCAAATCCGGACAAGACAACGAAGAATAAAAGTCGTGCCATGATTTGCGTCATCACCAATCCAAGGGGGAAAATAAATCGAAGACGTTGCTACAAACACTGCCGTTATCTGTAATAACCCTTGGACGAAAGGAAACAAAAAAAAAAAAAAAAAAAAAAAAAAAAAAAAAAAAAAAAAGGGGGGGTGGAAGGAAGCAAACAAAATACCCTTAGGGATTTATAAATTTATATTTAATAAAATTTTAATAAAAAAGCATAATATTAAGATAATACTTACTATTAAGGAAGAAGATAAGGCTAAGAAAAAAAAAAAAA